CCCCGGGACCCGGAGGTCGGAGGTTTCGGGGACCCCGGGACCCGGAGGTCGGAGGTTTCGGGGACCGCGGGGCGCGGAGGTCGGAGGTTTCGGGGACCCCGGGGCGCGGAGGTCGGAGGTTTCGGGGACCTCGGGGACAGGTCGCGGAGGTTTTGGGCGGGAGGTTTCGGGAGTTGGGGTTGGAGGTCGCGGGAGTTGTTGGTGGAGGTTTCTGGAGGTGTGCGTTAAAATTTTTTGTTCTATACTTATCATTCGCGCTGTAACGTTACACTTGGATTCTAAAAAAAATGCTGTCTCTGGATTCTAAAAAAATTTGTATTGCATGGCCAGCAAGTGCAAGAGGGCTCCAGTTTGTGCTACGCGGAGAGGGCATTTCTCATGCCGTAGAGGCATCGCAAATTGTTCTAAAAATCTGTGATGCTAGGGCATGCATCACAGACATCATGGGTCATTCAAAATATGCATGACAAACCTGGCAATCTTCCAGAACCAGACATTTTCGCAGTTGATATGGTACTCGCCCAAAGTATTCTGACTTGCCCGCCAGGGGGCCGCAAGATTTCGGGTGGGTGCGGTACGGCGGTGACCCTCTTCCGGAGGACCGGATTGACGATCCTTCGGGGGGGCCGGGGACCCTATATGGATGTGTCAGGATCGAAATCGACAAAGTCGAAAAATTTGTGATGCGTGCTCGCAAATGAGACCGATTGTAAGCCTGTTTAGGGGCTGGCATGCAATGTGCTGCCAGAGTAGTATGACAGGAGCAGTCTTCTTTGCCCAAACAGCATGACAGACTGGTTTTGGGTGCTCCCGAAATTTGTCACGCGCCACTTACAAACTGGGGCTTCAACTGGTATCGATTTTTTTTTATGCATCCCAAAATTTTCGACTTTGTCAATTTCGAATTCGATTCTGACACTTCCATACCTTAACCTTGCGAGGCCCCACCCCGTTCACCGAGGTCATTGTTCAGCCGCCGCCGCCAAGCCAGATATCACAAGAAAAAGTGTTAACGTTACCGGCCTTCACAGATTGCAGTCATGCATCACAAATGTAGCCCAGTATGCCTTCATGCTATGCATGACAAATTTTGGCATGTTTTGCGATGCATTACTGCATCACAAATTCGAATTCCGTTAACGTTAATACTTTTTGATTCCAGAGCGCCAGACTCCAGGAGACCGTGTTGTTCTGAAGATTGTCGCCAAGAACGTGCCCCCCGAGAATATCCAGATGCCGGATCTGCTTTTGCCCGCCCCGGGAAATTGGGCGCCCCCGTTTCCGGTTACCCAAGTCGAACTCCAGTTGTGCACAGATGAAGCTCGCAGCTCATCTTCCAGCTTGTGCAAGCTGTTGCAAAGGAATGGTAGCTCTGCTCGCGCGACCGTTCGCGTTCGCCTCATAGTATCGCAAAGCACCAGAGATGACGTAGCAGTTGAGCGGTACGACCTCGCGTTTGTTGTGGGCGGCTAAGCAAGTAGCTAGAGAACGCGTGGTAAGTGAAGGGACTTGCTTTATGCATCTTGAAATTTCAATTTGTCTTCTTCTCTTCATCGGCCCGAGCGAAGCCGGGAGCGTGGGTATTACAAAGGGTCGGCCCCCGTATGCGTGCAACCCTTGGGCCGTGACTCTCCGGCGGCTCGAAAATCTATGGAAAAGAAAAAGGCGCTGTCGACGTAGTTTGTAGCAGGCAAGGTAGCGGAGGCGCTGCGGAGTATGCGCCCGCCGCAGCCCCCAAAAACCAAGAATAGAAAGCCAGGCAAAATTTATCTTCTTCTCCATTTCGGCCCGAGCGACGCCGGGGGCGCGGGTATTAAAAAGAACCGGCCCCCTTGCGCGTGTAACCCTCGGGCCGCGACTCTCCGGCGGCCCGGAAATCCCGGAAAAAAAAAAGAAAGGCGCCGCCCCCGCCGTAGGTTGCGGGCATGCGAAAGCGTTGCGGAGCTGCCGCCGCAGCGCCGAAACACCATGGAAGCCCGTAGATTTTTTTTTTTCTCTATTCACTTCGGCCCGAGCTTCGCCGGGGGCGCGGACATTAAAAAGCGTGGGCCGGCCCCTTATGCGTGTAACACTTTGGCCGTGACACTCCCGAGGCGCGAAAACCTCGAAAGCCTAAACTCCTGCAAACCTCTATTGAGTGACCATGAATCTAGTGCGAGGGACTGTCTGTTTCTAGCCCGAAAACAAGTGGTCGGAAACGCAGCCCATTTGTGTCTTTGTCTGGCGCTGGAGATAGGAATGTTGATTGGTGTAAGTTTACGCCAGTTTGCTCCTACTTTTTTTTGGCACATAAAAAACGCCATTTGGTTATTACTCAAGTCGCATTCGTAAAATTTCTTTTTTGAGAACGCAAGCCGCATCCGGTTTTCTCTTTCTGATACCGCGTCGAGTTTCGTCGCGAAGCACCGCTGTAATGCATTCCGATGAGACTCTCTTTTTGTGCAGTAAAAAATAATTTATACATTTCTGCGAAGAGAAAGAAGAAGCCCTGACTTCTTCTCCTGTGGAAAATAAAACGCAAGTCTACAACGACATAGACATGTGCTCGCAGTGACAATCAATCACAAATTTTTGTACAACTCGACGTTGGTTGCGCGGTCTACTACTCATGGACGAACTCCTCAAACGTCTATTGAGTGGCTATGAATCTAGTTCGAGGGAGTGTCTGTTTCTAGCCCGAAAATAGATGGACGAAAACGCAGCGCAGTTGTGTCTTTGTGTGGCGCTGGAGATAGAAATGCTGACTGATGTAAGTTTCCGCCAGTTTTCTCGCTCCTTTTTTTTGACGCATAGCAATGCAACCAGGCAAGCGGAGGCGCTGCGGCGTATTTGACCTCCGCAGCCCCCAAATACTAAGCAAGCCAACCGAAACTTATTTTCTTCCCAACTTCGGCCAGGGCGGCGCTGGGGGCGCGGGTATTAAAAAGGGGCGGCCCCCTTGCGCGTTTGAATCTCGGGCCGCGACATTCCGGCACAAAAACTCGCTTCCGTTGAAGAAATCAGAAGCGCCGGGCACTGTACTTGCTGCACTTCGCTGAGTATATATGACTCCCAGCCGCTTACTTTTGCCTCAAGGTGAGGGGGCCAGCTGCTCTTTCAGCTTGGGGCATGCAACCAAAAGTCAATTTTTGTCTGCTCGGCGCAGCGCTTCAAGTATCAATTTTGTAAAACAACTGTGACAGCTTCAGGCGCAATTCATCAGGTACATCCAGAGACTGGCAGTCATGTTTATACTTATACGCGGACCTTTAACGAGACTGCACAGTTTCTCAGGCAGAACAGGAGGAAGAAATAAAAAATTGCTAAGATGAAGTACTTACAATTCCAGTCTGTCACAGGGAAAAAAGTCAGGTCCGGTCTAGTGGCAAAGCTTCTATCTTTCCACACTCTACTACCTTGACGGTGATTTTTTTTTACTTACTGGCGCACGTGTTCGGTGGTTGTTGGCTTTAGACTGGGGGAAAGAATCCAGTATAGTACTCTTGTTAGCAGCAGGTTGGTGCTGGCTAAAAGCGTCAGATGGCGATGTCGAGTTTGCGGTATACGAACGTATATCATTTGGCCCTCCGCTAATACGCAACTCCGGCAGTGCTGGGGGCATCAGTTTTAGCACGTACATACGTTAGGAGTAGTTTTCTCAGGCTACCAGTAGATGCAGTGGACGAGGATTAGAAAAATGCCCACGACCACAGTTCTTTCGCAAGTAATGTCAGTAGTTCTGCATCTCGAATATGTCGTCAGCTTTGACGTCTTTCTGGTTTTTCTTTTGTTTTTCTAGCAGTACTAGCTTCAAATAAGTGTGAGCCCAGGGGTAGCGCAAATAACGGGCCGCGCGGATGTTGACGAGGGTGCAAACAATAAACTTGAAATCAAAGCTGGTTTTCTGAGCGTGTTTTTTCATCTGCGAGAGGTGTTTGAAGAGAGGGTTTTTTTTGTTCGTGGAGCTTGGGGAGAAGCCAACGCTGGAAGAGCGTTCCGCAATATGTGTTGTTGCGAGGCGTTTTTTTTTTGCTAAGCCAGTACATCGGCCGCGATGCATATATTTATGAAATTTTGAACACAAAAATAATTACGCGTGGTTGCTTACTTCACGATTATACTTCAGAAGAATCATATTTTTATTTTTTAGAACCAAGGAATATAAAAAAGAGAAAAAATAAAACTGTTGCCCTCCTCGTTCGTCCAGCGACCATGCCCTCCTCGTTCGTCCAGCGTTTGCTGGTGACTGCCGCGCGGCGAAAGCGCGGCCCGCAGGGCCGCGCTTTCGCCGCGCGGCTGGTTTGGCTTTCGCGCTGGTTAGATTTTCGCGCACGCATTTGGTTACCAATATCGCCCTCCGGGCGCGATCTTCATAGCGAAGGGACTTGTTTCTTTATGCAAGACAGCCAGATGAAGAAATTGAAATTGGTCTTCTACTTCTTCTTTACCTCGGCCCGAGCGACGCCGGGGCGGGGGCGGGTATTACAAAGGACCGGCCCTCGTACGCGTGTAACCCTTGGGCCGGCCCTGTAGTTGCTGCGCTACGCTAAGTACATACTTATCGTAGCCATTTAATACTTTTACCTCAAGGTCGTGAAGGGGCCAGTTGCTCTTTCAGCTTGGGGCAAGAATCGAAAGCCAACTTTTTTCTGCTCGGCGCAGCGCTCCAACTATCAACTTACTTTGCAAAACAACTGTGACAGCAGCTTCAGGCCCAATTACTCAGGTTGACATGTAGAGAGGATTGGCAGTCATCGATTTATTTACATCTATACGCGGACCTTTAAGGAGATTGTGTATATGATTCTTAATGGTTGAGCACGAACTGCCTCTCCACGCAAGACAGATTCACTGGCTCCGCTCCTGTCTTTTTGAAAAATGTATGATGTTTGTTTTGGTCTACTTTTCTGCTCCTGTTTTTTTGAAAAATGTATGATGTTTGTTTTGGGAATAAGGGTCTGCTTTTTATCGTTTTACTAAATTTGTCATGCAAATTTGCCATTCGGCAACAAATTGCCGCTCTCGAAAAAAGCATGCTCCTACATCGGTGCTACATCCTGTATGATTTTCAATGGTTTATTTTCTGTCTCTAGAAAGGGCGGGACGCCGGACTTCCCTGCGCCACAGCCTGCGTTGTTCTAGCTTGGCCCTAATGAAGACCGGCCCCGTGTCGCTACCTAGACACGGGGGCACGGTCCATTTTTCTGGGTCTTTATTCAGGACCACTTGTGTATGGCCGATCGCTATTCCCCGATGCTACCACAAATTCGCGCTAGTGCCAGGGATCAAAAACACCTGGCAAGCGGTGCCATTTTTCTGGTTGTTTGCCCGGCCGCTCCCGTCACCACTTTGCAGAGATTCCTGATCGGCCATTTGCACTAGCATTAGATCCTAAAAACCGCACTACACACCTAAAAACCGCACCACGCAAGCCGACCTTCCCAGCCCTACCACAGGCCGGGGAGGGAGGCGTGTTGACGAACTACACCAACGTGAGGACACAGAATTCCGAACAGGTTCCAAAATGCTGGATCCATCGCCCTACACCAGGGCATCAGAGTGCTCGTTGTTGTGTTCGATCGAAATTCCCACTGCACAAGGGCCTGAGATCAACATCACCTCTGAGAGACTACCGCGTTCATTCTAAACTGAGACCGCCGCCCGGGGACGGCTCCCGGGTTATGCCGCCCCCCCCTTCCCCGCCCGGACAACGGAGATCGACCTGCACCTCCCCCTCGACCCGCGCCGAACCTGTCGTCGCCGCGGCGTGCTCTCGCCAGCCCGTGACACTACGACCCCCTGCCGCCCCCCAGCGACCAGCTACTGCCCGTTCCGCATCGCGCAAGGGCTGAGCGACCGCTAGCTCTCTCGCGGCACAAGCGCCGGCGCCACCGTGCCGGGCCGCCGCCCTACCTGCCCGGGGGGAATCCTAACCACCCCAAGGGAACGCGCTAGAGCTTGAGGAAGAAAAGAGTCGCTTGTAGCGTCCACAATGTTTTCCACCGTTTGATGAATGGTTTATTTTCCTGGATCTTCGTGTATGATTTTCAAATGGTGATCGCGAAAATTTCCATCCAAGCCGAGTGCCCACCACCCAGGCGTATCAAATGTAAAAATGTCTGGGTCTGGAAGATTGCCAGGTTTGTCATGCATATTTTGAATGACCCAGGATCGATCTGTGATGCATGCCTTAGCATCACAGATTTTCAGAGGACTTTGTGATGTAGTCTCTACCGCATGAGAAATGCCCTCGTCTTCACGGAGCACAAACTGGAGTTGTCCTTTTGCTGGTCATGCAATACAAATTTTTTTAGAATCCAGAGACAGCATGACAAGTTTGAAATCTTCCAGAGGACCCAGACATTTTTACGTTTGATAAGGCGAGTCGGTCACCTATATCCTGGACACTAAGCAGCTATTGGCCTCGCTCTCCGAACGCCGATCGTACTGTTCTAGTCCCAGAGCGACCATTTTTTGTGCTTGTGATTTGTCGTTGCACAGTTTGTAATGTCAAGAGTAGAAGACCTCCCTTGCTGCAGATCCAGCAACGATGGTGGTCTTCTGTTTGTTATGCAAAACCGGCACGGCGCGTGTCGTCCTTGCGATGTATTTTTTTTTTTCGCCGTAGCTTTATATTTTCTCATTTACATTTTTCGACTTTGATTTTTGGGTACTATCTTCCTTCTTGTTTGAATGAATTAAGAATAACATCTTCATAAAAATGATCATATATCAGTCGTGCTTTTGACGATACCGGTAGACGGCTTAATTGCTGAACATGAAAATGTTTGTTTGTATGGATGTTCATGCGTGCCTTTTCTAGATTATAGCGCTACACCAAGATCGATGTTGTTACAGTTACTTGAATTTTTTGATGAAATGCCACTGCTCTGTTTTTCTGACATTACAACCGTACGTATCATCTGTGTATCGCTCCAGTGACTACCGCCAGTGGAGCAACTACTTTTTGTGAATTTCGTTTTCGGGTGAATCGAGGTCGTGCACCTTCGCAAAAGGACATCATTTCCGATGGCAGACGCGGTCGCAGGCTCGCATTCGTGCAGCGTCTTGTCCCTGTTCTCCTCTCTCATCATCTGATTTGTGCAGTTGTCTGCAAATAGATTTTCCGTTTCGGTACATTTCTCCTACGTCGTCAAACTCAAATGCAAAGTGCGCGTAATTTTTTTTTTGCGATAATCCAATGAATTGCCTCTATGCAGCCTGTGACAGTGAGATACCGCAGGATGAGGGAAACAAATTTGAACTCAAAATTGGCCTCCCGAGTGTGTTTTTTCATCTGCAAAAGCTGTTTGAGAGTTGTTTTTTTTTTCGCGCGCGATTGGGGGGACGATGGATGGAACAGCGGGGGTGCTGTCACGGTCGGATAAACAGCATGTGAGTAGTTGCGTCGAGAGGTTTTTTCTGGTAACAAGGACGTTAGTGTTATTGCTCGTGCCCCAAGAAGAAGAACGAATTACCACTGCTACGCGCTGCTTAAGTAGGACACTACAATACTGTAAAAATAAAACTGTACATATGGAGAGAAAAAAGTTTGTCACAGTCACTAACTTGCAGGCTTTGCATTACAAATTTTCTCAGCATCACAAACTTTCCTTGTATTGCAGAAACACTAGGGAAATACCTAATGAAGTTTGGCTGTGATGCATTTTTACGCATGACAAACAATTTTGTATTGCAAAAATGCGCATGAGTGATCGTGACGAACTTTTTTTCTTTGATAGTACAACTATCACCACCATCATGCCCTCCTCGTTCGTCCAGCGTTTGCTGGTGATTTTTTTTCACCTAGCACTATGAAGTGCAAAAATGTCTGGGTCTGGAAGAGTCATGCCGTTTCTGCATGACACAGAAGGTGTGGCATGGAAGCTCTAGCATCACAGGTTTCGAGAAGCTTCCGCCATGCCGAATTCGCATGACAAATCCCCCACTTTGGTGACAGAAAGTGGGCAGCTTTTGCCACCTATGCCTGAGAGATGTTTCTGTGTTCTAAAATGCGCATCACAAGTTTGTATTCTTCCAGACCCAGACACTTTTGCAGTGCATAGGCACTGCTGCTCGCCGATACCGCGAGGAAAAGCCTGCTCGTCACCGCCACTACCGCCGTCGATGTGCAGCTCACACCGCCGGAACTCGTGTTCACCGGCACCTTCTTCGCGCCCCAGGGGTATGTGCTGTACGCAGGGCAGCGGTACTCTTTGGGTATCGCTCTGGACAGCATGTTTTGGCCCGCAGACTCCGTGCGGCTGATGCTCGTGGAATCCTCGCAATTTTTAAACGACGTGATGGCGGGCTTGGGACTGTGTCCGCAGATATGCACTGCAAAAGTACCGTACTCGTATAAATGCATGACAAATTCCCTCAGGAGCATGAGAAAGTCAATTTGTAATGCGGATTTACCTTGAGGAAAAAAATTTATTTTTTTATATGAAGGACTGCCATTAGATTTAGAATTAGTACGCGTATCAGATACTTTTGCACAGCATAGCAGAACCGCATCTACGACGTGAACCCGCCCTACGACGGGAGCATGACCATTCCGCAGTCTTCCCTGCAGTACCCCCGGCAAGGCCGGTTGGTCTGCAGCCCCGCGTGCGAAGTGGACTACCCACCACCCGACCACGTGGGCGCCGTGATCAACCACGGGGGGATCTTATCAAATGCAAAAATGTCCTCTGGGTCTGGAAGATTGCGGGGTTTGTCATGCTTGTCTGGCATGACCAAAAAGTTTGTGATGCGTGTCCAAGAAGAGACCCTTTACCTTTTGCCTGTCATGCAAAAACGCAGTTTGTCATGCGAAAAACGCAACACAAAGAGGCGCAGGCATTTCTCATGCTTGCCTGTGCATTACAGAGCATTTACTATTCCCAACGCAGCATTACAAGTTTCCAGACCCAGACATTTTTACACTTGATAGATCTTCCGGGTCTGCGTGTCGAAGTTTGGCACGTTTGGGCTATGGGGCTCTCAAACGTTACATTCTCGAACTGTCACATGATGAATTTGTCATGCAAAAGCACCAGCATCATCATCCACACGATCAACCTGTTTCGCATGACAAATTTGCGCAGGGCTATTAAACACGACCTAAATTATCTGTGCGGAATTTGTAATGCTACAAGACAAGTGCAACCCCCCCCCTTTCACGACTTTTCCCATTCTTGCATCCCATTCTTGCATTCTACTTTGTACGCATGGGACCAGCTGCAGGCTGCTGCTTCCTCATAGCAGTTAGCCTGGTCGGTCCCTGCACAGTTTGTGAGCACTATAAGTTGGATCGTTGGCGAACGTTAAACGTGCTCTGGTGGCGACAAGTGTGGACCGTTGGCGAACGTTAAACGTATGTTGGCGATAAGTTGGACTGGTGGCGAAAGTAAGGTAAAGCTGGCGTGAGTAGGATGATGTGCCCGAGCGTGATGGCGATGGCTTCGGTCCGCCTGATTCCGCGACTCGGTGGCCTGACCATCTGCGGAAAGGTGCCCTATGGGTTGCGTTTGTGGTTTCGGTCGGTTTAGCATCACAAATCTATGTAACAGTTGAGAGTGTAACATTTGAGAACGCCATATGGGCTGAACGACGCGACTCTGGTGAACGTCGACTCGGTGACGCAAGACGCGGTGTCTTACCGGTATCAAATGCAAAAGTGTCTGGGTCTGGAAGAGTCAAACTTGTGATGCTGCATGTGGCTGCTAAACAAATCTGTATTGCATGAGCAGGAAGAGAAATCAAATTTGTCTACGCGGGGAGGGCATTTGTCATGCAGGATGCGCATCGATAAGCGCTCAAAAAATCTGTGATGCTATGGCATACATCACAGACATCATGGATCGTAGAAAATGCGCATGACAAACTTGTCCTCTTCCAGACCCAGACATTTTTGCAATCTATAACCGGGTGGTGGGTGTGACGGATGACTGTCAGAACGAAGCGATGCTGAATCCGGCAACAAGTACTTCTTCTGCGGGTAGTTCTAGTTCATCTTCGGGAAGTGCGGCGACAAAGTCGTGCTTTTCCAACCGCCGGTTTTACTGCTTCGGCATACACTCGCTCTATTCCACCTTCTACGCCAACCACATCTACGACGAGGAGTTCCTATCCTGTGCAAAAGTATCGTACTCGTATTACTACAATCATGCATTACAAATCTTTCATTTAAGGTAAATCCCCATTACAAATTTTATGAAAATAATTTGTAATGCATTTATACGAGTACGATACTTTTGCAATGCATAATTCCATTGTAAAATCTTCTACCAGGGCGCGAGCTACCAGATCGGGGAGTTGGCGAACGTGATTGGCAGGGTGCAGCACATATGCTGTGCAAAAGAGCATCGCACTCGTATAAATGCAAGTCTTGCATTACAAATCTTTTTATTAAGGCAAATCCACAACCACATGACAAATTCCATTTCTCATGCTAAGGAAACTTGTATTGCAATTTATAGCTAGTACGATGCTTCTGCAATGCATAGCGCATGCAGCTCTCCTGGCACACGGACACTTCGGAGTCCTGTCCCATGCAGGTGATCGGGACCAATTTTGTTGACAACAGCTACCGCAGTCTCGACACCGCGTTAAAAAGAGCGCAGCCGAACTTCAACTACAGTAGCAATTTCGAACAGGTGCAAAGATTCCAGAAATCCGAATTTACGTTGGGGAAAGTGGTCGATACTCTGTCTAGTGGGTTTACCTACCGCCTGTGTTTCTGTCCTGATTTCCCCGGGTTGGGCACCTGCCTGCAGCCGAAGCACTACCGGCAGAATGTGGGGAAAGTTGTGGTCATGATGCACAGTTACGGGGTTTTGCTGAACGGAAATTTTGGCAGGATAGACAGCAGTAGTACAACTAACGCAACGTCGTCTGCAGGTCCAGGTTCATCTACATCGACATCTACAACTGCATTAGCAGCTCCATCAGAAATTTCCGATTTTGACACGCGGATGATGGTTGCGCCGGTCTCAAAATTCACATTAGTAATTGACTGCGGCGGGGAGGAGTGTGGGAATACGAAAAATCTGACGGAGAGAATCAAGATTGTGAATCGCCGAGCCGCTAGTACTCCGTCAGAACAATCTTCATCCGGCAGCAGCACAACTGTTAATACACAGACGCGCCCTTACTGGGACTCAGCCACAGTTTATCCCAGCACGAAAAAAGTGTTACAGTTACACATTTGTAGTGAATTCAGCAACACAAATTTCTCTGCATGATGAGAGAAAAACTTGTAATGCAGAAATCCTACGGGAAAACAGCTATGAAACGAGGCTCCTATGCATATCCGGCATGACAGAGCTTGTCTAGACTATGTGTGTAACTGTAACACTTTTTCTTTGCGATACAATTTTTTCCGATTTTTGCAACGCACAAAACGACACGGAGTTGTTACAGCTTTCGCCGAACGGGGTCTGGGAAAAGGAAAGAACAAGCGTGACAGCGACAAGTACGGCTAGTAGCCACACAAATGCGCAAGACCAATCAACGCAACAACAGCAGCAGCAGCAGCTTCAACTCCTTTTGCAAGATTTCTACAAACTCCAACACGTCGCCCCCGTGAATCTTGAGGGAATCAGCACAAAAATCGCTTTTCCGGACCTATTTTTGAAACCGCGCACAGTATCCTGTGCAAAAGTATCGTACTCGTATAAATGCCAGACTAGCATGACAAGTCTGGTTTCTTGGGTAATTGTTTAGCATGACAAATTTGATTTTTGATGCTGAGCTAATTTGTAATGCAATTTATACTAGTAGCATGCTTTTGCAGTGCATACACAGCGGCCAATAGCAATCTACCGGTCAGCGGAATCTTGGACGTTTGCTTCTCCCACAATATGCATTGCAGATGTGTTTGGGTCTGGAAGATTCCGAGATTTGTCATGCGGTTTTTCCAAGCCCTGTCAAGTCTGGAATGCGGGGCCTAGCATGACAGGTTCTCGTGCAGCCCCTTCGTGATGCCTATTGTGCATGAGAAATACCCTCTCGTCAGCATGGCCAGAAGTGAGCACCTTTTGCCAGTCATGCAACACAGATCTTTGTATGATCCTCAACTCGCATCACAAGTTCGGATCCTTCCAGACAACCAGGGATATTTGCACTTGATACACAACCCGGTGCTGCATGACTTTTTGAACGAAACAAGTCACGGTATTTTTCCCGCAGAAACTACGCTGAACGACACGTCGTTGATCCGCCAAGCAGCATTTTCATCTTCAGCCGCGGATAGAAGTACTGGTGGCAACAACAATTACTACGACCCCGGTTCCATTTTCGCACTACAAACTCGCGCGAGAGTGTTCTTCAAGACGGGCGAAGTGCATTTGCACGGATTAACAATACAGCACGTGGACGATGCTGCGGTGGACATCACGGATACGAAGCCGATCATCGTGGAAACGGATTTTCGAGTGGCGGTGTTGCCGTTGCTATCCTGTGCCAAAGTTATCAACTTGTATTGCAATCATGCATTACAAATCCTTTTGTTAAGGTAAATCCGCATGACAAATTTCATTTCTCATGCGGAGGAAATTTGTAATGCAATTATACGAGTACGATACAATTTTTGCACTGCATAGATGCTAGGGGTGTACGAAACGAGTGGAATTTTTACCAACACTTTGGAAGTGAATAGTGGGAGCACATCAACAACGACGACCGGCAATACCAATACAAATGCGAACATTACGTCGGAGAACACTGTGAAATTTTTGTGGGACCTGGATGCGGAGTTTGGGAATAGCCAGTGCTATATGGATCGCAAATATGTCTGGGTCTGGAAGAATACAAACTTGTGATGCGCATTTCAGAACACAGAAAAGTCTCTCATGCACAGGTAGCAAAAGCTGCCCACTTTCTGTCACCAAAATGGGAGATTTGTCATGCGGATTCGGCATTGTGGAAGCCGAAGCTTCAGCTTCTCGAAACCTGTGATGCTAGAGCTTCCATGCCAGACCTTCTGTGTCATGCAGAACCAGCATGATTCTTCCAGACCGAGACCCAGACACTTTTGCATTTGATATGCTACCGCTACGACATGCATCCTTACAGCGCGACAAACAAACCGCCGATCACACACAGAGCGCACCGAGATGCGGATTTGGTGCCGAGGGGTGGCGGTGTGAGGACATCAAGCGGGGGCACAGGCACTGCGAGCAGTAGTGCAAGTAGCGGAAGCGGCAGCAGCACGAATGGCACTTCTGCAGCAACATCAACTCCAGCAGGATCATCAACTATCCCACGAAAGAACAACTGTTTCACTGTGATGGTTTTGCAAGATCTGCATCACAAGTTTGTTGCACATGACACAGAAAATTTGCCATGCGCGTTTCCCAAGGCACGGGAATAAAACACGCTTAGCAATCCATTGTGTTGCAGGTGTAGCAAGACAAACACTTTGGTGTTTCGTTCTCTGCGTCACAGGTTCACAGTGAAACAGTTTTTTCTTGCGATATCAACACAGATCGAACAAACTGAGTACGAAGTGGCATCGAGCTCTTCCACGGGGTACTTCAGCAACCGATACTGTCTAGACTACAGCACAAACTGCACGACCACCGGTCTTGCGAGTGCGAAGGTGAGTAACAAAATTTTGTTCGACAACATGTTACCCAAAGTTCCCGGCGTGTTCGCGGTGTGCTACTGCGCTGAGGGGTGTAGCGGGTCCTCTTCTGCCAGTGTACTAGACTCTAGTACTTCCGCATCGACGACGACCTCGAGCAGCATGACAAATTCGAAAAACATTCCCCTCGCAACCCATCTTCAACGCTGGATGCTGGTCGATCGGATCACCGTCGCGGGGCCGGAGATGTATCAAGTGCAAAAATGTCTGGGTCTGGAAAAGTGTAGACTTGTCATGCAGATTTTCGCTGACCCATGAGGTCTGGAATGTGGGACTTAGCATGACAGACTCGGCGAGGTCTCTGCCATGCCTATACTGCATGAGAAGCTCCATCCTAACTTGGTCAAAAGTGGACAGCTTTTGGTAGTCATGCAACACAGTTTTTTACATGATTCAGATTTACCATGACAAGTTGCAATCTTCTAGACCCAGACATTGTAGCAGTTGATAAGATGGTTCCGGTAACGAAGAAATTCCAGCTGACCAGCCGGGTGATGGGCAGTCTGTCGATTTTAGGGTTTGGGTTCAGCGTGAAAAACCGGATCAGGCTGCTCCCGAAAGCGTTACTGCAAGAAATAGCTGCAACTACTGGGACGAACAATAAAGACGTGAGTGGGGCGAGTGTTCAGACCAGCACCGCAGAGAATTACCTTGCCTTGTGCCAAGAGCCCTTTCCGAACAGAACCGTTTCGGGGATCCAATCCTGCTGGCCGAACTACAACGGGTGTAGGGACCACGGGATTGATGAAGCAGTGAACAACCAAATCGCAGACTTAGAAGTGACAATCCTCCACTCGCACGTGTTTCCCATCCCGCGAGTGATCACGAGGCTGGAGTCCACAACGGAAGGAGCTAGTACAACCGCTGGTGGTGATAGTAGTACAACCAGCATGACAAATAACATAGGCGAGGACTATTCCACCCGATCCACTTGGGTCTACTTCTCCGGCGTCCATTTACTTTCGAAAAACGACTATCCTGTGCAAAAGTATCTGATACTCGTATTGCAATAAATGCATTACAAATCTTTGTTTTATGGTAAGGCAGCACTACAAACTTTATTTCTCATGCTGAGAAAATTTGTAATGCATTTATACGAGTACGATACTTTTGCATTTCATAACGACCGGATTCACTTCGAAGACTTGGAGATCCCGCAACGGGAAGTGTCTCACCAGCTGTACTATTTGGACTTAAACCGCCTCCTTCGCGGCGGCATGTCGGGGCACCGGATCTTGGAATCGGACAACGCGAACAATCGGGTCCGGATCGGCTTGAACCTGTTCGGGATTGACGAAAGAAAATCACCTAGTTTCGATTTCCTCCCGAAAGTGAGACTGAACGAGGGAAAGTGGCGCAGGTCAAATGTTTTATCCGTGCCGTATTTGTTTGCGCCCAACCCGGTGAACGAAGAGGTCGTGATTTGCTGGAGTATATCCTGTGCAAAAGTATCGTACTCGTATTGCAATCATGGATTACAATTTTTTTTCTCAAGGAAAAACAGCATTACAAATTTTATTTCCCATGCTGAGGGAATTTGTAATGCTAATGCATTTATACCAGTAGCAGTACGATACTTTTGCAGTTCATAGAGTAGTGCTGAGATGAAACACAGCATCCCGAACGACGCAGATCCAAGTGGGGCGACGAAGATTGAGTCGTTGAAATACGAGTCCTTTGTCGGAGAATTATTAGTCCCACTTCCCGCAAACTTCCGGCAGACAAATCTCGGTTTGTTGACAACCGAGTACAGTGCCGTACAGCCGGTGATTTTGAGTTTTGTGACGAACCGAGATAAACACAGCTACTACCAGTCGGTGGTGAACGAGATGCAGTTGCGGATTGCGGTGGAAAACACCGAGTATTTGAAAATTTTCCGCGCGGACCACGCAGAGGGGTACGGGTTGACCCCCGGCGGGGAGGTGGAGCGTGATTTGACGGTGAACGAACTCCACGAGCGAAAGCAGTCGGTGTGCGGGAGGGTTATTAAAGAAGCATGGTCAAACGACACCATGAACGGGATTTTTGAACAGCAGGCGAATTCCTTTGGGTATGAGACGGGGTACTTTCCGGAAAACCCCATCACGAAAAACGACCCGCTGAAACACAAAATTCTCAACCCAGTCGGCTCCTCCGGCGGGTCGTTTCCGGTCCCGCAGGGGTGCTACTACGAGCAGCAAAACGGAAAATTTGAGTTCTTCATGGTGTTTGAGAAGGGGAATGGGTTTGTAGGGGGAGTGGAGTACCAGATCGTCTTGAACGTGCAGTATTTGGAGAATTTGCAGCAGAATACGAATGTATCCTGTGCAAAAGTATCGCACTCGTAGTAATTGCAAACATGCATGACAAATCTCCATCCCAAGGTAAAACAGCATGACAATTTTCATTTGTCATGCTGAGGTAATTAGTAATGCCATTACTACGTAGTACGCTACTTTTGCAATGCATAGAATGGCGGGGGAAGTAATGTGGGTCAACATCATCAGCCGATCCAGGTGGCAACGTTTGGCGACATCGAGTTCGAGCGAAACCGTATCGTATTCAAAAACGTCCCCACCTCCCCAGAGCTGTAATGCAAATCTGCATGCTGAAACTGTTTCTCATGCGGAGGCCCATGAGAAGCCTTGTCTAGTCGCGTTTTGGAATCAGCATGATATAACTACTAGATTTGTGATGCTGCTTACCTACCTCAAACAGCACTGCACTACGAGTCCAAATTTGTCATGCAAAACAGCCAAACCTTGCGGATTTGTCTAGCCAAAGACTCACCATCTTGACTATGGGGTAGGGACGTTTTCACATGGGATAAACCGAGTGATTGAATTAGACGACGTGTACCCGAGTTTTGGGCCAGTGCGAAGGCGGCAGATCTCGGACTCTTTTTTATCTTCCGGCATGTTGACAGCCGAGGAAGAGGCGCTGTTTGGCGGAAGTAGTAGTGCAACTACTGCTTCTAGCGGTGATTCAACTACTGCTAGTGGGCAGTCAGCGCAGTCAGCGCCACCTGTCCTCTTCCCGGGTGCACGAGCCAAATTCGCGAACAGCGCACTCAATGTGACGGAACAGCTTGGTATTAACGCAGCATCTACTTCTTCACAAACTTCCTCTGTCGGTATTCTCCACCCAGTAAGGGGTGTGATGATCAACGCCGATTCCATTCACAACGTTTCTGATATGGAGTTCTCAAATGTTACATTCTCAACTGTTGCGTGAATTTGTAATGCGAGACTGGCAAAAGTGAAAGGAGGAAGATTGCGCCTTTTGCATTACAAGTCTAGCGCAGATTTAGGCGCGGTTTAGCCCTTCGCAAATTTGTCATGCGGAGCAGCTTGATCGTGAGGATGATAGTGGTGCTTTTGCATGACAAATTTATGTATACAGTTGCGAATGTAACAGTTGAGAACCCCATATCCGAGAAAAAAACACTTCCCTTCCTACTCCAATCGCTGATATCCTCTGCAAAAGTACCGTACTCGTACTGATTGCATTTATGCATTACAAATGTAGTTCCTAAGGCAAATCCGCAACCGCATTACAAATTCAATTTGTAATGCTGAGCCAATTTGTATTGCAATTCATACTAGTACGTTGCTTTTGCAATGCATAGCTGAACAAAGACAGCAAAATTGACTCCGGCTACATTCTGCGCATTTTCCCCTTACCCCTCACCCACTGGCGGTGGCCGAAGAACGCAAATCTATATCAGGTGCAAATATGTCTCTCTGGGTCTGGATAGCTGGAAGTTGTCATGCTGAGTCTGGATCGTGCGAAAATCTGTGTTGCGTGAATGCCAAAAGAAGTCCACGACTTTTGACCTAGTTGACAGGGCGTTTCTCATGCAGGACAGGCATAATAGAGACCTCACAGGGTTTGTCATGCTGGGCCCTGCATTCCAGACCTCATGAGTCATAGACAACCTGCATTACAAATGCCTGCACTCATCCGGACCCAGACATATTTGCAGCTGATAATCTAGGCTGCAGCGCCACGTGCCTGCGCCAGGTGGGGGCGCAGGACTACTTTTTATGCATTGCAAAAGTATCGTACTAGTAGTAATTGCATTACAAATTTTTAACCTAAGCATGTTTTACCTTCAGGACAAGATTTGTCATGCATAATTGCAATTATAGTACGAGTGCGATACTTTTGCACAGGATACTTTTTCGGGCAGGACAAGATCACGGGGTGCAGCAGTATCGAAGCCCAAGACCGGAACAACGGGCAGCCGACGTGTTATCGTAAGGAAAAATCCCTCCTCCCGATATCGAGACGAAGTTTCTGATGCTGAATTTCCGTACACACATGCGCGCTGTCTTCCAATGAGGCATCGCAGCCGGATCCTCAGCCTAGGTAGAAGGGGCGTTTGGTTCTAGTTGTTGAGCATTGCGAATGGCTTCCCCCTAGGCCCGACAGCATGCCAAATCGCTTCCACAATGGCGCGGAAGTAGCCTCTGCGCTTGTCTTCTTGCGAGACAGACGGGATCCGTGGCCTCAAATCAGCAACGCAAATTTCTGGAAACATACCGTGTTGATATGGGGAGGACGGAGCTTTCCTCTCAATGCGTGTGAGTTGGAGGGTATCTTTGACTTCTGCGAGGACCGGCTGGTCCGTGTGTATCAAATGTAAAAATGTCTGGGTCTGGAAGAATGCAACTTGTCATGCTAAATCTGAAGCAAGCAAAAATCTGTGTTGCATGAGTGCCAAAAGTCGCCCAGTTTTGACCATGTCGGGCGGGAGTTCTTTCTCATGCAGAATAAGCATGAGAGAGATCGCACAGAATGTGTCATGCTAGCTCCTGCATTCCAGACCTCATGGGTCATGGAAAAGCTGCACGACAAACCGCCCTCTTTCCAGACCCAGACATTTTTGCATTTGATAGTGTGATGGGAACCACCATAGACAAGCCGTGGCACGACTCCCGCGGGCCGGCGTTCAACTGTTCGCATTTTTACGAGCAGCTGACGGTCCGCAAGATGACGGCAACGGATTCGACCGTCGCGGAAAAATTTGGAAGCGAGATGGAAAAGTTCATTGAACGATACGACAGCGGAAACGCGGTGTGGACCACAAGCACCACTACAACCACGACCACAACGGGGTTCGATTTTTGTAGGTGTTTGGAAATTGATGCGGGAACCGCGAATGCGACAGCGAACTTCTGCGCCAACGCGACGACCAGTAGTACCTCCCCCTCGGCGGTAAGCGCGTCGTCGCCTCTCACCTGTTTCAATTGCACTGACGGTAGCTCGTCGGAGAGTTTCGTTTGCGTCCACAACGAGACACTATCTCCCGATAGCGCAGGAGCACCCTCGAGTGCAGCTTTTTCCCCACAAACAACGACCTCAGCCGCCACCACAGCTGCAAGCAGTGGAGGAAGCACACCGGGCTTTACCACTTGGACCACCACAACCACACCTTTCTTCGACCCACTAGTCCGTGACGACGGCGCGTGTATGAAATACGGAAATTCGTTTCGCCAAGACATCCGCACAGCCTCCGAGTCCTGTTGTGCCTGCGGGGGCGGGCAAATTCCGGAACAGAACCAATTTTACGAAGAACACTACAAACAAGCCGCGCTGAAAATCTACCTCCCTCTCTTCCTGAAAGAACCCGCATCGCAATCCCTTCTCACGCAATACAAATTTACCGTCTCCTGGAACCACCGGGAGCCGCAGGGCTTCCAGCCAACCAGGTTCGCGGCGCAATTGACCGATGAATATGATGAAAATCCGAGTTTTGTGTACACAACGGGCGCGTTCGTGTACCAGAAGTATGATGCGACTTTACTCAAATCGGTGACCGCGGTGGTGATGAATCAGGGAATGAGTCAATCTTTTTCCGGGTTGACGGTCGCGAACCCCAAACGCTTTACTTCTATGAAGGACAACTTTTTCTACTTGCGACTGACTTTACCGACAAATTTAGTCCCGAGTTCGAACGTGACGCTTGTTTTACCCGAAACGCCGGTGTTGAGCAGCGGTGGTAGTACGACAGGTGGTGCTGGAACTACCTCGTTGAAGAAAAACTTCTACACCTGCAAAAACGTGTACCGTGTGGCGGAAGATTTCCCTTTACTCAATTTCACCAGACCGACCACTACCACCACAACGACCAGCCTGCTCCCAAGGGAAACCACTACCACCACGACAACCACAGTGCCGTTGGTCTCCAGTACTAGCTCTGCATCAGACTTCGAATTGAACCGGAGGTACCCGAGTTACAACGGGTTTTTCCGCGGGGGTATCAAATGCAAAAATGTCTGGATCTGGGAGGATGGAACTTGTGATGGTGCATTTGGAATCCAAAACAGTTTGTATTGCTTGAGTAGCAAAGGAAGAAGTGTGATCTTTGCTACGCGGAGAGGGCATTTGTCATGCGGGATAGGCATTAAGAACCCCTCAAAAGATCTGTGATGCTACGGCATGCATCACAGACATCGTGGCTCGTGCAAAACTCTCAGAATCTTCCAGACCCAGACACCTTTACGGTTGATAGGGGGATATCCCACGGTCAATTTTGACTACAATGTAAACAACAACTGGGACTTTTCTGCCGGTGACAACCGGTGCGTGTTTCAACTGGATACCGACGCGCGATTTTACCAGTCGCAGCGGTTTTGGTTCTTGGTATCGGTGGACAATCCGGATTACCCCTTGTCCATTTACGACGTGGAAAACGAGTGGAAGTGGGAGTATTCCGTTGTAGATGAAGTAGATGGCGGCACAAGCACTACTGGGACAGGAGCAGCGGGGGCATCGTCACAAGTTCTAAAAACCTCCGACGGGCAGTTCCTTTTGAATCCAACAACCGGTTCGTTCACCCTCGCCCCAACAGACACAACAACAACTGCTGGAGCCACGACCACAAGGATTGCGAAAACCGGCCGGGAAAAAGCAGTGGAATTTCTCATGCAGAAATGCTACCCAAATGACGCAACTTTAACCGCAAATGATGAGTACAACGTGATCCTCGACCAAGCACAGACCCTAGGCGCGAACTACTACGCGCCACCTTTAGTTTCGGAGAGAACGACGTTTCAGCTCTTTGTCCACCCGTTTGCGCCGCGGTTGGAGCACCGCAACAGCTTTCCGTTGTTTCCCAGTAGGAGAGTGTCGTCGGCTCCTGCGGGGAGTGGTGGTGGAGGTACGGTTGCCGGTCCTGTGCAGGAGCAATTCCCGATCGAGCTCCCACGCACGTTTCAATGGGTGAAAAATGAACGTTTTGGAATTTTCGAGTGGCAATTATTGCCGGATACCGAGAATTACACGACAAAGTTCACGGTTTTGGGCATGATTGTGCAGCACGGGGTGACAACAACAACGTCCGCTGAGGAAAACACAAACAGTCAAAACACGTTCCATTTACCAAAAACTTTAATCCAACCGCTCTCCTTCACTTTCGCCGACTCGTTTCCAAAATCCATCGCCATGACGATTGGGGACAGGAATAGTTTAAAGGAAACCATTTTCCAAATCTTCTTCGCCATAGAACGACCAACAAGTGAATCACCCGGCGTGGAGATCGACTTTCCCATTGGGTTCGGGATTGAGCAGGAGTGTTGGGCGTTTAATTTGCCGGATGAGAACGTCTATGCATTGCAAAAGTGTCTGGGTCGTCTGGAAGGATGCAACTTGTAATGCTAATTCTGGATCGTGCAAAAATCTGTGTTGCATGAATGCCAAAAGTTGTGCACTTTTGACCAAGTTGGGAGGAGGTTTCTCATGCAGGATAGGCATGATAGGTGAGGTCTCACAGAATCTGTCATGCTAGGTCCTGCATTCCAGACGACATGGATCATGGAAAATCTGCATGACAAGTCTTGGAATCTTCCAGACCCAGACACTTTTGCATTTGATAACGTCAGGGAAAAGTGGTACAAACCGTTTGACAGCAGTACAGCAACCACATCAGCTATCAAACAAAAAAAGTTCGTCACGATCAACTATGCGCATTTCTGCAATACAAAACTTTCTGTCATGCGTAAAAATGCGTCACAGCCAAACTTCATAATCATAAGGGATATCCCTAGTGTTTCCGCAATACAAAGAAAAGCTGTGATGCTAAGAAAATAGATTTGTAATGCAAAACCTGCAAGGTAGTGACAAACTTTTTTATTTTTCTCTCCATATCAACGAGCAGCTCTAGTTCAAGCGTTTCGGTTTCCTCTACTTCCAGCAACACAGATTCATTCGAGTCCGATGAAGCGGCTTTCGGGGTTGGGAAGATTGACTCCTGTGTATCAAAAGGAAACTCCCCCCTCCCCATATCGAAACGAAGTTTCTGATGCAGGATTTGCGTACACAAATCAGATTTGTCTTGCTAGAGAGGACGGCAGGCCTATGCTGAGCCTGAGGAGGGAGCTTTTGGGCTAGGCACTGAGCATGGCAAACGTCTAGTCTGTAGGGCCAACAGCATCACAAACCGCCTGCAGAATGCGGCGGAGCCGGTGGGGTTGCGTTCTTGCAAGACAGAGACGATTTGTGGTCACAAATCAGCATTACAAATTTCTTGAGACGTCGCACCTTCTCGATATGGGGAGGGGAAATTTTTCCTTACGATACTGTGCTGGTAGCTACAGTGAGGACTTGGTGAAGTTTGTCGGGAGCAACAGCGATACTACAGGGGAGCAGCTGTCTTCCTACAGCTTCAACCGCGCGACTTTGAAACTGGCGGAGAAATTGTCCCCGGGGATCATTTACGGGTTTGAGTTGGTAGTGAAACCGGTGGAGAAGGGGGATTATGAGAGGTTGTACGGAGGAGGTGGTGCTGGTGGTGGAGCAGCGTCATCGTCTACGGCTAGTACTGTTTTTACGACCACTTCTGCTCCTGTATCGTCCGCGACGGGCTCAAGTAGTACAACAACCGCCGCCAAGTGGGAATTCAAACTCCGAACCTTAAACAAACACTCCGAGCCGATGGACGAAACCCTCTACAACATCCCCTGGTCGGTCGACGGGATTTACCCGAGTCACATTGATCCGGCAACTAATTCCTACACTTTAACCGACTTCTTCACCCAACCTTACCAAATCCACGAGTTTGAGAATGTCACTTCCTATCCAGTGCAAAGACATCGCACTCGTAGTAATTGCAATTATGCATTACAAATCTCAACTCCAAGGTCAAACAGCATAACAACTTCCATTTGCCATGCTGAGGTAACTTGTAATGCAGTTACTACTAGTACGGTGCTTTTGCAATCCATGTCTCCCCTTCTACCACAATCCCTGTAACGGAAAGAGAAAACATTCCAGAAAATTTCCTCCCGCAGATCTATTTCCACGACCCCAGACCCTCGTTTTTGTATCAAATGCAAAATGTCTGGGTCTGGAAGAGTGGAACTTGTAATGCTGTCTGCGGATTCTAAAAATATCTGTGTTGCGTGCGCAGTAAGACGAGTCAGCTCGTCTTGGCACGCGGAGAGGGCAATTGTCATGCGTAATTAGCATCAAGAAGCTCTCGAAAAATCTGTGATGCTAGCACCAGCATCACAGACCTGATGGGTCCTGAAAAATGTGCATGACAAGCCCCGACTCTTCCAGACATCCAGGGATGTTTGCAGTGCATATTTTGACCAACAGCCCCACTTTGGTGGTAATCTCGAATTTGAAGCTGTTTGGTTATGGCGTTCTCAACTGTAGTTACGTTCTCCACTCCTACATGAGTTTGTGATGCAAGAACGGCAAACGTGATATGGGGGATCTTGTGCGTCTTGCATGACAGACTTGGCACAGTAGATTCCCAGCCCGTTTGATGACCCTTCAAGAATTTGTCATGCGAAGCAGCTTGGTCGTGTCAATTCTGATAGCAATTTTGCATGGCAAGTTCATGTAACAGCTGAGAGTGTAACATTTGAGAATCCCATATTGGGAGGGAGAAGATTTTGAAAATCACCGCCCCGTACGGCTTCGAGTGGGATTGGGATGGTATATGCAAGAAAAAAAGTGTGTAAGTGTAAATCTGTGATGCAGAAAATGCAGAACTGTTACACTGACTTGTCATGCCGGACAGCCACGAAGTCCTCTTTTCAACATATGTGTTTTCCCTTACAAGCCACGCATGACAGGTTTTCGCTGTCATGTAAAGCAAATTTGTGATGCTGTTAGCCAAAGAAAGTTACACTTACACAGTTTCTTTCCCTGGATATGGTAGCAAAATAAGCGACTATTGGGGCCCGTATTGGCCGACGCAGGGGAGTTACCGGCTCTGGATTGATAGTACTCTAAAAGAAGAGTTCCGAACGAATTTTACTAGCAGCTACTTGACAGAGGTGAGCAGTGCTGGAGAGAATTTGTCGATGCAGAGACTAGTGGAGAAGAAGTACGATTTAGATTGGGCCGGACTTTCGTCATCTTCTTCGAGCATGACAAGTTCATCTTGCGGAGAGCCGATGCGACCCACACCATCAACAGGAACTACAAGCAGTCAGCACTTTACCCCGCAGAAAAACGTGCTGCAGTGGAACAAAACTTGCGACTTCAACTATTGTGAGGAAAAATGTCCCCACCCCACAGTTGTCATGCAATTCTGCATGCCAAAAAAGTTTCTCATGCGGAGCTCAATGAGAAGCGTTTTCTATTCGCGTTTTGGAATTTATGATGCTAGAATCAGCGTGCTATGCTAGATCTGTGATGCTTCTGAACTAGCTAAACAGGATTACACTACCCGGACAAACCTGTCATGCCAAACAACCAAAGCTGGTCGATTTGTCTAGCACATTTCCCATCTTGACTCTGGTGTGGGGATGTTTTTCATCAGGATATCAACGGGGACTTCCTCTACGGTTTTCGGTCCTGGATCTACATCCCTTTGCAGCCGCCCATCACGAGCGGGAATTTCTGGTTGGTACAGCTACTAAAACCGAAGACTTTCGCAGGTGGTTCTGGGAGCGTGGTCGGGGTTGGTGGAAGTGTGGGTCACGGAACCTTTGCCTACCGATTTCCACCGCCGCCGGTGGGGCAGATAGAGGCAGGAGGTATAGCAACGGGTCGCGCTACTGCAGAAGTTGCGGCGAATGGAGACACAGCTACAACTACTTCTGTTGCGTCGTCAGCTACAACAGGTCAACAGCAGCAACAGCAACCGAGGCAATCCCTCTCCCACTTCCACCCGCAGATCGCGGCGATTTCCAATGTGAAAATCCAACTTTCCCCCGCCACCCCCGGCGCTCTGGCGGACTTGCAGTTTGAGTTCAAATTATCCAGAAACCTACCGGTGAATGGGTCGATTGAATTTCTGTCCCCCTTCAAATTCGAATATTTGATGGAGTACCGGAAGGATTTGAATCGTTCTACGATTCTCAAAACGTATCCACAGGAACAAATTTGCCGTACATGATGTTCGAAGTTCAAATGCTGTTTCGGCATGACAATAAAGCTGTGGCTCAATCCTATTCAGCATTGCACGTTTGGAGTGGTTCTTCTATGGGAGTAAAATTTGTGATGCATTTTGTACGTCGTGTGTGGGAAATTTGTATTGCATAAAACGGAATACGAGTACATGCCGAGCTGCATTCTGGAAGATTTGTCGAGCACGAAACAATCGATTTCGACCATAACGGAACAACTGGCGCAGGAGATTTCACTGCAGGAAGGGGAAGTGTCCGCATTGGATGACGATCGAGTGTTACTCTTTCGCACGAGAAGCACCATGCCGTATGCGCGATATGACCGGAGTTGGAATTTACTACCAGTTGATTATATGCACTGCAAAAGGAAAAGTATCGTACTCGTAGTATTGCAATACAAATTAGCGCAGCATGACAAATGGAATTTGTCATGCTGATGTAGCTTGAACAAGAAATTTGTAATGCATAAATGCAATTCGTACGCTACGAGTGCGATACTTTTGCACAGGATAGATTACACCTGTAAAGTGATTTTTTTCATCAACGCCGATGCAGAAGTGAACGACGCGCGAGTGCAGATCATGAGTAAAATATCTCAAGAAAAAGCTTTTCAGTGTGAACTTGTGATGCATAGAATGGAGCACAGAACGATTTGTCTTGCTACACCTGCAAGACATTGGATTTTTAGGAGTGTTTTCCCTTTGGAAGTGCGCATGGCAAATTTTCTGTGTCATGTGTAACAAACTTGTGATGCAGATCTTGCAAAGCCATCACAGTGAAACAGTTCTTCCTTTTTCGTGGGATATAAAACGGAGAAATTCGTCGCTGGGAAATATTCCTTCGCGTTGAAAGTTCGGAACCCGAATTTTTCGGTTGGAGGGGGTGGTGGTGGTTCTTTCAGCTCCAGTGCTGGTGGGGTATCGTCGCTGATCGACCTGGAAACAACTTCGTCAAGCACAGCAGGAGGTGGAACAGCAACTACCAATCCTAACGCGAACAAAAACCCCTGGGATCTCGACTTTCAGCCCCCCGTTTCGCGTTCCGGAGAGCTCCCGTCTAGATCCGGCTCGAATCCGAGAATCACCACTGCGACCTACCTCGACGACAACGGGTTTACACGACAAAATCGTTGCGGGTACAAGTACTGTTTCGAACTGATCACTATGTACAGGGATGCGGTGTTCATATGCAATGCAAAAGCATCGTACTAGTATGAATCGCATGACAAATTCCATCAGCATGAAAAATGGAATTTGTAATGCGGATTTAGGTTAAGAGGGAGATCTGTAATGCATGACTGCGATTACTACGAACGAGTGCGATACTTTTGCACAGGATAGGTCATGCGCGACAACAAGATGCTGGAGTTTGACGACAGTTTGCACGAGACCACGTATCAACCGCAAAAATGTCTGGGTCTGGAAGTAGATTGCCAGGTTTGTCATGCATATTTTGAATGACCCATGATGTCTGTGATGCCTGTTCTAGCATGACAGATTTTCAGAGTGCTTTGTGATGCCTCAAACGCATGAGAAATTATGCCCTCTCCACGTAGAACAAAGACAAACTGGAGTCCTCTTCTTGCTGGTCATGCAATACAAAACTTTTCAGAATCCAGAGACAGCATCACAAGTTTAGAATGTTCCGGACCCAGACATTTTTGCATTTGATACCACGCCGCATTTCCCGATGCTGCTGCCGAATTTGGTGACGAATTTCCCGGATTTGAAGAAGTTTTATTCACATGTTTTCTACAAGGAACTAGAAAATGCTGATGGTGGTGATTCCGATTCGAGCACGACTCAATTGACCCGCGCGCAAATCGAGTATCCTGTGTAAAAACGTATCCACCCCAGAGTTGTCATGTAGATTTGCGATTGCAGGAACATTTGTAATGCGCAGCGCTACGAGAGGCACTTGGACTTCCAATCGTGTCTTGGAATCTGTAATGCTGTAAACAGGATGAGCAGATGGATTTGTGATGCGGTTGTCCTTGCTAACATGCACTACACTACGGACTCCAACTTGTCATGCGTGGCGTCCAAAACTTCTGGATTTGTGTTGCTAAGTTCCCAACTTGACTCTGGTGTGGGGACGTTTTTACATATGATATCGAGCTCGCGGCTTTCTACAACGTCCCGCCGCCACCGACAACCCTTAGCAGATCGCACTACGTCTCCTACTATGCATTGCAAATATGTTGTCTGGGTCTGGAACGCTGCAACTTGTCATGCTGAGTCTGGACCGTGCAAAAATCTGTGCTGCAGGATGTGCACTAAGAGTTGTCCACTTGTGACCAACACGAGGGCGCGTTTCTGATGCAGAATAGGCATGATAGTGATCTCACAGAATCTGTCATGCTAGGGCCTACATTTCAGACCTCTTTGGTCATGGAAAACCTGCATGACAGGTCCTGCCCTGTTCCAGACCCAGGTATTTGTGCATTGCATACCTACAAGTACGACGAGAGGACGAGGGTATCGACGTTTTACCCACCGTTCTCGTTAGATCGAGAACATTACTTGATTGACAAACCAACCGACAAAGCGGTCAACTGGCTATCGCAAGAAAAAACTGCTTCACTGTAAACTTGTGATGCATAGAATGGACGAACACAGACCCATTTGTCTTGCTACACACGCAAGACATTTCGTTTTTAGCTCTGTTTTCCCTGCTTAGGAACCTCGCATGGCAAGTTTTCTTTTTCATGTGTAACGAACTTGTGATGCCAAATTGGCAAGATCCGTACAGTGAAACACTTTTTTCTCACGATACTGGCTATCGCAGGAAAAAACTGTTTCACTGTGATGGCTTTGCAAGATCTGCATCACAAGTTTGTTACACATGACACAGAAAATTTGCCATGCGCACTCCCCAAGGGAAAACACTCTTAAAAATCCAATGTCTTGCATGTGTAGCAAGACAAATAGTTTTGTGTTCCATTCCATGCATCACAAGTTCACAGTGAAACACTTTTTTCTCACGATACTGGCTCCACGAGATGTACTATTCCGTGAAAGCGTATGGATGTGTCAGAACCGAAATTGACAAAATCCAAATATTTTGTGATGCGCAAAATGTAAGTCACTGATGGCCTGTATTGCGGAGCAGGCAAATGAGACCGATTGCAAGCCTGTTTAGGGGTATGCAATCAGCTGCCAGAGTAGCATGACAGGAGCAGTCTTCTTTATTGCCTAAACAGTGTGACAGACTGGATTTGGGTGCTCCCCAAATTTGTCATGCGCCACTTGGAAACTGAGGCTCCAAGTGACATCCATTTTGTGCATCACAAATTTTTCGATTTTGTCAATTTCGATTCTGACACTTCCATAAAGCGCCGTCCACCAAAGTGGACAAGATGCCAAAAGCGTTTTTCTACGAACCGCGAAGCTTTTCTGAAAGACGGATTTTGAATCGAGACGATCGGCCGGGGTTTTCGCAGGATTTGGTCCTGATCTTCCAACTGGAGGGCTGGAAGGTGTGGCGGGTGGACTGGGACTTGGTTCTGGAGATCAATGACACGCTGAATGACAGCATGAAATTAACCTTTCCGGAAGACGTGTACAATGCGACGCTCTGTCCGAATTATGAACTGCAAACGTATCGTACTCGTATTCGTATAAATGCATTACAATTTTCCTAAGCATGAGAAAGGAAGTTTGTAATGCTAATGCGAGTACGATGCTTTTGCAGAGAATACGAATTGCGTCGGCGTGCAGACGGTGTACGATGTGAATCACGAATATCCACAGTAAATTTCGCGTACACGACGTACAAATGCAGTCTGTGCATGACAAAACTGGGCTTCGATCCGAGTTTACCATGACAAGTGTTACACTTCAAATTGGTCGAATTTGTGATGCATCTTGTACATCATGTACGGGAAATTTGTATTGCATAACGAATTATTGGCGAACATGACAGAAAAGGAGTGGTATTTCGACGTGGAGTCACCAGGTGAAATAAATTCTGGCTCGCTAAATTCAGAACTGATTATCACCGCGCCGATCGGGTTTGAGTTTCCGACGAGTTGTGAAATCGGGGTGGATCTGGAAAGCGAGATTTTAGTGTACAAGGATCCGAGTTTTGATGTGACGGCGCAGGCAATTGCCGATGGGGATGCGGATGATGTGAGTGAGGTTTTTGATCCAGATTCCCATCCGGTGTTTGGTACGAATAAACATGTGCGGCAGGAGGATGCGATCACGGCGTTTGATGCGGTTTTTGGGTGGGTAGACGAGCCCCCGTTGGGAAATAACACTGGTAGTACAGCCATTGGAGGAGCTGGCGAAATTTTTGATATCACGGTGAACGACAGTACAAGCAACGTAACAGCGGCCAACGAAACTACCGAGAATCTTACAACAAACGGTACGACAGCCGACGAATCGCCAGCAGTTTCGAAAACAAGTCTACTTTATTCCACGAAGCAGATCCTCCTCCCCCTCGGCGCGGCAAATTCCTCCGATGTGAAGCTGTACGGAAAAACGCAAACTGTTGCTGGAAGAAAAACAACCTCCGACTTCACCTGCCGAGGGTCGCAGAACGTGCTGAAAATAACCTTCACACCCTCTGGGACAACGACTGTGGTCAATAACAAACGGCTGAGATTAATTCCCGGGAGGAACTACGCAATCAGGTTTCCGGTGAAGAAGAACCCATCAATGTATCGACAGAAAATTTCCCGTACATATACAAATGCGGTCTCCGCGTGACAAAACTTGGCTGCGATCCTAGTTTAGCATGACAAGTTTTACGTCCCAAATAGGTGCCATTTGTGATGCATCTTGTACATGTACGGGAAATTTGTATTGCATAGAATGGCTACAGGGACTACAACTACAAATCCGCAAAACAATTTCTGGCACTTGACGTTTGTGAACCAGGAGGCGTTTGTACCCGGGTTTCAACTCGACACGTTTACGCCGATCAGCATCACGCCCATTTCCCAGGCGATGGCGCAGTTTTCCTCGACGAGTTCTGGGACTTCTGACCAATTTACCCCGGTGAATATCCAGTTTTCAGTGCGAACCAGCCTTCCCAGTCAGAGAGAATCGGAGTTTTCCTACGGAAAATTGCTGGTCACAGCGCCCAACGGGTTTGTGTTTGAGCACTCGGCCTTGTCGGAGAACATTTTTTCCGCGAAATTCCCGTGCAGACTCGCGATGCAGGCTGTGGGCGATTGTTTGAAGTGCGGCATGCCATTCGCGGTGGAGACCTATCAGGGCGGCGGAGCAGGAGCACAGTCTACTTCGAGAAGTAGCGGCTCAACAGGACTGTTATCGTCCATGTCGGTTTCTCAAGTCCTGGGCGCTTCTACGGAAAACAGCAATACAAATAACCCAACCTTCTATCACAAGTGCCGCACGACTTCAAATCAGCCGAACGAAGCGTCGATCCTCTTGACCGGTGAGCAGGGGCTGCACACTGTGTATGCATTGCAAAAGTATCGTACTTGTGGTAATGGCAGTGATGCATTACAATTTTTTTTCCTAAGGTAGATCCGCATGACAAATTTTTATTTCTCATGCTGAGCAGGAAATTCAAATTTGTAATGCATTTATACGAGTGCGTGTGCTGTGCGATACTTTTGCAGTGCATACTGCAGCTACTGTGACGAAGGCGTATGAGTTACTGAACGACCCTTCTTATCAAATGCAAAAATGTCTGGGTCTGGAAACTTGTAATGCTCAAAGTGAATGATAGACGCACTGCAATACGCAACTACGCATGACAAATTTTTTGGCTGCCATGTCTTACGTATTCCGCATGGCAAACTGCGTTTCTGCATGACAGGTAAGAGGGCTTTTTCCTGCCTACGCAACACAGATTCTCGAGTCATGCCAGACAAGCATGACAAACCTGGCAAGCTTCCAGACCCAGACATTTTTACATTCGATACTTCTAGTTCTCCGACCTACAGTCTGACGCTTTTTGTCCATATGGAAGCGTCAGGATTGAAATCGACAAAGTGAAAGTTGAAATAATCTGTGATGCATAAAATGCAAGGCACGAGGTGACTGTCTTGCAGGGATTGCATGCGAGGCCGATTGTGAGCCTGTTTCGGGTTTGGGATAGAGCTGCTGAAGTAGCATGACAAAGGATGCCTTCTTTCGCTAAACAGCATGACAAACTGGATTATGATGCCGTCGAAATTTGTCATGCGCCGCTTGGAAATTGGGCTTCCAACTGGTATCGGTTTTATGCATCACAAATTTTTCAACTTTGTCAATTTCAATCCTGACAGTTCCATAGTCCAAAACCCGAGGATATTGCTTCTGAAAAAATCCACCTGGGTGATCCAGTCTTTTATCCGGGATAGGAAAAGGTCGGAAATAAAACGATACTCGGTGTTCCAGCCCTTTGATTACTACCTCTTCCCCGGGTACGAGATCCGCGACCCCGCACCGGTTTTTTCCGTGGAGGAACCCAGTAACAAGCAGGGCGCGGTTCTCCAGTGGAAGAGCCATAAAGTGGAGTTTCTGTTCAAGGATTTCGTGAAAAATCTGGACAATGTGGAGCTGACACTACCTATTGGGTACAGTGTGGAGAATAAAACGACAATCAGTGGAGGAGAAGTCTTATCTTCCTGCTACGGGTTTGAATTTGATCCGTTTGTGATGCAGGTGCCGAATGCGAGTTCGCACTATACGGAAAAATTCAACCTGACGATGCAGGATTTGTTTTGGCTGCGGGTCGTGCGGAGGAGGATGATGGAGAACGATACACTGCACGGAACAACCGATAGAGCTGTTTTCTCTGTGACCACTTCGAAATGGAAGATTCCAGTCGTGAACGACAGTGAGGCAGTTTTGTTACCAGCAAATAATTTCCTCGAAAGCGTCGAAGAGGCTTTGAATACGACTACGAGTGCGGAAGCAACCACGGCGAGCAGTAGCGGTAGTACTTCTTTTAGCACGACTGGTTCCAGTTCTAATACAGATTCTGCATCACAAGATCCGCATCACGTCCCCATTAACAACCGCGATTTATTCAACACGGTAATTTTCGAAGGAAAGGGGTTCCGGGTTAACACAACGTCGACGGACTTCTGCTTCGTGGCGGATGGTAGTGCTGGAACAACAAGTCCACAACAGCAACTACCACAACACGAACACACGCTCCCGATCCTTCTCGACCAGGTGAAACTATTGAAGACCTGGGAGCCGTTTCCACCGGGGCTGTACGCCATTGACACACAGAGATCCGCTTGGAATACCACGATTGCGGTTGGTGGGGGCATGAGCACTTCTAGCACAACAGGAGCTGGTGCATATGTTGATCAGCACAGCCAGAACCACATGTTGACCTTCCCCACCCGCCACGCCATCCCCTTCAACGTTTTAAACGACGACGCAAACTACGCAAAATTGAGCTACCGACCGCCTTCGATTACCAACGATTTGCAGTGGGAATTGTACAAAAGGAGCAACTTGAACAAGAGATCGCTGCTATCCTGTGCAAAAACGTCCCCACCCCATACTAGTCAGTGGCCACATAGCATATGCGTTTCTCTTCTTGTCGTAGTTCGTTCTCCTCTCGATTCCTTTCTGAAAATTCGAAATTTCTCTGTGCTTTAAATTTGGCTTTTTCCAGTACATAAACACCCCATACTAGTCAAGTTGGCAAATCTGCAACACAAATCTCCAAGTTTTGGGAGTTTATCCATGGCAAGCTTATCCTCGTAGTGTAATCCTGTTTACTTACCTGGTTCAGCAGCATGAGAGATCTAGCACATCAAGCCAATTCTAGCATCACAAATTCGACGACGACACGAAAAAGAACGCTTCTCGTGGGGCTCCGCATTAGAAGCATTTTCAGCATGCAGATCTGCATGACAGCTATGGGGTCGTGGGGACTTTTTTCCTCAGGATCCCTCCATCTGGAATTACTGTACGGGACGGAATATTACGTGGATTTTTTGAACGAATTGAGGAGGAACGAAACCAATTTACTTCTAACCGCGCAGGCAATTCAACAGCAGGAAGGAGGTAATATCGCTGGTAGTACAACTACTGTCAAAGCGCCGTTTTCTGTCAACGTCTCATCCCCGTTCATCCGTGTGCCAAAAATCCCGGCAATGGGCATGAATTCCGGGGGGAGCTGGCGGATCCCGGGGAAAAAGGATTTGGAACTCAATTCGACTTGCTCGGCTCAGGGGGCGAACGAAATCGATTTGTTGGTCAAGTTTCTCTCCAATGTGTCGATGTCGGCTAATTACGTGTACGAACAACGTACCGCGACAACGACCACCACTACCACCGCGAGGGTTTTTATCTTTCCTTCGATACTGCTAGGATTAAATCAGGAGGAGACGGAGGAGGAAAAATTGGCGAAAGAATTGGCAAAATTGGAAGAAGAATCCCTGCCGAAATTGTGGAAGGGGTTTGTGGAAAGTGCGGAGAATCACGACAGTATTCAGAGGAAATCGGACTTCAACATTTCCAAATTCCTCCAACCCTCATCCCACGTCACCTCCGACGTGTTTTGGCTTCACTCGGAAAATTTCTGGAGCGCGGCTTTACTGGATGGAGACGTTGTGGGTGGCGTGGGCGGGGGGAACACAAAGACTTCTCTGAGTAGCAGCACAATAGACAGCACAACGTCGACCCGAAAGTACTGTGCGTTGTTACAGCTTCCGACGAAGTTCGACCGGGTGAAGTATCAAATGTAAAAGTGTCTGGGTCTGGAAGGGTTGGAACTTGTGATGCAAACTCTGGAACACACAAAAATTTGTGTTGCATGAGCGCCAAAAGCTGTCCATTTCTTGGCACGCAAGTAAGTAGGAAGTTTCTCATGCGGGACAGGCATTATGAGGCGTGCTCAAAACCTGTGATGCTTTTGCCTGCATCAGACGCCACTTGCGTGATCCGAAATATGCATGACAAATCTCAGAATCTTCCAGACCCAGACATTTTTACATTTGATATGAAGATCAAGGATTTGACAGCTACTATGGTGGCGAATTTGCAGGAAACGAGGCAAATTGCGGCGGAGTTGTTTTTATGCATTGCAAAAGCATCGCACGGCCTAGTATGAATTGCATTACAAGTTTCCTCAGCATGATGCGAAATCGAATTTGTAATGCTGATTGAGCTTTAGGAAAAAGATATAAGATTTGTGATGCATAACTGCAATTACTACGAGTGCGATGCCTTTGATGCACTGGATAGCTTTACTTAAGACGGAAGGTCTTGATCGAACAGTACTACGTTGAGGAGTTTTTCCTGGGATTCCGTGACTTTATCCAAGAAAAAAAGTGTGTAAGTGTAACTCTGTCATGCAGAACATGCAACAGAGTTACACCTGTCATGCCAGACAAGCATGAGGTGCTCTTTTCATTTGTGGTTTCCCTTACAAACCACGCATGAGAGGCTTTCTCTGTCATGCAGAACAAATTTGTGATGCTGTTCCTCCGAGAAAGTTACACTTACACACTTTTTTTCCTGGATAGACGTGAATGGGCAGTTAGGCGGGAGTTGCGGAACAGGCACGACGAGCGATGGGTTGCTAGCCAAGATCGAAAGCATTCAGGCATTCGTGCAAGCGAGGAACGAAAAGCGGGGCATCTATCCCAGTAGTACAGCCGCTTCTTCAAGTAGCTCGACCTCGAGCGGTGGTGTCTCCAACAATCAGGGAAGTGACGCCGACCACAACACGCATTTCGAGCACCGCTATTTTCTCGAGCAGAGAGCGGAGGTTTTGGAACAAAAATTGCAGGAGGCAGAAATTTACAAGCAAACGGTGCGAGATCTACACGGAATATCAACAAGCAGTGGGGATGCTTCATCTTCTATCAGAGGTGAAGATGTTGAGAAAAAGCTCGTCGCGGTTGACACGCTACCGCTTCTTAACGCGACTACCCTGTTGACAAGTGCTGCGACATCAACGGAAAGTCAACCGCCCTCATCTCAACAAGAAGAACAGGCGCAGAGTCATTTCAACTTCACCGCCTTCCACCTGGATCTCCAGCGCGGCAACACGGAATTCTACGCGAACTTGATGCAACTGAAACCCTCCTGCAACACGACCTACCACCGGGAAATCTACCTTCCGGATGTGAGTGAGATTTTTTTCCAAACAGATGCGATTTTAACAGATTGGGAGACGTATAAACTACAGGGTGGCACAACTAGTAGTAGTGGTGGCACTGGCACGACGATCTCTGCGGCCGCGCTTGCTGCAGGAGAAAAACAAACCCCAGAAGTCGTCGATCTCTTGCAGAAAGTGTATGGATCTGTCAGGTCTGAAATCGTCAAAGTCGAAGTGATTTGCCATGCATAAAATGCAAGGCGTGAATTGCCTCTCTTGCAGGGATGGCAAGTGAGGCAGATTGTCAGCCCGTTTGGGGTCTGCGATAGAGCTGCTAAAAGTAGCATGACAAAAGACGCCTTTTATGCCCAAACAGCATGACAAATAGGATTCCGGCGCTCCGAAACTTTGTCATGCGCCGCTTGAAAATTGGGCTTCCAACTGGTATCCATTTTATGCATGACAAATCATTTCAACTTTGTCGATTTCAAACCTGACGCTTCCATAAAGTGTGCCGGAATGTCACGAAGCCTGCAGGATCGGCTACTTCTTCTTCCAGTGGTGTTGCTACTTCTTCTGGAGCAGCACTGACCAGCGAGGACCATTATGTTCTCCACCGTGCCTGCACTCACACGGCGGAAATTATAGAGATTGCCGCGGCGGGGAACGACACAACTTCTAACAGTGGTAGCGGAGCAGGCGGTACAGCTGCCTCCTTGAATGCTGGTTTGAGCACTTGTGAAAAGAGATTCTTTTTTCAGAACAGTGGAGAGCGTGGAGGTCCACCAGGAGGCGCAGGAGATGCGTCGGGGGCCACAACAGCTGCAGTAGATGTTGACACAACGCTCTACCAGCCCTGGGAAGGTAACGAAACTGGGACAGACAAAACTTTTTACCACCGGCTGGATTACGGCTCCCAGGGTGGAACATCAAGACCTGCAGGGGGCGACAGCTCGGCAGATGAACCAAGTGTAAAAAGCAACGGCTTGAACCTCGTACCAGTAGAGGAGCTAAGTTCTTTTCCTTACGCTGCCGCAATACAAGCGTCGTCAACGGGTGGAGGTGGTTCTTCTACTTCACTGGAACAGCCCAGCAACACTATCGTCGATCCTTCCACGACCTCCACACTAGAGAGCATCCAAGCAGCCCATTTGAGCGAAATGGCGACCCACTGGGTCGCGAGCTCGAAACTGCGCAGTTCGTCCGGGGCGGTTGTCCCACAAACCACCGCGCTGCCGATAGTACAGAAGATCCCTGTTGCTAGCTCATCTAGCACGACCAGCATTACAGGACCTGGCTCTGGTAGCATTTCAGCAACACAAACTCCTCGTCCGCTGAAGTTTTTCGAACTCCGCCTCCCGTTCCTTTTCAACGTGACATTTTCTGCCCAGGAAATGGAATTTATCCTCTGCAAAAGTATCGTACTCGTATAAATGCAAGTCCTGCATTACAAATCTTTTTCTTTTTAAGGTAAGTCAGCATTACAGATTTCATTTCTCATGCTGAGGAAATTTGTAATGCATTTATACGAGTACGATACTTTTGCAGTTTATAAAATTTCAGGAATTGCGAAACTTCTACGTGCGGGAATACCCGGTGTGTAAAAACAACCAGCTCTCCTGGCCCGCGGTGTCGAAATTACACCCGAGGTTGCTGGCAATGACAACGACTTCTGGTTTACCAAACCCGTTGTACGAGAAGAACTTTCAGTGGAGTTTTTACATAAGATTCCAAAACGCCGCGGCGAAGCTGTCCGAGCATGAGAATTTCTGGTTTGTGAAACATTACCGACCTTTGGAGACGACGTTGAAGAAATTCGGTTCCACAGTCACGGAATTACAAGACCTAATCGCCCCACCAACGACGATGGTCTCGTCCGGTAGTGGTCAAGTGCAGCAGCTCACCCCGGCGGCAGCACAAAGTTTTACTGCGAATCAGCTATCGACGTACTACACGCGATTGTCAGAGCGAGCGTTTCAATCGTGGATCATCCAGTCGCAACTCTACGCGATCTATGCATTGCAAATATGTCTGCGTCTGGGTCTGGAAAGAGGAGAACTTGTGTTGCATGTGTTGCATTCCTGAAAAATCTGTATTGCATATTAGCCACCAAACGCACAAGGACTCTTTTGTGATGCAAAAACGCAGCTTGTCATGCGTGCTACGCATCAGAAGGCACCAAGTACTTAAACTTCTCATGCAGCTTTGCTGCACTTGAAGGCACCAGACTTATCCATGCTTTAGCATCACAAGTTCCAGACTCAGACACATTTGCACTTGATACGATCCGAGTGGAATTCACCTCCGGGACCTTTGACAACGCAACGTTAGAGATGGAGTTCATGTCCAGGAGTACGTCAGATGAACTCCGGTGGGTCGCGCGATATGATCCCGTGGAAAAGCTAGCGTACTCGTACTGGCAGTTGTAATCATGCAACACAAATCTCGTTCCTATGGTAGATTTCAGCACGACAAACCCAATATTTCATGCTGTGCAATAAATTGGTGATGCAACAAGTACCACGTACTAGTACGTTCCTTCTCCAATGCATACATGAAGCCCAGCCGGCTTCGATTTTGGAAAGACCACGGTGGAGTCCCTTGGGGTGCCGATGAGCCAAGAATATGAATTGCAAATGTATCGTACTCGTAGGAATTGCAGTTATGCATTACAAATCTCCGTCCCAAGGTAAAAGAGCATGACAAATTCCATTCGTCACGCTGAGCTAATTTGTAATGCAATTTTTACTACTAATACGATGCTTTTCTTTGCACAGGATAAAGAAGTTTTGGACGCGATTGGGGGGACCACATCAAGTGATGGAACGTCGACAGGAGCAGGGTCATCTTCATCGTCCAGCACCCCGAGAAGTTTGTTGACAAAGGACGAGGGCCAACATCAACTCACGGTTCGTGGGCAAAATCTTCGTGGAAGTCCCCAACTGGTTGACGTTGCAGAGGCTGTGCGGCACACAGGAGACAACCACGACGACAGGTCTACTCTAGTAGCGCAGCCACAGCCACGTCAGCTACAAACTAGTCTAGCCGACATCCCGCGGGAGCACCTCGCGTTCACCAAAGTGCCGTATCAAAATGAAAAATCCCCCCGTCCCATACTCAAACAGGGAATTCGTGATGCTGATTTGTGACCACAAATCATGTTGTCATGCTCAAAGGGAAATAAAGATGCGGACTGTGGTGCTGGCTGGCCTGGGAAGGCCTTGCATCTTCAGCATAACAGGAGGCAACTGGAAGTGGTAAACAGCATGACAAACTGCCTGCAAACAATTGCGCAAATACGTCTCTTGCCCTTCTAGCAATACAAACCGATTTGTGTACGCAAATCCAGCATCACAAATTTCCTGTCCGATGGAGGGAGCGAAGATTTTTCCTCACAATATGCCGGTCGTTGTGGCCCGACGGGTGAAGAACGAGATCCATCTTTTCTTCCCCTACTTAATTCCCGCGACCTCTTCTACAAGGATAAAACTCCGGTTCAACAGCGTCACTCTTCCCTCCATTGGTGGCGAAACCAGTTTCGACTTTCAAACTTTCTACCGGGGCGAGTTGATGGACGAATCCCTTAGCTGCTGCAGTCCAAACGCTGGAGGACCTTCTGCTGCAGACGCTGATCCAAGTACTGGTGCACCGGGAACATCAGGAGCTCCTGTCAACCCCAACACTCCCTTCGAGTCCTTCCGGATTCCGCGCAAGATCCCGATTTTGTTTGAATTCCTGGACTCTGTGCAACTCACCCCGGCGTTGTTGTCCACTTTCATCAGGAAGGAGAACGGCATGGGCCTCCACCCGGTGGAATCGTCCTTACCAGTCCGATACGGGGACGACGCGTTTATACAACTGGAATTTTTGGCGAGTTCGGACTTCCAATATCCTGTGCAAAAGTTGTATCGTACTCGTGTTGCAGTCATGCATTACAAATCCTTTTGTTAAAGGTAAATCTGCATTGCAAATTTTATTTCTCATGCTGAAATTTGTAATGCATTTATACGACGAGTACGATACTTTTGCAGTTCATATTCAATATATCAACCCAGCGACGGGAATGTTGGTATCCACCGCATCTTATGCAATGCAAAAGCATCGTACTAGTATAAATCGCATGACAAATTCCATCAGCATGAAAAATGGAATTTGTAATGCGGATTTAGGTTAAGAGGGAGATCTGTAATGCATGACTGCGATTACTACGAGTACGATACTTTTGCACAGGATACATCTTCCAGTTCCACGCAGCAGTTGCCAACGGTGTTGGAGATTGTCAGCCCGGTGAGGGAAGTTGTGAAGAACGCGGCTACGGGGGAGGTGGAAACAGAACCGTTGTATGATATGAGCCAGATTTTATCCAACAACAACTTCCAACTCCGCGACGCCACGGAATGCTTGGTGGTGACGAGTCAGCACCCGATTATCAAGTGAAAATAGATTAGAACAAATATGTCCTCTGGGTCTGGGTCTGGAAGGATGCAGCTTGTCGTGCGAAGTTTTGATGACAGAAAAATCTGTGCTGCAGGAGGAACGAACCACAAAGGTTGCTCACTTGTTGCTAGGAGCTAGGCAATAGGCGGATCATTGCTCATGCGGCAGGATAGGCATGAGGACCAGGAAGGTCTCGCAAAATCTGTGATCTTCCTTCTGCAACACAACTCCAGACCATGTGCATGGTCCGCGAAGACGAGATGCATGACAAGAACTCTTGCGTTCTTGATCCAAAGAACCCGGACAACATATTTGAATTTGCAGTGGATAGCGACGTACCCGGTGGAATTGTTCGACGGCAGCTGCTATTTCCCGTTACTGTATGTGAAACGGGTTTACAGTACTACTGCTAGTGCGTCTTCAAGTGCTGCTGGCGCGACATCTACTTCAACCACAGCCGCACCAAAGCAAGGCCGTTTAGCGTTTGAGTTAGTGTCTACCGAGGCGGAGATGCAACAAAATTTCTACGACTTGCTGCTCAACAAGGTGCAGCTGCCGAAGCACCAAGGTACAGCTAGCACATCAGGACAGAATACTAACGCGGCGGAGAAACTTCCTGACAATTACCAAAAGGATTTTAGCAACACAAACGTCGAACAGGTTTTATTAGAGGAGAGAATCTACAATGCGGCTTTGGACCAGAACGCGCAAAACATGACCAGCATCGTGCACGCCCAGGAAATTTTGTACCAAAAACTCCCGGAACTGAAGAAGCTTTTCGAACGAAATAGGATCGTGTTTGGCCGGAAGTATTTTCTCGAGTTCAAAGTGAAAGCGCCGGAAGCTGTGGCGACGAGTAGTAGTGGTGGTGGTGGTGGGGATGGTAGTAGTACTGGCACTGTTGTAGCAGCAGCAGGAACAGCGTCCTCTACTTCCTCGTCGGGCAGTGCAGCAACTTCGTACACCTTTACAACCACCTCCGCACCTCCAGCCCCGAAGCCGAACAAAGCCCTGTCCTCCACGACCAACTGGCAGGTGTTTTTCACGAACAAAAACAACATTGAGAAACAGCTGTACCCGTTTGATAGAGGGGTTTTCGAAGATTTCAAGCTGTACTTTAAAACAAAGTTCCAGACGATAAAATCCGCCAGGACCATGATACAGATGTACGACAACGTTGAAGCGACCTCGATCTACAACGAAGACGTCCAAGCCATGGGGCTGGCGCCGGATACGCTGAACGACGTTTATTTGGAGGTCGAGAACTTCGTGCCCCCGCCGTTGAGTACTAGTAGTACATCTTCTTCATCTTCAGCGGCAATTTCAAGTACAACATTGAGCAGTGGTAGTAGCAGTACATCAGCCTCTACTTCGGTTATCAACGTGAACAGCCTAGAACTGTACCCCGCGAGTAAGCACTTCGAGGTTCCCGACGGACTTTTCCTCACCAGTGGTTGCTTCTCGGAGAATCAGTTAGACGCATCTACTTTAGCAACAGCGATGGTCGCCGGAGCAGCTGGTTCATCTTCAACATCTCTCCTGCAACTACAGGACCAACAGCAAATATGGATGTGTCAGGTTTGAAATCGTCAAAGTTGAAATAGTTTGTCATGCATGAAACGGATACCAGTTAGCCCTACAGTTTGTAGTCGGTGCATGAGAAATTTTCCCGGTCCTGGAAGCGAGTCTGTCATGCGGTTTAGGGCAAAAGAGCTGCCTTCTGTCATGCTAGTTAGCAGGCGAACTTTTGAGCCTTACCAGGACTATAATCTGCCTCCCGTGGGTCCTCTGCAATAGAGTCGCGTTTCCGTTTTGTATCGCATTTTATGCATTACAAATTATTCCAACTTTGACGATTTCAAACCTGACGCTTCCATAGCAAACGCAACAGGAATACCTGGAATCCATTCTCGCCTGTATCAAATGTAAAAATGTCTGGGTCTGGAAGATTAGAACTTGTCATGCTAAATCTGAATGATGCAAAAATCTGTGTTGCGTGGGTGCCAAAAGCTGTCTGCTTTTGACCAAGTTGAGAGGGGGTTTCTCATGCAGGAAAGGCATGATAGAGACCTCAAAGAATCTGTCATGCTGGGTCTCGCATTCCAGACCTCATGGGTCATGGAAAACCTGCGTCGCAAATCTTGTATTCTTCCAGACCCAGACACTTTTACATTTGATAGCCTGTACGAAGCAGCAAAAGGCGGACTTGCCGTTCGGGAATAAGATCACCGGGATTTCTTTAACCGATCGGTTGAAGAAGCCGCAGGGGATTAACTTACCCTTGAAAATAACGTTAAAAGTGAAGGCGAAGAAGTTGCCGTGGCAAGACGAGCGGCAAGCGGTAATGTCGACTGGCGCCCCTGTGACGGCAAACACCGTTACCGACGCCGCAAACTACTGGTATGGCGTTCTCAACTGTTACATTCTCAGCTGTTACATGAATTTGTCATGCAAAAATACCTTGAGCCGCCAGATGGTGAAGCTGCTTCGCATGACAAATCAGGTAAGGGCTAGACAGCACCTAAATCTGTGCGGGATTTGTAATGCAAAAGGCGCGACCCTCCTCCTTTCACTTGTGCCATTCTTGCATTACAAATACAAACTCATGTAACAGTTGAGAATGTAACGTTTGAGAACGCCATAACTGGTACCTGATCGCAACAACCTTCAACGCCACGACCGGCCAGGTGATATGGAGTTCTCACACGTTACAGTTTTCTCAACTGTTAGTTACATGATTTGTCATGCAAAATGACCATGAGCCGCCAGACGATCAAGTTGGTTCGCATGACAAATTCTCCCTCGGAAGGCTAAATAGCACTAGAATCCGTGCTGGTGCCAAATCTGTAATGCAAGACGCGCAAGGTTCTCCCTCTCACCTGTGCTATTCTTGCATTACGCATCCATCTAACAGTTGAGGATGTAACGTTTAAGAGCCCCATAGGTGACCATCGTCGGCTGGGACAGGATCGTCAACGCGGAAGTGGAAGAAAAATTGCCGCAACTTTTCCCGACGCTCGAAGCTAATTCAGACAAACTTTTAGTGAAGCAATTCAACATCAACTTTATCCAGGCGGCGTATTCCTTAGCGGCCACGCAGGTTTTGGTCAAAATTCAACTGCAACTCCGCTCGCCTTTACCCTTGTTATGGAACTGTCAGGATCGAAATTGACAAAATTGAAAAATTTGTGATGCATAAAACCGATCGCAGTTTGGAGCCCAATTTCTATGCGGCGCATGACAAATTTCGGCGTCATCGAAATCCAGTTTGTCATGCCGTTTAGCGAAAGACGGCATCCTTTGCCATGCTACTTTAGCAGTGCTGCCCCAAACCCCAAACAGGCTGGCGATCGGCCTCATTTGCAATCCCTGCAAGACAGTCACTTCGTGCCTTGCATTTTATGCATCACAGATTATTTCAACTTTGTCGATTTCGATCCTGAAGCTTCCATACTTGTTCGGGAAAATTTACATCCAGGCGCCGGTAGACTACCAGTTTTACTGTACGGGGTTGCGGGTAGTACAGGAGAACGTGGAGCCGAATTATAGTGTGGGGTATGCTGCAGATGAAGCAGGAGTTAGTCTTGCAACTGGAAGTAGTAGCACGACTTTACTCGACGCCACCGCAGCTAAAACTGCGGGCCAGCAACTGTACTACCAAAACCACGCGGAGTACTACCTGAAAAAGCCGTTCTGCCAGCGGAATCCGCAGACAAAGTTTCTCCAGCGGTGCCAGCAGTATCAAATGTAAATATGTCTGCGTCTGGAAGACCGCAGAAGTTTGTCATGCTGTTTTTCCGTGACGCGACAGGTCTGGCATGCAGGCCCTAGCATTACAGGTCTTGAGAAGGTATCTCAATGCCTAATCCGCATGACAAATTCCCTTTTTCGGTGACACAAAGTGGGCCACTTCTGCTGTGCGCGCATGACAGATTTTTGTGTGATTTGAGATGCGCATGACAACTTTGCATCCTTCCAGACCCGGACAGATTTGCAATGCATAAGCAGCTGAACCAAACGATACTAGCAGCGCAGCACGAAATCGAGGTTTTGCAAAACCGCACGGTGTACCTGCAAACGCTGTTCGCAACGAAGACGCAGTCTGAAATGAACACGTTGGAACGGGTATGCATTGGAAGTATACCTTTTTTGTGTAGGTCTGGATTTCGATTTGGTTTGTGATGCGAGATTTGAAGGAGAATTGCGGCTTCTTTTGTCGTGCTTGAGGCCATTTTGTTATGCCACGTACTGATAAGATCGGAACAAGCTTCCAGACTGCACTACAGCAGACCGGCTTCGACTACCATCCAAGGAGCAGCAACACAAAAATCTCAATGACAAATCAGCTGCATGTTTCCGCCATACTCAGACATACTTCCCTTCCATACCGGGAAATCTGGCGAACGGAGACCGTGAACGGAACGAAAGCGAAGGTTTGGAACCTCACTATGGGCTTGAACGAAACGAAATTTTTTTTCCAAAAATGCAAACCCTTTTCGGAAGTCATGTTGGACTTTGTGGAAGAGAAGATTTACACGAAACCTTCCTACGACGAACAGTTGTTGCTGTCTCCGCAACACAGATTCGATTCCTTGTCCACGCTTTTGACCCGCAACGTCCGCGTAAACAACGGGCAATTGACCGGGTTTGTCGTGCGCGAAGACAAGACCTGGCCGGTGGCGATCGACAACGCAAAAGGGAATTTGGACATTCTGCTCTACGCACAACTACCCTACACCCAACTGCCCCGGGAGGTGAAGGTGCCCGTACCCGAGTACGTGGCAGCTTCGGGATTTCTGATGTCCTCTTCGAGCAACACGGGAACTACCAGCGGTGCGACGACGACGATGCAACAAGGAGAAGAGGAATCTACGACGTCATTAACGGTCGACTACTCGCAGTCGCGACACAATACCTGGACGATTTACATCCTAGACCGGTTTCAGCGAGTGCTGGATTCGAACGCGCATTACAAGGTGTCCGCAGCAAATGCCCCGGCGGAGCAGCTAGTAGAGACGGTAGGGGGAGGAGGAGGTGGAGGAGGAGCTGCAGGGGGCTTTAACACTGGTGTTGTTCTTGACAAAGTCTTGCACCAGGAAGACCTCGTGATAGACAAGGTTGGTTTGTTTTGGCAGAGCCGGTGTCGCTACCCAAATGAGGAGCAGGTGTTCTCCAGTTTACTCGGGGCACCGGTGTGTGACGAAGACGAAACGGCGGAGGACGAGGCATTTTCAACCGGCGGTGAAAAAGACGGCGATCAAATGAGCGATCTCATGCCCCCCGCGGGGGGTAGCGCCAGTACCACGACTGCAGGAGGAAGCACGGGCGCGAGGAACGACACTGCTGGATATCAAATGCAAATATGTCTGGGTCTGGAACATTCCAAGGTTTGTCATGCACATTTTGCATGACCCGTGATGTCTGCGATGTATGCCCCAGCATCACAAATTTTTTGCGGGTATCTTGATGCCTATCCCGCATGACAAATGCCTTCTCCGCGGAGCAAAAACTGGACGCCTCTTGCTGCTCATGCAACACTGACCTAAACGTCACGGGGGAAGTGCGCCGTGCAGTAGAGGCGTGCACAGGGGAGCTCGATAAGAAGGGGAAGCCCACGGAGATTGCAAAGCTAATCGACTTCACCGGGCAGGCGAACATCTTGCGCGAGATCGAAACCCCAGAGCAGCCCGCGCAGGACCTCCAGACTGAGTATTGCAACATTGTGAGAGAGGTCTGCAGCTGGTCGGACTTCGACATCACGCCGGACCTTCCGAACCTGCCCGAGCTGTACGCGGACTCCACGTTGCCCCGCCCCCGCAGCTGGCGGATCCGCGAGATCAGGTGTGCGTGCATCCCCTGTCTCCGAACAAACTCGCTTAGGCCGAAGAAGCTTGGCTCACTCCGCCTCGCGTTCATCCACATGCGAGTCAACCAGCAGCAGGCCACAGAGGAAAAGTTTGCGGCGGCGTTTGCACCCCCGCCCCCGCCACCGCAGCCACAAAGACCGCTGCCAAAGCGCAAGCACAATGACACCCCGCCGCGGGTCAAGCAGGCGCTCGAGCTGCGGGGGGCAAGCAAGTCCCTCCCGGCGGGGGTCACTTACAACAAGAAAACGCAGAAGCTGTTAGTGACGGTCCGAGTGAAGATGGACGACGACGGGGAGACCTACCCACTGAGCAAAGTGGTCGACCCGGAATTGTCCGCAACGGCCGAGGAGGCGCTGGAGGCCGCACAGCAAGCCCGCAAGGACGTGCTTGCGAACTATCGCGAGCGGGTCGACGCCATCCGGGCGCAACGCGCGCAGCGAGCTGAGGCCCCCGCCCCGCCGCTCGGGGGTCTCGCACAATGAAGTCGAAGAAAGGAAAGAATTTGTTCTGAAATTGAAATCAAGAGGTTCTTCACGGTGAAGTTCCTCAAATAGACTCCTCATTTTGAGTAGAAGTCTCGCGTACTAAACGCGAACACTGTAAACTGTAAACTGTAAATACAGATTTTTTTAGATTCCAAAAATAGCATCACAAATTGCATTCTTCCAGACCCAGACATTTTTGCAATCCATACTGGAGCAGGAGCATTAGCTACGACTTCTGCAACGACATCCTCATCATCGGCAAGAAACCTTGAGGCTGCTCTTCAGAACGTACATGGTAAAAAAAGAAGAACGACCGACAACGAAGCGGGAGCGGCTACAAGAAGTAGAGAAGATGAAGAAAGTACTACAGGAGGTCCAGGTGGTACGCCCACGCAAAAAGAAGTACAACTCGTACCACATCAACGGTCCCTCCAATCGTCCATTGGCAGCAGCAGCAGCAGCTCTCCTGCAGCTGTCATCTCCGATAGTACAACTGGATCATCCACCTCTGCAACCGTGGATCGGAAATGCGTGCTGCCAAAAGATTACTACTACTTCCGGAAACAAACCTCTACTTCCGCAGGATCAGTCCCGATCCCCACCGGCTGGACGAGGCAGCAGGCGGAATATCCAGCGCAAAAGCTCTTGTTTCGTAGTGGTTGTAGAAGTACTCATTGCAGTTGTGACCACGCATCACAGATTTCTGCGTTGATGGCGTTCATGATCCCCCGAACTGAATTAGTTGCTTGATCTTGATGTCGAATTCCATGATAGATTTTCTCGTTGAAAAACAAATGTCAATGTGTGTTGCGAAAAGCTCCACCAGTAGCTCCTGTACACCGAAGATTCTTTTGCAAAGTGCATACATAGGCCACCACCGCAAAAAGCCGGCCCCACGTGCAGCGGTCGCTGTTTCACATCGGTTTTGAGGTCAAAGCGGACATTTTGAAGAAACACCAGTTTCCCGTGATATCCGTGGAGTTGCCTATCAAATGCAAATGTGTCTGGGTCTGGAAGACTGCGAAATTTGTCATGCTTGGTTGTCTAGCATGAGCAAAAAGTTTGTGATGCGTGTCCAAGAAAAGACCCTTTTGCTTGTCATGCAAAAACGAAGTTTGTCATGCGAAAAACGGAACAAAAAGCCTCGCAAATATTTCTCATGCTTGGCTGTGCATTACAGTAGAGCATTCACTATTCACAGCCCAGCATTACAAGTTTCCAGACCCAGCAGACATGTTTGCGATGCATATTGCCGGATTTGGTACCAGTGGACGTGGCGATGCTCATGAGCAAGGCGGGGTCGGGTCCTCAACAGGGTGTACAATTACCCACTGCAGCAATATCAAATGCTGGGAGCAGCAGCAGCAACGGGGCATTAGAGACGGTTGTAAGCATCCAAGACGGCTTTCAGTTCATCATTCAGCACGCCACGGACATCGTATGAGAGTGCACAACTCCCCCTCTCCCTCATTTGTATTGCATGAACAGCAATACAAACGGCAGCGGCCCTGGAGCCTGTGCATGAAAAATTTATGTACCTACTGTAGTACAACTGCTACTGTTTGGGCTTTCGAAATTTGTCATGCATAATAGTGAAGCAGGGGAGCAACTGGAATTGTGGATTTTGCATGAGAAATGAGAACGAGGGGGAGTTGTGCACTGTCATACATCGAGGTTTTGACGCCGGAGTTCCCCGCACCCGACTGGGGCTGGATCCCCACGGGGCAGCCCGGCTCGGAGTTCAAACCGATAACCAAGCTCTTTTTCCGGCTCGCCGGGAAGATCAACGGCAAAAGCTGGTGGGACCGCGACTTTCCCGGGCCCGTCACCAAAACTTCCGCGTCGCAACTCCTCACTGCCAAAGAGCAAGGGGAGGTGTTTCTGCGAAAAAACCAGCACTTTCTGATCAATATCCTGTGCAAAAGTATCGCATTCGTAGTAATTGTATCTACGCACTACAAATCTCTTTTTCAAGGTAAATCAGCATTACAAATTTACTTAATTTGTAATGCTGCGCTAGTTTGTCATGCAGCTTATCCTAGTGCGATGCTTTTGCAATTCATAATCAAGGTGCCCGTGGAGTGGCCAAGGTACGAAACTGGGTTTCCAATATGCATTGCAAAAATGTCTGGGTCTGAGAGGATGTAACCTGTGATGCGCATTTCAGAACACACAAAAATCTCTCATGCATAGGTAGCAAAAGCTGCCCACTTTCTGTCACCAAAATGGGGGATTTGTCATGCGGGTTCGGCATTGCGGAAGCTTCTCGAAACCTGTGATGCTAGAGCTTCCATGCCAGACCTGCTGTGTCATGCAGAAACAGCATGACCACTCTTCCAGACCCAGACATTTTTACATTTGATTTCCGAAGTTGAAGAACAATTTCGTGAAGGTGAAATTCTGCTTCGATTTCCCCTTCTGTTTGGAGCAGCTGGCGGAGTACAGTGTACCTGGGCCGGTAGGATACCACGTCGTGCCCTTGCAGTTTGGAAGCAGTAGTAGCACAAATCCAAGGGCGTCCTCTACCGATGGTGCATCAACAGCTGCGTCTTCTGCAGCACAACATTCTGGCCTGTGGGAGGAGTTTCAGCTGAAGACGCCGGAGTGCGAGGTGCCCGTGTTCGAGAACACAGGCATCGGTAGTGGCAGCCGCGGATGGGAGAGCAGTGCGACTTCTATTCATTTTCGGAGAACTGGAACAAGGTGGTCGGCGGGGCAGCTGCTGCTCGGTGGACAAACCTTTTCCCAGCAGTCGCTGTTGTTCTTTGGCGGCTTTGTCGGGCTTTGGGTGCTGCTCGTCCTCACGTGAGGTTGTCTCGTGAGGTCGCAACGTGCTTCTAGGCGGCGGGGCCTCCTTGATGTACATTCCCGTCGTGTTTTTTTTACCGTGCTCGGACGACGAGCCAGGTGGTCTTTCGTGTAAGGTAAAGGCTTTGCTTTCGCGATTGTAGATTTTTTGCTTTCTTTTACTCTAAGCACGCAGAGAACAAGGTGGATCTCACACTCGTAACAAGAACTTCTAATTTGTTATTCTGTTTCGAATAGGCACTGTGCCTGCTGAAGAAAGTTTGGAATATGACTCGAGTTAGGGCGCAAGGGCGCGATTGTTTTTTTTTAAATGTTGGAAAAACGTCTCAGTAGTGAATCTCAACTTTCCTTTTTTTAAGTGCGTGTAAATACGTACGTATTTTTCACCATTTGCACTTTCAGCAACAAAAGCACTATAGTGACCAGAAGAAAACGCGCACGCACCAAGGTGCGCCGGCTCTAGGTTCTGCAAAAGAACTAGAACATGCCGGAGAAAGTCAAAGTAACGTAGTGAAATATAGCGAAAAACCGCAGTAGAAGCAGAAGAAGTGAACAACAACTTACATTCCAGTGACCAGTCCAAGTTGATAGATTGTAGCCGCGATAGATTCCAGATGAAGGGTGAATTTTTATCTTTTGCTTACTTAATGAAATTCAAATTCAGACTCTGTTGTACCATGACCGTTGGAGGAGCGCAAGAAGAAGGTAGCAAGCTGAGTAAAAACCCGTGATCCCAACCCAGGTACAACAACTTGGGAAACTTCACGACCCAGGTGCGTGCGCTTACTCAAGCAAGTAGTGGCTTCCTTGTTTGTTAGTTTCCCCGATAAACGTCGTGTTGCGTCTGTGTGCTTGATTCGTTGAGGTATAGTTATTGGAACAAAGCAATCTTCTCGGTTCGTTCTTCCTATCAGCTGACTCATTTCGGTCCGACCACCAAGCAGTAGTAGACAGGTAGTTTCAACACCTTAAGATGTGTGTCGCTCATACGCACATCGTAGTATGCACTACAACCTCGTCCTTCCACAACCACATCGTTCTTGAAATCGTACAGCCTTCGTCGTCGTCCTTGCTTCACAAAATCTGTCGTGCTCATCGTTGTTGTTTTCCCGTCTCTCATGATCTGTGGTCGTTCTCGTTTCAACTCATTTCTCGTCGATCGTCCCACTGAACACAATACTCAATCTCCTTTTTGTTGTAGTACTTCGAACATCAGCGTACGCGTTTTGACCGGCCCACACAGTGCCCTGAAAGCAATTGTATCCCAATCCTCGAACCCGTTCCCGCCCAGTAAGTGTTGCATAAAAGGTCAAGACAAAGCCTAAGGCTAAGTCGCAAACCGCCAGTAGCAGTACTCTACAAAATAAACATAAAGTATTCTCAATATCAAAAGCGGTTTGAAAGAACTGTATACTTTTCTGTTATTACCCCACTCGCAAACGGTTCTACTCTTTCTCCTTCGTGGTCTAGTAGTACGCACAGTTTGTACTTACTTTCGAGAAGTTGTTCCTTGTCCGTGTCGCAGCAGCAGTAGCTAGAAGTAAAGGTTGTTTTCATCACTGCTTTCACTGTGACAAAACATGTCGTCGGCTATTTCTACGGATAGCAAGAACTACGGCACGTTTGAAGTAGCCAAAGGCGAGAGCTGCATCGAAGAACAGCATGGCAAAGGCTCCAAGAAGAAAAAGTCAAAGGTGAACAAGGCTACTCGAGCCCCGGTGAAGGTGACTCGAACCGCCGCTCCTGGTTCTGGGCAGTACGACCCTGCCTACTACGATCCGACCGCCGAGGGCGAGATTCGTCTCGAGGAATATGAGAGTGCACAACTACGTACCCCACGCCCCGCCCGAGGCTCCAATCCCCTATTGAAGAAATTCGTAAAACTACAGTAACAAAAACAGGAACAGCAGCGAACTAGTACAACATGAAGCCTGTGCATGACAAGTCTTATGTCGAAAGGACCTTGCGTTGTTGTATGAATCAGAATACAGTGGTGGCAGCACAACCACTGTGAAAATGGGCAGTATCGCCATCAGTTTAGGAGATGTGCTAGATGGTGCATTTTGCATGACAAATCTTCAAGGGGCACGACGAAGCAGTGGTTCATCCGTTGTGCACTTTCATAGGGAATGGGACAGCCACAGCAGCAGCGGGTCCGAGGACAACATTATGAATTGGAATTGCAAAAGTAACGTACTAGTATAAATTGCAATACAAATTGGCTCAGCATTACAAATTGAATCTGTAATGCGGATTTGCCTTAGGAACTAGATTTGTAATGCATAAATGCAATTAGTACGGGTACGATACTTTTGCACAGGATAAACATGAACGTTCCGACCTACATGAACGTCGCTTCGGACCACGTCGCAACTACAGGTCCTTTTTATGAAATGCAAAAATATCTGGGTCTGGAAACTTGTGATGCTAAAACGTGCATGATGAAAACACTACCGAATGCAGTCCGGCATGACAACTTCCCAAAACGCTTTCTCGTAGGCAATCCGCATGAGAGACTGCGTTTTTGCATGACAAAAGAGGCTGCGACTTTTGTTGGTTATGCAATACAGAAATTCTAGTTATGGAAAGCTAGCATTACAAGTTCCAACCTTCCAGACCCAGACATTTTTACAATCCATACTTTTTCCCCCGCTGCGATCCTGCGCGACAAAATCCTCACGCCCCTGCGAGGGGCAGCAGGAAATTATGCCTCGAGTCGCCTTTGGTCCTCTTGCCCCCGTGGTGTGGAGCTCGGTCGGTCTTCGTGTTCTCCGACGCGGCTACAGCTGCAGGTGGTGGGGACTACAGTCCTCGCGGTGGTTTTATTGATTCTCTTCGGGCTGTTCGCTTCGTTTTCGTACCATCAACTTGTCGGCAGTAGTGCTTCATCGCACCAGCAGGAGCTCACCTCCGTCCTCGCGCCCAAGGAGCCACTAGGCGGGCATCGAGAACAGCTTCTGGCAGGTGGAGCGGCCTCTGCTGCTAGTGATGCAGCAGCAACTGGTACTAGTGTCACTGAGCCTGCTGATGTTGGGAAGCAAGAGCCCGCTGCTGGTGATGACACCAGCACGAGTGGTGGTGGTGACGGTGAGGAGAAGAAGATCGCCGGGAATAAAGACGACCCAGTGGTCGTCGGACACGATGTGGACGAATCCGTTGCTGAACACCCGCAGGTACGTATAAAATATAACTTCATCAACTGTCAGTGTGTAACTTTCGCATGACAAACAAGAACTTGAACTTTTCGCAGATGTGGTTATTTGTGATGCTGGCTAGAATTATGCCAAGGCCAACTAATTCAACCACCACTATTTGTATCTCAACTTCCACTGAACGACTCAATCTGGTCGTTGTGTACATGGTATTCAACAATGAAACAAAAATCAAATTCATATTCTTATTCACTACAGAATTCTGGAGCAGAAGCTGCGACTTCGAAGCAAGGCGGGGATCACGCAGACGATGTGGCGGGAAACAAGGAATCTGGTCGAGAGCCTCCTTCTGCCGGTGCTGACCAGGCTGACCAATCGAAGAGGAAACTATCAATAGCAGATAATGTCGTGTCTGGGTCTGGAAAAGTACTGGTGGAACTTGTCATGCGCGCTGGCATAGTTTTGGGAAAATGTGTATTGCATGAGGACCGACTACACAATAACCGCGGCTGCTTTTCTTGTTCCTTTCCTTATTTGTGATGTTCATGCTGCAGACAACATACCGTAATACGAGAGAAGTGATTTGAAAACTTTTCATGCTGGGCCTGGGCTGTACTCAATTTACAACTTCCCATGATCAACACATGTTTCCAGGAGACCCATAACACTACAAATTCGCATTGCATAACGAGAGCCATCTGCCGGTGCTGACCCTGACCCGTCGCCCCCGCACGAAGAATCTGGAGAAACGGAGAAGGCCGAGGATGCCGCGCAGCACGTGGAAAAAGGCGAGGATTCATCCGTGCAGCACGAGCAAAAAGCCGGGGAAGCCGCGCAGCACGGAGAATCAGCTGGCGGTCGTGTGCAGCCCCAGCCGCCGCCTTCAGCCTCGGGGCACATGAACAAAATGAAAATCGACGATCCCGCGATATCGTCGACCACGACCCACGGCAACAACGAACAAACTGCTGCTACTGCTGCTGCTGCTGCTACTGAGGGCAACGAGGGTAAAAAGCCGGTAGTTGAAGATGTCGTGTCAGGGCAAAGTGGTGGCAACTACCATGCCGCGCAACAAGACAGTCCTGTTCCTGTTGCTGACCGCCACTTACACCCCGATGTTCTTCCGGGAGAAAACAATGTTGGAGGGGATGATGACCCTTTTGCCTGGATCCAGGACGACGAGGCCGCCTCGTCGCCTGGATCTAAGACCCAGAGCACAGCGGGGCAACAAACCACGGAAAAGGCTGCAACCGGTCGTGGTGGGTCGCGGTCAGGGGACCGCCGGAGGGGTAAGCAGGAGGAGGAGAAACCGCCGTTGGTGCTTCCGGAGATGAAGGAGGGTGTTCCAGATGAAGGAGCAGAAGGTGCTCTCAGTGGGGAAGAAGTATGGAAGCAAATAGACGTCGTTGTCCTCGAGGCGCAAACTTTGTCACTAGGGAGGTCCTCGTGTAGCACAGAGGCTAAAACTATCAACCGGTCGGGCTTTTTGTTTTTTCTGCATTTCAAATGACAAAATGTAAATGATAATAACTCCTAGTCCTAGGTAGCTGCCGCTGCCTTTCCCTTTTCTTAGTTATGGTTTTTGAACTTGACGCGCGCTTTTTGGGAGGTGGTGCTATCATTTTTCCAGTTGTCACCCCACCCGTTGCCATTCACCCACCGCCATAAGCAGCCCATGTTACATTAGCGTCAAGAGGCCTGCTTCCGCTTGAGAGACGCGGGTTTTTCTTGCGGCAGGATATGCTTGCTCTCAGTCTCGTGAAACTGCTCCATCACGAAATATAACCGTAGTTCCTCGACCACAGAAAGGGCACCTGAGTGCGGCTATTAAGAAGTCGCACAGGCAAACTATCTTCTGCTCTTCATGATGATGATTGTGATGATGATGAAGGAGGGGCGAAAAACTAGTGCTTGCTTTTTATCGTCACCTGACCACCTCCGTAGAAATACACTTTACTTATTTGTGATTGTATGAAATGCGCATGACAAATTGGCCTTGAGGACCACGGCCACGGTTTTTCCAGCGATACGCTGCTGGAGATGAAGAAAAAACAGCGATCCCACAGGTCCCCGACTTTACGAATGGGTCCGATGAGGCGGGGAGCAAGGTGTGGCCCGGGCTAACAATTGACAGATCATGATGGACGTGCTACAAGTATAAGCGTATAATGAAGTAGTTTGTTTTGTTTTTGTGGTAGAAAAAGAAAATACTAGCATCTTGTTCGTACGGCCTTGACCCCTAGTACGCAGCTTTTTGATCTTGATTTGATTGAACTCGCACCTTCAACAGATAGTTAAGGATGCGCGCAAAGGGTAATATAATCTTGATTTGTGTAACAGCATGAGCATGATCATGATCTGTGAGTGAGAAGCTCCTCCCGATCGATAATTATGGGGACACGGCCACACCTCCCACAGATTTTCATTTCTATGAGCTCAAAGTTGCAAGCAATCGTCGGCAACAAATATGCATTGCAAATATGTCTGCGTCTGGGTCTGGAAATTGTGCATTGCAATTATGTCATGCTAAACTGTGCATGATGAGAACGCTCCGAATGCAGCCAAGCTTGGCAGATTTGCAGAACGGTCTCTCATACGCGGTCTGCATGAAAAATAGAAACTGCGTTTTGTATGACGGAACAGGCCGCGTCTTTTCATCGACGTTTGTCATGCAATACAGATTTTGCAATTGCAGGAATGGAATGCAAGGCTAGCATCAGAAGGCCCAACTTTATTCCAGACCCAGATATATTTTGCATTTGATATAACTATCGCCGGCACGGGGATTCCGCCGCCCCCGCCGCCACCTTACCGTCCTCCCGACAACCAGTTAACTCGTCAGATCCAAGAAATGCAAACTGAGTTTGCAACACGGGTAGTAGAACGCATTCGTACCACCCTTAAAGAGGACGAGGAAAAGCAGCCGAACATTCTCCGGGACAACCTTTGGCGCCGCTTCGAGAAAAAAATGTTGAGTGAGAAGATGATTGGCATGGCAGAAGAACAACGAGCTGACCAGGCGGGTAGTGAGAAAGGAATGAAATATATGGTGCGCCAATTCTTGCCACGAAATGCCGGCGCTGATCAAGGTGACAGCGTTGGTAAAGCGCAGGAAGCTACCATTGGGAAGATAATTCACCGTAGTGAAACAGCTGTTTTCAGAGAGTGGACCACCTCCTCTGGAGGTAGCGAGTCACATGAAAAGAAACTGGTGATAAAAATCTTCGCAACATCAACTCGTTCGATGGTTCTTGCGGAAAGATTTGATTATGTTTCCCGAGCTGCGGAGGAGATTGCGCATCACATGCTGGCCTCGCATTGGACAACTGAGGAGGTGCAAAAGGATCGGGTCAAGAAGTTGTGTACGCCGTCAATTCACCGTATTATTATTTTCGCGGACAACGTGAACAGACCGCATATCGGTTTGGTAATGGACGGAATTGCAGGCAACGGGGAAGATTTTCTGAATTGGCAATTTCGGAACGCAGTCGCAGATAAAGAAGCAGAAGCTAAATCTGAAAAAGCTGTTGGTGGATGGCCTTCTGCAACGGCAAGCGCAGGAATTCATGGGCTTCCCCTAAAAGCTTTATCCCACTTAGCGAATTGCATGGGGGTACTGCACGAAAAGCAGCTGGCGCACGCTGATTTGAGGCTGAAGCACATTGGCTTCCTGAATATCGCTGATGCGTCCCAAGGCGCGTTCGTCTTGCTAGATTGGGGCGATGCGCAGGTGGTTGGCGCGGACGGTCTATTTACCTATCAAGACCGTGCATACGACGATGCGGAGGTTACTTGGGGGCCGGAGGAAACAGGGGTTTTTCAGCGACAGGGAGAACGCGGCACAGTTGTGGTCTACGCGCCTGCAATTCAATTCTACTATGAGGAAAAGACGAGTTCAGAGGCAAGTGGTCCGCAACTACGAAAGCGCTGGACAGTCAATCTACCACGCCGCGATATCTTCGCGCTCGGATATATGGCGGTGGAGTCTTTCGCAGCACAGCCACGATTGGAGGGCGCAGCAGCTTTGCACAATTCAGCTACGAGAAGCGCAAAAGACAAGCACGAATCCCTGTCGGTCATGCGAACCGATGACCACTGCACCGACTGGGACTGCCGCGGGTCCGTTAAGCAGGAGGACTCGCGCCTGGTCCTGGCTGATGCAGACACCCTGTCATTCGGCTACCTCTGGGGGACGCGTGCTATGAAATACACGGAAGCGGAACATCATCACACCAGCACGAGCAATGCTGGCACAGTTACTATTAGCACGGCACGAACAGATCCAGAAAGAAAACCAAGAAGCAACGCAAACGCTGTCCGAGTGTACAGCGGAAACGTTGACAAATGTCGCACGCCAAATTTCTATTTCGCCTCCCTTGACAACTTCGGTTGCGGGGCCGATATTCGGCTCTGCGACGCAATGGCGCCGCAACTTGGGGGAAACAAGTTCGCTGCCAGCCTAGCCTCGCAAGCCATTTTGGATGCTATGGCCCACCGGCCTGAGAATCGCCCTAGCATGAAGGAGGTGCACGGTGTCTTGGACGTGGTTTTATCCGGTGTTTCGAGCCGCCGCAGCCCCGAGTGGGCGCAGCAGGCACCTTGCCAGTGCCGGTCCTCTACGAGCTGGAATACGCTTCGCGGCGCGAAGGCGCAATTTCTAGTGTGGAATCCGGAGAGAGGACCTGAAGATGTAGATTCAACACCACTACACGCTGCCGCGCGTTCTCTTCAAACCGAAATGTTGGCATTAGCAAAAGAACGCGCATTTCCCGCACCCGTCATTCACATCGTTAGTGGCGATCCCCACGAAACAACCAGCCCGACAAAGATGCGGCTGCCGATTCACGTTTTGCCTAAGGGCTTTCATGCGGGTGGGCTTGACAAAGAAACTAACCTCGCAGCTGTTCAGGGCACAGAGGGGTCAGCTGGGCATGATGTATATCCGTACAACGACGGCACTGACGGCGACAAAGTGCTCAAGGTCTTCAGAAACGTCGAGAAGCAGACGAGGCTTGGTTATTCGGCAGCGGCAGTCGAAATCGCGCATCATGTGTTGGCGTACTATTTGACCAATGAAGAAGAAAACGAGGCCCGGCCCGGGTCGCAATGCACGCCGAAACCACACAGGGTCGTCATTTTTTTCGAAGATGTTGCGGTGAGTGGCAAGGTACTACCAAAAACAGCACAACGCCATAACGAATTCTCAAAGGCCTTGCGTCACCCTTCGCCCTGTTCATACCAAAGGGGCCAAAGGCTCGCTGAAGAGTACGGAAAAATAGGCAAAGCACAGATCTCTGTATTGTATATGGTTTTTAATTTTGCAAGAACATGATCAACATGACCCCGATCAGGCTCAGGCCGGCTGCCGGCCTTGGTAGGCAGGTTTGTCACCCAGATGCACTTGCTGCTACGTCGTAGTGCCTGACACAAGCAGCCGGGTCGCAACCGCAAATCGGACGGTTTAATAGGGTGAAGGCGAGGCGTGCGCGCGCGGCTGCCACCACAGCAGGTGCTGCTTTTTAGAATTGCATACTATCATCTTCACAAGAGCAAGCAGATATCTGTCGGGCTTGTAATGGAACGGGTGGAAGGCGATGGTGAAGCTTTCCTGACGAGCCAAAATCGCCCCAAAGAAGAACAGGGGCTCCCGATAAAGGCGCTCTCGAAGCTCACAGAGTGCTTGTGGAGAGTTCACAGCCGCTCTTTGGCGCACGGGGATCTGCAGTTGCGAAGCATCGGGTTCTTGAAGATTGAGGACCCAAGCTCTGCTGTCCTGCTAGACTGGGGGTCGGCCGAGAAGCTGGGGCACACACGGTTGTCTGAGCACAACGAAGAGCCACTGTGGCATTCTGGGCTAACGTGGGGGCCCGAAGAATCGGGCTTCTATGATGGCAACGACGAGGACGCGACGGCCCTGGAAACATCAAGACTCTGGTGGGCGCCGGGAGTCACGGTTGCCGAGAAGACTTTTACGTCCTCGCAGGCCCAAGCCGCGGCCTCTCCCTGGACGAAGTCCTGGGTTTCGGATTTGCTGACTCGAGATGTTTTCAGCTTCGGATTCCTGGTCCTGAATTCCATCGTAGCAGACAAACGCGACGCGAAGCTGGACGTCAATCACGCTAGGAGGATGTTCAAGTACCACAGAGTCTTTTGCAGTTCGATCAAAAGCGACACTCACAAGTCGTGTGCCTATCCTCTCGGCTACTTCTGGGACAAGTCTTTAGTGGCTCCCGAGGTCCGAAAGGCATGGAACGGGTTTTACGGAAAGTACCCGGCTTCGAACCACCAAGGAGCAAGGGAAGCCGACTCGGCGAGCCCCCCTCTAATTCTAACTACCAATCACAAAAAGTCAGAATTTACGATAAGAAACGCGGCGGACCGCGCTCCGATGTCCAAGTGCCTAGCCAGCCCGACATTCATGACAGCAAGCTATAACCACAACCATAGTTTGTTTTCATTCAGCAGCAGCAGCAGCAGCCCCGCCCATGAGTCCGGGGAGGCGAGCCCGTGGACGATAAAGGGCGAGCTCTGCATTTGCGAAGAATTTGCGAAAATGTTGGGCGACGACAACTTCGCCGCCAGCCTGGCCACGAGAGCCATTTTTGATGCCATGGGCTCGCTGACGTACCGGCCTTCGATGCAACGGCTGGGTGTGGTATTCGCGGAGCTCAGCAAGTTCAGCAAACAGGAGGGCGACATATTGAAAAGGAAGACCGTGCCCCGTCGTGCCGCCCCTCTGTGTGAGTGCGTCTTTTCCGGGGACCTGAATCCCAATGACGGCTACCCCGGCCTCGAGCCACGCCGGAAGACGGGGTTCATGAGGTCTTCAGCCAGCACCCCGGCCGCATCGCTCCCCGAGCTCCTGAAGTCGTTTCAGGCATATATGGTGGCTGGAGACCGAAATGCCGCCGCGAAAGAATTATTCAACGTCGACCTATCAGATTCGCACGACCGCGGTGCCGGCAAAGCGAATGAACTTGTCGAGATGGGAGCAGATATCCTGAAGAAGCTCACAGCGATGGCGTTGCAGATTCTGCAATTGGAAGAAGAGCCAATCGCCCTAAATCTTTTTCCTGAGGTGCCTGATTCAAACGGGAGCGAAGATGGTGATGGCAAACAAACAGAAGATGAAGACGCGTCACTTTCAGATGAAGGTGAAGAGGATGTTAAAGGTGCTTCGACAGTCTTGTCAGATGAAGAAACAAGTTCTGATGAAGGACAAGTGGGACGGCGAAACCCTTTCTGCTGAAAAGACGTCGATGTATATCTACAACGGGAACGGCCCCATAGTCATAGACTCGAACAGGCTCATTCGGCCATTTGGTGGAGATGAATTCAAGTAAAAGAAGTCACCAGACAGGTATCAACTGAGATGAGCAGCTGGACCACTAGAAAACAGACGTTGACTTCTAGTTGAAAAGAATCGGTCCCGCTTGATGTTCCGGCTTTTTCTTTCTTTGACTTTGTCTGAGCAGTCGGTGTCGGATTTATTAAGTTTACCTTCTCGATCTCGTAGGATAACGTAGCGGAATAGAACAACTTGAAGTTCGCGCTGCAGAATGTCGTAGATGTTGTCTCAATGATATGATAGAAACGTGGAAGTAGCGCACGACAGCCGCAAGACAAACTTTCTTTCTCTCAAAAAACAAGCACGCTTGTAAATTTCATATCTCGTTCAAACAGCATCTTGTTTTTTTCTCTCAGCACCTTACTTCTTTTCCGTGAAAACAAACCTTTTATTTATTGCTTACTAGTACAGTCAGCCTACTTCACATTTTTTTCCTCTCTTCCTCGAGCACCAGCGCGCTTTGTCGTGGTGCTATCGGTTTACTGTTGTTCTTCTTTTATTTCTGTATGGTGGATGTGAAGACTTTATATATTTGCTCTTTATTTTGTACGTCCGTCGCCCCCATCGTGAAGACGAAGCAAGTAGAGCCACCTAGCCCGGTGCGTGCGTTTGTTCTCCGCTGATGTGTTCTATCAACGATATTAATATTTCTTCTCCTATGAATGTGTCAGCCTTCGGCCATGAGGGAATTGAAAGCCGCGATGAAAAACGAAGGAATTTGAACGCCCATGAAGGAATTGAAAAAAGTAAAATTCGTATTTGTTAAAGACAGCCTTCGGCGCAGAACAAGATCCGTACGTAATTCCCCAGAGCCGACGCGTCTCTGTGCGCGCCGCTTACTCCTAGTCAGTACGTTACCCAGCGCAGAAGTCGCTACATGTTTGAGACAAGATCCTGCTTCCATCGCCGCCGTGATCCATATCCAATTCCGAGAATGTGTTGAGCCTATTTCTTCTTGTAATTGTTCGTGCATAAATACTTAGGTAATATTCATATTCTTGCGCCACTATAGACATGCCTACAATAGCAGTGTCTACTATTACGCCGTTGGTTGGTAGATTTTTTTTCTACTTTTTAGACACCAGCCACTCGGAATTCATCTAGACAATGACAAAAGAATAAAGGATATAAACGTAAAGCTAAAGACCCATTCGGCTGGTGGCACCGAATAAGCGTGTAGTCATGGTCCCTTTGCCCGTAAAATTGATCACAAACTAAGCAAGCCTTTGAAGCCCAAGAGTGTATGACTCATTCTTATTTCCCCGAAGTCATCCTGATGTTGATCAACTACAACTTCAAAAAAAAATAAGTACTTTACAAAAAATTTACAATGCGGAAAATTTGATTTAGATAGAAAAAGGAACAGTACAAGATGAACCAGCGACCAAAGACATGATTCTTGAGTGGCGTATTTACACGTATAATTAGCAGTTGTATATATTTTTGAAGAATCGTAGGCGTCTTCAAGTTGTACCTTGTGAGACCCCAGCAAAGTTGTATCGGAACGGACCACCCCAATTTCAATCATTTCTATAGGCTCTGTTTCGCGGTAGAGCTAAAATGTCAATGTCTTCATGTAGCATCCTGAGCGTCGTCGAGATAACCATAAGCTCCAACTCTCCAATGTAGCCCAGTTCTTCAAAGTACAAGAACACGACCACGAACGCGACCAGTTGAGGCGACGAACCTTTATTTGGAGCTACTTCCTACTTCCTCCTTCCTACTCCTCCCCAGCGAACAAAAACAATCCGAAGCAACCGACACCGAGTACAACACTGGTGACGCCGGAACGAACGGTCTGCTGAAGCTGCAGTGAAAATTATACGACAGTACCGTATTTAGCGCGAGGACCACCACCTCTACTAGTTCTAGAAGCCTGGGAAGAAGAATTACAGGATGTCCGCTTCTACTTCCAGCTCGAGCATCTACGATGCCATCAAGGCACAAAACCCGTCCTCCACGCTCCTTCAGGAGAATATGGGAGTGTCAGGATCAAAATCAACAAAATCGAAATGATCTGCAATGCATAAAATGCTACGCAAAAACCGACTCTGTTGCAGAGGATGCAAGGAAGGCGGATTGTAGTCCTGGTAAGGGTTCAGTGTTGGGCTGCAGACTAGCATGAGAGAAGGCAGCTCTTTTGCCCTAAGCCGCATGACAAATTCGTTTCCAGGACGGGTGGAATTTGTCATGCGCCGACTACAAACTGTGGGTCTAACTGGCATTGATTTTGTGCATCACAAGTTTTTCGATTTTGTCAATTTCGATTCTGACACTTCCATAGAGAAGGCGGACCAAATACAAGCGTACGGAAACCAGAAGTTGTACCACCAGCTCGTCTATCCTGTGGAAAAGTGTCGTAAGCTTGTACGCAAAGATTGCAGTACTTATGTGCATGACAAAGCTGCTTCCTAAAGGCTAAAGTAGCATGACAAGTTCCATTTGTAGTGCTGACGAAGTTTGTAATGCAATTTGTACTTACAACTACGATCACGATGCTTGTTTTCCACGTCATACTGTCGAGACGGTGTTCGAGTTGCTACCGCTGCTCACCGAGAAACTGCAGAACGACCTGGTAGAAAAGGAGATCAAGCCGATCGCCGGAAAACTGAACCCGGTGCGGTACATATCCCGTTTAAAAGCGTCCCCGCCCCAGAGTTGTCATGCAGATTTGCAACAACAGAAACATTTGCCATGCGCATCCCCATGAGGGGCATTTTCCATCGTGTTTGCGAGCATTTGTAATGCGGTAAACAGAATAAAGAGATGGATTTGTGATGCGGCTTTCCTTGCTGACCCGCACTACAATACAGGAGGGGGAAGTTTGCCATGCGCGACTCGCAAAACTGGTGGATTTGTGTTGCAAAGTGCCCAACTTGACTACGGGGTGGGGACGTTTTTCCTCAGGATAGCACATGGAATTAGTCGGAATTCTGCTCAAGGCCAAACTGTCGACGACGAATCCCCCGAAGCAGGAGAAAGACAACCTGCTCGCCTGGCTCGCGGACCACTTTCAGCCCTTCGACATTTTGCCGAAGAGACAGCCCGAGCCGACGTCCTATGGAAGCGTCAGGATCGAAATCGTCAAAGTTGAAATAATCTGTGATGCAGAAAAGCGATACAAGCTGAAGCCCAGTTTGCAAGTGGCGCATGACAAATTTTAGGAGCATGGAAATCCAGTTTGTCATACTGTTTGCGTGGAGAAGATTGCTTTTGTCATGCTATCTTAGCAGCTCTACCTCACACCCCAAACAGGCTGATAATCGGCCTCAGTTGCCTGCTCTACAAGACAGGCCCTTTGCGCCTAGCATTTTATGCATCACAAACTATTTCAACTTTGACGATTTCAATCCTGACACTTCCATACGTTCAGCACAACGACTACAACCGGAGACAAAGATGGGAAAGACAAAACTGCTATCCACCGGTGCAAAAATACGATCGTACCGTGCTTCCTCGTGCAAGGAACTATTGCAAAATAAACTGCATGACAAATAAAGTGTAGTTTTCAACGACAACGTTTATAGCAGAATCTGCATCAGAAAGTCGTGGTCCTTTTTTCATCTATTTCAACATTCGGAAGTTTGTCATGCTCATGCATTTGCATGAATGTTGTGCTTTAGCTTTGCTAAGCTACATCATAACGATTACAATCAGACGGTCGTACCTTAACTTTTGCAATGCATATATGGCATTCTCAAACGTTACATTCTCAACTGTTACATGGATTTGTCATGCATAACTACCTGAAGCCGCCAGATAATCAAGCGGCTACGCATGACAAATCCCGGAGGGCTAAACAGCATGTAAATCTGTGTGGAATTTGTCATGCAAAAGGAGCAATCTTCCCCCTTTCATTTTTGCCGTTCTTGCATTACAGATTCATGTAACAGTTGAGAATGTAACATTTGAGAACTCCATAGCATAAGTGACAAGGATGGGGACAAGAAGATGGAGGACGCCGCAAAGCCGACGTCCTTTGCGGCAAAGAAGATTGGGCAGCTATGAACTGCAAAAGTATCGTACTCGTATAAATGCATTACAAATTTCCTCAGCACGTTGAGAAATAAAATTTGTAATGCGGATTTGCCTTCAGAAAAAGATTTGTAATGCAAGACTTGCATTTATACGAATAGGAATACGATACTTTTGCACAGGATAGCAGCTGTCGCACTACAACAAGGCCGCGGAGGCGGATTTTCTGGACGCCCGGGCCCTGCATCTGTCCCTGAAAGCCTCTGTGTTGCTACGCATTGCAAATTTATCCTTGGCTACTTTGGAAAAGGAAACGCCGCCCAGAACAAGACGAGATTCCTTTTTCATCTTTTCACGCATGACAGATCTGGAGGTTACAGAAACCGCGCATTACAAATTCAATATCATGACATAGAAAAACTAAAACAAGGTATTTGCAATGCATAGCTAGTGAGCTTCAACGACTTGGAAGCAGCAAAAGAAACCGTCGCCGACGAGCTGAACTATGCTATTGGAAAACTGCCTTCGATCGACGATTTCGATTTGTCTACTGATTCTTGGGCATTGATTCAGGATCAGCATATACAAGTTTATTTCTTTACCTGTGCTTTTGCCGGTAAATGAAAATGTAATAAGCAAATATAAAGAATTTCAGGACATCTACATCACAAATAGCTCCTGTTTGATTACCAGAGCAATTTTTGCCTTGCAAATTCAGACCCAGATCGAGATTGAATATCGAAGGAATTTTACCCTAGCATACCAAAGACGAGCTCTTCAAGTACCGGGTACCCGTCAGCGTGAAGCCACGAGTTTTATGCATTGCGAATTTGTGGATGTGGCGATCATTCTCCGACAGATGAACATTTTGTCATGCAAAACTGGCGTACGACTGGGACTGCTGTGCTCTTTGTAGCACGTGCACTTGTCACCGCGACTTCTACTTTTTTGCCCTCTCGGGAGGTAATTGTTTCATGAAGCGTATTAGCACCAGCAAGAAGTTGGGAACTGTGTTGTGACTGAAAAATTTGAATTTGCATGAAAAATTATATAATTCAGAGCAGCTCGTCGACACATCAATTATTTCCTTTCATAAGGCTTCGCTTGGTTTTACAAGAGTCAGATGCTGGTCTACCACCTCGCGCAGGACAGTTCCAAGTATAGTGATTGTTCTTTGTGGTCGTGTAAGTACTACGTTTGTCATGCAAAATTTGCATTCTAGCAAGGCTCTAGTACCAGATAGGAGAATAAAAATGCACATGGAGATGTGTTATGATGATGATCATTTTGCATCGGGAATTAAGAAAAAGATTATAAGATTGATCACGAAGCTCTTTAGACGACGGGCATTGTAGTTGTAGAACAAGAAGATAGAATGACAAGTAGCCCTTCAAATTGCGAAAAGAAACATCACACAAAATCCCCACTCACACAGGTACTATGCCGCGGGTGTGAACTACCTCCGGTACACTCCCTTGTCCGAGGTCGATTTCCCGCTTGTCGACCTGGCCGTCAACCTGGGCATTGCCGCACTAGTGGCCCTATGCATTGCAAATATATTCGAATCTGGGTCCTCTGGGAGGAGGCCGCAAACTTGTGATGCGGAGTCTGAAGTTAGTAGAGAAAAATCTGTCTTGCGGACTTCTCAGCAAGATGAGGTGTGCGCTTTTCCTCGTCTCCACCCGAAGAGGAAGAGGGCATTATTTCATCTGATGCAGGATGGCAAGGACAAGGAGAAGCCTCCGGTGCGGATGAACTTGTCATGCTCTGCTTGCGTTCTTGCAGTTGCAGACCCGGCTCCAGAAATAAATTCGTGACCAGTTGTTTCTGCAGTCTTCCAGAGGACCCAGATAACCTATTTGCAGTCGATACGCCCCGGGGGAATACAATTTTGGGCAGTTGCTCGGAATGGATATCGTACGAAAAAAGTGTTTCACTGTAAGGATGATGCAACTTTTGCATCACAAGTTTATTCTACATCACAGAGAAAATTTGCCATGCGAGGTTCCTACGGGAAAACACAGCTAAAAATCCATTGTCTTGCACGTGTAGCAAGACAAAAACTTCTCAGATACACTTTCTGCATCACAAGTTTACAGTGAAGCAGTTTTTTCTTGCGATAATGGATCTCTTATATCCCATGTGAAGATCGATAACTCCTCATCGACGACGCCCTCAAAACTACATGGCATCCTTGCATTCAAATCATTTGTATTGGGAAAGCACTGCAAGCAGCTCAGCAGCATTACAAATTCCTTTTGCCGTACTTCTCTACGCAGGATATCAGGTTTAGGTGAGCAGTCGTGGTGATATGTCTATGCATGACGACTTGGGGCAGTCGATGGAGATGATAATTTTCCAAAGCACAATCGTCAGCACGACCTGATCAAGAACCAACTCTGGATCTACGACCTGCTGTACGCCTTTCAGGGTATCCATGGATGAAAACTGAAAATTCGCGCATATCATTAGCCTGATGGAGTCGAAAACAATAACTATTTTTGGCAGCGCTAGTATGCTTCCGGTCATATCTACTACGCTGTGAAGAGAAGAAGTGCTTCATCATCTATGAAAAATACCTCGTCTTGTTCCGCTTGATACTGACGAAATAAAAAACAGAATTGCATGCGCCGCAGTCCCATAGAAGGACAAGGAATCGGAAGCATGCCGTCGTAGATTTGTAAGTTGTTATTGTTTCTTGTGTTCCACAGCAAATGAAACAGACTAGCTACCGAGCAGAGCTACTAGTACTACCTTTTTTGCGAACAACGAAAAGGAGCATGAAGCAGCAGTATCATTAATTAATATTAAGATATTAGATGCATGACAAACACAACCAATGTAGAGCAGGACCAAGCGCAAACATCCTCGGTCCATCATCTCAGGCTAATAATATTGTGCTCGAAAATAATTTTTCACAGCTTCATACCGGAGGGAAAATACGAGCTCTACGACGCTTGTCAGAAAAAGTGGGCGGCTGAGGTAAGAAAGAAATTTTGATTTCGCTTGTAGCTTTGACTTTATCTGCTCTAGTTGTAGTGTGTGCAGCATGTAGTACTCTTTCTACTCTAGTAGACTAGTGTTGAAAACAGAGATCACGACTGAGAAGTGTCATGGCAATAGTACTCTTTACTCCCTAGTAGAGGTAGAGTGAATATGTGATGCATGGTGCGCTACATGTGTAGTTCAAGTTCTTGTACGTCATGTGTTTCTATCGTTTTTATTTGATCCTATCACGACAGATTAGCAAGGCGAGTATTTTGAAGGAGAAGGAGGCGGAGATTTACGAAAAATTCTGGTATCCAGATTGATCAGAATTTGTGTGGATGAGTCGAAAACTCGGAGTCGGGATTTGCATTGCAGAAAGTGAAAGGCGGCCGCCTTGGGTGTGATGCATGTGCATGACAACATGCAACTTTGTCATGCTGCTAAACTACAGACACCATGCGGTTGCGGACGTTGTGCAGGTCAATTTTATTACTGAATAGAAATTTTCTATTTTATCACTGAAAAGAAATTCGGATAGTTTTTCAGTGCTTTTCTGAAAAGCAGTGAAAAACTATCCAATTGGACAGCATGAAGCCCGCCTGTGCCAAAAGTCAGAGTGAAATACAAAAAATAAATTCCGTCCGGGAAAATAAAGTTCATTCAGCAAAAATTTTCAAGTCCATATTTCCTCCACTGTCCTGATGGAGTTCGCGTTCCGGCAGCCGAAGGGGATAAGCAAGTGGAAAATCACAGTCTCACCGTGCCGGTGGCCGTGGAATATGATTTTTACAGAGGATGAATTTTTCTTGAAAATGCTTGTTGCTGTTGACGTTTAGAACAGTAGAGAAACGGATTTCTGCCGAGCGGCATTTACCATTTCTTTTTAACTAATATCTATGCGCACAACCCCCACATTCAAAAGTGCCAAAAAGAGAATGACACGAAGTACTACACTAACTCTCGGGCTACTGCTACGTATAACAAAAAAACGTAGTCACTCGCATGACAAGTTTCATCTACTTCACCCAAGCAGCTGCACGGAGCTGCTGCAGACTGCTGGGTGAGACTGCTGGTTTTCCACAGGGATAAGCGAAGCGTACGATCCAGCTGAACGATATGGAAGCCTCAGAAAAATGATCCTCAAAGTGGAAATAATTTGTGATGCATGAAATGCGACACCAAAAAGACTGCATTGCAGAGAACGCAATGGAGGCCGACTATTGTGCTTCTACGGGCTGCCGATTAGCACGAGAGACGGGCACCCATTTTCCGAACTAGCATGACAGACACGTTTATTTGAGTGCTGCCCGGGATGTTTGTCATGCGCCGACTAGAAATGGTGCTTCGACTGTAGTCGTTTTCTTGCATCACAAATTTTATTCACTTTGAGGATTTCCATTCTGAGGCTGTCATAAACGAGCTGCGGAAACTGATCCGGGTGGAAGACATCGAGACCCTGCTGATCAACGCGATGTATCCTGTGGAAAAACGTCCACACCCCGCCAGATATAAAGTGTAAAAGTGTCTGGGTGTGGAAGAATGCAACTTGTCATGCTGCGTCTGCATTATCCAAAAATCTGTATTGCATGAACAGCAAAAGTAGAGGTCTGGCTTTGGCCCCGGCGAGAGGGCATTTCTCATGCGGTATAGGCATCAGAAAGCCCTCTTCACAAGATCTGTGATGCTAAGGCATGCATCGCAGACATCAGGAGTCATGCAAAATGTGCATGACAAACCTTGCATCCTTCCAGACCCAGACATTTTTACAGTTGATACCAGAGTTGCCATGCTGATTTGCAGTTCTTTCAGAAATAATAATGATTGTAATGCACACCTCCCATGATGATCATGAAGAGGGGCATTCTCTATCGTGTTTTGGAATTTGTAATGCTGGGAACAGGAGAAGGGAATGGATTTGTGGTGCGGCTCTCCTTGCTAAACTGCGCAACACTAAAGAGATGAACTTGTCATGCGCGACTTCCAAAACTTGCGGACTTGTGTTGCTAAGTTCGCAATTTGGCTATGGGATGGGAACGTTTTTCCTCAGGATGCGATGTGTGCGGATCTCATCAAGGGAACGATCGACCAGGTGGAGCAGATATCAAATGCAAATACCTCTCAGTCTAGAAGATGTAATGCTATGTTGTCGTGCTCGTCTCACATGAGTCTTGAATCTGTAATGCGTGAGCAGGAAATATAAAGCCTTTCGCCTGTCGTGCAAAAATTTAGTTTGTCATGCGGAAAGCGAAAGCGAAACGCAAAGGAGCCATCCAGAAACTTGTCATGCGTGGCTGCGCATTGCAGTGAACCCACCATTTTTTGCTATCCAGCATCACAAGTTTCCTCCAGACCCGGACATATTTGCATTCGATAGCAGACCTTCTCTTACCACTACGTCAAGCCGCGTGTGCTGGATAAGACGAGAATCCACGACCTCGAGAGCAGGGTAAGGGTATTTTTGAAGGATAGTACTTTAGCTACATCTTTATTCCACGAGGACCTCCGCCCTCTTGTTCGTGATGCGTGACATGTAGAAATGTCTTCACTTTAGTTTCGCACACGCGCATGACAAATTTTCTCACTCTGATTTTGTCTACCGCATCACAAATTTTCGTAGGTCACCACATGGATCGAGCAGCAAAACGTGGTGTTGAAGCAGTTCGAATATGCACAGTGCAAAAGTATCGTACTATAGCGGAAATCGCATCACACATTCGCACAGCATGTTCAGAAATCGAATTTGTCATGCTGAATCACGGAGACACCATAGCCTAAATAAAGACTTGTCATGCAAAAATATTGCGATTACTACGACAGACTACGTGTACGATACTTTTGCAGAGGATATCGAAGAGCTGTATGAAACAGGAAGATTTTTTCCTTGTCTTCAAGAAGGAGAAGGATGAACTAATTAAGGTTGTCATGCGAATTCGTCAAGAAGAGAATTTTTTATTTTTGTCATGCTAGCTAGGATCTCGATCTCCCGTGAAAGAAACGTTGGCGTGCTGCTCGTTGCACTTTGGAGTTTTACTCCTCTATCTCTTTGGAAAAAGAAAAATCTACTGCAAGGTCGGCGGGCCAATGTTGCGCATCAGCACTTCTTAGAAAAATATCGATCCGTCATTTGTTTTATTTCGACAAGGATCATCTTCTTTCCTTTCATACCCTCACCCCGGAGTTGCTGGTGACGGTGTGATAATAAGTACCAAGGGGCTCCTGAACACGACGACGACGACGACGAAGTATAGAGATGAAAATCGTGATCTTCCCGCGTGTTCTTATCCCTAAGAAAAATCGCGCCATACCGTCGCGATTCGTGGGATTTTTTTATTCTAGGCAAGGCCTGGCGTGTCTGAGGCGAACAAAAGCGCCACCGCCCAGGGCTATCCAAAGCCTTCGCCGCGCATCATCCAGAGGGTCGCGCTTTCGTGCTTAGCGCAGCCCCAGCTCATGCGCCAGGGAACGCTCTGCACACTGACAGAATAACCGCCGGCCACTGTGTCCAAGTTCGCGCGCCCGGGCGCGAGCTGATGCCCCACCCAAAGAGCCCCCCCAAGCCGGGGCTACGCCGGCGGTCGCACCGGGCCGCGGCAGTGTGCGCGCCCACTCGTCTCTCTTTGTGTCAGGCAGCAGATGATGGCCCCTCCGGTGTTGTCTTTGGTGCCTGCGCCGTGCCGTCGGTCCTAAATTAGGACCGGTGGGGCGCTGGCTCCATAAAATGATATGTATATGGCTATGGGACCATGTCCACGAAGCAAAGATGGTGCTTCAGCTGCGCACGTTCCCGCTCGTGCATAGATAAGAACACTACTGCAGCGACCTGCTGTGGTGTTTTGGGATGAAGCAGAGTTGTAGCTTCGGCTCCAAATGTTCCCGTTCTCGTTTTCTGTTGTTCTTATCCTCCAACTCCGTGCATAGATAAAGAAGTTCTCATCTATGCACGGAGATGATTGGACGATCAGAATTGAAGCGTCTCCGCCAGATGTTCCCGTTCTCTCAAACATGCTGTTCTTATCCCTCCTGTTCGTGCATAGATAAGAACACCATTGTTAGGTCGTTACAAACGTGTTCTTATCTATGCACCATTTGGAGGATAAGAACAGCATGTTTGCGAGAACGGGAACATCTGGCGCAGAAGATGTCATTCTGCTTCGTGCCAGCACCACCGTCAGGTCGTTACAAACGTGTTCTTATCTATGCACGGCGTGGAGGATAAGAGCAGCAGTGTTCGAGAACGGGAACATTTGGCGCAGAAGCTCCAACTCTGCTTCATGCCAAAACATCAATGCCAGGGCGTTGCAGTAGGTGGTCTTATCTATCTCTCCGAAGCGTTCAAACGAGTACCAGGCGGGAAGCTTTCAAGGTCTTCTGCCAGTGCGTCCACCATCGCCGCGAAAGCGGCGCCAACGGCGAGTGAGCGGGGCGGTGGGTGGGAGATTGGGTTGCGCTTGAAGAGTTCCAAGGGGTCACGAGGGGCCTGCGCACCAAGTCCGCACGAGCCGGCTTGCGGCCTTTTTTGGGTTGCGAGTACGTAGGGCCCGGGGCCGCGGAAAAGATGCTCGCCTGCGCCGGATGGCTGTGCTGTGCGTGCCCGTTGGGCGCGTCGATCTGCGCAGTGGGGGGGCGCTCATTAGTCTAGGTCTAGGTTCGTCGGGGTGCTGAAATGCCTGCTGGTTCCTCTAGAACGACGCCTGGGCCGCGTGCAAAAACCCACCAGGGGAGGCAACAGCACTTCTACGCAGGCGCGACCATAAAAACTGCAGCGCCTGCGTTGGCGCAAAAAAAAAGGCAAATCCCGACGGTATGCTGCGAATTTCTTTAGGGATAAGAACAGTGCTGAAGATCACCTATTTCGTCTCTATACGAAGATGTTGGTGGAACCACAGTAGAAGCTGTGAGAGTGAGAAACTGGATGAAACTAGCTTATTGTTCACGACGACCTTCATTATAGCGAAGTTCGTTGGACGAGGAACTCGTTCTGATTCTCGGCGTTGAACTAAAAAGAACCAGTTCAGATCTATGACACCAACGGTGCAGCTAGTCAAAGGAAACTCCTTTATCGCTGTATCACGAACAGCCGATCTAGCATCATTGGGTGAGACAACAAGAGATGAAATTCGAGATTTCAACTTTTATTCGAGCAGAAGGCAAAAGAAACATTTTCACATTCTTCTTCAAACGGTTTATACGAGGAAAGTATCAACAACAAAACTACACGATTTTTTCAAGAAGCTGAATCTCCTGGTCTGACGAAAAAAAATTAGTCCAAGTGAGGACTTGATGTTCGCAACAACGACGACGTCAGTCTTCCGGCCAAAGGAACCAAGTGCAAGTCGTAGAGCGAGTTCCACCTACTTTGATGCCTTTATGTGTTCTTGCTTCTTCGGTTGATCATGTTGATGACCAGCAGCCTTTTCTTGCGCCGTCGATCGTCACCTACCGCATCTGTTCTCGTTCTTACGTCGTCGTCGCGTTGACATTTCTGTCTAAGTGCTGAATACCATGCAGAAAGCCAACATTTTAGTGCGTAGGACATTTATACTAATTCAAATTCTAGCTTGAGTGCTGCCTGCAGCTGCAGCATGATGGCCCTAAGAATAATACCTTCTTGGTTTTTTTTTTGTAATTCTACTCCCGCTTCGGGACTGAAGCAACGGTGTTTTCGCTTTCGTGGGTTGGAAATTTAGATTTCCTGTGGCTGCACCACACCAGAGCACTCGTACGTCGGCTATGGTGGTGAAAAACTGCATTAGTACGGATGTTGCAAATTCGAATTAAACGTTTCAGGAAAGAATTGGAAGTGTTGTCGGTGAGTCTGAGTTGTGCAGAGGCAAAGATAATTGACTCGGTCCCAGTTGTGGTTTTCCCGTCCTCGTGCAGCTCTGCATGGCAGCGTAGTTGTCTTGACAATAGAGTACCCATGTACAACGTTGTGCCCACCTTTCGCTATATATTTCGGTGTAGTTTTTCTATTTGTCCCCTCGTGCGCACCTCCTGCAGCTTCTGTTTATTAGTGCCGTCTGGCCCCCCGCCTTGCTCTTCAGGATAACTCACTGTTCATGTGTCGGTTTTGATATCGTACAAGAACGGCTTATTTTGTTTTCGGTTTTGTCGTGTGAGAACGTGAACGGGCGTTTTTTATCGGTTTTTTTCTGTCGTGGTGGTTTTCTCATCGGTTTGGTCGTGCAAGAATGGTGATTTTCTTCTCTTCATCGGTTTGGTCGTGCAAGAGTGGTCGTTTATTTATCGGTTTTGATGTTCTCGCATTGCAAGAACGGTAGTTCTTTATTCGGTTTTGTCGTGCGACTTACTGTGATGGCGTAATAGAAGCAGGTATGTGTTTATTGTTGAAATTTCTTCATCATGTAACTTATGGCTATGGTTCTTCGACAACTTGTTCCTGTTCTCTTTTCCACCTTTTCCAGGAGTTGCCAAGGATGTAGTGCTGGTCCTGTACCAGCCATCGACTCCACCCACTTTTTACTTCATGTAAACATAAAACCGAAACGCCGATTTAACTTTCATTTAAACTTCTTTTGATCACATCATAATTGTCATTGACCCCCACGTCATCCGTATTGAATTCGCTTTCTTGTCTTCTTTTCGCATTTTTTTTTTACATTAATAACATTGCACCAGACTTCGCATGATTCGCTGTCCCCCTGAAAATAGTAGTACACATTGATCTCGATCTCCCTATTGCTTTTCTGTTTACAACTGAATTTTGTTTGACATACATTACTTATCTCTAAGCAACACTTGAAGGACCACTCACTCAACGCACTTATTAACGACACTATTAAAGACCTACGTCGACTGAATTTATTGCTCTTGACGACCCAATTTAACGAACATTTTGATGCACTACCAGGACACTTTATTTTTACAAATAAGATCATTACACCTCAAGCGAAGAAAAGGGAATCAAGAGTAAAAAAAGCAAGTACTACAACCTCCCCAAGAGGAAATTTTGTTTTCTAATTTTTCACGTTTAACTTCAATTTTGCATTTTGCATTTATCCCACGCCACTTCTTGTGAACATCCAGGACAGGAGCCCCAGCACCTTCTGCGACCTGTAAGTACATTCCGTCGTGACGGAGCTGCCCCTGCAACTTGAGATCTACCAAAGGAAAACGACATCAAAACGCGTCCGAGGAAAAATAAAAAAACGCGCGACCCCTGCAACACCGATCTTCATCTCCAGGGGGAAGCATTTTGGTAGCTGTTACGCCATGCAAATATCGTCCCTGTACGGCTGGAAGAGTGCAAGGTTTGTAATGCATCTCGCGGACGACCACATCACACATGATCTACATCTACCAGCATCAGCATCTGGAATGCACGCAGAAGCATTACAGATTTTGCAAAACCTGCTTCTTGCCTAACCAGCGTGAGAAATCGAAATCCGTGTTTTTCTTTTTAGCAGCAACAAGTGTGCACCTTTTGGGTTTCTGCAACACAGATTTGCATTTTTTTGTTGTCGAGACTTCGCATCAGAAAAAGCTGCAACATTCTTCCAGACATCTTCCAGGGTGGATATTTGCAATGCATAGCAGTAGCACCGCCACAGCTGCTCGTTGCGGCCGCCGCACGACACCCTGCTTCGCTTCGACCCGGCACCGAGATCATCATGATGGCCACGAAGAGGAAGATCGCGAAAGCGACGGTATTCGTAATTGTTTTTTTATTTTTTCCGATGTTGGATGGAAAAATGTAATTTTTGCACGTGGGCTTTTACTTTGAGTTTGACTTCTTTGTCGCACTTGGAATTATCGCTGTCGCGAAATAACGTTGATGTCCACCTCCACATTGCTCAACTGCATCTTCTACTTCGGTGGGGTAGACAAAAAGAACCGCGCCGGTCGAGCAGGCCCTTGAATATTAAAGGAACATCAATCACGAACGCTAGAAGGACTTCTACCCTTTACCATTACCTGCGTGCTGACCCACGACTAGCAGTAGCCCCGTTTTCTTAGTCTCTCTGCATAGAAACCGCACGTAAAGTTGATTCCAATCTTTCAAAATCCAAATCCAAATCTGAATCGTGTCACACAAGAAATAAACTAGATTGCGAAATTTCTATCAGGCACGACTGGCGGTTTTATTTGTGGTGGCAAATCGTGAAGATTATGGTGTGGAGCTCTTTTGCGCGGGTGTATGGAGAGAAAAACAAAATGTAGTTTTATACTCGCGATAAGCTGCCACTGCCAGCATGTACATGCTTAAGTATTTTTCCACCTCTGGAACAGCAGGATGGGCAGCTTGTATGATGAATTCATTTAGCAGATTTCCCGAGGTCGTTGTACTTGTACTTTGTACGCGGGTCGCTACCTATCATGTATGCAAACTTGTATCTAAATTCGCGGCGATGAAAAAAGGAAATCTAAATGTAAAAAAGGAAAGAATATCGCGGCGATGAAGGGACTACTTTATTTCCCCACCATACGTGGCTGCGACCGCGGAAGAAGGACTATCAAGTGCAAATCCAAATGTCCACCTCCGTGGATCTGGAACACGGCAGTTATTTGTGAAGATAGTGCAGCTTTCGCATGTGCTGGCCCAGACGGAGGTTTGAATGAAAGCGAACGACCCTCTGTTGCATGACAAGTTTGATGGTTGAGACAGCTCCTCGAGGAACGAATGCTCGCTCTGCATGAGAAATGTCATGATCTCCAGCTGGTCAAACAAAGTAGGAGATCATGGTTATTGCAGCTATTCATATCTTCACATGTACAGCTTTAGCTTTTTGTGTAGAGGTAGACCAGTAGAGCATTTTAACCTCTGTAGCAGTTGTAGCATCTTCACAAATTAAAAACTCGGATCGACTGTTCCAGAGGACCCAGATGTTTGGTTTTTGCACTTACCACTGCATAGCGAGCACCAGAAGGAAACAAGTTCGACTATGGAGGTCTCAAACCTTTGCATTCTCAACTGTATACGCGATTTGTCATGCAAAAGCACTCACAGCCAGAGCCACCACACGATCTTCAAGCTACTTCACACGACACATCATTCTCGATGAAGGGGCAAACGGCACGGAAATCTGTATGTGCGGAATTTGTGACGCGAGAGTTGCAAGCGTTCGCTTTTGCTATTCTTGCATTACAAATTCACGTAACAGTTGAGAATGTGACGGTTGAGGACTCCATATCGGCTTTCTCGAAGACGAGGATCCTCCTGGTCCGAGGAAAACGAGGCTCGAAAAACGGCGAGGGAAGGACAAGATGAATATCAAATGCAAATTAATACTTATGTCTGGATCTTCTAGAAGCTTGTGATGCTGAAATGAGATCATGATGGCAACACGACCTTCCAATGCACGACCAGCCAAGCATGACAACTTTGGAGAACGCTTTGATCTTGATGTTGATCGCATACGGAGTCCGCATGAAGAGCAACTGCGTTTTTGCATGACGAAGAAGGCTGCGAGACTTTTGTTGGTCATGCAATACAGATCTCACAGCCACAGGCACAGGGATGTAGGGCCAGCATTACAAGTTCGAACTGTCCAGACATCCAGGGATGATCAAATTTGCAGTGCATAAAGAAAACGAGGCTGCGAAAACAAGCGAGGGCAGGAGCTCGTTCCGCGGTGAAGTCGAAGTCGCCCGCGCCAGCACAGGTTGTGGATGTATCAACACGCAGAAAAATTGGCGAACGTCCTACCATATCAGATTGCGAATTACATGTCTGAGTCTGGAAGACGATGACGAGGGCAAAATTGTGGTGCATGCTGTGGGTCCTACAGAAATTTGTCTTGCGTCATGACTAGTATCACCCAAAGTGGCCCAGTTTCGGTCAAGTTCTTGTCAGGAAGTTTCTCATGCAGGATACGGATTAAAAATGATAAAAAGGCCTTCATCAGGACTCTGTGATGCCAGGTGCTAAACTCCAGCACCAGACCTCATGGGGTATGGGTATGGGAACCCCGCATTACAAACCTTGCAATCTTGCAGAAGCAGACCCAGACAACATATTTGCAATGCATAAAGCACCACTCCTGATCCGTTTTCCACCTCAGCAGGGGAGAAACAAAGGCTAAGGCTTGCTTGCATAAAGTAGAGCGTGCATAATAGTACCTGATGTATGTCTATGTTGAAGATGCAGAAAAAGTGTAAGTAGGTCTACTTCCTCTGCGGTCAGGTCAGCTTGACAAGTAGTTCGAGAGACACCAAGAAATGACGCAAAGTTCGAGAAGAGATCGCTATCTGGCCGTTGCCGGAGCATACAAATTTACTAAAAAGTCTGCATGCAGGTACGGCTAGTAGTAGTACAAGTACTCCAGTGCTGCATCCTCTTCCTCGGGTAGTTGAACCGCTTTGCACGTACGTCTTTGACTACGTACTCGAAAATAGAACTGTGATTCAGATGAAATCAGAATCACTTCAGAAGAAGTTTCTCGTCAACCATGGAAACCGGAGAAAATTTGTTTCCACCTCCGGGTTTGGTGTAGTTTGGGACCAAGACAATTTTTCAACGCCGTGATAGCAGGAGCCAGCGCCGTTTCTGGACCAGCTGCAAGGTGGCCCACTCTCGGCATCAACAAACCCGGATTGTATGGAATGTAAATGACGAGAACAAACGGATTGCGGCCACTTCTTGAGTCCTCCAACATCGTGGTTTATTTGAATTCCAATTAAGTAAGGACTTCAACTTCTATGTCTGCTGCGGAAGTGGCTAGTTCTTGTTGGATTTGCAGCACTGCTGCGGGTGACTCTTCTGTATTTGCGATGTAAAACATCGAATTTCAATTTTTAGAACCCACATCATGTGATCCTTGCGCTGTTTTTACTTCTTACACGACTGTGTGCCTTTTGGTCATGAACTCCCGCTCCTGCGCCCGCAGCGGCCGCTTGGATACATGAATCTGGGACAAGGCTTGCTGGTGGCAAGAAAGCGTACTTAGAACAAGGTGCATCAAGTGCAGTTCGTTGTGTAAGACAAGAATCTTCAATAGCGAAGTTGAACGAAGAAGTTTCGCCGCTTAATAGTTCGCCGCGTGGGAAGATGTAGATCTAGATGCACATGGGTGCTCTAAAAGGTTGTCGTTGTAGAGTACTCTTCATATGAGGAATTCTGGACTTTTGGTTTTCCGGCGTTACCCAGGACAAACCTACCGTGTCACAACTAGGTTTGGCTTGATTGTGACTCAACGGAAGTGTGCCGCAATAGCAATTTGTTCCTTGGGATAAAGTCAAAACTGGAGCAGCAGCCGTCGCCGGCGATGGCGCCGGTGGATTCTTTACTACCATGAAAAAAGCCATCCCCCCACCCTGCCCTGAGATAAAATAAAAAGCATGACTCTGTGTGGCGTCTTTTGTATGTCGCAGGAAATCGTGTTGTCGCGACGCAATGGGTGACTTCTGCTGCTGGCGCATAACCATAGGCTCTGCCGTTCTGCCTGGTGGCTTAGTTTGTAGCGTTGAGTTTGGCCATCTGTCACAAGAACAAGGCATGGCTCTAGTAACCCTATCTGTTCATCTAGTACGTAGTGATAATGAACAAAATGAAAATTGAAATTAGTAGCGTATTGAGAATGAAGATGAACAAGACTTGTGTCGCTCCCTCACCCGGAAGGTTTTGTATAAAAAACAAGCAGGGCGCCGGGGGCGTGGTGGCGTTTTTCCACACGATAGATCTCGAAGATCGCTGAAGCTGCCAAAAGCGCGTACGATACCGCACTGCAGGCACTGCAGGATCCGGATCGCCACCTTGATGCAGCAAATTTTCTGACAAAGGTACCAACGCTGTTGGGTTTTCTCAGCATGCCGGACACCAAGAGGGTCTTTCAGTGGTATGCAATGCTGAAGCCATCTGTTCCGCAGCCGCCGGTGCTGGGATGGAAGTGGAACTGGTATGAACAGAAGAGGAGTGGTCTTGCAGGGAGGTGGTCGCAGCACCAACAGATGTTCCGGATTGTCATGCGACTTTGCACACTGCATCATAGACGCATGATTTTTCTATGATACCAAAGCAAATAAAAGTGTAGTAAAACCACATGAAGGACATTGTTTGATGTTAGTGTGCTTTTTGCATAGCAAGAAAGAGGAAGAAGGAGGCAGGCCCAAGTTAGCAGGACAAATTGGAGCTGGTTTGTCAGGGCTAGCCGCACCAGTCCCCTGTCCCCCACCAAACCACTCCCTTCCCCTCCATGAGTGGGCCGAAAGTATGACTCAGGGCATTATTCAGTACAGAAGCAGGACGAGCAGCACGAGCGCCGAACAAGCGAAACGCCAAAGCTCCGTCGAGTCTGCGGTCGTCGAAATTGTGGCTGCGGTGGGCCGTAGTGAAAGTCCTCCTGAGGGGTTGCTCGCTCAGGCACTCAACAAAGAAACCCCGCCTGTAGAAGGTGCTGCGTATGGTGTGTAAAAACGTTCCCCTTCCATGAGAATAGATCGTCCGCAAGAAGTCTTATTACGAGCCACGCGCGACAACTTTGAAAGCGGTGCTTAGCCAGTAGCGCAGCATCAAAAAGAAAGTCACTCGCTTCTCCTGTCTAGAGCATTACAAATTCGTATGCACCTTGAGGAAATGCTTCTCATGGGGACCGGCATGGCACATCGATCTGCATCTGCTGCTTGTGCGAGGTCTGCATCACATCAACTTTGCGTTTGGCTCTGCGGTGGTGGAAGCGTTTTTACGCAGGATAATGGGGGCACCAGCTTTAAAAAGGCAGTCCTCGACGAATGGCTGGGGAAGGAAATTAAATCCGACAAGCCTTATGCTTTGAAATTGTCAACAACTGCACACGACTCCTTTGCCGCTGCCCAGCAGCAACTACGCGTGTCAGAGCTCACTCTACAGCAGCCGTACCCGCAGGTGGCCGGGTTGGTGGCACTAGTGAAGGCGGCGGCAGTCGCCTTGGTCGAGAATGCCCTTTCCGACGTCGAGCCCAACTTCCACAGCCAGTTCGTAAACAATATCTGGACGCCTCTGACGAAAGAAATAGTCCAAGCTTTCGCCAAAAAGAAGATGACCGGACTAGGGTTGGAAAGTAACGACTTCGTCCCGGAAACGGTCGAGCACTGGTGCGAGGAAGATCTGGCCGACTTTCTGCGTGCGGTTGATGGTATTGCTTAGAACTGTTGAACTTGATCTCTTGTCGTGGGAAGCCGATGAAAAGGATGTATCAAAATCAATCTATAATTCCCCTAGGGGAAGGGGGCCGGGGCGGAACCACGTTTGTTTCCGGGAGTCGTGCTTCTTGTTCCACGAAACTGCCTTGGTTCTACTTCTGGTGGGAACGTCTTCCCGCCTTGGTTGTTTATGTTTTCCTGCCTCGCCATTTTTTCTTTTTGTGAGCGCCACATGCGGGCGTGGGATGAAATGGTCCAAGTAGGAGTCGCACAGAAGTTGCGTCCCTCGACTTTGGACCAGGCAGTCGCGCCGGGACTTTCAAACAGGCAGAGGCCTCGTTACACAGGATACTAATCTGGAATTTGAATGACGGTTGTAACATGGCGCCGCTGCTTCTTTTGCGAACGGTATAGAAAATAAATATGAAAATCTACAACCACAGAAGCAGCACCTCCGCCGCCAGAAGCTCCAGCTGCACCCGTATCCCATGAAAAAAAAGATTCCCGACCCATGATACAAGCGGAAGAAGGCAGTTGTGTTCGCTTCATGGAAGGAAACAAAAGCATTTAGTTTTAGTTTGGTTTCAGTGGATGAAAATCCAGCAACCCGAAGTTTTGTCCAAGTTGTACTTGTTTCTTCCAGACGCTTTTCTACATGTCATGAAATTCATGCATGGAGCCAAGCATTTTGTATGGACGTCTCCACCTGCGCCTGCCCTGGGGGTAAAAAAGCCAATGTCCGACTTTGTTTAGCGCCGGGCGTGGTGGGGGCAAAGCGTGCTATAATATTCGCTTATTCTTGTGCACATGCAAGTAGAGGTGTAACAAGCGGGAGGTCGGCATGTTTTTGCACGGGACAGCGGAAGCTACCAGCGACGATGACGCCCGATGAACTTGAAGACGCACTGAATGTCGCTTCAGAACAAGCTGTGACCGCGTACAAAGAAGTATTGGGGAACCTTCTGCCGGGCGCCGGGAAAGTCCAAAAGACTTTGTCTATTGATGTTGAAGGAACTCCTCATTCGGTTTCTGTGTCACTGCAAAAGCTGTATGAGTTTCTCAGCCAGCAGGACACCATGCGGGTCTTTACGTGGCTTTTAATGCTGAACCCAGCTTCAAGGACATGGTGGAAGTGGGAGTGGGCTAATGACATGGCTTTCGGCGTAAAAGGTTTGACATCGCCGTGGCGCGGGCTAGTCCATTTACAGGAAAAAGCCGATTTTGCAGCGGAGAAAATTGCGCACGCGGTGGACGATGGGCTCGCAATTTCAATGGGCGGCGAGCGCGATAAAAATTTTCTCACCCACGGACTTCTCGAAACCGATTTCAAGGAAGCCGTTCTCGACCGGGGCGGCCACCTCAACGAAGGGCCTGACGGGGTGTACAATCGCCGCGATATGCAGGGCGGAAAAGATGGCAGCGGTCCAGAAAATTTTGACGCCAACACAAAAACTTTGCTATCCAAGGCAGCCACAGGAGATGGAAGTGGCAGCACAGCTCTAAACCTCCAACAGCCATACCCCCGGGTCCTCGGGTTGCTGCGGGTAGTGACGGAGGCGGCAAGGAAAATATTTCAAGAAGCTTGGCAGGAGGCAGTCCGTGCCGACAGCACGCTGCAGGACAATGAGAGGGAGCGGGCCCTGTCACCTTTCCAAATGGAAGGCGTTTTTTCGTCCCAAATCTGGAACCTCTTAAAGAAGCACGCGATCAAAGCTTTCGCCGAACAGAAGCCGGGTTGGTTGAAATGGAAAAAAGGCGACCCCGCGTTCGTCCCGGCAGCGGCCGAGGATTGGTGCAAGGAAGATCTGGAAAAATTTCTCCTCGAGCTTGAAGGTACTATCAATCTATTTGTTAAACTAGTAGACCTGAGCTACTTTTACCACTACTGCAGACGTGCGAGTTGGTCCCGGAGCTACCCACTGTTGACCTTGAACTCGTGTGGCGGGATGAAAACGAACATGGAAACATAAAAGTAATCTATGCATAAACATAAAGTTCTCCTCGAATTTCGACAGCGTACTTCTCGTTTCAAATTGTAGGTGGAAAGCACAAGAACAACTCTGGGAAGCAGCTTCCCGGCGCCCGACCCCGAGTTGTTTTCTTGTTTCCTTGTCCCCTGTAGGAAGTTCAGGAAGGTGATAAGGTCAAGTAGAAGTAGAAGTAGGCCCAACCGGAGGTCGAAGGTGTCCGCAACGAACCGTCTTTGTTCGGCGTTTTTATGTTATGTGGCATTTGTAGTTTCGAAAAGTCGCTGCCGCGCCACCGGCGGCACGGAGTTTTCGACAAGTCGCGAGCCGCGTAACTACCCGGCGGCTCGGGCGGAGGTACAACTACCTCCAGCCCGGGTTACAAACATCACACAGATGAATCCTCCGAACAGCGCACGTTGATGATAAATCTTGCCCACTACAGCAAAGATACTTACAGCCCCCGTTTGCCATAAATTTGTAAACTGCTCACCAAACCTGCATCCACAGGCCCTGTTGCCGACGATGACGATGACGGAGTACCTTCAGAGAGGACGCCGTATGACGTAGCTCCCCTAGCAGGTAAGTCTAGCACGTGACTTAGTTGGGTTACTTCCTTGCTTTGCAGTCTTGCGCTGCGCCTATCGACCAGGACAACACGTTGATCCTCTGAGGAGCTATCCGACTTATACATGTATTCTTACTCTTCATCTGTGAGCATGATGCAACAACTGGTTCTGAGACGCCAGTGAGCAGAGGGCAGAGTAAGCCGTACTGCGCTTTATTGCGCTCAGAGCGATAATACTGAGCTGCGCATGTTGATCACGACAAATCTTGCCGACTACACGAAAGGAAACTCCAGCCCGCAGTTCGGCATAATTTTGATTTTTAAACTGAACGCGAAACCCACATTTACAACAGCTGCAGCGGTAGGACCGGCGCTGGGGACGCCAGTGGCGCCACCGGTCCCACAGGATCCCCACCCGAAGCTAGTGCCGCCACCCCCGAAAGTAGATCCACTGGTACTCCTATCACCATGTAAGACTCCCATCCCCCCGCCCCCCCGAGCAAAGCCGCTTATTGATGAAGAAGCCCGCTTTGCGAAAAACTGCCCGACATGAGTTAAAACCCGTGATAGTACTAGAACTGGAAAAAGATGAAGCTCTGCCGTGGGCCATTGACTCTGCGGCGAGCCTTTGATACCAGATTGCGCCGTGGGGGACCACCGGGTCGTGCAGGCGCGTGGTCTTGCTGGTGTCGGGGGTCGCCCTGCAGCGGGATGATCTTCCATACGCTAGAGCTCTAGGAAGGTAGCAGGAGCTGGGCCACGCCTTATTTTAGGCATGATACCGACGACGACGTAGCCGTTCGAAATATATAAAGACATCTCGACGCTGGGTGATGTTGTAGTACAAAGTAGTAGAAGGGGGTGTACAAGGAGTACATGATGGAGAAGTGGACTTACTTGATCAAGAAGGGTCTATTAGGTATAAAAAAAAGAAACGCAATTGCTGCTGGGACGAGCAGAGTAAGCAGAACTTTGGCGCCTACCCGCCTAAAGGGGGGATGGGAACGATTTTTGGCGGGATAGAAGACGCCGTCCTTTTCGGCGGACGGCGTTAAGCAGGGCGTTAAGGAGGCTGTTGAGCAAGCGTATGGACACGTCGCAAGCAAGTTCGCCACACTTACCTACAAGGTCGATGACAAACAAAGTGTTTGGTCGTGTCCGAGGTTGACGTTGGATTCGCTGCCAAACCTGTGGAAATTTCTCAACCAGGAGGATACCAAGAAGGTTTTTGAGTTTCTTGTAATGCTGAAGCCCAGCGCGAGCCCGACATGGTGGAAGTGGGAATGGGCTTTTGAAATGACCAAAGGAAGGACGATGAAGGGCGAAGTTGGCTCTACGGCTGACAAAATTGTACACGCGGTAAAAAACTCAAAACCCTCGTCGGCGGAAGGTGGTGGAGATGCTTCTCCAGTCGTTGAGAGCAAGTTTTTCAGCCGCGCAATCGTTGCCACCGCAGCGGCGGAGGACGTCCTCCGCACCAGCTTCAAAGAAGATGTCCTCCGTAAGAAACTGGGTGCAGCAGAGTATTCTGCTTACCCGGGTGACGAGAATGCTCAGCAAAAAATAAAACACTTGGTTTCCAATGCCGAAGGCGAAGCGAAGACGAAATCAAAAGGGGCGCCACCACTCAAAAAGCCATACCCGCAGGTCCTCGGGTTGGTGGCCGTAGCGAAGCAGGCGGCAAGAACTCTGTTCGAAAAGGACTTGGTGAGAATGGTACCTGAGCATTGCCCTTCATCACCATTGCCAGCGGATATTGGGGCGGCAGGCATGGACGCGCTTTTTGCGGAATCTGTCTGGAAGCCCTTAACGGGAAAGGCGATCGCGGCATTTGAGCCCACCCGAACAAGCCATGGAGAGAAAGATAGCAGGGTGTCGGAAAACCTTGAGAACCTCTGCCAGAAGGACCTGGAAGAGTTCCTTATCGGGCTCGACGGTATTCTTTCACAACTAGCGCATGACGTGTAATGTATTACCGCTATTCTACAAATCTATATCTATTTGTATTTCATCTTGGCGGGGAGAAGAGCGTCGTCACTTCCACGCGACGTGTGGTCGTGGGGCTGGGATGAAAATTTGTAAGCAGGAAGACCAGAAGCACGTGGTTACGTAACAAGCCATAAAGAACGAATACGAGGCAGAGCAATTGCAACTTTTGTTTAAAAAACCAAATAGACCGCAACCCTCAATGCAAAGTGCAAAGGCTGACCAAGCCGAATCACAGGCGAAGATGAAGATGAACTGGACGAGGACGCATCCGATGATGGAACAAAAACTCTTCCCGGAATACCAAAATTCACAGGAACGGCAGATCCAGCCGCAGTGGCCGCGGAGACACCAGCACCTCCTCCTTGGCCTCGTCCTGCAGTAGAGCCCCCACGACCAGCAGCGCCAGGAATTGGAGGTATTTGTGTACTTATTTTAGCGCTATTCATTGAAATGATAATGAAGGGACTTCGACTTTTACGTTTACCACTATAAATAATACTACTAATTAGACTATACTATTACGCTGGCGTCCGCGACGCCGGCAATGGGGCGAACGAAATATCGAAGATTAAGTACGAAAAGCCGCTTGTGAGAAAGAAGGAGCCCAGTATCATTCACAAAGCAGCTTACTTTCTGCAACACAGATTGCGGATTTCTTTCTCAGGAACAGCTCGGAGCTTTTGCGCCTTCTCTGATGGGAGCCAAGGTTAGGGCGTGGAAGCTAGGAACCACTGCTCCCGAGAAAGAGGGGAGGGCGCAAAAAAGCTGCTTTTCTGCGACGCAGATCGGCCGAGGTTTTCTCACTCAGGAGAGGCCTTGAGCTTCTACGCCCTCCTTCGGGAAGCGGCTAAAATCAGGTGGACGCTTGGCCCGGCCTCCACCTGCATTCGCTGGGCCCGGCGCCCGCGTGCATAGCCGGGACGCTTCGTATATTTGTATACAAATTATAGGAAGCGTCCCAGCACTCCCTCCAGATATGCAAATCCGTTTGCGTGCAGATATCCGAAATGCTTTTATTTATGCTATTTACGCGGAAATCTCGCCCTGCGGCATTGCATCAAGTGGTCCTCTTCCGCCTCACTTTCCGCACTTTGATTCGAATTCTCGTTGCTGTTGCTGCAGTCCGCAGCCCTACTACGAGTACGAGGGCGGCGGTATTATTAGCTTGGGCCGCGCCAGCACCACGCAACACAGATCGCAAAGGCGCCAGTGTAGTGCTGACGCATGAAAAAGAAGAGCGCGAGTACGCCCTTCACCTTCAGAGGGCTTGACGGATCCTAGGTTTTCGGACTGGCTGAATAGATTCTTGGGTGAGGACATTTGTGTTCAGTTCAGGTGGCTGACTCTGCTTCGCCCTTCTCGCTGGTAGCAACAGCAGGACGGGCAATGAGGCTTCCCCGCACGATGATCAAGGCGGGGAAGGAGATTTTTAGCCAGTCTAGAAAAAAGCCTGATTTGGAATTTGCTCTTTCACCAAACAGTCGTGTCTTCAGGAGCAGTGCAAAAGGGTAAGGATTCGGGCCATCATCAGGAAACGAAGTTTGTAAAAATTGAAATTGCGTATTTTGCACTGAGTACATTTTTCACAGGACCCGCAAGCGCAATGCCACCATCCCCCGAGGGCGCCCCGGGACCCGGCGCGACGGTATCACCATGAAAAAAGACGCCCCCTGCTGCTTCATGATAGCACAACCAAAAGGAAAATGCCTCCCCCGTGAAAGTTGCTTGCCTATGTTGCTCCAAGACTGGCCGATCCCCCTCTACTAGGCCGCAGGAGGCTGCAGGCGTATTCCTGTCCTAGGTGCCAGGACGCGGGCAGCCTGCCTTGATGGCGGGTGGACATGTAATGGGCAAAGTGCCTACGGCAGCCCGACTGCAGCCCGTCCTGCCGGTCTTCAGAGCCCATGCGCCTTTATTTGCAGCTTGGCCTGCTAGTATGAAAGGTTGCAGAGCAGGGCGCAGCCATCGTGCAGTGGCGCCACTTACACTTTCGCTCTATTAAGTATAATATAAATATGCTGTAGGACACGAGCGTGCGCGCGCCACTGCGCAAGGTAATCTCCCTGTCGTGCAGGCTGTCCTTTTTTTGTGGTTGTTCGAGGGGGCAAATCAGTCGTGTTGCTGCTTTGTCTGATAAGCACGGGGGACGACTTTTTTCGTCTTGCTAGAAGGCGGCGTCGCCGTTGGGGAACTTCAACAAGGAGGCATTTTCGCGCGCCTACCCTGTCGCAATTGAAAACCCCAATCTGGAAGACAAGTTCCTGGACGCGTACTCGAAAACATTGGAGGACCTGAAGAAAACCCCAAAGCAGTTGGGATCGGAAAAAATCGGAATCGCCTATGGAGAATTGTTTCCAGCCCTGTTCCATTTTCTCAGCCAGCCCGACGTCGCCAGGGTGTTTCAGTTTCTCGGCATGTTATCCACGCCCACGAACAGTGAGTCCCACCCTTGGAAGTCGGGCTGGTGGAAGTGGGAGCTTGCTTTCGACTTAGCTTGGTCGGGCGTGAAGACATCAGGTGGGGAGGAGGGCAGCCGGCGTATACCCAACCTCATCCGCTTGGAAGGGGAGCATGATATCGCGGATGCCGCTGCGAAGTTTGGCTCTGGCTCTACCACGGGCGAGGGGTTCCTCAAAGATCGACTCAGCGGAGGCATGTCTGCAGACATATCCCGAGCAAGAACGCCCCCACCACATCGCCAGCTTCAGAACTGCGCGCCACCAGTCTAGAAGCTTTCACGACTTGCAATTCCTTGGCGCACTTTTTTGCGGCCCATTTTCGTAGAAGGCAAATGAGTGATCTTAGGGAGCGCTGCTACCCCTAAGGAAAGTCGCAGCCCATCATGTGGATTTGCTATTTCCACCTGATTTGTCATGTGAAGAGCACGCCAAGCCCCACTTCATTCCATGCGATCTGGTGTGGTTTTTGGTGGTTGTTTTGCATCACAAAAGAGCTCTCTAGGCGAATCCGCATGATAGGACTAGCAGCAGCCGGGAAGGCCACTCCTTTGTTTCGCCTGCATGCATTTTGCTGTGGCCCCCATGATGTGCAAACACCACGCAGAGCTGTCGCCTGCTTTTTCGGTGAAGGAAATGGAAACGCGCTGCAGGTTCATTGCCGAAAAGCTTCGACCGGGGGTCGGATTTCAGAAGCGCGAGGGGTTCGTAAGAGTTAGGTCGCAACAGGGCTGCACTTCTGAAAAGCGTTGGCATTCCCCTTGGAAGGGTTTCACTCTGGCGCCTTCCGCCAGAAAGGCGAGAGCCTTTTAAGAGTGAAGCCGCAGCGAAATTTCCTCCGCTTCGCGAACGTCTTCGAGCCCCCGAAGGCTCTGGCCACGGGCCTCAGCAAAGTCGTGAGGGCCACAAGAGTGAAGGCGCATGGCGCCCCCGCTTCTGAAAGCTCTCCGGATTTGCGTCCGAGTCGCCGAGAAGCTTCCCCAAAGTGAAAAGGCGCGACTTTCTGGAGCGAACAGGGAACATTCAGCGAACTTCCACTACTTGTGGAAGAGGCAAACCGACCCCGGCGAACGTCCGCCCCTGGCGGAGAAAAGAGGAGGGGTTCCTCGCGAAAAGATGAAAACGCGCCGGGCCTCTCACTTTTCAAGAAGAATGTATGAACGGCCGCTGCAGCTCCCGAAGCCGCTCGTGAGCGTTTTCGGCGAGCAGTGGAAGACGTTTTGCAGCCCGCGGAAGCTTCGGCGCCCACGCGTGGTGGGCCTGGGCGCGCATTGTATTGAAGACTAGCCTGGGGTGGGGGCGTTTTTCGTCGCAATAGATCGCGAAGGAAGAGATGTTCGGCGAAAGTAGCACTTTGGGGCAGGAAAAGTATCTTCCCGCCGCTAAGCTGGTCGCGCAGCTAAATTATGCGTCCGACCACACAAAAAAACTTGTGCAGAAGAACAACGGCGAACAAGCCCTCGCCCAGCCATACCCACGGGCGGCGGGTTTGGCGGCCTTAGTAATCTCGGCGGGGCACAAGTTATTCCAAGATAAGCACCCAGACGGAAAATTTCCGCTCGATGGCATGCAGCCCGGGTTCAACTTCCAACAAGCGGTTTTGGCCCCTCTAACGGACACGGCGCGCCAAGTGTTTGCGAAGGTTGATGGGGGTGGCCGTATTGCTCCGCCATCCATAGAGACCGAGCGGCGGTGTGCGAACGCCGTGCGCGAGTTCCTGGGCGGGATGCGCGGTACTTATTTTTCCTAATGTGCGCGTGGTGTATTCATTGCATTCTCATGCAGTGTGGAAACGGTGAAGGGCTTCGGCGTCTCAGCGTTTCATCTGAGAGGAGGAGGCGTCGATACGTGGGCGCGCCACCTTCAAACGAAAGGGGGAATTAATTATTTGCCTGCGATGATTCAAGATGAAAAAAAAAAACCCAACACGCTAGGCGCGTATCTTTTGGCGCATGTCGTACGTCGGTTACAGGGTTTTGCCGCTGGTTTATCCCACGCGGCGGGGAATGCGAAAAGGGTGTGTAATTCCTCTTGCGGGCGAGAATAGGGCCACGCACTGGGGGACTCTGGAGTGCGTAGTGGTAGTTCCCGACCGACGACGCAAATGATAGGGAAATAAGTATGACAACAAGAACAACTCCCGGAAACGGCTTCCCGCCCTGGTTGTTTTCTTCTCTTCCCCATTTGCATTTGGAAGCCTAAGAGGCCGACTGACAAAACAAAGCTGCCAAAAAATAACTAGGAGGACCAAAGCCAAGTGCAAGCTGTAGAAGTCGAAGGCCTCCGCTACGAACCCTCGCTCTTCGCACAGTATCTTCATGCTTGCGAAAGTCGGTGTCGTGCCACCGCCGGCACAGACCGGGCGCGACTACCTCCAGCCCGGGTTACAAACATCGCTCAGGGCCGCGATCATATTTAGCACGCAGCGCTGGCTGATTTGAAAAAAATGTTGCTCACAACTACTACTACATCAAAGACACCTGCTACACCGCCGTTTGACATAATTTGTGAACCGCACACCAAAGAAACTTACATCCACAGAAACGCCAGCGGGAGCCGCACCGAAGCAGAAGCCGAAGCCGAAGCCGAAGCCGAAGCCCGCGCCACGGCGTGGTGATGGTCGTCCTCCGAACCCTCCACCCACAAGAACGTCAGGTGGGGGGGCAGCCACAGCGGCTGCACCTCTTGGTGGTGCCGGTGCCAATGTTGATAGTGGTTCTTTTCCCGTTGCCGGCGGTGTTGCTGGTGGTGGTGGTGGTGGTGGTGGTGGTGTTGTTCCCGGCGCCGCCGGGGCCGGTTTTGTTGCTGGTGGTGGCGGTGGTGCCGGGGCCGGTGTTGTTACTGGTGGTGGTGGTGGTGGTGGTGGTGGTGGTGGTGGTGGTGGTGGTGGTGGTGGACCAGCGCCGGGAGCGGTCTCGGCCACTACGCCGCAGCGCCCGGGGGGACAGCAGGCACGACTACTGCCGCCGGCGATGGCGCAGCCCGCGGGGGGAGGAGCCGCCGCCCCCCGGCCCCAGACAATCCTGGGCCAACCGGCCCAGCAGCAGGCGGCCCGGCCAATGGAGGAGAGGCCGCAGGCGTTTGCCCCCGTACCGAAAAGCGCGCCCGGGAACGCGGGTTGTTGCGGAGCATTTCTTGAGAAGCGGCGGGGCGATTCCCCGAAGCGCAAGCCCCCGCTTTTGATCGCTATCCTGGAGCAGAAAAGCACACTCCCACAAATAAGACAGCGCGCTTGCATCGTTCTTTGCAGTCGTATCAGCAGAGACCACCCGCGGCGAGGCCAGGGGCCATTTTCTGGCATGCAGAGCGCAGCCCCCCAGGCCGCGGGCCAACGGCTTTCACCTCGAATAAGGGTGTCGCGCACATTGTCTGCGCTGCCGCTGCCGAGCAGGCAAATCAACAACATATGGCCTGCAGCCTCAAAACAAATTGCGACTTCGCGACATCCAGGGCGCTGCGGGAGTTTGCTTTTCTGTGGCATAATCGCGTGAGAATGGCGAGGGGCGGCGTTTTTAAGTCATAGGGCCAGCAGGAGGCGTATGTGTATTCATTGCAAAGGCCTGCGCGTGCTCTCAGCAAGTAGCTGCGTGTAGGTATACAAACCTGCCCCGGGCGACGAATGCAAGCTCTACACGCTGAGCTGACGCAGGTCAGCCATGAAGTTTGCCATGTGCAAGTAGCGCGTGGCCCGGGTTCTGCAGTTACTTGAAGCACGAAGCAGGCCCTTTTGCACAGGATAGGGAACTGGCCCGGCAGTCGGCTCGCCTTCTTCATTCCCAGCAGGAGCAGAAGAAGTCGGGTGTGTAGATGGTTTCTTGCCAGTTTTTCGATATTGTTTTTTTTTTTCCATTTCGAGCGAATTTTCGAATTTTACGCATGAGAGCGCGCTCTGGTGATTTCACGTAGGCTCTCTGCGCCGCTTCCGCCTGATGTTAGTTTATTTTTTACAATGTGAGTGCTCACTCATTGTTGCTACACTTTCTGTGCGGGCGGTTTTTTCAACAACATACACGCCAATCGAGGAGCAGCTCATGATGTCCGCTTGCTCCAGCGACGGTTCAGTATTTATTTTTTGCTCATTGCGCAATCCCTGTCGCGTTTGTTTTGGGAAGTGTGCGCGCTCATTTTTTTGAAGCGCAATTTTTGGCGCAGCTTGAGCATTTTGCGGTAAGGGCCTCTGTCTGTTTGTACAGAGAGCTCCGCCCGCGGCGTGTCAGGCTTGTGCGTCGGAGTTGAAGAAGTTTTTCTCGTTTTCGCTCCGGATCATTCCCCATTGCGCCAACGTGTTGGCGCGGTGGGTTTGTTTACTCTTTTTCCCCTTCGATAAAAATAGCGGACGCGCCGCACCACCTAAGTAGAAGTTTGTTTTTCATCAAATATGATTATGATATAATTTTGCTGTTTGTTTCTCAGGAGTAAGTATTGAGGTTTTAATGTGTAACAAGGTAGCATCAAATACCGATCACTACAATATTTGGGTCTGGAAGGTGGACGCAAGGTTTGGCGTGCTCGCTTCACAAAATAGAGCAATGTCGTGCTCATTCCCAGGTAGCCGCCTCTCTTTGTGATGCAGTGACGCAGCCTGCCCTGGGGCTTCTCATGGAAGGCGTAGTTGTAGTGCCAAAAATTTTCATGCGAACAGTAGCTGCTTGTCATCCACAGCTTAATAACGTCACAAGTTTCCAGATCCAGACACATTTCCAGCGCATAGCACTTTTTTACGACATGTCACTGGGTGCTTTTCGTGATGCCTTTTAACATTCGAGCTGCATTTTCAAACGGAAAAATCTCAAAAGCCTGCATATCGCAATCAAGTTTGTATTGCAAAAAGGACACAAGTGTGTAGCAAAATGCTGCGCAGCGTTCTGTTTGGTGCATGCAAGACGGACTATCTGTTTTTGGGATACAAACCTACAAATAACGTGGCAACGTCCTGGATTATAATTTTAGCTGTGGGATATTGCGCCGGACAATAACACAGGAGTGGTGGTTCTTGAAGTAGCAGCCCACTCGGTCAAGAAAATATCCTGGAGGCAAACCTTTCCGATTCCGCCCCACAGTCAAGTGGAAGAGCAGGAAATATGCTAGACGGATCATAACCAACTGTGGGCGCCAGGCACGACAGGTTATTGCGGGCCGCAACTTCGAATGTAGTACTGATCAGTATGAGTGCGAGAAGAATTTGGTTGTTTCCTACTACAGCGACGCAAAGTAGTTGTAACCGGCCCCCGATGCCAACGTCTACCAGGCTTGTTGGTGAAATTGGGTCGCGAATTTATCTGAAGGAATAGAGGCGCATCGCAAGATGAAACTGTTCTCAGGTTTGTTCTTGTCAATATTCTCATTCATTGATTGGCTCCGTGCTTCTCCTTGTGAAGTAGGTTGTAGCTCGATATATTCACCTCTCGGTCTTCTAGTACTTACAACACAGGCTTTCATCATCATCTCCCCGACGGCAGGTAATTGTACCGGTGACAAGTAAGGACTCTCGGTTGCCCATCTTTCATCGTGGTTGATGGCGCTACAAGTAGCACAATGCAAGTACGAGCGCTGCAGCTGCCTACTTTCCATGGCGGCACTTCGGTCCTAGCATTTAGCGCTGGTAGTTCATCATCATCTAGAAGTTGCGCTTTCTGGTCGACGTGTCTTTATCATGATGAACTCCAGTACGTACAAGTAGAAGTACAGCTCGGTCCAGTGGGTAGTTAACCTTGATAACATCCTCGTGAAGCGTCAACTAAAAATGATCGGTTTGTCGTCTAAAGAAAAAACTCCTCCCTCCGACTTTTCGGTGCGTCGTTCTTCCTTGTTTCTTCGGTGTAGATACGAGAGCAAGAAAAACTCGGTTCGTTCGCGTACCACAGCTGGAGGTTTGTGGCGATGTAAAAAGCGAAAGTGTAATTCAAATTCTTACTCTAAATTTCGTATATGATTTGAAGACTTCGTGGAGCGTTTTATGCACTGCGTTGTGTTGTAGTCCTTGTTCGTGAAACAAAAGGAAAATACCCTTCCGCTCCTCGAACAAACGGAAGATCAATTTGTTTATTTCCCACACCGACACAGAGTCGTAACTAACTGGCACCCACCAGCTACCACTTTTCTTTATTCATCCCTGCTTCATATTTCTTGAAAAACAAAATTTGCGCTGCTCTTAAAAATCGTTTCGCAAGGTGTTGTTTCTATTTCTATTTCACCACATTTCGATTTCCCCCCCCCCCCACGTGGTGTTGTAGTTGTTTTGCCTGACGTAGTTCTTGCCCTTGACGTATACAAATTCAACTTGTGAACAAAAATCTTGAACTGCAAAAACCCTCCTGGCGGGTAACAAAAACGAAAACGAGGAGACAGTACGCAGCAAGGACGAGGAAATTATAAAACTGCAACTAGAACTACGCCAACGCCGGGAGCGGTTTGACAGTCAGCAGCACACGATACAACTAGAGGCTTGTCGTCGGCAGAAGTAGAGCTGGAGCTGCTGCGAAGGAACAACGAAGGGAACATCTTCCAAGCGACGCTTCATCCAGCTTCTGGCAAAGAGCAATTAACCGACAAAGAACAACAATCAACTGACACCTAGACGGCACTATCACTATCAACTGCAAAAGTGTCTGGGTCTGGAAGATTGCCAGGTTTGTCATGCATATTTTGCATGACGATGACCCATGACGCCAGTAGTGCATGACTTTTTAGCATCACAGATTTTACTTGGAAGGCTTCCTGATGCCTATTCTGCATGACAAATCATGCCGTCTCCGCGTAGCACAGTCTGAGCTCCTCTTGCTGGAGGTCATGCAATGCGGATGTTTTTAGAATCCAAAAACAGCATGACAAGTTTGGATCCTACTTCCAGACGACCCAGGAGACATATTTGCAATGCATAATCACGAACGGCAAGCAAAATGTCGTGGGCTCGTCGTCCAGAACCAGACCACGGTCGTGCACACTATGACAGTGCACAAGTCCCCCTCCACCTCATTTGTGTTGCATGAACGGCAATACAAGCAACAGCAAGAATGCCGGTTTTGCATGACAAATTTACACTGGAGTGTAGTGCTATTCGGGCTTCCGGAATTTGTCATGCAAACAGTGCCACAAGGCAGCGACTGGATTTGGGATTTTGCATGACAAATGAGGGGGACGAGGGGAGTTGTGCACTGTCATACACACTGGCAAGGGGCCAGAAAGCTTGCAGCAATCACGGTATAACTTGCTCTCGTCCGGCATAAGATGTTACAAATGCGCGGCTTCATGCTGTGATAGTCACAGCACCACAAAACTTCACGCCGCAATCGTAATTTCATCTCGGCCGTTTTTGTACATCACCGACTAGCGACACAGATGAACAACAGGAGGAGGGAAAAGAAAAAAAGTAAAAAGAGCTTGTTCGTACATCCTAGCGTACAGATCTGTAGTGGCGTCAACTACAAGACTCATTTCCTCCAACAACATTCAACTACCAGGCCCGCCATCTAGCGGTGCTGCAACTCGGCCAAGTGTTTGTTCTACACAATCAACACGACGCGCCGCATCATTTCTGTGCCGTCACGAGGACGACCACTTCTGGTGCGGCTTTGGCGGCTGAGGACAAAAATGACGCGGTAGAGGACAACGACGGGGTTACGTCTATGGGGTTCTCAAACGTTTACATTCTCAACTGTTACGTGAATTTATCATGCAAAACACCATCTTCATCCTTACGACCAAGCTGCTCCGCATTACAAATTTTCGAAGGGCTAAACCGCGCCTAAATCTGTGCGGAATTTGTAATGCGAAAGATGCGGCACTCCCCCTTTCACTTTTCCCATTCTTGCATCACAAGTTGATGTAACAATTGAGAGTGTTGTAACAGTTGAGAACGCCATAGCGTCCACCTCGACCACAAGCTTCCTGGAAGGGCAAGAAGCGGGAAAAAAAGCAGCCGTCATCATGGACGACAACGCTGACGACGATATCCTTGGTATTGAAAACGTCCCCACTTCCCCATAGTCAAGATGGACGCCTTGTTGATGTTGCTCGACAAATCCGCAAGGTTTATATACATAGGTGTCGCCCATGACAAATTTGTCGTGCAGCAGCACCCGCCGGCCCAAGAATCGTGGTTTGCGCACCGGCCGCACCAGAGAGCCGCTCGAATCAGTATCTGAATCCAAGCATGACAAACCCGACAGAATGTGATGAGAAATATAGTGCCTCTCAAAGTCTTCAAGCTCAATATGGAGATTCGCATGAGAAGTAAGTACCGTCCTGAGCATGCAAAATTTGCATGGCAAATCTTTGGTGGGGAAGTTTTTGCACATGACAGACGACGAAGTGGATTTCTCGTCCGACGATCACGACGCGGATATGCTCTTGCAAAAGACTGATCATACCATCACCCGCAATTACTTGAGGGGGTCATGCAGGATCGTAGTCGTACTAGATGTAGTTGTAGATGAAATTATCGCTTCTATCGAAATAAAAGACTTCATGTATGTATGTCTTTCGCATGACAAAGTGAAAACTGTAGAGTTCCTAAACTGATGGTGATGGTAATCATGAGGTTTACCTAAGGATAGCGGAGGTGGCTGCCTTCGTCTATTACAGTAAAAAGGGCCTCCCACCCCAAGGTTGCAAAAAGTTGTGATGCGAGGTTTTCAAATGAAAACTTTTTGTCATGCATGAAAGGAGTATGAAACTTTCTGATGCAGATTCTAGTCGTGGTTCGCATCGCTTACATGACAAGCACCGCTCTTGCTGGGATCTTTTGCAATACAAATTTTTGCTATTCACGATCGGAGATCTGTGATGCTGATACATGCAAGAGGCCGAGTGTTTGATTTGGAAAGGTTTGCAATACAAATACTTTCAAGTTCGGGGATGGGGGCATTTTTCATTGTAATATCGTCGCGTGGCACTTTCGGAGTGGAGGGGGCGTATGAGACTGCACAATTCCCCCTCTCCCTCATTTGAAGGGCATGGGCTGCAACACAAACACCGGATGGTGATGAAATGTGACTCCCGCATTACAAATTGAAATCCCCCACATACGGAGTGCAATGCTTCTGGTTTTTGAGATTCGAAGATCTGTCATGCGGAGAGAGCCGGAACGACGAAGACATTAATTGGGTATTTTGCATCACAAATGACGACAAGGGGGAGGAATTTTGCACTCTCATAAAGGGGCACGAATCAAATTCATCAGCCCGGTCGTGCAGGAAATCTTGGCGGGAGTGCGAAGAAGCATCTGCAGGGCAAGAAGAAGAAGCAGGAGAAAATCGACGTTCTTTTATCCTGTGTGAAAACGACGACGACATCCCCAAATCTTCTTCGTCACTTGTCATGCGAAATACCAAATCCGAATCCTGTGCAAGCCTTCTGGCACAAGATCATTGTGCATGGCAATTTTCAACTCTGAAGGCCCGAACAGTATGTGCAGCATTTTTGTTCAAGGCGTGAGGTCCAGTTCGTCTTGCGGAAACAAGTGCAGTATCCTACAGAAAAGTACATCGATGCCACGTCAGAAATTATTTTGTCATGCAAGTATTTTTTTTGTAAGTACGGCTACTTAATAGCCAGCACCCCAGGTGCAGGCAGTGAAAAAAGCAAATTGCTCAGGAGGATAATTTGTCTGGGCCGGTTTTTGTTTTCTGCCTTGGAGGTTTGCACAAACATATTCTCCATCTAGCATGACGGACATTTGCGGTGTAGTTGCGCCTAAGCATTGCAAGATGGCGGGAAAACAGCAACGCAATTTTTTGTGGGATGGACGATGTACTTTTCTGTGTGATAGTGCCGGATTGCCGACGAGGATGATGTTATGCCTTGCGAAAGTCCTAAGCGAATAGGAATATTGCGCCTCTGATTGAAATCTGAAAACCTTCAGAAGGTTTTCTCTTTCAGGCATAGCGACCATCTTAAGACACGGCGGGACAGTAACACGCTGCGGAAAGCGTTATGCAGAAGCCCTAGTTCTTTTATTTTGGTTTTGCACTCGCGGCCAGCCGAGCTAGATCAATGTCGTTCAAGGAGGTACACAAGACTACTGTCCTTTGTTGTCATGCGCGTGACTTCTCGAAAAAATTAAAATATAAATATATTTATAAGAATGGACTCGGTAAAAGCTCAAGCTGTATCAGGCCCAGACCCAGACGGTATTTCGCTTGCCTTTTCTTTTGCGCAGCTGCATAAGAGGCGACGCCGGCAGACGCCTATGACCCGCTCCGATGGCGCAATCCCAAGTGGAACAATTTGTGCTGCAAAATGCATAAAGTATGAATATGATAATGATCTGTCTAGCCATCATGATGTGCTATTATGGAGTCCAGTCGTGACGACACTCCAGGTCCAGCCCGCATTGAAATGATTCGCATAGAGAATTTGTCTTGGAAGTGGAACCAAATCTAGATCACGAAGACAACGCGATATTATACTACTGCTATTTGATTTGAATTTGTTTTTGTGCAAGACAAATTTATGTATATGTGGCTTTTTCTGTTTTTTGCTGCATTGCTCCGCCTGATATTCTTCCATCTGAGGTGGCCATATCGTCAAGATGCACTCGTTTTTTCGGTGAGCGTGGAACTTCCAGGGGGTGTTAAAAGGAAGCCGGATGACCGCCTAAAATTGGACGGCATGAAGCCTGGCGAGGATTACGCGCTGATTTCCCGAGAAGGCGGCCCCGATGACGAGGTGTGGGCTGCTGTGTTTCTCAACACTGGCAGGACTATCAGCTTGCACAAGAGCCCCGTAGTTTTCATTTTATTGTTCGATGAGATTGAAGTTGTAGTTGAACTACAGAACAGAAGAATCAAGGGTACATCTGTCGACTTTTTCTCGCGGAAAATCGAAATCCTAATTCAGGAAGTCGTGGCAGTTGCTGCTGCAAGTGCAAACGCAGCGTGCTGCAGTGTGCATCAAAGAAAACCATAGCTGCGAATGGGGATTGTAAGCTACAGTATACTACTCACTACACATCCTTTCATCTTCGCACGGCAACCGTAGCAAAGGGGACGAAACAGGGGCTCTTGTGCACTTGCATACCCACGAACCACATCACGCGAGCTTTTTCTATCCTACAGAATGGTTCTTTATCTCGTGCAGGAACCGGTTCCCGTAACTGTGTGTGAGGGGAGAAGGAGGTCGTAAATGGAGATCAACATAAAGAGAATAGATTCAATCTAGTCTCTTTACCTTGATATTTGTTATGAAACGAGTGCACATCGAAGTCAAACTCAACTTCAAGTTCAAGTGCTGTTGAAATATGCATGGAAACCGTGCTAGTACGTAAGAACCTTTCTGTGTGGTAGTGTCAGTGTCTTCGGAGACGCCAGCTGACGGCGTAGCGCAGCTGGGAGAGATGGAAGTTCTGGTCGAGGGCACGACGGACGCCAAGCAGAAGCTGTATGACTGCTTCCTTCTCGACAGCGAACTCCCCACAGCTGTCAGCGACACCCAAAGCACGGTTGCGCAGGACCTGACCGCACAGGACCAGCATGCCGATGATCAGCATGCCTGCATGCGGGATTGCACACTGGATCGGAACTGCTACGGCTGGGCCTGGTTCGACTCTCCTCGTGAAGATGGGGGCAGCAGGTGCGTGCGCTGGGGCCAGGACACATCTATCGACGTGAAAGCCGCATCTATTTACTGCAAAGTGAAAACGGGGGACGAAAGCGCATTTATTGTCCGGAAAATTTTTTACTCTCCAGGGCCCGCCCCAGCAATTTTGGGATTCTGATCACCTGTAGCCGCAAATCCTTCGGTCACGCCGGGAAAGACTGTCATGTAGGGCGAAGCCGTCATGTGGGGTAAAATTGTAAGGGCAGGAGAGGCCCGGGCGTCGGCAAAGGATAATTTTATTTGAACTTGATGGCACCGAATCCCCCGCAAGGCGCAATGATGAATTGACATGAAAGGATGGCCATTACAACCACTCGCTGGGGCGGGAGAGAGAATTTTCCTGCGTGATACCACTGGGCGAGGACAGTGATGCTCTTCACGGCGGTGCTCGGTCGGAGGGGTCGAGCGGCGCGAAATGATGTGACAAGCATCATTACTGAACCGTTTTCGACAGCTCTCAGTTTCTCAGCAAAGGAGTTGAATTTCGGAAAATGAAAAAGAAAATGTGAATTTGTGATGCAAATCCGGCGGCCTGGTGAACAAGCGAAGGTGTTCGGCCGACCGGGAGATGTCCTTCGTCTTCACTTCTTCTTCTTCGTTCTTCTTCGTTCTGCTCCGGAATTCGCAATGTGAGTGAATTTGCGATACAATTGGGAAAATAAATGCACTGTCGACTGTAGAGATAGTTTGTCATGCGTGCATGAATGTTGTGCTAAGCTACATCATGACAATTACAATCATATCGTCGCACTTTTGCAATGCATAACTAACAAGGATGGGGGCAAGAAGATGGAGGACGCCGCAAAGCCGACGTCTTTTGCGGCAAATATCCTGTGCAAAAGTATCGTACTCGTATGTTAAGTGCAAGTCTTGCATTACAAATCTTGTTCCCAAAGCAAATCCGCATTACAAATTGTATTTCTCATGCTGAGGAAATTAATATTTACATTGCTTGACTTCCGGGTTCAGGTTCTGGTACGGCATACCCCCGGCGACAGGTGACCTCGACAGGTGACCTCGACAGGTGACCCCGACAGGTGACCTCGACAGGTGACATCGACAGGTGGCCTCGACAGGTGACCTTGACAGGTGACCTTGACAGGTGACCTGGACAGGTGACCTGGACAGGTGACCTGGACAGGTGGCCGCGACAGGTGACGACGACAGGCGGGGCGAGAGGATAAATCACAGGCGAGGTCAACGCCTGCGCTCATGTCGTTCTTGACGTGAAAAGCAAATATTTGCGACACAGAAAATGAAAAAGATAAAAGCGCAAAAAAAAAAACTGCGACGTCGCAGAAAATGGAAAATATCAAAGCGCAAAAACACAAAATGCCCCCACACAGAAAGAAGTTTTTGCGCTGCCATGCAAAAATGAAAAAGTGCGTATCTCTGCAATGCACGCCCAGGAGACGGCTTATATATGATGACGAGGCAGCACCTATTTCATCCTTTTGCCAGTAGCGCTTCGCGCACTAAGCCACCATGCGCGCGCCTGGTGTGAGGTGAGGGGCGGACGCTGTCCGCCCCGATGGCGAACACCCTTCCCCCACTAGAGCCACTAAGGACGGGCACAAGGCCCCAGCGTGGGGACCCTGTCCCCACGCGTGGGTCTTGTTTGTCATGCAATGTATACTAGTACGGTACTTTTGCAATTCATAGCAAAGAAGATTGGGCAACTGTCGCACTACAACAAGGCGGCGGAGGCGTATCAGAAGAAAAAAGTTCGTCACGATCACTCATGCGCACTTTTGCAATACAAAAAATGCCTGTCATGCGTAAAAATGCATCACAGCCAAACTTCATAGGGGATTCCCCTAATAGTGTTTCTGCAATACAAGGAAAGGCTGTGATGCTGAAAAAATTTGTAATGCAAAATCTCCAGGTTAATGACTGTGACAAACTTTTTTCTTTCCATAAGGCGGATTTCCTGGACGCGCGGGCCCTGCATCTGTCCCTGAAAGCCTCCGTGTTGCTACGCATCGCAAATATCTTTGGCTACTTTGGAACAGGAAAAAAAGGCATAAGCGGTTAGTAGAGTTTGTGTCGACGCAGCTCTCAGTCTCATTTCATCTTCTTGGTCGTGTGCTGCCCTACGCATGACAACTTCCTACTCCTTGCGAACTCGCAGTCCCCAGAATTCTTCAGCTTCACATCTACAATCCTTCTTCCCCCAGCTGCATTTTTCCAGCGGCCAGAACACGAGATCCTTTTTTCATGTTTCCACGCATGACAGATCTGGAGGTGACAGCAACCGCGCATTACAAATTTGATATCCTGTCATAGAAAAAGGTATTTGCGATTCATAGCAAGTGAGCTTCAACGACTTGGAAGCAGCAAAAGAAACCGTCGCGGACGAGCTGAACTATGCTATTGGAAAATTCCTTTCGATCGACGATTTCGATTTCTTTACTGATTCTTGCGCATTCAGGATCAGCATATACATGTTTATTTCCTTACCTTTGCTTGTGCCTGTAAATGTATAAAGCAAATGAAATGAATTTCAGAACATCATAAATAGCTCCTGTTTGATTATACCATCCACCAGAGCAATTTTTGCATTGCAAATCCAGATCCAGATCGAGATTGAATATCGAAGGAATTTTTCCCTAGCATATCAAAGACGAACTCTTCAAGTACCGGGTGCCCGTCAGCGTAAAGCCACGAGTTTTATGCATTGCGAATTTGTGGATGTGGCGATCATTCTCCGACAGGTGAACATTGTCATGCAAAACCGGCGTACGCCTACGCCTGCTGTGCTCTTTGTAGCACGTGCACTTGTTACCGCGACTTCTACTTTCTTGCTTCCTCGAGAGGTAATTGTTTCATCAGGCATATCGGCACCAGCAAGAAGTTGGGAACTGTGCTGTGACTGTAAAGTTTGAATTTGCATCAATATAATTCAGAACAGCTCGACACACCAATTATTTCCTTTCATAAGGCTTCGCTTGGTTTTACAAAAGTCAGATGCTGGTCTACCACCTCGCGCAGGACAGGTCCAAGTATAAGAAATAAGTAAATTTGTTTCTTGTCGTAGTTTGTCATGCAGAATTTGCATTCTAGCAACGCTCTACGAGATAGGAACGGATATGATGTGCTGTCATTATTTGTTCTCATCGGAAACTAAGAAAAAGAAGTAGTACGAGGTTGATCATGAGGCTCTTTCGACGGACATAGAAGTAGGTAAAACTCGAACTCCTTTATTTTCGCGAAAGGACGACGCATAAGAAAAAAGAAATGTAAATCCTTTATTCACGACACAGGTACTACGCCGCGGGTGTGAACTACCTCCGGTACACTCCCTTATGAATTGCAAAAGTACTATCGTACTAGTAAAGTATAAACTGCATTACAAATTTCGTCAGCATGAGAAACAAAAATTTGTAATGCGGATTCACGTTAGGAAAAAGATTTGTAATGCATAAATCTGCTATTACTACTAGTACTACTACGATGCTTTTGCGGTCCATATCGCTTATCCGAGGTCGATTTCCCGCTTGTCGACCTGGCCGTCAACCTGGGCATCGCCGCCCTATATCGCCGCCCTATATCGCCTTGCTGCGCTTGATACTGACGAAAAAAAAAAACAGAATTGCATGCGCCGCAGTCTCATAGAAGGAGTCGGAAGCATGCCGTCGTAGATTTATAAATTGTTGCTTGTCCTCCACAGCGAATGGAAGATAGTATCGAGCAGAGCTACTACCTTTTTTGCGAACAACTAAAAGGATCATGAAGCAGCAGTATCGGTAAGATACTAGATGCATGACAAACACAACCAATATAAGAGGACCAAGCGCAAGCTAGCATCCTCGGGGGTCCATCTCAGGCTAATAATATTGTGCTCGAACCTAATTTTTCACAGCTTCATAGCGGAGGGAAAATACGAGCTCTACGATGCTTGTCAAAAAAAGTGGGCGGCTGAGGTAAAAACAAGAAAGAAATTTTGATTTTTCGATTATAAAGGCGGATCTATCGGATGGACACTAAGTACTGTGGAAAATAATCGAGATCACGACTAAGTCTCATGGCAATAGTACTCTTTCTTCCCTAGAGCTGGAACCACGAATTTGTGATGCATGGTGCAGCTCCTGCTGCACGTGTATGTCAACATGTTTTTCTACTATATCCGACCCGATCACAGATTAGCAAGGCGAGTATTTTGAAGGAGAAGGAGGCGGAGATTTACGAAAAATTTTGGTATCCACATTGAGCAGAAAAAAAATGGGGATTTGCTTTGCAGAAGGTGAAAGGCGGCCGCCTTGGGCGTGATGCATGTGCATGATAACATACAACTTTGTCATGCTGATAAACTACAGACACGATGCGGTCGCGGACGTCGTCCAGATCAATTTCGGTCTTAACACTGAAAATAATCGCAGTGAAAACCCCAATTGCACAGAGCCCGCATGTGCCAAAAGTCAGAGTGAAATACAAAAAATAAATTCCGTCCGAGAAAATAAAGATCATCCAGCAAAAGTTTTCAAGTCCATACTTCTTTCTCCACTGTCCTGATGGAGTTCGCGTTCCGGCAGCCGAAGGGGATAGGCAAGTGGAAAATTACAGTCTCACCATTCTGGTTGCCGTGGTGGAGTAAATTTTAATTTATTGCAGAAGATGAAATTCAAATTCAAAATCAAATTTGCCTGCTCCGTGTCGACGTTAGAAACGGATGTTTGCCGGCTGGCATTTACTTTTTCTTTCGAACTTCTATGTGGACATCCACCTCAGCATTGAAAAGTCAAAAAGAGAATGACAGGAAGTACGCGAAGAACTCTTGGGCTACTGCTAGTGCTCACTTGCATGACAAGTTTCATCTTCTTCACCCAAGCAGCTGGACGGAGCTGCTGGAGACTATGGCGTTCTCAAACGTTACATTCTCACCTGTTACACGATTTGTCATGCAAAATCAACATCAACATTCACAGAGTGAAGCGACTTCGCATGACAACTTCCCGGAGGGCTAAACAGCATTTAAATCTGTGCGGAATTTGTAATGCTAGAGCCGCAATTGTCCCCCTTGCTATTCTTGCATTACAAATTCATGTAACAGTTGAGAATGTAACAATTGAGAGTCCCATAGAGACTGCTGAATGAGACTGCTGGTTTTCCACAGGGATAAGCGAAGCGTACGATCCAGCTAAACGAGCTGCGGAAGCTGATCCGGGTGGAAGACATCGAAACGCTGCTGATCAACGCGATGTATCCTGTGCAAAAACGTCCACACCCCGCCAGAGTTGTCATGCTCCTTTGCAGTTCTTTATAGAAATAATAATGATTGTAATGCGCACCCCCCCATGATGATCATGAAGAGGGGCATTCTCTATCGTGTTTTGGAATTTGTAATGCTGGAAACAGGAGAAGGGAATGGATTTGTGGTGCGGCTCTCCTTGCTAAACTGCACAACACCAGAGAGATGAACTTGTCATGCGCGACTTCCAAAACTTGCGGACTTGTGTTGCTAAGTTCGCAATTTGGCTATGGGATGGGAACGTTTTTCCTCAGGATGCGATGTGTGCGGACCTCATCAAGGGAACGATCGACCAGGTGGAGCAGATATCAAATGCAAATACCTCTCAGTCTAGAAGATGTAATGCTATGTTGTCGTGCTCGTCTCACATGAGTCTTGAATCTGTAATGCGTGAGCAGGAAATATAAAGCCTTTCGCCTGTCGTGCAAAAATTTAGTTTGTCATGCGGAAAGCGAAAGCGAAACGCAAAGGAGCCATCCAGAAACTTGTCATGCGTGGCTGCGCATTGCAGTGAACCCACCATTTTTTGCTATCCAGCATCACAAGTTTCCTCCAGACCCGGACATATTTGCATTCGATAGCAGACCTTCTCTTACCACTACGTCAAGCCGCGTGTGCTGGATAAGACGAGAATCCACGACCTCGAGAGCAGGGTAAGGGTATTTTTGAAGGATAGTACTTTAGCTACATCTTTATTCCACGAGGACCTCCGCCCTCTTGTTCGTGATGCGTGACATGTAGAAATGTCTTCACTTTAGTTTCGCACACGCGCATGACAAATTTTCTCACTCTGATTTTGTCTACCGCATCACAAATTTTCGTAGGTCACCACATGGATCGAGCAGCAAAACGTGGTGTTGAAGCAGTTCGAATATGAATAGTGCAAAAGTATCGTACCTAGCTGAAATCGCATCACAAAGTCGCTCGGCATGTAAACAAATGGAATTTTTTGTCGTGCTGAATTACGTAATAACCTAGATTTGTCATGCAAAAATATTGCGATTACTACGTGTACGATACTTTTGCAGAGGATATCGAAGAGCTGTACGAAAGAGGAAGATTTTTTACTTGTCTTCAAGGAGAAGAAGGATGGACTATTAAGGGCGTCATGCGAATTTGTCAAGAACAGAATTTTTGTCATGCTAGCTAGGATCTCGATCTCCCGTGAAACAAACGGTGGCGTGCTGCTCGTTGCACTTTGGAGCTTTACTCCTCTATCTCTTTAAAGAAAAAAAATCTACTGCAAGGTCGGCGGGCTAATGCGCATCAGCAGTTCTTAGAAAAATATCGACCCGTCATTTGTTTTATTTCGACAAGGATCATCTTCTTTCCTTTCATACCCTCACCCCGGAGTTACTGGTGACGGTGTGATAATAAGTACCAAGGGGCTCCTGAACACGACGACGACGACGACGAAGTATAGAGATGAAAATCGTGATCTTCCCGCGTGTTCTTATCCCTAAGAAAAATCGCGCCATACCGTCGCGATTCGTGGGATTTTTTTATTCTAGGCAAGGCCTGGCGTGTCTGAGGCGAACAAAAGCGCCACCGCCCAGGGCTATCCAAAGCCTTCGCCGCGCATCATCCAGAGGGTCGCGCTTTCGTGCTTAGCGCAGCCCCAGCTCATGCGCCAGGGAACGCTCTGCACACTGACAGAATAACCGCCGGCCACTGTGTCCAAGTTCGCGCGCCCGGGCGCGAGCTGATGCCCCACCCAAAGAGCCCCCCCAAGCCGGGGCTACGCCGGCGGTCGCACCGGGCCGCGGCAGTGTGCGCGCCCACTCGTCTCTCTTTGTGTCAGGCAGCAGATGATGGCCCCTCCGGTGTTGTCTTTGGTGCCTGCGCCGTGCCGTCGGTCCTAAATTAGGACCGGTGGGGCGCTGGCTCCATAAAATGATATGTATATGGCTAAGGAACCAAGTCCACGAAGCAAAGATGGTGCTTCAGCTGCGCACGTTCCCGCTCGTGCATAGATAAGAACACTACTGCAGCGACCTGCTGTGGTGTTTTGGGATGAAGCAGAGTTGTAGCTTCGGCTCCAAATGTTCCCGTTCTCGTTTTCTGTTGTTCTTATCCTCCAACTCCGTGCATAGATAAAGAAGTTCTCATCTATGCACGGAGATGATTGGACGATCAGAATTGAAGCGTCTCCGCCAGATGTTCCCGTTCTCTCAAACATGCTGTTCTTATCCCTCCTGTTCGTGCATAGATAAGAACACCATTGTTAGGTCGTTACAAACGTGTTCTTATCTATGCACCATTTGGAGGATAAGAACAGCATGTTTGCGAGAACGGGAACATCTGGCGCAGAAGATGTCATTCTGCTTCGTGCCAGCACCACCGTCAGGTCGTTACAAACGTGTTCTTATCTATGCACGGCGTGGAGGATAAGAGCAGCAGTGTTCGAGAACGGGAACATTTGGCGCAGAAGCTCCAACTCTGCTTCATGCCAAAACATCAATGCCAGGGCGTTGCAGTAGGTGGTCTTATCTATCTCTCCGAAGCGTTCAAACGAGTACCAGGCGGGAAGCTTTCAAGGTCTTCTGCCAGTGCGTCCACCATCGCCGCGAAAGCGGCGCCAACGGCGAGTGAGCGGGGCGGTGGGTGGGAGATTGGGTTGCGCTTGAAGAGATCCAAGGGGTCACGAGGGGCCTGCGCACCAAGTCCGCACGAGCCGGCTTGCGGCCTTTTTTGGGTTGCGAGTACGTAGGGCCCGGGGCCGCGGAAAAGATGCTCGCCTGCGCCGGATGGCTGTGCTGTGAGTGCCCGTTGGGCGCGTCGATCTGCGCAGTGGGGGGGCGCTCATTAGTCTAGGTCTAGGTTCGTCGGGGTGCTGAAATGCCTGCTGGTTCCTCTAGAACGACGCCTGGGCCGCGTGCAAAAACCCACCAGGGGAGGCAACAGCACTTCTACGCAGGCGCGACCATAAAAACTGCAGCGCCTGCGTTGGCGCAAAAAAAAAGGCAAATCCCGACGGTATGCTGCGAATTTCTTTAGGGATAAGAACAGTGCTGAAGATCACCTATTTCGTCTCTATACGAAGATGTTGGTGGAACCACAGTAGAAGCTGTGAGAGTGAGAAACTGGATGAAACTAGCTTATTGTTCACGACGACCTTCATTATAGCGAAGTTCGTTGGACGAGGAACTCGTTCTGATTCTCGGCGTTGAACTAAAAAGAACCAGTTCAGATCTATGACACCAACGGTGCAGCTAGTCAAAGGAAACTCCTCCACCACTGTATCACGACCAGCCGATCTAGCATCATTGGGTGAGACAACAAGAGATGAAATTCGAGATTTCAACTTTTATTCGAGAAGGCAAAAACATTTTCACATTGATTCTTCTTCAAACGGTTTAATATACGAGGAAAGTATCAACAACAAAACTATATGATTTTTTCAAGAAGCTGAGCCTCCTGGTCTGACAAAAAAAATTAGTCCACGAGGTGGACTTGATGTTCTCAACAATGACGACATCAGTCTTCTGGCCAAAGGCACCAAGTGCAAGTCGTAGAGCGAGTTCCACCTACTTTGATGCCTTTATGTGTTCTTGCTTCTTCGGTTGATCATGTTGATGACCAGCAGCCTTTTCTTGCGCCGTCGATCGTCACCTACCGCATCTGTTCTCGTTCTTACGTCGTCGTCGCGTTGACATTTCTGTCTAAGTGCTGAATACCATGCAGAAAGCCAACATTTTAGTGCGTAGGACATTTATACTAATTCAAATTCTAGCTTGAGTGCTGCCTGCAGCTGCAGCATGATGGCCCTAAGAATAATACCTTCTTGGTTTTTTTTTTGTAATTCTACTCCCGCTTCGGGACTGAAGCAACGGTGTTTTCGCTTTCGTGGGTTGGAAATTTAGATTTCCTGTGGCTGCACCACACCAGAGCACTCGTACGTCGGCTATGGTGGTGAAAAACTGCATTAGTACGGATGTTGCAAATTCGAATTAAACGTTTCAGGAAAGAATTGGAAGTGTTGTCGGTGAGTCTGAGTTGTGCAGAGGCAAAGATAATTGACTCGGTCCCAGTTGTGGTTTTCCCGTCCTCGTGCAGCTCTGCATGGCAGCGTAGTTGTCTTGACAATAGAGTACCCATGTACAACGTTGTGCCCACCTTTCGCTATATATTTCGGTGTAGTTTTTCTATTTGTCCCCTCGTGCGCACCTCCTGCAGCTTCTGTTTATTAGTGCCGTCTGGCCCCCCGCCTTGCTCTTCAGGATAACTCACTGTTCATGTGTCGGTTTTGATATCGTACAAGAACGGCTTATTTTGTTTTCGGTTTTGTCGTGTGAGAACGTGAACGGGCGTTTTTTATCGGTTTTTTTCTGTCGTGGTGGTTTTCTCATCGGTTTGGTCGTGCAAGAATGGTGATTTTCTTCTCTTCATCGGTTTGGTCGTGCAAGAATGGTGATTTATTTTTCGGTTTTGATGTCCTCGTAGTCGTACACGTACTGCAAGAGCGGTGGTTCTTTAAGTATTCGGTTTTGTCGTGCGACTTACTTCTGTGATGGCGTATTAGTAAGAGTAGCAGTGATGGCGTAGTAGATGAAGTAGGTATGCGTTTTCGCTTATTGTTGAAATTTCTTCATCATGTACCTTATCGTCATGGTTCTTCGACAACTTGTTCCTGTTGTCTCCCTCACCTTTTCCAGGAGTTGCCAAGGATGTAGTGCTGGTCCCGCGCCAGCCATCGACTCCACCCACTTTTTACTTCATGTAAACATAAAACCGAAACGCCGATTTAACTTTCATTTGAACTTCTTTTGACCACGTTATAATTGTAATTTGACCCCCACGTCATCCGTATTGAATTCGCTTTCTTGTCTTCTTTTCGCATTTTTACATTAACATTGCAGACTTCTACTGATTCGTTGTCCCCCTGAAAATAATAGTAGTACACATTGATCTCCCTATTGCTTTTCTGTTTACAACTGAAGAATTTTGTTTGACATACATTACTTATCTCTAAGCAACACTTGAACGACTCACTCAACGCACTTATTAACGACACTATTAAAGACCTACGTCGACTGAATTTATTGCTCTTGACGACCCAATTTAACGAACATTTTGATGCACTACCAGGACACTTTATTTTTACAAATAAGATCATTACACCTCAAGCGAAGAAAAGGGAATCAAGAGTAAAAAAAGCAAGTACTACAACCTCCCCAAGAGGAAATTTTGTTTTCTAATTTTTCACGTTTAACTTCAATTTTGCATTTTGCATTTATCCCACGCCACTTCTTGTGAACATCCAGGACAGGAGCCCCAGCACCTTCTGCGACCTGTAAGTACATTCCGTCGTGACGGAGCTGCCCCTGCAACTTGAGATCTACCAAAGGAAAACGACATCAAAACGCGTCCGAGGAAAAATAAAAAAACGCGCGACCCCTGCAACACCGATCTTCATCTCCAGGGGGAAGCATTTTGGTAGCTGTTACGCCATGCAAATATCGTCCCTGTACGGCTGGAAGAGTGCAAGGTTTGTAATGCATCTCGCGGACGACCACATCACACATGATCTACATCTACCAGCATCAGCATCTGGAATGCACGCAGAAGCATTACAGATTTTGCAAAACCTGCTTCTTGCCTAACCAGCGTGAGAAATCGAAATCCGTGTTTTTCTTTTTAGCAGCAACAAGTGTGCACCTTTTGGGTTTCTGCAACACAGATTTGCATTTTTTTGTTGTCGAGACTTCGCATCAGAAAAAGCTGCAACATTCTTCCAGACATCTTCCAGGGTGGATATTTGCAATGCATAGCAGTAGCACCGCCACAGCTGCTCGTTGCGGCCGCCGCACGACACCCTGCTTCGCTTCGACCCGGCACCGAGATCATCATGATGGCCACGAAGAGGAAGATCGCGAAAGCGACGGTATTCGTAATTGTTTTTTATTTTTTCCGATGTCGGATGGAAAAATGTAATTTTTGCAGTGGGCTTTTACTTAACTTTGAGTTTGACTTCTTTGTCGCACTTGGAATTATCGCTGTCGCGAAATAACGTTGATGTCCACCTCCACATTGCTCAACTGCATCTTCTACTTCGATGGGGTAGACAAAAAGAACCGCGCCGGTCGAGCAGGCCCTTGAAGACTAAAGGAACATCAATCACGAACGCTAGAAGGAGTTCTACGCTTTACCATTACCTTCGTGCTGAGCCACGACTAGCAATAGCCCCGTTTTCTTAGTCTCTCTGCATAGAAACCGCACGTAAAGTTGATTCCAAATTTTCAAAATCCTAATCTCAATCGTGTCACACAAGAACAAAACCACGCTGCGAAATAACTACTAGGCACGACTGGCGGTTTTCGTGGTGGCAGGTCGCGACGATTATGGCGTGAAGATTTTTTGCGCGGGTGTATGGAGAGAGAAACAAAATGTACTTCCATATTGGCGATAACCCATGTTGATGCTGCTACTTGCTTTAGTTTTTCGCCTGGATGCGCAGCTCCTTGTCGTGTGATGAATTTGTATATTCGCAGATTTTCAGACGGCGCAGACGCTGTACTAACGCGGATCAGTTATTTTAGGAAGCAAACTCGTATCTAAAGAGAAAGGCAAGATTTTTATCGCGAAGACGGGACTACTTAAGTACTTTTATCCCACCATACTTTGCTGCGACCGCGGAAGAAGGACTATCAACTGCAAATGGCCTCTGTGGATCTTGAACACGGCAGATATTGGTGATCATGCTGCTTTCGCATGTGCTGGCTAAGACGGAGGTTTGAATGAAAGCGAACGACCCTCTGTAGCATGACAATTTTGATTGTTGAGACAGCTCCTCGAACGCATGCTCACTCTGCATGAGAAATGTCATGAGCTGCAGCTGGTCAAACAAAGTGGGAGATCATGGTTATTGCAGCTATTTATATCATATGTACAGCTTTTTGTGTAGACCAGTAAAGCGCATTAGCCTCTGTATCTTCATCTTCACAAATAAAAACTCGGATCGACTGTTCCAGAGGACCCAGATGTTGGGTATTTGCACTGCATAGCGAGCACCAGAAGGAAACACGTTCGACTATGGTGGTATCAAACCTTTGCATTTTCGGCTGCTACATGAGTTTGTAATGCAAGAATAGCAAAATTCAAAGAAATTGCCTGGCGGTATCTTGTTGCGCCTCTTGCACTACAAAGTTGAAACAGGTTCCCATCATGCAGGCCGGCTTCAACATCGTGTGCAGGCTGATGGTAGTTTTGCATCACAAATTCATCTATACAGCTGAGAATGTGACGGTTGAGAAATCCATATCGGCTATCTCGAAGACGAGAATCCTCCTGGTCCGAAAAAAACGAGGCTCGAAAAACGGCGAGGGAAGAATATCAAGCGCAAATATGTCTGGACGTCTGGAAACTTGTGATGCCAAAGGGAGACGATGCAAACGTCTCCGAATGCAGCCAATGGCATGACAACTTTGTAGAGCGCCTTCTACTCATAGTTGTACTCAGATCCCATAAGATAGAAACTGCGTTTTTGATTTTTCATAAGAGAAGAGGCTGCAACTTTTGTTGTTCATGATGCAATACAGATCTCACAGGGGTGATATAAGACCAGCAAATTATTACAGGTTCGACCTTGTTTCCAGACACCTGCATAAAGAAAACGAGGCTGCGAAAACAAGCGAGGGCAGGAGCTCGTTCTGCGGGGAAGTCGAAGTCGCCCGCACCGCAGGTTGTGGATGTATCAACACGCAGAAAAATTGGCGAACGTCCTACCATATCAGACTGCGAATTATGTGTCTGGGTCTGGAAGACGAGGGCAAACTTGTGGTGCATGCTGTGGGTCCTACAGAAATTTGTCTTGCGTCATGACCAGTATCACCAAAAGTGGCCCAGTTTTGGTCAAGTTCTTGTCAGGAAGTTTCTCACGAAGGAGTAGTGTAGCGGATTAAAGAGAAAAAGGCCTTGAACCCTCTCTGATGCTAGATCCTGGGTTCATCGAGGCCTCCCGGGCCATGAAAAGCCTGCATCACAAACCTTGCAATCGTCCAGACCCAGACATATTTGCAATGCATATACCACGACCATGCCTTTTTCCACCTGAACGGCCGAGAAATAAAGGCTAAGGCTCGCTTGCAGGAGAAGTAGAGCGCGCATAGTGATGCCTGATGTAGAGAAAGTATAAGTAGGCGGTCTACTTCCTCTTCGGGTTCGGTCAGATCAGCTATATTAACGAGTGAGGTCCTCTGAAGACATGATCAAGAAATGCAATCAAACAAAAAAAAAAATATCATTAAATTATTTTATTGGTCCTCTGAAAACAAAACCTTCCTCCGAGCGTGGTGGTCCGGACCAGGACAATTTTTCAACGCCGTGATAGCAGGAACCACCACCGTTTCTGGACCAGCTTATGGAATGCAAATATGTTTGGGTCTGGGAACTTGTGATGCTGGTTGGCAAATCTTGAGGACGCCACAATTGGCGCTCCAGCATGACAACTTTCTGAGGTGCTAAGTGTTGTCTAGTCTGCATGAGAAACTGCGTTTTTGCATGACAATAAAATGCGGCTTTTGGGTGTTGACGTGCATGACAGGCTTCAGAGTCATGCTAGCCGACCATGACAAATTGCGCATTCTTCCAGACCCAGACATATTTGCAATCCATACAGCTGCAAGGGCCACAACTCTCGGCATCTTCAACAAACCCGGACTGTATGGAATGTGAATGACGAGAACAAACGGATTGCGGCCACTTCTTGAGTCCATCGTGGTTTATTTGAATTCCAATTAAGGATTTCTATGTCAGTCTGCGAGAGTCGTGGCTAGTCCTCGTTCTCGTTGCAGTTGCAGTAGTACTGCTGAGAGTGACTCTTGCTTCTGTCCTTTCGACGTAAAATAAACTCGAATGTTCAATTTCTTGAACCCACATCATGTGAAGATCCTCGCGCCGCTGTTACTTCTTCTTACACGGCTGCGTGCCTTTTGGTCATGAACTCCCGCTCCTGCGCCCGCAGCGGCCGCTTGGATACATGAATCTTCTGGGACAAGGCTTGCTGATGGCAAGAAAGCGTACTTAGAACAAGCTGCATCAAGTGCAGTTCGTTGTGTAAGACAAGAATGAGAATCTTCAATAGCGAAGTTGAACGAAGAAGTTTCGTTGCTTACTTCACTGTGTGGGGAGATGTTGTAGATGGATGTTCTGAAAGTTTTAGAGTACTCTTCATATCATGAGGAATTCTGGATTTTTGGTTTTCCGGCGTCGCCCAGGAGAAACCTACCATTTCACAACTAGGTGTGCTTTGATTGTGACTCAACGGAAGGGCGCCGCAAGCGCAATTTCTTCCTTGGGATAATTTCAAAACTGCAGCAGGAGCCGTCGCCGCCGCCGCCGCCGGTGGATTTATTATCGCCGTGAAAAAAGCCATCCTCCCCGCCCTGCCCTAAGATAAAACAGAATACGTAACTTGTGCTGCGTCTTTTGTATGCCACAAGAAATCATCTTGTCGCGGCACAATGGAGGACTTCTGCAGTCGCATTGGGCTGCTTGGCAGTGAGTCTGACCTGTTAGTGGCCGTGGTAAGTAGTCTGCCCTTTGTCCTACCTACAAAATGGTGGAGATTCATACTTACACCGATAATTGCCTTCTAGAGCGCATAAGCGTCCAGGGGCTGCACCTGCAGCTCAGCTTGTTTTTTCGTTTTATAGAAGAAGAGGATATAATATGCGGCATGAATTGATTTTGTTTTTGATGGTGTCGGACACAGAGTAACTACTACAGATGAAGACTTTGGTGCTCACTACCAGTTTCTCGACGATGAGTACGCCATGCCCATGCTGAAGATGACAAGTACAAGGTATAATTGACTAGTCGATGTGTGCATTTTTGGCATGGTGCCGTACGTGAAAAGGACGACCCCGCGTTGAATGATGTATGACATCAGCAAGTGGAAGTGCTAGATGTACCAGGAAGAGTAGAAGATGTGCAAGGAGTTGGAGAAAAAGAACAAGTCAAGCCTAGAGTTACTTTCTTGTACACGACCTCCCCTCCCCCTTGCGGTACATTAGGGAGAGGCAGGGCACACACACAGGGTTTCCTCATTTAGGTACTTCTCTCGGGGGACGATCATGAAAAAAGTCATCATGACAAAAAGGGGGGATGGGAACGATTTTTGGCGGGATAGAAGGCGCCGTTCTTTTTGGTGGACGTTAAGCAGGCTGTTGAAGACGCGTATGGAGACGCAAGTAACTTCGCTATGAAACTGACCGACGATGGAAAAGGTGAGGAGTTCGTCTGGTCGTGTCCGAGTTTGACGTTGCAAAAGCTGCCAAACCTGTGGAAATTTCTCAACCAGGAGGATACCAAGAAGGTTTTTGAGTTTCTTGTAATGCTGACGCCCAGCGCGAGTCCGACATCGTGGCAGTTGGAGTGGGCTTTTGGAATTGGCAAAGGAAGGACGATGCAGCTTGAAGTTGACTCTACGGCTGACACTATTGCGCACGCGGTAAAAAACTCAAAACCCTCGTCGGCGGAAGGTGGTGGAGATGCTTCTCCAGTCGACGTTGAGAGCAAGTTTCTCAGCCACGCAATCGACGTTGCCACCGCAGCGGCGGAGACCGTCCGCCGCACGCGCACCAGCTTCAAAGAAGGTGTCCCGCTTGAGAAACTGACTGCAGCAGAGTATCTTGCCCACCCGGTTGACGAGGAGACTCAGCAAGAAATACAAGACTTGGTCTCCAGTGCCGATGGCGAAGCGACAACACCCAAAAAGCCATACCCGCAGGTCCTCTGGTTGGTGGCTGTAGTGAAGCAGGCGGCAGAAACTCTGCTCAAAGACGACTTGGTGGAAATGGTCCCTGAGCATGTGCATGATTGCCCTTCACCATTGCCAGCGAATATTGACGCGCTTTTTACGGAATCTGTCTGGTGGCCCTTATCGCGGCATTTGTCGGAATATGCGATCGCGACATTAGGGCCCATCCGAACAAAGCATGGAGAGATAAATATCCGCTTCTCGCAATACCTTGAGAACCTCGGCCAGGAGGAGCTGGACAAGTTCCTTACCGGGCTCGACGGTATTCTTTCACAACTAGCGCAATGCATTGCCGCTATTCTACAAATCTAAATCTATACCTATTTGTATTTCATCTTGGCGGGGAGAACATAAAGAGCTTCGTCACTTCCACGCGTTTATGGCATTCTCAAACGTAGTTATATACTCAGCTGTTGTGTGAATTAGAATTTGTCATGCAATATATAGCAAAATAAAGTGAAGAAGGGGGGAAGATGCCGCGCGTTCGATATTACAAATTCGAAGATTGCGGCGCGTTTTGTATTACAAATTTGGAGAGGTTTTTCATGCTGCCAAGCGCTTCGGGAATTTGTCATGCGGGGTAGCTTGATAGTGTGGGGGCGGAATGTGATTATACTGATAGCTGCGAACTCGCATGGCAAATTCATGTAGCAGCTGAGAATGTATAATTTGAGAACCCCATAGCCATAGCGCTGATCACGCGTTGACGTTTTCCACACGGGGAAGCGGTTCGGCTGCTCGTTCGCTCCCTCCAGATATGCAAACCCGTTTGCGTGCAGATATCCGAAATGCTTTTATGCTTATTTACGCGGAAATCTCGTCCTGCGGCATTGCATCAAGTGGTCCTCTTCAGCCTCATTTTCCGCACTTTGGTTCGAATTCTCGTTGCTGTTGCTGCAGTCCGCAGCCCTACAACAGCGAGGGCGGCAGTATTATTAGCTTGGGCTGCGCCAGCACCACGTCGCAACACAGATCGCAAAGGCGCCAGTGTAGTGCTGACGCATGAAAAAGAAGAGCGCGAGTACGCCCTTCACGTTCAGAGGGCTTGACGGATCCTAGATTTTCGGATTGGCTGGGTAGATTCTTGGGTGGGGACATTTGTGTTCAGTTTAGGTGGCTAACTCTGCTTCGCCCTTCTCGCGGGTAGGAACAGCAGGACGAGCAACGAGGCTTCCCCGCACGATGATCAAGGCGGGGAAGGAGATTTTTAGCCAGTCTAGAAAAAAGCCTGATTTAGAATTTGCTCTTCCACCACGCAGTCGCGTCTTTCTAGGAGTAGAGGCTGGAGAACAAGAGCAACCCCAACCTTCAGGAGCAGTGCAAAAGGGTGAGGATTCGGGCCATCATCAAGAAACGAAGTTTGCAAAAATTGAAAATGAAATTGCGTATTTTGCATTGAGTACATTTTTCACAGGACCAGAGGGAGGACTCGGAAGCGCAACGCCACCATCCCCCGAAGGCGCCCCGGGCCCCGGCGCGAAGCTATCACCATGAAAAAAGTCGCCCTCTGCTGCTTCATGATAGCACAACCAAAAGGAAAATGCCTCCCTCCCGCGTGAAAGTTACTTGCCCGTGTTGCCCCAAGACTGGCCGATCCCCCTATACTAGGCCGCAGGAGGCTGCAGGCGTACTCCTGTCCTAGGTGCCAGGACGGGGGCAGCCGTGATGGCGGGTGGACATGTAATGGGCAAAGTGCCTACGGAAGCGCGACGGCAGGCCGCCCTGCCGGTCTTCAGAGCCCATGCGCCTTTATTTGCAGCTTGGCCTGCTAGTATGAATGGTTGCAGAGCAGGGCGCAGCCATCGTGCAGTGGCGCCACTTTCGCTTTAAGTTCAATATATGCTGTAGGACACGAGCGTGCGCGCGCCACTGCGCAAGGTAATCTCCCTGTCGTGCAGGTTGTCCTTTAAGTTCAATATATGCTGACGGGAATAGGGTCACGCACTGGGGGACTCTGGAGTGCGTAGTGGTAGTTCCCGACCGACGACGCAAATGATAGGGAAATAAGTACGACAACAAGAACAACTCCCGGAAACGGCTCCCCGCCCTTTTTGTTTTCTTCTCTTCCCCATTTGGGAGCCTAAGAAGCCGACTGACAAAACAAAGCTGCCAAAAAATAACTAGGAGGACCAAAGCCAAGCGCAAGAAGCTGTAGAAGTCGAAGGCCTCCGCTACGAACCCTCGCTCTTCGCTCAGTATCTTCATGCTTGCGAAAGTCGTTGCCGCGCCACCGCCGGCACAGACCGGGCACGACTACATGTACCTCTAGCCCGAGTTACAAACGTCGCTCAGAGCCGCGATCATATTGAGGGAGAAGCGCTGGTTGATGAGAAAAAAAAATTGCTTACTACATGAAAGATACCCACAGGAGTCGCCGTTTGGCATAATTTGTGAACCGCACACCAAACCTACATCCACAGGAACGCCAGCGGCAGCCGCGCCGGCAGCGAACAAGGCCGCAGCACCTCTTGGTGGTGGTGGCACCAAACCTACATCCACAGGAACGCCAGCGGCAGCCGCGCCGGCAGCGAACAAGGCCGCAGCACCTCTTGGTGGTGGTGGCACCAAACCTACATCCACAGGAACGCCAGCGGCAGCCGCGCCGGCAGCGAACAAGGCCGCAGCACCTCTTGGTGGTGGTGGCACCAAACCTACATCCACAGGAACGCCAGCGGCAGCCGCGCCGGCAGCGAACAAGGCCGCAGCACCTCTTGGTGGTGGTGGTGGTGGTGGTGGTGGTGGTGGTGGTGGTGGTGGTGGTGGTGGTGGTGGTGGTGGTGGTGGTGGTGGTGGTGGTGGTGGTGGTGGTGGTGGTGGTGGTGGTGGTGGTGGTGGTGGTGGTGGTGGTGGTGGTGGTGGTGGTGGTGGTGGTGGTGGTGGTGGTGGTGGTGGTGGTGGTGGTGGTGGTGGTGGTGGTGGTGGTGGTGGTGGTGGTGGTGGTGGTGGTGGTGGTGGTGGTGGTGGTGGTGGTGGTGGTGGACCAGCGCCGGGAGCGGTCTCGGCCACTACGCCGCAGCGCCCGGGGGGACAGCAGGCACGACTACTGCCGCCGGCGATGGCGCAGCCCGCGGGGGGAGGAGCCGCCGCCCCCCGGCCCCAGACAATCCTGGGCCAACCGGCCCAGCAGCAGGCGGCCCGGCCAATGGAGGAGAGGCCGCAGGCGTTTGCCCCCGTACCGAAAAGCGCGCCCGGGAACGCGGGTTGTTGCGGAGCATTTCTTGAGAAGCGGCGGGGCGATTCCCCGAAGCGCAAGCCCCCGCTTTTGATCGCTATCCTGGAGCAGAAAAGCACACTCCCACAAATAAGACAGCGCGCTTGCATCGTTCTTTGCAGTCGTATCAGCAGAGACCACCCGCGGCGAGGCCAGGGGCCATTTTCTGGCATGCAGAGCGCAGCCCCCCAGGCCGCGGGCCAACGGCTTTCACCTCGAATAAGGGTGTCGCGCACATTGTCTGCGCTGCCGCTGCCGAGCAGGCAAATCAACAACATATGGCCTGCAGCCTCAAAACAAATTGCGACTTCGCGACATCCAGGGCGCTGCGGGAGTTTGCTTTTCTGTGGCATAATCGCGTGAGAATGGCGAGGGGCGGCGTTTTTAAGTCATAGGGCCAGCAGGAGGCGTATGTGTATTCATTGCAAAGGCCTGCGCGTGCTCTCAGCAAGTAGCTGCGCGTAGATATACAAACCTGCCCCGGGCGAAGAATGCAAGGTCTATACGCTGAGCTGACGCAGGTCAGACATGAAATTTGCCATGTGCAAGTAGCGCGTGGCCCGGGTTCTGCAGTTACCAGAAGCACGAAGTAGGCCCTATTGCACAGGATAAGGAACTGGCCCGGCAGTCGGCTCGCCTTCTTCATTGCCAGCAGGAGCAGAAGACGTCGGGTGCGTAGATGGTTTACTGTCGATTTTTCGATCTTGTTTTTTTTTTCCATTTCGAGCGCATTTTTGAACCTTACGCATGAGAACGCGCTCTAGTGATTTCGCATAAACTCTCTGCGCCACTTCTGCTTGATGTTAGTTTATTTTTTACGATGTGAGTGCTCACACACTTGTTGTTACTCTTACTACACTTTCTGTGCGGGCGGTTTTTTCAACAACATACACGCAAATCGAGGAGCGACCCATGCTGTTCGCTTGCTCCAGCGAAGGTTAAGTATTTTTTGTTTATTGCGCAGTCCCAATCGTGTTTGTTTTGGGAAGCAAGTGCGCGCACTCATTTTTTTGAAGCGCAATTTTTGGCACAGCTTGGGCATTTTGCGGTAAGGGCCTCTGTCTGTTTGTACCTACAGAGAGCTCCGCCCGCGGCGTGTCAGGCTTGTGCGTCGGGGTTGAAGAAGTTTTTCTCGTTTTCGCTCCGGATCATTCCCCACTGCGCCAACGTGTTAGTGCGGTGGGTTTGTTTACTCTTTTTTCCCTTCGATAAAAATAGCGGACGCGCTGCACCACCTAGTAGAAGTTTGTTTTTCAAATATGATTATGATATAAACTTTGTTGTTTGTTTCTCACATTTAATGTGTCACACTCACAAGGTAGCATAGTATGTATCAAATGTAAAAGTGTCTGGGTCTGGAAGAATGCCACTTGTCATGCTGATTTTGGATTCTAAAAAAATCTGTATTGCATGAGCAGCAAAGAGAGTCCAAGTTTTGCTACACGGAAAGAGCATTTGTCATGCGGGAGAGGCATCAGAAAGCCCGCTAAAAATCTGTGATGCCAGGTTATGCATTACAGACGTCATATGTCATGTAAAATCTGCATGACAAGTCTGGCAGTCTTCCAGACCCAGACACTTTTACATTTGATAGTATGCCGATCGCTACAATATTTGGGTCTTGAATGATGCAAGGTTTGCGGTGCTCGCTTGACAAAATGAAGGAAAATGCCCAATCCTGTCGTGCTCATTACCAGGCAGCCGCCTCTATTTGTCATGTAGTGACGCAATTTGCCCTGGGGCTCCTCATCATGGAGGGCGTAGCTGTAGTGCAAAAAATTTTCATGCGAAGAATGGCTACTTGTCATCCACAACTTAGCATCACAATTTTCCAGACCCAAACATATTTCCAGCGCATAGCACATTTTCCCAACATGATGTCGCTGACGCTTTATTGATGCCTTTCAACATAATTCGAGCCGCATTACCAAACAGAAAGTCGAAAAAAGCTACTAGCACATAAAGTTTGTAATGCAAAAGAAGGTACGCAATAGTTGTTGCGACGTCGCGCAGCGATATGCACAGCGTACTGTTTGGTGCATGCAAGACGGACTATCTATTCTTGCAACACAAACATGCCACATGGCAACGCGCTCGTTTATTTTTGCTGTGGGATGCGCCGAACAGTAGCAAACGAGTGGTCAAGAACATATCGTGAAGGAACATTTTTTCACTCCGCAGTGAAGTAGAAGAGGGGAAATATGCTAGACGAATCGACCAACGGTGGGCGTCAGGCATGAAAGACTATTTATTTTGGCGGGCCGTAAAGTAGTAGTACTGATCAGTAGAACCGCAAGAAGTATTTGTTTGTTTCGTGCAGCGACGCAGAGTTGCAAAACTAAAAACTGACCGCCGCCAAGATCTACCAGGCTTGTTTCTGAAGTAGTTGGGTCGCAAATTTATATGAAGGAATAGAGGCGCGTCGCAAGATGAAACTGTTCTCAGGTTTGTTCTTGTTAACATTCTCATTCATTGATTGGCTCTGTGCTTCTCCTTGTGAAGTAGGTTGTATCTCGATTATTCACCTCTCGGTCTTCTAGTACTTACAACACAGTACCTTACGGCTTTCATCATCATCTCCCCGACGGCAGGTAATTGTACTGGTGACAAGTAAGGACTCTCGGCTGACCATCTTTCATCGTGGTTGATGGCACTGAAAGTAGCTGCACAATGTAAGTACGAGCGCTGCAGCTGCCTACTTTCCATGGCGGCACTTCGGTCCTAGCATTTAGCGCTGGTAGTTCATCATCATCTAGAAGTTGCGCTTTCTGGTCGACGTGTCTTTATCATGATGAACTCCAGTACGTACAAGTAGAAGTACAGCTCGGTCCGGTGGATAGTTAACCTTGAAAACATCCTCGTGAAGCGTCGACGAAAATGAATAATCCTAATCGGTAGGTTTGTCGTCTAAAGAAAAAACTCCCCCCTCCGACTCTTCGGTGCGTCGCTCTTGCTTGTTTCTTCGGTGTAGATACGAGAGCCAGAAAAACTCGGTTCGTTCGCGGGCCACAGCTGGAGGTTCGTTGCGATGTAAAAAGCGAAAGTGTAGTAATTCTCACTCTGAATTTCGTATACGATTTGAAGACTTCGTGGAGCGTTTTATGCACTGGATTTTACGATTAATGTTTACGGTTGTGGTGCTGTAGTCCTTGTTCGTGTAACAAAAGAAAATGGCCTTCCGTTCGTGGAACAAACGGAAGATCAATTTGTTTATTTCGATTTCCCACACCGACACTACAGAGTCGTAACTGACCCCCACCAGCTACCACTTTTCTTTCATCTCTGCTTGAAGTTGAATATTTCTTGAAAAACAAAATTTGCGTTGCTCTTAAAAATCGTTTCGCAAGGTGTTGCTTCTATTTCTATTTCCATTTCACCACATTTCGATTTCCCCCTCCGCGTGGTGTTGTAGTTGTTTTGCTTGACGTAGTTCTTTATCAAATGTAAAAATGTCTGGGTCTGGCTCTGGAAGGTTGCAACTTGTGATGCTAACGCTACACTCTAAAAAAGTCTGTATTGCATGACCAGCAAGAGAGGTCTCGTTTCCGCTACGCGGGGAGGGCATTTGTTATGCGGAGTAGGCATCAGGAAGCCCTCTAAAAATCTGTGATGCTAGGTCGTGCATTACAGACATCCTGGGCCATGCAAAATATGCATGACAAGTCTCAGAATCTTCCAGACCCAGACATTTTTGCACTTGATATTCTTGCCCTTGACGTATACAAATTCAACTTGTGAGCAAAAATCTTGCACTGCAAAAACCATCCTGGCGGGTAACGAAAACGAAAACGAGGAGACAGTGCGCAAGGACGAGAAAATTATAAAACTGCAACTACGCCAACGCCGGGAGCGGTTTGGCAATCAACATATCAAATGCAAATTTGTCTGGGTCTGGAATGTTGCTGGGTTTGTCATGCATATTTTGCATGACCCAGCAGGATGTCCTCTGTAATGCATGACCTAGCATCACAGATTTTTACAGGGCTTCCTGATGCCTAATCCGCATGACAAATGCCCTCCCCGCGTAGCACAAACTAGACTCCTCTTGCTGATCATGCATATACAGATTTCTTTAGAGTCCTCCAGAGTTGGCATTACAAGCTCCAACCTTCCAGACACGGACACTTTTGCATTCGATATCAACAGCACACGATACAACTAGAGGCTTTTCATCGTCGGCAGAAGTAGAGTATCAAATGTAAAAATGTCTGGGTCTGGAAGAATGCAACTTGTGATGCTGCATTTCGATTCCAAAAAAATCTGTATTGCATGAGTACCAAAGGGAATGCAATTTTTCCTACGCTGAGGAGGCATTTGTCATGCGGAATAGGCATCAAGAAGCCCTCAAGAAATCTGTATTGCTAGGGTATGCATCACAGACATTATGGCTCACGCAAAACGTGCATGACAAGTGTCAGAATCTTCCAGACCCAGACATTTTTACATTTGATATAGAGCTGGAGCTGCTGCGAAGGAACAACGAAGGAAACATCTTCTATGGAAGCGTCAGGATTGAAATCGTCAGAGTTGAAATTGTTTGTGATGCATAAAATGCATGACCCGAGGTACGTGCGTTGCAGAGCAGGCAAGTGAGGCCGATTGTAAGCCTGTTTGGGGCTAGAGCTCGAGCAGCTAAAGCAGCATGAGAAAATCGGTCTTCTTTGCCTAAACAGCATGACAAACTGGATTTAGGGAGCGCCAAAATTTGTCATGCTCCGCTTGGAAACTGGGCTCCAACTGGCATCCATTTTTTGCATGACAAATCATTTCAACTTTGTCGATTTCAAACCTGACGCTTCCATATCTTCCAAGCGACGTTTGTTCCACCTTCTGGCAAAGAACAATTAACCGACAACAACAACAACAACAAGGGTGTTTCTACTGACACCTACTCGCCACGATCACTATCAACTGCAAAAGTGTCTGGGTCTGGACGATTGCCAGGTTTGTCATGCATATTTTGCACGACCACCCATGACGCCAGTGGTGCGTGACTTAGCATCACAGATTTTTGGAAGGCTTCCTGATGCCTATTCTACATGACAAATGCCGTCTCCGCGTAGCACAATCTGAGCTCCTCTTGCTGCTCATGCAATGCAGATTTTTTCAGAATCCAAAAACAGCATGACAAGTTTGGATCCTTCCAGACGACCCAGACATATTTGCAATGCATAATCACAAACGGCTAGCAAAATGTGGGCTCGTCGTTCAGAACCAGACCACAGTCGTGCACACTGGCAAGGGGCCAGAAAGCTTGCCGCAATCACGGTATAACTTCTGTGGCATAAGATGTTGCAAAAGCGCGGTCTTATTTTATTTACAACATTGCTTGCTCGTGCTTGACATGCGGTAAAACCTTTGAGTTTGATAGTCACAGCATCACAAAATTTCATGCCGCGTCATGATTTCATCTCGGTCGTTCATGTACATACTTCTAGCGCCGCAGAACGTGAACAACAGGAGGACAAAAAAAGCATTAAAGAGCTTGTTTGTAGTTTACATGTCTGTAGTGGCGTCAACATGATCTATTTCGTCCAACAACATTCAACTACCATATCCAAGAAAAAAACTGTGTTAGTGTACTTAACTTTCTTTGGCTGACAGCATCACAAATTTGCTCTGCATGACAGAGAAAACCTGTCATGCGTGGCTTTTAAGGGAAAATACAAATGAAAAAAGGACTTCATGGCTGTGTGGCATGACAGGTGTAACTCTGTTGCATGTTTTGCATTACAGAGTGCACAGTTTTCTTCTTGCATATACCAGGCCCGCCATCTAGCGGTGCTGCAACTCGGCGAAGTGTTTGTTCTACACAATCAACACGACGCGCCGCATCATTTCTGTGCCGCCACGAAAACAACCACTTCTGGTGCGGCTTTGGCGGCAGAGGACAAAAATGACGCGGTGGAGGACAACGATGGGGCTACTTCCACCTCGACCACCAGCTTCCTGGAAGGGCAAGAAGCGGGAAAAAAAGCAGCCGTCATCATCGACGATCCTGAAGACGGTATCCTGGGTAAAAACGCCCCCAGTTCCGCTTCCCCGTAGTCAAGACGGAGATTTTGCTAGACAAATCCGCAAGGTTTATTCGTTGCCAGGCATGAAAAAGAAAAATTTGTCGTGTAGTAGAAGTAGTACCCGCCGGCCCAAGAATCGTGGTTTGGGGCCTTAGCCGCACCAGGAAGCCGCTTGCTTCAGTATCTGATTTCAAGCATGACAAACCCGAAAGAATGTGATGAGATGAAATAAATGCCTCTCAAACTCAATGTGGAGATTCGCATGAGAAGTACTGTCCTGAGCAGGCAAGTTTGCATGGCAAATCTTCGGTGGGGAAGTTCTTTTTGTACAGGATAGACGACGAAGAGGATTTTTCGTCCGACGATCACGACGCGGATATGCTCTGGCAAAAGACTGATCATACCATCACCCGCAATTATTTGATGTGGTAATGTAGGATAGGAATAGCTAGACGTAGACAAAGTCGCTATCTACATCGAAATACAAGATTTCATGTACTTTTCTGCATGTAGTTTTTCGTTTGAATGACAAAAGGGGAGTTGTAGTTGTCCTAAACTGACGGTGATGGTGATCATCATGTTTTCCCTAGCGATAGCGGAGGTGGCTGCCTTCGTCGCCTGGCACTTTCGGAGTGGAGGGGGCGTTGTATGAGAGTGCACAATTCCCCCTCTCCCTCATTTGAAGGGCATGAGCAGCAACACAAACACCGGATGGCGATGAAATGTGACTCCCGCATTACAAATTGAAATCTGCTCGCCCTTATTTGAAGGGCATGAGCAGCAACACAAACACTGGATGACGATGAAATGTGACTCCCGCATTACAAACTGAGATTCCCCGCATACGGAGTGCAGTACTTCTGATTTTTGAGGTTCGAAGATCTGTCACTCAGAGAGAGCCGGCACGACGAAGACATTTTCTTGTGGGTATTTTGCATCACAAATGACGACAAGGGGGAGGAATTTTGCACTCTCATAAGGCACGAATCAAATTCATCAAGCCGGCCGTGCAGGAAATTTTGGCGGGAGTACGAAGAAGCATCTGCAGGGAAAGAAGAAGCAGGACAAAATCGACGTTTTATCCTGTGTGAAAACCACCACATCCCCAAATCTTCTTCATCACTTGTCATGCAAAATAGCAAAAATTTGGCACAACGTCACTGTGCATGGCAGTTTTCAACTCCGAAGGCCCAAAGAACAGTATGTACAGCATTTTTGTTCCGATCTTAGGTCCAGTTCGTCTTTCGGAAAGTACAGTAATTGTTGAGCTTGTTTCCACCATTGTCGGTTGTATTAAGGTTGACACCGCTCAAGTGGTGCTGAAAGTAGAGGGGGAGTGGTTGTTCACCAGCATACCATTCTCTCGGAGGTGAGAACGACCAGATCGGAAGCCCTCGTGCGGCCGCTGCGGATGTTGGTCGCGAAGGCGGGGCTTTTTTGCTACCTGACGAAGAAGCCGGCGTCGAAAATCGGATGGGAGAATTTTTGGAGCAACAAGCAACAGCTGGTCTTCCTACCAGCACGATGGTAACTACATTCGCACTGCCACACTACGGGATGCCAAATTCCCAACCTCGCGTTGCCGCTGCCACTGCCACTGTCGCTCCGGCGCGAATGGTACAGGTGGATCAATATCACAACCGTCCGTTGGTCGCTGTCCACCCTTCCGCCCCGTTTCCGGTTTTTCCTGGATCTGTTGTCGCAGGTGGAGTTGCTCCCATGTCATCTTCTACCACTGCACCAGGTGGCCCCCCTGTGGCCACCCCCGCCCCCGGTCAAGTACAAGTACAACGAGCGCAGCCTGCTCCACCTGCCAAACAAACTCCAGCCGAGCGTTTTGCGGTCCTTCCCCAAGCGGAAATTGTGCAGCTGGTGAAATCAGTGGGGAACGGGGGTGCCACGTACAAGATCGCGGATGGTATTACGGACTCGAAAGTTCTAAAGCCCCGTCTGGTTGAAAATCAAGTTCATGGACGGCGCATGGTGCGTAGACTACTTGAACACAGGGACAGGGCTGAAAGTGAGTATTTGAAAATTTCAAAAAACTGTAAAACTAAAAGCGTAAAAAAGCCCGGCACGATGCAAATGCATATGCAAGTACTATCTTGCATTTTTTTGTTCATAATCCTCCATTTTATAGTGCTAAGTCGCCCATTGCGATTCACATTCATCCCAAGTGACCCACTTGGACTCGCGTGCTACACACTGTCAAAGAAGTTGCACCCAACACCAGACGGCTCTTTTTCTTTTGCCCAGAATAGGAGATGACGACGCTGACCCAGCAGCCCAAAAGCGTTCGGCCGTGTTCTTTTTCACGCGCGAGGATGGCAAAACCGAAAAGCGGCCTTATAGGAAAGGCACCACGAACCTACGACCGGGAGCAGACTACACGTTGCTCGCAGACGGACACCTGGCTTTTTTTCTCGACATAAGCAGCGGAAATGTGTCTCGGTCATGTTCAGGAAAAAGATATATTTAGAAAAGGGCCGAACGATGGCGCTTATTTGTGTCTTCAAGTTGGCTGTGGTGACGAGGAGCAGACAGACGCAAAAACAGGATATGTGTTTGATAGAAGACCTCGCACATCATCTACTATTTGGCACATGTCATTCTCATTGTTAGTAGTACGGGACAAGAACAAGTTGGATTTTGGCATGACACGCAAGAGCAGATTTGCTACTTGCGATGACGCAGCACAGACTTCACTTTTTGACGCTTCCCGTCAGGCAGTACAGATCCAGACATATTTGCGCAGCATACGACAGCACGAACGAGAATATCAGATTGCGCAATCCCCCTCTCCTTCGTATTCAGTTGGCATGAAGAACAGCTGCAACTATTCGCGGCACTACCGTGCTAGAGCTGCGCCGCAAGGACAGATGGATCCACAAGCGGATCGTATAAATTTCATTTCTTGGTCCTCGCATCAGCAACTCGCCCTGTAATTATGTAGCGCGCGTGCGTGTGGACCCGTTCCCAACTATTATGCATGACAACTGAACAAGGGGAGCGGGTGTTGTGCGTTTTCATACGCCACAATCACGTCATCAAGCCTTTCTCTATCATACAGAAAATTTTGCTTTTTCATGCTCGGACAACATAATGGCCATGGCACAATTTGGGGCGAGAGTCATAATACCACTTTATTTTCAGGACACACGAGGGGATGCAAAGCCCGAAGGCTTTGAGGACATCAGAATCAGCCGGACCCCGCTTTCGTATCAATATAAGGATCTATGGATAAGATTAACACCCAGAGCAAGAAGGAAGGAGAAAATGATGACAAGCAGCAAAGGTTCAGATTTTGGACTTCAACCGCTAAAATAGCGCCAGGTCGTGTCGTAGTGCGTAGACTGCAACTAAGTATTCTGTTTCTGTGTGGTAGAGTCAGTTTCTTCGGAAACTCCCGACGGCGGAGTGCAGCTGGGAGGGGCGGAACTCGAACTGAAAGTCCGAGTCGAGGGCACGACGGACGCCAAGCAGAAGCTGTACAATTGTTTTCCCCTCGACAGTATGAACTGCAAAAGAAAAAGTATCGTAGTACCCGCATAAAGGCACTACAAATTTCCTCAGCATGAGAAATAAACTTTGTCATGCGGATTTACCTTAAGAAACCTTTTGTAATGCACGACTTGCATTTATACGAGTGCGATACTTTTGCACAGGATAGACAGTGCCCTTCCCATGGCTGTCAGCGACACCCAAAGCACGGCTCCCGCACGCGAGGAAGATGAAGCAGGAGGTACTGCAGCTGCTCCAGAGGACCCCAAACAGCATGAATTGGAGTACACAGTGCAGCGGTTGGTACACGATGAGAAGGCCAAGGACCAAGACGCCTGCTTGCGACATTGCACATTCGATAAGAACTGCAAGGGCTGGGCCTGGAAAGCCAAACAGGGAGAGTGCCTGCGCTGGGGCCACGGGACCATCTTCAGCTTGACACCACACGCCAAAGCGGCAACTATTCACTGCGATGTGATAACGGGCGAAGAAAAACAAGGTGGTGAAGAGGAGGACGACAGCGCATTTATTGTCCAGAAAAAGTTTCCCCCCTTGAAGTCCGGGCTCGAGGAAGTTTGCTTGTAGAGATTTTTTGTTGTATTTGTACTAGGCACACACCATGCAGCATGTCGTGACCTGAGTCGCTGACTGCCGCCCGAGCGATACTATGGTCGAGGAATATATAAATCGGCTACAACCTCCTCCTCCCGGGAGACGAGAGGGGGGTATATTCCTGTATGATAATATCGGAAGTGTCGAGCAGCGCCAGCACGGTCGCGAGCACATCGGATCTAGCAGTCGACACGCCGGCCCACTTGCTTTGCGGTCGGCACGGCTGGAGCCACTGTGCTTGCATGGTTGGTAGTGGTAAGGATGAGGAACGTTGGAAAAAAAACCCTGCCTACTGTATCGGCTGAAACTGTGTGCGATGTATACCCAAAAGTACTAATATGTATCTGTGGGCATTGTTCTTGCAGAATTAGATGTCAGTGTGGCGTCTCCACGCGGCATCTTGGACGACATCAACAAAGGGCGAAGTATGGATCATATGATATTGCATGATCCGCTGCAATAAATGTTTATTCTCGGCGCCGGGAACATCAAGCACTTTGCGATGTCTAAAGAACACACTTGCTCAGGGTTGCACAGCTGAGAAGCAATGTGCCCCCGCCAGGAGGTTCTATTTATTGTCCGCGCGATTTTTGTTTTTGTTTTTCTCATGGGGCCTTGGCCCAGCAAGAATAAGAAGCGCTCCGCGCCGGCCAGAAAGACGGCGCTTTTGCGTTGTGGTCGTGCCGTCCTCAGTACAGGCAACATACGCTAGCACACGGCTTCGGTCTGTATACATCCCTATGGCAACGGCAATCAGTGCGGCTACAGAAAAAAGATCGGCAGTGAATGCGGAGACGACCAGCAGGCGGGAATCTGCAAATTCGAGTGCCACAGCACAGCTTCAGTCAGTCTCTTTGGCGGTGCTGTTTCTTGGGCTGCGCATGACCTGTGCCACTGTGTCGGCGCCGAGACGGATCCGAACACGCACAAGACCGGGCGGCGAGGGTTTGGCGAGGTGATCAAAGGCGGCCGCGTGTGTGGTGGGGCAGGAGAAGCTCGCGTTGGTGGCAAAAACGTCGGAACAATTTGTGCGGACGGCGCCGGAAAATGTCGCGTGAAGCCACTGAAAGAATCCATGGACCGGTTCTGCGTGAACTCCGTCAACGCATTGGCGTTCGCAGGCAACGGCTACTTCATGTACAAGGGGGCCAAACTGGTCTACAGCCATTTTTTCGGCACCCCCACTACCCCGGAAGAGCAGGAAAAGGCGCAGGGCCTTGTGAAGACGTTGCACGACGCAGCTGCCGTATCCTGTGTGAAAGCACTACATGAGTACTTCTTCCCAGCACGACCCTGCCCGGGCAGTTATGTACATCGGCACGCACAGCAGCTGTGTCAGGTGGCCCCCTGATGTCTTGGGGGTGCTGCTGATTTTGGTTGCGATTTTCTAATCATATTTGAGGAGCCCGAACTGCTGTGCCCGTGGCCTGCGCTTGCTCAGGATTATACATAAAAGAGCGAACAGATCGCCATGCTACCGTGGTAGCGATGAATTAATTATCGTGGCTGCTTATGCTCCGGCCCCCAAGGACCGTTTCCTGCCTATGTCTTGTGTGGTTCCAACCCTCTAAATTTTTATAGTGGTCTTGACTTTGGAAGGGGCTATCGTCTGTTTTCACCCAGGATACGTGGGCGGCACACCGCAGATCAACCCCATGCAGCTGGCCATGTTGGACTCGATATCGTGAGAAAAAAACGCAAGAAGGTTGGCCACCGCCACCGCATTAGGTCATGAACCGGCTTGGCAGGTCCGTTTGCTTGTGCCGTACCAAAGCCGCGAACAGCGCTGCTACTTTTCTTACAGCAGTGACGCCGGCTGCCATGCAGCTGGCAGCCGCCAGAAGATCACAGCGTGGCGCGGGTTGCACTCAGTTGGACTAACAGGCATCGCGCCCCACTTGCCTCCCCGTATTTCCCCGGGCACTACCACTATCTACGCACGAATGTACTGCAACAAGCACTAAAAATGCTCTTTATCTTGTCCGGGGTTGCTGCGCAATTTATTTTTAATGCGTGGCGCGCGGCTGTATGACAATGTCAGTGCCTTGCTTTATCTCGGGTGGGGCTAGTGATCGTTTCAGATAGGGCAGACGCTTGTATATCGTGTCAATCAAGCAGGGGCCCGGGCTTCAAACTGCTACTCGCACAAACAGTTTTAAATGGAAAGCGCAGCATCAAGATACGAGAGGGCACTTAGTTACTTTCATCTCGGACCTGGTTTGTCGCTGGTAAAGCTGCCGCACGAATTATTAGCAAATGCAAATCTATTGGCGCCTTTGGGTGTGGGGTTGGGGCTGACCAGCACACTGGCATTTTTTTCCAGCATACATGGACACATTGAAGCAGGTTGCCATCGCAGACCTCACGCAGAGCAAGCCGTATCAAGTGCAAAACGACGTTTCTGAGCGTCTCGGGAAGTCCTTGTGACGCCACTTTACTAGCTTTAGCTCGAAAAGGAAAAATTGGATCCTTCCATATACGCCGTACGTCGTCTTGCAGTTATGCACAGCATGTGATATAGAAATAGAAGTGCAAGCGTGACGTGAGCTCCTCTATATGTGTAAATTTGTCTACTGAAGGGTGCGCTTCGGCAGAGTTTTTTTGCTTTGGCGTGATCACAGGCAGATGGCATACTTACTTATTCTGAAATGAGTGCCCTTCTCCTTAAATACAAACCGCGCTGGTTTTCCTTTTACTTTCAACGGGATCTTGCGCGGCGGGCGCTGGCCATGGCGCCAGCCGAGCATGACAACAAAGAAGTGAAACGCTTTCTCGACCTAGTACTTCCCGAGATAATGAGCCCAGAAACTACGTTCTCCGTGCATAAGCGGTGGACGCATTTTGTGGGGCTGCGGTCGCTGGGTCACATCAAAGAAAGCGTCTACGTTCCGTTCCGGGGACTCCTCGAGAACAACAACAGCCTATCCGGTGTGAAAACGTATGCCCCCCTAGCCCTACAGACTTGTAATGCATATTATAGTTAGGGCCACCCGCGACCGCGTCTGTCATGGAAGTAAGTCTAAGCATCTCACGCGGCCCGCCATGGGAGGCGGGGTCTAATCCTGTTCTGGGCCATGTTGTCCTTGTCGTGCGCGACCTCGACTCAGGATTCGTTATGTGGCCACGTGGACAATGCTGCGGTTTATTCAACTTTTGCGCGCGTGACGCCACCCAGACTTGCTTGGTTTGTATACCTGTAAGCAGAGGCTGCAGCCTCTTTAGCTTGCTTGTTAATGGGTGGGTGCGTTTTTGCTTAGGATAGAACGTCTCCCCCGTTTACGAGAAAGGCGTCCAGGCGGTCAGGATCAGGTGAAGGTTTTTCAGACTGGAAGAGGTGTGCTTATTTGTAGTGCTGATTTTGTATTTCAAATGCACGAAAATGACATCAACTGCTACGGAAGATGAAAGGACTTCTCTAAACTAACAATGAGTCGCACGACATTTTTGGACAGGTGGATATTGACTATGGACAAACAAAGAAGATTCCAGCACTTCTTCGTCCTGAAGCTAAAGCTGATTCTATGTTCGCTTCCGGTTATGAAAAAATGAAAATCGGAATTCCCACCGCCGCATGACACGCGCATAGAACGTTTGTGCAGATGCTGAACATGGCTGTGCAGGGCGCCCTGACCTACGTCTCGATTACCGTTTTATGGAGGTGAAGTCAAGCTGAGTGATCTTTCCCGCATTGTAGTTACTAGTACTAGAAAATAAAGGAAAGAAAAAGGTGCTTGTCATGTTGCGGGGATGAACTTGCCTCTGCAGCTCTTTGCTGCAAAGCGCCCACCATCCAGTAGTTCCAGACCGTACGAATAAACGTGTTTTGCATGTTGACAGACAACGAAAAGGAAAATAGCCGCGAACAGTTTGTAGTATTGTTTATCTGGGACTCCCACTCCTTGCCGGACAAAACGGCAGAACCTTGCAAGCCCCCATGGCGCAGCTGCGCACTGCAACTTTTCATACGGCTAGCAGCGGTCCGGGCCCGCAAGATCACTCACTCTCTTGCCCCGGCTATAATTGATGGGGAGTGTTCCCGTGCTCGCCATTCCTCTTGCCATCATCGAGGTATCCCGGGTAAGGCCACTTGCACCACCTCCACCCCCAGCACGCATAATATTGGCGCGCGAGATAATTCAGTTTGGCACTAAAGGGAGCACTGCTTCTTGCGCTCACTACCATCGCCATCCACCTCCAACGTGAAAAACCATGCCCCAGGGGCCCACGCATGTTTTGTGCCAGTCTTGCGTTTACCGATTGGGGGTCGTGAGGGTGCTTTTCCAAAGGATACGGGGCTACCGAATTTTATTGTGACAGCGAACGGACTATCCGGGGAAAAAGTATCACGCTCGTAATTTTGTTTCTGGTTGCGTTAATCTTGCATGGCGCTCTGTGTCCTCGTCGTCATCTTCTTTGAGTTTTACTACCGGCGCCTATCAAAATCAAGCCAGCAAACTTTGCATTTCATTGTCCATTTACTGGATTGGGGATTCGCGATGCGAATTGTGCGCGTGTGATGCTTATCAAGTGCAAAAGTGTCTGGGTCTGGAAGGTTGGGCCTTGTGATGCTAACTTTGGACGACTCGAAAAAAATCTGTATTGCATGATCGGCAAGAGGAGTCTAGTTCGTGCTACGCAGAGACGGCATTTGTAATGCGGAAAAGGCATCCGCATCGGGAAGCCGAAGCCCTCTAAAAATCTGTGATGCTACGTCATGCATTACAGACAACTTGGGCCATGCAAAACATGCATGACAAACCCGGCAACATCCCAGACCCAGACACTTTTGCCTTTGATAATGCTCCTGGACCCCTGCATACGGATGCAGGAGCACTTGGAGAAACAGCACAGCGAATGGCGGACGGGCTTTTGTGAAACGTTCCACACAGTGCAAAACAAGTACCCGCACGCCACGAAAACCTTCCGTGGGGTTTTGAAGCTCCTGAACGGGATACCAGGCTGAAAAAAGCTGCCCCAAGTACAACCCTGAAGAGAAAACGCAACTAAGGTGCCTGCATTGGCATTGCAAGCCAAGGTCCTGGAAAGCCGATTTATGGTTTGGTCGCGTCTTTTTTACAAATACAGACACATATGATCGCGCGGAAATAAAAGGGCTCCTTGCGTTGCACATAAACGAAAGCAGTTTATTCGTGCATCAACATATGCTACCGACACAAATTCTCAATGCAGGATAGTTGTCAGAATATGTGTTGCCGCACGGCGATCCCGCGAGCAGAGCGGGATTCGATGTGGTCATCATGGGAGCAGATGAACAAATGAATTTAAAATTTGAAACGACCAAAATGTTCTGCTCTTTTGGCTTCGCAGCAAAATCTCATGTCATGACAGTTTGGGGGGCTCTGCAGTGCAAACAGGAAAGATCCGTAGAACTTCTTCCGGGCGGGGCGGGGCGCAACTTTTCGCTCGGATACCTGATTTTGACGGGTACCAACCTGGGCGACGCCGTGATATGCTTCGCAAGTATGTCTGGGTCGGGAAAAATGCCGAACTTCGCCAACGCGCAGGTTTTGTATGGCACAGTGGAGGGTCGGATAATTGCAGGGCCCAGCACCAATCCAGGTTCTGGCCCGGCAGCCGCTTTGCGGTGCCTATCCTGTATGAGAAACTCCGCCTCAGGGTGGCCAAAAGTGCTGGCCTGGTTTCTCCAGTCGCGCATTAAGTACAGGCCTTTGCGCTACTGACAGAGACCGTTGCAGGTTCCAAGGGTTCCAGACCCAGACATATTTGTGTTTTATACGTGATATGGATTGCAAATATGTCTGGGTCTGGAAATTTGGTTGCTGATACTTTCATTACAAAGTTGCTGCTTGTAGGGCATAAAAGCATGAGAAATTTGTCTCGGCTCCTTGCGGATTCATCCGTGTTTAGCATTACAAACTGCCACCCAGCACGACAAAAAAAACTGGCCAACGATATCCATGCATGATAGATCTTGTTGTCCTTGAAGTCCTGCATCACAAATCCAGACCCAGACATATTTGCAATGCATACGCGAAGCAGCTGTACGAATTTGGAAAGGAAGTGGTGAACAACTGGAATCTGGTATTACAATGAAAAATGCCCGCACCCCCAGCTCGGCAGCATTTGTATTGCAAACCTTTCCAGCAGGACCATTCCCCGTCTTGCATATCTCAGCATCACAAATTTTCCAATGCTGAAGAGGTCAAATTTGTGTTGCGAAGTAGCCGAACAGCAGCTGGATCTGTTATGCACAAGGCACCTTGCGCACCCTGATTCTGCATCAGAAAGTCTCGCAATCCTTTTATGCAAGACAAAAAGCTTTCATTTGGAAACTTTTCATGACAAACTTCGGCAAATTTCGGGATGGGGGCATTTTTCACTGCTATATCTGGTGCAGCAGGTTCTTGGCGACGAGAAGGCAAAGCAGGTGGCCGAGGCAACCGCGCGCGCGCTGGCAAAAAAAACGTCTGTGTACATCGCCTTCAAGAAGGTCGGCAAGAAGTTGTCGCACCTCTGGAACGACAAAATTGTGAAGCCTCTCGCTGCGGCCATGGCACACAAGCTCGAGCTGGGGCAATGCCTGGGGCGCACCAAAATGCATTTCGATGACAAAGTATCAAGACGAAAAAACGGGCCCCGAAAATTGTTCTTGCGAGTCTGCGTGTAAGCAGTTGTGCTTTTTGTGCCATGAAGGAAAAACACAACGATCCTGACTAGGCCGACAGGCTTCCCTCGTATCGTTGCCCTGTGTGACTGTGGTTACAGGTAGAAGCTCATATATGAAGGCTTCGCAGGGATCCGGAGCTTTCTTCTACTGGTGTATGCTGAGTTGACATTTCCACTACAACAGCTTGTTCCTTCATGTGCTGCATTAGCATTACGGCTAATGCCAATAAGATACGCGGCACTGTGATAATGATCGCTGACACAAAGGTGGGGCTATGTGTTTTCGTTTTCATACAAAACTGGGGAGCTTTACGAAAGTGCCAGGCCGGATGACGCCGTCAAAATAGAAACCGTTTCCCAGGCGCATAATGAACACCAGCAGGACCCATAATCCCCCAACGCCGAGTGCCGAGCTTCCCAAACGCGGGAAGCCATGCTGTTTGGAGCGAAAGTGGGGGCTTTTGTCATGCTTAATACTTGCAACGACCTTCCGCGTTTGCCTGCAGTGGTGCAGAATTTGAACTGAGACAGCGTTCCCCGGAATACTGGTTTGATGCGTGACTACTAGTAGTTGCTCGAGGATTGATTATGGTGATGGGCTCTGTATTAGTCGCGGCCTGCCCCACTTCGCGACCCGGTCGTGGCCTAAGCATCTGCAGAAAGGGGCGCGGGGGTGGGTCGCTGCCCTTGTGGTTCGTTCGGTCGGGGTCGGTTAGCGCGAAAATCTATTTCTATTTTGCCGATGCCACCTCCGAGCTGACGTTCCCATAACCTTGTGCCCGACGAGGACAAGACCGTGCCCGCCGAGGAGAAGGAGCATATGGGGGCAGCAGGCTCAGTTGTGATCATGAGCCCAACTGTGGCCGCCACAGGGCGCAGTAGTAGTTCCGGCTGTGGTGCACCGGGAAAACGATCGAGAGTGTTGACGTGCCTAGCTGTTTTGGATTGTGTTTGGCATATCAGATAATGTATGTCCTCGCAGCAAGGCGTCTGCGCCTCATCTATGAAAATCTTTAATCTTTGTCCTTCCGAGAAGGCAGATCGCTGAAAGGCGACTCGTAGGCTGTTGCGTGCAACAGGAGGGACGCGAACGTGATGGACCTGCTCCTCCAGTAGGAGTTTACGCCCTCCTCCCGCCGTGGGTTTTGCATGAAAATAAAAGCTCATTGGACTCGCCTAAGCAAGCAGCATCCTCTCCACAGTTGGCGCGATTGCCGCGACTGAGTTGTGCTAGGTCATACTACATGGACGGCTGCATCGCTTCTTCCACAAGGTAAAAACTTTGATCACTCGGGAAAAAGCTGCGGAGGAAAAGTGCTTGGAGGGAGCCGCACAAAAAGCCGCACAAGAACCAGAAACGGCGGCGCAGGAACCGACGTTGGAAGACTATTGTGAGGAAAATTCCCGCAACCCCCCATACTCGTCAGCGAGATGCTAATTTGCCGCATTTGTAGTTCTTGTCGTCGTGTCGACAAAAAATTTTCTGTCCTGCATAATGCGGTGGAACAAACTCGGCAAAGGGTCTCCTTTGTGTGTCGCGGAGCGTTTTACTAGGGCAGGCAGTCTGCCGCGCTACATTTTCTCTGCGTGCGCAGCCTACCATGCTCCACAGCCATACTCCACAGCTAGCTGCAGTAAAAGTTTGAAAGCGATCTAGGTCTAGAATTATACCCGTATGGGTATGTAAGACCGATTTGGAACCGCCCTTCCTCCCGCGCGATATAGCGTTGGTTGTGTACTAAGAAAGACGGCGACGGTCGTTGTTCCGGTTGTGTTTTGCAAACTCCGCGGCCACTTGCTGACTCTGGGGAAGGGAATTTTTTCCGCACGATACGAACTGCAAGGTACGGTGAGCAAGAAGATTTAAGGGCCAGATCCTGCCAGAAAATTTGTGAACAGCGAGTCCGATTGGTTCCGCTGGATGAACCGACTATCAAGGCTAAGAAGAAGATGAAGAAGATGAAGCGCCGGCAGGTACAATTTTTTTTCTATCACTGGCACAATGAAACTAAAAGAAGGCTGGCTGTCATTTCTCTGGCAGCTTCTTGTCCGCACCATCGTACCTCCGGCTCATCCCATATCCCATTCCCATCTCTTTGGAAATACCAAAAAAAAGGTGCTCAAACGTTTGAGGCTCCGGATGATGAGGGCAGATTCTCGGAAAGAAAACGAAAAAAAATTTCCAAGTTGAATTTTTTCCAGCGCCTTCGCGCCGGGCGACCTTATTGGGCCACATCTTGAGGCGTTAGCCGATCGGCCACAATTGGCCCCGTTTTCTATGATTAGCGTCGGCCTGCGAATTTGACATAGGCGCGAAGACATCGGGCTCCACCTCCTTTCTGGGTGGAGCGTCGCTAGACATTGTAGCGCAGCATTTCTTCAGAAATGCGCCACAGGGCGGGCTTTGCAGGCAATAAAATGGCCCGCCCACAGGTTTTCTGATTTACTTTTTGCCACCCCCAAAAAAGCTCGGAAAAATTACCCACTTTCATACCCATCGCAAAAAATGCGTCAAACACGGGCGGAAATTGAAGAGTTTGTCGGTCGCCGAAAATTTTTTTGGATTTTTTTTGGAATTCCTTTGAAATTTTTTTTTCGAAAAATCGATTTTTCACATTTTGCAAAATTCCCGCTTTAGCATGAGTCGAACACGTGATAGCGTGCGGATTGGGGACAGTCGTTGTCGAAAACGCACGGAGCGCGCGACTTTCAAGGATTTCGCATGTGGTTGCTTGTGTTTTCTTCCAGGCCTGAAGCACGAGAAGCCCGCTAGTCACATTCAAGCCATACTGTTGCTCGTGTGTGAGGCTTGCGCGCAATTTCTTTTCGGCCCGCCCCCAAACTTTTGTCCTGCGTTGAAAATATTTCGGTTTTCTTTCAAGCCCAATCATAATCGGGGTCCCGGAACTTCAAAAACGTGAAGCAATGCCTGGAGTCAGCGTCGCCATCTCACTTGTGTTGCTGCTCGTCAGCGTTAACCAGGAATTTTACGAAAATTTGTTTTCCGAGCTCTGATTTCTGGGTTTTTCCGATATGATGTTTTCAAGGTTTCCACAAACGCGATTTACGTTGTTTTCGAGTATTTTTCCACAGCATGAGTGGTAAGATAAAGATTAACATTAACTTACAGCTTGGACGGCCGTTAGAAATAAGGAAGGTTATTTTGCGGAGATTTTGCGCGGTTGCTAGAATTTCGCCAGCGCTGCGGGGAAAAAGTACGAGACTCCTTCCGGGCTCAGAATTTTCATGGCAGTGTGGTTCCTTCCTGTGGCCCCTTCTTGTGGCGCCTGCTTAATTGCGTCTGCCTCCGCTAGCAATGTGGGAGGGTCCGTCTTGTGGCCGAAGGCAGAGACTTTGCCACTAGACCTAAAAAGAAAACGCGAAGAAGTGGCTTTTGACTTTGTGGACTATTCAGGAAAATCTGTCCGGTTATTTTATGAAAAGCGGCTTTTTTGTGAGCTGGTTATTTTACAGAAATGTGGACTGTGCCGCCGTGATTAGATTTTTGCTCGGGCGTTTGTTCGTAAAATAACCAGCCGCAGTCTTGTAAAATAACCCGTAAAATAACCAAACGCGCAGTCAGCTCCATTCCCGCCCTTCTCAAACAGCGCAATCGCGATGGTATCGCGCGACAGAAAAACCGACAATATGGCGCGTTTTCAACTCTAGCCCGATGGTGTGCTGGGTTTCCTGCATAGTTTGCGCGTGCAGGCTCTAAAAGATTAGCGACGCAGGTAGCTTGGCTCGGTCATTAGTCAAGGCATGAGCAGGATGTCTGGAAAAATAGGCGCTGATGGTTGATGGCGTAAAATCTCCGCAAAATAACCAGTGCGAATTCTAATGGGTGTCCAAGCTCTAAACATTAACATGAGCACGAGCATCGTTTATTTTCTTCCACTTCCACAGCATTAGCATCACATACACATTGTGAATTTCAACTTTCATCAAGAATTTTGTATCGTTATCTCGTCGGCATTCTTCTTGCACTCGGAGGTATTTTGTAGTCTGCACACATAAAGAATCTCGTCACGGACCAGCAGCAGTGGCTTGAAGAGTCGGGACTGCAGCTGCATTGTACTTCGTCTGTATGTCATTCTGATTAATTTCCACTTTGAAAACTTCAACATCTAGTGTTATCTAAGAATCTTATTTCCTTTCACAGCGGTCTCTGACCATCTTCTTTGTTCCAGCTTCTTCCAGGTACATTTACATTTGTTTTACCTCATTTTCTGTTTTTGCATATGGTTTACTTCTCTCCCATCTGGGAGAGCGTTTAGCATTGTATTATCAAAAATCTTGTGATAAAAATCTTGCTTCGGCCACTTCCGCAATCCCTCTCGATGTACGATATAGTGTTGGTATTTATTGATGAAAGTCCAAGATTCTTGTATTCCGTCTATTTGAAATTGAAAGACTGTTGCAGCTAACGAACCCTGCCTAGGTCGTGTTTTTCTGGTACATTACTTGAGTCAGAAAATTTCTCATCCTGTCTTGTATTTATTGGCACTCCTTTTTCTTCGTTGTAACCAAGCTGACATGAAAATTTTATCTTTATGTCGGAAGCAGGGCCCAGCATCATGAAAATATCAAAAACCAGACAAGGAGTGTTTTATGCAGAGTCCCTCTTATTTTATTCTGTTTCGCTACAGGAGCCGGGTTTGGGTTCATGATTCGCGCGTTGCGACGCTTTCTGTTCCTTTCACTCGACCTGAAACCACCATTGGTTGTATTATCGTTTTTTATTTCAGAAGATGTCGAGGTCGGCTCTTCATCATGACGTCAGTTTCAGTATACCTGAAGATCGGTTTTTGAAGCAGAGTTTGCAGTATATCACATGTCCTCGTCGGTTCCGGTAGACTCCCTTCTCATTCTTATTCTTCTCGTAGTTTTATTTGAGGATAGCACTCTCTAAGTATATGTTTTCGGTTATTTTGTCTCTTGTTGACGTATGAAGAAGATGAAGATTAGATTCCAGCAAGACGTTGTCGTGGCTACTAAAGTTTGCTTGTTGCTGATCATAGTTTAGCTCGAGTAACAAGTTCTGTTCTAGTTCTTCTAGCGTCAAGACTCTAGTTCGGTGTTTTTGAGCGATGGACCTGTTGCGTTCTCCCAGGTGCAACTGCTCGGTGAGTCGTGTCGTATGACGCTCGGTCTGCTCGTGGTCGTGGCAGACTTCATTCATATGCTGCGTCCCTTTCGTGGTCGTGGTGAGGAAAGCACTTGCATGGTTCTGATTTTGATTTATTCACGTACCCGATGTAGGTTTCATGTTTTTCTCAAAAGAAGCAGAAACCTGTTCTTCTTCTTCCAGTGTGAGTTTTTTCCCCGTCAACTTTTATTTCGAAACACGATCGACACTATTTACGTGTATAAACCTGCAATGAGCTTAGTTTTTTTTTCATTTTTTTTCCCCATCATTTTCATTACAACAACAACAGCTGCTACTTCTACTAGAGCATCATCTACTAAAAACTTTACAATCCCAAATATGTTCAAATTTCCTCCTCCTGTCCGACGCCTTGCAACAATTTAGATTTTCGTATGATCATCTTCCCAGCTTTCTACATCGAGAATAATCGCCTCTAGCGGACTTTGTTGTATCCACCCAGAACTACCGAAAAAATTTTGTTTCAAAGGCAAGCGAAGAGATCAAAGTCGCTTCCCGCAAAGGACGGCCTCGGTGAAGTGCGGTTCTCTCATCTGCGCGAGGTCGAAAAGTTATCGCGGGTAGAGAAAATGAACAAGCAGGAGCTACAGCTTCACGAGCACCATTCCTACGACGATATTGGGCTGCTCGTGCAGCCTCAGCGCATGATGACGCCGTTGTTCTGGCGCCCTCTTCGCAAAATGACTTCTACAACCGATGTGGTAGTTGAAACCCCGCGCGTCGGGGCGGCGACGAAGAAAATGAAAATAAATGTGGGGACGGCCACGGTAAGTAACACGACTCACTATGTTATTTTGCTCCAACAGCATCATGTGTAGTACTGATAATTCGTACTGGAAGATGTAATCCGCTCGCACTTCTTGTAGCACTCATTAAAAACATCTGCGAACAACGTCAAAAAATGGTAGAACTCTCTCCGTAGCTTTTTCACTCCTCAACTTACTACCAGGTGCTTGCCACGGCCCTGCTGCTCGGTTTTTTTTCGCAGCAAGCTGATTTTCCCTTTTGCGTACGAGCCACTTCTGGTTCTGGTGGCCCATCTTTGTTGGCCGAAGACGGAGCGGCAGGCGGACCAGCGCGCGCCGCTGGTGCACACCGCTCGATTGCCCCAGACGTCGAAGAAGGCCGCATATGAGAGTGCACATCACCCCGGGCGAACCTGGCTCACCCCTGCTCGCTCATTCCTTTGTAATGCGAAATATCAACGTTCCCACATGTTGCGTTTCGAAAAATGGTTGTGAATTCTCACGAGCGCAAACAGTACTAGATAGAAGCTAATACGTGCCACAGGTTTGTAAAGGTTCACAAGCTGCAGTACTGCATGGTTTTGTAGTGATGTTGCTGTAGTACTGGAACTAGGTATGCGTCAAGTTGTGAGGGGGAGTAAAGGGACTTATCGAAGCATCTGCACTTTCATACGCAGCCGCGGGGCCTCCATTGCACAGTTCGGGCCAGGACGACGAGGATGGTGACTTTTCGTCTGAAGATCATGACTCCGAGGTGGCCGCCTTCGTTGCTTGGCACTTCCGGAGCGTTTCCGGGATGTTAAAAAACGGAAATGCAGCCGCAGGGCGTCGGGGAAACAAGAAGAGGAAGAAGAGGTCCAAGCAGGAGGTACTCGCTGGGGAAGGAGCGCTTTCGGCAGAACAGAATAGCGGACGAAAAGTGGTGTCCACGAAAAACGACTGGGGAGCATTTTTGCAGGCTGCGGCCGTGTACCATGCGAGCAAACAGCCTGAATCTGCTAGCCAAGAAGACGGTAAACAACCTCAGCCTGCTAGTCAAGATGAAGCTGATGGAGGCAGCACCACCAGCCAGGACAACAACAGTGACGCTCTGCTTGGCGGCTCCAAAAAGTACGAAGATGATGCAACCGCTCCTGCTGCGGCCGCCGCGCAACACGGTGGTGTAAGTGAAGGCGAAGAAGGTTCTGGACCCGTTCAGGACGAGATAGATTCCGGTTCATCTACTTCGGGGGAAGAACAATTTCTACAGCGCCAAGAGTTCCGGAGCCATCGGTTGGGGACCCCCGGCGGTTCTCCCGGACATCAGCATACAACCACACCGACCTTGGACCACACGAGGCCCAGCGGGGTCGCAACTACGCCCCATACTGCAACGAGTAAGGCGCCGCGGGTGCATCTTCATGGAGATATCTCTGGCAAAACTTCAACTGAAGAACCTTGGCGACGAGGCACGAATCAAGCAGATTTTCAACCGGTTCGAGGATCATCAGATGGGCGGCCTTCTTACACTAACCGACCTCACCCGTATAACCCGCCGGATAGCCGGCTGAGAGGCCATGCTGCGACCAGCGCTGGTGCTGCGCAGGGGGCCGGTGTCCGACCGCACACGCAAATCGGGGGCCATGTTGATCAGCCGCACCGACCGGGTGGTGCTGGTGCTGTTCCTCCAGGAGCAAGGCCCCAAGCGGGACGGCCACTGGTCGGGCCGCAAGGCCAACATCAACACCTGCCGCCCACCTCGTTTCCGTCGCACACGACCTCACCGCCGCAAGGAGCGCATCTTCTACCAGCCCCAACAGCAAGTTCCTCCACAGGCCCGGCTGGTGCCCCTGGAAGTCGCTCACCAGTTCAACAAAAACCCGCGGGTGCTGGTAGCAGCTCCGGACTACTAGAACCCGCTGGTGGTAAACAGCTTCATCCTGCTCCTCCACCTCAGCAACAGCCTGCTGCTCCACCTCAGCCTCCTGCTCAACCTCGGCCGCCCGCGCAAATAAAACCTGCTCCGCCTCCTCCTGCCCAACATCTTCCGGGTGCAAATCCTGCTTCTGTTCCTTCTCCTCCGCCGACTTCTCCTCCGCCAGGTCCTCCTCGTCAGCACGGCCCCCCCTTCATACCACCGACGCCGCATTACGAGGTGATTGGTGTTGTGGAGTTGTCTTTCGTTTCTCGGGGAACTCCGACCGGGACGTGGGAGGATGCTGCCATCTTCAGCGAGGAACAGCTGAAGAAGAATGGAGCTCATCTTCAGACTCGCAAAGCAATTGTGGCCCTGAAGCTACCAGGTATTTTCGACCCACCTATTCCGAGTGGCAAGGTGAAGGTATGGCGTTCTCAGCTGTTACACTCTCAACTGTTACATGATTGAGCTTGTCATGCAAAATTGGCACCAAGACCAACATCTACATGATCGAGCTGCCTCGTGCGGCAAGTTGTTCTCAACGCGCTAGACAGCATGATAGAGAAGCTGCCCCAAACCTGCAATGCAAAAGGCTCAGTCTTCTATCTTTCACTTTTGCCGTTCTTGCATTACAAATCCATTTTAGTAATACAGCTCTGCAGCGAGTGTGACGCTTGAGAACTCCATAGCAGGGAATGGATTACGTGGTCCTGCAGAGCGACAACAGGGCTGTGTTTTTTCTGGACCAATCAGCTCCGGCGGTCGACTTGCAACAAGGATTGCAAAAGCAACTGGGAGCGAAAGCTGATGGCCTTCACGTCGCCCATATGCATGTGAAGCAGGCGGCCTACACGTGGTTTTCCAGTCGCGACGCCAATAAATTTCAGGGATTCCCTGTCCTGGATACGCAGAATACCAAAGATGAACTTCCTGCAGCTGCGCCCGAGAGTCAAGAAACCTGCATGCGGAAATGCACGCTGGACGTGCAAGAGGAGAAGCAAGGATGTGGTTTTCTCAAACGTTACATTCTCAACTGCTACATGATGAATTTGTGAAGCAAGAATGGCAAAAGTGAAAGGAAGAAGAAGATTGCGCCTTTTGCATTACAGATTTGGGACGGACTCTAGTGCTATTTAGCGCGTCGAGAAGTTCTTGTCATGCGAAGAAGGCGCTATCGTGGGAAGAGTGATAGTGTTTTTGCATGACAAAAAATCATGGAACTATATGAGAATGTAACGTTTGCGAGCCCCATAAAGGCGCTGGTGCTGGCCCGCCGACACACCACCACTGCATCGGCTGGGCTTGGTTCGAAGTAACAAGCGGGGGCGCACCTTCCCAGGGCAGATGCCTCATCGTGAGGGAGGGGGAGAACGCGCACGCAGCGCCGCCCTTCAAGACGTCTGTGGACAACGTTATCAAGGAAGAGATGGAAAAGAAGGGAGGCGACTTGAAAACCTACTGCAAACAGGACCAGGGGACGATGAAAGAGACGGACGCCACAACCGATGCGAGCGCGAACGAGGACCACCCAGGCGCTGACCACCTGCAGAAGCAACATTCCACGTGCGGGCGCCATCACTTTGGGGGGAGCCACTGCTTCTGCGCTCCTGCGGTGGGAAGCCAGCACCAGCGCCCGCAAGAAAAAACAGGACACTACCTGATGAAAGTGTTTTTTGGTGCGCACGACAGCAAAATTTGCGGCTGGGACGCACAAATTGGCAGCCAGTGTCGGACGGAGGATAACGAACCTGGAACGTGCGTCTTCGATTGCCACAGCAGGACGGCGTTTCTTGGTCGTTTTTCTCATGATCTGTGCCAATGTGTCGCTCGCCCCCAGGACGCGCAGGCGGCGGGCACGGTGATCGATGAAGACCCGTACAACCAAAAATGTCACGGGGCAAACGACGGCACCGTTTTTCGTTCTACGCAGAGCGCTCCGAGGACTAGCGGCACACCTTGTGGGTTCGGAACTATGCCTTGCAATAGTACTATGATCGCACTAACAAGCGCATGAGAATAGATATCCCACTCCTCAGCATCAGAAATGGAGTTTGTGATGCATGATTGTAATCCTAATTGGCTTCTAACGAGTGCGATGCTTTTGCAAGGCATAGGCGGTCACAAAGCAGGTCAGTGCGAGGTAAAACCGCCGAAAAACTTATGCCCAGAAAAAGCTGTCTCGGTCTCAAATCTTTGCAGCAGTTGTGACTCGGCAATACAAATTTGCTCAGCCTGACTACGGGCAAAACCTGTGATGCGTCAGGCACAAGAGATAATTTTGATTCTTGCATATCGAGCATGACAGAACAGAAAAATAATCTCAAGGAGTGTGCTCTGTGTTCCGCATTACAAGTTGAGACTGATTCGGTTTTTTCTCGCGATAAGACTGGCGCGACCAGTTGTGTGTGAACCTGGTGGACGCAGCGACCCTCGTTGTCAACCCGCTGGCTTATGGAGTTCTCAAACGAAGCACTGCTTGCTGTTACATGAAGATTTGTCATGCAAAATTACCAGCATCAGGATGTTGGGATCAGCATCGCTCCACACGATCAAGTAGCCAGTAAGCATGCCAAATTCATCTCGAAGGGCCACCAAACATGATGGAAATCTGTGGCTGTGCCGAATTTGTAATGCGAGACCTGAGCAGAGAGAAAGCCGCCCTAGCCCCCTTTTCACTTTTGCTAATCTTGTTGCATCGCAAATTCGTGCTGCGGCAGCTGATAGTGTAACGCTTGAGAACTGCGTCATACGCGGATGACGAAAGGTATGCAATTGGTCTGGAATGCACTATCGCAAAAACAGCCCGCTATCGACGAGATAAACAAGGAAACCGCCACGGAACTCATGGCCTTCATGCATGGCGACGGGTCACTGTTGCAGATCAACCCGTATGCATTGCAAGAGTATCGTACTGCTCGTACCAATTGCAATTTGTGCATTACAAATCTAGGCGTTAGGTCTACTTTATGTAGTACTTTCACCATGCGCTTTTCCTTTTCCTTTTGCTTTTCATTGATATAGTACTTCACTGAATAAAGCAGAGCATAGTGATAATCTGTGGTTCAAATTGATGAAAATAAAAGTAGGCATCGCGAGATGAACAAGAGGAAAACAAGGAATGACGGAAGACTTGCGGATAAACATGAGGAAAAATCGACATGTTCTTGCCCGTCGTGTGGACGACAGCGCCTACACGAAGATCATTTAATCATGTTGCACATGAGACTAGAAGATTTGCTACGGCCATATTCATATATCCAGTTTGAGAATTTGAAAATGAAAATTTTCGCTGCTGAATACTAGGTCCACGTGGAGCAGCAGAAGAAGGAGAAAGAAGGCTGCGACGGTGGACCCAATATTCCGAGAAAAAAACCTCCCTCCCCATATCAAACACAGATTACATTAACTAGCAATATGACACATAATGCTCCAATATGACATTTGACGATGACGACATGAAAAAACTCCCAAAACACGAATTATCATATTGTAATATTGTCATATTGTCATATTGCATATTGCTCGCGACAGCCTGGCGGCTGAAAATTGGTCCTACCCGACACGATGTCGGCCGGGTGTTGTGATTCTAGGGCCTCTTAGGTGGGTGGCCATGCCTGTGTGGCAAATTTGGGCCGATGAGTTGTACGCACCTCCTCCGCCTCTCTTACCCTTGCCCAGTCTGCTGAACCTAGAGGGGGCGAGGCGCTCGTGCGCCGCGACTGGCAACACTCTAATCCTTTGGTTCTGTAGGCAGCGCCTGAGCTGTAGCGCCTCCTAGTGCGCTGTGGCTTTTAGCAGCATCGCCATGCCCGGGTTTCCTGACTGAGCGTCATAGCTTATTGTACTCCGAAACCGCAACGCGCCATGCTAATGACCACACGAAAACACTATGACGCAATGACTGCTGAATTTTGAGCAAATGGGCTACCGTACGGAAAATTCGCATGAGAGCGGGCGGCCCGTGGCGAAGTCATTCGGGGCGCGCGTGCTGTTCGGGGTCGGACGATTGTGCTCGCCCATTGGAGAAGACGAGCGCATGTTGTATGACCACTCTCCTCTACCTGCCCAGCAATAACTCCAAAGCGCCCTGCTTATCTTTTCGCGATAGTTGCATGCTTTCTTCTGTGTGTATTAATTAATTTACTTTGCATGCGGATTGTAACGGAAAAAATACGCCTTGCGTGTCACTTGTTCTGGTCTAGCTCTAGCACTTCTAAGCCCCTAGCCCACGACCGCAGTACTTAGTTTGTTAGAATTTAGTGGCAGCCAGCAAGGCAGTTTTGTCATGGCTGATGTAAATGATTCTTGTCTCGCATGAAGATGAACCTGAGCGCGAATCCATATAGAATTTCAACGCGGGGCGTTTTGGTTGAATTTGCAGGGCCGGGGAGGTTTTCCCAAGATAACGCGACTCGTCGTCTCGCTGGCGACCGAACAAAATGGGACAGGAGCGGGCCTTGCAGCGCAAGTAGCGGCGGGCGCTGCCAGGTACTTATTCAATTCAATGGCCATAGATATACTGAAGCTTCATTCCCATCGCCTTCGCCATAGCTCTTTCTGCAGATGAACTTGATGAAAATAGTTTTGCTTTTTTGGTGTAGAACGCTTATTGGGGAGGGGGCTGTGCTCTATGGACCTGCGGATTTTTCATATTCCCTCCACATTTCTCCATCTGGAATGTGCCGCCGTGCCAGTTGGTTTTTTTATACGGGGGAGCTGAGCACGTAGATGCTGATGTGCTACTTTGCGTCTTTTCATCGTCCGACCTGGAGTTGCAGCACAAAGTCAACTATTAAATTAATTTGGCTTCATGAAGATGGCGCGTTTTTATGCAATATAAATAAGCTAAGTCACAGTGCCTATTTTCCAGCTTCCCTCTGGGATTTTAGTTTTCAGTGTATATTTATAAATAAGCGCGTCTTGTTTATTTCGGCCCGCCAGTACTAGCACTGCGCAAAAGTAGAGTACGTGGCGGAACCCTTCGCGGACGAACCTGGGTCGTCTTCGTCCCCTTTTGTTCGCTGTGTGTCGTTTTTCACATTTTCTTGCTTTTGGTGTTTGGATCAAACCCCGGCGGTTCTTGTTTAGCTTAGTGAACCCGAGATCTTTGTCGAAGATAAAAAGGGGCTTCTTCCTTACAACTGGGCTATTCGCACAGACGTGGCGTCTCTGTTCGTTCTGCTCTGCGCTGGCCACACGTGGCCAGCGCCACCGCCGGCTTCTCCCGGCCCACGTATCTGTGGCTGGTGTCCCCTTGCGGCGCCGCCTACCAATAAAGCCTGATGCAGTCATCCAGCGCCGCACCCAAGAAGGATCACCGCCCTGCCGTTGCTTCTCGGGCCAGCAAGGCGGCCGCAGCCGCACAAGCAAATCCTCCACCACCTCTGCCAAAAAAGAAGCGGCAACCGCCGCGGAAGTTTGACGCGAGTCAAGATCTTGATCTTGGTCTTGGTCGCCAGGACGTCGACGTGGAGCCCTCCTCGGATGACGAATCCCTTATGGCTCCTGGTCCTGGGCACGGCAACGGCGGGCGCGAATCGGAATCCGTATCAACTGCAAAAATTGCCTGGGTCTGGAAAAGTGCAAAAACATCGTTTGTCATGCGCGTTTTGTATAAACGCATGTGGACTGTGATGGATGCCCTGGCATCACAGATTCCGTGAGATCTTTGCCATGCCTTTTCCGCATGAGAAACTGCCTCTTGGCTTGCTCAAATAAAGTGGACGGCTTTATTGATAATCATGCAACACTCACAGATCCTTGCATGATTCAGATTTAGCATGACAAGTTGCACCCTTCCAGACCCAGACACTTTTGTAATCCATAAGCCGACGAGATTGACAATGAGAACAAGGTGCGCATCAATTCACATGGGTCGATACGCGGACACGCTGCGGCGAGGGACTCTCAAGAAGATGAGTCTGAGGAGCTGCAGCAGGAGGATGAAGAGATGCCGCAACAGCAGGACTCAGAGGAGGATCTGGGGCACGAAGAGGGCCTGCAGCAGGAGGGCGAAGACGAGCGGGAGAGCGAGGAGGAGCTGGAGGACGAAGAGGAGCTGGGACAGGTCGTATTTACGAAGGAGGAGGACACGTTGCTTGCGAAGCGGTATGTGGAGACGAATCTGGGGTCCTATGAGGAGGCTGTGCGCGACGCAGACCATATGAACTGCAAAAGTATCGCACTCGTATAAATGCATAGATATACAAATCTCCTCAGCATGAGAAAAAAAAATTGTAGTCCTAAAGAAAAAGATAAAGATTTGCAATGCATGCTTGCGATACGAGTGCGATACTTTTGCACAGCATAGGCCAGAGCGTCCTGCTATTTTTGAAAAACAAGCTGCTCAAGTCGTTGCTGAAGTGTCTCTGGCTGGAGTGGAGTATGACCGCCGCCCTGATTATCACCGTTGGCTGCAGCCTGTGCAGAAAGTGCAAGCAGCACCAGGCGCAACTCGAGCGGGCCGCCCGCCTCCGTATTGAAGACCAGTGCATCCCTGTTCCCCGCCCCAAAGCCAAGTCGGGGCCCGGAAAGTATCCTGTGCAAAAGTATCGAATTCGTATTGCAGACATGCATTACAAATCCAATCGTTTATGTAAATCCGCATTACATATTAATTGAGTTCTCATTCTCAATCTCATGCTGAAGAAATTTGTATTACGCATTTATACGAGTGCGATACTTTTGCAGTTCATAGACAGATGAAATCCGCAAAGGCAAAAGCGGCTCCAGCAACAGGGATTAGACAGCAGGGCAACGCGGGCGAAGGCGAGTGGGCGGATTGCACGAAGCCAGTTTTCAAAAACGGCGAGTCCGCGAGTATGAACCGGATTCACCAATCAGGTGGTCAGAAGCAGCACACCGGGGGCCAAGGTCATCGGATAGCCGCCGGGGAGGAAATTGACCAAGCTCCCGTGGTATCAAATGCAAAGATGGCCGGGTGTGGAAGCATGCAACTTGTGATGCTACATCTGGATTCCAAAAAAATCTGTATTGCATGAGCAGCAGAGGGAGTGTAATTTTTCCTACCCGGAGGGGCCATTTGTCATGCGTTATAGGCATTAAGAAGCCTACTGCCTACAAAAAATGAAAATCTGTGATGCTAGGGCATGCATCACAGACATCAGGGCTCATGCACGACGTGCGTGACAAATCTTAGAATCATCCAGACCCAGACACTTTTGCATTTGATACTTGAACGGCGACGCAGACCTCGACGCCAACGCAATTCAGCCGTCGATGAAAGAGCTTTGCAAGGAGTACGCAAAGAACCGGGGCCATGGCGGGCGGGCACAGCTGCAGAACACTTTTACCAACTTGTTTTTCATCGTGCGATACCGGTTGCCAGAGAACATCTTTGCGGGCTTGCTGGAGCTATGCAAGACAACCGGCGGGTCTGTCTACGCCTCCGGCGGTTTCAACGACTACCTCTGGGTTGCGTTGAAGCAGGGGATTCTCGAGAAAAAGCAAAGGCTGGCGGGAAGAATTATGGGGCTCTCAAGCGTTACGCCCCCAGCTGTTACATGATTTGCGATGCAAAATCAGCAGCAGCATCTTCAACGCGATCAAGTTAATTCGCATGACAAATTATCGAAGGGCAAGGCATCGTCTAAATCTGTCCAAAATTTGCAATGCGAGAGCTTCAAGTGCGCGCCCCGCACCACTGCTGCTCTTGCATTGCAAATTTATGTAACAGCTGAGAACGTAACGTTTGAGAAGTCCATAAGAGTTGGCTACTGTTGTTTATCAGCAGACGAAAAAGACGGCTGCATCAGTGTGCGGGTGTCCTTCATAGCGTCAGGTGAGATGCCGAAGAAAGTGGATATGCATCTCGCCGCTTTGCCGGTCGCAAATAAGTCACCGCACACCGTTTACGGAGTTCTCCGGCAAATTCTACAACTGGTGGGGCTGGACTACGGTGATAATTGTTGTCTTCAATTTGACGGCGCGAGGGAGCTTGGCGGCACGTGCGCCATGACGCTGGACTTCGCCAACGTGGGGAAGGAAACAGCAGCACTCGCACGGGATGCAGCGCTCCCAAAAAACCATCAGTACGCATTCGACGACGGAATTGATGCCTTGGTGGCAGGCAACGAAAGGGCGCAGCGGGAGGAGCTTGCGGCGGGGCTTCACGAGGAAAAACGCGGGGTCTCGGGCGGCAAGGTGCTAGATCTGCTGGACGCCTTGTGCTCTGAGAACGCAGAGTTGAAGCAGGAAGTATTGGCAGTTGCACCCCTTCCATCGGGTGCGAAAAAAACGAATCTCCTGAAGATGTTGCTGAAGGACTACGAGAATCAGATCTTCGTCCTCTTGTGTGGTGCGCACGACGCTAGTGCGTCGCTGAAAAAAGCCTGGGCATGAATTGCAAAAGAATCGCAGCAGCTGCAATTGCATTACAAATTTCCTCAGCATGATGAAACGCGGACTCTGTAATGCGGATTGACTTGAAGTTGAAGAGGAGGATCTCTGTGCAGCGCAAGCATGACTGCAATTGATACGAGCTGTGCGATATTTTTGCACAGGATACGTGCTCGCTGCTGAAAATTTTACCCTCCCGGGCGCACGGGCCGGGGAATGCCCGTCCCTGGACACCATTTGCCGCGTAATGAACAGCTTCTACTACATATCCTATTTAAAAACGTCCCCGCCCTATAGTTGTCATGCAGATTTGCATCTACAGAAAAATCTGTGATACACATCCGCGAGAGAGGAATTTGTAGTCGTGTTCTGGGATTTGTAATGCTATGAATGAATAAATAAACAGGATGAGCAGACGCCTCTGTGATGCGGCTGTCCTTGCCAAACAGCACTACACTACAGATGATAACCTGGCACGCATACCTCCCAAAGCTGGGAGACTTGTATTGCAGATTTACCAACTTGACTACGGTGCGGGGACGTTTTTACTCAGGATACTACAGCCTGCAGTCGTCGCACAAGTTGAAGACGGAGCTGAGTGCCTTCGTTGCCACGACACAGGACGCAGCGGTGCGGTCGACGGGATCACTGCACGCGATTCACTCTCGATGGAATTTCCACCGGGTTGTGCTGACTTTCCTGGTGCAGCACCACGCAGCACTGACGGAGTTTGTCTTCCTTCAGATCAAGAAGCTCGGACATGCGTCTTATTTTGGCGAGGGACCGAATATCGCGATCATCCAGCGGGCGCTCGGGGTAGTGCCGCTGGAGCCTCCTCCCCCGAAAGCCAAGGCGGCCGGTGCACCTTCAAAAGCAAAAGCGGCGGCGGTGGGACCCAGCAAGGGCAAGGGGCAAGGGAAAGGCGCCGCTACGAACGGCGGGCGGGTAGCACCGTCAAAGCAGGCTGCCGCGGAGACGTGGTGTGAGAGGGCAAGTTTGCTTATTTATGGGTTGCAAATATGTCTGGGTCTGGAAGAGCCAGACCTGTGATGCTGCATGTGGATGCTACAGAAGTCTATCTGTATTGCATGAACAGCAAGAAGAGTCAAATTTGGCTACGCGGAGAGCGGATTTGTCATGAATGCAGGGTGCGCAACGGTAGGCGCTCAAAAAATGTGTGATGCTAGGGCATATGTCACAGACATCATGGAAAATGTGCATGACAAACTTCTCCTCTTCAAGACCCAGACATTTTTGCACTCGGTATTATTTATCCTGTGCAAAAGTGTCGCATTTGTATAATTAAATGCAAGCTCTGCATTACAAATATTTTTCCTAAGGTAAACGAGCATGACAAATTTCATTTTTCATGCTGAGAAAATTTGCAATGCATTTACTTATGCGAGTGCGATACTTTTGCAGTTCATATTACTTCGTGGCCGACAATTTTGATGGCAGCTGCGACGGCGGATTTGTGTACCACAGTCGACGCTTCGATCTTCAAGCCGTTCCAGTGTTTGGGCCAGGAGCCGAAGTTCGGGGAGCTGGAAACAATCTGCTGCCAGGCACAGCTGAATCTCGTCGCAACCCTGGAGTCGATTGACGCCCAGCTTGATGCGCTTCGCCTGGACGAGGCCGAGCGGGAGGTCGCTGCAATTAAGAAAGCGAGGCAGGAGAACAGAGCGGAAATGGCGGAGAAGCTGAAGATATGGACTGCAAACAGGTCTGGGGCTGGAAGGTTGCAACCCGCAACCGCAGCAAGGCTGTCTTTGGATTCCAAAAAAAATTAACTATATTGCATGACCAGCAACTGCAACAGCAGTCCAGTTTATGCTACGTACGCGGGCACGGCGTTTGTCATGCGGAGTAGGTATCTATCAGGAACCCTTCTAAAACTAAAATTGTCTGATGCTGGGCCATTCATTGCAGGGAACATCGGTCATGAGAGATATGCATGACAGATCTTGCATTCTTCCAGACCCAGACATTTTTGCAGCTGATAGAAGAACTTGCGCAAAAGGCTTGGAGTAAAAATCGAAGCAGCAAAAGCGCAGAGCAGCGCCGTGCCGATGCTTCAGCGTGTCTTCCGGATGAACACGGAAACTGCAATGGGAGGCATCATCTTCCCCCAGGAGTCAAAGTTGCGGGACTTGGCCTGGCAGAACAAGTCTGCAGTGGCGATGAGCTGTGTAAGGGGCAAGCTCAACTGCTTCGTTGAAAACTTCTGCGACGGCATCGAGACGCTGATGGCGAAGCGAACAAACTGGGCCCAGGTCGGGAGAATGTTTTGCGCGAAACTCGGCACCGAGATCGATCCGAAGTACGAGGACTGGAAGGAGGACATCAGAGAGTGCCAGGTCCAGTGCAAAATCCGAGGGTCACCGATCGAGGCGCTGGTGTTTCTGCATAAAAAAGACACTAGGCAACTGGACCTCGGGCGGCCGGCCTTTCGACTTCTCAACGCGTGCGCGCTGGCCGAGTTTAGTACGGCGCAGAACGATATGGACTGCAAATGTGTCTGGTTCTGGATGAAGATTCTAACTAAAGCTGTGATGCTGTCTCTTGATCCGAAAAAAAAAAACTGTGTTGCATGACCAGCCAGGGCGCTGCAGTTTGTGCTACGCGGAGAGGGCATGTCTCATGTGGTAGAGGCATCGCAAAGCCTTCTCAAAATCTGTGATGCCAGGTCATGCATCACAGAGAGACATCAGGGGTCATGCAAAATATGCTTGCATGTTGACAAACCTTCCATTCTTCCAGACCCAGACATATTTGCATGTGATAAACAAAAGGGACCTCAAGCAACTTTACGAACAGAAGCAAAAGAACGCGGGGACGGTGAAAATGGTCGGGCGGCACAGTTTAGACCAAATTCTGAAACACGAACAGGCGGGAACGGAGGCAGAGTTCGCAGCTGCTTGCGCGTCCCTGTATCTTTCCAACAGGTGCCGGGCGCCCTTCCAGAGGGAGAAGAACGCACACGAGCGGTCCGACAAGGGCGCGAAGCGGGGGCCGCAGGATGGAGATGAGCGCTTTGCAACGAAGGTGGGACTGAATGCGGCGGACGTCCGTGCAGCGGCGCGCGCGGCAGCACCCGAGCCCGTGAAGAAGAAGGCTCACGCGGGAGGAGGAGTGGGCGCGGACGCCTCCAAGCTCGTCCTGAACGAGGCCAACGACGACCTGAAGAACTCGGTTTTTGAAGGGCGGGAGGAGGAGATTATGCCCGCCGAATATCTCAAACACGAGACACCCGCAGCGACTGCGACATTCTCAAAAAAGCAGGTGTCGCTGCTGGAGCATGTGACGGCGCAGGGGAAGAAGAAGAACGGAACTGGGGCGGGTGGCAGTGTGCCCACAGCAAATATGTCTCTCTGGGTCGTCTGCAGAGTAAGTTCGAACAGTGGCGTAAGTCTGTGAGTGAAGGGTGGTCGCGCTGCAATATAGAGGCAGGCACGACTGCAGTTGTGATGTGCTAGAAGCGGTGGCAGTGCCCTGCGCCTCCATTCGCATGGTATATTGCGTCTGCCCGTCACAGATTTAAGTGAGGGTCATGCCAAACAAGCATGGCGGGCAGACTTCAAATCTTTCCAAGGCCAGACATATTTGTAATGCATACAGGAGTAGCAGCTCGAGCGCCAGTAGCAGTCTTGCCGCGAGCAAGCAAGCGGGAGGACGGGGGGTGGGCAGCGCAGGGAGCAGTAGCAGAGTCGCCGCCGGGGCTGGCCACGCCATGAAGGAGACCTTGCTTGGAGAGTCGTCCGCAGCTGGGCCGACTGGTAGTTTGAAGATGAGCCTCGACCACGGCTTCATGAGCTCGACCGTTAGTAGCCGCCTAAAGCAGGCCAACAGCAGCAAGCCCAGCAGCTCAGTGTCTTCCTTGGGGAAGGCGGGCAGCGCTGCCACCTCGTCGTCGAAAGTGCTGCAGCCTCCGGCGCCTTATCAAATGCAAATGTGTCTCAATGGGTCTGGAAGGGTGGAATTTGTAATGCTGTCTGCGGATGATAAAAGTATCTGTGTCGCATGAGTAGCAAGACCAGTCAGCTCTTGGCACGCGGAGAGGGCATTTGTCATGCGTAATTTATTAGCATCAAGAAGCGAAAAATCTGTGATGCTAGCACCAGCATCACAGACCTCACGGGTCATGCAAAATCTGCATGACAAGCCCCGACTCCTCCAGACCCAGACATATTGATATTTGCAGTTCATACGCCTTCGAAAAAACCTGCGGAAAGTACACTGCAGCCCGCGGCCTCTCACGCAGGCCGCCCCGTCGCGGCAAAGGGCAAAACCTCGGGGGGGCCCAGCTCTAGCTCTACGGCGAGATCGTCGGCGAACGTGAAAGAGGACTTTTTATCAAATGCAAAGACTTATCTATGTCTGGGTCTGGAAGAGTGCAGGAGTTTGCCATGCAGTTTCTTTTTGCATGACCTTGACCCATGAGGTCTGGAATGCGGCATCTAGCATGACAGATTCTGCAACGTCTCTGCCATGCCTATCTTGCATGAGAGGTTCCTTCTCAACGAACTTGGTAATCATGCAGCACAGATTTTTTGCATGATTCGAATTTAGCATGACAAGTTGCCATCTTCCAGACCCAGACATCTTTAAAGTGCATTCTTTTTCAAGATGAGCAATACGCTGAGCGCTGGCGGTACAATTGGATTGATAATTACAATAATGATACAAAGGGTGTGTTTGGGTGTATGTCGGTTTCTCTTTTGTCTGCTGGTGCTGGTGCGAAGATGAAATCTATTTTACAGATAGCGCCTCTGCGGGTAGTGTTGCAGTCAGATACGTGCAGCAAGATATATAACCCTCTGAATCAGGTCGCGGCGCGGAGGTTGCAGCCGCCGGCCACGTGACCGGAGGACCCACTGGCGGCGCCACAGCTGGCGGCGGTTCAAAAAAAAGGGCTAGGGTCGTAAGGAACGTGCAGGTCGACGGGAATAAGATTCGGCGGGTCGAGGAGTCCGAATCCGAAGAGGGCGACCGGGATGCTGATGGGAAGAAGTTCGGCTGAAGGGTGAGTGGTTGTGAGAAGGTCGCTCCGCTTCGAGGGGATTTTATAAATATAAATAAACGTAGTTGGAAGCAAAACTAAATCTGGTCTGAATGCCGATCCTATAGTGAGTTTTTATTTTCTGGGCCTTTTCCTATCTTCGTCTTGTTGAGATTTATATAGGGCCCAAAGTCAACATGACTCCACGCACTATTTTTTCAAGGTTCTAGCACAAGCATTTTTTGAAAATCAACAAACAATTTGTAGTCGAGGCGCTAGCTCTGAAAGTCTCAGTGTGCAAAACCAGGCAAAGCCCTTGGTTTGTAGGTCTCTACGTTTCTAAACAACAAGCGAACCCACTTTGCTGAAAGAAGCAGAATTTTCTCGAGCGCATCGGATGCTTGGGCGCTTTCAGAATTCCAGGCCAAAAACGATGAGAAGTCAAACTAACAATATGAATATGAGTGAAGATTTGCGCGATGAGAAAGCAACATGAAGATTTGCGCTGCGGTGTTGGATTGTGGTCTTCCTTTTATTTTGTTTGGAATGGGCGCGATATTTTTGCAACGGGTGGGAGGGAGGTATCAAGTGCAAACTAATATGTCTGGGTCTCCTGGAAGAGAGCAAACGTTCGCCATGTGATTTCTGATGCTGCACGTGCACACAGGTCCTCTTTCATGCATGAAAAGCATTTAAGAGACTCGGTTGGTGTTTCCTAGTGCCTAGCCTGGGCGGCAAATGACCTCTCCTGGAGACAAAGACAGCACATGCAGAGCTGACAACGCATCACAGATTTCAGTCATTCCAGAATCCGCACCAAGTGCACAAATACACTCTTCCAGGCTCGGACATATTAACTTTCGACGCATAATGGCACCCGCTCGGCGTGATGCTTACCGGTCTGCAGGGGGGCGACACAAAAGTTCATAGAGCACAGGAAACATGCATGAAGTGCGCTCGTATCGTGCGCCGTTTTGTAGGAACATTTTTTATATTCATTCCAAAAAACAACACAGGTCCGCTTCCGGGTTCCGACACTCGACACCTTCCGGTCATTTTGCTCAAAATCCAGCAGTCATAATGTCATATTGTCATATTGTCATAATGCATATTGCTCAACGTGTCGAAATTTTGCTAGTTAATGTAATGTGCAAACAAAAAAAGACTTCTGATGCGCGACTTGCGTACACAAAGCCACCTGTCATGCTGGTGGAGAAGCGCTACTAGGGCTTGCCCGTGCCAGACAGCACTTTCTTCTGCGGTCCGCATCCGTTCCCTACCAGCATGACAACTCACAAATCACGCCACACAAATTCCACTTTGAGCTATGGGGACGAGGGGGGATTTTTCATTTTGATAGCCAAAGCCTCGTCCTCTCACACCGGCGTCACTGTGGGCACCGAGCACGCGACGCTTTCTGCCGAAAAATGCGAGGCGGGCGAGATTCTGGCCTGCTGCGACACGCTCTGCGACGCGGCGAACCCTGAGCTGTTTAAGTCCGAAAATTTTGAAGCCGTGTGCAACCGGGACTGCGCGTACTGCTACAAGAAAGACGAAGCCCATTGCCACAGCCTGTACCCGTGGGCGCCGAAGTCCGAAACCGCTGCCTCGGCGGCCGCTGCCTCTTCCTTTACGGAGCAGAAAAAAATGCAGAAGGAAGGCGTATCCAGAAGAAAAATCACTGCCCCAAACACTTCCCAGAAAAGTTCTTGTCATGCAAATCTACGTGCCGAAAATTATGTTTCTCATGCGCAGCTGGAGCCCCAACATGAGAGGCGCTTTCTCTTCGTGTTTTGCAATTTGTCATGCTTGAGTCAAACGATAAGCAGCTCAATCTGTGATGCTGCTGCACCAGCTAGACACAACTACAGTAGGATCCCAATAAACTTGTCATGCGCATCAAGAGGCAAAAGTTGCTGATTTATTGTCTACAAGATTTTTTATCTTGGCAACCCCGGGATTGTGTCGTGGGCCCCCGTTTTTTCTCAGGATGAGGTTGCAGCGGTGAAACCAAAGCCTCGTCCTCTCACACCGGCGTCACTGTGGGCACCGAGCACGCGACGCTTTCTGCCGAAAAATGCGAGGCGGGCGAGATTCTGGCCTGCTGCAACACGCTCTGCGACGCGGCGAACCCTGAGCTGTTTAAGTCCGAAAATTTTGAAGCCGTGTGCAACCGGGACTGCGCGTACTGCTACAAGAAAGACGAAGCCCATTGCCACAGCCTGTACCCGTGGGCGCCGAAGTCCGAAACCGCTGCCTCGGCGGCCGCTGCGGCCGCTTCGTCCTTTGCGGAACAAAAATCCAGCTCCGTCATTCTCTAAGTGGTCGAGAAACAAAACGGTGTTCTATTGCAGCAAACCTGCAGACTAGAAACGCCAGTCATGTTCTTACTATGAATTTATTTCGAAATCACTATCACCGCAACAAAGTAGAAGTACTAAGTAGCTAACTGTTTCAGATTCAGAAAAAAACCAAAATTTTGTTCACAAAAATCAGTATCTTCGCGTACTAGCACGACTATTCGTATTTTTTTAGAAATAATGCATTCTCATCGCCCGTGGCCTTTTTTCATGTACATTAATACTAAATTTTTCTCGAAATGAATTTCAGCGAGGACGAGGCGGAGGTGGAGCCAGTGTCCTTTATTAGACCGAAAGAGAACTACATCAAAACCACACCGACCGACATCATCTTGTTAACGTAAACTAAAGTAAAAAGTATATATTTTTTATCAGACGTATCCCGCAATAAACGCAAACGCCAGCAAGTGAACTTTATTCAGTAGTAAGTGTCCTCGTATTAATATTAAGCGTAACTATAGACCCAAGAAACAAGCGTATTTTATCACTATGTAATCTAGAATTTTCTCGCACGACGAACAGCGTATCTATTCCGGAAGACTATAAGTATGCAACACCAACAAGACTTTTCCAGCAATTGCAACTGTACTACTAGCATTATGCGTATCCCGCAGCCGCAGCAGAAGTAAAAGTAGAAGTCAAAGTACTAGAAAGTATCATCCCGCCGAAAATTTTTGCTAGTTGTAGTTTCTCTCAGCCATCAGTCGACGTCCTATGCTGCGTACCCCGCAGCAGAACTGGACGTCGAGTGATGGTCCTCAAATCCTCACTGGAAGATTGTCAGAAAGAGCCCAACAAGCCGAAGCCTTTGCCAGAAAGAACCATCGCTGAATGAAGATCATGTCGTGAAGATGAAGCTACAACAAGGCACCAAACTCGCGCTACTAGTACCATTTGTGCGATGTAGTTGTAGGTCGTATTTCTAGTCGTGTCAACATCGAAGAAGATGACAACAACAACACGAGGGAAGTAGATGATCGTGATGTTAATTGTTGCACAATGCGCCGCATCAGAAAGTACCTTAATAACCTTTGCAGCTACTACGAGGACCACGACATCACTTCATCGAAAACAAAGCTGGTGCTCAAGAAGAACTTCTGACTCCGAAGATCCTTATCTTCATCTTCCAACCCTACTAGTTTCACCACCATTAAGTATGAAAAAAAATTTTACTTGTTGTCGGGCGGCCCCCTAGTGTGCTGTGTTAAAGCACCATGCGGTCATCGTCGGACCTTTCATCGGCTTCATCGCCGTAGAAGTGCTGACGATGAAGGAATTCATCTTCGTGTTCACGACAAAGACATCTTGTCAATAACGAAGATCAACGACCTCCACATGATGTAGTAGATGCACTGCGCGGAGGAGGAGCAGCCCACTGTGCTGGCATGAGTTCACCAGCATGAAGATGATCCGCGGGAGCTCTGCGCACGAGGACCACGTCGGTTCTATTTCGTCTCGTGCCAAGAGATGTAGAGGTTGAAAAGTGTTGTCGTGCAAGACCTATAGTACCTACCTCCAGGACGACGACGATGATATTCTTTACAACCATCACTACTTTCACGGGACAGGATCTACTTCTTCATCTCAACTACACAAAAAACGATCGGAGCAACCCAGTTTTGTGAGATGAGTGTGAAGACCACTCGGGATCTCTGACTGCTTGTCATGTTGTGCATGTGGAAAAGATCATACCTCCCGGGGAACCACGAAGAGACGGGAGAACAAAGGGTTGTCCTCGTGTAGTTGGGTCTAAGCGGCCACTAATACTAGAGCGATTGCATTCCTGTAGTTTTGCCCAAGTGTGTGTTGGTGGTCCAAATTCGAAAGCCATGTTGCCGTTTCTGACGCGAGGGCTTGCAACCGCGACCCTGCCCCTCTCCACCATCTCTCATTTACAACAGGAAGGTCGTAGTTCTTGGGAGGAGCAGCTTCAGATTGTTGGCGACAGCACTTCTTCTTTTGGACTGCACGATAGCAGCTTACAGTTGACAACACAGCAGCCATTGCTTGCACGCGGAGGAGGTCGAGGAGAAGCAGAAGGAACAATACTAAAACCAACCGCTTCCCCCTCATCATCCTTTCTCTCCGACTACACTAGCGGCAGCCATGATCCTCGTGAAGGCCCCTTCCTTCGCCCCTAAGGCCCCTGGTGTCATGCCGATGCCCGAGATCATGATCATGGAAATAAAATTCTCTCCGAACAAGCACGGCAAACCACTTTCTGCTCGCTGCAGGGCCAGTTTCCCTGCAAGCCGGAGGGAAACTACTGCAACATCTCGTGTGAAACGTACGAGGCCTCCTTCGCTCCCAACACTACGCATACCTGCGCGTGCCAGGATTTATCTGGGTCGGGACGATTGCCCGACTTGTCATGCATATTTTACATGACCCGTGACGCCTGTAATGCATAGCCTAACATCATAGCCTTTTAGAGGGCTTCCTGATGCTTATTCCGCATGAGAAATGCCCTCTCCGCGTAACACGAGCTGGAGTCCTCTTGCTAGTCATGCACTACACATTTTTTTGGAATCCAAAGACAGCATCACAAGTTACCACCTTCCAGACCCAGACATATTTGCAATGCATAGACGCATACCTGCGCGAAGTGCTTCGCCACCGGGCGTGCCAGGATTTCCAGGATGCGAAGTGCTTCGCCACCGGGTGTGTGCATTGCAAATATGTCTGGGTCTGGAAAGCTGGAACTTGTAATGCTGGCCTTACATTCCTGTGAAATCTGTATTGCATGACCAACAAAAGTCGCAGCCATTTTTGTCGCGCAAGAACGCACTTTCTCATGCGGGCTGCCTCTGAGAAAGAGTCCTGGAAAGTTGTCTGGCTGGGCTGCATTCGGAAGTTTTTCCATGATCCACATTTTAGCATCACAAGTTTCAAGACCCAGACATATTTGCATTTGATAGGGTGCGTCGAATGTCCCGAGGCGTGCCTGGAAAAATTTCACCTGCAGGACAAGCGGACCATCCTCGGAACGAAGCTTTTCTGTTGCGCGGAAGCGCTGAGCCGAAAGCAGTGCGACCCTTGCTGCAGTCACGAACACGGGGAGGCGGACTGGAGGGCCAATCGCTCCCTGCCGGATGAATGTCTGGGTCTGGAAGATTGCAACTTGTGTTGCTGCATTCGCATGTCTAAAAAATTTGTGTTGCATGCGCAGCAAAAGGAGCCTAATTTTTGCTACGCGGAGAGGGCACTTGTCATGCGAAATAGGCATCAAGAATCCCTCAAAAAAGCTGGGATGCTAGGGCATGCATCACAGACATCATGGCTCAGGCAAAACGTGCATGACAAGTCCCAGAATCTTGCAGACCCAGAGGACATTTTTGCATTTGATAGTGGGGACTTGTTGTGCACTGGAGTGTCCCTGTGCCGTGCCTGGGACGGACTGTCCGAAGTATAACGAGTCATGATGTTGATCCCATCGGACTTTTACTTCATTTGTGCCATAATCCGATAGTCGTGTTTGTTGGCAGGATACGATAAAGATAAAATTTAAATGATGTTTGTTGTATCCTCGTCGTTTGCAGCACGTGGTGGTTGTGCCACAGTCGTGCTGACTCACTGTCATTTCTTTAGAAGTGATGGCTGACTGCTTGGAAAATTTTGAAACGCGACAGTCTCTTGCTGGTTCAACACGGGATAATTCTTCATAGATTCCATCATGAGATGGAGATTATGATGCTGAAATACGCGTGAATAACGGTGTGATAGATTGTCGTGAAGAATTTTTCGTATTAATTTATCAGTTAAGAACCATGGTGACGGAGATTAAAGAACTTGCGTTGCAGCTGCAGGAGCTCTAGTGAGTAAAACCTTGTTCAATTTCGTATGCAGGCAGGAGCACGACACGAGCACCAGCTGCAGGTGGTGCAGCATAGTTCTCTTTCCCAATTGCGAGGCTATTCCGCCCTCGTGAATTTATTTCGGGCTGTCGTTATTTCGCACATGTAATATCATGATCAATAAGTTTCTCGTCGTTGCACAGAGTAGCCTCAGATGAATCGGCCTGCTGTTGCTCGGTACTATGAACTGAACAACAAGTTCTCAACATCTCACCAGAGGGGTCGTCGCCGATAAAAAAAAATCTTTTTTTCATCTCTTTTCGTTAATTATAGGTGGTCATGACCAGCTCTATATGGCCCCTCTAAAAGAAGAACTCTTCCTTTTCCTTTTGTGGGATCCTCGTAGCACGCAGAGTGCTTATAATGATCGGAGCACGCAGACGTGAGGATCGTAGCAACATATGTGGGAATTGCTAGTGCACCAACGGTGACAGCCATCGCTTTTTTCTCCGAGTCGCTTTTTTTCTTCCACCTCGCATGCTGCTTTTCATCAGCAGCATGATGATACATCAGCGGCATGCGAATTCTCGTCAAGCATCGTCTCATCGTCGTTGAGTGTAGTCGTTGTTGTGTCTGTAGATATAATTACGAATAGCAGCTATGTTTTATAGCACACAACAACGGGTGGATCATTTTCAACATGGCGGAATCGTTAATATTGCAACGCGTGTCGTGATCGTGAACTAGGGCGCTACTACTCTGTATCACACCATGCTGCTTCAACTCTTAAGCAAATCAAAATTGAAAACCCAACACACAGCTTCTCTTTTTTTTTTGGATCGGGGAAGTATGTCTGGAGCAATGTATCTGTAGAAAGATTTGTTGAATTTGTTCCTTTGTACAAATTGGGGCAATAAATTTGAACTTTTGTACAACTTCTTTGCTCGACTTTGTAACACATAAACAAGAAGAACCCAAGTAGAAGCCTTTTCCACAGGAGGACCTGCACATTATGGCCGACGAGGTGGATATGGAAGCGTCAGGACTGAAATCGTCAAAGTTGAAATAGTTTGCGATGCATAAAATGCTAGACGCAAAGCGCCTCTCTTGCAGAGCAGGCAACTGAGGCCGATGATAAGCCTGTTTGGAGTGTGAGATAGAGCTGCTAAAATAGCATAACAAAAGCAGTGCTCTCTGCTCAAACAGCATGACAAATTAGAATTACATGCTGCCAAAATTTGTCATGCGCCACTTGCAAACTGGGCTCCAGCTGGCATCGCTTTTTTGCATTACAGATTGTTGCAACTTTGACGATTTCGATCCTGACACTCCCATAGTGGAGAAGGACCCCACCATGGGTGGGGCCCCGGAGGTGGAGGACTTCTCGATCCTGAAACAGGCCCTGCAAAACGTGAAGGCGGTTCTGACCCCCTACGACTGGATAGAGTTTGTATCAAATGTAAGTAAAAATGTCTGGGTCTGGAAGATTGCCAGGTTTGTTATGCATATATTGCATGACCCATGATGCCTGCAATGCATGGCTTAGCATCACAGATTTTCAGAGGGCTTCCTGTTGCCTATTCCGCATGAGAAATGCCCTCCCGGCGTAGCACAAACCGCACTCCTCTTGCTGGTCATGCAATACAGATTTTTTTAGAATCGAAAAACAGCATCACAAGTTGCAACCTTCCAGACCCAGACATTTTTGCAGTTCATAGCTCGCGCAGGAATACGAAACCGCAAGGGCCTTGAGGACTAGAATGGAAAGTATTAGAAGTCCTAATATACTTCTTTCTTGGATTCAGGTTCGTTGTTTTGTGCATGACAGATGAACAACAACAAACCGCATATTATCCTGTCGTGGTCTGCGTCTGTGTGAGAAATGATCAGAATCACATTTATAAACACAACAGGGGAAGACCGACAGCGCAAAATCGTTTCCGGTGAAGACTCCGACGACGAGCCAATACCGGAAGACGAATTGGTATGGATGTGTCAGGATTGAAATCGACAAAGTTGAAATAACTTGTGATGCATAAAATGCAGCCCACGAAGAGCCTGTGTTGCAGAGTAGGCAAGTGAGGCAGACTGTAAGCCTGTTGAGGGGTAGAAACAGAGCTGCCAAATTACCATGACAAAAGGCGTCTTCCTTACCCAAACAGCAGGTGAAACTAGGTTTAGGCTCTACCCAAATTTCTTATGCGCCACTTAGAGACTGGGTTGCAACTGGCATCCATTTTATGCATCGCAAACTATTTCAACTTTGACGATTTCGATCCTGACGCTTCCATAATTGGAAGTGAAGAAAAAGATGGAGCGTCTCGCCCACGCGGAGCATCTGAAGTCGCGCATTGTGGAAGTGCAGAACTACTTTTCCGACGTCATTCACTCGCTGATGCAGTGTCACGGGCACATATGGGACTGCACAACTCTCCTTCCTCGGCCCACATTTTTTGAAGCGCATGAGCAGCAACACAAACAATGCTAGAAATGTGGTTTTCGCATGACAAATGACCTGCACGTGGATTGTACTACTGTTTGTATCGGTGTTTTGCATTACAAGTCAACAATGAGGGGGACGATGAGTTGTCTACTCTCATACCAAATCACGAACGACGTGAAGAACGCCGAAGTTTTATTCCGAGGAAAAACGTCACCACCTCCCAGGAGTTGTTGTCACGCAAACCTGCATGCCAAAAAAGTTTCTCATGCGGAGCCCCATGGGAAGCATTATCTAGTCGTGTTTTGGGATTTGTGATGCTAGAATCAATCAGGATCATTATATGCTAGATCTGTGATGCTGCTGAAGCACTTAGGTAAAAGAGGACTACTCTACGAGGACAAGCTTGTCATGCGAAACATACAACCAAAGCTGGTTGATTTGTCTAGCAGATTTCCCTCAGTGTGGGGACGTTTTTGCTCGGGATAAGTTTTTATCGAGGTCATGCGATTTGTCCCGAAGAATTCGCGGGACGCAGTAGAGTATCAGATGCAAATGTGTCTGGGTCTGGGAGATTCCGAATTTTGTCATGCAGTTTTTCCAAGCTCTCCCTCTCCCACGTGTGGAAAGCAGGGCCTAGCATCACAGGTTCTGCAGCCCCTTGGTGATGCATATTCTGCATGAGAAATGGCCTCTCAGCATGGCCAGAAGTGGGTACCCTTTGCACGTTATGGATCACAGATCTTTGATGTAGGATCCGAAACACGCATCACAAGTTCGGATCCTTCCAGACCCAGACATATTTGCAGTTGATATAGAGCGCCTCACGGAAAAGAACGCGGAACTGACCCGGCAAATTCAAGAATTCGAGAAGAAAATGGAAGAAATAGCCGAATACCAGGAGAAACGGCAGAACATGCTGCTGCAAAGACACCAAGCCGCGTTTGAGAAGCGGAAGACCATATGCGTTGCAAAACCATCGTTGCGCCAGTAGTCGTAGCAAGTACATATGCATATACAAATTGCCTTAGAAGCATGAGAACTACATCAAATGGAATTTGTAATGCTGATGTACCTAACAAGAAACGAGACCTGTCATGCAGTATTGCAAATGCAATTGCTACGTCGAATTCTTGTGCGACGAAGATACTTTTGCAATCCATAGACCAACAATCTGATCAAAACCTGTTTTACGGCGATGCGGTGCGACTGCCAAACGAGCTGGATGAACCGGCACAGGGAGGAAGTCCAGGCCCTCCGGGCCGAAACGAAGGACCAGAAAAAGCAGATCAAACGGTTAGATGACGAGCTGGATGCGGTCTATGAAAGCCTCAGAATGTAAATCCTCAAAGTGGAAATTCTTTGTGATGCATGAAATGCGCCGCAAAAGAGCCCGTAATGCAGCGGACGCAATGGAGGCCGACTACTCGTTGTCCTTCTACGGGTGGAGAATTATTTTGGAGTGCTGATTAGCACGAGAGAAGGGCACCCCTTTGCCTTAGCCTGCATGACAGACAAGCCTGCACATGCTTTGGATGCCTTGGAAATTTGTCATGTGCCGCCCAGAAGTGGCGCTTCGACTGGAGTGGTGTTTTGCATTACAAACTATTTCCACTTTGTGGATTTCCAATCTGAGGCTTTCATACGGTCACGAAATTGCTTGATTCCTTCAAAGCAAAGCACGAGAAACAAGTCAAGGTCGCGGCATATCCTGTGCAAAAGTATCGTACTCGTAGTAATCGCAGTCATGCATTACAAATCTTCATCCCAAGGTAAACGTAAAACAGCATGACAAATTCCATTTGTCATGCTAAGCTAATTTGTCATGCGATTACTATATATTATATTCATGCGAAAAAAGAGGTAGACAGAGGGCAAACAAGAGGTGGTCGAGAGGTCAAAAAGAGGTCAAAAGAGGTAAAAAAGAGGTCGACAGAGGTGGAGAGGTGGCGCGGGACCCCTTTCGAGAGGGTCGGCGAGAGGGTGCGCGAGTATAGCCCGCCGAAGGACCCACCTTAAGGCGGCGCCTAAGTGCCTCAGAGGGTGCAGAGAGGTCAAAAAGAGGGGGCGCGAGAGGTCGACAGAGGTCGAGAGAGGTGGCGCGAATAAGGGCCAACCTCTCGCGCACCCTCTCGGCCACCTCTGGGCCACCTCTGTCGACCTCTACCCGCGAGTATAGCCGGACTATTAGCGGGGACCCCCCAAAAGAGGTAAAAGAGAGGGCCTGCGGGGGGTCTGCGAGAGGGTAAAGACACAAAGTGGAGGGCGCGAATCCGCATGGTATTCCCCATGTGTAGCATTGCAGGCCCTTCGCGGACTTGTTTTGTTCGGCGCCTGCCCCCACCACCCTCTCGCGCCACCCTCTCGCGCCGCCCTCTCGCGCCACCCTCTCGCGTCACCCTCTCGCGCCACCCTCTCGCGCACCCTCTCGCGCCACCCTCTCGCGCTACCCTCTCGCGCCGCCCTCCCTCACTGAAGTCATTGAAAAAGTGGCGCCGGGGAATGGGGCGGGGTCGGTTCTTGGTTCACCTTGATTAACGAAAGGCATGCGTAGCGGACTGTGGTGTGGCATCTAGGTGCCTCCTGTTCATCTGCCCCAATGCTCGTGGTAGCTCCTCCCTGCGCAGAGCGCCCTTAGGCGCGGGAAGCGCGCAGACGGTGCTGCGGGGGCATAAGTATGCATGTCGCTGTGGTCCGGTCCGCAAGCAGTTCAAACCCGGCCAAACAGCCTTGCGCTCCGGCGGTAGCCGGAGCATGGCTGGTTTATACTAGTACGATACTTTTGCAGTTCATACGGCAGAACAGCTGGCGAAACTGCAGGTGAATAAAGTAGACTAGAGCTCTTTGATGTTTTTTCGTCGGAATTGCTAAGCACAACTTCTTTTCAAAATTTTGTTCTTGTCACATGCAGAGAAACAAAGACCTAAACCGCGTGAAAGAACTGTGGAGCAAGCTTGTAAAAAAAAATCCGAAAATCTTTATACGAATAAATTCTATCAGGCGATGGAAGAGAACCTCGAGAAGCTGACCGGCAAGATACGGCTGCTGGAGCAGGAGAAGCGGTCTTTGGAAATTTCCCTGAAGGACGAGGTGTCAAGAAGGAAGGACGCGGAGTACGGGCTGGAAAGGACGCAGGAAGAGTTGACCAGAAAAGTGGAAGAGTTCCAGGACCTATGAACTGCAAAAGTATCGTACTCGTATAAATGCATTACAAATTGACTTAGCATTACAAATTGAATTTGTAATGCGGATTTGCCTTGAAGCAAAAATTTGTAATGCATAAACGCAATTAGTACGAGTGCGATACTTTTGCACAGGATAGGACCTGTCAGACCGTTTCGACGAACTCACCGCGAAGGCAAATCAGCTGCAGAAAGATTTTATGAATTGCAAATATCAATCTAGGTCTGGATTTGTGATGCGAAATTTGAAGGACAGCGAGGATTTGTGGTGCATAAATACGATTGCAGGCTTTTTTGTCATGCTGTGAAACTGAGTTTGTCATGCAAGAAAACTACACGTCGGTAGAACTTTTAATACTACCCGAAAAATTTGTGATGCGTGGATGCCGTGCAGAAGATTGCTCTGTTATCCAACAGTCAGCAACACAAACTCACTGCGTCTTTCCGGACCCAGATGGATATTTGCGTTTGATAGATTTGCTGCAGACGCAGAAGGACCTCCAGACGGAGAAGGAGGAGCGGGCACTGGAGAAGCAGGACATGGACAAGGCCATGAAAAAACTGACAAAAAAGTACAACAAACTGCAACAGGAATACGACGAATTCGAGAAAGAAACGACGGCAAAACTGTCCGATCTCACCTCCAAGGTCTCCTACCTGGTAAACGAGAACGAAACTCTATCCTGAGTAAAAACGCCCCCGCCCCAGAGTTGTCATGCAGATTTGCAATGGCAAGAACAACATTTGTGATGCGCATCCCCACGATACGCATTCCCAATCGTGTTTCGGAATTTTTAATGCCGTCAACAGGATGGGTAGCTCGATTTGTAATGCGGCTGTCCTTGCTAACCTGCACTACACTACAGAGCGCAACTTGTCATGCGTCGCTCCCAAAAGCCCCATCTTGACTCTGGGGTGGGAATGGAGATCTTCCTCAGCATAAACGCTGTCCAAGCGGGTGAAGCATCTAGAATGGGAAGTGCAGGACACGATACGGCAGTGGCACGAGATATGGATGTGTCAGGATCGAAATCGTCAGAGTTGAAGTAATTTGTGATGCATGAAACGGATACCAGTTGGCGCCTAGTTTTCAAGTGGCGCATGAGAAATTTGGGTAGAACTGAAATCCAGTTTGTAATGCTGTTTGAGTAGGAAGACGCCTTTTGTCATGATACTTCAGCAGCTCAATTTCTACCCGTACCCCTCAACAGGCTTACAATCTGCATCCCTTGCGTCCTCTGCAATAGAGGCAATTTTTGTGTTGCACTTTTTGCATCACAAACTATTTCAACTATGACGATTTCGATCCTGACGCTTCCATACGAGAATGTGGCGCAGGTGAAAAAAGAGGCGGCGGAAGAATTAGAACGGAGGTCGAAGGAAATCTACTCGGCCTTCGCAGCGGAGCGCGAGACGCATTTGCGCCGGTTGAAGATCCAGAATTACGTATCATATGTAAAAACGTCCCCACCCCATGCTTAGTCAAGTTGGGAACTTAGCAACACAAATCCAGAACTTTTGGGAGCCACGCATGACAAGTTGCAGTCCGTAGTGTAGTGCATGTTAGCAAGGACAACGGCATCGCAAATCCATCTGCTTATCCTGTTTGCAGCATTACAAATTCCAAAACACGATTGGCAATGCCTCTCATGGAGACGCGCATTACAAATCTTCCTGTAATCGCAATTCTGCATGACAGCTCTGGGGTGGGGACGTTTTTACACAGGATATTACGAGTTGCAAAACCGGGATCTCTACGTGAACGAGGCGCTGGATCTGAACCCCCTCCCCGTGCCGGAATTCCACAGCGTTATGGAGTTCTCAAAAGCTACACTCTCAACTGTAGTTACAGAAATTTGTCATGCAAGAACTGCAAAAGTGAAAGCGGGAAGATTGCGTGTTTTGCATTACAAATTTGGAACGGATTATCATGTTGCTTAGCCCTTGGGCAGTTTGTCATGCGGAGTACCTTGATAACGTAGATGCTCACGACGATTTTGCATGACAGATTCATGCAACTGTTGAGAGTTGTGTAGCGCTTGAGAGTCCCATAAACGTGCTGTCCGCCGTAGAGGAAGAAATCGGGGAAGACGAAAGTGGCAACCCTAGGAAGAACAAGGGCGGGCTGTTTTGCAAAGCGTGTCGGCGCGCGGTTATGCAATACAAATTTCCCGTACATGTACAAGATGCATCACAAATTTCACCAATTTGGAGCGTAAAACTTGTCATGCCAAACTAGGATCGAAGCCAAGTTTTGTCATGCGGAGACCGCATTTGTACGTGTACGGGAAACTTACTGTGGATAGCGGTGGTGTTTATCGACCAGAAGGACAAAAAGCTGATGGAGATGTGGACCTATAATATGTAAAAACGCCCCCACCCCAGAGTTGTCATGCAGATATGCGATTGCAGGAAGATTTGTAATGCGCATCTCCATGGCAGGCATTTCCAGTCGTGTTTTGAAATTTGTAATGCTGTAAACTGTTTACAAAACAGCATGCTGTTTTAAAAACAGCATGACTAGATGGATTTGTGTTGCGGCTGTACTTGCTAAACTGCACTACACTAAAGAGAAGAACTTGTCATGTTTGAATCCCAAAACTTCTCGATTTGTGTTGCGAGATCCCCATCGTGACTCTGGGGTGGGAACGTTTTTGCTCAGGATAGGACCCCGGAGCCGAAGAAGGAGGTAACTTCACCAAAGGATAAAACTATGAACTGCAAAAGTCAGGTGCTAGTGGTAATCGTAATTGCAATACAAATTAGATCAGCATGATGACAAATGGAATTTGTCATGCTGTTTTACGTTGGGATGGAGATTTGTAATCCCTGGCTGCGATTACTAGGGGTGCGATAGTACTTTTGCACAGGATAAAAACCTTCAACATGCAGCTCAAGTCCGTGTCCCCCAGGAGTAGAAAGTCACCGGAACGCGGCATTCTCTCCCCGATGATCAGCCCCAATCGAGCGCGGAGTCTCTCGAACGGGCGGAATCCGGGGATACGGGCGCAAACCGAGGCGACATTCAGAACACGGCCGAGCGTGCACAAGGCGTGATGAGGAGGGGGAAAAGGCGTGTTGATGTTGAAGATGTGCACGTCCTAGTAGCCGAGAAGGAAATGAAGTGTTCCAAAAGTAAAATTTATTTACAATAATTTTATACCGTTCTTTTCTATGTCATTCCGTATTCTATTGTCTTTTACTTCGTCGCAGAAGTGAAACAAAACCAAAAACAGTTTAAGATTATACGTCTCAGAAATACGACGCGGGCGCAGGTGGCGAGTCATCGCGCTTGTTGTCGAACCGGTTTCAACAAAACAGTTTAAGATTATACGTTCATAGCATAACGCCAATTTACCAAAACTTTTCAGGAAATATTCGTCTTACTCAAAATTTTGCAATTTACCGAACTCTAACGTACATTGATGTTATCAAATTTGTGTCGTCTTGTTAGTTGTATATGCTCCTTTACAACCTTTTGCTTTTCGGTCAGCAGAGGTCGCGTTGACAACTGTATCCCAAATAAGGCAACATCAAACTACGACGGTAGCAGGAACATCAAACGTATCCAAGACCACCACGTGGCTCCAATATCCTAGGGCCGCCTGCTGGTTCGTTTTGTCCGCCTTCGTTGTTGCTGCTCTTGTCTGAATTGCAACTGCTGCTGGAAGGGATCGCTCTCTGTATAGTACAACCAAGGTTTTCATCAAAACGCGCTGAACTTCATTTGTCGTACTAGCTCGTCCCCGTCCCGCACGACAGAACAGAACTTTTTACAACTGTACAATCTTTTGAGCAGGTCGGAAAAACTATAATGAAAATAAAACGTTGCAAATAAACCGCAACTCGTGGTTGTGGCAGCTGGGACGGTGCTGTGTGGTGCTGGTTCCCAAGGTTGCTCCTTTATTCTCGTTGAGCAGGTAGTTCTTGTTGTGCCGCCGGCAGCGCCTGCTGCATACGTTGGTTTGTACTTCAGTCTTTCTCTTTGCGTAAGTACGATTGTGCGCTAGCTGCATAGTACAACTAGTCCTAGTCCTCGTATTAGGTACATCCCCGCCCTTGCAGGGAAGGGGGGCTGCCAGCAGGTAGTCAATTGTTCGGCTGCGAACTACATCATAGCACAGACTTCGGACACGGAAAGTCTGCCAGTCTTGCTAACGAACAGCCCGCCCTTGCAGGGAAGGGAAGCTATCGGATGCTAGTTATTTAGACAAAAAAGCCTCGCCCTTGTAGGGAGGGGCGCCTAGCACGAGCTCGCAGCTGGTGCAAAAGTCTCTTCGCATAGCCGACCATGTAGCGGAAGACACTGAGCGAGACGCAACCTGCTTCCCGCAGGGAAGCTAGACACACTGGCCCCGGCTTTCTGGGAGCGGGTCTCAACGCAGTTAGGTTGGCCAGCAGCTAGCTAGCTACCGCGCGCGCCCCTCAGCGCTCGCAAGCACCAGGCGCAACGGCGCAACCCTGAGGCGCAGGTGGCGCGTCAGAGCACGCGGCCACTGCAGCAATAGGGACGCACGCCAAGCGCAGGCGCTGACGGCACGAAGGGCCGCGACTGCCGAGAACCAACAAGAGGAAGCCGGGAGCTGCCGTAGTTCTTCGCCCGCATGGCCGGACTGCTGTGTGTGGTGGCACCGGCTTAGCCGGGGGACCCGCTATATCTAGTAGCTTGTATTCGCTATGTCTTCCGCATCGCGCGGGCCTTGTGAGGAATGTAAGCCCAGGCGGGAGAGCATTGCGGCGCCCCTCCCCTTCTGCCTAAGATGCTGGGCAGACGAGGAGGGCGCAAAGCATCCGCGGAAGCGCAGGATGCCCCCCGGCCGCATCACCTACAGGCTAGTAGCTTATGGCCGATGTGTGCCGGCACTTCGCGGCAAAATCGAGCAACACGGCGCTAGCAGCGAGAATCGCCTTGATGTGGCCGTCAGGAACAAGGAATAGAGATTGCCGGAGCGTTTAAGCACGCCCGCCCCCCTTGGGGTCGCATAGGCTCCTCCCGGCTCCGATGTTCACCTCTTGCGCTGTTCGCCGGGCCTAGCCAGATCCATCGCGGACACAGAGGGTAGCCTCGCACCCTTGCTCGTCCGTACAAATCGTTTGGGTGGATCGCTTTCCCGGTGTCACGATCAAAAATCGAGCGGCACGTACCCCAGACACAGGGCAAAGTGCATCGTGTATAGTATATAGTATTAGGTACATCAGAACTTGTCGTGCTAAAAACTCGTCGTGCGCAAACAAGTTTATTTCGGTTTCTATTTTAGTATTAGTAGTCGTGCATATGCTACGGACGTAACCTAGGACCGTCGTCCATTTACAATTATCGGTTCTGGTTGCCCTTTTCGTATTGTCGTGCGTTGTCGTCGTCCTCTTGTGTTGGTAACATTTGAAGCGGAGGCACTCGCACTCTGTCGGAACTGTTCTTCAATCGTTGTCAGTATCGTCTCACGACGTTCGGTTGCGTTGTCTTGCTTCCGGCCGCCTGTGGCTGGCTCTACTCGTAGTTTCCATCGTAACTACAAAGAAAACGACGACACAGAACCTATTCATCAGTTCCCATGAAGGTAGCCCCTTTTGTTTTCAATTTCTCTTACATCTCGTTATATTTAGAAATGCAAGGACTTATTTTACTTGGTCCTGATTCACCCGCGGGCCCGCCTTCACAAGTGTTTTGCGCGACGACGTTTACGTTTGTTTACTAACCTTCCAAGGAACCCGAACTTTAGAAAAAAGAAAAACACGAAAAGCTACTTACTTACTGTGGTCATTCAAAATGAGTCAACAACTCGAAGACCCGACGGCCCGGAAGTCGAAGAAATCGGACCGGAAATCCGGGAAAAAATCCGAGAGCAAGAAATCGGAGACCAAGAAATCCGATATGAGACTGCACAACTCCCCATCCCCCTCATTTGTGATGCAAAATTCCAAATCCGCCCTTTGCCTGTTAGCACTGTTTGCATGACAGCTTCCGGAGTTTTCCAAAACAGCACTACAATCCTCTACTAGGAATTTGCCATGCACAAGCTGCATCTTTATACCATCGCTTGTGTTGCTGTTCATGCAACACAAATGAGGGGGAGGGGGGGTTGTGAACTCTCATATCCGAGATCAAAAGCGCAGTAGATGAGGTTGTCGAGATCCTGGCCGACGAGGGGCAGAAGGTGCCGTCTAGTCATATGACCTGCTCAAACGTTGCAATCTCAAACGTTACAGTAGAGTCTGGATTTTGTCTTGCATGCTGAGCATGACAGAATCGCTGAGCGTTCTACTTTCTGCAATACAAATTTCGGCAGGTAATTCTAGTGCGGTGTGGGGCTCCGAAGCTTGTCATGCGCAATTCTGTGAGAGCAGGTTTGCGCATGCACTTCTTGCACCACAGATTTCCGTATTCTCTTGTAACGCTTGAGATTGTAACACCTGAGCAGGTTATAAGTCAGGGCACTGTAGACACCAGCCACATCGGTGGCCTCGGTGGCGCACCCCCCGTAGTCGCCGTGAGTCATGCCACGCCACATCACTACAAAAACAAAGCCGCCGTCGGCTACGGGGCGGGGGTTGCGTCTGGTTCTCTACCGCACTACCACAGGACGACGCAAAATCAGCACGAGAGCGGCGCTGGTAGTACAAGTGGCGCCGCAGTCACGTTGCAGCCTCCTGCAGCCGTGTCTTCGGTTGTATCTCCATCCCCCCCTGAGATGCTGAACGGCACACCGTACCAGGCACCAGCGCCGTTTGTGCCTCCGTCGACCACGCCTGTGGCGAGAGACGAACCTGGTGATGGCGAGGACCGCGGCTTTGGTTTGGGAAAATTGCTCGGGGGGACTGGTTTGAATATGGGGGGAGGGGGAGGGCAGTACGGCGGAGGGCAGTATGGGGCCGGACAATACGGCGCTCCCGGCATGATGGGAGGCCAGACCCAAGGTCACCATGGAGGAGCAGGAGGCGGTGGTGCAAGTGGCGGTATCATGGGATTTTTCAGCAAATTGGGCCTCGGAGGAGGGGATAGTAACAAGCCCCCGAACCCGTATGCGAACATGGTGCCGCCGGGGACAATATGCATTGCAAATATGTCTGGGTCTGGAAGAGTGCAAACTTGTCATGCAGGTTTTATATGACCCATGAGGTCTGGAATGCAGGATCCACCATGACAGATGCTGTGAGATCCGTATCGTGTCTATCCTGCATGAGAAACTCCCTATCGACCTGGTCAAAAGTGGACAACTACTTTTGGTGATCATGCAACACAGATTTTTGCATGATTCAGATTTGGCATGACAAGTTGCCATGTTCCAGACCCAGACAAATTTGCATTCGATAGACAGCGCCGGGGCAGTACGGCGGACCAGCACCGTATGGAGGTCAGCAGCCCTACAATCCATACGCAAACATGGCTCCGCCCGGAACGACGATGCCACAATATGGCCAACAACCCCCGCAACCCGGGCCGTACGGAGGTCAACAGCCACCGGCGGGAGCGTACGGGGGCTATCCGCCGGGTTACGGAGGTGGACCACCTGGAACTGGTCCGCCCCCGGGGTACGGAGCACCACCGCCGCCGGGATATGGTGCGCCAGCAGGTTCACCTGCTGCGTTACCCGGTTACGGCGGACCCATGATGCAGCAGTCGCAAGCGGGAGCAGGAGCAGGTAATTCTCCTGCAAATACTAATGCGGCACAACAGTTGCCGCTGGCACCAGCCCCGCCCGGGACTGAAATTTCAAACACAGGAACTGCTGCACCGGTTACAGGAGCTAATACTACTTCTGCCGCCTCCATGGCCGCGGTCGGACTCGCGGGCGCGGCGGCTGGCGCTGTTGTCGCCGGGGCGGTGATGCAACAAGATATGCAGCAGCAGCAGCAGGTACACCCTCCCGGACAACAGCAACAGGTGTTCAACTACGGTTCCTTCCCGGTGACGCAAGGCGCTGTTTTGAACCCTCCGCCCCAACAAAGCCTGGACATCTTCGGACCGGAGTTCACGATCAAACAGAAGGTGACGAAGCGAGACCTCTTGGAGAACACATTGGGCGTCGAAATGGGTAACTTCTACAACGTCCAGCCCTTTGGCCATTCCGGTGACAAAAACAGCGAACTTCCCTGGAAAATGTACGTTGATGAAAAATCTGACAACTGGTGCGGAAGGATTTGCTGCGGCCCGACGAGAGGTTTAACATTTGACGTTTTTTACCCGAAAAAGGAGAAAGACGGGGGCATGAAAATTTTGGAACTGAACAAACCCTTTATCTGCTGCGAACCCTGTTGCGCGTGCTGCTGCTGTTTCTGCACGGGGTTCTGCAAGCCGAAGTTCACGGTGACGGCGACGGAACATTTTCCGGGGAACACGACGGGGGGTAAGTACGAGATCGGGTATGTTCAGGATCATTGTCAATTATGCGGAACGCGGGAGGAGATCCATAAAATCCGTTCTGCGAATGATTCTGGCAGTACAAAAAGTGGGTGCTGCGGCGATTCGAAATACACCCACTTGTACACGATCAAGGGTACGTGCTGCCAGCTGGGCGCCTGCCTCCCCGCCGGGGGGAGCGCGAAGTATCCGATTTACAAGGGGGATAACAACAAGGAGAAGGTCGGTATGTTTACGAAGATGGGGAAGGGGGTGATGCAATTTGTCCAGGAGCTCCTGGCCGACGCGCAGACCTTCAAAGTGACCTGCCCGCCGGATGCGAGAGCGGAGGAGAAAGCGCTGTTGTTATGCCATTCTCAACTGTTACATTCTCAACTGTAGTTACGCGGATTTGTCATGCAAAATTGCCATCAGCCTCCACTTGATCAAGGTGCTTGGCATGACAAATTTTGGAAAGGCTAAGCAGCACGATAATCTGTGGCAAATCTGTGATGCGAAAGCTGCAATATTGCCGCATTCACTGTTGCTGTTCTTGCATTACAAATCCAGGACGACTAGGATTCGGATCTTTTTCAATTTCCCAAATCAAGCCACAGCGAAACTTCGCGAAGAGATCAGAAGGTAAAGAAAAAGAACACCGAGCTGACGCCGCGATCTCCAAAGAAGAGCAAATGACAGAAAAGAGAGGGACGTAGTGTAGGAAGGGTCGTGGATCAGTAGCACTGAGATCAAGCGAAAAGAAAAAACAAAGGAAAAAGAACGACGAAAAGACCAAGAAAGACTTCTTCACTTCATTCATTGCGCAGGGATTTTGAACGACTAATGGTGCTCAAAGATATCACGGTAGACCATGTCATATTGCGCACGACATAGCCCACGAATTCCGAGAATTGAAGTGATGAGCAATATGATTTACGAACCCGATTGTTGACAGCTCTCGTAATAGTCAGACTGAAAATCATGCGCGAAAAGGAAAGGAAAAAGAAGAAGCACAAACTCAAGGACACGACGCAAGATGTTCTATAAAAGAGGGAGAGAGATGACTTAGGGGTGGCGATTTGAAGTGTGTTGTTGATTGTTCCCACGGGAATGCCGTTTTACGGTGAAGACGATCAATTTGTATGTGAAAGACCCTCGTGAAATTGCATTACAAATCCATGTAACAGCTGAGAATGTAACGGTTGAGAGCGCCATAGTTGTTGGCCGCGGGGCTCATGGTGGATCTCCAGTACTACGAACAGACCAACGACAAACCGGAGGAAATGGTATGCGTTGTAAATATGTCTGGGTCTGGAACAGTGCAACTTGTGATGCTACAATTGGATCCTAAAAAAAATCTGTATTGCATGAGCAGCAAGAGCAGTCAAATTTGGCTACGCGCATCGGGCATTTGTCATGCAGAACGCGCATCGATAAGCGCTCAGAAAATCTGTGTTGCTAGGGCGGCATACATAGCAGACATCGTGGATGTGGATCATGGAAAATGTGCATGACAAACTTGTCTTCTTTCAGACCCAGACATATTTGCAGTTGATAAATGGAAGGGTATGGAAACATGATTGGGGGGCTCTTTTACCCCGACAAAGCTTCCTCCAGTGCGTCGAGCGAGGCGGGATGTTCTTCGGCAGTAGAAAACCAAAGCCAAGGTACTGGGGCTGTAAGTGGCTTCGAGGACGAGAGTGGCGCAAAGGGCGCAGTAGAGGAGATAAGTAGTACGGGCGCTTCTAGTAATTTCGCTGGAGAAGCACAGAGTGGCGGACGGTATCGGGCTGGTGCGTCGAAGCTGAAGGAAAAAGCAGGCGGCACTGACTCTGCCGAGTTGTAGATGAAAGTACGAATTTACAGATGCAAACACGTAAATTGAAGAAAGGCCACTTGAAATTGTTCGTAAAAATTATTTCACCTTCAAAAATAGGCACAACCGTGGTTGTTCTCGTTTTTATCATCCACATCCTTTGATTGCTAAATTTCATTTTCGTGATTTTGAATGTTCACCGTGTCGACAGTGCGATTTACAGTTTCGAAACCAAAATCTAAACCCTATACATTACACTTTTTCAGAAGTTTGATCCTTGCCCACCTAGAATGAATAGTTCGAAGTGCTGCCGCGTTTGTCATGAAAAAATTAGAAATATGATTCCCCCGGTAGCGGTAAGTATGTAATACCTACCAGAATGAGCCAACAGTTCTTTTATCTGATCCAAGTCTTGCTTTTGATTTTTTTCCAGTGCAATGCTATCATGCCGTAGTTCCCACAGATGACACGGACAACTATGAGCTCGTCGGCGTTCTGTGAACAAACCGAGGTCGTCGAATCAGATTTGACGCAGGAATCGACTGATATCGGTTACGGTTTCGGTTGTACGTGTATACCTTGTGCCAGCTTTATCTACGAAGGAGCTGCTTCGGTCTGATAATCGTGCCCGTCCTACTCTTCTCGTCCATGATGCTTGTGCTTCGTTTGGTTTATTTTCTTTCGTTGATTTTTCGTTTCCCCAGTCGCGCGGAGGTCCTACTTTATGCGTTTTATTAGAGCTGCTGCCAGAAGTTGTTGTAGGGACAGTTCTAGGTGCCAGCATTGCCAGACCCCGTTTTCGTCCCTTCGTCTCAACATTCCGCTCGTTGTTCCCCCACTTGTTGCAGGACCCAAATACCATTTTTTTGTCGAGAAACAGCGCAAGGAGATTGTATAAGTAGTTCGTTATGCCCGGTGGACTTGTTTGAAGCATATCAGAAGGAGTATCCCTTTTTCTGTTCTATTAACACCACCGAGTACGAGCAAACACAATTACTTTAGAACGCGCACACAGCGAAAATAGGCAGTCCGAATTCAGAAACAAAGAAACACCACTACGTGTAAAAACCCCTCTTGCACCCAAGAGCAGCATATCGACCGTGAACAAATTATGGCAGCACCACCACCCCCGGGCTACGGCGCGCCACCCCCGGGTTACGGCGCGCCACCACCCGGCTACGGGCAGCCACCACCACCTGGCTACGGCCAGCAACTCCCTGTCGCTTACGGGCAGGTGATGCAGCCACCGCAACAGGTCATGTCGGATGATATTTTCGGGCCCCAATTTAACATCAAACAGAAGGTGACGAAAAGGGACCTCCTGGAGAACACATTGGGCGTCGAAATGGGAAATTTCTACAACGTCCAACCGTTTGGGGAGAAGGGAAACAAGAACAGCGAACTTCCCTGGAAAATGTACGTAGACGAGAAATCATATGGAAGCGTCAGGTTTGAAATCCTCAAAGTTGAAATAGTTTGTGATGCATAAAATGCAACCCACAAAATGCCTGTCTTGCAGAGTAGGCAAGGGAGGCAGATTGTAAGCCTGTTGAGGGGTACAAATAGAGCTGCTGGACTAGCATGACAAAAGGCCTCTTCCTTACCCAAACAGCATTACAAACTGGATTTCGGCTCTACCAAATTTGTCATGCGCCACTTGAAAACTAGGCACCAGCTGGTATCCGTTTTATGCATGGCAAACTATTTCAACTTTGACGATTTCAAACCTGACGCATCCATAAATCAGATAACTGGTGCGGAAGGATCTGTTGCGGGCCGACGAGTATCAAATGCCAATATGTCTGGCTCTGGATGAATGCAGATGTTTGTGATGCAGGTTTTGCATGACCCAGAGTGTCTGGCATGCAGGACCAGCATCACAGGTTCATCTTCGAGAGCTTCACGATGCCTACTCTGCATGAGAAATCCGCTTGGCACAACTTTTGTTCTTCAGGCAAGACAGATTTTTGTGTGATCTGAAATGCGCATCACAAGTTGCAACCTTCCAGACCCAGACATATTTGCAATGCATAACGAGAGGCCTCACCTTCGACGTTTTCTACCCGAAAAAGGAATCGGAAGGCGGGATGAAAATTTTGGAACTGAAAAAACCCTTCATCTATCAAATGCAAATATGCCTGGGTCTGGAAGAATGCAACTTGTGATGCTGCGTTTGGATTCCAAAAAAATCTGTATTGCATGAGCAGCAAAGGGAATGCAATTTTTGCTATGCGGCGAGCGCATTTGTCATGCGGACTAGGCATCAAGAAGCCCTTGTAAAAAATTTGTGATGCTGGGGCATGCATCACTGACATCGTGGCTCATGCAAAACGTGCATGACAAGTTTCAGAATCTTCCAGCCCGAGACATATTTGCAATGCATATCATCTGCTGCGAACCGTGCTGCGCGTGCTGTTGCTGTTTCTGCACGGGTATCAAATGGAAAAATGTTTGGGTCTGGAAGGTTGGAACTTGTGATGCTACCTCTGGACTCTGAAAAAATCTGTATTGCATGACTAGCAAAAGGAGTCTAGTTTGTGCTACGCGGGGAGGGCATTTGTCATGCGGAGTAGGCATCAGGAAGCCCTCTAAAAATCTGTGATGCTAGGTCGTGCATTACAGACATCCTGGGCCATGCAAAATATGCATGACAAACCCGGCAACATCCCAGACCCAGACTACACTTTTGCAATTCATAACGGGGTGTTGCAAGCCGAAATTCGAGGTCACCGCCACGGAGAATTTTCCGGGGAATAAACGAATATGCATTGCACAAGTATCGTACTTCTAGTAGGGATTCTTGCATTACAGATTTAGTCAGCATGACAAATGAAATTTCTCATGCTAATTTGGCTCAGGAAGGAGGTTTGTCATGCAGTATCGCAATTACTACGAGAACGAGTGCGATATTTTTGCAATGCATAACGTGGCGAGGCCTACAAAATCGGCTACGTGCAAGATCACTGTCAGGTGTGCGGGACCCGGGAGGAGATCCACAAAACCTCCGATGGGGGTGAAAAGCACTTGTACACGATCAAAGGCAGCTGTTGCCATATGAGAGTGCGTTACAACTCCCCCTCGTTCGCATTTCTCATGCAAAATCCCAACTCCAATTGTTCCCCTGCGTCACTATTATGCATGACAGATTCCGGAAGCTCAAACGGTACTACACGAGGCGCATGAATTTGTAATGCACAGGCTCCACGTGTGGTGGTGTTTGTATGGCTGTTCATGCAATACAAATGCGGGGGAGGGGGGGTTGTGCACTCTCATATGCCAGTGCGGTGCCTGTTTGCCAGCCGGGGGGTCGGCTTCGTTATGAACTGCGAAAGTATCGTACTCGTGTAAATGCATTACAAATTTCCTCCGCGTGAGAAATAAAATTTGTAATGCAGATTTACGATAAGAAAAAAATTTGTAATGCAAGACTTGCATTTATACGAGTACGATACTTTTGCAGTGGATATTCGTACCCCATTTACGACGGGGAACACCACGACCGCGAAATTGGGGAGTTCAAAAAGATGGGTGGTATGCACTGCAAAAGTATGGCACTAGTAGAAATCGCATGACAATTTTCCTCAGCGTGAGAAATGGAATTTGTAATGGTGCGGGTTTGTCATAAGAACGGAATTTGTAATGCATGACTGCGATTACTACGAGCACGATACTTTTGCAGTGGATAACCGGCGGCATTAAGCAGTTCGCGATGGAGTTGCTCGCCGACGCGCAAACCTTTCAAGTCACATGTCCCGACAACGCTCACAACGAAGAAAAGGCGTTGCTACTGGCGGCGGGATTGATGGTGGATCTGCAGTACTACGAGCAGACAAACGACAAACCGGATGAGTTGGGCGGCTACGCAGACATGGTATGCATTGCAAAAGTATCGTACTTAGTAGGAATCGCATTACAAATTGGCTCAGCATGACAAGTAGAATTTGTCATGCTGATTTACCTCGGAAAAAAATTTGTTATGCATGACAGCAATTGCTACGAACAGTACGATACTTTTGCATTTCATACATGGTCTTTTACAACGAAAAATCTTCCATTCGGTCGTCTAGCAGCAGCGCATCCGGCGCATCCGACTACTCCCTCCGCGTAGCGAATTTTATCCTGAGTAAAAACGTACCCACACCAGAGTTGTCATGCGACTTTGCCATGACAGGAACATTTGTGATGCGCAACCCCATGACAGGCATTTTCAATCGTGTTTGGGAACTTGTAATGCTGTAAACAGGATCAGCAGATCGATTTGTGATGCGGCTTTCCTTGCTAACTTGCACTACCTCACGGACTGAAACTTGTCATGCGTGACTCACAAAACTCCTAGGTTTGTGTTGCAAAATCCCCATCCTGACTCTGGTGTGGGTACGTTTTTACTCAGGATAAATTTCCCGTCGTCTTCATCTTGCAACAGTGACACGGATCATAGTTGTGGTGCAGCTGGGATGAAGATGAAAAACAAGTCGGGCAGCAGCTCTACTTCAGGGGCAGCTGGTGTCGCGGGAAAGGCAAACTATGGTGCCACCGGATGGACAACGAGCGAATGTGAAGATTTCTCGTCGGATGATGCTGGGGCAACAGCAACGAGCAGCCCGAGTACTAGGAAGGCCCAGAGTAGCGGCGCAAGTGGAGTTTTCGAAGAGAGTGAGCTTTAAGACGACGAAATTGTTATTTGCATCAGTGTATGTCGATGTCGTCGCCCGATCGAATAGAAGATCGTGTCATCTCTCACTGTAGTCAGAGGCAGTAGAGCACACAAGAAATGCAGACAAAAACCAATCCAAAGTAAGTACTACACTCTGGCTTTATTCCACAAAAATCACCTTCGTGGTCGTACGAAGAAGATTTTGTATAAAAGAAATGAAGCTGAATTCTTTGGTTGTCCCTACTATATCACGACTAGCAGGTGCTGCACCAACATCCTGCGCGATTTATGTACAATCACAAACTGTTTTTTGTTTCGCTGTGTCGCTTACGACGTCTAGGTTTTTTCGCTTCGCGTTCGCACTATAATTAAAAAATCCAAGTACTTTGAAGTTCTCCCAGACATAATTAATACCTCATCTCAACATCGCTTCGTTTCAAGTTTTTCGTCCTGGCTGTTACCCTCTCGTGAAGATGTAGACAAGCACTTCAGATTTAAGGTTCTCCATAAGTACAAGCTGCTTCTCAACAGAACTACCTAGAGAAGAAGTAATTGGAATTGCAGTTATCACCACGAGCCCGAGCACGACCGCGGGGAGGAGGACAAGTAGGAACATGTTCGCACTCATTGTTTGTGGTCATCGCCTGTATGTTTTGAGGAAGATGTTGAGTTTCGGTGCGAAAAACAAACGGTTTCGTCGTTGATGCAGCCATATTAATCGTTGGTCACGGTCGTCGTCCTGGTTGTCATAGTCATGGAATAAACTACGTCCTCGTCCACGACCTGCTACGTACTCGCGCGCCGCTTGACACGATAATCCCTGCTAAACAAACCACCAGAAGAGCTTCGGTATTTTTGTGATTGTTATGAATAATTTCTCATGTTGCCTTTCGCTGTCGGTCCGTAAGAACCATATCCTTTGAAGCCGCTGCCGCACAGTTCTTATTTTCGTACAGAACAATTCAAATTCTTCGTCCGTTGCGATTTTCATTTTCGTATGAAATTTCTCATTTGTCGTCCTGAGGATCGTTCTAGCCTTGTCGTCAGCTCCTGTCTGCGTCGGTTTCTCTTGGTCACGAGGAGATGAAGAACTGAAGTTTATTTCCTAGTCCCACCTGGTAACGAATTGATGAAAAAGAAAAACATCTTCAGCACAATTGTTATAGCCAGTTCCAACTACTCTCCCGTCTTCAACTCAACCTACTGCAAGAATCTAGTACAAAAGAAACCAACGACCAGCCCGAAACAGCATCAAGAGCAACATACAAGAGCAATCGCACAAAGAACTACTCCCCCAACCACCAAAACCAAAAAATGGCGATCCTGAAAACTATGGCCCTCGCCGCCGCCTCGACGGCTTTGCTGGCGGGCAACGGCGGTGTCGATGCCGTGGAGGTTCTGATGTCGAATCAGAATAAAATGGCGACCGCCCAAAACAAGAAGAAGATGAGTACCGCGACCTCCACCAAGAAGACCGCTGAACTGCACAAGAAGGCGCACCACAAGAAAGCGTCTCAGCACCAGGAGAGCCAGAAGGTGTCGTCTAAAATGTCTGAGAAGGAGAAAAACATTCTTTGTGACGAGCAGTTGAAGGCTTACTGTGAAATCAAGGGTAAGACCAGCACCATCGAAAAAATGGCAGCCGATGCGGCCAAGGCGTCCCTCGACGCGCAGGGTTGCAGCACAACCTGCCCCGGCTCTTGCCGTTGAGTTTTTTGCGTCGTCTGGTGACGTCGGTCGTTCAAACTACAATCAAAAGGGACGTCGAAACAGCAGCTGCAGAATTGGAAATCCCTTTACAGAGGTGGGAGAAGATAACAACCCACGCGAAGTAGAACGACAACTACTTTCTGTATATGTCTTGTCGCTAGCAGTTGCACTTCGTCTTCATGTTCATCTCATCAGCCAAGAATGAATCACTCCTCCAGTTTTATTCATACAAATGTAGTGTATCAGTTTCACGTATTATTATTACGTTCTTGCACAGTATGCTAGTCCCTGCTTCCTCTGCTCGTGCGTATCCCGCATGGTGATGACATTGAGAGCAGCCCAGCCTTTTTTTGTCCCACCACAAAAAATCTTTAGCATAAACTCCACTTTCCAACTCGAAAAATAATTAGACAAATCATTTATCGTAGCTAAGAATTTAGCAAGTAAAAAGAAACCATCTCAAAGAAATTTTAGAGTTCATCTGCATACATCACGACATGGATGCTGAAGACCATTTAGCAATCCGACGCAGCCCCCCTATCAGTACCCCTGATAAGCACAAGGCCGTCAGACACAACGCGCGCAAACAAGAGTATCAGAAAGCTCTATCCCAAGCGAGTGCATCATTCACAAAATAGCAGAAGTAGCAGCCGCACTTTTTCTGTTATTTTGAGCCTTGGTCAAGAAGATCGGTTGTCGCACCACGACTCTTTCCTAACAATCATCACTCGGCTCGGTCGTCGTCTCCTCGGATTGATTCGGTTGTTGTGACTCATTGTTCGAGGTAGAACCTACAGCAACTGGAGTTTCGGTTTTTTATGCGTAGCCGTCCGTTCTCGAAAGCGTGCCACTCTGCGAAAGATGTTTCGTTTTTCGGCGTCCGTTGTAATTCCAAGTCATTCGTTCACACGATGTTTAAAATAAAAGTACTCGTTTTCTTTTCTGGGCTTGCCCCTGTCGTCCTCGTCCTTAGTCTCGTCCTAGTATTAGTAAGCCTCGTCGTTTTTCTGAAGTAATTATCTGTTCCCCCTAGTAACGAAAACGAATCGACAAAGAAAGCAAAAATATCAGCACAATTGTAGCCAGTTCCAACTAGTACTCTCCCGTCTACAACTCCTACTGCAGTCTAGTAAGAAAGAAACCAACGACCAGCCTAAAAACACCCAAAGAAACGACGCCACAAAGCTATACAGCATCAAGAACAAAAATCGGACAAAGAACCCCCCCAACAACCAAGACCAAAAAATGGCGATCCTGAAGAACGTGGTCCTCGCCGCCGCCTCGACGGCTTTGCTGGCGGGCAACGGCGGTGTCGATGCCGTCGAGGTTCTGATGTCGAATCAGAACAAGATCGCGACCGCCAAAAACATATGCATTGCAAATATGTCTGGGTCCTCTGGAAGAATGCAAGACTTGTCATGCACATTTTGCGTGACCACCATGACGTCTGTGATGCATGCCCTAGCATCGCAGACTTTTCGAGGGCTTTCTGATGCGTAAACTGCATGAGAAATAATGCCCTCTCCGCGTAGCACAAAGTCGACTCCTCTTGCCGGGCATGCAATACAAATTTTTTTGGAATCCAAACGCAGCATCACAAGTTGCCATCTACTTCCAGACCCAGACATTTTTGCATTTGATAAAACAAGAAGAAGATGAGCACGGCGACCTCCACCAAGAAGACCGCTGAGCTGCACAAGAAGGCGCACCACAAGAAAGCGTCTCAGCACCAGGAGAGCGAGAAGGTGTCGTCTAAAAAAATGTCTGAGAAGGAGAAAAACATTCTTTGTGACGAGCAGTTGAAGGCTTACTGTGAACTCAAGGGTAAGACCAGCACCCTCGAAAAAATGGCAGCCGATGCGGCCAAGGCGTCCCTCGACGCGCAGGGTTGCAGCACAACCTGCCCCGGCTCTTGCCGTTGAGTTTTTTGCGTCGTCTGGTGACGTCGGTCGTTCAAACTACAATCAAAAGGGACGTCGAAACAGCAGCTGCAGAACTGGAAATCCCTTTACAGAGGTGGGAGAAGATAACAACCCACGCGAAGTAGAACGACAACTACTTTCTGTATATGTCTTGTCGCTAGCAGTTGCACTTCGTCTTCATGTTCATCTCATCAGCCAAGAATGAATCACTCCTCCAGTTTTATTCATACAAATGTAGTGTATCAGTTTCACGTATTATTATTACGTTCTTGCACAGTATGCTAGTCCCTGCTTCCTCTGCTCGTGCGTATCCCGCATGGTGATGACATTGAGAGCAGCCCAGCCTTTTTTTGTCCCACCACAAAAAATCTTTAGCATAAACTCCACTTTCCAACTCGAAAAATAATTAGACAAATCATTTATCGTAGCTAAGAATTTAGCAAGTAAAAAGAAACCATCTCAAAGAAATTTTAGAGTTCATCTGCATACATTACGACATGGATGCTGAAGACCATTTTATTTAGCAATCTGACGCAGCGGCCCCCCTATCAGTACCCCTGATAAGTACAAGGCCGTCAGACACAACGCGCGCAGGCCAAAGTATCAGAAAGCTCTATCCCAACAAGCGAGTGTATCACTTACAAAATAGCAGAAGGAGCAGCCGCGCTTTTTCTGTTATTTTGAGCCTTGGTCAAGAAGATCGGTTGTCACGCCACGACCCTTTCCTAACAATCATCACTCGGATCGGTCGTCGTCTCTTGCGATTCGGTTGTTGTGACTCATGGTTCGTAGAACCTGCAGCAACTAGAGTTTCGGTGTTCATATTTTATGCGTAGCCGTCCGCTCTCGAAAGCAAAGCGTGCCACTTTGCGAAAGATGTTTCGTTTTTTGGCGTCCGTTGCAATTTCAAGTCAGATTCGTTCACATGATGTTTAAAATAAAGCACTTGTTCTCTTTTCTGTCGTCCTCGTCCTAATTCTCGTCCTAGTATTAGTAAGCCTCGTCGTTTTTCTGAAGTAATTATCTGTTTCCCCTAGCACCCAAAACGAATCGACAAAGAAAGCAAAAATATCAGCACAATTATAGCCAGTTCCAACTACTCTCCCGCCTAGCACTCCTACTGCAGTCTAGTACAAAAGAACCCAACGACCAGCCCTAAAACCCCAAAGAAACGACGCCATAAAGCTATACAGCATCAAGAGCAACAAGAGCAATCGCACAAAGAACTGCCCCAACCACCAAAACCAAAAAATGGCGACTTTGAAGAACATTGTCCTCGCCGCCGCCTCGATGGCTTTGCTGGCGGGCAACAGCGGAGTCGACGCCGTGGAGGTTCTGATGTCCAACCAGAACAAGATCGCCACCGCCCAAAACAAGAAGAAGACCGCTGAGCTGCACAAGAAGGTGCACAAAGCGGCGTCTCAGCACCAGGAGAGCAAGAAAACCGCGACGCTGTCGAAGGAAGGGGCTACGCCCCTGATTTGCGACCCTATCCAAACGGAACTGTGTCGCGCTAAAAATTATGGAACCAAAATCTTGCAGCTAAGAGCAATAATTCTTCATGTAGCTGCTATAGTTCCCCCCCTCCTCCTTTTTTTTTCTGATACAGATACTGTGTCTGCTTTTGCCTTTGCATGTGCTAAAAGCGTAGTAAGATAAATCAAAATTTGGTATGCATACTAATCAATACCCAACACTGTGGCAAAAAAAAGGAACGGATCGGAAAACTAGTAGCAACAACTGCTCAAGCTCAAGATTTTGCTATAGGATATGTACGCTAATCCAGCCGAACCCATTAACGTTGCGACCCAAACTGCGTTGCTCGAGGCGGCTGGGTGCACAGTGAAAAGCTGCTCCACGGGTTGCTGCCGCTAAGATGGGAGCCGGTAGTTTGGGTTTATCTTTATTCTTCTTGCGCCGGCGTGCCAGCACGCGACAAGGATTAACACCATGTTGTACAAAATAACTACACCAAAAGAAGTGCCAGTACCATCTTAGTGGAGTAGTTGTTCATTTCGTTTTGATTGCATATCAAAAGAAGCTACGCCCACATGTAAAAATCTTTCTAGATTTCTTGTCGAACGTCAAAAACTTGTAGAGACATCATCCATACGCTGCAGTATTATACATAGTATACTCCGCAGCCCGGCTTCCTCTGCTCGTGCGTATCCCGCACGGTAAGGAAACCATTGAGGGCAAACCATATTACCAGTTTATTTCCATCCTACAACAAATCTGTAGCACTCCTGTAGTTTTGAAAATTTTTAGAAAAGTCATATCATTTGTTCAGAAAGTTTTTTGTTTTTAGATTTTAGCTGCTCAACGAATCCAGTTCCAGCGCGATGTAGTCCTCGACCATGAGCAATGTGATATCAAAACGAAAAATCCCCCTTCCCCATATCAAAACGAAGTTTCTGATGCCGGATTTGCGTACACAAATCTGATTTGTCTTGCAGTAAGGCAGCGCAGCCAGATCCTCGGCCTAGGTAGGGGCGTTTGGGTCTAGTTGCTTAGCATTACAAACGGCTGCCCCCTAGGCGCAACAGCATGCCTAATCGCTTCCATAATGGAGCGGAAGCTTCTGCACTTGTCTTCTTGCAAGACAGACGTGATTTGTGGTCTCAAATCAGCAACGCAAATTTTCGGAGTCATACTTTTTCGATATGTTGGGGAGGGGGGATTTTTCCTTACAATATGTGACCACGCAGCCCGCCTATCAGTACCCCTGATAAGCACAAGGCCGCAAGGTGGAACAACAACCGCAAAAAGTATCAGAAAGCTCTATGTCTATCCCCTCGAGCAAGCGTATTATAACTCAGAAAGAGGTTGATGTAGCAGTCGTGTCCCTAGTATGTAAAAAAAAAGAGGAAAAAATGCCGCGTGCGGGTTTCGTGAAAACAGGCTGAAGTTGAACGTGAATAATACTTCTCTGTCGCACTTGAACTGCACGGAAAAGGAAGGCAGGCAAGAGTAAGAAAACAAAACTCTCCGAAACGTTTCACCCCCTATGAATAAAAAAGAAAAACATAAAGCATAGGAATAGGTCACGTTGCCGGACCAAAGCACATTTTTGCTTTCGCGGACGTGTTGATTGCAGTTGCTCTTTTGGTTTTCTTTTGGGGACGAGCTTGGGGCAGAAGCGTGGTAAGAGTGACGAGTTGTACCGCTACTGCTTAGCTGGTAGAACATGAAGCGGTGTAGCTCAAGTCGAAGTGTCTAGTACTTCCGGAAAGAGTGTTGACAGGGCGACAGACGAGCTTTCCATCCCTACTTCGCGATAGAAGATAGAGAGGAAGCCGCGCGATTTTCTTTCCGTTGTTGAGCGCAGAGTGGTGGCGGTCCTCTGCGATGTAAGTAGGAGGTGTACCTACTACAACGTCGCGCTGAGAGCGATGTGGTACTATGGCTGTTGTCAGTAGAGACTATATCCGCGTCACAAATAGACCTCTAAAACGTGGGAGTATCGATGTTGTCACGCGCGGCCTCAGCAGATGTCCTCTGCAGAGAACCGCCAGCACAGCAAGGGCACGATCACCTCCCGCAGGGGTGGTCATCTGTATCTACTTCCTCCGCCAGAGATTGTGTAGTAGCCTTCCCATCATCTTCCGGGTTCTCCCATTCTGGGGAACCATCTTCACAACGACTGGACCAGCGCACGAAAACAAGTTGTGAAAAGAAGTCGCATTCTGCGCCGGAGATGGTGACGCAGGATCAGGACGCACTAACGAAGACAAGTTGCGCGAATGCCACTGTCAACATGAGTCACTCTTGTGAAGCACGACCACGAGAAGAATCAGTAGGGATGCTTCAACCAGAAGAACTACGACAGAAGGACGACATCTTCTCCTGCACCGGAACAAGTCGTTGCAGCAGCAACAGGAACAGCCGATTCTCATCTTCTTGTAGACCACAGGATAATTGCTGTCGAAGAGGAGAAACTGCCAGTGCAAGGTGCTCATCTAGTACTTCTTCTGCCACACTTGTAGAACAAGGAGAAGCTTCGGTCGATGGTTTGTCTGTTCGCCCCTGCACTAGTACTTCTCGCGGCCTCGGAGGACTAGGCCAAGAAGGTGGAGCAGCAGCTTCCGTGCGAAATCAATCTCGTGAAGAACACGGCCTTGAAGAAGTTTCAGGGTCGTATTTTTGTCAACAGCGAAAGATGCAACAAGAAACGTCACAACAGCAGCACCTCCAGCACGTCCCTGGGATGAGGATACAAAGCGCAACCGGCTCACCCGTAGTTTCAACTACACTGAAATCTTCCCGCCCCAGCTCCTGTTCGGACAGTAGATCACTTTTCAAATCAACACTGTGGTCAAGACTAGAAGGGCCGCTGAAGAGACTTTTCTTACCGGTGCGAAAGTACAACAATCTCATCCGGCAGAAGAACGAAGCTAAGGAGACGAGCAGAAGTAGAACCCAAGGAGCTTCTACTGTCTCAGCCAGCTCGATGCAGGACAAAGAGAAGACGAAATCAACTAGAAAGAACTCATTTTCAACAGGAGCAACTTTTCTTTCTGATGGTCTTTCGTAGTTGCCATAAAGTATTCTTTCTGTCCTCACCACTCTGAGGAAAGCAAGAATCTAGTCCATCGGGGGGGGAGAGTGGGGCTTGTTCTTTTTTTTTTTTTTTCCCGTTTGGCCAATGGGCAGACTAGGGCTGGCAAGGCCGGCGGATCTTTTGCAAAGATGAAAACCCCCAGTGACTTTCTTCCTTTTATCGCGCAACCTCCTAAAAGATTCTTTGAGGTGCCAAGATTGGGACCAAAGAATAAAAAAAAAAAAACTCAAGAGCGCAAAACAGTAAAAGAAAGAAAAACGCGCCACCTTCCAGCACCCGCCGGGCTGGAAAGGAGAAAACTCATATAAAAGAAAAGAAAAGGCAAGGCTCCAAGCCTAGGCGGTGGCAACTGGCGGCGCAGGGCATAACTCCGTGTTTTCCTGTAGCCCCCGGTGGCGTCGGTATACCTCTCCTTCCGCTCCGGCGGTTTGAGAGTCAGCGCAACCTCTGGTAGCGCTGTGGTTCTTGGATCCGGTTTGACGTCAGGTTGAGCACATGAGGAGGGTTGATTGCAGTTGTTCTTTTGGTTTTCTTTTGGGGACGAGCTTGGGGCAGAAGCGTGGTAAGAGTGACGAGTTGTGCCGCTACTAATAAGGTGCTAGAACATGAAGCGGTGTAGCTCAAGTCGAAGTGTCTAGTACTTCCGGAAAGAGTGTTGACAGGGCGACAGAAGAGCTTTTTTTCCCTGCTCTGCGATAGAAGACAGAGAGGAAACCGCGCGATTTTCTTTCCGTTGTTGAGAGCGAGGTAGTATGACTGTTTTGAGTAGAGACTAATTAGAAAAACCAGTTTGTTGTAGGTACTAGCGCCAGTCCTCGTTCATTTCGTTGATCTTCCTGTTGTGTTGATTTTGCTCAATGTTTCTCTCCTGGAGCAGGTCTTCACCTTGAATTGTCAAATGACTCATGTGTCGTGCAGCTGTCCAGGATCCTTCTCACAAGTAGACCTCTAGAACGTGCGAGTATCGATGTCGTCACACGCCTCAGCACAGCAAGGGCGTGATGACGATCAACTCCCGCAGCGGTGGTCTTCTGCATCTACTTCGTCCTCCGCCAGAAGCGTAGTAGTTTTTCCATCTTCATCCGGGTTCTCCCGTCCCGGGTCCTCACAACTACTGGACCACACGGAAAGTCGTCAACAGAAATCTTGTTCTGCGCAGAGGATGTCCATGCTGACGCAGGATCAGGTCGAGCGCAAGAAAAGTTTGACAACTGCAGCTAGTGTCATGAATCATTCTTGTGAAGCACGCCCACGAGGAGAACCAGCAGGGATGCGATTAGAACTACCACAGAACGACGACTCCTACACCGGAGTTCATTGCAGCAGCGCAAGCAGTAGCCGACCCTCATCTGGTAGACCAGCACCTGATTTGAGTAGAGAGAAGACTGCTAGTTGTAGCAACATTATCGCGGCCAGTACAAGTTGCTCATGTACTGGCACTGCCACGCTTGTAGAAAAAGAAACTTCAGTCTGTAGTTCGTGTGTTCACTGCACTACAACATCTCGCGGTCTCGCCGGACCAGGGCAAGAGGGTCGTGCATCTTCTGTACGAAATCATTCTCGTGAACACGTCGGCCACGAAGTTTTGGAGCCGTGCTGTTCGCGAAAGAGACCAGTACAAGAAACGTCACAACTGCAGCACCAGCACATCATTGGGAAAGGGATAAAAAGTGTAACTACCAGTACCAGCTCACCAGCGTCAACAGTGACAAGAACAGCCCGCCCCTTCTTCTCGGACAGCACCAGATCACTTTTCAAATCAAAACTGTGGTCACGACTAGAAGGACTAAAACTGTTCTTGCCGGCGCGAACGTACAATAATCTCATACGGGAGGAGACAGAAGCTAAGGAGACGAGCAGAAGTAAAACTGAGGGAACTACTGCCGCAACAAGCTCGATGCAGGACAAAGAGAAGACGAAATCAACTAGAAAGAACTCATTTTCAACAGGGGCAACAGATTTGTTTTTTTTGTGGGTTGGTTCGCGGCGTCACGTGGGCCGACACCTCTGCTGCTGCTGCTGCCGCGGTAAGAATGAAGAGTTGTGCCGCTTCTAGGTGGTAGAAGATCAAGATGGAGAGATTTACACTGAAGTCGAAGTGTCTTCCGGAAAGAGTGACAGGGCGACAGAAGAGTTTTTTTTCCCTGTTTCGCGATACCAGATAGAGAGGAAACCGCGTGATTTTCTTTCCGTTGTTGAGCGCAGAGTGGTGGAGGTCCTCTGCGACGTAAGTAGGTGTACCTACTACAGCGTAGCGCTGAGAGCGAGGTAGTATGAATGTTTTGAGTAGACACTATTAGATAGAAAAACCAGTTTGTTGTAGCTACTAGCGCCAGTCCTCGTTCATTTCGTTGATCTTCCTGTTGTGTTGATTTTGCGTGTTTTCCTCCTGGAGCAGGTCTAGTACTTCTTCACATTGAGCTGTCAAAGGAGTCATGTGTCGTGGTGTCGAGGATCCTCGTCACAAATAAATCTCTGAAACGGGCGAGTATCGATGTTGTCGCACGCGGCCTCAGCAGATGTCCTCTGCGGAGAACCGCCAGCAGCATTGCAAGGGCATGCTCACAGCCCGCAGAGGTTGTCTTCTGCATCTACTTACTCCGCCAGAAGTTGTGTAGTAGCCTTCCCAACATCGTCCGGGTTCTCCAGTCCTCCCGGATCGTCTTCACAACGACTGGACCAGCACACGGAAACAGCTTGTGAAAAGAAGTCGCATTCTGCGCCGGGGATGGTGACGCAGGTGGATCAGGACGCACGAAGGAGGACAAGTTTCGCGAATGCCACTGTCATGAGTCATTCTTGTGAAGCTGCACGACCACGAGAAGAGCCAGCAGGGGCGATGCAATTAGAACTACCACAGATGAACGACGACATCTTCTCCTGCACCGGGAAAATTCACTGCAACAGCAACAGCCGATCCTCAATTTCTTGTACCCGACGGGATTTGAGTAGTAGGGAAGAGACTGGTAGTTGTTGGCGTCGCAACGTCGCTACCAGTGCAAGAAGTTGGTCATCTTCCACTCTTGTAGAAGAGGCTCCTTTGGTCTGTAGTTCGCTTGTTCGCTGCACTACATTTCGTGGCGTCGGACGACCAGGGCAAGAAGGTGGTGCAGCTTCCGTTCCAAATCATCAATCTCGTGAACACGTCGGCCACGAAGTTTTAGAACCCTCTCGCCAACAACAGCGAAAGATGCAGCAAGCAACGTCGCAACTGCAGGACCTCGAGCACGTCGTTGGGAAGAGGATAAAAAGCGCAACCGGTTCACCCGTAGTTTCAACTACAGTGAAAACAGCCCGCCCCAGCTCCTGCTCGGACAGTAGATCACTTTTCAAATCAACAATGTGGTCACGACTAGAAGGGCCGCTGAAGAGACTTTTCTTACCGGTGCGAAAGTACAACAATCTCATCCGGCAGAAGAACGAAGCTAAGGAAACGAGCAGAAGTAGAACCCAAGGAGCTTCTACTGTCTCAGCCAGCTCGATGCAGGACAAAGAGAAGACGAAATCAACTAGAAAGAACTCATTTTCAACAGGGGCAACAACCGCAGCAAAAACCACTGCGACCATGTTTTTCTTTCTCGCATCTTCAATTATCATCCCTGAAGCATCCGCCTCGGCCTTGCTTTCTTCTTTAAACCTCGACGACTGCCAGTGCGCGGTGGAAGACGGAAGGTGTCCGAACGGGTACTCCTGCCACTGCGAAAAGCCGAAGGATATTCTGGGCGATCCCTACGACTGCGCGACGGATACTAAGTGCTACAACCCGGTGTGTATCATGTGCAAGTATGTCTGGGTCTGGAAGAATGCATGTTTGTCATGCTTGTCGGGCATGACTCTTAAGTCTGTGATGCACGGCACCCAAGAGCTCCACTGTTCTGTCATGCAGAAACGCAGTTTGTCATGCAGAATAGGCAACACCTAGAAGCTCAGAAACTTGTCATCCTGAGCCAGCACTTGTGGCCTCCTCATGATACGCCACCCAGCATCACAAGTTTCCAGACCCAGACGCAGACACATTTGCAATGCATAGTGCGCCCGGCCGGGTACTGGAAGTGCTGCTTCGACTGCGAATACAATTCCTGCGCGTTCTATGGATGTGTCAGGATCGAAATCGACAAAGTCGAGAAATTTGTGATGCACAAAATGTAGGGCACTGAAGGCCTGTATTGGGCAGCAGGCAAATGAAACCGATTGTAAGCCTGTTTAGGGGCGGTATGCAATGCGCTGCCAGAGTAGCATGACAGGAGCAGTCTTCTTTGCCTAGACAGCATGACATACTGGCCTTGGGTGCTCCCGAAATTTGTCATGCGCCGCTTGGAAACTGAGGCTCCAACTGGTATCGATTTTGTGCATCACAAATTTTTCGACTTTGTCAATTTCGATTCTGACACCTCCATACTTTCCAAGACGGGTTTTACATCCAGTCGCCGTCTTATGAGAGTGCACAACTTGTTCCCCTCCCCCTCATTTGTCATGCAAAAACCCCAAATCCAAGTGATAATTCCATGTGGCATTGTTTGCATGACAGATTCCGGAAGCCCAACCAGTACTACGCTAGGCGCATGAATCTGTCATGCACAGGCTCCGCGTGTGCTGGTGTTTGTCGTGCTGTTCATGCAATACAAATGAGGGGGAGTTCGGAGTTGTGCACTGTCATACGTCGTTCCAGCAAGCCAGCTTTCTCCGGCCCTTCTGGCTCGAGGAAGCCATCGTCACCCACGTGACGGATCCGAGTGCAGATTCCAGTGGCGGCTATGAATTGCAAAAGTTAAAGTAGCGTACAAGTAGTCAAAATTGCAATACAAACTAGCGCAGCACGACTAATTGAATTTCTTGTAGCCATTTTGGCTCAAGATCCCTTTGAAATTCTCACCTCACCAATAAATCGGTGGGTGGGGGGGTCTTCGAGTTTTTTACTCTTACCACAGCGGCACCGTGTAGAGGTAGTTGACATTTTACTGAATGAGAGACGTAGAACGCAGCTACAATTTACACCGCACTAGAAACAAGTTGGTAGATTGAGTAGGCTACGATCATAACGCAAACAGACACTGAATGCGAAAACTACAACTCACTTATAAAAACTACACATATTCAAAATACGCAACTCAGAAATAAGACTAGAAATACGCAAGCCCATCCATAAAAACAAAAAAATCTAAAAACAAAAAAATAAACTCAATATATGCGCGCAACGCTAACGGGGAAAAGCCGCGAACCTTACCAAGACAAGCGGAACAGAGACGCGACTACTTCCAGACCAAGAACTTCGGAGCTTGAACATTGTGGACTTCAGATTTCGCATCTTCGACTTCAGAAAGAGCTGCAGAAAACCGCGACCGCCAAAAGCAAGTCTCGGGCGCCGTACATTGATAAGAGCAGGCAGCAGAAGACTTCGCCACAGCAAAAAGCCAGGGCCGGCCACAAAGCAAGGGCAACTAGTAACACGCGACGCATTGGGCTCGCTGTCATTTTGCCTGCGTTCGAAGTCGGCGAGAGCGAAGCAAGAGAGGACCGCTGATACAGAATGAAAGGAGAGCGGCTGCGAATGTGAATGGAGCAGGAAAAGATAGCAGTAACTGGAACAAAAGTTCCGCCCTTTATAGTGAAGATGGAGGATAGGCGGGAGATGAGTCCTGCTCAAGTCGTTTGCTACTTTGCTTAGCCCACCATAAAACTTCCGGGGACGACTTGATGAGGATTGAGGACAGCTGTGTTACATTTCGTCGAGCCGCTTGCTACTTTGCTTAGCCCACCATAAAAACATCCGGGGGCGACTCAATGAAAAGGACATAGCAAGAACAGCTTCACTATATTTATTATTTAACCCCGTGCTGGGTAATACTACTACTACTACTTGTCATGCTGATGTACCTTAATACGGCAGAATTGTCATGCACGGCTGCAATTAGATGACTTACTACGAGCACGATACTTTTGCACAGGATAGCGGCAGTTCCTCGGCGAACTCCGACACCGGTTCTGCTGTGTACTCCTCCGACCGAATCGGCCCGGCGGCCAACAACGGCGCGGCCAGTGCGCTGTCCGGCATCACCAACGTGCAACGTGCCGACGCGGGGACGCCCCTCACTCCCGTGGTGAAAGAAAACATCAAGCCGCCCATCGTCTCCGGGACGGACTACCACGGTGCTATCAACGGCATGCACGGGGGTCGGGAGCTGAACCTGATGAACACGGAGCTCACGCTATCCTGAGTAAAAACGTTCCCACACCAGAGTTGTCATGCAAATCTGCATGCCAAAAAAGTTTGTCATGCGGAGCGCCATGAGAGGCATTTTCTAGCCGTGTTTTGGAATTTGTCATGCTACAATCAGCGTGATATACTAGATCTGTGATGCTGCTGAACTACCTAAACAGGATTGCACTAGTACGAGGACAAACTTGTCATGCCAAATGACCAAAGCTGGCTGATTTGTCTAGCAGATTTCCCATCGTGACTCTGGTGTGGGGACGTTTTTACAAATGATACACACTGAGCTCCCGGGGCCGCATGGAGTGCCTCCCCTGCCGGAAAGGCGACTACTGCATATGCATCGCAAAAGTATCGTACTAGTAGGAATAACGTTACAAATTTTCTCAGCATGATGAGAAAGGAAACTTGTAATGCGGATTTAAGTTGGCAAAAAAATGTGTAATGCATAAAATGCGATTAGTACGAGTGCGATACTTTTACAATGCATACTGGACCGGGTGCGACAACTTTGCGAAGTGCCCGGAGGAAGAGCGTATCAAATGCAAAAGTGTCTGGGTCTGGAAGAGTTCCAACTTGTCATGCTAAGTCTGGATCATGCAAAACTCTGTCTTGCGTGATCACCAAAAGCTGCACTTTTTTAACCAACACGAGAGGCAGTTTCTCATGCAGAATAGGCATGATACAGAGCTCGCAAAATCTGTCATGCTAGGTCCTGCATTCCAGACCTCGTAGGGCATCGAAATTTTGCATCACAAGTTTGTATTCTTCCAGACCCAGACATATTTGCAATCCATAGAGCGCCGCGACGCGCTGCGGGGCTATGCCCGGTACAGCGTGCCGAGGCTGAGCAACTCGAAATCGGTTTTCGCCAGGGAGTATAAATTGCAAAAGTGTATCGTAGTCATACTAGTAGAACTTCAACTTGCTCAACAGCATTTTTACAAATGAAACTTGTAATGCAGAAGATCTACCTTAAGAAATACATTGTTGCACGATTGCAATCACTACGAGTACGATACTTTTGCAGTTCATACGGAGTGCGCCCGCTGCCCGGACGGGTGGGAGCCTGATTTGTGGCTGCGGCGGTGTGTGAGGGAGTAAGTAGTATTTTTGATGCTATCTAAGCATGACAGATTCTTGTGTGCTCTGAAGTGCGCATCCTTCCAACTTATTTCCACCAGACCCGGATGACTACATGTAATTCTAAATTATTTGCAATGCACGCAATACAAAATTGAAATTTGCAATGCAAAAAACGCTATACCAGGTTCCGCAACGAATGCGACATGGAGCTGCTGCATCTTTGCATGGACATATGGGAGTGCACAACTCCCCCTCCCCTCATTTGAATGACATGAGCAGCAACACAAGCAACGCAAGAAATATGGCTTCCGCATGACAAATCTGCAGACGGATTACAGCACTGTTTGAGGCTCCAAGTAGATTTCTCATGCAAACTGTGCTCGAGGGCAAGACGTGGATTTGGTATTTTGCATTACAAATGAGGGGGAGGGAGAGTTGTGCACTCTCATAGGACAGGTGCTATTATTATGACGAGTGCGAGCGGCACCAGTGTCTCGTTAACTGCGTATGAAATGCAAAAGCATCGTACTAGTATAAATCGCATGACAAATTTCCTCAGCATGAGAAATGAAATTTGTAATGCGGATTTAACTTGAGAAAGAAATTTGTAATGCATGACTGCGATTACTACGAGTACGATACTTTTGCACAGGATACTGCGCACGGGAGGACGAAAATCCCCGGTATGTTTTGCAAATATCGACCTGGGTCAACAGGATAGTTGTGATGCACGATTCCAAGGACAAAACGATCTGTGATGCATGAAGACAAGTCGCCAGCGTTTTTGTCGTGCTAGAAGCCAGTTTGTCATGCGTTCCCCTGATACGGATGAATTGTGAATTCGTAACAAGCCCTTTAAGAAATTTCTCATGCCGTTATGCCTCACAAGCGGCTACTCTGCGATGGAAGGTTCAGCAACACAAGTTTCCAGGAGACCCAGATCGATATTTGCGGTGCATACTAGGTGCAGGGAAGCAATGCTGGAAACTTGCGAGGAGTTGAATTCTTTAACGCGGGAAATGGTGATTACCGATCCGAGTTTATTACCAGCCAGCGCGACGACGGTATAATGATTTGTCTTTGTCATGCTAGACGAGGTAATATCTTCAGATGCGACATACGCTATAGCGCAATACAAACAGCCGTAGAATTAAAAACAACATACTAGGTCACGACCTCTACGACCGGCATCAACGAAGATTCCGGTTTGTCTATGCAAGAAAAAAACTATGTAAGTGTACACTTGTGTTGCAGAACATGCAACATAGTTACACCTGTCATGCCAGACAGCCATGAAGCCCTCTACTTTTCATGTGTGTTTTTCCTTACAAGCCACGCATGACAGGTTTTCTCTGTCATGTAAAGCAAATTATTTGTGATGTTGTTCCTCAAAGAAAGTTACACTTACACACTTTTTTTCTGGATATTGTCCGTCCTAGCCGCGATGGAGGTGGACTACCAGTGCAATACTGTGAGGAAAAATCCCCCCTCACCATATCGAAAACGAAATTTGTGATGCTCTATTTGAGTACACAAATTGACTTGTATTGCTAGAAGGCCAAGAAATGCAGACGATGCCCCGTTTGCAGGCAATTTGTCATGCTGCTTCCGATTTCCAGCTGCCTCCTGTCGTGCTGAAGATGCAAGGCTTTCCCACGCAGCCCAGCACTACAGTCCGCATCTTTTCCCTTCTAGCATGACAGCGTGATTTGTGATCACCAATCACGCTACACAAATCTACCATTGAGCATGGGGAGGGGGGTTTTTCCTTCTGATATGCAATCTGAAGTGCGGGAGAAACACCGCGAGTGGGTTGAAACTGTCGAGTACTGTGGCTTTGGTGGCGATTTTGATGTTGACGGTGGGGGCGGGTGGCGGGGGGATTTTTGTTTAGGGAAAACAAGACGCAGGTTCAAGTTGATCTATCGGATTTTTGCTTCGAAGATGAAATGTACTGAGTCAGCAAATTCGATATCGTTTTTGTAGTACTGAGAAATTAATGGACAACATTAACAAGAGGTGGAAGTAGCAAGTAGTAGTAGTAGTACAAGCACGCAAGGCAGAAGTAAAAGTGAAAGTCGTTTAGTCGCGAAAAAAGCTGGCAGATGAAGATCAAAACTAAAGGGTCAGACTGTGAATAAAATCGAAAGTGCGGCGAGCTCCTCAAAAAGCCCGCGTGTGCGTTTTAACCGATTGCAAAAATCGTAATATGGAACGCTGAAGAATAAATAGGAACTGGTCTCAAAACAGGCATCAAACGTTAATTAAAGTACTTATACATAGAATATCAGATGAGCTAGGCAAACAGTACACAAAATCATGTAGGGCTAGAACACCCCAGTTGCAATCGACGAAAAAGACGAAATAAATCAATTTGAATGACGCAGCGGAAAAATCAAGAGCTTTGTAAGTATAGTGATTTTTGCGTTGAAACTGCAGTTTATTATGCTGCCACGAGGCGATAATTCGAATTCCTGTAGATAATCGCGATGTTGTTGCACAGCAATTATTCCGTGTCCGCTACGCTGAGGCATTCATAGCAATCGCACATTGAAAAAGGAAATGAACTCCACAAACTCGGTCACTGCTCAACACCAAAGGCAGAAACTCGGTTGTGCGCTGCATCCGACGATGCTGCAGCAATGCTGGTACAAGATACCACTGAATTTCGGTCGTGATTATACGTATGCAATTGCGGTGCCAGGAACAACTGCTGCAATCGGACCACCCGTGGCTGTCAAGAGTCGACTTCAACGATGATCTGGAATTGATAGATGGATGTTTCTTTTCTCTACTTTTCGAATTTCACTAGTGCAAATAAAAGGATTCGACCACTACCACTTCAAAACAGCGGCCTCTGAAAAATTGTAAAATCTATCATCTGTGGTCAAGAACATAACCTGACGACCCTTCCTTATTCACAACACCACAAAAGTTTTATTTGTTTTTCATTTTCATCCATCGACGTCGATTTTTCCATCTAGTATTGAACACCAATAACCACATACTACTACACCAAGCGAAGAACCGACTCCTTCAACACACCACAAAATGGGCAACACCTCCTCCTGCTGCGACGGCGACCGTGCCGAGAGCAAGCGCCTTGCGGCCGGCCGCACCTTTGGGCTAAACGAAGGCCCGAAACTCGCCACCACGCTCGGAAACGATCGTGGCGCAGGCGGGGCTGGGTATTTTGTCGGTGCACAGGGCGGCGCGATTAAGGACCGGCTGAAGGCGGGCAGTTTTCAGCAGGCTTATGGGGTACTAATCTAAGATTTTGAATTTACGATCTCGTTTTGGAACAGGTAGTTTCGGTTTGGGCAAGCGCATGACAACAAGGGCATGAGCCGCATTCCAATAATTACTTAGTGCAGGAAAAATGATCCACAACTTCTTCTTCTATAACTGTCTCAAAATAACTCAATCATTAAACTTAGATCCTCGCCGAGCAAGTGGGTAAAATGGAGCAGACCTTTACGCAGCTCGCGGGCGAGGATTTGTCCATGATCAAACGACGGAACGCGGAGCAGACGGCGGTTACCCAGCACGGCGATTTGGAAGTCATTTTGCAACACTTGGCTGGAGCCCCCGGTTCGGAAGCCACCGCGTACTGGAAATCTGTCATGGGGCAGAACATGAAAGCACAGGTCACGAAAGTGTGCACGCAGGTGAATTTGACCGTGGATCAAAACGTGAAAGACGAGCGCCGGGCCCGCTGCATGAAGAATTTGCAGATTTGCCTGGACATCGTGGCGAAGTATTAAGTTTGCAATGTTGCCCTGGTGGGGTGGCAGTTGCAACGCTGGAGATGATGTTCAGGGTCAGCACAAGCTGACGAGAACATCAACCGGACGAGCAGCTGTGAGGACATGACACCCTTCAGCACTGTTGATTTGTTCAGTTGAGACGACAAGAACCTCCGATGTGTTGCTTTGATGGATAATTTGTACTTGTTACTTCTTTACGGCGATTTGATGGTATGACTTTGATGATTCTCTTACTCTTACGAGGATGTTGAGACACTAATCTCGCATGTTGATGTTGGCGTTCTGTTTTGGAATAATATTTTTTTCCTGCAAAAATGCACGGATGAGGGCGGACTTCTTTCCTCATTCCACGTGCTGGATAGTTGCAGGAGATTTTTGTCCACGTTATTTTTTCCAAACGTAGACTACTAGTACTCACTAAAAGTAGTACAAAAGGTTTTCTGTTAGTGTATGATGGCACCAGCTCTTTGCCCGCGACAGTAAGCATTTGTCTTCACGACCACGACCTTTGTACGATTTTTAGCATGGTAGGTTTTTTCCATTTTTGTTGTACAATACACGCAGCTAAAAATACCAGGTATAGTAGAAGTGCCTTGAAACTACAACTACACGTACACGCTCCAAGATAAATGACTTCGCCATTCTTTTCGCGATACTTTTTTCGCACGGATGAGAAGAAGTCCAGAAACCTATGATATGGATCATGTGAGGATGCTTTTAGTACACAGCCTGGGTTACTAGCAGCAAATCTTTTTCAGAAGCGGGCAGCTACCAGAAGCTCTTAGATTTTTCAATCGCCGTTCTGTTCTCATGTTCTTGCTGCGTCGCTTGTAGGAAAAGGAATCCTATCCAATTCCGTGCCGAGTCGAGAAGCAAGGCACGCATGATCGCGGCGATTTCTTGTTGCAAGCGTGAAGTAGACGGGTTGTTGTATTTTTAGTCTTTTTCTTCGTGACAGTGAGGTGGTATTGGTAGAGTCCTTGGCCCGATCGTGAGAGCTCTCCATGTTGAAAGCTGTGTGCAGTCAGAGCGGAGCTATGCACTCTTATCTTTGTGCAAATTAGTCGTCAGTGTAGGTGTTTTTCAAAATTTTCGTCTCAACATACCGTATTCTGTTTCAGCAATAGCATGGCTACGTGAAGAGTAGGCCCCACCTTAGATAGAAGACCTCGTAATTTTCCGCGACCAGCCTCTACAGACACAACTAAAAAACAAAATCAGAAGAAACCAAAAATGGACGCCTTCCAGAACTTTTTCATCCAGATGGGCATTCTGCCCTCCGAGAAAGACTCCCAGGAAGCGACCTTTTTCAAGAAATACCCCGAAGTGACCTTTGATAAACAGGCGAAAGTGGCTCCAGCCGTGGCGGCCGATTTGTTTGAAGATCTGGAGATTGCGCCCTCCGGTCTGCTTTACGACGGGCCAGTGAAGCCGTCGCTTTTTTCAAGAACTTCCTCTTCACTCTCATCTTCAACTACATCTCCGGACGGCGCAGGAGTCCTCAGAAGTGGCGCAGCTGCTGCTAATCCAATAGCTACGTCGTCCAGCACTTCCGAGACAATCACCAGCGCCGCTGGTGTGTCGTCACCTAGTGGAAGTTCTAGCGATCCTACTGCGACTACTTCTCGAGAAGCTGCCATCGCCGCTGCCTCTACGTCGTACTTCCTCTCCTTCTCTCCAGCTGCGTTTCTCACAAATCTGTTCAAATCAACGCTAACAGTTTTGGGTTCCACCGTGGTTCTCGGGCTACTTCACTTCTATCTAGATGACATCTACAAGCGGAAATACCGGTTTTCGCTCTTCGAAAGTGAAATTCTAGCCTACTTCGCGAAGAAGAACATCCTGATCACCGGGGCGACAAGCGGGATCGGAGAATGCTTGGCGTACCGGCTGGCGAGTCTGGAAAATCCGCCGGCGGTCTTGTATTTGCACGGGAGGAGACGGGAGCAGCTGGAGAAGGTTTGTATATTGTTTTCTTTTTTCTTCTTGCATCAAAAAATACACATACACACATTTCTGATGCTCATTTGGCCCGGTCGCTACTACAACATCATACATCCAATTCCCAGGTCGCCAAGCAGTGCATCCTGCTTCAAGACGAAACCGTCCGGAAACTAAACCCGAACATCCTGGACCAAACCAGCCTGCAAAACCGCATGAAAATCGAGCCGATTTTATCGGATTTGGGCGACCCCGACCAAACTTTTAACGCGTTTAAACGCGCCTTTAAAGAACCCAGCGCCCAGGAAACCGCGGACTTGGCGCAGCTGTTGACCGTCCCGCAACTCGCGAATGACCCGATTTTCCTCCAGCAGTACGCGGCGTGCAATCCGAACGAACTGGACATTGTCTTCAACAACGCTGGGGTGTCGCAACGGGACGAATTTTCGAATTTAGACGTCGTTCCAATGAAGTTTATTCTAAACATATCCAAGAAAAAAACTGTGTAAGTTGGGTAACTCTGTGTTGCAAACGCATGTAAAACACTTATCACCTGTCATGCCGGACACATGCATGAGAGGCTTTTTTCCTACGTGTTTTCACGTACAAGCTACGCATGACAGGTTTTTTGTGTCATGTAGAGCTGCAAACTTGTGATGCTATTCCTCCAAGAAGGTTTACACTTACACAGTTTTTTTCTTGCACAAAACACCAACTGCTACTCCAACATCTTGATCACCAAAGCGGTGTTACCGCAGCTCCTCTTATCCGGGCAGAAGTCGAAAATGCAGTACGAGGCGTTAGCCGTGATGAACCCGGGGGTCAAGCACGACCCGGTAGCGGTGGTGTTGCGGAGTTGCGTAAAATTTTTCGTCAAAGTCGGGAAGATGGTGGTGGAGAAAGTGGAGAAAGCGGTGGGAGAAATAAGAGCCGGGGTTTGTGCAACTGAAGAAACCGAAACGTTGGTATCAACTACAACGACTCCGCCACGCTCGACACCAACATTGACCGCATCCGCTTTCCCCCACGCCGCGCACATCGTCCAGCTCTCCTCTTTCGTCGGCCGCGTTGCTTTTGGGTACCGCACGATCTACGCAGCAAGCAAATTTGCGACGAACGGCTTCTACACCAGTCTCCAGGCGGAGTTGTTTGATAAGAACATAAAAATCCACACCGTTTTCCCCGGTTTCGTCCGAACGAACATCGCGAAAAACGCGTTGGTCTCCAATGGCGACTCCTTCGGAAAATCGGACGCGAAGATTGAAAGCGGGTTAGATCCGATGGAGGTGGTAAACCGGATGCTGGCCGGGGTGTATTTTAACGACAGCGAGATTGAGGTTCTGAACGACTGGCACATGCGGTTACAAGCTTTATCCGCCCGGTGGTTTGGGTTTTTGCACCGCTGGTTATGAAATGCAAAATCATCGTACTAGTAGAAGTCGCATGAGAAATTCCCTCAGCATGAAAAATGAAATTTGTAATGCGGATTCCGGTTAAGAAGGAGATTGGTAATGCATGACTGCGATTACAACTACGAGTACGATACTTTTGCAGTGGATACTTGTTCGCGCTAAGCAACTACCGGAAACAGGTGGAGATGTGCAGTACTGCTAGTACTGGGTCAACAACATCATCTACTGCAGCAGGTGGTACCTTGAATTTGAACAATCCGGCAGGAGATCATAATCACGCCCCCGAAAGCAACAAAGCGGACAACTCCTCTGTCGCTTCCTCCGCCCGATCCAGTCCGAGTAAAACGAGAAGGAGAAAATCCATCGAATCCACGAAATTCCCACCCGCGATACGCGTGGTTCCGTTGAACTCCCCATCCGTGGACTCGCATTCCAGTTTTCAGAACGCTAGCCATTTTACCAACACAAATAACCTTCACTACGGTGGTGGTGCGTCGAGCAATTCGAATTCGGTTGAAGTATTAAATGGAAAAATCCCCCCACCCCATATCAAAACGGAAATCTGTGATGCAGATTTGTGGTCACAAATCAGCTTGGTGATGCTAGAAGGCAAAAGATGCGGACTGTAGTGCTGTCTAGCGTGGGAAAGCCTTGCAGTTCCAGAATGACAGGAGGCAACTGGAAGTGGGAAACAGCATGACAGATTACCTGCAATTTAGGCCGCAGCTTCGTCTCCTGGCCTTCTAGCAATAGAAGTTGATTTGTGTACTCAAATACAGCATCACAAATTTGCGCATCTTCCGTTTCCGATATGGGGTGGGGGCTTTTTTCACTTTGATATGAAGAGGTGAGTAACGAAAATTTACCGAAGCGGGTGCAGAAACAACAGGTGGAGTATTATCCCACAAAAAAAGTGTTACAGTTACACATTTGTAGTCAATTCAGCAACACAAATTTCTCTGGATGGGAGAGAAAACTTGTAATGCAGAAATCCTAGCGGAAAACACCTATGAAACGGAGCTCCCATGCATATTCGGCATGACAGAGTTTGTCTGTCTTGCTTGACCTGCAACACAATGTGTAACTGTAACACTTTTTTCTTCCGATAAGTACTACGACTTGAACAACAGTGGAAATTTGAGCTATTTGAGTACGGAAGAGGAAACAAATACTACTTCTGCGTTGAACAACATGAGCAGTACGAAGACAGCAGTAGAGAAGCAGCAGAAGTTTGTCCAGCAAAAGAACCAGACAGCTGCAGTTCACAGCCCGACCACGCCATCAAACACCTCTCCTTCTGCTTCACCCCATGCACCAAGCGGGAAGAGCAAGGGAGCAAAAGAGGGTCCATCCGTTGAAACGCTGCACCTGCATATCGAGGGAAAGGTGCAGTTGACGAAGGAGTATTTGGAAGGCGGCAATAAAGCTGGGGAGCAGCAGACGCAGAGCAAGGTCGAAATAGATAATTTCAGTAAAAACAGCAGTACCACCGGGATCGACAGTGAGAATTTGGAAGCGAATCCGATCGAAACTGACGCCGCGGCGGTGTCGTCGTCGCATGAGGAGTGAAGAGTTGTGGGTATGGGTTGCTATTCAAAGCATAAAATTTTATAAGTGAAATTTTTGTCTCTGGCACAACTTCTACTGACTTTATTGCCACAAGAACAAAATCAGACTTGTTTATACAAACGTACTAACTTGCAACTTTTCAATTTTTAATCCTGCCCTCAATAGGCGAGAAAAGCGAAAAGTTCCAGTAACAGTATCCGTGCCGCAGCTACCGCCACCATGAAAAAAAAAATTAAGTTAAGATTAGCTTGTTCAACTTCATTGAAAGAACACGAACATAAAGACGAGAACACAGTAACCAAATTTTCCAAGACCACCTCCTTCCACCAAAGTGGACTAGTACTGGAGGGTACTCACTGAAGACAGGCATAATTCGCACTGGAGGTGTGACCACCGGGACTGCGCATGACCGGGAGAACGCAAACGAACATTCTCATTTTCGACCAGCGCATTGGTGTTCGGCAAGTATAAATCCATTTGAGTGACACGCGACATCTTCGTCTTCCAGAACTTTCAGGAACCGTGTGCGGCAAGATGAGTCAGATTGCGTGGTGAAACTTCTGAGGGAAGAACGTGGCATTTTTTTGAGGGTACAACCGTGGGACGGAGCATTGTTGACGGTCGTGAGCTGATGAAATAAACCACGGCCTTCATCCTTACATAAGAGCAGTAGATCGTTGCAATTGCAAATCAACATGCGTCCACCAAAAACATGACTCAGATTTTCAGCATCGCTTCACCCCCGCCACCTGGCGGTGGCGAAGTGCACCACGACCCGGACGACGAACACAATCGTCCCAAGCAACGGCCACACAACCAGTTCCACGAAACCTCCATATCAACTGCAAATATGTCTGGGTCTGGAAGATTGCCAGGTTTGTCATGCATATTTTGCATAACCCATCATGTCTGCAATGCATGCCCTAGCATCAGAGATTCTGCGAGGGCTTTCTGATGCTCATACAGCATGAGAAATGCCGTCTCCGCATAGCACAAGTTTCGCCTCTTTTGCAGCTGTTCATCATGCAATACAGATTTTATGTAGGGTCCAACTTCCAGACCCAGACATATTGGCAACGCATACTCCAGCCAGCAAGAGGACCACGATGAAGCGACTTTCTTGGAAGATTTTCTCACCAAAAATCAAAACACCATCTGGCGCCGGAAAGTGTACTTCTGGCTTCTGGGCGGCATTTGGTTGGTCAACGGCATGCAGACATTGGTGCACCCGTTTCTGGTTTTGGATGTGACAGTACCAGTTGCACCAAGCAAGACGACACATGTGGAACGCAATGTAGACGGCACAGTGCATGTACAAAATAAAGACGGGGGCACAGCTACTGACACCATGGACACCTCCACCTCCTCCGGCGAGCAATCTTTATCAGGAATATCCAGTGCAAATATGTCTGGGTCTGGAAGAGTGCAAGACTTGTCGTGCATTCCGCGGACCGCGCATGTGGTCTGTAATGCACACTACAGAAGCATCACTGACTTGGCGAGACGGAGACGTTCGCTATGCCTATCCCGCATGAGAAATCCGCCTTTTGCTCAGCAAGAAGTGGGCATCTTTTGGCCTTCATGCAATACAGTTTTTTTTGGGCTTGAGACTTCGCATGACAAGTTGCATCCTTCCAGACCAAGATGACATATTTGCAATGCATAATCAACCTCCCTCCACGCCATCCAGCTCTACCTCGGCATCTCCTGGTTTTTCGGTTTTTTCATCGGAATGGTAATCATCTCCCCGTTAGCCGATCTCTACGGACGAAAGAAACCGCTGCTCTATTCCCTTTTCGTCAACCTGATCGCCAGCTTCGCGTTTTGCAAGGCACACAGTCCGGCTAGTAGTACTTCTTCTAGTACAGCACCAGGAGACGAAAGCGACGTCCTTTTCGAAGACGCCTTCGTCCTCTGCCTCCTTCGGGCGGTGATTGGCGGAACGGTTGGCGGCGGCGGCATGGTGGCGCACTTGTTGATATCCACGAAAAAACACCCATCCCCATCCATTTTTTGCATGACAAACACTGGATTTTATGCATGTCCATGTTTTGCATGACAAATTGGATGAGGATGGGTCTTTTCTTGTGGACAGTTGATGCTTGAAATTTGTCCGATCAAGCTCCGGCACAGCTACGCACTGTCATTGCACATCCAGTTCGCGGTAGGTGGAGCAGTCGTTGCGCTCTTAGCGTATCTCATCGGCCCAGGAGCTGGTACTGGTGGTGACGCAGATCATTTTTCATCCAACCCTACCCAAGGCGATTGGCAGCAGCTCTCGTTAGCAATCGCGCTGATTTCGCTGTTTCTGTTCTTACCTTGTTTCTGCTTCGTGAAGGAATCTGTACGGTGGAAGTGGATGATATTCACAGGAAATAATTTCCCGTACACCTGCAAATGCAGTCTCTGCATGACAAAACTGGGCTCTGATCCGAGTTTAGCGTGACAAGTGTTACACTCCAAATTGGTGAAATTTGTGATGCATCTTGTACATGTACGGGAAATTTGTGTTCCATAGATGAATGAGGACGCAAAAAACAAGAAATCCACGGTGGTCTTGTATTTGGAGGATCTGGACATTGCCAGTCCGGGCCCTCCCGCTGCCCAGCATGGAGGCGATCATTACAACTTCCCTGAACAGCAACTGGCGTCACCAGTGTCAGCGGGAAAGACGCAGAACACGTGCGCAGCTGCAGTGGAACCACGACCGTTGGGAGCTGTAGTACAACCAGATACAGCCAGCAAGCAGCCATGTTCATCTCGCCAAATCACCTCCTCCTGCTCGCCGGTAAGTACCGAGGTGGAAACCAGTGCGGGGGAGTTCAATTTCGATGGTGGGTCTTCGGGGCTGGAAAACACCTCAGTCAGGTCGTCGACAACTTCGACTAGTTTGAGTTGTGTCGCTGCGGTCCAGCCATCTGCCGTCGTTATTGGCGCGACGAGGGGAACCTCCAGCAGCTCATCAGTGGAAGAAGAGGAGGACGTTAGTGACCATCATGATCCTGTTCTGGTTGCAACGCCGAAACGACTGGCAGGACCACAAGCAGAACTCGTAGCCGATGCTGGAATAGACGCAAGAAGCGCGTGTGAAGATTCGGATCTTCGGGCCTCCGAGAATGTTGACAACTTCTGTGGTGGAAGCACAGAGGACATTCCTGCCCCGCCACTGCCAACCGAAATGAACCGCGTCCATCTGTACACGCTGTGCTTCGCGTGGTATGACAATGCACAACTCCCCCTCCTCCTCATTTGTAATGCTTGAACGGCAACACAAGAAACGGCAGAAATGGGCCTTCTGCATGACAAATCTACACACGGGCTGTAGTACTGTTTCAGGTTCCGAAGTTTGTCATGCAAACAGTGCTTCAGCACAAGTGGTGGATTCGGTATTTTGCATCACAAATGAGGGGGAGGGGGAGTTGTGCACTTTCATCCGTGGTTTTCCGTCTGTTTAGTGTACTACGGAATGTCGTTTTCGGTCGAGAAGCTGACAGCGAAAGAGAATAAAAACGACAGTAACAGCGGCTCCGACTCAACTGCATCAAAGCAGGAACAAGCTGCGTCAACATCATCCTACCACCAAACCTACGAAATCTACCTTCTCGCCGCTCTCCTCGCGCTAGTGGAGATCCCGGCGTGTTACCTCGCCAACGTGCTGATGCGCATGAGAAACTTCGGACGCCGCGGCAGCACGTTTCTGTTTTTCATCGGGAGCGGGGTGTTGAGCGGATTGTTGAATTTTGAACTAACTGAGACATCATCAGCTTCTACTTCGTCGTCCTCGGGTGGAAGTAATAAAAACCAGTCCAGCAGCACCGCTTTAGTTCTCACCTGGTCCATTGTCCTGCTAGGAAAACTTCTCATCACCTCCGCTTTCGCCTTACTGTACACCTACGGCTCGGAGGTGTTCCACACGAAGAACCGGGGAAAGGCTTTAGCCTACCAGTCCGCGTCCGCGAGAATTGCCGGGCTGTGCCTACACCCGATTTTGGCGTTCTTCTCGGCGCAGGGTACTGCTACCGGTCAGAACGCGGTGTTCTTGCTCTTCGGCGGGGTTTCTGTTGTTGCTGGGTATTGCTGTCGCAGGTTTTTGCCGGAAACACGGGGGAAACCGATGGACGTGAACTTGGTAAGTGAAGAAGAAGAGCATGGGCAAAAAAATAGCACGCCTGGGATATTAGCAGGAATGAACATGAGCGGGTTAGATGACAGTAAAAAATTCACGGCGACTTCTGACAAACGAAAGTTTAACAGGAAGTTGAAAGCACTTGACTGTGGGGTGGAAATAGAATCTGCGAGCAGGATTTGTGGGTGCTGCTTTGGCCGCGCACAGGAAGCAGCTGCATCCCGGAAATGAATAACGGTTCTATTTTTCATTTTCATGAACTGACTACAAAGTACTACTTTGGTATTGGGTACTAGGATGGAAAATCCGAGAGCGGAATTTGTGAGCGCTGCTCGGTCTTTTTGGAGAGTAAAAAATGGGCCCTGAAAACATTGAGTGGACACCGATCCTAGCATTTGCCTGCTCGTGCTACGAGTAGGTAGGGGAAGGCGCTTAGCACTGCCACGATCTGAAATTTTCCTACCATGTTGATCTGTTCCCGATTACAAAGTAGATCTCGCTGATTTCGAGCCACTATGCGCTGCGGCACAAGAAATTAGATAACGGTAAAGGCCAGAGGCGCTCCTTGTTGTTGCTGCCCACTACAATGAGTCCTACTGCGTCGGGCTCTTTCAGGGCGCGCGATTTGGCCATGCTTTCGTCCAGCAGCAAGAGGAACAAGTCGTGTTTTCCTTGCTTCTTGCTGGCACTCGCCGTGTTTCTGCTTTCCTCGAAACCTACCGCTGCCGCCCCGACACCGCCCCTCCCGACCTTCCAACCTTCGTGTCTATGAATTGCGAAAGCATCGTACTACAAGTAGTAATTGCATTACAAATTACCTCAGCATGACAAATGGAATTTGTCATGCTGTTTTACCTTCAGGACAAGATTTGTCATGCATAATTGCAATTAGTACGAGTGCGATACTTTTGCACAGGATAGTGTCACAGCTGCACGAATGGGGATGTGTACAACGTTATCCGCAGTAATTTCCCCGTACTATGTACAAATGCTGTTTCTGCATGAGAAAACTTGCCTTCAGTCGTATTCTAGCATGACAGGTTGCTCACTACAAGTTAGCGAAATTTGTGATGCATTTTGTACAACATGTACTGGAAATTTGTATTGCATAAACGTGTATAGCCAAAAATGCGAGTTCCAGCCCTCCCTCTTCACGGAAACCAGCGATTTCTACCTATCCTGTGCAAAAGTATCGTACTCGTAATCGTATTGCCATCATGCATAACAAATCCTGTTTTTAAGGTAATTCCGCATTACAAATTCTATATCTCATGCTGAGGACGAAATTTGTAATGCATTTGTACGAGTACGATACTTTTGCAAAGCATACTACCAAACGCCGAACAACAGCTCGTGTCAAACCGCATTAGGCACTGGGGCGATCAGCTTGCAAGAAATCCTGCGCCAGCAGACCGAATCGAGGCTGAGCGAGCAACAGTTAACGCAAACCTATGAGACGAACAGTACCAGTCCAGTGCTGTCCCCGAAATCCATCACAGTACTCGCAGGTACGACGATTCAAGAATTTGACGGGGAATGCACGTCCTACCCGGACAGCATCGCTTATGGAGTTCTCAAACGTTATATCCTTTACCGTTACATGAATTTGTAATGCAAGAATGGCAAAAGACAAAGAACGGAGGTTGCACCTGCAGCATTACAAATTCCGCACAGATTTAGGTGCTGCGTAGCCTTTCCAACATTTGTCATGCGAAGACGCTTCACTGTGTGGATGTTCATGCTCATTTTGCATGACAAATCGAAATAATGTAACAGTTGAGAGCGTAACGTTTGAGAACGCCATATCGCTGATTGTGCCAAACTGGACAGCTACAGTAATAAATACAGCTCGCAGAACTCGATCAGCTTCGCGAATCCGGTTTCCCTGGCGAAGGACAGCTATGGAAACATCTTCGTCGCGGACAGCAACAATAACCGTGTCCGGATGCTGACCTGGTCGAAAGTGGTCGTAACAATCGTGAACTTATCCGGGTTTCGCGGGTTCCAGGGCGATTCCGGGCCGAGCCAGATCGCGTGGCTGCGGGGGCCGGAATCTGTAGCGGTGGACTCGCTAAACTGTGTATTGATTTCGGATTTTGGGAACCAAAGGGTGAGACGGGTGTTCATGAACGCGGCTAGCAGTTGGAAAAGGAAACTTGGGGGATTTTGGGGTTGGGTGTGGTTACTCTATAAAGGGTGGACGAATTCAGTATCGATACAACTGAAGATTTGCATCGCAGGTCGTGGTGTGCAGATGACACTGAGTCTACAGCCTAAAATTCGCATGGCAAATAACTACACCATCAACCTCTACCCCCCGATTCTTTCCTTCCATACCCGCTACCCCCAAACGCACCTACACCTCCCCGACCGCAACCACCGTCGCAACCGATGCAGAAACCGCCGCGGCCGCGTATCAAGACAGGCTGCGGTCGCTACCGCAAACCAGAATCCCAACGACGATCCAAACCATCGTTGGCTCGGGCGTCCGTGGGTCCGGCTGCGCCGCGTCGATTTCTAGTACATCGGAGATCTGCGACCCGTTGACCGCGAGACTTCGCTACCCGAGGGGGATTGCTGTAGACAGCGCCGACACGCTGTTTTTGATTGATTCGGGGAACCACGTGGTCCGGAAAATTTCCGGATTGAATTCCACTTCCGGTTTTTACACCACCTTCGAAACGATCATCGGGTCCAAATCCCGCCCCGCGTACTACCCAAATCTTCACTACAGCAGCTCGGTCGCGGTGGCGTACCAAGGGCTGTTTGACCTAGATCCAATGCCGTACTCCGATGCGAACAGTGGGGAGTATTCGGCGGAAGTACAATTGTCAGAAGGTGTGACGAATTTGGTCGTGGACAGCAACGATCATTTGTTTCTCCTCGATTCGGGCGGAAATCGGGTGTTGTTTGTGCCGAAACAACGGATTGACGGAACGACGGTGACAAGTAGTTCTAGTACTGGATTAAAATCCTACGGCGGCAAATTCGGACAGCTTTTAGACCACTATCGGAACCACTTTGTCTTGCACTTCGGGATATGAACTGCAAAAGTATCATACTCGTCGTATAAATGCATTACAAATTTTCTCAGCATGAGAAATAAAATTTGTAATGCTGATTTGCCTTGACAAAGAAATTTGTAATGCAAGACCTGCATTTAAATTTATACGAGTGCGATACTTTTGCACAGCATACGGGAAGACGGCTAGTAATTTTACGGAGGTTTCGCTCGATCCGTTTTCGTATAGCAGCCGGTATTCCATGACGGTCGAGGAGCAGTTGGCTTCACTGCAGTTGGAGAACGTGGTCAGTAGTGGTACAGCGACAACTTCCGGCTCATCCGCAACAGCCTCTTCCACGACCTCCGGCGCCGACTCAAACGCCGACTACCTCCCGATTCTCCCCATCACGGCGAAATCGACGCCGGAATTGAACCCAGGAGTAACGACTAATTTTATCAACACGACCACAAAGACCGACTACCAGTTCGCCTACTGGACGCTCGGACCCCGCATTTTGGACAGCGCGAACCGGATTTTCGACCAAAAAGCGTTGAACCAGGAGAACAAGCAGCTGCACCAACCGGTGGGAATGTGCCTGGACATGACGGAAAAAAGGGGGTTTGTGTTGGATTTCGGAAAAGAGGGGGAGAGTGTCATCGAGTGGAAATCGATGCCGACGGGCGAAGTGGGGAGGGATTTGAGCCTGCTGAATAAGCCGAAGATGATTTTTGGTGGCACTTCTACCTCTAGTAGTGGTGCACAATCATCCACGCAAACCACCACCTCCACGATCCTACCCTACCGGCGAGATCTCTTCTCTTCCATCGGATCCTCTGCTTATCGTGAGCTGAAAGACGCAGCGCCGATCTCCGCAGTTCTAAAATACCCGGTTTCTGTCGGAGTTACGGGCACTGATTTGGCGAATTTAGTCGAAAACGTGAACTCGTTAGCCGGTGCAGGGTCGGCAACCACAGCAGTTACGTCGAACACCATCCCGAGGTTGTCGAAAAGTTTGGAAAAGGAGAAAATCACGGGGGACTACTTGCAGTCGTATTTAGCCGTAAGTCCTACGAACCACACGCTATCTCCTCACTACAGCCAAGGATTAGAACTCCAGGGCTTGACGAACAGTTTTTCAACATCCTCGACGACGTCTCAAAAACATGTTTTAACAGGCAGTCAGATTCTCGGGGGACTAGAAAACGCGGTGTGCGACTGTATCTGCCCGTTTGAACTGATGCAGCTGCATGTCGGCCCGGCACAACAACCAAATTTGGACGAGAATCAGCTCTATTGTTTCTCCGTGCCACACCAGACATCTGCGGATTTTAACAACATTATCGCCTGCCCGGACCGGAAAAACCCTTCGGCACAACTGTTCAACAGTTCTTCGAGTGTGACCTTGCAATTTGCGTACGAGAACTACTGCAAATTAATTACGCAAATTCCGGTTTGGAACAACACGGCTGGTGGTGCAAATGGCGGCTACGCGACGTTTACGACGTTTGCAACCAAAACGGACTTCCAGAACTGGGTGGCAGCGACGGCAAATTCAGTGGTGAGGTCGATAATTATCGACGCAGTGCAGGGGGTTGCGTTGCCCAAACCGGTGGAGGTGTCGGGGATAGCGGTATAATACAAATACATAGTGCTACCGCAATTTTCTTTTTTTTCTCATGCGTGAGAAGCAGAATGGTTGGGCCTTGTCGTGCACAGAGCACTATGCGCAGAGCATGAGCACTACTTAGCTTGTTTTACCAGCTACAAAACGCAAAATGTTGATAATGTACTGTAAAATTCAGGTTGCCGACTGTTCCGACCTCTGTGACGCCGACATCAATTGTCGGGGTTTCCATGGTTCTCACTACTTCACCAGCGCCACGGATGGGATGTTCGTGTCCAACTGTGTCTTACTCGAAGCTACTACGCCCTATCACGTCTACGCGTACACGAGTCGTCCGACATCCGTACTGGAGGCGGATTATGCAATGCAAAAGTATCGTACTACGTATAAATCGCATGACAAATTTGCTCAGCATGAGAAATAAAATTTGTTATGCTGTTTGACCTTGGAAAGGAGATTTGTGATGCATGATTGCAATTACTACGAGACGAGTGCGATGGTTTTGCACTGGATACGGATTTCGACGCTACAAAGTGGTCTTTCCCGCTCATCGCAGTGTCCCCCTACACCACCTCCGTGTGGCGTATGAGAGTGCACAAGATCTCCCCCTTGTTCGCCTCATCTGTGATGCAGAATCCCAAATCCAGTTGCTGCCCTGTAGCATGTTTGCATGACAAATTTTGGAAGAATCCGAAGCAGCACTACTACAGTCGGTTCATCACGTATGAGCTTGTCATGCACAGCATACACGTGTGTTGGTGTCTGCATTGCTGTTCATGCCTTAGTACAAATCAGGGGGGAGGGGGAGTTGTGCACTTTCATATGGCGCGATCTCTCCCAAACCGCGACAGCCGCGACCGCGAACGATTACTCCTTCGACTTACTGCTTCATGATTCAACGAGTCAGCTCCAACTCCCGGAATCCGCCGTTTCGCTCGATATCAAATGCAAATATGTCTGGGTCTGGAAGATCAAGATTGCAACTTGTCATGCTACATCCGAAGCGTGCAAAAATTTGTGTTGCATGAGCGCCAAAAGCTGTCCACTTTCGACGAAGTTGGGAGGGAGTTTCCCATGCAGGATAGGCATGACAGAGACCTCGCAGAGTCTGTCATGCTAGGTCCCGCATTCCAGACCTCATGGGTCATGGAAAATATGCATGACAAGGCTGTAATATTCTTCCGGACCCAGACATTTATGCATTTGATACTAGACCTAGTCGAGCAGTACTGTGGGACCACCGCGGTGATCAACAACAACGATACCGATGCGAATTTTCGCTCCGGGTACCGGAAATTCGCGCCGAAAATTTACAAGACGAGGACGAGCTCCGGGTGCGCTTATAACATCATCGGGTGTAAGCAACTGTGTCACGCGATCAGCTCCTGTAAGGCCATCGCCTACCCGGGATGTTTCTTACTCCAGAAAGAAATCGCTGGGTTCCCGGATACCAGTGGCACAACGGTAACGAACGCGAACTACAATAAGTTCCAACCAGAAATATCCTCTGGCCTGATCAACAGCCGCCAATCCGCCGTGACCGAAAGCACCTTCCCCGCAACGTATCTCAAACCGGGAAGAAGTCTAGCGTCGATTGTCACGCAGACCAGCGAGGGAATCGGCGGCGCGAAGGGGGGCGCGGGGAGTCGGGAGTTTGAACCGTTTGACGATCTGACGAACAACAAACTGCTCGCGCCGACCAGTTATGAATTGCAAAAGCATCGTACTAGTTCTAGTATGAATTGCATTACAAATTTCCTCAGCATGAGAAATGGAATCTGTAATGCTGATTGACGTTAGGAAAGAGATTTGTAATGCAAAACTGCAATTACTACGACTAGTACGATACTTTTGTACTGGATACCAGTTGTATCGTGAACGACACGGACGTTTTGATAACTGACGCGACTTCCCACACCGTGAAGAAGATCGGGATTGAACGACTGACCGCGAGTTGTGGGAATCTGACGAATTTGTTTTCCACGAGCGATATTTTCAATTGGGCGAAACTCGCGCAGAAGGTACAGGGAACGTGCTCCAGTGGAGCTTTACAAGCGAATCTTCCGTACGACTACTTCTCGTTAACCAGAATGGATCTGTTCATGAGACAAGCGGAAGTGACGGTGGTGGGAGCGGCTGCTACAGCAACTGCTGCAGAAGGGGCAGCCGCTGGAGAAGGCGCCGCTGCAGGAGCAGCTACTCCGCTAGCAGCAACCCCCGCCGCGAACCCGTTCAAAGTGCTGCAAACGGAATTACTAATTGACAACAGTGTGAGAAGCAACACGAAGATACAGCAAATATCTTCAGTCCCCGCAACTACAGCAGAGAGTTTGGTGAAACAAACCAGGTTTTCCTTCGCGAATCTACTCTGCTACCACCCTTTGATTCCCGAAACGGTTTTCTCGAGAATACCAGCAACGCCGGATCCTTTGACAAGTGCGGAAAATACGACTTTGCTACTCGAGCAAGACGATTCGGATAATTTCAACAACCCGTATTTGGATCTGAAAACCCTCTGCGATTTATGCAACTACGAAATCCGGGAAGAACTGCAGGTCGGGAATAGTGTAGTGCCCACGACGACGAAAACAGTTTCCATTGAAGTGAAAGACTACCACCAGTTTGAGTACTCGTTTTGGCAAACCGTTTTGATCCGAACGGATGAGAATGGCTATGTTCTCCCGGGGGAAAATGCGACGAGTGCTACGACGACTGCCTCGCTTGTTTCAAACAGCTATTTAGAAATCGCGGGGTACTTTTTCAAATCAGCTTTGTCAACCGACGCTGCTATTGAGAGGAAAAATCCCCCCTCCCCATATCGAGACGAAGTTTCTGATGCTGGATTTCCATTCACGCATCAGATTTGTCTTGCAGTAGAGGAGTGCAGGCATATGTCACGCCTCAGGCGAGAGGTTTTGACATAGGCGCCTAGCATGACAAACGTGTATGCTCTAAGCCAAACAGCATCACAAACCGCCTGCAAAATGCGGAACGCTTTCTGGACTTGCCTTCTTGCAAGACAGACAGGATTTGAGGTCGCAAATGCGCATCACAAATTTTCAGACGGATACGTTTTCGATATGCGGAGGGGGGATTTTTCCTTACGATAGCTGCGGTTTCATCTTCGGGTAGTGCAATTTCCTTCGACCTCACTCTCGCAGACCAAATCACCAGCCCGACGAGGACGCAGATTGCGCAGATCATCGCGAATAATGCGGCTGTAGTAACTACTTCAACCAATTCCGCGACCACTTACTGGACGGGGACAATTCAAGTCACTAGTCGTGACCCGGTTTTGAAGACGCAAAGGGATTCCCCAGCAACCGGCACAACCATAACGGACATCAAGTCGAAATCCAGTTGTCCGCCGAAGGATTTGTGTCTGTGCAGAAATAATCTCGTGGAGACGATCCAGAGTAAAATTTTTCAGCAGTGTCCGGTTGAGAATTCGTTTGTAGACAACTGGCATCGGACCGTCGCGGGAGGGTTGCACTGTTTGATGGGAGATCAGCTGTTGTACCAGCAACGGGCGCTGGTGACGAATTCGACGGGGGTAGTGAGTTCTGGTACGAGTACTGGGTCGGTTTTGACCACACCAAGTACAAGTCTACGGGATAAAATCCGGTCCGCTTTGGTTGCGGAGGTGGTGGCTGCTGGGGGAGGGACGTGAGGGTGGGGAAGTTTGGTTGGGTTCGGTACTAGTGGTCTGTTGTGGTTTTACCGATAGGCGACCGAATCCTCTGCCAAACGCAATGACAGAGAGAGGCATGATCGTTAGAAGTTGTGGCACAGAAAAAACTGTGAGTATCAGAATCTCAAAGAATGACAATAGTTACGAACTTGTTGCCTGGCGGGCAGCATGCATCAACATCCTTCTTGTTGTCACAGGTCGTGTTCACCATGGTAAAACTAAACCGTTTGCGTCTTCTTGTCAGATCTATTTTTCCAATTTCGGGGGTTTGCTTTGCGTGGTATATTTCGTCAGTCCAGCTCGTGATGGTCCTCCTACCGTGTACATTTTGGTTCCTGACGGACTTTCATGCAACTGCCTATTTTTGAGTTTGAAACGCTTGCTCGTAGGAATGGTGCTACGCGGCTCAGCGTCGCGTCATCATGTGAAGATGTAGTTGTTCTGGCAGAATCTTTTCCTAAGTCGCATATAACAAGATGCGATCACAATTCTTGCTCGTGCTGCCTACTTGAGGCCGGCACTGGCTCCTGCGAGCCAGCCTGCACTTCATTTTCGTCGAAGTTTTACCGGAATTCCAATCAGGGTGGGTTTGGCTCGTCGGCGTCAAGATGCTCTTCACTCATGGTCTCCAACTGCCAGCCCCACTTGCTTCTGGGTCAAGTGACGTGTTTTCGTACGTCTGATTTGGCGGGAATTCCGAAGATGCGCGGCGCCGCGAGCAGATTTTTCGCCCGCCTTCTACGCCGGTGTTCTTCGGGCGCCGTTGGAGATACGACGGACAGCGAGGGTGAAAAGGAAGGTCCCTATCGTGCCAATGATGATGATCATGTCGAAAAGGTGGAAGAAAACTACGACGCGCAGAAACAGGAGACGAAGCAGCAGGAAAACTACAGAATGCTGACGACCACGGCGAACGAAGTACAGTTGGGGGATGAGGATGAAGTTCAAGTTTCTCCTGGGCGAACGAGTCACCTCGACCTGAACAGCAGGAACATTTCGTATTTTTCGCAGTCTTGTGGCGGGGCGACCACGGTTCTTGCCCGGTTCAAGACCAGCAGCTGCAGCACCATGAAGGACGACTCTGTCTTGTACGCGAGGATGATGAAGAGAATTAGATTGCAGCAGCAACAACGCTATCCAAACACGCAGCAGTTTTGACGTGGTAAGTAGTCGTGTGAGTTGCAATGCATGGACATTTGGCATATTTTAGGTAGTTCGAAGTTGTAGTTGATGGACTGCTGGTCGTGCTAGAAACGCCGCTTCGCAACACACTTGCTGCACCTCATGCGACTAGCTACAACGCCCTTTGGTCGTTTCAACAGGATAAACGCAACCGGCGTAATGCGCTTCGCTACGGATTGGGCGGGAAGGTCCTTGAGGCGCTGGTCTGGGTTTTCGTTTTGTACGTTTTGTACAGTGTGTCCTTGGTCGCGGATTTTCTCGCACTCGCGGAGGCGACGGACGAAACGGCCGTGTATGCTACAGGATTCTTGAGTCAACTAACGCCAAGTGCAATAAGCTGCGGAGCAAGAACAGCTCGGATTTTAGTCCAAGTACTACTCAACGTATACAGGAGAAGTAATGACAAATAAACGCACAACAAATAGGAGTCGATAAGGGACAATCTAAGGCTTAGAGTCGAACAGATTTAAATCATCAAACGCACAACAAAAATCCCCACCGAGAAAAAAAACAGTCCTATGTGTGTGTGTGTTTCGACTACTGTACATAGATGGCGGTCCTCGTGATAATGACATAAGAAGATGATAGCGAAGTATTAATTTGAAGATGAAGTTACCTCAGGAATTGGGTTCCACCCTCTGCATAAAGCAAAGCTTTCGTCAACGTCTTTGAAGAGGCCGCCAGCAGGAGAAAAACTGTCTGTGGCTGATTCGAAAGCGAAAACGAGCAAAGAACCGGATCGCGAAAAAGCTGCCGGGAAATCGTCGACGACATCCGTTGAGGAGGAGAAGCTACCAGGACCTGCAGGAGACGCTTCTACTTCTCCGCTCCCCGACGCTACGTCCTCGAGCGAGGTCGCGGCTGCGGATAAAAACAGCGGTGGAAACAACCCTCCGGTCACGGTCCTCGATACTATCGTCCACAGAAAATAGTAAGCTTTGATTCGTTGTCATCGCATGCGCACAAATCAATTGGGTATTTTCGTACTGAATTCTGATGGATATGCCGCTTCTTCACGCAATTTCCGTGTCGTTGTAATTGGTTACTATCGAGAGAGTTGGTTTGTGGATGCGCGGACGGTAGAAACAAAGGTAAATGCATTTCATAAGTGCTACAACGACCGAGACGGACTCCAACCAGAAACAACGGAGGAAAGAAAATGCAGAAGGCGACGTTGCTCCTGGCCAAGAAGCCGCACTCCCGCAGCAACAAAGTGCAACTTCATCCACATCTCCTACTTCTGATTATGATGCAGCTTCAGGTAAGGAGCAACAGCAAGCAGCCGCAGCTTCATCCGGAGGAACGCCGCGCACAGATGCCACTGTCCTTGGTCGGAAGGAACAGGAGAACAAGGACGGGTCTGCCCTGCTCGAAAGGAGTAGACTTCTTGCTGCGATAAGCAATCAGGTAACAGGGGGGGCGAAAGCGGAGGCGGACAACGACAATGGCCCTGCAGGTGCTGACGATACCAAAGAAGCGGGGGAAGCGAACAAGCCTGCAAAGAAGATTAGCTCTTGGCAGAGATTCAAAGCGCTGATGGGGCGAGTCAGCCTTCCCTGGGCGAGCTCTGCTTTCGCTAACACGGGCGTCGACCTGTCCGCAATGCTAAAAAAAGGAGACGCCAAAGGCATTGAGAAGGTGGAAGACGACGCGGAAGACGAGTTTGAAAAGGAAATGGCGGAAATGGAACAGGCACTGCAAAATCGCCGTGAAACGAATTTTCAGCTAAAACAAAAGCCAGTTACCGACGGGCAGAAAGGTGTTAACGCAGGGGAACGCTTGGCAGAAGAGGCGCTGGAGGTACCTCGGGGGATCCGCTATCTACTGCATGCCGCCCTCTCCATACTGTCAGGAGAACACTTGATGGAGAACAATGGTGACGTGCTCGAAACTCTGCACGTGGACAAGGAGCGCAAGGACGAGTTTTCGAGAAAGCTATCGAAGCACGAAGACGAACGCAGGGCCGAGGAGCTAGAGGAAGTGGAAACAGGATCCGTAGAAAAGGCAGAACCTGGCCAATCGTTTGACAAGAAAGGCGCGCGCACGAAATATGTCGCGTCAGAGGATGGACTAAAAGCCGACTTCCACGAGCCAATGTACCTACAGGGTGACGTCACACATCTAAAACCTAAAGACGAGAACGGGTCTGTTGAGTTTGAGCAAAGCCTGCGGTTTGTTTCTTCAGGGGATATTTGGGAGATTGTTGGGGTGGAAGACTTATCCAACATAGCGAAAGTGGAATATAACGTGGATTCAACAGAGAGCGGTGGGGGTGAGGCTAAAAAAACAACTCGCTACTTTCCAATGTGCGAGGTTCTTGTGGAGGACAAAATTAATCAAGACAACGTCGACATGATGCAACAGCACAATAATTACAACCTTCCTCTAGACCTCTCCTCCAAGCGCTATCTGCACCAGAGAGCACTCCGTATGCCCGCTCGTCTACGCATAAAAAAACTTGCACACCGGTGGGGGAAAAATGCTGTCTTCGACTTCGAGGACGTCGACGGGCAGAAAAAAAGACCGAAAAAAGGAGAGGCAACGATGGAGTTTCCCCTGAATGAGAACGACAAGGACTGCAATATCATCGGAGGACCACCAGCACAAGATTGCAAATTTAGTGAGAAGTGGGAAACGTACATGAATCTACTTGACGAGTACTGGGACAAAATGAGCACGTCCAAGGAAGGTTTTTTGGGAAGGATCGATATTGAAACGGGAACAATGGAGATAATGGTTGCTGGCTTTGAAGCCCTTCAAGCGGGTAAAGCAATGGCTAAGGAGGCGATGGCGAAGGAGGAAAAAGCGGCCGGCGACGACCAAACGACTAGTGCATCAGCAGCCCTTCAGGTTAGAAGTAACGACAATGCCGCTCCCGCTTACGCTAATAATGTTCACGGCGGCGACGACCAACTACAGCTAGAAGCAAAGAATGCAGCAGCTCTACTGTCCACGACAATATGCCAGGAAAAGACCGCGTGTATGCAATCGCGTGCAAGCCGATAACCGTTCTTTCCGGAGACATTATCATACACACGTGCTTATACACGTTGTACAGGAAAACGCAATTCGAATTCGTGCATGCAACAGATAGTATTGATACAGAAGATCTGGCTGCACCAGCATGAGACGTGGCTTTTGTTTGCACAGCATACAGCACGGCGAACGTTGAACCAAAGGGCGGGCAACAACTCGAAAAGACGAAAGTCGACGACGGATCTTGGGCTCAGTCAAGACCGGTTGGAGATGAGCCTCCACAGCAGCACACCAAAGAAGAGAATGTTGCTGCTCCAGTCTCCACAGAAGCAGATGCTGGCGATCCACTGCAGCAAGGAAACGCGGCACGGAAAACTGATGATGGACACGTCCTTAGTGGAGCCACCTTTACCAGCGCCGAGCAAATCCAGCCGGACGGCAGCACGACGGTCGGAAACACCCCGGAGCGAGACGCGCCTGCTCCTCCGCCGCACACGACGACCCAAGCGAAAACCACTGGCGCGACCCAACCCGATACGGACGAAAATGGTGACCAGAAGCAGCACGGGAGCAAAGTGAGCAAAGATACGTCGCCTTTTTCAGTTTCCTCTGGCGGACGAGATGATGGAGACAGAAAAGACAGCGCGTCCGACCAGCACTCTTTTGTGGAGAAGAAAAGCAGCTCACACACCTCCTCCCAGGCTGTCCCAGATGCTGCACTCGCGGAAGAAGGAGAAGCTTTTGCCCTCGAGAATCAGTTGCCAGGACAGCAACACGCGGGCGGCGCGCCAGCCAGTCCGGATCCAGGTGTAGCAAAACGAACAGGAACGGCAACAACGGTACAGAGCAAGAACAACCATCAGAAACCACAGGCGATATTGAAAGAAGCGGCAATAAAACATGATAGTTTCTACGATGATGTGGTGGATGCAGCATCAGCATCTTCTGCCATTCAGCTACAGGTACAGCAGTCAAGCGGCGACAGAAGTAGGCTTTTGGCGCAGCCGGGGGACTCACATCACATCTTCGCGATTCTAACCAACCCCGCGTTCTACTCCGAGCACGCGCACGTCCTCTCGGTGATTTTTTTCGTCCTTTTCATCTTCATTTTCCGCTCCCACGTCCGCTCTACGCTGACCAAAGGGTGGAACTTTGTCCGGAACCCGATGAATCTGCAGCGGCGATTATGTTGTTGAAAGCGCACACGCAGAGAACAAAGCTGCCAGTAATACAGCCAGCATCTACCATCTGCACCAAGCTTCAACGCGCACACCAGGGCTGGTGATGTATAGTCTGCATTTGTCGTGCGTGCTGACTCGAGAGCTCAAGGCATACCTGCTTTTTTACATGTATCGGCGAGAACTGGTGGTAGATGCAGCTTGCAGAACCAAATAATAGCGAAGGTTTTGCATATCATACTCACCGAGACCTGGGGGCGCAGGACAGCCACTCTTCCATCCCGACCAAAGTGACCAAATCAACACGCCGCCGCGGACCGGGAGTACTGACAAGCGGGGCGGGAAGAAAAACAAAAAGAACCGGCAGGAGCCAGGACCATCTCATGACGGACGTACTGCCAATGGCAGCGGCTTTGGAATTACATCAACGGCAAGCACACCGGAGAGGTGGAAGCGTGATCAGGACCCGGGGGCAGGTGGTAGTATCAACAACCGCGGGCTTTTTAATAGCCCGTCCGAAGAGATCTTATCGTCCTCTTCTTCCTCGTCCCCAGCACTGTCCCGCTCCTCACCTATCTTGTGTAAAAATCTAAATCTCCATCGCCCACGCACCCCTGCTCGGTGTCACTTTGTCATGCACATATGGCATGCATGCCCGCCTACCTTCTTTCAATGTTGGATGTTTCGCATGACAAAGCGGTGATTATTGCGATCGCGATTTTTGTTTTTCCAACCGAGACCACCGTCGCTTTCCCCGGACGCCGAAAACCCCTTGACCCCCGACACGAAACTACACCGGAAAACGAAGCACCGGGTATCGAATGCAAAAATGTCTGGGTCTGGATAAGTGTAAACTTGTGACGCAGGTTTTTCATGACCCATGAGGTCTGGAATGCAGGACCTAGCATGACAGAGTCTGTGAGGTCTCTGCCATGCCTATCCTGCATGAGAAACTCCCTCCAAACTTGGTCGAAAGTGGACAGTCTTTGGCACTCATGCAACACAGATTTCTGCATGATTCGGATTTACCTCCATTACAAGTTGCAATCTTCCAGACCCAGATATTTTTGCAATCCATACCGGAAACCGAAGAACAACGGGTTGAAAATTACCAGTGCGCAGAAGAAGAAAATGCAGGGGAAAAAACGCGATTTGTTGGCGAGAATGAATTATGGTGAGCGGAGCTGTACAGGGGAGAACGAAAGAACGAAGGACGGCTTTGGCGTTGCCGATACGGTTGGACGGCATCACGAGTCGTACGGAACCTTTGCCAATTTGTTCGGGAAGAAAGAAGGGAAGGAGCAGGGTACGGAGTCCACGAGGACCTCTGCGGGGGAGAATCTGGTGTAGGGAACATATAACCCGCTCAGGTGTTACAATCTCAAACGTCACAATAGAATTCGGAATTTGTGTTGCAAGAAGTGCATGATCTACCCTGCTCCCACAGGATTGCGCATGACAAGTTCTGGAGTCCCAATCCGCACCACAATCTGCCGAAATTTGTATTGCAGAAAGTGGAAAGCTGTCCGAGTCTGTCATGTTGATCATGCAAGACAAATCTCAGATTCTATTGTAACGTTTCGGATTGTAACGTTTGAGCAGGTCATAGAACACGAGGGCAGTTTCGTCGAGGTGGTACGACGTTTCACCGGGGAGACGATTTTTGTCAAACGTAATTTTTCAATTCATGTTTACGGAGAACAACCAAGGTTGAGTTTACTAGTTCTGTTGTAAGTTTGCTTTAAGAGTAAGTTCAAAGCCAGGAGACTTGATTGCAGATGGCATGCGAAGATTCTAAAGAAGCAACCAGAAGTTTTTTTTCAATTATTGTCGCAGCTGGTCCTCCGTTTCAAATTTATTATTTTAAGTAACTGCAGGTGCAGATAACCAGGAAACAAGAAGCAAGCAACGATTACGATGTAAAAGGACTATACGAAATCTCTCTTCGAAGTAATAGAAGAGAAAGGAGCTGCTTATGTTTGTAGTGCGCACTACTTACAGTTACACGACGACATCACGTCGTGCGTCCGCGTCGTGCGACATGTTTTTTTTTTGCTAAAGTCCATGAGACTGACTCAACAAATTGATATACAGCTCACGTACAACGCTCAGTTGCCGATTTTACGATGACTACTCAGTTCCTTGACGAGGTTTGTTTATTGTTTGTTTTTGTTTTTTTTTATTTGGCGCTCCGACGCTGAGGTTTCTTTTTCGTCTTTTTCATTGCTAAGTTAAAGAAAGTTTAATTTTTGATGAGGATCGCTACTTTTTCGAACTACAATCCGCCAAAATTCAAAAGGCCGCACGAAGCCGAAAACAAAGCTGGAATTTCGCAGCAATATTTTTACACCAACGCTACAGCGACGACCGTCGTCGAATAAAACTGTTTCACAACAAACGCACAAAAGATTTTTCCCCAAGCGAGCAAAGATTCGCATATTCAAAAAAAAACAAATACTCCCTCAAAGGGTGGCTATGCCGCACAGCCTAGTGCGACGAGATGGAACCCGCACTGCCAGTATCTACGGATATTGCAGCGCCCCTCCTTCCTTGCGCTCTGATGTTCCTGCCACACAACTGACACGACACCACTGTGGAATGCGAATGGAGTTGGACGTAGTTGCTTCCGCGACGAGAGAAGTTTGGACTCTTCTGTTACTTGTTCCTGTTAAAACTGGTGTTGGATGCTGCCGCGCAGCGCAAAAAGTACTCTCTGCATTTTCCTACCCTTTTGTTCGTCGACAATCAATTCATGGCACTAGGGATTCCTCAAGACTTCTGCACCCGTGTGCAATAGAAATCCTTCATCTTTGAGAAGCTCCTGCATTTCGTGTTCTGCTAAAAATAAAATACGAAAACAAGATGCACTCTTCAACTGGTTCCAACAAGCTGTATGGCGGCCACGGGTCCAGCCACGCGGCCTCGTCCGCTATGAAGATAGCCTCCGGCCAGCAGCTGCTAACCGAATTATCCCAGACGTACCGCTGCCTGGAGCGAGAGCAGCACGAAAGGGAGATTCAATTTGCGGAGCAAGAGGCGAAGATCAGCTATTTAGAAACGCAATTACTGGTCCAGGAAAAACTCAACCAAGATCTGCGGAAACGGGTGAAGATGCTGGAGTATTTGTTACGGAGGGAGCGGCAGGCGAATATGACAGTGCGCAACTACTCCCCCTCCCCCTCATTTGTATTGCATGAACAGCAATACAGGCACCTCCACGTGTGGAGCCTGTGCACGACAAGTTCATGTGCCTGGTGTAGTGCTGTTTGGGCTTCCGGAATCTGTCATGCAAACAAGGACCACGCAGCAGCGCTTGGATTTTGTATTTTGCATGACAAACGAGGAGGAGGGGGAGTTGTGCACTATCATATCGTACAGTTGTAGTTCAGGAGGGGGTGGTACACGGAGCAAAAATGCGGGGGCTGGCGCGGTGGAAAGTGGCGGAGGGGGTCGTGGAGCAAAGGATCCACAGCACAAAAAAGTAGACACTTCTACAAGCAGCGGGAAGGATCAGCAGGACGAGGACGAACACGAGGGCGGACATGCGGATGCCAAAAAAGATGGCAAAACAAGTTCTGCTTCTGCTGAGGAAGACGCAGCCGACAGCAGTACCACTGCCGCGGAGGACGTCGCGAATGCTTCGTCGGTGCAAAGTAGTGCAAGGAGAAGAAGCGCGAGTACGGACGAGGATGAAGAGGGAAGAGGAACGTCTGATTCGGGTGGTGCAGAAGACAAAGAGAAACAGACGAGCTCTGCTGGTGCCTCGTCGAGCACTGCAACATCTACTTTGAAAACGAGTACGGAAGAACAAGATGAAACCGAAAGTGGTGATGGAAAAATTCAGCCTACGGACAGCCAACCCTCAGAAGAGAAATCTTCTTCCTCATCAAGTAGCAGTAGTTCCTCCTCCTCTTCCGCTAAGAATCCCGCCGACAGCAAAGAACGACAATCTTCAGCGACTAGTAGAGAAAAAATCTCCTCCAAGACCGCCAAAAGGACAAAGCCGAAATCCCGTCTCACCACCCTGCAAGAAATTGCGGCGAAGCTGCCGACGCAGCGGGCGCAGAGTGCGAAGAGCATTTTGAGAAAATACTTGAAAACATCCGTGTTTTTGACGGAAGGCGGCGCGGGGGATTTTGATCTAGGTACAGATAGTAGCTTTTTGGCATCGTGGTGTTATTTGTGATGTGTAGGGCTAGGGTTCGATGATGAGGTGCATTTGTCATGCGACGTTGTATAACTATTTCTAACTCTAAGTGGTCTAACAGATGCTCTTGCCATGCTGGCAGAGAAGCAGGACTACAAATCTTTTCGGCGCGACCGCGACCACACCAGAGGAGACCTGCACGGCAATGCGGGGCGGGATCTTATACGAATTGCAAAAGTATCGTACTTGTAAGAATCGCATGACAGATTTCCTCAGCATGAGAGATGGAATTTGTAATGTGGATTTTTTAGTACTTTGAGAATGCATGACCGCAACGGGGTTCGCCTAAGTCGGTCATTTGTATGCAAGGCGTTGGGTTACCCGGTCGGCAGAGCCGATCCACAACGAACGAACGAACAATCTTTATTCTTGCGAGTGCGATACTTTTGCAGTGCATAGTCTTCGCACGGGCGAGATTTGCGGGAAGTTGAAAGAGGAACATCAAGTGGCAGTAGTGGCGGTGGAGGCAGTGGAAATCAACATCATTCCAGTAGCTCCCATGGGGGCGAACATGACGGCGGCAGAACCTCAACTTCCTCTTCCTCCTCCGCCCAACACGCGACGGCTTCAAATAACGCCGCTGTTTCCGCCACTGCAAACAACACTACCCCGACGTCCAAGCCCTGGCGACACTACGCCTCGGTTTCCGGCGCCTTTGTCGGCTCGGTCGTGTGTCTCGCGTACGACAACCAGCGGGCGATTTTGGTCTCTGGGTCCGAGGACGGGATTGTTTGCCTGTTCGACATGCACAGCTTTAACACGCAGGAGCACGTGGAGCCGTTTGCGTCGCTCGTGCACCACCGGGCAAGGAAGCTGTGCCAGTCCATTGCGGCGGACTTTACCAAGAGTATTGAACCTATGATTTTTGTAAAAACAGAGATTATAATTACATTGGAATTTTTTGTTCTTTGTCATGCTGAATCATGTAACACCAATGTGTGATGTGCAGTTGTGATGCAGAATATGTATATGCTCCTTCCAAACAAATTTCTCAGATCTCTTCCTCACCGCGGACGCTGCTGGAGACCTCGTTTTGTGGAAAATCAACATCTCCAATCCGAATTCCACCTCGACAAAAGGCGCTCTGGATCAAAACACGACAACCACGGTGAACAAACAAGATGTGGCGCACTGCAGCTCCGAAATTTCCGATATTTGTCTGGTGAGTTGTGGAGCTACGGGCAGTGGTAACTCTAGTAATTCCTCTTCTTCTTCCTCGGGAGCTGCAACTCCAAACACGACAACCCTTCTTGTCGCCACCGTGCATTCCGAGGAGAAGATGCTTAGAATCTGGTCGACGGTTACCCAAGATAGTAGTGGTGCTGGCATTGCAAATAGTATCAGTACGTCCTCCTCGAACTTGAACAAAATCCAAATCGAAGTGGAATATGAGAATGCACAACTCCCCCTCCCCCTCATTTGTCATGCAAAATCGCAAATCCAGGCTGTGCCTCTTGGCACTGTTTGCATGACACGTTCTGGTAGCCCAAATAGCACTACATTTTTCCAGTGGAAATTTGTCATGCAGAACCGGCATTCTTACTGTTGCTTGTATTGCTGTTCATGCTATACAAATGAAGGGGAGGGGGAGTTGTGCGCAGTCATATAGAGTACGACGATTTCAAAAACGCCCGTCCGCTGTGCTGCGACTTCAACACCGGCGCAGGTAGGGCGAACGGAAATGCTGGCACGAATGCAAGTGGTACGTCTGCGGTGGGAGGAGGAGGTGTTGCCTCTTCATCTCCATCTGCAGCCACTGGTACGACCACCGGAGCTGATAGCACGGTCACAGGAACAAGCTATGCTGTTCTCAAACGTTACATTCTCAACTGTTACAAACATGATTACTATCTAAACTGCAGCAGCTGGTCAAAAATGCAGGCGAGGGGTATGTTCTGGGGTATGTTCGGGGGTGTGTCAGGGGTATGCAAATGGCCGTCAATCACAGGCGGAATGCAATTTTTTGGCGAAAAAGCAACAGGTGGGGTATAAACATACCCCAGACACACCCCAGACACACCCCAGACACACCCCAGACATACCCCAGACAGACCCCCGAACACACCCCAGGCAAAAAGTCCGAACATACCCCAGACACACCCCGGACACACCCCGGGCCGACTTTCCGACACACCCCGGGCAGACTTTAGGACACACCCCGGACACACTTTGGGACCTCGCCACGCGAGATGTGCAATGGCGGACTCCAGTTTGTCACGCAGGCCGCCAGCCTGTCGAGCTTCCCGGGCCCCGTTGGCAAGGCCCAGGGACGAAAGGCGCCCTCGGTCAGCGCGGGGGCCCGGTCCCCGCGTCATGACCTGGGGGCCAGCTTTGGGCGCTTCCCGGACACCGTACGGCCCAGGGGCAAAAGCCCTAGGTCAGCGCGGGGACTCGGTCCTCGCGTCATGACCTAGGGGCCAGCTTTGGGCGCTTATATCCCGGAAACCACCCGCACGGCCCAGGAGGTACAAAAGCCCTAGGTCAGCGCGGGGACTCGGTCCCCGCGCCATGACCTAGGGGCCAGCTTTGGGCGCTTCCCGGAAACTAACCGGCCGCACGGCCGAGGAGCAAAGGCCCTAGGTCAGCGCGGGGACTCGGTCCCCGCGTCATGACCTGGGGGCCAGCTTTGGGCGCTTCCCGGAAACTAACCGCACGGCCCAGGGGCAAAAGCCCTAGGTCAGCGCGGGGACTCGGTCCCCGCGTCATGACCTAGGGGCCAGCTTTGGGCGCTTCCCGGAAACTAACCGCACGGCCCAGGGACAAAAGCCCTAGGTCAGCGCGGGGACTCGGTCCCCGCGTCATGACCTAGGGGCCAGCTGCAGATCCAGCGCCAGACTCTTCCTTTCTGTTCTCTTTGTTCGCGGTAGGTTAACGGGCCTAGTGTGGGCAAGCAGAGGGGCTCCGTCCGCAGATCTGTCGTGGATCAGGGGACGCAGGCCACACAGAAACACCGGGCTGCAGTGGTCTGCCTGCCCAGTGCCACCACAACCCCCGAACTCGTCCCAGAGAAATGCCGGAAGGTCGCCGCATGGGGACTCTGTCCCCGTGCTCGGACCTTGTTTGTCATGCAAAATGACCATGACCCGTCAGACGATCAAGCTGCTTCGCATGACAAATTCTCGCAAGGCTGAATAGCACTGTAATCCGGATCAAACCTGTAATGCAAGACGCGCAAGGTTCCCCCTCTCACCTGTGCTAGTCTCGCATCACAAATTTATGTAAGAGTTGAGAATGTAACGTTTGAGAACGCCATACAAGCCACCTCCTCGTTGTGGGGTTCGATAACGGGATGTGTGCGATGTACGAAGTGTATCAAGTGGAGAAAAAAATCACGGAAGAACAGCATTCATCTGCTGTAGAAGAAGCTCCTTCTGCAGGCGAGGACTCTACTTCGTCTTCTCAGACCTCCGAGGACACGACGAACACCCCCACTGGGGAAGTAGAGAACAACAAGAAACCCGTATCAAATGTAAAAATGTATGGGTCTGGAAGAATGCAAGATTTGCGATGCACGTTTTCCATGACCCATGAGGTCTGGAATGCGAGACCCAGCATGACAGATTCTTTGCGGTCTCTATCATGCCTTTCCTGCATGAGAAACTCTCTCTCAACTTGGTCGAAAGTGGACACCTTTTGGCACTCATGCAACACAGATTTCTGCATGATTCAGATTCAGCATGACAAGCTGCAACCGTCCACCCCCAGACATTTTTACATTTGATAACCCGGAACTACAACCGAAACTGGCAAGGACACCAGCGAGACCACAGAAGATGCAGCTGATATTGTGAGGAAAAATCCCCCCTCCCCATATCGAGAGCGGAATTTGTGTTGCTCCTGTATTTGAGTACACAAATCACATCTGTCTTGCTGGAGAGGACTGCAGACCCATACCAAGCCTGAGCACAGAGGCTTTGACTTAGGCGCTTAGCATGAAAAGCGTCCGTGATGTAGGCTCAACAGCATGACAAACCGCCTCCATAATGGGACGAAAGCTGCTGCCCTTGTCTTCTTGCAACACAAACGTGATTTGTGACCTCAAATCAGCAACACAAATTTTCGAAAACCTACCTCTTCAATATGGGGGGGGGATTTTTCCTTGCGGTAGCTGACACGGAGATGAAACTGAAAGACAAAGAGTCTGACCACGACGGGAAAGAAACAAAAGACAAGGAAAAGGATGCAGCTGCTGCTGAAACAGAAACTGGAAGTGCAGAGAAAGGTGATGATAACAAGGAGAAAGCGAGCACTACTAGTACTACTACTTCAGGATCATCATCATCATCATCATCTACGTCTCCAACCAGTACTGGCAATGACAAAATCGTCGTAGTCCAGAAGGTGTGGCAGATCAAGCGGCTTCGGCACATCGAGTATTGCAAGGAAAAATTCCCTCTCCCCATATTGAAAACGCATCGGTCTGAAAATTTGTCATGCACATTTGTGACCACAAATCGGGTCTGTCTTGCACAGAGGCAATCTCAGGCTGTCCGCCACGTTATGCAGGCGGTTTGTATGTAGTGAGGTCACCGAACGGTTCTAACCGGGGAGTTTTTTTGACACCCAGACAGCAAAACGGCCGCCAGTTTTCAAGCGGGCGGAAGCGTTTTTGGACGTAAAAAATTTTCAAGTATCAAGCGGCCGGGGCTTTGATAGCAAACAAGCCCGGTCGAAAACTATCGATTCGCACTTGATAAAACGACGCAGGAGAGCCGGCAAAAGGGGCGCCCTTCGGAGGCGCCCACCGCCTTAGTTTCTGGCGATTTGGGGCTCCCAAAAAGGGGCGCGCAAAAAACACGCCCAAAAACAGAACAGCGAAACAGCCTGGCACGGCCGCGATTTCGGAGCATTCTGGGCGGCCGCGAAAGCGGTTGCCTTTTCGCCGGTTTTAGAGCCTGGGAAGCTTTGCAAAAAGCGCCGACGTGAAAAATAAAAACGCGAAAAATAAAAAGCGCCCCCGACGCGCAAAGCCAATCCGCATGCTATGGGCCCGGTTTTTCTTCGCTTTTTGGGCGCCCCCCGTGGCACCCGGATCGGCCCCATAGCATCGGGGCTGGCTTTCGGAAAGGAATTTTGGAAATGTGCCAAAATTTGCGACGCTTCCCAAGTGGCCGCCATACCGTGCGGCATAACCTTACTCACGGCGGTATGGCGAGCCCATAAAAAGCAAAGCCGCGGCCAAGGCGGCGGCCGGCAAAAAAACGCCCACGACCTCACTACCCCCGCCCCGGCGGCTATATTTGGTAATGCTGTAAGGCCTACGGGGCAGCCGTCTACCATGCTAGGCGCCTACACCAGAAGGCCCCTATCTAGGCTTGCGATGTGCGTGCAATCCTCTACTGCAGGACCAATCTGATTTGTGTACGCAAATGCAGCATCACAGATTTCTTTGGCGATATGGGGAGGGGGGACTTTTCCTCTCAATATCGAGGTGGCCACTTTCATGCACAATCGAGAGCGGGGACAGACTATGCATTGCAAATATGTCTGGGTCTGGAAGGATGCAACTTGTCATGCTGTCATTGGATTCCAAGAAAATCTGTGTTGCATGACCAGCAAGAGGAATCCAGTCTGTGCTACGTGGAGAGGGCATTTCTCCTGTGGAATAGGCGTCAGGAAGCCCTTCAAAAATCTGTGATGCTACGTCATGCATCACAGACGTCATGGGTCATGGAAAATATGCATGACAAACCTGGCATTTTTCCAGACCCAGACATTTTTGCATTTGATACAGACGAATGCCCACGGCAGCCAACACGCGGCTTGTTTCACGGTCAGGTCGATTTTGCCAAACGTGGTGGCCGCGGGATTTGGGGATGGATTCCGCCTGATCGACGTTTCTGCAGTCACGGGGAAAGAGGTATCTAGAATTTAGAATTTCGTTTTGTAGTCATGCTGAATCGGCATACTGCGTGGCCTTTGTCATGCTTGAAGGCAGCAAAAATCGTCAATATGATAAAAATACAGATCTGCGCTTTCGACGGTTTATCCGACCGACTTTCCGGGAACCCGAACCCCCACTTAAAGAACAAAAAGTCTTACCTGACAAGCTCCCACTCTAAAACTTTGGTCGGGTACGACGCGGTGACTGGGCGGTTGATCCTGGGCGACCGGCTGACGGGAAAAGTGGTGATGTGGTGCTTGAAGCAGCGAAAAATCGTGCAGGAGATCACCTGCTTCGATTCCGAAATTTCCAGCTTACTCCTCGGTGTCGAAGATGTTTTGTTCGTCGGCGGAAGAAGCGTCGGGAATAACATCGGAGAGGACGATGACGATTTTGAAGTATCCTGTGCAAAAGTATCGAACTCGTAGTAATTGCTATCATGCATGACAAATATCCCTTTTTAGGTAAATCAGCATTACAAATTCCACTTTTCTTCTTGACAAAATTTGTGATGCAATTTATACTAGTACGATACTTTTGCAATGCATATGAAAACGGTAACAACAATGCGGTAACCACGGGAATTGGGAAAAACGATATTTTTGGAGGGCACATCCGAATTTTGACAAGATAGAAGTTTCTTCTTGTTTCAACTTGACAAGTATACAAGATAGAAGTTTTACGGGGGGATTGATGCAACTTTTTGCAAGCCGGCTAGAACGACACAATAAAGCGAGACTCTAAAAAGTTGTTGTAGAGACTCTAAAAAGCTGAAGAAACATGCGAAATTCAGGTTGAGAAAAATCGCTCAAGCTGTAAAAATGATCTTCATCTTGCTTACGAAGAACACTGCTGCCTGTAAAAAATTTTTCAATTTGACTTCGTCTATGATAGATAAGTTTGTGATCCTATGAATGGTGCTGTGAAAGAACTACGGGGTCTTGTTGTATTCTTCATCGGTCACTCATGTCGCTGGATGAGGCACCTTGTGTTGCACGACAGTGCACTGGGTACTGTATGAAACGCTACAACCATTTAAAATTTTGCAACTGCGACAGGTATAGTACTTTGTCACTCAGTATAATTCTCTGCGGTGGGCATGTTGGTCCAACGACAAAGATAGAGAACCACAAAACTTGATTTCAAAAAATTTTGGGTATAGTAGTTCCAAGCACTACCGCAGTGAAAGCTTCATTGGCGCAGCTTCATTCGTGGAAATGAACCTGCCGGAGCGAAATTGCTGCGACATTGGAGTTCTTCTTGACATAGTAAGTAAGTACTTTCAACGTTTATTACGCTTCCCTTGTTCTGGAACGCTCAAGAACCTATTTCGCTCGGTTGAGAAATCGGAATCGGTGTGGACTTCTTGCACACTTTCGGTCCAACATCTTGATGCTTTAAAAGTACTGGTTTTTATTTGATTTTTCCACAAAATCAAAAACGAGTAGTAGAACTTCAACTTCTCGGTTTTGAAGCTCGGTTTTGAACACTTTCTATCTCGTATAGAATGTAGCTCGGTTGTTCCGTGGAACATGGACATCAAGACGCCAGTCTTTTGTGTATTGGGCGCAGCTCATGTGGCGCACCGGCTGACGAAGAGGGCAGGCTGGCACGCAGCGCATGCGGCGCGCGATGATGTTCCTGCGGATAAAGGGCCAAAAGACATCAACGCGAAGGAACAAGACAAGCAAAGGCAGACAAACTGCATGCGGGGCAGGCGGGGCGTTAACGAGCAGCGCCCACAACCGTGTGGCCGGCGCCGAAGCCCGCCAGCCTGCGCTCGCTCTTAGATTATGGCCATGCAGATTGCGTTGTGGCTGTGCGCGTCTGCGCCTCCCCACCTGTGTTGTAGCGTTGTCTCTTTGGTGTGATGGCGGGCCGCTTTGGCGTGGGGCAATGCAAAATCCTAGAAGCGGCCGGGGGGCCAAAGGATGAGCGACAAAGAAAAGAGAGTCCATCCGGGCCACTAAAGAACGAAAACGAAAAAGCGAAACAAGGAAAGAAAAGAGGCCCGCGGCGCCAGTCAGTTCTCCTTTGTCTGTGTGTGCTTGTCTTGATGCCAATCCGGGGTCGGTGCCTCCGCACATAGCGAAAAAAAGCAAGAAGGCCCCGCGTTGCTTTGGTGTGGATCGATGTGGAGGCCTTTTGTGCCAAAGGCCGCCGCCTCTACTCTCGCGGGCCATCATCGTCGTGCTCACTGGTCAAGATGCCTCATGGGCCAGCTAGTTCGTAGACGCTGGATACAAGGCGGCCCATGCGAGTTTGTTTGCTTTCTTGCGGAGGCGTGGGCGCCCCAAGTGCAAGAACTGCAACGCCCACTGTTCGCATTCGTGCAATCATAAAAAAAAAGCTGCCAGATGGAAAAGATCTCGAGACCAAAACACAAAGACCTGCGGCCTTTGAGCGCAACGAGTCAGTGCTCTGCCGAATTCGCACCCACTCAATTTATAGAAAAAATTATCTATTTTTATCGCTAGCAAAATCCGGAATTAAGGACTTTTGTCCGGCCATAGGTTGTTCCGTGTAACATGGACATCAAGACGATCATGCTTAGGAACGGCTGACAGGGGGGCAGGAAAAAAGATGGCGGCGGGCGCCCAGGAAGCTCACAAGGGCAACAGGGGCGGAATCGGGGGCGAAAGGGCGCCCGGCCCGTTGCATCTCTTCGGCTGTGGGTCCCGAAGCGGCACCGCCGTCGGCCGGAGTGCTCGGCACCGACTGGGCCCCGGGCCGCCTCGCTTGGGGCGGCCGTTGTTTCTCGGTGGAGCGTTGCGCGCCGGCGCCGCCCCGGGACATACAAGATGGCGCGCCAAACGGCGGGCCCGTGCAGCAGACCGCGCAACTTCAGGAATGCGGCGCAGCCTCCGGCAATTGACGTTGCTTTACTCACCCCCGGAGCTGTGTTTTCAGTGTGTTGCCACGGCTTGCTTTTGGTCGCAAGCCAGGCAGCTGAAGCGCCGCGGCTGCCTTCGAATGGTTCGGGCCGGAGGTCTCGGATAGGTGCCAGAGTCCTCGGAGCTGTGGCGTTTTTTGCCGCGGAGGGGTTGCGCTTTGGCGCGTCATTTTTTCGGGCTCCCGGCGCGCCCGAAAATCGGTTTTGTAAATCGCATTGTAAAAGTGTTTTTTCAGCTTTTTGTTTCAAAAAATCGAAAAACGAAAATGCGCGTTTTGTATTTTGTTACAGCATACGGTTGTTCCGTGTAACATGGACATCAAGACGATCATGCTTTGAAATAAGTAAACTAGCTGTTATCCGTGTGACCGCCATTTTTGATGTTGTACACAGGTAGGTACAGCGAGAGAATGGTAGACTCTAGTTTCATAAAAAGTGCAAGAAGAAAAGATCGGTTCGTGCACCAGAAGTCGTTCGTGCGCAGACAGACAGACAGAAATATCGGGTTAGCGAAGGGTGCAGATGGACCACGTTTCCGTCGGTGAAGGTACCGCTTTTCGTACACAGTATGGAAAAGTAAAAGCGTGTAGCGGCCGTGCAGGCACGGGAAAAGTAGAACGATAGATAAGAAACAGAATTTTTCGTGGCGGGCCGAGATTGTACTCAAAAAATTTGTACAGGGAAGAGGCAAGGAAAGAAAGTAGAAGGGAACCCCCCTCCCCAGGGTAGGAAAAGAAAGGGCGGCCCCGGCTCGCGATGGCCCGTTCGCCCAGGGCAGCAGGGCGCGCGTGCTACCGCGTGCGGGCCAGAAAGCGGAGGAGGCTGCTTGTAGGCGTAGGATCGTAGCGGCGGGCGGGTAGGCGTAGGGCCAGTCAGCGGCGGGCGGCTCCATTGTCCGCCCCTTAGTCAGTGGCGGCCCCTTGGTCAGCGGCGGCCACCGGGTTACTTAGGGGCGGCCGGACTCACGAGTCAGCGGCGCGCGGTCCATCGGGCCGGGGGTTGCCCGGCTGGTTCCACAGGCGGGGCCGCGGGCTGGCTGGCTGGTTGAGGTTGGCCTGGCCCTCATAGGAAATGGCGCCCGGAAGCAAAAGAGCGCCCGGCAGGCGCAAGCCTGCCCTCGGGCAGTAGCTTTGCAACGCTCAACCTCTGGAGCCTTCGCGCACAGATGCTTGCTTTACACGTCCCGGCTCCGCAGCCTACGCAGCTCGTCCCAGTGCCGAGGCCTACGCAGCAAGGGTTTCAGGGTTAAAAGGTTTAGTTTAGGGCTCCTATCATGATTTTAACCACCAAGAACGACTCCGACAGCTCGGTTGTTCCGTGTAACATGGACATCAAGACGATCATGCTTTGAAATAAGTAAATTCTTTCGGTCGGAAGTTATAATTCTTTCGGTCCCTCTCGTCCAGCACAAAACCCTTCGTCGCAGATTAAGGCGGTCAACATCAACAGACAGTCATCTAAGTCCATCCCTACTGGTATGACAAGAACTACTACCCATCATGATTATATCAGAAACAAAAAAACAACCCGCGCTGTAGTCCCCCCTGAAAGAATTTAGAATAGTAAAGCGCGCAGATGTTGAATGAATCGAAGAAGGAAATTGCACCTTCTTCACCCGTTCAAGTAGATCTCCCCTACAACTGCAGGGTACAGCTGCCGTTTCCTGCAGTTTTTCTTCCCTAGATGTGTTATTTCAAAAAGAAAGAGCTTAAGTAAGTAGGCAAAGTACGGCTACGGCATTCGTATAAATATTATCAAAAACAAAACACAATAGTACATCGCAAAGATCATGTCGGGGGCTGGACATAACCCGAGCACGCTGAACTCCACCAGCCTGGTGGGCAGCGATGGCTACAACGAAAAGCAATACACTGCCTTGCGGGAGCCGCGAGGAGATGGAAGTGAACTCTTGCCACTCGATTACTTCAGGAATTCCACGGCCTCCGTGACATGTATGGGAGTGTCAGGATCGAAATCGACAAAATCGAAAAATTTGTCATGCACAAAATGTAGAGCACTGAAGGCCTGTGTTGGGGAGCAGGCATATGGGACCGATTGCGAGCCTGTTTAGGCGTATGCAATGTGGTACCAGAGTAGCATGACAGGAGCAGCCTTCTTTGCCCAAACAGCATGACAGACTGGATTTGGGTGCTCCCGCAATTTGTCATGCGCCACTTGGAAACTGAGGCCCCAACTGGCATCGATTTTGTGCATCACAAGTTTTTCGATTTTGTCGATGTCGATCCTGACACTCTCATAACATGTCCCGTCTACGCCTACTACAAATACCAGCCGCAGGTGGCCGAGGTTTGCCTGCACTGCCCCCGCATTGTCCGGCTCTGGCAGGACAAGAAAGACGACCCGAACGCCCGGCAGCAGGCGTCCAAGCTTATCAGATGAATGCACAAGAACTTCAACTCCCCCTCACTTGTAATGCAAAACACCAACAAATCCACGCGTTGCCTGTGCCTCTTGGCACTGTTCGCATGACAAGTTCTGGCAGGGCCCAAATGGCACTACACTCCTGTGCAATAAATTTGTCATGCAAATAAACCTGCACTATTGCTGACGCTCCTTGTATTGCAGTTCATGCCATACAAATGAGGGGAGGGGGAGAAGTTGTGCACTGTTATAAAGCTACTGGGCGTGTCCGAAGCGGCGCTGGAGAAAAAGGGCGTGCCCCTATGCATTGCAAATTTGTCTAGGTGTGGAAGTAGAGTTCCAACTTGTCATGCAAAGTCTGGATCACGGGAACAAAATCTATGTTGTTGCGCGATTGCCATCAAAAGGTGCCAAGGGTTGAACAAGTTGAGAGGGAGTAGTTGCTTCTCTTGCAGCACAGGCATGATGCAGTGACAGGTCTCAACACAAAATGTGTCATGCTACGACCTGCAGCATTCCCGACCTTAATAAGGTTGAGAACAATGCTGCAGGTCCTAGCATGATAGGACCTGCGTGACAAGTCTTGCAAATGCAATCCCCCATCCCCAGACATGTTTGCGTTTGCCGTGGATAGCTTGCCGGCATGATCTGCCGGGAGGGGGGGCTGAAGCTGTGCCGTGCGGGCTACTACTGTCCAGACGTGGGTACGGAGCTCCAGGCGCCGAAGGGCTTTTACACGCGCTCCGGCTGGACTGAGCCCCGAGAATGTATCGGGCCCACGTGGCTGCGCGTATGAACTGCAAAAGTATCCGATACTTGTATCAATGCATTACAAATTTGAATTTCATCCTCAGCATGAGAAATAAAATTTGTAGTGCGGATTTACTTTAGCAAAGGGATTTGTAATACATGATTGCAATACGAGTGCGATACTGTTGCAATGCATAGCGCGACTGCCATACCAACTACCGGGAGCCGCCCTGGCAGGAGCGTGGGACCTTCTTTTCCGCTATCACAGGAAAAAGCGTTAACGTTAACGGAGTTTGTGATGCAGTAATGCATCACAAAACGTGCCAAGATTTCTCATGCATAGCATGCACGCTAGGCAAAATTTGTGATGCATATTTGCAATCTATGAAAACCGTGAACGTTAACACTTTTTTGTTTGATATCCGCCTTTTTTGCGGAGCCGGTGATAGTCGAAAACTATTCCAACTTACCCACCAAGCTGAAAACCACCAAGGGCTACTCGGCGCCGGAGATCCACGACGAATTGTTTTGGCTCCTCGCGGTCTTCATCTTCCTGATGGGTGTTTTTTCAATATTTTGCCTGCAAACCTTTCGCGAGTACGTGATGAGCGGCAAACTGCCCCGGTCCTGGGAACAGTATGGATTGCAAAAGTATCGTTATGTATAAATTGCATCACAAATTTCGGCAAGAACAGAAGTGGAATTTGTAATGCTGTTTCAGCGATTTCGATTTGGAAAGAGATTTGCCATGCATGATAACTGCAATTATCTACTTATACGAGTGCGACACTTTTGCAGTGGATAAAGAGATCAAAAAAGCCTATCTCCCCGGCGGTAGTCACAAGCGGTCTGGCAAGCGTCGAGACAAACAGTTTCAGAGGCGGTATCAAATGTAAAAATGTCTGGGTCTTGAAAGTTGGAGCTTGTAATGCTAGCTTTACATTACTGGAAAATCTGTATAATTGCATAAGGAACAAGGGACGCAGCTACTTTTGTCATGCAAGAACGCAGTTTCTCATGCGGAATTTCTATGAGAAAGCATTCTGGAAAGTTGTCATGCTGGGCTGCATTCGGAAGTGTTTCCATCATCCACATTTTAGCATCACAAGTTTCCAGACCCAGACATTTTTGCATTTGATAGGCGGCGGGACCGGCTGAAAGCCTTTGTCTCGGACCACGACAAGAATTTTACGGAGGGGGATGCGGATATCGCAAGAAAAAAACTGTTTCACTGTAAACGTGCAATGCAGAAAATGCATCACAGAAGTGTTTGTCTCGCTACACATGCAAGACAAGCCGTGTGTTTTTCCCTTTGAGGGATCCTCACATGGCCAGTTTTCTTTGTCATGTGTAGTAACAGAGTTGTAAGGCCAAACTTGCAGAAATTTTGCAGCAAAATCCATACAGCGAGACAGTTTTTTCGTACGATAGCGGAGGATGACGAAGTTTATCACCTCCGCGACCTAGAGGAGGAGCTGTTGCACATGCTGGGCTACGAGCTAAAGGAAGAGAATCTCCTGGTGGAGACGGGCCTGCTGCAACATAATCAAGGTCACCAGCATCTAGTATCGACGGTGGTGGACGACCCAAGTCATGTTGGCGGAAGAAGCGTCAAGAACAAGATTAAAAAACCTTCCGGAGATGTTAAAGGGGAGCAAGCGACGGGGGAAGAACTCGTCTTGCAGGACAACTACTCATCTTCCGCTCTTCCTCCAGGGTCTTTCTCTGTGACGAAACGGGCTGAAGGAAGTGCGGTGGTCGAAGCGGGTGATAATATCCTACTTGATGGAGTGGTTGTAGAAGACAACGACCTGTCCTATACCCCGCTCAGGTGTTACAATCTCAAACGTTACGAATAGAATAATGGAAATCTGTGTTGCCAGAGTGCATGATCTAGCCAACTCTCATAGGATTGCGCATGACAAGTTCCGGAGTCGGGAGTCCCAAACCCCACTACAATCTGGCGAAATTTGTATTGCAGAAAGTGGAACGCTCTGCGAGTCTGTCATGCTCATCATGCAACACAAAACCCAGATTCTATTGTAAAGTTTGAGATTGTAACGTTTGAGCAGGTCATATGTCCTTTCACAGTGGCGAAGAGGGCGAGGAAGAGGAAGATGAAGAACAATGCCAGCAGGACCGAGAAACCTCCGACCAGCATGATGTTGTCCAATTTATGCCTTCATCTTCCCGCTCGAAAAATCCGAAAGCTGAGGGCGAGCAGGCGGCCTTGTCAACAACCTCTTCGAAGCAGGGCAATATCAGTGTTATTTCTGCGAAATCCCGTGCGATGCAGGTGCAGCAAAAACAGCAGGCCGCACGGGCCGCTGCGGGAACAGTGTCAGTGTCGATGAATCCAAATGCAACAGTAGCTTCCGTTGCAGCTGGTGGAACTTTTCCCAAGAAGGTGCGGTTAATCAATGAAGTGGATGTTGAAAAACAACCGTCCCGACTGCGTCACGAAGAAGGGGTGGAACTACAGCCGGTAAGAACAACATCTTCCAAGCCTTCTATGTCCTCTCCAAGGACAGAAATATCAAAACCTGTTCCAGTCGATGTAGGAGCCCACAGCTCCGATGAAGAGCCCGTCGTCCCCCCAGCCCTGCGCATCACGTTTGAAGACCTGGACTTCACGGTCGGACCGTATCAACTGTAAAAATGTCTGGGTTTGGAAGAATGCAAGTTTGTCATGCTTGTCTGGCATGACTCGAGAATGTGTGTTGCTTGGGCACGAAAAACCCTCTTACCTGTCATGCGAAAACGCAGTTTGCCATGCGGAACACGTAAGACATGGTTTGTATGATGAGGTCGCCGAAAGTGCTGCCTCGCCCACCCCCCGGCGAGGGGATCCTTGACCTGTGGCGCTGGGTGCGGGTGTCCACTACATGATGATGACGTAAGACATGGCAGCCAAAAAATTTGTCATGCGTAGCTGCGTATTGCAGTGCGTCTACCATTCATTTTTAGCATTACAAGTTTCCAGAGCCAGACCCAGACATTTTTGCATTTGATAGACCGAAAGCCGTGCTGAAATCGGTCAAAGGCTCCTTCGCCCCCGGCTCCCTCGTCGCGGTGATGGGCGCTTCCGGGGTATCGCGAGGAAAAAGCCCCCCTCCCCATATTGATGACAAGGTACGTTTTCGGAAATTTGTGTTGCTGTTTTGTGGCCACAAATCACGCCTGTCTTGCAAGGAGGCAACCCCACAGACAACCGCCGCGCTATGCGTTCGCTTTGTCGTGCTGTTGGGCCTACAGGAGCACGGACGTTTTTCATGCTAGGCGCCTAGGCCAGAGCCTCTCTACTCAGGCTTGATATGGGTCATCTGCAGTCCTCTCCAGCAAGACAAAGCTGATTTGTGTACGCAGGTCCGGCGTCAGAAGTTTCGTTTTTATGTGGGGAGGGGGGATTTTTCGTTTTGATATTGGGCGGGAAAAACCTCCTTTGTGAATGTCGTGGCAAACAAACTCCAGTCTTACGCAAATGCCGGGCAGTTACGAATCGACGGGCAAATCCGGCTGGGGCTCGTGGAGGACGGCTGTCAACAGTTCCCGTCCGAGGTTGGCTACGTTCCGCAAGACAATGTGATGTTTGACGAACTTTCGGTGTGGGCCAACCTCTATTTCGCCGCCAAGCTTCGCATGCCGAAGGGGACCGAGGACCATAAGATCCGCAAAACGGTCGACAACGTGCTGAAGATTCTGGAAATCGATCATGTCCGGAATAGTCTAGTCGGTGGCGTGGAGCAACGGGGGATATCTGGCGGGGAGAAGAAACGGGTGAGTATCGGAATGGAGTTGGTCGCATTACCACGCGTGCTGTTTCTCGATGAGCCGACGTCCGGTTTGGACGCGGCGGCTTCCATGAATGTCTGCCGATGCTTACGAAGATTGCGGAAATTCAATGTTACCACGGTCTGTGTCATCCACCAACCACGGCAGTCGGCTTTCTTACTCTTCGACCAGTTGCTGTTATTGGCGAAGGGACAAGTGGTGTATCTCGGGTCCCCGTTTGGCGCCATCGAGTACTTCATCCGGCTCGGGTTCCCGTTCACCACCGGGGAGAATGCGGCCGACTGGGTGTTGGACGTGCTGGAGGGGTTACACACTTGTCGCTTCGACGACAAGGGAAATCGGGCGATCGACTACGCAGCGGAGCTATCCTGTGCAACAGCATCGTACTCGTACTAGACGCAGTCACGCAAGACAAATTTCTTAGTCAAGCTAAATCAGCATGAGAAATTTCATTTGTTGTGCTGAGCTAATTTGTATTGCAATCCTACCACGAGTACGATACTTTTGCAGTTCATAGGAGCAGTCCGGAAACAACGACAATGGTGCCCGAGGTGCACCGGGCACGAAGAAATCCCTGAAAGTGATCATTTATCCTGAGTAAAAACGTCCCCACACGACCAGAGTTAAGATGGAAAATCTGCTAGACAAATCGACCAGCTTTGGTTATTTCGCATGACAAGTTTCGATCCTCGTAGTGTAGTCCTCGTTTTAGCTAGTTCAGCAGCATCACAGATCTAGCGCATCGTGCTGGTTCTAGCATCGCAAACCCCATCAAAACGTCACGACTATAAAACGCTTCTCATGGCGGATATGGGTTTTCCCGCATGAGAAACTTTTTTGGCATGCAGATTTGCGTAACAGCTCTGGGTTGGGGACGTTTTTATTCAGAATATCATTTCCGAGGCCATCAGCGATCATTGGCGCCTTCGTATCGCAAGAAAAAAGTGTTACAGTTACACATTGTGTTGCAAGACCGGCAACACAGACAACCTTTCTCATGCAGGAAATGCTTGGGAGCCTCGTTTCCTCGCTGTTTTCCCTTATGGCCTTCGCATTACTCTGCCACACAGAGAAAATTTGTGATGCAGAAACTCCAGCAAATGTGTAAACTGTAACGCTTTTTTCTCGTGATACTTCGCGAGTCCAAGCACCGCTTTGGGGACGCAACGCTCACGGAATTGGAGACGCTGGAACGCATTGCCAGCTATTTTCTGCCGCGGGAAAACAGAAGCACCGCGGTTGCAGCGGCCCGCGACGTAGGTCTTTCATCAGCACAGCAGGGGAATAAACAACTCGATCACCAGCAGCGGCACCAGCAGTCGCATCAGGACATTGACTACATTAACAAGCGAAGCCAAAGGAGCAACCAGCCTTTGTCCACCGCGGGAGTCGCCTTTAGAGCTGCGGGATCTTCGCAAAAACCCCCGCGGGGACACAGAGAAGGCAAAACTCAAAACCATGATCAACATCTACTTATGGCGGTCTCAAATCAGTTACATTCTGAACTGTTACATGAATTATTGCAAAAATGCAAGAACAGTAACAGTCAAAGGGGCAAGCTTGCTGCTTTCGCATCACAGCAGATTTGGCACAGATTTAGATGCTGTTTAGCCCTTGTTCGGAGATTTGTCATGCTAAGTATAGCTTGATCTTCGTCACTCAGTGACCGCCAGTGACGGTCACTGGCGGGCTAGGGTCGTAGTTTTCCTTGACAAAAAATCCCATACATAACAGTTGAGAATGTGCCTGATTTGAGAATCTCATACATCTTAGTGATCAGCGGTTAACTCGCGCGGCCACGCTTGAGGATGAGGACTATGATGACGCGTTATTCCAAACGACCCCGCCCGTGATGCCAAATAGGAAGATGAGCAGCGCAGAGATGGCGGCGATGTTCCTCAGTAAAAGCAACAGCAAGAGTACACTATTAAAACTTGCAAATGCGAGTCCCCTCCACCAGCACCCAGAGGGCGAGCGGAGGAGCGGCGGACCGACCACGGTGGAACAAAATTATGATTCATCGGACCCGGAAACGAGGACAACGACAAGTGCGGATATAATTCCTCGCTCGGGCAGAAGCACTACTACCACCACCACCACCAGCTACCGTACCAAAGGCGTCACCAGCACCGTACGGCTTGCTCTTGCGCAGCAAACGGCCAAGGGCCGCCTTTCAAGATCTACCAGCACTCCCGGCAGAAATAGAATGACAAGCACATCCAGAATGCTGACTACACCGAATGCTCGTTTAATGTTCCTCGGAGGGTCCACCTCGCAGGAGCCGCGCCAGATGTTCAGTCGGGGAAGAAGTACTCGGAAGAGTAACTACGACCGGCGGACGACGCACTTAGCGCCACCTTTGCCCGAGAGCAGGCTGTTTTTCAATGGGGAGGAGTACGAGAAATGGCAGGAGTTGGAAATTTTATTTCGGATCCTTTTCAACGTTGATGAGGAGGAGGAGGAAGACGAGGGCTTGGGAAGCGAGAGTAATTCCTACACGGAAGAGGAACAAGACTATGAGAGTGCACAACTCCCACCTCTCCCCGCCCTCATTTGTCATTGCAAAATACCAAATCCAAGCACTGGTCTGTGATATTGTGTTCGCATGACGGATTCCGGAAGCTGCTGCTGCCCAAAGAACAGTACTTACATTACAGAGTACTACATTACGTTCTATGCACGGGCTCCACAGGTCGTGTGGGTGTTTGTATTGCTGTCCAAGCAACAATACAAATGAGGGGGAGGGGGCCGAGTTCTTGTGCCCTGTCATAAAGACAACCAAGAACAACCCGGTGGTGGAGCACGCTTTCGCACGCATGTGGTTCGAAGCCGCATTGACCCCGACCACGAGTTAGAGAGCCTCCAGTCGACGTCGAGCGCCATTAGTTCTTCACGGGGCTTCGTCAGCACTGCTACTATAAACAAGCCTGGACCACGTGGTCGACATGATAAACTGCCGAAAAGATTTTGGAACTCCGCTATCAAAAGGAAAATGCCCCCTCCCCATATCGAAAACGAAATGTGTCTGTGTGATGCTGTATTTGAGTACACAAATCGACTTGTATTGCTAGAAGGCCAAAAGACGCATCTGTGGCCTGAATTGCACGCAATTTGTCATGCTGTTTCACACTTCCAGTTGCCTCCTGTCATGCTGAAGATGCAAGGCTTTCCCACGCCAGCCAGCGCTACAGTCCGCATCTTTTGCCTTCGAGCATGACAAAGCTGATTTGTGGCCACAAATCTGCATCACAGACTACCGCTTTGATATGGGGAGGGGGGATTTTTCTTCTTGATATCCGCCCTGATCGCGCTTTCCGTCGAGGACGTCCAAGATGTGCTGGAAGACGTTCTCTCCCGGCCGATTTCGCACAAACTGGTGCGCGAACTGCTGGACAGCTACGAGGCCGAATTTGCAATGAAATTCCCGAAGGCTCTCACGCAGTTGGACGCAGCGACAAGTGGGCCTCGTGCTAGTAGCCCTTCCTTCGGCGCGCATCAAATTCAAATTCAGACTCACACAACTGTGGCGCGACGTGCTGAGGGTAGTTCTGTATCACGAGGAAAAATCCCCCCTCCCCATATCAAAAGGAAGTTTCTGATGCTGGATTTGCGTTTACAAATCAGGTCTGTCTTGCAGTAGAGGACAGCAGGCTCCTGCCAAGCCTGAGTAGAGAGCTTTTGGCCTAGGCAGTTAGCATGAGAAACGTGTATGCTGTAGGCCCAACAGCATCACAAACCGCCCGCATAATGCGGCAGAGCCTGTGGAGTTGTCTTCTTGCAAGACAGACGTGATTTGTGGTCTCAAATCAGCAAGACAAATTTTCGGAGACATACCTTTTCGATATGGGGAGGGGGGATTTTTCCTCTCAATATTCTGGGCAGGCCCCTACCACGGCAATGGACTACTTGCCGGAGGTGCAGCGTGGTGGACCCAATTATACTGATTATCAAATGCAAAAATGTCTGGGTCTGGAAGCACGCGAACTTGTGATGCGCATTTCACTGCACAGACAAATCTCTCATGCATAGGCAGCAAAAGGTGCCCATTTCCTGTCACCAAAATGGGGGACTTGTCATGCAGATTAAGCAATGCGGAAGCTTCTCGAAATATGTGATGCTAGGGCTTCCATGAGAAGCATTTTGCGTCATGCAAAAACAGCATGACAAAAATCTGCATTCTTCCAGACCCAGACACTTTTGCAATCCATACTGATGGAAGTGCTGCGACGTCGCGACCGACGGTCGCTTCGACCGGGAGCGAGAACATGTCCGTGGGCCTTCCCGAGCGCGGAACTGGTTCGCAAATGAACCACGACGGCGGCATATGCATTGCAAATATGTCTGGGTCTGGAAGAATCCGAACTGCGCATGCTAAATCTGAGTCGTGAAAAAATCTGTGTTGCATGAACCGCACAAGTTAATCCATTTCTTGCCACGCAAAAGGCAAACTTCTCAAGCGGAGTCGGGCATTAAGAAGCTCATGCAAAATTCCTACCGCTTCGGATCAGCTTCTGGGTGCATTCGTTCCCGTCCATCTTTGTGGTTCGCGAGATGCATGACATCACACCTCGCACTCCTCCAGATGTTCACCCAGACATGTTGGCATTTGATACGGCATGATGTTACCTCAGAACAACAAAAGCGTGCAGATTGGGTTGAATGGTCGTGCTACTGACAGCAAGAACTCTACTGCAGGCGATGTTCAGAGCAGAGGAACCAACCAGGCCGCGACCATCCAGCCGGGGCGCTCCAACATTCTGCGGCACTTCTTCTCGGACGGCAAAAGTAGTATTCCAAGCTCTGCTGGCGCGAAGACCACGTGGCAGGGGAAACTACTAACCAAAGCGGGTACAACTTCGACCACAAACATGAGTGGCGATAGTACAAGTCACTTCGCGTCCTCTCTGTTACGAGAACCAACCCGACCGTCTTCAATAAACTCTGGCCCAGGAGGGCAAATCCAATTCGTGAACAACGAGGAATTTGTCCACCCCGGATCAATATCAAATGTAAAAGTGTCTGGGTCTGGAAGGATGCAAACTTGTGATGCTGTCTTTGGATTCTAAAGAAAAATGTATTGCATGACCAGCAAGAGGAATCCAGTTTGTACTACGTGGGGAAGACATTTCTCATGCGCAACAGGCATCAGGAAGTCCTCTAAAAATCTGTGATGCTGGACCATGCATTACAGGCATCAGGGGTCATGCAAAATATGCATGACAAGCCTCTCACTCTTCCAGACCCAGACATTTTTGCACTCGATAATCAAGAGGCCAGAAGGTCGAATTTCTCGAGCAGGAGCATATGAATTTTCCGGCGTATCAAATGTAAAAATGTCTGGATCTGGAAGGTTGGAACTTGTGATGCTAACTTTGGACTCTAAAAAAATCTGTATTGCATGACCAGCAATAGGAGCCCAGTTTGTGCTACGCGGGGAGGCAATTTGTCATGCGGGATAGGCATCAGGAAGGCCTCTAAAAATATGTGATGCCAGATCATGCATTACAGACATCCTGAGTCATGTAGAATATGCATGACAAACCTGGCAACCTTCCAGACCCAGACATTTTTGCATTTGATACGGCCCAACAAGAAATAACAAGACAAAACTTTCGCACCAGGCCCCCCACGACCACATACGGAGTAGTTCATCCGCCCACGAACAAGTCTATTATGCACCACCGCTGCTCCCTCGCCGCCCTCGTGTACGGCCTGGGGCAGCAGATGCGGCAACAAAATTCCGGTCCCGGGGCCGGCACGGTGGTTGGCGTCGGCGACTACTTGGCGCTAGATGCGGAGGAACGGCGGGGCATCTGGTTGCGGTCGCAGACCATGAGCGACGCGGAGCTATCAACTGCAAAAATGTCTGGGTCTGGAAGATTCCTACATTTGTCATGCGTGTCTGACATGACTCAAGAAACTGTGATGCATGGACCCGAAGCGGTCCTCTTACCTGTCATGCAAAAACGCAGTTTGCCATGCGGAACACGCAACAGATAGGAGCCCAAAAAATTTGTCATGCTCTGCTCCGTATTGCAGTGGAACCCTCATTGTTCACTTTTAGCATTACAAGTTTCCAGAGGACCCAGACATATTTGCAATGCATAGAAGCGGGCGCAGTACGAAAGTTACGGCGACGGCGGGTTAATCCAAAGGATTAAACCCTTGTTATCGAACCAATTGTTAATTCTGTCTCTCCGCGCTCTGTGCCAGTTCCGGGTCCCGCTGTTCATCTCCAACATCGTGCTGGCGACGGTGGCGGGAATGCTGACCGGGATTTTCACGGGCGGGGGGGAGGAGCTGTTCTACACGCCCTGGCCAACGATGATGATTGGCCCGGTGCTACCCTGTGTAAAAACGTCCCCAACCCAGAGTTGTCATGCAAATCTGCATGCTCAAAATGTTTGTCATGCGGAACCCCATGCGAAGCATTTTGTGGCTGTGTTTTGGAATTTGTAATGCGCCATTTTTTTAGCATGATATACTAGATCTGTGATGCTGCTGAACTACCTCCAACAGCACTACACTGCCACTCCAAATTTGTCATGCAAAACAACCAAAACTCGTGGACTTCTCTAGCTGAATCCCCATCTTGACGTATGGGGTGGGGACGTTTTTTCATAGGATAGGTGCTGCTGTTTCAACTGTTAGTTTCCGCCGCCTCGCTGGAAGTCTTTTGCTACGAGAAAACGCCGGTCGCGCGGGAAATTCCGCAGATTTCAGCGTTAGCCTACGCGCTCGCCCGGATGGGGATCCCCTGTGTTCCGCTGCTGTGGAGCTATATCCTGTGCAAAAACTATTGGGCCCACACGACTCCAGAGTTGTCATGCAGATTTGCAATTACAGGAAAACTTGCGAGCATGCGCTTCCCCATGAGAGGCATTTTTGTTTTTCAGCGTGTTTTGGCATTTGTCATTAAAGTTATGCTGATGTAAACAGCAGAAGAAGATATTAAAGATTGTGGCGCAGTTTTCCCTTTCCTTGAGCTAACCAGCACTACAATGCAGATGAGCGATGAAACTTGTCATGCGCGACTCCCAACTGGAGTTGGGGATTTGTGTTGCTGTTAATTTACCATCTTCACTCTGGGGTGCTGTGGGCCCCGTTTTTATTACACAGGATAAGCCACCCCTTCGCGTTTGCCTGCATGTATTGGGGCTTTGCGGTCTGTGACATCTTTGTCACGGACGCCATTCTTGTGTTTGCCGTCTTTTCGTACTACGTAACCGGCCTTGCCATGTGGATGACATTGTGCTTCGAAAACCACCAGATTGGGACCATGATGGGCATTGTCTTCCCCGCGTTTTTGTCGGTCATGCTCGGCGGCACGGCCGGTTTACTCTACCCCGACATGACGCCCGCGTTACAAGCTGTCGCGTTCTTCGCCCCCTCCCGCTGGGCGACGATGAGTTGGATTATCGCAAGAAAAAACTGCTTCACTGTAAAGCTGTGATGCATAGAATGCAATACGGAAGTCTTTGTCTTGCTACACATACATGGCAACGGATTTTTAGGTTTGATGTTCCCTTAGGAGTCTCGCATGGCAAATTTTCTTTGTCATGTGGAGCAAACTTGTGATGCAAAAGTTGCAAAACCCTTCCAGTGAAACACTTTTTTCATACGATATGGATCGCCGCGAGTGTGAAGAATTTTCCGGCAAATTGGCAGCGGATTGCCCCCCTAACCGTCATATCAAACTGAAAAAAGCCCCCACGACCCCATACTCAAAAGACAACTTGTGTTGCTGGATTTGTGTACACAAATGAACTTTGTATTGCAGCGAGAGCTTTTCGGCGTATTGTAAACGCATTTGGGTACTACGCAGCCGGCTAGCAGCTGAGCATGAGAAAGAAGTCCGACATAGGCGAAAACGCATGACAGACTGGCTGTACAGTGCGCCACATGGGTGCCCTTTGCCTTGTGCGCAAGACAAAGCTGGTTTGTGGCCACAACTTAGCATCACAAATGTCCTTTTCGATATGGGGAGGGGAGAGCTTTCCTCACAATACGTCATGCTGAAGGTTTATGGGTACGAGGAGGATTTTCAACACCGAACGCCCGAGGAAGTGTTTCACCGGAACCTGTTGATTCAATTCTGCTATCGAATGCAAATATGACTGGGTCTCCTGGAAACTTGTGATGCAAGTCAGTGAACAATAAGTGCTCTGTAATGCGCCGCCATGCATGACAAGTTTTTCCGTGCTTCTGTGCTGCGTATTTCGCATGAGAAACTTCTGCGCTTTTGCATGACAGGCAAGCGGGCCTCTTGGTGGCCATGCAATACAGAGTGCAGAGTCATGCCAGACTAGCATGACAAATCTCGTCGGAACCTTCCAGGAGACCAAGACATGTTTGCAATCCATATCTGCCTCGGGACCGCGTGCCGAGTGTTCTGCTACTTGTGTCTACTGATGTTGAAGAACCAGGTAAACACGTTGCAGTGCTTGAAAATGGGCTGGAAATACGCAAAGCATTTGTTGATCAGCGGCCACGTGCAAGCGGCCCGGCGGGCTAGCACGCCATCGATTTGAGGTCATGTTGTTGAGAAGTAGAACATGATCGAAAGTGTAAGATGAATTGGCATATCGTAGTTGTCAAGAAGTACTTACTTGTTCGACTCTGTAGTCTATCGAAAATGAATCGTAGTTTTATTTTTCCATTTTTCCACTGTTTTAGGTGATGTAATTGTAGTCCAACCAGTTTCCAAATCTGCGATTATACTGCGATGATCTCTTCATGATCTTCTCATTCCCATTTTCGTACTTCTTGGATCAAATCAAGCTTATTTCTAGAGTCGTAAAAATCGCACGTTTATTTGCGCATTGATTTTTGTTTTTGAAGCATCATCAAAGAACCTCCAGAAGATTGTGGAAGAAGTACAAGAGAAGCAACTGAAAAACACTCTGTCTCTTGAAACAGTACATTAGTTTATTTGCAGCCGGTGCCGGCTGCACAAAGTCAAAGAGGAGACTTTCTTGTCCTCAATAAAGTTGTCACAACTACATCGAAGGCATGTAGCATGCAGTTGTCGACTGCAAAAATGCTCTTGAAGCTGCAAAGCTTTTCAAATTCAAACGGCGAGTTGGATCAATCAAGCGATGGCACATGTTACTTGAAATTCCTTTCCTTCCCAAAAGCTGTCTACACGCGCCGAGAGACGTTGACAAACAATGCTTCTTCAAAAAAGTGCCACGGTACTAGTTTTCTATGCGAATCGAATGCGATTGGGACGATGGTGGTGTGGGTGTCACTGTCATGTAAGGAGGTAGAGAACCTTTTCTAATAGGCAAAACTTTCCGGCGGTAGCGGTTGTACTCGAAGAATTCGTTGCGGTTGTAATTGTAAAGTAGTACTATCAATAATTGAACAATTACGCGACCACTTTTTTCCACCGGCGTGTAGTAAATATGATTTACAAAAGCAGGCGTCTTCAATTTGTTTCACCAGAGCGACAAAAGCAAAACTTCGTGAATAGACAATAAATGCTACAACGAAGAACAAATGGTTAACTCTAAAGAGAACGACGCTAAAATTAATTCAAATCAAATTCAAACCAATTTCAAATCTGCAAAGTTTTGTTGTTTTAGTGGCTTGAGGGATAATAAGAGGGTAATAAAAATCGAACTCTCGGCTGTCGCAAATCGGCCATCGAGAGAGTGAAAAAAAGCGCTGCATCAGAAAGAGTGTCTCCTCGTCTCGCAAAATTGCAAAGCGCAACTCGATTCGGTATTATTCGGGCGAGTCGTCGCGCGCAGTCATCAAGGCCCAGTGCGCGCCAAACTAACACGTTCGCGACTCTCTGCGGAGGCGTGTTCTGTAGAAATTGGGTAGGCGTTCTCGCGTCTGCCCGACTTCTGGCAATAATTTTTGCCGTGTAAAACTAAAAGTCAATGCGAAAATCCCGCTAAGCGGGCGCCAGACTCTACTAAGAGCCTGGCGCCCCTTTCTCGGGAAACAAAGATTGTGGCTGATGGTCTCTGCAAACGTTGCTGACAAAGAAAATGGCTTTCGAACACGCCCAAGTCGCCTGTCGCTCGGGCTGTCGGCTTTGCAGGAAAACAGTCTGTCACGCGCGGCCATTGTTGGCGCGGTAGCTATAGCTCTTCTCGCGAAGCCGACATCACCGAGCCACCTCTTCATCAAGAGCGACCACCATGTGTGTCCGCGCTTCTCCCGAAAGTGCGCCGCGGATGAGAAAACGGGTGGGGTCGCCCGATGGGGCGCCCCTAGCTCGTAGCGCGCAGGTTCTGGCCCAACAAATGCCCCCTCAGTGTTGAGCGTGAAACTTTTGCACATCAAAGAAAGTCCGTGTCCCGATAGATGCGCCTCCTAATGCTTTTTGTTGTTCAATGATGATAAGTCGACTCCGCACCTCCAAATCGATGTAGGATTGGTGCCGTTTTGTATCGCTCGCACTGAATGCTAGTAATGGAATTTTTTGATTTTTGCGATGCCGGTCATCATGTTCTGTTGCATGACCGTGGTCGTGCGTAGCTTCGCATGACAAACGAAAATACGAATACTATCGCAGAAGTAGCAAGGTTTTTTTTTTGTGAAGGGGCACAAGAAATCAAAAAGTAAAGTCGATGGCATTGGCGGTCGTCGATGGCATTGGCGGTCGTGTCCTTCGCAGCCTCGGTGCACAGGGTCAGGTCGTGCTCGAAGGTGCAGCTCGGGTCCAAACACGCCCCGAAATCACGCTTCTTGAAACAGATCGGCTTCGGGCGCGGCGCGCCGTACTTGCCATAGCCCTTTCCACCACCCTTCATGTCTTCGAAGTAGTTGTAACGGGCCGGGTAGTGCGACATCCTTGTTTTTCGCAAAAATAGGTCTTCGCGATCTGGGTCAGGTTAGCGATCTGGTTCTGTCGTTGTTCTGCTAGTATTCTGCTGCACTTCAACAATTATTCAATTCGGTTTATTGTTCACGTCGTCTCCTTCATCGTCGCTGCAGGATCAACTTCTTTATTATCTGTTACTGGATTTCGGAATGAGGATGATCAAAAACACTTTGTTACTGTTGGCAGGAACACAGGACTACTCTTCACGTTTTACCGTTGTATGTAGTGAGGTCACCGAACGGCTCTAACCAGGGAGTTTTTTTGACAGCTACCCTGAAAAACGACCGGCAGTTTTCAAGCGGCCGGAAGCGTTTTTTGACAAAAAATATTTTCAATTATCAAGCGGCTTTGGCTGTGTCGGCACCGAATCGCCAGCGGATTCTATCGATCGCCGCTGGGTAAAACGACGCAGGGGAGCCGGCAAAAGGGGCGCCCTTCTGAGGCGCCCACCGCCTTAGTTTCTGGCGGTTTGGGGCGCCCAAAAAGGGGCGCGCAAAAAACGCGCCCAAGATCAGAACAGCGAAACAGCACGGCACGGCGGCGATTTCGGAGCATTTTGGGCGGCCGCGAAAGCGGCCGCCCTTTCGGCGGTTTTAGAGCCTGGGAAGCTTTGCAAAAAGCGCCGGCGTGAAAAATAAAAACGCGAAAAATAAAAAGTGCGCCAGATGCACAAAGCCAATCCGCATGCTATGGACCCGGTTTTTCTTCGCTTTTTGGGCGCCCCCCGTGGCACCCGGATCGGCCCCATAGCATCGGGGCTGGCTTTCGGAAAGGAATTTTGGAAATGTGCCAAAATTTGCGACGTTCCCCAAGTGGCCGCCATACCGTGCGGCATAACGTTACTCACGGCGGTATGGCGAGCCCATAAAAAGCAAAGCCGCGGCCAAGGCTATGGTCGGCAAAAAAACGCCCACGACCTCACTACCCCCGCCCCGGCGGCTATATTTGGTACTATTTTTATCTTCCGGTCGGGAAACGTCACAGCTCTTCACACGTATTACTCGTACTATTAATTCCGACTTACTACTGGCTTCGTGTCGTGCTACAACTTCAAAACTCACTACTGCTCAAAGAGAGTGCTTCACTCGCATGCTGTGTCGAGCCTCCTTGACAGCACTACTCTTGTACGAAATCGACTGCAAAACTTCAGCGACTCGATCCATCTGCTCCGCTGGATTGATGACGTCGGGACTGGAAATGCTATCGATCGCTCTGCATAAGTGTCCGATAGCTATTCCCTTCATCTGTTTTCGAGTCAGGAACGACGTTCCTTCCATCAGAAGTTCTGGCCGCATAGGTCGCGCTTCAGATACTAGTACTCCGCTCCTAAACGTCAAAACAAGACCACAATAAGTGATGCTCTTTGTCGATGGAAATTCAAACTCTTGCTCACACCCCGGCACGTCAAAGGCCAGGAGTTTTTTGATGATAGTCGGGAACCGGATGTCAACTACTAGTCCCACGTCATCGACGAATCGCACCCGGATGAAGTGTCTGCGACGTTCTTCCTTTTCTTGGTCGGTCAACGTTTCAAACAAGCGCCGCTCTTGTTCGTAAGCCACCATATTTGCTAAAGGTGGCGCTTCCGGTGTGCCCATGGGGATTCCTCGTTTTTGTAGGTATGCCCCAAGCGGCGACGTAGCCAGCATGTTCTCGATGTTGAGCAGAATCATGTCCACCAGTCCAATTTGATGCATTTGCGTCCTCTTTCGGTAGCGTTTTTGGTCAAAAAACCGTATTTCTTCTTTGTTCTCTTTCTCGTGATTACTTTCCGCGGTAAACGTCGGGGCTGGTGGTACAACGCCACCGCCACAGAGCCTTCGTCTTTTAACTTCTGCGCATTCCGCTCGAGGATTTTTACTGTTTCTGACTGGTCTACTTCCCCATAGAAATTCTTTATGTCCGAAGACAAAACTGCTTTGCTGTTCTCGTCGGTCAGGCCCTTCGTGTGGATTTCTTCCACGATGTCACTAGCGTCGTTGTAGATGAGGTCCGAGTAGAGATGTTTGTTGACAACGTTCAACGCCTTCGCCACTCGTCTCAGCTCCGGCCGGTAAACATGTTTATGATACCCCGACAATGGCCTAATTTTGAAGTTCGCAATTGTTCGGTCCTTTTGCTTCCATGCTTTCTGTTTGATCATTAATCTGCAGCGAGGAAACTGGTGCTTTGTTCTCTTCGTGTATCGGAAAAAACCCGTCTTCTTGCCGTGCTCCTTGATGCAATCATGCCCCTTCAGAGGCTGGAAGGCATCAGAATTCATGTGCTCCTTGATTCTTTCCCCATAAGCATGAGGGCAGATCAAGGCCAAATCTGCTTCGTCCGGCTTGTCAATTTCGGTACAAACTACTTCTGCATATGGCCGCAAACTTGTTCTCACTTCATCCAACTGCTGCTGCTCCTCTTTTTCTCGGATGGCCGGCACTGCTCTGCTTGCTATTGTTGTAAAAATGTCTCCCAGTTTTTCTGCGCCAATCGGTCCCACTTTCTTCACTAAGTCCTTCACATTCTTCTGCCTGTCCACTGTAGTGTTTGGCGTTATTCGGTTCTTGATGTTCACTACTGGTCGCTGAAGTCTGGCTAATGTGCGGCTTACCGTGGTGAAAAGATGTCCCTCTACTAGGTCCTCCGGCCCCAGGCCTGTTGTGAGGCTCTTGCAGTTGCACAGGAATTTGCTTCGGTCATCAAACTTGCGCACATTCTCCAACACGTCAAGGAGTCGCCTCCCCGCGTACTTTCGAACTTCTAGCAAGACTCTGCACTTGTTCTCATCCGCAATTTGTTTGACTGCTACTCGTAGCGCGGTTTTTTCTTCTTCCAGGAGCGACCCGCGCGGGATGTTCAGCTTAGCCCGGATGGGCTTCTTCTTCTTCTTTTGCTCCGCTTCTGTTTCTCCCCGCCTACTGGTCTTGTCTGCTGCTGTTTTGCGCACGTCTTCCGCTACTGCGACGGCGCTGCCTATTCCTAATTTCTTCCACATCTTCTTCCATTTTTCAAATTTTTCAAAACTGCACAAAAGTGAATAGACAATAAATGCTACAACGAAGAACAAATGGCCAATATTGACTATAGAACCATACATCATAATTTCTTGATTGCAAGGTATCAGTTGAGAACAGCAAACTAAAGTAAGGAAAAATAGAGACCAATTTATAATTACTAGTCCGATCTCACGACGAGTTGTATATGTGAAAACAAAAACTATGCCTACGTGCGTGTTTTTGACTATAGAATAGAACCGACATCACTGAGTAAGATGAGTAAATTTGGCTTTCTACTACTTCGCGCATTCGAAATTCTTTGATGGTAGTCTAGCCAGTTTTTTTTATACTCAAACACAAATAAGATCTATTTCAATACGAAAAAGAACGAAATCTCTAAGCAGGAGCTTGAGCTTTGCCTCTCTAAACCGAAAATAAAACTCAAGATGGTATACGAAAATTTTAACGCTCCGCCTAAGCAGATGCACCCCACTCCTGTGCATCCCGGATCACCGGCGCAGCCCCAGCAGCCACTTTTTCATCCGGGCTATGGAAATCATGTTGGGCCCTACGGGCCGCCGCCACCGCAACAGCACTACCCAGGGGCAGTTGCGCAACAGCGCCCAGCGTATCAACCGCAGCCGCCGCACCATCCCGTCGGGACAAACACGCAGTATGCAGGCCGGAGCATGATGGATATCAGTTTTCAACAGCAGTATTTTGGGCATCAACCTTCTGTAGTAGTTCACTCCGGTTACGGTCCCATAAAAAGCAACTATTCGTCAACATCGCTGCAACACCCAGTTGGAACCAACACGCAACCTCCGGGTCAGAGTATGATGGTCCCTGCCCCGGGAGGTGGTGCAGTACCAGTAGGAGTGCCTGCGCCACCACAGCCTGGAATATATCAACATCATGGCGGGTACTTCTTTCAACATCATCACAGTCTTGCCTGGCAACATTCATCAGAAGTCCCACAAAATTATTGCCCAGGCGGGCCGACGACCCCGACGTCAACGTCGCAACCAGGAACGATACCGATTCAGGAAACGATACTGACCCCACGAGGTGCACAAACAACATCAGGGGGACAAAAATCTACTGCACAACAAGGGGGCACAGGAACTACAGGAGCTACAGTCGGTGTCGGTCCACCAACAGTGCCTAGTAGAAGTGCTGGTGAAGGCGCAGCAGCAGGACCAGCAGCACCCCCTCCGTCAAGTTCTTCGGCCAACAACCCCTTCGCGTTACCAAGCCGGTTCCCGCTGGTGCCACCGCCGGGTGAACTTGTAGATCAGGCAACAACTTCCAAGAAGAAACATGCTGCGAAGAGCAAGATCACCACTCCTGGACATGATCAACTATCGGGCAGTGGTAGGCGTAAGAGTACAAAAAAGGGTGGCGAGGACTCAACCTGTCAGACCCGGATTCGAACCTCCTCGACCTCCTCATCCGATTCTAGTAGCTCCTCATCAAGTTCCTCTTCCTCATCTTCCAGCTCTTCCAGCTCTTCATCGTCCAAGCAGAAAAAAACGGAAGATGTTGTTCCGGAAGCTGCCGTTCAGCGGTCTAATTTTCCGTCTCTCGCAGCAGCGAACCCGTTTTTAACGACTGATCCTGATCAAGAAGAGGAGAAGGAGCAGAGTGCCGAGAAGGACGCCGAAGGAATGAACGAGGAAAAGATCATCGACGCGCGTTCCTCGTCCACGTCAGCGGCCTCGGCTTCAGGAGCAGACGATGATACGACCAGTAAGAATTATTGCAGAAGTGTGGGCAGCACGAAGTCGAAGAGTGCAGGAGCTCCTGGTGCTGGTGCAGAAATAACGAATCAAGAATCCGGTAATTTTTACCAGAAATTTTCTCTCACGACGACGTTAATGCCAACAAATGTTGACGAAGGTGGTGTTCTGCAAATGCCATTGCCAGCTTTGAATCTTATCCCGCCGGAGCAGGGACACCAGCCGCAGGCACAGCAGACACAACAACAGCCCGCATTTAGTTTACAACCTCCGTTAATACCGGGGGGAAAGGGGAGTTTCGGGTTTCATTTTTACCAGCAACAGCAGAAACGGCTACAAGAGCAGCAGAACTCCAACAAGAATTTTCCGCTGCCCCAGCCGCCCGTCATAATTGGTCCACCACAGGAGACACACAATGCTCATCACTCTGCCACGATGCAGCAGCACAATATGCAGCAGCACGCCTTCTACTGGCCAGCAGCAGCACCATTCGTGGCCGCGGTGAGTCGCGGGGGCACGCATCGCTGGAAGCAACAAACCGGGACGACGCATCGGGTGTTTGCTGATACGTCTGCGTTTGCGAAAGTAACACCGTATCAGCCCAGCATCCAGCACAATTTGCCCGCTGTGACGTTTGAGGACCTGCAAAATAATGAAGCTGCACAACCCAGTAATATCGCAAGAAAAAACTGTTTCACTGTGAACTTGTGATGCAGAAACTGGAACACAGAACTCTCTGTCTTGCTACACCTGCAAGGCATTGGATTTTCAAGCGTGTTTTCCCTTGGGAAGCGCGCATGACAAATTTTCAGTGTCATGTGTAAGCAAACTTGTGATGCAGATCCTGCAAAGTCATCACAGTGAAGCAGTTTTTTCGTGGGATAAATAAAGTCGAACGCGTTCCGCGTCAGAGGGTTGAACTCGTGCCACGAAGTGAAGTATCCTGTGCAAAAGTATCGTACTCGTATTGCAATCATGCATTACAAATTTTTTTCTCAAGGTAAAACAGCATTACAAATTTTATTTCTCATGCTGAGGGAATTTGTCATGCATTTATACGAATACGATACAATACTTTTGCAGTTCATATGAAGTTGTGGTCAACAACAACCCCAATCCACCAATCCAACCACCGCCCATGCTAGCTTGTCCGGGCGCCGTCATTCAGCCACCTCCATTTGTCGCAATATCACGAAATAATGCGCTACCTGATCCGTTACTCCAACCACCGGGTCTAAATAAGATGAATTCTGTGTCGACATTTTTGAAAAAGAATAAAAAAAAAAAGCTTGCGCTTGATGGAACTCACGTAGGTGCACACGTCGTTTTTGTGTCGTCGGAAGACGATCAGCAGGAACAGAATCCAACTTTGATGCATCCGAGTACCGCTTCAACAACAAATCCCTCAACCGCTACTTCGTCCAACAAGCGAAAGCGGTGGGGGGAGATGAAAGTCGTGGACATTCTTTCGGACAACGACGGCCAGGATGAAGCAGACCGACGTCCTGGTCATGGTGAAGATGCTGACCACCTATTACAAAAAGATCTCGCTCCTGCTGCATCAACTGCTGTAGCTACTAGTACCAAGAACGGCGGCTCCACCTCATCGCACCAAGCGTCGACCGCCGCAATAAACGCGAAAAAGAACAAAACCGGTATCAGGATTGACCGCCTATTGATCGAGTGCACGGCCTCGGACCCGGAGAATCCGCGATTTCTGGAATTTCCGGAGTTTCGGGAAATCGAAATTTCGTTCGACAGGGAAGAGAACACTACAACTGCGGCGGTACTAGTACAACTTACACCGCCAAATAAAAGCGGCGGTACTAGTACAACTTACACCCCGTTGCAGCTCTTGATTATCAAAAGAAAAAAGTTCGTCACGATCACTCATGGGCACTTTTGCAAGACAAAATTGTCCGTCATGCGTAAAAATGCATCACAGCCACACTTCATAAGGGATTTTTCTAGTGTTTGTGCAATGCAAGGAGAAGTTGTGATGCAAAAAAAATTTGTAATGCCAACCCTGCAACTTAGTGACTGTGACAAACTTTTTTCTCTCCATATTGATTCTCCAGAGTTTAGAAAAAAATATCTTCGCCGGCTATCCCACGAGGAGTCAAGCGCGGAAGATGGGGATCCACCTGCAGAAATTGAAAAAAAAGCAGAAGATATCAATTACAACTTCTGGAGGATCATGTGGAGAACAAGCTGCACAAGAGATTCTACCCGCAAGCTGCAACGATAACGAAGTAGAGCAACAACGTTTACAAGCTCTTCCGATCCTGACCACAAAGGAGAAGGAGATTTTCGAGAGTCTGACCATGATTTTCAAGGAAGACGAGATGAACAACAACATCTTCGCAACAAGTCGTGACCTAAGTAAAAGTTCCGTATCTGTTCTGCTGGACGATGAACACGATTTTCATTCTTTCACGGAGCTGCCAGACGGGGGCACGAATGTTTTGCAAAATCCCTTCCGAACAACAGAAGGGACTACTATGAAACAAGAATCGGAAGTGGTAGTGCCGGACGCAGCAGGGACCGCAGAAGCATCAAAGCGGGGAAAAATAAATCACGAGCAGGACAAAATCAATATCCCAACTGCTGCAACGACAGAAAATGAAAATCTGAACGAAGGCAGCTCTCTCTGTGTAGTACCAACGAAGATCAACTTCTGGACTAACCAGCGAGCGCTGGAAGCATTTCTGAAAGAGCTTTCCTTCCGCCGAACGCAAGCGGTGGACCAGATGCGGACGAGAGCTAGTCAGAACGTGCAAACCACCGGAGACCGGAAAGTAGGAATTGAGAAGGTCAGCTTGTGGGACATTGGTAAAAACCGAGGCATATGCTGTGCAAAAGTATTGTACTCGTAATGCAATCATGCGTCACAAATCTTTTTCTTAAGGTCAATCAGCATTACAAATTTTATTTCTCATGCTGAGGAAATTTGTAATGCATTTATACGAGTACGATACTTCGGCAATCCATAAGGCAATCGTGATGAGGACTTCTTGATGCAACACATCAAACAGGAAATGTCGCGGAATCCAAATTCCAATTGGGGAGCGGTCGTGATCCCGGATTTGAGCGAGTTGTGGCGAAACAAGTACCCCGGGCTGCTAATGGTGGGAAGAAGTGCTGACCACACGACAGAGACTCGAGGTGGTGAAAACAATCCCTTCGCGGACCACGTCGAAAGTTCTACCTCTTTGTCATTCGAAGAAACAGCGTCTACCCTTTTGGAACTGCAGCAAATTGGTTCTTCCACAACTGGCGCCATCAACCTCTTCGGCGGTGATTTTTCAACATCTTCCTTGCTCAACAAGCCGGATTTGACGCAACTAGATTTTCAAATCCGCAAATTGATCGGGGAATACGGACATTTGATCGAAAACCGACACGAGCACGTCACGGACGAACAAATCTTTGCCGCACTAAATCGCTGGTGGGACGAGGATTACGTCGATGTTAATAGCACAATAAAAACTACATCTACTTCTTCAGAAAAGGGTAAAAAGGATGTTGACCACGACATCGAAAGTGAAAATGTCGAAACTATTGACCGGGAACGCCAGTACTCGCAAAGAGGATACGACTGTCTGCAGATGCTGAAGGCGCACGAGGACTTGTGGGTGTACTTGTCATATGCATTGCAAAAGTACTATCGTGGTGCTACGTAAGAATTGAATGACAAATTTCCTCAGCATTAGAAATGAAATTTGGGATGCGGATGTAGCTTGACACAACAATTTGTAATGCAAAAATGCCATTGCCATTAGTAAACGAGTGCGATACTTTTGCAATGCATATTTCAAAAGCGGAGAAATTGTGGAATAAAGTTCAGGAATTAAACATTCTGAAAAGGGAAATCACGATTATGCCCGAGTTTCCGAAAGAAATGAGGGATGACTACGTGGAGGAAGAGAGCCAAGATTTTTGTTTTGAGGAACAGGAAGACGGGGGAGGTGTAATTCTTGGCGACAGTATTCTTGCAAGCACTTCCAGCAGCATCGCAGGCGATACTAGCATGATCACCGGTGAAGAGCTAAATACAACAGGCCAGCAGGCCGAAGCGCACCAGGCCAGAGCGACAACCGACACAACCATGACCACAGATAGTACTAAACCCGTTCGAGATAATGATAAGATCAAACTTTTCCCGCAACCGAACTCCAAGTACTCCCACTCCCAACGACTCCGGCAGAACCGCAGGGCCGCGAACAATATGCATTCAGCAAAAGCATCGTAATCGTACTTCTAATTGCAGATATGCATGACGAACCTCCTTCCTATAGTTGAAACAGCATCACAAATCACATTTGGCACGCTAGGGAGCTACAACTACTTTGTATTGCAGTTACTACACCTACTAGTTGTGCGATACTAACTTTTGCAATTCATAAACAAACGCCCCGACGCGTACGAGTCCTTTGAATTGAAGGAGAAGCTCTACTACCCCATGCTCTGGGCAGCGCGCTGGAAAGACGCGGAAGTTACAGCGACGAAGAAATTTAAAAGAGATTTCAAACAAATCGAAGACTGTTTACTCCCGAGAAGGGACGGATTCGGCAACTGGACCATTTTCGGCCGGTCGCCGTTTTTTGAAAACACAACTAACACGGTTGACGAAAGTGCTGAAGGATTTAAAGACCTAACGGAACAGCAACGCGCAAACCCGCCGATGAGCCACTGGTCGAGACAATTTCCGGTGTGGGTACCCTGTGCAAAAGTATCGTACTCGTAGTAATTGCAGTCATGCACTGCAAGTCTTTTTATTAAGGTAAATCCGCATTACAAATTCCATATCTAATGCTGAGAAAATTTGTAATGCGATTCCATTATTACTAGTACGATGCTTTTGCATTTCATAGTGGGACGCTTTGCACAACTTTTCTTTCGAGCTGAACAAGTGGTGCTTCGTCCGGGGTGTGCATGTCTCCGATAACATCATGGAATTAACGAAATCTCTGTTGTGGTATGAGAGTGCACAATTCCCCCTCTCCCTCATTTGTATAGCATGGACAGCAATATAAACACTAGCACACGTGGAGCCTACGCATGACAAATTTGCGCACCCAATGCAGTATTGTTTGGGCTTCCGGATGAATTTCTCATGCAAACAGTGCCACAAAACAGCGACTAGATATGGGATTTTGCATGGCAAATGAGGGTGACGGGGAGTTGTGCACTTTCACATGCGGCTGGGCGGGAAGAAGACAAGGGACGCCTTTCAACAGATTCGGGATGAGAGAAAGAAAGTTTTAACCTTAACGGGAGGGAGGAAGAAAAAATAAAAATGAAAATCATCTGATGCGGTTCCTCTCATGCCAAAGAGGACAGCTGGTTTCTATATACTTTTTTGGTGGAGAGAAAGAATATACAAAAGTTAAAGTTGTCAGTGCAAAAAAAATCCGATTTATTTGCTCTATCTTGTACTCTACGACGCAACGGTTTGATTTTGAATTTTGATGTAAGTGTACAAAACGCATCGTTTGAAACAATGGCGCAACTACAATGGTTCCCTCTAACTACCGAGAGAGTTAGTTGACTATTCTGCCATGCCCGAACTGCGGGTGCCTTTGACGCGACAATTGTGCGTGCAAAGTTTTTTTGTTCTTTCCGAGTCGGACGACTAGTACCGTCTCAGCTACAGGTTCACATTTGTCTTCCTCGCACTTCTTGCCAAAAGCCAAGCGACGACAGAGTTATGAAAAGCGGCTTTCATCTCATCGATTTCCACAAAAATAGTGCGGCCTTCCTCGATCTGGTTGATGTCTTTTGTGTTGCTGTATGAGATGATCAAAGTTGTGAGGATCGTGAATTTGGACGGAGCAGTTCAACTTGCGAGCATCCCATCGAAAGTACGCAAATTTGTCTTCGTCACCGCAACGAAGAAGTGGTCCCATATTTGGGTTGTTGACTAACGGTAACGCAGCTCTATATACAACTTCTGGTGCCCCGAGGTAGCATCTCGTGGAACTACTAACTCGGGTAGTTTTTCACAATGTGAATGTTGCGTTACTTATTGATTCTACCCCCGCTGTTTTGATGATGTGTTAGTGTTTTGAAGATCGTGTCCCGCCCTCCCCGGTTTTTACAGCGAGCCAAATGGTATACCTTCACACTCATAGTATCGATAAAGAGCGTGCTTTACTAGTCTTCACATAAAAAAAAGAAGAAGAACTACAACTGAAAACTACACATGATGAGAGCATGTCGTTTTGCTGTGATTCGTAATTGCTAGTGCAAAAGCTGTCCGTGGTCTAGTAAAGTTTTTTATCGCCCAAGAATTATTATGCCGTCATCCTCTCCCGCCAAGCCCAGTACCGCGACAACAGCAAATAAAGGCGCAAACAAAATGGGTGGACAAGAACAACCAGAGGACGAGAAGTCCTACCGCGAAAAGATGGTCGCTAAGATCAGCGGAGGGGGAACTTGGAGGGCGGTAGAAGTTAGTGATCAACAGGTGGAACCTGCTGCCGCGGAAGTTGTACAACCCGTTACAACAGCTGCAACCAAGTACTACCCGGAACCTGCCCCTGCCGTGCTCGTACCCGTTACAGTACGTGCAACAACATCAACAACCAAGCACCCGCCCAACAAGTACCAGCCTATTACTTTCGATCATTTGCTACAAGCCCAACAGGGTACTACTGGTACTACTACTAGTTTCGGTCAGGAGATGAACACCATCGGGTCCTTCGTGCCCCAAAACACCGCGACTGCGGGTGCGGATACGAACAAGGCCGGCTCCTCCTCATCTTCTACCGCGAATACGAAATCCGCCGCGGCTAGTACTACAGTTCCTCCGCCCGCCGCAGCATCTTCCTTAATAAATACGACAGCTGCGCAGACAAGCTACCCAGCCACTTACCTGGCAAATTACAACCCAGCCTACTACAACAACTACATGATATCCCAGGCAATCATGCAGCAGCATATCAACCTCGGTTCCGGGAGTGTACTGGGCACCGACAATCCCCAAGTTTACCACCCAAACCACTTCGCGGCTGCTGGGTTCAACAACAACAGCAACACAGGGGGTTCGTTTCATATGCCGCAGCAGCACATCCCATTGCCAGGTGCAGCAGTAGCTACTGCAACCTGGTTGCAGCAGGGGGATGCAGCAACGTTGGTTACCAACGTGAACGTCCCCTGGTGGATGCAGGGGATGACGCCATCCAACGGATACGGAGCGGGAGGTGCAGCGCAGATATTTAACCCGTATGGAGGAGGGGGTGGTGCTGTTGCTGCAGCAACATCGTCCGCAGCAGCCCCGATGCAACAGCCATCTGCGTCTTCAAGTAGTTCTGCTGCGCCACCAGGAGCAGCAGGAGCTGCCACTGGTCCTAGTTCATCTTCAAGTGCAATTGTGGAACCCCACCCGGGGTTGCAACCCGAATCCCGTGAGTTGTTGAAGATGAAGCCCGAATCTTCTTCTTCTTCAAACTGGCCCCTTTCTGCCTACGCTGAACTTGTTGTAGAGAACGCAACGCCAACAGAAAACGCTGCTTCCGGTTCTGCGGCGAACAGTATCGAAAGAAAAAGTCCCCCCTCCCCATATCGAAACGGAATTTCTGGTGCTGGATTTGTGTACACAAATCAGCTTTGAATTGCAGAGAGGCATTGCGGCCAGGCCCCCAGGCTAGGTAGGGGCGTATGGGTATAGTTGTTCAGCATGGCAAACGGCTTCCCTTTAGGCGCAGTAGCATGACAAATCGCTTCCATAAGGGGGCGGAAGCTTCTGCCCGTGTCTTCTTGCAATACAAATGTGATTTGTGACCCCAAATCAGCAACGCAAATTTTCGGAAACATACCTGTTCAATATGGGGAGGGGGGATTTTTCCTTCTGATAAACAGACTGAAAAAGGACAAGGGCTCCGGACGGAAAGTCCCGCAAATCCAGTTTTCTGATTTCGTTGGCCAACTGGAGCAGAAGAAAAGTGTTGACAAAGCCGGGGGAGTCCTCGTGAGCGAATCTGTCTTGAACGAGGCCGCAAATAAGCCGAAGAAAAAGAACTTCTTCTTTCTTCTCGGCAACCCGGAGGGCGGTAGGGAGCAGGAGCAAGACGGTGGAAATGCGAGTGGTGCTGAGATTGATGAGGACAATCAAAATCTTCAGCCAGATGAAGTAGTAGATGAAAAAGAAGATAGTCCTGTTCCAGGTTCGCCTGCTGCTGTTCTCCTCGACGAGAAAGAGGGTGGTGGTCAACAAGAACAACAACACGAAGACCTCCGCGAAGCAGATGAACCGAGTCAGAGCAAAGAGCACCTTGTCGAAGCCGTTGGCGACAACCCGTTTCTGGCTCAGTCCGGCGAAAACGCGTTCTTTTTGCAGAACGATAATCCATCTGGTGTTCTACTTTCGGGACAATTTGACGTCGACGAACAAGACAATCAGTATCAGGATGAAGATGTGGACAATAAAAGCAAAGAGGATTTTCTGAATTTTGGCAGGGAACTAGAGCTGAAAAAAGAAGCAGAGCGGGAGAAGAAGAGGAAGCTGCTGCAACAGGAGAAATTTTTGCAAGAGGACCACTTGCGGCAACAAAAGTTGGAAAAGCAACTGAATTTGAATGAAGACAATGCAGGAGCTTCTCCGGAACAAGACCTGTTGCTCTCTCCTGAAAAAGACGATCTTTTCCTCGACCAGATCCACAACGGAAAAAGCGAAGAACTTTTCCTCGACGAGACACATGATCAAGCTGAACAAGAATCGTTGGGACAACCAGTAGAAAAAGCTTTCAGCAACAAAAAAAACCACGAGTTGCAACTGCAAGGCGGACGAGAAACGAGCGCGGAGCAAAATGTTATTGAGGAAAACAACAAAGGGTTTCTGTCGCCGATTCTTTCCGCGGAGGAAAAAGCAAAATTGTCGGAGGAAGAGTTACAACACTACTTGGACTTGGAACAAGAGTTAGAACAGGAGGTCAGGGAGGCTTCGGCGGCTTCTGCATCCTCTGCATGTAGTTCGGGACGAGATGTTGCACCTGCGGCGGCGGTCGGTTGTGCAGCAGGACTAAAACCGACAGAAGGTGGCGCAGCTCTTCCGGCGTCTTCTGCGGTGCCTGAAGAAGAAAACCAGCAACAGACGAGTGCGGTTGCAGCTCCTAGCGCGAAGGACAAAAGTGTTGAACAAGAAGGAAACAAGAATGACACAAGCCCGGACATGAGCAAATACAGCTGCACGCTAGATTGGTTCAAGGAAATGCAGGAGCGGCACAGGCAAAAAGGAGTGACCCGCGCCGAGGCGGTGAAAAAGAAACCGGCTGGCGTCTTGCCCGGCAGTCTGGTGGCCAGTAGTGGTAGTAGTACAACAAAAACTACCGGAAAAGTATCATCTTCAGCGAAGTTAATCGTACCGGCCGGAAAGGCCGCGAAGTTAATAGTCCCGGTACGGAAAGTGCCGCCCCTGACCCAGTATCCTGTGCAAAAGTATCGCACTCGTACTAATTGCATTTATGCATTACAAATCTAATTCCTAAGGCACATCCGCATTACAAATTCTAATTCAATTTGTAATGCTGAGGCAATTTGTATTGCAGTTACTACTAGTTGTACGATGCTTTTGCAGTTCATACCCAGTTCCCAGTGGCGAAGGTGAAGGAAGTCACAGCTTTCGCGATAAAGAAAAAACCCTGGATGAATGTGTGTCCAGTTTTGCCGGAACAAGGGAAGAAAGGTAGTACTGCGGCCGCGGGTGCGGTGGAGAAAAACCAAAAGGCTCTTAAAGCCGCGTCGTCTAGCAGTCTGGCGACGTCGTCGTCCGGGCTGCAGCTGCCGGGCAACAAGAAAAACGAAGCAGGAAAGGCCACTGTTGCTAGCGCCGAAAATGTGGAATCAAACAAGCAAAGCGCCCGAGGAACAAGACGGAGTTCGTCTTCCCGCAGTAGAAGTAGCAGCCGTAGTTCATCACGTGGCCGGGGGAAAAGAACAAACGCCAGTCGGCCCCGCAGGAGAAGATCTGCACGGGACGAGGACCACAGTAGAAGCAGAGACAGGACCGGCCGTAGTAGAAGAGACCACAGTAGAAGCCCCCGACGACGCGACAGCCGGCGAAGACGTAGGGATAGCAGGCGCAGAAGGCGTGGCAGGTCTCGGGGCCGGGATAGGGATAGTCGGAGAAGATCTGGCCGTAGATCGCGCAGGAGAAGGTCGTATCAAATGCAAAACTATCGTACTCGTACAAATGCGGGCTTTGCATTACAAATCTTCGTTTCCATTGCAAATCTGGATTACAAATTTTATTTGTCATGCTGAGGAAATTTGTAATGCATTTATACGAGTGCGATACTTTTGCAATGCATAGGTCGACGTCTAGTAGAAGAAGAGACCGCGCGAGGAGTCCGGATAGGCGGAGAAGTCGAACGCCGACGCCACGCAGTAGACGGGAGAGACGCGGCGGTGGCGTCACCAGTCCAAGTGCCGGCGCGGAAGATGAATTGGTGATGCAGGTGCAGGAATATGGTGGGGAACCAATCATCACAAGAACATCGAGTAGCGGCGACAAGAAACAAGAGAAGGTTAAAAATGGTGCACCACCTTCTACTTCTGCCGTGAATTATGCTGCTTTCAGCCTGCCGAAAGGTGGCCCTGAACTAACTGCTCCAGGCGGGGTTCATCATCTGGATGCGCTAGTACAACCACAAGAAGTCGCTGCTAAGACGGAGGAAAATAAAGCACAACCATCAGGTGATCAAGTAGGCGTTAAGAACAATAACAGCATCAACGATACTGCAGAAAAACGAATGAAAAGGATGCTGAGGACGGAGGAAGAGAAACAAGAAGGTAGGAAGGCACTGCTAAAAGCTTTGGAGAACGATATCATGTCAGAGGAAAATAAAGAGGAAGAAGTAGAAGAAGATGGTGGTCCACATATGGCAGGCGACGTCCAGGATCGAGAGGAACAGGGAATAAGTCCAGATCAGCAAGAGGAAAACGACGCGATGAACGTGAACCCCGAGGGAGAGGAGAAGGGAAATTCCAATTCGAATGGTGATCTTCAAGATGTCGAGGTTGAACCTCCGCAGGCTGAAGATGATCCTTTTGACGAAGAGTTTCTGCAGCCCGTCGCGGACAACAACCCCTTCGCAATGGCGTCGAGCTGTGATATTTTTAACGAGGACACGCTCTTCGGGCAGAAGAAAGAAGACGCGGCTCCTGAGGATAACCAGAATGAGGACGACAGCGGACACTTGTTTAATCAAAGCGACCCCTTTACAGCAGGAGCTCCACAAGTAGAACCGCTGCACTTTGACCTGGCAGACATCTACGGCGCAGAAGGTACTAGTAGAGATGTTGAGGAGCCTGGCGCGATAGAAGATGAAAGCGACGGGGAGCAGGACATGGAAGTAGCAGACGGCGACCATCATGTAGTGGTCCTGGAAGAAAATGCCGACTTGGATTTGGCTTTCAACACTTTCCCACCGACAGAAGAGGCAGTACAGGCTGCTGAAGATGAAGAAGCTGCTGCTCATCATGTTCCTCCGGATGACCAAGGTGAAAGTGATGGCGAACATGTTGACCAGGATCTACTTCGGGCAGAGGTTGGTGAAGATCCACCTGCGCTCCAAATAGACAAAGAAGCAGATGATCCACGACCTCCGGCAACAAGAACCGGCGAAGACATAGACAACGCTCTCACAACTACAGGAACTGCACGCCCAACATCCCCTCCCCCGGCAGAGCAGAGTTTCTCGGACTGGCTCAAGGACTACGACAATATCAAATGCAAAAATGTCTGGGTCTGGAAGATTCTGAGACTTGTCATGCATATGTTGCATGATCCATGATGCCTCTAATGCATGATCTAGCGTCACAGATTTTTAGAGGGCTTCCTTATGCCTATTCCGCATCACACATGCCCTCTCGTCCGCGTAGCAAAAATTAGATTCCTTTTGCTGCTCATGCAACACAAATTTTTTAGACATCCAAATGCAGCATCGCAAGTTGCATTCTTCCAGACCCAGACATTTTTGCATTTGATAGACAAACAAGTTGAACAAGTTTGTCCAACGGAGAAGAATATCCTGTGCAAAAGTAGCGTACTCGTATTGCAGTCATGCATTACAAATCTTTTTGTTAAAGGTAAATCCGCATGACAAATTTTATTTCTCATGCTGAGGAAATTTGTAATGCATTGATACGAGTGCGATACTTTTGCAATTCATAAAGAACAAAGTAGACCCTAAATGCCGTAGCAGTTTTTCTACCTTCACGAGCAAGAAAGGCAAGGTAATAACGGAATTCTTATGCAGGTGCACAACTTGTTCCCCTCCCCCTCATTTGTGATGCAAAATGCTTAATTTACACTGTCTCTGGGCACCCACTGTTAGCATGACAAGTTCTGGGCCCAAAGAGCACTACACTCCAGTGGTCCAAATTTGTGATGCAAAACCTGTATTCTTGCTGACGCTTGTATTGCTGTTCATGCAATACAAATGAAGGGGAGGGGGAGTTGTGGATTGTCATAATTCTTCGTTGACCCGCAGAAGATGCCGCAACCTGTTAAGGAAGTCGCGGACACGAAAACGACGCACATAATGGACATGATCGCGCAGGAACGCTTATGCATTGCAAAAGTATCGTATTCGTAGTATTGCAATACAAATTAGCTCAGCATGATGGCAAATGGAATTTCTCGTGCTAATTTAGCTTGAAAAAGAAATTGCTGGTCTTGCATATTTGCAACTACTACGAGTACGATACTTTTGCACAGGATAACGCTCTCGGCAGAAGAAACGGGAAGAGGAAAAGAGCAGGAACAAGGGGAAAACTGTGCTTACAATGGACAACTTGAACGCGGACGGCGCAGCTGGAAAAAAGAAAAACGCATCAGCTGCAACATCGTCAAGTAGTAAACACCAGCTGCCTCTGGATCGGTCCAAACCACCACCGCCACCGGCGCCCAAGGCAGCGCCACCGCCCCCGAGGAAGCGGACAAATTATTTCGTATTTAATACGAAACCAGCCGTGGATGAGGACACAGGTGCGCATGAGTCCGCGGAAAAAAAAACAATGACTGGCGGTGCAGCAGGATATTCTGCCTCTTCATCCGGAATAAACAAGGATGTTGTTTTTCCGCCTGCTTCAGAGAAAGATGACGATTCCGTCGGGCCTGAAGACGGACCAGACGAGGACGAGGACGAAATTCTCCCTTTGGACAACATAACGGAAGATGAAGAAGGTTTTACCCTATCTGAGTTAGTTGATTCCGGGCTGGAGGGGAGTAAGAACATTCTGCAGCAGGAATTAGAAGCGGACGAACCAGTAGAGGAAGCAGACGAAGATGAGGACGCCGACGACGACGCTGATAGTGGATCATCCGGAGACGGCAGTGAGGACGAAGACGACGCTGAAGACGACGACAGCTCCGCCAGTTCTTCTGAAAGTGAGGAGGAGAAGCAGTACGTTGACGACATCACCTTGGCCAACGAATTACTGCAGCAAGAGATGGACAAATTTGATGCGGAGGAAAAGCAGCGGCAGGAGTACATACAAAAACTCTTCGGCGAGGACCACGCAAAGAAATTCACTGCAGCAGGGGCCGGAAGTGGTACTGCTAGTCGTGCTCCTGTTGCTGCTACTGCCTCTTCCTCGTCGGCTTCGAGCAGTAGCAAGATTATCACAGGAGGTCCTGCGCCAGGGGCTCTGGCAGAGGATACAACATTCCTCAACATCGCCGGCTCCGTCGACCCGTTCTTTTCACAGCTAGAACCCATGGATTTCGAAACGGCTTTTGGCGAGATCGAGAACGAAAAATTCAAAGTTCAAATGACCATATGCATTGCAAATATCCCTGGATGTCTAGAAGGTTGCAACTTGTGATGCTGTCTCTCGATTCTGAAAAAATCTTTATTGCATGACCAGCAACAGGAACCCAGTTTGCGCTACGCGGACAGGGTGTTTCTCATGCGGGATAGGCATTAAGAAGCCCTCAAAAAACCTGTGATCCTGGGGCATACATCACAGACATCATGGGTCATGTCAAACTTGCATGACAACAAACCTGGCGATCTTCCAGACCTCCAGGGATATTTGCAGTGAATAAACCAGAACAAGCCACAACAAGAACCAAGGCACAGCAGGAGTAGCTTTTCGTGACGATAATAATGTTGCTGGTCATCCTTCGGCTGGATTGTCGCTGTCGGGAAATAATATGGAAGCAGGAGGAGCTTCCGGGTTCATGATGAACCCCTTCGCGACAGAGGACACTGTCGATGTGAACATGAACGATGGGGAAGATGCTGTTCTGGGCGGGCTGAAGAAGAATACAAAAAATGCTACTCCGGAAGAACTTGATGGTTTAGCCAGCGATCTGGATTTGTTCTCGGATTCAGAGCTCGACGATGGCCACGAAAATAATGGAGCCCAACTACAGGAGGACGAGAGCACAGGCCCGGCAGCGAAAAAGCGAAAGGTTGTACTATCTGCAGGAAATGACACCGCCGAAGCTGCTGCAACAGAAGCTGCTGGTTCTGCTTCCGCCTCAGCATCTGCAAGTGGAGCGCAACCAGTACTACCCAACAAGCCCAAGCCTCGCCCGATAGAGAAAAAATACATCCACCCACTGGCCCACCTGAAGCCCATCCGGTTCCAACTCCCCACCAACAGTGAGCCAACGCACCTGCAGCAGCTGATTCTGAAAAAGCTGCGACACTTGCAGCCGCCGGTGAACCAAAAGGAGGTTTTAGGAAAAGTGCGGCAGAAGGAGAAAATGCTGATACGGAAAATGGAGGAGATTCAAAAGGAGATTGCGTACGGAAGTGCGATATGAACTGCAAAAGTACCGTACTAGTAGTAATTGCAATACAAATTTCCTCAGCATGAGAAACAAGATTTGTAATGCGGATTTACCTTAACTAAAGGATTTGTAATGCATGAGTGCAATACTTTTGCACAGGATATGCGAATTTCGACCGGCAGAAAATGGACCAGCTCATCGATCTATGAGAGTGCACAACAACTCCCCCGCCCCTCATTTGTAATGCAAAATACCAACTCCACCACCTGCGTTGAAGCACTGTTTACATGACAAATTTATTCGGGAGAGGGGGACGAGTTGTGCATTGTCATACGACCAGCTGTCGAGATACCAGCAGGATGAAGAAAGGTTGAAGAAGGTGGAACAATTCGTGAAGTCCAAAGCGAGTGAGAGGACCCTGTACAAGCAGGACTTGCTGAAGTTCATAAAAAACAGTGGAACTACAAACGGGTCAAAGAAGACTGCACCACTACCCTCGGTTGTAGCACCAGGTGCAGCTGATGGTCCCACCGGCGCGAACACAACTCCTCTCACGGAAGACCCGTTTAACGGATTGATCGGAACGATCTCCCGGAAAACCGGAGAGGTTATTGGGGGGCAGAACAATGCTTTTCCGAATTTGGAAGAACTCTGGAACAACCGCTACCCCACTCCGGTTTTCGGTTCCCGAAGAGCGCAGCTGGAAAAGGCCGGGTTGCAGGTGACGGAACTGAATTTCCAAATTTTGGACGCGATCCACAAATACGGGGAATTTGTGGAAACCCGAAACAACGTCATCCCGGATCAGCGATTGTTGCAGGTGCTGGATTTTTATGCAGTGCAAAAGTATCCGATACTTGTATAAAGTGCATTACAAATTTCCTCAGCATGAGAAATAAAATTTGTAATGCTGGTTTACCTTGAGAAGAAGATCTGTAATGCATGATTCCACAATACGAGTACGATACTTTTGCACAGGATAATTTTTGGTACGGCAGCCATAAAACGGAACTGAACAAGTTGCACCCGTATCAACGAGGCATGCGGTGTTTGAAATACTTGAAAAACCACACGGTGGTGGGGCCGTGGCTAACGAATATCCTGTGTAAAAACGTCCCCACCTCCCCATAGTCAAGATGGAAGACCTGCTAGGCAAATCGACACGCTTTGGCTGTTGCGCATGACAAATTTTGCCTCGTAGTGTACTCCTTTCAAGCTAGTTCAGCAGCATTACAGATCTAGCCTATTATGCCGAGTGGAGGATCACAAATTCCGACACACGACTAGAGAATGCGTCTCATGGGGCTCCGCAGGAGAAACATTCTCAGCATGCAGATTTGCATTCCAGTCATAAGGAGGGGACGTTTTCACTTTGGATAACGAAAGCGGAGGAACTGTGGAACGAGGCACAGAAATATACCATGTTTTCTGTGGCGAGAAAGTCTCCTGGGGGGATATGACAGTGCACAACTTCCCCTCCCCCTCATTTGTCATGCAAAATACCAAAGCTACCCTGTGCCTCTTGATGGCGCTGTTTGCATGACAAGCTCTGGCATCCCAAACAGCACTACCATCCTGTGCAAATTTCTCATGCAAAACTTGCACTCTTGCTGATGCTTCTATTGCTGTTCATGCCATACAAATGAGGAGGAGGTGTAGTTGTGCACTCTCATAAGCGATTAAAAGCAACCTCAGCCAAGAAACTGTGAAAGCGGGAAAGAATGTAAGAAAGATTGCTCCGCCCGTCGAGGTGAAGTTGCTGGTTTCCGAGGGGAACGTGGTGGTGAAGAAAGACAAAAACGCCGCCAGTGTACAACTAGAGAAGGAAAAGAAGAACTTCTACTTCAATCCACCACCTAAAGTCGGGGCCGTGACTACAGGAGGCGGAGCAGGTGCTGCCTCTTCGGCCGCGACATCATCCTCCGCGAAAGCAGTTGCTAGCGAAGAAACGCCGGCTGTGACCGATAAAACCAGACACGCGGCAGGGCAGCCGTCCGCTGTAAAAGGAGAAGCAGATGAACCGCCGGCAGATAGTTGTACTACAGTATATCAACCCGGAAAAGCAAAAGAACAACCTGGACCATCTCCAGATCCTTCGTCAAAACCGCCGAAAAACAAGCCTACCATTATCTCCGAAACCGCGCTGCTCGAAAGGCAAAAGGAGGAGCAATTTTTCATGAAGCACCCGAGCCAGAATAACCTCGCACAGGAGCGGCAAACCTTCGCGCCTGAGAGGAAGAACATCGCGCGGCCGCACTTTCCCGGGGTAGACCAGTTTGTGTTTTTTCCGCCGGTCGTGGAAATGAAGGCGATCAACGTGCTGAAACACAAAGATTTTTTAGGCGGATGCCCGAAGGTCACACTCCCGCCATACGAGGAAATTTGTGACCGACTGTTGCCCCGCATGCACGGATTTGGAAATCTCATCATATGCAATGCAAAAGCATCGTACTAGTATAAACCAGCCATGCTCCGGCTGCCGCCGGAGCGCAGGGCTGTTGGGCCGGGGCAAGACTGTTTGCCGATCGGACCACAACGCCACGGGCCTAATATGCACAACGAAACATACTGGAGTCCCGCTCCTTCCGCCTGTTTGCGCCGCGCCAACCCGCAGGACCACTTGCGCGCTTCCCGCGCCTGTGGGCGCTCTGCGCAGGGAGCAGCTGCAAAGAACACCGGGGGCGAACAGAAGCCGCCAGGCGCGAGAGGGTAGCGCGAGAGGGTGGCGCGGGAGGGTGGTGCGGGAGGGTGGCGCGAGAGGGTTGCGCGAGAGGGTGCGCGAGAGGGTGGCGCGAGAGGGTGGCGCGGAAAGGCGCCGAACAAAACAAGTCCACGACTGGCCTGCAGTGCCAAATATGGGGACTACCATGCGGATTCGCGCCCGCCACTTTGTGTTTTTACCCTCTCGCAGACCTCTCGCAGACCCTCTTTTTGACCTCTTTTGGGGGTCCCCGCTAATAATCCGGCTATACTCGCGGGTAGAGGTCGACAGAGGTGGCCGAGAGGTGGCCAAGAGGGTCCGCGAGAGGTCGCCCCTTATTCGCGCCACCTCTCTCCACCTCTGTCGACCTCTCGTGCCCCCTCTTTTTGACCTCTCTGCACCCTCTGAGGCACTTAGGCGCCGCCTTAAGGTGGGGCCTTCGGCGGGCTATACTCGCGCACCCTCTCGCCGACCCTCTCGAAAGGGGTCCCGCGCCACCTCTCCACCTCTGTCGACCTCTTTTTTACCTCTTTTGACCTCTTTTTGACCTCTCGGCCACCTCTCGTTTACCCTCTGTCTACCTCTTTTTTCGCATGAATATAGTATATAGTAATTGCATCACAAATTAGCCCAGCATTACAAATTAAGTTTGTAATGCAGCTTTACCTGGACAAAAAGATTTTTGTAATGCATAAATGTAATTAAGTAGTACGAGTACGATACTTTTGCAGTTCATACATCATCGACATTGACGAAATTGTGGAAGCGATTGACGCCGGGGTGATTAGCATTATGACAGGGCACAACTCCCCCTGCCCCTCATTTGTACTGGTGCATGAACAGCAATACAAATACCAGCACACGTGGAGCCTGTGCATGACAAGTTCATGCGCCTAGTGTAAGTAGTACTGTTCTTTAGACTTCCGATATCTCTCATGCATACAGTGCCACAGGGAAGCACGCGGATTTAGGCCTTTGCATTACAAATGAGGGGGAGGGGGGCGAGTTGTGCAGTCTCATAAGCATCCGCTTGAAGCCAGAGGCGGTGAAGGAGGCGGGCGGACTTGAGCCATCGCGGAAGAAGCAGCTATCAAATGAAAAAATGTCTGGGTCTGGAATGTTGCCGGGTTTGTCATGCACATTTTGCATGACCCAGCATGTCTGTCATGCACGACCTAGCATCACAGATTTTTAGAGGGGTTCCTGATCCCTACTCCGCATGACAAATGCCCTCCTCGCGTAGCACATATATCTAGACTCCTCTTGCTGGTCATGCAATACAAATTTTTTTACAGTCCAAAAACAGCATGACAGACAAGTCGCAATCTTCCAGACCCAGACATTTTTGCATTTGATAGCAGCTAATCGAGTACAAACGGGAACGCGGGTTTTTCGACACAAACGACAAGATGCCACAACACCCGACCAGGCGGTTTCCAGTCTGGGACGCCTTGCAGAACTTCTCGATCCCCGTTAATGAATGGGCCTACACCAGGCACATTCTTGTCACCCCCGCTTTGGAAAAGCTAGCCGAAGCGTGCTGCCATTTGCGGCCCTTCAACATCAGCAGAGCTAGAGAACGCGAGCGGCTTATTGCAGCAGCTGCGGGGCTGAAAGATAAAAAGTTCATTGCGGTTGCCACCGGACCACGACCCGGAGATGAAAAAAACGACACCGATATGGAAGCGTCAGGATTGAAATCGTGAAAGTTGGAATATTTTTTGTGATGCATAAAATGCTAGGCGCAAAGTGCCTGTCTTGCCGAGCAGGCAACTGAGGCCGAGTAAAAATCTTGTTTGGGGTGATGTGAGATAGAGCTGCTAAAATAGCATGACAAAAGCAGTCTTCTCTATCTCTGCTCAAACAGCATGACAAATTGGATATCCATGCTGCCAAAATTTGTGGTCATGCGCCACTCCCAAACTGGGCTCCAGCTGGTATCGCTTTTTTGCATTACAGATTATTTCAACTTTGACGATTTCGATCCTGGCACTCCCATAACCGACACGACAACGACGAACGTGGTGAGAGAAAACCTGCAGAACCTGCGCAACGACATCCTCCAACACGAAAATAAGAACAGCAAGCATCCTGTTATCCTGTGCAAAAGCATCGTAGTCGTAGTAATTGCAAGCATGCATTACAAATCTGCATCCCAAGGTAAAACAGCATGACAAACTCCAATTGTCATGCTGACCGAATTTGTGATGCGATTTCTACTAGTACGATGCTTTTGCAATGCATACCTGTACACGCTTTTCTGGAAAATAACGTTAAAAATAATAAGGCTGCAAATAACAAGATCGTGGAGCATCAGGAGAAGTCCAAGTCCTCGAAAGTTCCGAAGCCGAATTTAAGCTTTTTCGGCTACGGAAAGATACCGAATCATCCGAATCCCTACGAAATGCAAATATGTCTGGGTCTGGAAACCTGTCATGCTGAATTGCGCAACATGATTGCAACGCTTTCGATGGCAGCGAAGCATGACAAAAGCTCCCGAAGCCGCGCCCAATGATGCCTAACACGCATTACAAACTGCGTTTTATTTGCACGACAAGGGAAGCAGCCCATTTGCTGCTCATGCAGCACAGATTTTCCAGGCATGCATGTTGACACGCATTACAACCTTTCCGGACCGGGACCCAGTCATATTTGCATTTGATAATCCCGGCGGGGGCACGAGTTCCAACCGGATTCCGCTAGGCGGGGGCGGGATGATGCCGCCGCAAGACTTCTTTGTGCCAGATCATAGTGCTCCTGCAGTTTCACAGCCGACAACCGACTACGACCTGTTTTTGCGAAGCCTGAACGACCCTACGCGCACAACCTGGGACCACGAGACTTTTAGACCGCCAGCTCCAGATGTTGTACTACCAGCGGTCGCACAACCAGCACCACGACCGCCGAAGGCCGGGGCGCCGAAAAGACCTCCGCATCCGAACGACCCCTGTCCGGATATTCCCGATGTAGACGAGTTGGTGGACTGGAAGGAATATCCTGTGCAAAAGCTTCGTACTCGTAATAATTCTTGCATTTATGCATTACAAATCTCTTTCTCAAGCTGAATCCGCTTGACAAATTCCATTTGTCATCATGCTGCGCTAATTTGTATTGCAATACTACTAACGAGTACGATGCTTTTGCAATTCATAAGGAAATGTCCAAACTGAGCAAAGCGGAGCGCAAAATCGCCCGGGCGGCAGCACAAGATGCCGCCGCTGGGTTTGTGCTGACGTCTGCGCAGCGCAAGGCGCTGACAAAGAAAAAAATAAAGGCGGAGAAAGCCGCGGCCGACGCGAAGAAAAAAGCGAAGGGAAATATGCATTGCAAAAGTATCGCACTCGTATGAATGCATTACAAATCTCCTCAGCATGAGAAATAAAATTTGTAATGCGGATTTAGCTTAGGAACTAGATTTGTAATGCATGTGTGCAATACTACGACTATGATACTTTTGCAGTTCATAGGAAAAACCGCCGCGCAAATCGAAGCCGACCGGGAACGGGGGAAGGCGGAGCGGCGCGCGAATGCGCAGGCGGCCGCGGATCTGGCGGCCGCGGATCTGACGCGCAGGGAGAGAAAGGAGAAAAGGTGGGAGGAAAACGAGAACAGGAGACGGGAAGTGCTGCTTTCCAGCGCACCCCCTGCCTTCGCGCCGGCGGGTTCTTCCGCGGCTCAGCAGGCCGCTCCCCCGGTCAAAGAGGGAAAAAACGCGAAGAAGCGGAGACTGCGAGCCGAGGCCGCCGCGGCCGTGCAGAAAAATCAGCAGCCGATGAAAAAGATGAAAATGAAGTATGAATTGCAAAAGTACTATCGTACTCGTATTCCTGCAGTACAAATCTTGTTCCCAAGGTAAAGGTATTCAAGCAGCATTACAAATTCCAATTGTCATGCTGAGGAAATTTGGCATACGACAGCTCCTACTAGTACGATAGTTTTGCACTGCATAGGAAGATGAAAAAAGCGAAAGTTCCGGCGCCGAAACCTGCACCGCCACCACCACCACCGGCGAACCCGTTTTGATCATTACAGTGCTCGTATGTTGTAAGTACCGGACGAACAAGCACTAGCTCATTTTCTAACAACATTTCGTACTCATTTGGATTTATTGTTCATCAGCGACAATTTTTACTGAGTTTGGCTTTGATATTTTACTTGAAGAAACTCGTCCCAGGAAGATGAGTCAAGCTTTTTGATGATGACAGAAAAAGAAAAGCAGCTTGTGATTCTTGAACCATGGCCCTGATAGAACCAACGTCTGAAGCAGTAGCAGCTGAAGCAGAAGCAGCGGTTTTCTGACAGAAAGAAATGCTTTTAAATGTGATACAAGATAAGACTCTATTCAGCGACAGTTTTCAAAAAGAAAATATAAGGCGGAAGTAGAAACAATCGCTGGCCCAGGCTGCGCCTTTCCAATCAAGGTCTTAGTCTTTCACTGACCGCTTGGATAGCAGTACTACCTGTTCTTACTAGAAGTATTAACTCGCAGCAACAGTTCTGCGCCGACTGTCTGTCGGTCTTTTCATGTCGTCGCTCATAAGATGATAAGTGCATTGTCGCTGCGCCTATTCTTGCAAAAGCTCTGCGCTTCTGCGTCTCTAACTGTATCGCTCTTTTCGGTTCATGCCAGGTTTATTTCGATGACGCATGGGTTTTCATTTTTCGAAAAAAGCTCGGTTGTTTCCTTTCGTAAGTAGTCGTGTCTGTGTGTACTTGGCCGCGTCAAGGTCATCAAGCGGCTTTTCGGTATTTCAGAGAAAATTGTTCACCGTGTGAATCAATTTCGGTCGTAGAAGTTCATCTGCATCGCTAGGACAAGCGAGTCTGGTTCTCGGTTTTTTTTACCACGACATTAATTTCGGAAACTGCCTGTAGAATCGGTTTCATTTTCAGTACTTTCTGACAACATCGATAAGCCAGCGCCATAGCGGCAGCGCGTTTTTGCATAGGTTGCATCTTAATCTTCTATTGCCTTCTATGAGCCAACAGTTCTCTCTACTCGTTGAGTTTTTGTTGTAAGTACCAAACTTTCGCGCAGGAATTAGGACAGTGTTTCATCTCACAACATCTTCGTCACATCCTCAGTTCTTTGTGCCAGTACTGCAGCAGGCCCAGTTGCACTGGCACTGCTCTTAATACATTTACATCCACCGCTCCACCCTCTAGTCAAACGACCATTATCTAAAAGCCGTCGTGGCGCGACCATGGGCAATCAGCAAGCCTGTTGTTCGGGGCGGCAGAAGGAGGATGGGACGACCGGGTATTACTCCACCGAAACCGACCTGCCGCCGTCCTACCGCCGGTCCTCCGCCGCGCAGATGGGCGCGAGCAACCAGTCCTACCAATTTAGCTCCATGGCCGGTACTATCCACTGCGTGCAAAAGTATCGTACTCGTATGAATTGCAGGCATGCATGACAAATCTGGTTTCCTACCCAAATCTGCATTACAGATTCCAATTTTCTTCCTGATAAAATTTGTCATGCGATTTATACTAGTACGATAGTACTTTTGCAATGCATAGGTACTGCTATGCCAAAAACTCCCGACCAGAAGCCCGCGAACGTGAAAAAACTGCGGGATCTGTACACCCCGGACCCGCCGAAGCCGAAGGAGAAAAAGATCATTCCCGGCGTGCCCGCCGGGCCCACGAACAATGCGGAGAAGAAGCAACAAGATCATGCGCAGAAAAACGCGGCGGCTGCCGGGCTGATGGCCATGCAGATGCAAAAGGGGGGAAAGGGAAACGGGATGGTAAAGAACATCCAAGTGGTCCAGCAGCCGCAATACGATGTATCCATAGTACTCATCATTTCCTGTAGTACAGCAAACAGAGACAGACAAATGCAGATCCTGCAAGACAAGAAATTTCTCCAACCTTACTCAACACGACAAGCTTTATGCGCTAGTACGTGGTAAAATAAATTTCGAAATTTGTCAACATGCTTTCTGCACATTGTGATCGTGCTACTGGAAAATAAATAGATTTGTGTTGCATATCACGATCACAACGTCTACGCGAGTCCGGACGACGAACCTGGGTCCCCGAACCCGCGACAGAACTACGCGCTATCCAAGAAAAAAACTTCGTTAGTGTGAGTTTGTGATGCGCAACTACGTGCAAGATGATTGCGTCTGTCATGCTGGGATGAATGCGTTGTAGGGCCCATTCAGCCGCGTTTTGCGATGCTATCTGCGCTGTTGACAGGTTTTGCTCTCATCATGCCACACAGATTTGTATATGCTGTTCCTCCAAAAAAGGCACACCTACAGTCTTTTTTTCGTGGATACGCGCGGCCGCGGGAACAGTTGCAGAAGTACGAAATGAACTACGACACCATGCTATCAAATGTGAAAATGTCTGGGTCTGGAACATTCTAAACTTGTGATGCTGTCTCTGGATTCTGAAAAAGTTTGTATCGCATGACCAGCAAGAGGACTCCAGTTTGTGCTACGCGGAGAGGTCATCTCTTATGCTGTAGAGGCATCACAAAGCGCTCTAAAACTAAAAATATGTGATGCTACGGCATGCATCACAGACATCATGGGTCATGGAAAATATGCATGACAAATCTAGAAATCTTCCAGACCCAGACATTTTTACATTTGATACATGCAGAGCATGAAGATGGGCGCCGCGCAGTTGCGGGATTCCGGGAACAGGAAATCTGGAACCAATGTTCCGGACGTGGGCAACCGCCTTCCCTTATGACAGTGCACAACTCCCCCTCCCCCTCATTTGTCATGCAAAGTACCCATTTCACTCTTTGCCTCTTGGCACTGTTTGCATGACAAGTTCAAGTTCTGGTAGCCTAAATAGCACTTTACTCGAGTGCAAATTTGTCATGCAAAACCGGCGCTGTTGCTGATGCTTGTATTGTCGTTCATGCTATACAAAATGAGGGGGAGGGGGAGTTGGGGACTGTTATATCTCTCCGGCTACGGCCAGACTCACACGGTGGCCGCGCAGCAAGCCCAGATGCACAGCGGAATCGCGAACGGAGGCGGGATATGAACTGCAAATATGTCTAGGTCAGGAAAGATCCAAGGTTTGTCATGCTTGTCGGACATGACTCGCAAGTCTGTCATGCACATTACTCAAAAGCCCCACTCGTCTGTCATGCAGAAGCTCACTTTGTCGTGCAGAAAAGGCAAGACTGTAGCACCTCCAAAACTTGTCATGCTTGCCAGTCAATTGAGGCGTCCACGTCTTTCGCAACCAGCATCACAAGTTTCCAGAGCCAGACATATTTGCATTTGATACGGGAACAAGAAATTTCAGCCGCAGGGCATGCCGGCGCCCGGAGGCATGGGAGCCATGGTGCAGGGAATGGGGGTATAGGATTTTGGAAAGGTTTTTCCAATTACATATGTGGAAAAAACGCAGTGTCAGTGTCAATGTATGTGGAGAGAAACTACTTTAATATTTTCAAATAGCAGATTATTGCCGACCAGCATCGTTTGTAAGTTTACGCGCCACGACAGTGTGAACACTGTAAAAGAATTTGCTCAACAGCGGCTCTCCACCATGACATCGAGCGTAAGTTTACGCACGATAGTGTCGTTGATGTGCATAGAAAACGTAGCACGCCCGAATCTTCCTCACCATCCTGGATAACTTTACGCACGAGAGTATCAGGACACCAAAAGAAACCGGCTAAACTTACATCGCTTCATACCATGCAGTGTAACGCTACGCACCATGGTGTTGTCGAAGTGTAATCTTTGCGCAACAAACAGCATTCAGATGTACGAACCAATCATTTCGATTTTAATCAGGGCGTTCTCGCGGCCCGTCGCCAGCAGGCCCAAGAAACGGAGCAGCATTTCTCGGGTATAACCCGCTCAGGTGTTACAATCTCAAACGTTACAATAGAATCTGGAATTTGTGTTGCAAAATGCGCAACATCTGGCCTACTCCAAAAGGAGCGCGCATGACAAGTTTCGGAGCTCCAAACTCCATCAGACTCTGACGAAATTTGTATTGCGAAAAGCCCAAGTCTCTTTATGGTACTCATGTTGTTCATGCAAGACAAATTCCAAAGTCTATTGTAACGTTTGAGATTGTAACATCTGAGCAAGCCATATCGGGCGCAGGTGAGCTGACCAGCTCCGCTAGGATGCGCAAGCAGAACGAGCAGCAATACGAGCAGCAGCAGCGATATGGAACTGTCAGGATCGAAATCGAGAAAGTAGTTGAGAAGATTTGTAATGCATAAAATTGATACCAGTTGGAAGCCCAATTTCCAAGCGGCGCATGACAAATTTTTGGACCGCCGGCATCCTATTTGTCATGCTGTTTGGGCACAGAAGACTGCTTTTGTCATGCTCCTTTAGCAGCTCTATCCCAAACCCTAAATAGGCTCGCAATCTGCCTCACTTGCCATCCCGGCAAGACAGGCACTTCGTGCCTTGCATTTCATGCATGACAAATCATTTGCATTTCAACTTTGTCGATTTCAATCCTGACTCATCCATAAGCGACAGCAGGAGACGGCGGCGGAACGGGTGAAACGCATGGCGGAGAAGCAGGCGAAGGGCTATGGGTATCAAATGCAAAACTGTCTGGGTCTGGAAGATTGCGCGACTTGTCATGCAGATTTTTGATGACCCATGAGGTCTGGAATGCAGGAACTAGCACGACAGATTCTGTGAGATCTCTATCATGCCTGTTCTGCATGAGAAATAACTCCCTCTCAACTTGGTGAAAAGTGGACAACTTTTGGTAAGCATGCAACGCAGATTTTCACAGGATGCAGACTTAGCATGACAAGTTGCAACCTTCCAGACCCAGACGTATTTGCCGTGCATTATGGGCACGCGGGGGCGATGGCCATGCCGGTCATGGGGATGGACATGGGATATGCATCGCAAATATGTCTCGGTCTGGAAACTTGTGATGCTTTGTGGCGTATCATGAGGAGGCCACAAGTGCTGGCTCAGCATGACAAGTTTCTGAGCTTCTAGGTGTTGCCTATTCTGCATGACAAACTGCGTCTCTGCATGACAGAAAAATGGGGCTATTAGGTACGGCGCATGACAGATTTAAGAGTCATGCCAGACAAGCATGACAGACATGCATTCTTCCAGACCCAGACATTTTTGCATTTGATATGGGAGCGGTGAAACTGAAAACCGTGCCGAGGAACTAGATCTTTTCGTAGTTTTGTTCTGCAAGAACCGCATGACAAAAATCCGCTTGAGGTTTGTTCTGCAAGAACTTGTTGCAAGAACCGCATGACAAAAATGATAGCGAAGTCACCTCAACCGCTGCACTACATGTTTTTGGTTTTCATACTTACTCACATGCTCAGGCGAGTTTTTCCTATTTTTTTTACGTTTTTCATCTAACGACAGGAGCGAATGCGAACAATTCATGACTAATACTTGATGGACTTCTTCCAGACCAATAGTTGAACAAGTCTCATCTTGCTAATTATATAATTCCAGACCTGTACTAGGGACAGGTTCAGGTAGCAAAGTTTTATTGTTCTTCACATGAGATGAAGAACCGGGCAACTACATACAAGCAGTAGTTTGTCACCCTTTTTTTACTACGACGTTTTCCTGGTTTATTTATTAGGCGCATTTTTATCTGCTCTTTGCTTTCGGTAGCTATTTTTCAAACGCATTAGCTTCAGCAGATCTTGGACTTGTTGTAGTTTCGAGAAATTCTGTTTCTGGCTGCTTGAGCAGGTGCCAGGACGTCGTGGCCACCAATTTTATTCTCAAGCGGATGAAAGTTGCGGCCTCAGAGGATTCATTGTCTCCGCGCTCCACAAGTTGTTGAGTTTTGCACGAGGACCTCGGGTTATTTTCGCTCGAAGTATTTATTTTTATGGGCTGACCGAAGCGCACGGTTAATTGTTCACCGATGTCGTGTCTGATAACCAGAACAAACGAAGTCGTAGATTGTTCTCTCACTTGGTATTTTCTTCTCGTAATCGCTTCATTGTCGTAGATAAAATTATCGTCGCTTCATCGATTTCGTGGTAAGTAATATCGTCGCGCTTCGTAGTTGTCCTCTTGCTTAGTAGGGAAAGAGAGAGATTAGAGAGAGAGCTACATATGTGAATACTAGGTGCGAGTAGATTAAGATTTCGCAGAAGGTAAAAAAGAATAGTGACCGCGAAGGTATTTCTATTTTCGTTTTTACTGAACTTTCGTTCCGAGAAGCTGTTGTGATCTTGTGCGGGTGTCGTCATGCGAGCTGCATCCTACGAAAAAAAATTCTTTCAGAGCCATCTGCTCATTCTAGGAGTGAGCTAGTCTTCAGGCGCAGGGGCATTTTTGAGTGTCAACACCTGTTCAGAGCAAAAATAAATCCACCATGTCGTCGAGAACCTTCCCTACGAGCGGTCCCTCCGCTCCCAGCAAGGTGAAAACGACGCGGAACTACCCCAGCAATAGGCAACATCAACCCGAACCAGCAAGTCCTTCCCAACATGTACAAACCGAACAACTGAACGGAAGACAACTGGAGCAGAAGCGGACCGAATTGCTGCAGAGATCGCTAGAGATCCGCGCGTATGGATTGCAAAAATGTCTGGGTCTGGATAGATTCGAATTTGTGATGCAAATTCTACACTATGACAAAATCTGTCATGCATGGTCAGCAAAAGGCCCCATTTCCTGTTACAGAAAGGAGGCATTTGTCATGCCGATTAGGCATTGGGATACCTGCTCGGAATCTGTGATGCTAGGGCTTGCATGCCTGACAATCTGGGCTAAGCAAAAACTGCATCACAAATGTCTGCACTCTTTCAGACCCAGACGTATTTGCATTTGATAGCGCGCAGTTGGATGCGGAACTCGCGGCCGCGGAGGAGGCGACGCTGAATATGGAATGCAAATATGTCTGGGCCTGGAAGGTTGCAACTTGTGATGCTGTCTTTGGAAGCTAAAAAAAATCTGTATTGCATGACCAGCAAGAAAGGTTCAGTTTGTGCTACGCGGAGTGGGCATTTCTCATGCGGAATACGCATCAGAAAGTCCTCGCAAAATCTTTGATGCTAGGGCATGCAGCACAGCCTCATGATGAGTCATGCAAAATCTGCATGACAAACTCCCGCATTCTTCCAGACCCAGACATATTTGCATTTGATACTGAAGATCAAGGAGCTAAATCCCATCGGCACACCTGCCTTGACTACGACAACTCCAAACGTAAAAAAACAAAAAGCAACATCTTCAAACAATGACAACGACGAAGAGGGCGGGGCTGAAGACGACGAGAACATGGGCGACATCGCGCTGCTATCCTGTGCAAAAGTATCGTATTCGTATGAATGCAAGTCTTGCATTACAAAAATTTTTCTTAAGGTAAATCAGCATGACAAATTTTATTTCTCATGCTGAGGAGATTTGTAATGCATTTATACGAGTGCGATACTTTTGCAGTTCATAGCTACACTTGGAAGACGAATCCGTGATCGACCGATATTTTCGGTCCAAAATCCTAAATATGGATTGCAAAAATGTCTGGGTCTGGAAGATTCTAAACTTGTAATGCTGTCTCTGGATTCTAAAAGAAATTGTATTGCATGACCAGCAAGAGGACTCCAGTTTGTGCTACGCGGAAAGGGCATTTCTCATGCGGTAGAGGCATCAGAAAGTCCTCTAAAAATCTGTGACGCTAGTTCGTGCATTACAGACATCCTGGGTCATGCAAAACATGCATGAGAAATCTCAGAATCTTCCAGACCCACACATTTTTGCATTTGATACTAAAACACTGGCTCACCTCGGCGCACCAGATCCAGTCCTGGCGGAAGCGGGCGCTTTATCCAGTGCAAGAGTATCGTACCCGTACTAATCGCAGTCATGCAAGACAACTCTCATTTTCAAGCTAAATTAGCATGACAAATTCCCTTTGTCATGCTGAGCTAATTTGTGTTGCAATACTACGACAGTACGGTACTCTTGCAATTCATACGCTTGTTGCGGAGACGAAATTGGAACAGTTGAACGAAAGGAACTTAGTGACGAAAATGAAGTTATCCCGTGCAGAAGTATCGTACTGCTACTCGTAGTAATTGCAATCATGCATTACAAATTTTTTTCTGAAGGTAAATCCGCATCAGAAATTTTATCTCTAATGCTGAGGGAATTTGTCATGCATTTATACGAGTGCGATACTTTTGCATAGGATAGAAGTCGTTGCACATGAAACCGAGCGATTACGGGGTCGGGGTCCACCTCGGAGCTGCTGGTAGCAGCTCTTCTCCAGTTGTTCCAATATCCTGTGGAAAAGTATCGTACTCCTATTGCAATCATGCATTACAGATCCTTTTCTTAAGGTAAATCTGCATTACAAATTTTATTTCTCATGCTGAGGAAATTTGTAAATGAATTTATACGAGTACGATTATACTTTTGCAGTTCATATCCAAGAACATCAAGCAATTCGCCGCATAAAAATAAACCCTCCTCGTCTTCTACCACCTCCTTGGTCCGACCCAGCACCGCCGCAGCCACCGCCGGAGGTTCTTCTTCCAGTTTATTTTTCCCGGACAGCCGACACACCTCAGTAGCTGCTGCAGCTGATGTGTTTGACCATCACCAGGTGCAGAACCCCCCGGTTCCGAGCAGACTATCAAGCAATAATTCTACAACTGTTCTTGTCCCGAACCCGATCAAATCTGAAGAATTCCTGACGCACCTCCACCACTCCGCCGAGTTGAATTTTCCGAACACGGACGCGCTTCCGTCCGCAGAGGTTTTGAAGTTTCAACCAGTAGGTGAACAGTTGCAAATGCTTTTTCACGATGACCACAACGGGCACACGGTGAATAGCAAGATGCTGATGTTGGTGAAGAAAGCGAAGGAGGAGTTGATGAAATCTCTACAAGTTTCGGAGGAAGAGGAAAAGATCAAAAACGCAACTTCAGCCGGTGGTGGGACAAGAACTTCCTCTAGTATTAAAGCAGCAACTTCATCAGCAGGTACAACTAGTAGAAACGTCAACCCTTCCGACATGACGAAACTGATTCAGCAATTGGAGCACAAGCTGGATAGCTATCCTGTGCAAAAGTATTGTACTCGTAGTAATTGCATTTATGCATCACAGTTCAGCATTACAAATTTAATTTGTAATGCTGGGCTAATTTGTAATGCAATTTATACTAGTACGATGCTTTCGCAATGTATAATAGCTGCAGAACGGCGATGTCCAAATTGATCAAGCAAGTGGACTATGGCGTGCAAATATCTCTGGGTCTGGAAACCTGTGATGCTGAATCCTGCACATGACTGCAACGCTTGCAATGGCAGCCAAGCATGACAAACTTTCGGAACGCTTTTTGCTGCGTGACGCGGATGACAAATTATTGCCGTTTTACATAACAAGGAAAGCTCCTGCTCACTTGCTCCTCATGCAACACAGATTTATTTCCAGGAATGCAAGATACGCATAACAAGTTCTTGCAACCTTCCAGACATCCAGCGATATTTGCAATGCATATGGAACAGGACCGAGTTCTGCTCGACCTCCGGAGGCAGCAGGCGCTGCTTTGTCAACAGGTGATACAATCCACCAAGGCGGGGAAGGCGGGGGTTGAGAAAGTCGTATGACAGCCTCAGAATGGAAATCCTCAAAGTGGAAATGATTTGTAATGCAAAAAAACGATTCCAGTTGAAGTGCCATTTCTAATCGGCGCATGACAAATTTCCCGGGCACTCAAAACATGTCTGTCATGCTAGTTAGGGCAAAGGTGTGCCCTTCTCTCGTGCCAATCAGCAGCCCAATTCTGAGCCCGTAGAAGCACAATAGTCGGCCTCCATTGCGTCCTCTGCAATACAGTCTTTTTGGTGTCGCATTTCATGCATCACAAATTATTTCCACTTTGAGAATTTCCATTCTCAGGCTTTCATAAGTCGAAAAGGAGAAATCTGGGGTGGAAAAGAAGGAAAAACACGTCAAGCTTGTGCTGGAGAAAGTGGTAATATGTAATTTGGAATATAAGCGAATATGTGTGATTTGTACTACAGATGGGTCGTGTTTTGATTGCTGCAACGAAGTAATAAAAAACTTTTGCTTGCAGAATCATGTAGCCACAAGATCATGTTGGTCGTGCAGTTCTGTCCTGAGTGGGACACGAGAAAAGTTAAACTACTTCGAAGAGATCGATGACAGTTGACTGCGAGAAAATTAATAATTAGTCAAACTAAACATCCCATCCCAGGTCGCCACCCTTGGCCAGCTTTCCGAGAAGGCGAAGGGCTTTGTGAAACGTACAACCGGCGCTACTAACCCAGCAGGGATCGGACAAGATCCGTCGGTAAGACTGCTACTCGGCGGGGGCGCAGAGGACGATGACGCCAACCTCCAAGGCGACGCCTCGATATCCGCACTGGGTGACACCACTACCACCTCGAACCAAGCCGATAGCGGAGCTGTGGTAGAAGCAGGAAATGAATCAGCATTGACATCATCTTCATCGTCGCGAATGAATAACCTGGCCGCGAATGCTATGGCGTTCTCAAACGTTACATTCTCAACTGTTGCTTGAATTTGTGATGCAAGAATGGCAAAAGTGAAAGGAAGGACCTTGCGCGTCTTGCGTGACAGATTTGGCGCAGATTCGCAGCCTGTTTGGCCGTCTGAGAATTTGTCATGCGAAGCAGCTTGATGGCGTTGATAGTCAAGGCAATTTTGCATGACAAATCATGCAACAGCTGAGAATGTAACAATTGAGAGCGCCATAAATGCTAGGATGTCGGTGTTCGATCGGATGGCGAAAGAGTTTATGAACTGCAAAAGTATCGTACTCGTATTGCAAGCATGCATTGCAAATCTTTTCCTTAAGGTAAATCCGCATCACAAATTTTATTTGTCATGCTGAGGAAGTTTGTAATGCATTTATACGCGTGCGATACTTTTGCAGAGCATAGAGCTGGATAAACCGCAGAAGATCATATGAGAGTTGTGCACAACTTGAGCTTCGACTCCCCCCTTTGTTTGTCATGCAAAATAGTACCAAAGCACTTGCACTAGCACTCTTTATTTTCCTCTTCCTTTTGTCAGTGTTTGCATGACCACAGATTTGGGCAGCAGCCCACAGAACAGCACGACAATCCTGAGAAGTTGTAGATTTGTCATGCAAAAAATCCTGTACTCTTGCCGAGGCTTCTATTTTTGCTGTTCCTGCCCTACAAAAGACAAAGAGGAGATAACTGGGGACGAGTTGTGCACAACTCTCATAACACGGGAAGTTTGTCGTGGAGAATTTGGTCGAGGAGCTACAGACCATGTGCGAGACGATCATGGTATAGAACTCGTACTCAACATCGCAGTCATGCAAGACAAATCTTTGTTCTGAGCTAAATCAGCATAAGAAATTATTCCATCTGCCATGCTGAGCTAGTTTGTTTCTATTGCAAGAATTTTTACCAGTAGTGCCAGTGCGATACTTTTGATTCTTGAAGTCTGACAACTTATTTGTTGGAGTTGAAGATGCACTCGATTCTCATTCTTCTGCATGAAATAAAAACTCCAAGCATATAGCATCATTTTTTTTTATTTTTTCCATTTGCCTGGAAAACCAAAACGAGAAGCATGGTTTATTTGTTCATTCCGAAAAGTCCGATCTTAATGCAAGGAAAACGTCTTCTGGTTCTACCACTGCAGGTCGCTCTCGATTCGGTGGCCAGTAGTGGCTTCGAAAGTGGTCCCAACTTCTACACTGCCGCAGCAGCTAGTTCAGGGACGACGAACAATCTGGGCATTACGTTAGGTGGCTCTCTCCCGGCGCAGCTGCAGGGGGTTGGGAACTTAAACGGTAGCAGTTATCAAATGCAAAAATGTCTGGGTCCTCTGGAAGATTCTAAACTTGTAATGTTGTCTCTGGATTCTAAAAAAATGTGTATTGCATGACCAGCAAGAGGACTCCAGTTCGTGCTACGCGGCGAGGGCATTTCTCATGCGGTAGAGGCATCACAAAGTCCTCTAAAAATCTGTGATGCTCGGGCATGCATCACAGACATCATGGGTCATGCAAAATATGCATGACAAACCTGGCAATCTTCCAGACCCAGACATTTTTGCATTTGATAGCAGTCTTTTTCCTCCAAGAACTTCCAGATATTAAGAGGAAAAATTTCCCTCCCCATACTCAAAGGGAGATTTGTCTAGCATGATTTGTGATCACAAATCACGTTGTCATGCGTAGAACGGAAGAGATGCGGACTGTAGTGCTGGCCAGCGTGGGAACTACGCCTTGCGTCTGCAGCATGACAGGAAGCAGCTGGAAACGGGAAACAGCATGACAAATTGCCTGCAAACGGAGGAGCAGCTGCGTGCTTTTACCTTCTAGCAATACAGATCGATTTGTGGTCACAAATCAGCATCGCAAATTTTCTCTTCGATACGGGGAGGGGGGATTTTTCCTTTTGAGACCAGAAGTGCTGCCGCTGCTGCGACTGCGAACTACGCGTATTTGCAGTATTACTATCCTGTGCAAAAGTATCGTACTCGTACTGTAATTATGCATTACAAATTTTTTTCTCGAGGTAAATCCGCATTACAAATTTTATTTCCCATGCTGAGGGACTTTGTCATGCATTTATACGAGTACGATTTACTTTTGCAGTTCATAATTACCCTCCGGTAGCACTAGAGCGGGAGCAACACCAGCAGGAGGCGGCATCGTATCAAATGCAATAAATATGTCTGGGTCATCTGGGAGAGTGCGACGAGGTCGAGGTTTGTCGTGCTAGTCCGGCATGACTCTGGACTCTGTATTGCGTGGCCGCAAACAAGAGCTCTTCTTGCTTGTCGTGCAAAAACGCAGTTTGTCATGCGGAGTACGCATGAACTCAGAACCACGAAAAAACTTGTCATGCTTGGCAGCGCATAATTACACCAGTGTGCTCGCTATTCCCTTCCTTGCATCACAAGTTTCCAGACATCCAGGGATATTTGCAATGCATACATCGCTACAAGAAACGATCGATCGGACGAGCACCACGGCGCATGAAGCGTACCGGCAGATATCAAATGCAAATACGTCTGGGTCTGGAAGAATGCATGCTTGTCATGCTTGTCTGGCATGACTCTTGCTTCTGTCATGCACGTTACCCAAGGGTCGCATTTTTCTGTCATGCAGAAACGCAGTTTGTCATGCAGAACAGGCAATATTACCTAAAAGCTCAGAAACTTGTCATGCTGTTCAAGTATTTGTGGCCCTCATGATACGCCACCCAGCATTACAAGTTTCCTGACCCAGACATATTTGCACTCAATAGCAGATTATGGTGGGCAAAAACGTCTCCACCCCAGAGTCAAGATGGGAAATCTCTGCAGCTGGCTGTTGCGCATGACAACTTTGGGTTCGCTATGTAATCGTCTTTCGCTAGTGCAGCAGCGTCACAGATCTAGCATAACATGGGGATTTGAACTTCACAAATCGCAAAACACCAGTAGAAATAACCGCTTCTCATGGGTCTGCGCATGAGAAACATCTTCAGCATGCAGATTCGCATTACAACTCTGGGATGGGGACGTTTTCACAAATGATACAGATGGTGAATAAGTACTCGAAAGGTGGTATCCTGTGCAAAAGCATCGTACTCGTATTGCAATCATGCATTACAAATTTTTTTCTCAAGGTAAATCCGCATTACAAATTTCATTTCTCATGCTGCAGGAATTTGTAATGCATTTATACGAGTACGAGACTTTTGCAGTTCATACGTGGGGATAGTGTTGTCTTGGGCAGAAGCTGAGGCTCGGGCGGTGGGGCATTGTCAGGGAGCGTTGCTAGTCGAGCTCCTCCTAGTCTGAGATACTGAGGTTTGCTTCGAGTCCGACAAGCCTGTCCAGATTATAGAATTCAGCACGGAATGTATATGTACATTTAGGTGCCAAAGCAAAAGGAAATAAGGCACGCAAGAACCGCAAGAACGACCCAGTTGTTGTATTGTATAGAAGTTTAGTCAGGCCGAGGCCCTATATTTTTCTGAACGTGTAAAATTAGATTTTCATTTTGAAAATGAGCAGTAGAGCAGCTAGAGAATTTACAATTAGAATTACACCGAAATTTTTAATAAGTGCGGCTAGAGAGGACGAACACGAACAAGGTTGGCGACACCATCGATCTTCGGAACAACAACAATTTTATACTAGAAACAAAAAATGTATGATGCATGACGCGGACCACTCCTGGTCCTGACCACACTACTAGGCAAGAACTACGAGTTTTACTACCCACGTCGTGGAAAATTATGCAGAGACAGAAAACTGTGTAAGTGTAAATTTGTGTTGCAGAGAATGCAAGACACCTATCCTTGTCATGCTGGACATGCATCAGAGGTTCTTTCCATGTGTGTTTTCCCTTACAAGCCACGCATGGCAGGTTTGCTCAGTCATGTAGAACAAATTTGTGATGCTGTCAGCCACAGACAGTTGCACTAGCGCAGTTTTTTCTTGGATAAAGAAGATGAGGATGAGTCTTTCAACGCAGAGATTGGAGAGGAGGACGAGCAGTTGGGGGAGATGAAAAACAGCCGCGCAACTACAAGAAATCGTGAACATCATGCTGGTGCAGCTTCTTATCAAGCTCGTCGTGGCGCTGCAAATGCGAACCAGCTGCTCCACCAGGTGAGCACCTCGGTGCACAAAAACTAACCTCGGTGCACAAAAACTCTCACCCCGGTCCTGACCACACTAGGCAAGAACTACGAGTTTTACTATCCACGTCGTGGAACAAAATGCTGAATTCAACTATCGATAGCGCCTTGAGCTGGAAAATCAACAAAGTTTTCGCCTTTGTTTCCGGAAGTTGGTCCAGAAATGTTGAACACGAACAACTTCCAATTTTCAATTTGAAAATGAGTAGTAGAGCAGCTAGAGAATTTACAATTACAACACCGAAATTTTTAATAAGTGCGGCTAGAGAGGACGAACACGAACAAGGTTGGCGACACCATCGATCTTCGGAACAATTTTCATTTTATACTAGAAACAATAAATGTATGATGCATGACGCGGACCACTCCTGGTCCTGACCACACTACTAGGCAAGAACTACGAGTTTTACTACCCACGTAGCAGCTTGATGGCGTTGATAGTCAAGGCAATTTTGCATGACAAATCCTGTAACAGTTGAGAATGTAACAGTTGAGAGCGCCATAAATGCCAGGATGTCGGTGTTCGATCGGATGGCGAAAGAGTTTATGAACTGCAAAAGTATCGTACTCGTATTCTTGCAAGCATGCATTGCAAATCTTTTTCTTCAGGTAAATAAGCATTGCAAATTTTATTTCTCATGCTGAGGAAATTTGTATAATGCATTTATACGAGTGCGATACTTTTGCAGAGCATAGAGCTAGACAAACCGCAGAAGATCGTATGAGAGTGCACAACTTCGACTTCCCCCTTGTTTGTCGTGCCACATACTTAAGTAAGTACCCCAAGGAAGCATTCTTTGCCCTTTCCCTTTGTCAGTGTTTGCATGACAGCATGTGGCAGCCGCCCAATAAAAATAGCACTGCAGGAGCACTACTTCTGGGTAAATTTGTCATTCAAAACCAGCACTCTTGCCGACGCTTGTATTTTTGCTGTTCATGCCCTACAAAAGAGGAGATAACTGGGGACGAGTTGTGCACAACTCTCATAACACGGGAAGTTTGTCGTGGAGAATTTAGTCGAGGAGCTACAGACCATGTGCGAGACGATCATGGTATGCTCGTACTCAACATCGAAGTCATGCAAGACAAATCTTTGTTCTGAGCTAAATCAGCATAAGAAATTATTACATCCGCCAGGTCCTGACCACACTAGGCAAGAACTACGAGTTTTACTACCCACGTCGTGGAAAATGCTGAATTCAACTATCGATAGCGCCTTGAGTTGGAAAATCAACAAAGTTTTCGCTTTTGTTTCCGGAAGGTGCTGGTCCGGAAATTGAAATGTTGAACAACTTAAAAACCGATCCAGAAATTCTCCAAATAATCGCAAAGATCCTTCTACCTGGTACTTTTTCTGAGAGCAACATCATGTCGGTGGTATCTATTCGAAATGGTTTTGTCAATAGAAGGATATTGAAGCGCCGTCGGTACTATGAAGAGTGTAGTTGATGTGCCTTTTTGGTACGTATATGATATCATGATGTGCTTTGGACAAAACCGATGTTCAGTCGTAAACAGATTTGTGTTGCATAAATGAGCTTTCTCGCACGTTCACTTACAAATTTGTATTGCAAAAATCTTGGTTCTCGCATGATCCGGTTTTGTTCTTGGATAAATGCCAATTCTCGAAAGCAGCATCACAGACGTGCATTACAAGTTGCGCTTTCTTATGCTGAGTTCTTCCCCATGCAAAATCATAATAAGGTCCTCAGATCGGAAGATCCAAAGGATGAAAGTTCAAAAAGGAAATTATAATCAGGCTCTTTCTTCATGCCTTTCATTATTCATGCTTTTTCATTATATTTTTGAGGTGACTAACCAGAAATAACTAGCTATCTAGCATAGGCTCTAACGTATTTGTTAGGTTTAGGATTAGGATGTGGTATACGCTAGCTGCGCAAGTCGGTTAACAGTGAACCGGTACCCACGGGTGTTGACCGATCGACCTATTGCCAGCTAGGGGAGCACCCATGCGGTGGCGGGATCCAGCGCCCCTAGGTCGGGGGCGCTCCTGCCTTTGCCGTATGGGACCCCGTGGGCTGAAGTATCCACTCGCGCGCCGCGCCCATTCTAGTTAGGGTCTATTTTTGCTTTCTTCTTCTCTTCATCCCATTTCGACAGGTCAAGCAATTCTACTCTCGCAGTTCGCTCCGGCTACAGTGATCTACTTAAACTTCTATTTTGATTTTACATTGCAATATATGATATCATGAAGCCGCGTGCACCTCTAGAGAGAAGAAGATCAACAGGAAGAAGAGGCAGCTGCTGCAACTCTAGTGCAGTAAAAGTGCGTAGGATCTGCAACATCGAGGATCCTGCTAGAAGATAGAAGTATTTCTACACCTCGTCGAAGGTGATTCGACTGACGACACGTCGAAATAAACCCAAACAACAGGCCCCTGATCCATTGTTCAAGTCTTGAGCTTTACAACGATTTAACGAAAACTGAGCCCGTGGTTGTTCTGAGCTTCCTTTTTGGGTGCTGGACCACAACTCGTATATCAATATCTAAGAACGATCATATTAGCGAACTTTAAACTGACTCTAGTCCGACTCTTCGCCCCCTCTACTAAATACCGCGACCTTTACAAGTGTTTGCTCTGGTGTTGGCCGTCAAAGATAGTTGAAAACTGTTGGCGCTCGCGTGCGTCCAAAAAAAAGTACAATTATCGAAGGTCCAACGAACACGTCTAAGTATTTGTCGCTCCCTACTTGCAAAAAAATCCCCACCGCATTGCTACTCTAGATTATTTGTGCTATTCATATAAAGTCGCTCTTTGCCCATCAAGTATACAAGCCACACTCAGGGGCACAACTTCTCCGAAGCAGCTTCTACTTCCAGGAACTCCATTATTCGGATAAAGACACTACAGCCGTCCTCGTGTAATTACAAAATAAACGAACAAGATGACGTGGTCCCTCCTGCGCTCTATTGCAAAAACCGGGTCTGCCGTCTACGTTCTCGCGCACCAAACGAATTGCGCTGTGCTCGTTGCAGCGATGTACCTGGGTTCTTCATCATCTTCTCATCCTGCCGAACAGCCTGGGCAGCGTGAGATGTTCGCAGCGCAGGATGAGCGTTGGATTGTTCCAGGTGGGTACACAGGCACCGTCCCCGCTGTTCCTATTTAGAGCAGATATCCCCCTCCTGTGCCTGCCTCTTCTTATAGCGTGAAAAAGCGTCGCGATTTGTGTAGTACTACTTCGCAAGGACACCAGAGCGCATAGATATTTGCTCTTTGCATTGTGCATACCGATCCACCATGATGTTGTTTTTGGACTGCTAGGACTACTTTCGCTCGCCTACAGGAGAGGATTTGCATTGCTGTTTGGGCCACTACAGCAGAACGGAATATGAAAGAACGCCTAGGATTCTACGGCACTGGTGCCCGCTTTTGAGTAGGCTCAGTATCCGCCCAAAATTCTGCTCACGTGGATACTCTTACCTTGTTGCAGTAAGTCAAAACGATGCGCGTACTAAACTACGCAAAAGGCGCTGCACAAACTTAAGTATAAGTTTCGTGAGTGTTGTACGGGGCAGGGGTGGGGATTTTCATTTTGATAAGCCCTGGGGATCACCACGACTCGTCGGATTTCACCGTGCGTCGTCGCATGGTCAAGGTCAAGGTCCAGCTCGCAGCCGGTACCAAGGTGCGGATGGTGATAGGCGAAAATGGTCGTTATCCGCAATATGGAAAATCAAAAAGACAATTCAAATTGGTGCAATTGGACAAGCCACAGCAGTATGAAATTGAAGGGGGAGCAGGCTTTATGTCAACATCGCGCTTGTGGTTGCCTCGATCTGCCATTGCACGGGAGAAGCCTGGTGCGCCGATGCCGGATGCCCCGGGTTCTTCATCTTCTCATCCTGCAGAGAAGCCGGTTGCGCGCCGCTCGGACGAGAAGAGGAGCGCCGGCGGCCATGCTGCTCTCGCCGACCCGGACGAACGGCGGATTCGTCCAGGTGGGTTCCAAGGCTTCGCCATGGCTGTTCCTATTTACAGCAAATATAATCCCCATGCCCATGCGCCTGCCTCTTCTTTATCGTTTGTTAGAGAGCGTCGCGATTTTTATTGTGTACTCCCTCGCAAAAACACGATAGCGCATATTTCTTTGCATTGTGGATAGCTATCTATACTGTGGACTGCTAGTAGGACTTTCGGGCGCCTACACCAGTGAGGAGGAGATTTGCATTGTTGTTTGGGCTACTACAGCAGAACGGAATATCAACAAAGAACGCCTAGGATTCTACGGCATTGGTGCCCGCCGCTTTTCAGTAGGCTCAGTATCCGCCCAAAATAATACTGCTCACGTTGATGCTCTTGCCTTGTTGCAGCAATTTTACTAGCCGATGGGCGGCGTACTAAACTACGCAAACGGCGCGTCACAAACTTCACTTTCGTGAGTGTTGTACGGGGGGGCAGGGGTGGGGATTTTCATTTTGATAAGCCCAGAGGATCACCACAACGAGGACCAACACGACTCGTCGGATGTCCGCTCGCAGCATACGAGGGTCAAGGTCGAGCTCGCAGAGGGTACCAAGGTGCGGATGGTGGGAGATCAACATGGTCATTTTCCGCAAACTGGTGATTGTCGCGGTGGTTCTCGCAGACGCGAGCGTGATTGGTTGACATTGGTACAATTGGACCAGCCACAGCGGTATGAAAATGCTACTGGGGGAGGCTGGATGTCAACATCGCGCTTGTGGCTGCGTGAATCTGCTTTCTCTTCGATGCCGGAAATCCCTTCGACGCCGGATGGTGAAGACTCACCAGGCGGGGCTGAAGTCCGCGAGGCATTGTTACGAGCAGAGCTGACGCGCCTCCGCAGCGAGCAAGTAAAATTCTATGAATCTTCCGGCGAGGGGTGGATGCGCGGGTTGCCGGCACCTGATCCTAAAAGATGAAGACGATATAATTGCACTGCGCCTTCTCTTTATCACGTGCAAATATTATTCCCTCTGCGTCCACCTCTTCAGTCAAGAAACTTCAGTCAAGAGGATGAAGAGCAACATAATGGTGCAGGTGCAAGACCACCTTCCGTCTCGTCTTCTTCACCCAGCAACAGCATGCTGAAACAGGATCGAGTGTTAAAGAAAACAACGGACGATCAAGATGAAATAAATGCGGCGCCAAGAGAGGACTCCGCGGAGGAAGCGGCTGCGCGACCAGAAAGAACTCCTCGTCGCCGGTCCAAAAATCGAGGCAGTACCTCTAGCACCTCTTCATTCCTGCGCGGAGGTGGACAACGCAGGAAAGAACCCACGAAAAAGTCGAAGGATAGTGTTGACAGCACAAACAGCGATGCGGAAACAGAAAAGCTACCAAAGAAGCGCAAAAAGAAAAGTAGTTTTCTCGCCGGTTCAACATCTTCACAAGAGGAAGAAGACTTGCACGAAAACCATGGCTATGCATTTCAAATATGTCTGGGTCTGGAAACTTGTGATGCTAATTTATGAATTGTGGGGACACTGCAATAGGCAGCCACGCATGACAAGTTTCTGGGCTCCTATGTGTTCCGCTTTCCGCATGACAAACTACATTTTTGCATGACAGGCAAGAGGGTCTTTTCCTGCTCACGCATTCTTTGTGTTGGTTGCTTGTTCTGTTTGTTCTTCCCAATCTGTAATGCGCCCCGTCTTCTCTGCAATAAATTCTAATCATCGGTCCGTGTCGGTTTTGATTCTGTCATTCCTGTACCTCATTCTTTGGTATTCCTCTTTCGGTTCTTTCTTTCCCTGCTCTGCATTCATGAGAGAGCTCGAGTTTTCGATTTTGACATCGGTTTTCTATTTTTCGAACTTCTATTTACCTTGCATTGTATCGTCCTCGATTTCTCGTAGCTGCATTACAAATATTTTCTAGCTCATTCTCATCGATCTCGACGTCAGTCTCGGTTTTTTGTTTTATTTTTAGCATTTCAAATGATCCATAAAGTTAAAGCTATAACATCGATCTCGACGCCATCGGTTTTTTGTTTGTTCCAGCATTACAAATGATCATTAGCTCGCATTTTTCGATCTCGACGTTCTTTGCTCGACATTATTGCTTAACTATAGGATTTGCTAGACCTACCATATCGATCATGCTCGATTTCAATCTCGATCTCGATCCTTGTATGTCGATATCGATCTCGTCTTTCGTGCCCCGAGTGAGTTTCACCTTGCCTTTTCCCTCCTATTCCCATTTTCCTTTCTTTAAGCACGTTGTTTTCGTGGTTTTATGGTCGGTGAACCGGTACCCCTGTCCGTCATAGCGGCGGTTGTAGTAAGAGAGCTGCACACGACGGAAAAATCTAGTCGTTCCGTTTCGTTTTCTCGGGTTCCACGTAGTGCTGGCCCGCAAGTTTCCGCTTCTCCTCGTTGTCGTCTAATTCTTCTTTGGTTATGTATTTCGAAACCTTTTGCAACGCCAACTGCCGCTTCTTCTCCGTTAAAAGCCGCTGGATCTCTTCGTCCGTCGGCGTACATCAAATATTTTTATTCCCTCTGCGTCCACCTCTTCAGTCAGGAAACTTCGGGCGCGGAAGCGTGAATGACTGGCACAGATAGAGCCTGCCGGAAGGTGAATAAATACGGTTCAGGATCAGGACGAGGCATTTTTATTTTTTTGCTGCAGCGAGTTACAGTTTGCTATTTCTTCGAGAAGCATTCCCTAAGTTGTACGAGTAACTATGCGAAGATCTTCTCTCAACGTCAGTTGCACTCCCCAATGTCTGGTAAAGAGACAGAAACATTCCCGGACGATACATACTTTCTTTATTGAAAACATTGGTATATAATCGGAGAAGTAAGAGTAAGTAGAAACTACGTGCGCCTGAGGTCGGACATGTTGCTGCGCCAACATGAAAACCACTCTTGAGAAGTTGTACTAAATTCCTTCACAGGAGCGCGATTTCTGCTCGTCACATCTCCGATATGAAAACGAATGCACTGAAAACATTAACTCGCAACAGAACAAGAAGCTGCGAAGCTAAAGTGCTGAGTGGGCTGCACGCCGGGGACCAAAGTTGCTGCAGCTCGTGTTCCAATAGATGCGCTTTCGTTTATTTCTAATATTCTTCGTTAGACCTATTGAAGCCACTACAACGTGTCGGTATCTAGTTCTTCAAGAAGGTTCCTCGTCAGTAGAACATATCTTCAGTAGAAGATGAAATCGCATTTGTTCGTGTGGCCCTCCTTCGTGAAGATTCTGAGGAACTGGTTTCTTGCAAAAAAATTTTCGGTCGTCCCAGGTGGGGGTTTCGTCTCGTAGGATATAGCTGCATGATCATCTATCAGCAGGAACTTTTACAATTACAATTAGTTAGACTTTTATGGGGTCGTCGTCCGTCTTCGTATCGTCGTGGTTGTTGGTTTTGGATTTGGATTGTCTCCGCCTCCAGCTCGCTGGAAGTGCGAGAATTTGGCACAAAATAGAACCTAAAGAAACTGTCTTTTTGTATAATTCCAATTTTCAAAGATACAAGAAATTGAATGGCGGTTTTTTTTTCGAAATTGTACTACAATTTTATATGCAATTACGAAAGACCATCACCGGAAAATTAAGAAGCACCTACTGCAGTTGTAGTTGTTATTCGTGATTTCTTCAAAAATGAACGGCGCCATCGATAGCCATTGGATGGACTCCTTGCAAAACAACGTCGAAGAGCTTTACGAAACTGGTTTGACAGCGTTCGCGCGCCAATTCGCAGGAGGCAGTGACGATGATGTTGTTGATGGGAAACAAGAAAGGCGGTTGTATACTGGTGGAAGTGCCAGCACGACCTCCGAGCGGCTGCATGAGAGGAAACAAGAAGAACGGGGCGGAGGTATTATACCGGAGGGAGGCGGGGGAGGAAGAACCTCGCCCACCACAAAGATCCGCCCGGCGAGCTTCTACTACGTGAACGAAGAGGATGAGGATGAGTCTTTCAACGCAGAGATTGGAGAGGACGAGCAGCTAGGTGGGGAGAAAAACAAAAACAGCCGCGCAACTACAAGAAATCGTGAACATCATCATGCTGGTGCAGCTTCTTATCAAGCGCGTCGTGGCGCTGCAAATGGTGCGAACCAGCTTCTCCACCAGGTGAGCACCTCGGTGCACCAAAACTTCAAGTACGCGAGAAAAAATTTCAAGAGATTCGAGCACAACCACGTGCCCAACCTGCGGCCCGTGGTGAGTAGGCTGTGGACGGAAAATTTCTATGAACTGCAAAAGTATCGTACTCGTATAATGGCATTACAAATTTTCCCAGTATGAGAAATAAAATTTGTAATGCTGATTTACCTCAACAAAAAGATTTGTAATGCATGATTGCAATAGATACGAGTACGATACTTTTGCACAGGATAATTTCTTGCCTGTGGTGCAGCAGCTTGGAGAGTTGGCGACGAATACTAGGGGTGGGCGAGGAAACGCGACCACGTATCCAGGAAAAAAACTGTGTAAGTGTAAGTTTCTTGGAGGAATAGCATCACAAGTTTGCTCTGCATGACACAGAAAACCTGTCATGCGTACCTAGTACGTGAAAACACGCACGAAAATTGCCTCTGATGCATGTCCAGCATGACAAGTTTAACAGTTTTGCATTTTCTGCAACACAAAGTGACACTTACACAGTTTTTTTCTTTTGATACCACGACGGACGGCTCCAGTAGAAGTTGTACTCCTGGTCGTACGCAGCCGCAGGTGCCGCACAAGAGCACAAGTACAAGAAACAAAAGCAACAATATTAAACACCCTCAAATTATGAATGGCGTTGTGCAACAAGAAGCGGACGACTTTTCAAAGCACCAGAATGTTGATGTCTTCAACGCTGCTAGTTGTAGTTCTTCTAGTACTTCGCCATCAAAGATATTAGAGAGCAGCCCGGGAAGTCATCTGCAGCAGCTCTATGGCGCTCTCAAACGTTCTTACATTCTCAACTGTTACATGAATTTGCGATGCAAGAGCCTTAACAGTCACAGGTGCAAGCTTGCTGCTATCGCATCACAGATTTGGCACGGACTTAGATTCTGTGTAGCTCTTCGGAGATTAGTCACGCGAAGCAGCTTGATCATCTACCGGTGCCGGCTCAAGGTCGTACTTTTGCACGACAAATTCATGCAAGAACTACAGTTGAGAGTGTAACGCTTGACCACGCCACAACCTCCCCACCTTCCGTATAGACCCTGGGGAAATTCCGATGCAGATGGAGAATTTTCGGGGTTTCGAGGTGCCCACCTTCCTTTCGAGCACAAGAACAACGAGTAGCAGAAAGCGGAACGAGAGGGCGCAAGATAACTTTCATTTCGATTTCAGCACAACCAGGAATGAAAATGAAATATTAAACTACGCAAGAACTAGAACTACTACTTCTACTGCTCCGCAGCACTATGTTTCGTCTCCGCAGGTGGCACACGACGGTGGGTTCGTGCACGACGAGCAGCACCTTGTGGCCCTACAGCACGATCGACGCGAGGCTGCTGGTTGTGGTCCACCTGGTGCGCAGTTGTTTTCGCGCACGAGTAAGGGAAGCAGCATTTTCTTGCGAGAGCAGGATCTAGATCAGGATATTGCAGCACACGAGGAGCGGCAGTTGCGGGGGACGATGTTGACATCAGCAAGAATGTCAAAGGATTACGAGATAAATCCGTTGTTCTCGCGGACCAGCTATGCATTGCAAAAGTATCGTACTAGTACTATAAATCGCATGACAAATTAGCCCAGCATGACAAACGGAATTTGTCATGCTGATTTGGCTTGGAAGCGAGATTTGTAATGCATGACTGCGATTAGTACGACTACGAGTACGATACTTTTGCACAGGATACGAGCAAGGGAAGCTCGCTCGCGGAGGAGGTCCAAGAACTGTACAGCTACACGAGGACGTATGGGAGTGTCAGGTTTGAAATCGACAAAGTTGAAATAAAACTTGTAATGCATAAAATCGATAGCAGTTGGAAGCTGAATTTTCAATCGGCGCATGACAAATTTGGGCCACGTCTAAATCCAGTTTGTCATGCTGTTTTGGGACAGAAGGCGTCTTTTGTCGTGCTACTTCAGCAGCTCTACCGCAGACCCCAAACAGGCTGACAGTCGGCCTCACTTGCCGTCCCTGCAAGAGAGGCGCTTCATGCCTTGCAATTTTTGCATGACAAATTATTTCGGTGCCAGCCCTTACAGGTTGTGTAGTGGTTTCGGCAGGTTTAGCATGAGAAATTATTTCAACTTTGACGATTTCAATCCTGACGCCTCCATAGGACGTCGGGGGCTGGAGCCGCAGACGGAGAGAACCCAAGTCTTGGTGCGCCGCCGATTCACTTCAACATCGCTTCTTCGGTCGACGAAGAAGTCGTGTGCAACCACGAGCAAAAAGAAAAACCGAAAAGACTTGGCCGTCCGGCCGCGGAAGTTGATGCTGAGGCTGTTGTAGATCTTGGCGGTGAAGAACAAGAATCTTCCAGTAAAGATTCCTCCTGGTTGAAATTGAAAATGTAAGTTAAAGTTTGAATCAAAAGATTTTTCCAGATTCCTGATCCGAAAGAGAAGAGGTAGAGGAACAGCAGCTCTTTTGGATTGCCTAGTTGAACTACTTTCTTGGTTCGCGGCTCTGCGAAGTTGTTCTTGCAACACCTCCACCACGCGGAGAAAAAACAAAAAGTAAAACAGAAAATAATGCAAACCTCTGCAGCTGCAAGTAGATGTAGAACTTGTTCATGCGCAAAGTAGTAGCTAGCCATGTTAGATTCAAATGAGCCCGTTGTGGTGCTCGTGCCCCTAGCCCTAGCTTCAATGATTTTTCTTTTGTACCACCTGCTTGCTAAAAACGCTAAGTAATACGCTTTAGCATACGTTTTTGTTCGACACGGCCGGTGTGAAGATTTTTTCATCTAAAAAAACGCAGATCATCCATCTTCGCACTATAGTCCACCTGATTTTCATGATGAACGACCAGGATCCCTTGCTACTCCTGCTCCCAAAATTATCGTATGGACTAAGAAAGCAACGCCGATCCAGTTCAAGTTCAAGTTCAAGACTCGGTAAAAAAAATGTGAAGATCCCGAGGAGTGAATAAGCATTTAGCCATCCTGTGAACAACAACTCCTAAGTACTCTATCGCGTCGTGCAAGCTCCGGATGAAGATTCGGTGCTAGTTGTATCTGTAGGTGTAGTGCATGGTTACAAGAAAAAAAAAAATGTGAAAGTAGATCCACTCCAGAGAGGACGAAAAAGATCCAGAGCAAATCAAAATTGCGAAAAAGAAGAGCATCTCCAATAAGCGGATCAAAAGTCGCGAAGATACTATCAAAAGTTGTCGGTTGCACCGGTTAGAATTTATTTTGAGCTAAAACGCATCTTATTGCTATGCTCCGCTTACATTTGAGATAGCAGAAGCATCCTCTTCCTCTTGGAACCAGCAGCAGTTCCTCTTTAGGAAAATCTATAAACAACTCGCAACCCACTTCTCTGGTCTGCTAAAACTTTCCACCTCTACAACAACTTCTCCTTCTGTTACATGTGCTTTTGAGTACAAACAACATCTATACAAAACAATCCTCGCAAGCATCAGCTAAACGTAAAAGTAGACGTATAATACTTGTTCATACTTGTTCTTACCTGCTGTTTTTTTGTTTGAGCCTATATTCTCTCTACTCGATCGGTCGAGCTTCTAGCTAAGGACGAATTAGTTGGAGAAGTGTTTGTTCTCGATACTGCTATTGAAAAATGACTTTTGCAAAGTCTCTCGTCGCTGGGGCTGCTAGCCTCGTAATGCAGCGCGCATTGCTTCTCGTTGCCATGGATAATTATGTTGCTAGTCCGGCTGGTGCTGGGCTGATTGTCCCGGCGCACGCGGCTCTCGTTGGCGGCCGGAGTGCTGGAAGAAAGCTCACAAATCGGGCTATGTCACGGGCCGAGGTATCCGCAAGTTCTGGATCTCCGCCGGCCCAGGTAGTGCCGGACACGAGCACCACCAGCTTTCGTTCCCTAAACGCACTGAATCGACGAGATGCCCCTGGAGCAAGCAAATCGTCCGGGTTGGTGCGTCGATCTCCGCTGGGAAGCGCCTCGGCGCCCGGCCGCGCTCGTCAAAGTACCATTATGGGCGGAGCACGTGGTAGTTTTTTACCACCTATTAAAGAAGATGATTTGTACGAGGACCAACTCGACACTAGTCCCTTCGCAGGAGGTCCGGGAACAACCGTCGAGGAGGAGTATGGATTGCAAATATGTCTGGGTCTGGATGGATGCGCGATTTGTCATGCAGCTTTTCCGTGCCCCATGGGGTCTGGAATGCAGGACCTAGCATGACAGAGTCTGCGAGGTCTCTGCCATGCCTATCCCGCATGAGAAACTTCCTCCCAACTTGGTCGAAAGTGGACAGCTTTTGGCACTCATGCAACACAGATTTTTGCATTATTCGGATTTAGCATGACAAGTTTTAATCTACTTCCAGACCCAGACACTTTTGCACTTGATAAGGAGCGTCCTGTTGCAACTCGTCCGGGACGAGAGGATTATATCGGAGCTGCTCGGGGGCCCCTATCAAATGCAAATATCGATCTGGGTCTGGAAGGATCCAAGGTTTCTTGTCATGCACATTTTGCATGACTCCTGATCGATCTGTGATGCATGCCCTAGCATCACAGATCATTTTATGAGGGCTTCCTGGTGATGCCTATAGATTTAGATACCGCGTAACAAATTCCCTTTCCGTGTAGCAAAAATTGCACTCTCTTTGCTGCTCATGCAATGCAGATTTTTTTAGAATCCAAATGCAGCATCACAAGTTCCAACTTTCCAGACGCAGACATTTTTGCAATCCATAGCCCCCTTGCCCCAGCAACTCCTCGGCTCCTTCTTCTACAACGGGAAGCCAATCGCCCGGGCTGTTGATGCCTCGATCTTCTCCGCCGGGGGCCCAGGTGCAGCCGGGGGCCCCGAGCACCAGTGCCGCGTCGTCCGACCGCGGGGCAAAATCCCCCCAGTTCCTCCGCAACCAAGACTTGCTCAAGGGCCACCTCCCCAGCCAAGACTTGGAACAGGCTCGGCAAATCTTGGTTGAGTGTCGGGAACTATCGCGGGAAAATCAATTGCATTTGCAATTCCGCCCTCAAGACTTGGTCGAGCTTCGGGAAATCTTGGTCAAGAAAAGGGAATCAATTCCCCAAGAAGATTATCAAATGCAAAAATGTCTGGGTCTGGAAACTTGTGATGCTGGGTGTCGTCTCATGATGAGGCCACAAATGCTGGCTCGGCATGACAAGTCTCTCAGCTTCTAGGTGTTGCCTATCCTGCATGACAAACTGCGTTTCTGCATCGCAGAAAAATGGAGCTCTTGGGTAACGTGCATGACAGATTTGAGAGTCATCATGCCAGACAAGCATGACAAACATGCACTCTTCCAGACCCAGACATTTTTACATTTGATAAAGATTCTCAGCCGGCGCAGATATTCCGTGTAAAAACGTTCCCACGACCTCCCTAGAGTCAAGATGGGACGAAGAAAGCTGCTACGTACACAAATCAACAAGATGAAGATTTGCATTTGGCTTTTGCACGTAACAAGTTGGATGGGCTCGCAGTGTAGTAATGCTCGATTTATTAGCTGGTACTACAGCAGTTGCAGTATCGCAAAAAACCTCTTTCGAGCATCGCAAATTTTTCCAAAACAGGACTTAGAAAATGCTTCTCATGGGGCCCCGCATGAGAAACGTTTTCAGCACGCAGCTTCGCATGACAACTCTGGTGATGTGGGAACGTTTTTCCTCTTGATAGCAGATGGTTGACCTACCGGAACGTCCTCCCTTCCGTTTCCCCGGTGAGGGCGACAATGTGGGCAAGAACGCCATTTTATCCTCAGCAAAAAAGTCTTCACTTCATAGCCAAGATGGGAAATCTGCTAGACAAATCAGCCAGGTCTGGTTGTTGCGCGTGACAGGTTTGGTCTCGTAGTGTAGTCCTCTTTAGCTTGTTCAGCGGCGTCACAGATCCAGCACATTATGCTGGTTGGAGCGCTGCAAATCCAAACTCCAAAGCACCACCACAAGAAAATACGTCTCATGGGACTCCGCATAAGAAAGATTTTGAGCACGCAAAATTGCATGACAGCTATGGGATGGGGACGTTTTTACATAGGATACATTTGCGGCAGTCGTGCAAAAGCACTTATCGCTCCAAAGGAACCAAAGCATCCAAAAGGGATAAAGGCCCCGATGGATATCGGCTACTTGGGAACGCTCAATGGTAGCACGGTTTCCCTTGCCTACCAAAAACAAGGAGCTGTATGCATTGCAAATATCTCTGGATCATGTCTGGAAGGATGCAAACTTGTGTATGCAGATTCTGGAACAGGCAAAAATCTGTGTTACACGGTCAGTAAAAGGCGGGCGATTTTTGTCTCAGGGCGAGAGTATTTCTCGATCTCCATCTCGTGCAGTAGAGAACTACGCACCATGAAAAAGCCTCCTGCCATGACTTTGTCATGCTCTGCGGGCACTCCAGGTGGCCTCTTTGCAGATGCAAAAGCTGCGTGACATCTCTCCCAGACGACCCAGAGGACATGTTTGCATTTGATAACATGTCCCGGTCACCAACTGGTTTGCACGGGGGCGCCCTGCCAATATCTTTCGACGTGACTGACATCTGCAGTAGATGGTCGGGCTCTGGACGTGTAAGTAGAAAGTACCACGGCTGCAGTGCTGGTGCAACGCCTGCTAGGGAGAAGAAAGAACGAAGAAATAAGTACAAATAGTATACACAAAGTAAGTATTTTTTATCCGGGCAAGAACCGGCGGGGCGCGGCGCAGACGAAGAAAGTTTCTTCGTTGGCTGCACTTGTAGTGAATTTCAATGATTTTATCATATGGTCTTTATGCCGCTTGATCTTGATGATGTTTGATCGGACCGCCGATAAACAGACTTGTGTCTGGGTGGATTGGATTTCTTTTTGTGCCAGTAGCCAGACAAACGCAATTGGAATTAAAAGAAAAAGAACAACAGAAGTAGCCGTACTATCTCTAGTTGTACGATCATTACTTGAAAGAATTACTTCGATTTGCTGCAGCGCGCTTCCGCGAAGATCCGGTCGTTTCTTGAGCGGTGGGCCAGCCTGCATCTGCTGTTTTGCTTCCTGATCATGAAGAAGAAAGTTTCTTCACAACAACTACTTACCTGTAGAAGTTTTAAACTATTAAATGAGATAAATTTCACAACCAGCACGTGTTGTGCGTATTTGTAGTGGAAGAAGAGAAACTGAAACTACGCTTACTTAATGACTCTTCTAGCGTTCCGCTTCCGCCATGAAAAATCGCATTGCGTATGCTGGTAGATGTAGAAGGAAATTTTTTGTATTTCAGTTCTCTTCCACATCTACAGTGTGCGGACTGTCTGGGATTGGAACTGATCCTCATCCCGGACTACTTAATAGAAGATTTTTTGAAATTGGCACAGAAGTACCTACTAGAAGAATTTTTGAAATTAGAAGTGTGCTTAGTTGGCACAGAAGTACCTACTAGGAAGGTCACGTCATTTTTATGTTGAGACATGCATTACAAAAGAAGTACCGTACTAGTAGAAATCGCATGACAAATAATTTTCTCGTTGTGAGAATTGCAATTTGGAATGCGGATTCGTCTTCAGGTACAGTTTTGTCTTGCATGATTGCGATTGGTACGAGTATACGATGCTTTTACATAATGCATATTTATGAGAAACGTTGCACGTATTGTCGTGGTGGTCCACGACTTGATGTGCCGAAAAAAAGCGGAAGGAAGGACACCGGTTTCGTTACCAGGTGCAGATAAACCCTTACCCTACTTCCCATTAATACAAAGGTGTTTGGCTGCAGAAAAGATGAAACTTGCGTCTGTCGGGCGCCAGCGAAGGAGGTGAACACCGTTCGATTTCTACGTCATCTGTCGGGCAGGACTTTTGGGTAGAAGATGAGAAGAAGTACCGTGTTCATGTGCTCCTCGTCAAAGATTTGGCTTTACGCACACACTTTATGCCCCCGTCGGTATTTTGTGCTATTCCTATTTCTCGATCTAGGTCAGGTCGAGATCAGTAAATGCAGTGGAAGATGAGAGAGGCTCTCCTCCGCTAGCGATATTATGTAAATGCAAAGATCTTCGATACAGCGTCTCAGTCTAGTAGCTCGAGTTCCGAAGGTGCGGTAAAAACAAAATCCCTGCTCTCGATTCAAATGAAGATCGGCCGTCCTCGTGTCGCAGCTCAAAAATTGCGATATACCAAGCCTCGTCGGTTGAAACAAATTTGAGCTCTGTGGAGGTGCAACGAACTGCATTTTTCGCAAAATATTAAATCATCGAAAAATAGATCGCGATCTGTCGAAATCATAACGATCGAGACCGTCTGTGATCACGAAGATCAGGAAGTTTCGCATCTTCGTTGCAGTCGTGAACCTCAAAAGTAACGTAAAAAACCCCAGTGGCTGTAAACAAGATAAAAAAGTCGACGTGTAGCGTATTCCCTATTTCTTCATCCTTGCTTATTTGTATCAGTTTTACGAAGCCCTGCATTCACCCTTCCTGTGTTCTTGCGTAGATCGAAGCACTTTGGACGGCATTCGTACTCTTTTAAGAGCACCAGCTGCACACTGGTCGCTTGATATTTTCCACTTATAAATTTCGCAGCTCTTGATTATTTTTCGTTGTGTGATATTTATGAAGTAGTATGGTTTATTGCGCACCAGTTGTTGTAACTGTACTAGCTCTAGCTGTTACGTACCCATTTTAGAATTTTTTTTTGGCCTTTGAGTATTACAGCGACATAAGAAGTGACAACATAGAATCAATTCTTTTTCTCCTCTTCAAAATTTATCGAGCTTCTTTCTCGATTCATCACAAGTCAGTTTGCACCACTATTAAAGAGCGGCGCTTTATTTCATCAAGTAACTCTCGAATAAACGAAAAAAGTGCATCGGTACGGAAAATCTCAACAGCATAAAACTTGCTCATGTTCAGCTTCAGCATAGGGAAGTACATGTAAGAAAACCGAATTTAAGGATACGGTTTCAGTTTCTGTAAAAGCATCCTTATCCTTCTCACACACAGGACGACGTCGAGCTTTTGAGAACTGTGGTCGCGACAACATGTTGAAGCTGCCTGGAGTTCTCTTCCACGTGGCCATCGCGCAGCTACTGCTCTTCTACACCGCGCGGCCCAAAAATGCAGAGCAGGGAGCGGCTTTATTGACCGATCTTGTCCCTGGTGGGTCGTTGTTCTTTTTTCAGGGGGTCTCAGCTGCTGCTCCTGGTCCTCGTACCGGTGCTCCTCGAAAGGACGACGGCTACGACAGCGAATTTTCCGACCTTGATGAGAGCCCACGCCTGTTGACAACTGACCCTTACTCTGTCGCGCAGCCAGGCGGGACCACGGCTGCTGGTGTAGGACCACGAGAGGAGGAGGACGTTGACCTGCACTTCAGCCCCGCAAGAGAAGACCCGTATCAACAGGTGGATCAAGAATGCCACCCAGATCTTCAGCCGGCTGCTGCAGCTGCAAAAAAGGAAGGAGCAGCGGGTCCTGGTGCGGGTACAACTACACTCGCGGCGGCCCCTGCATCTGCAACTTGTTCCGAAGTACGACGACGAGACAAGGGTCCTCGTCGTGTGGACGTCGAGGAAGGTGAAGATCTACTACCTCCGGAGTTATGTGCAGACGAACTGGAATCTTTCTGCGAGGACTCCGAAGATGAAGACTTTGACTTCGCGGCGCTGGGGGAACGTTTTCCCGAGGACGGCGAGATCTACGTCTCGGAGGACGAAGATCAAGATTTTCCTTATGATGACGACTGGGACGTGGACTTTGAAGGACAATACAAAGAAAAACGAAGTAGAAGTAGACCAGGCTATGATAGCAGGACTCCGACACCCCCACCAAGGCAAGAGAAGCAAGATCCGGAAGTTGTACATGTTGAGCAGCGAGGACCATCTCCGCTACAGGAGCGAGTAGCAGTAGCTGCCCGTGCTGGTCAACAAGAATATGGTCGTGGTTCCTCATCTGCTCCTCGCGGGCGCAGGAGCGGCGCGGTTTCATCTTCCCGCAGCCGCAGCCGCAGTCGTCGACCTGGTCCCCGCCTGCAACTTCACGCCAACTACACACAGAGTAGTTCTTCACGACCTGGTGTCCTGCAACTTCACGCCAGGGAAGAACCAGGACGGAGGTCTTCGCCGCCGAGAAGCAGAAGCCGGAGTTCTACTTGTAGGAAAAAACGCAATAAACATAAAGCAGAAGCTGGTGATGGTGATCGCGCAGAAGCGCGGAAGCAAATGGAAGGCATATCAAAATGAGAAATCCACCCTGCTCCCGATATTGAAACGGAGATTTGTGATGTAGCATGATTCGTGATCACAAATTTTATGTACGTTGTCATGCTAGAACGAAGGGAACGAAGAGATGCGGACTGTAGTGCTTGCTGGTGTTGGAAAGTAGCCTTGTGTCTTCAGCATGATGGGAAGCGACAACTGGAAGCGCAAAACATCATGACAGACTGTCTGCAAGAAGTGAGGCCGCAAAAATCTCTTGGCCTTTCAGCAATACAAGTTGAATTGTGTACTCAAATCCAGCAATAATTAAAAGTTTCCTTTTCGATATGGGGCGGGGAGGGGCTTTTCCTCAGAATAAGACACGAGATCGCCACCGCGTACAAATGGAAGTCGAGGACGGAACCGCAGCCGCACCAGTCGAGGACGGAACCACAGAAAATGCGGTAGAACAAGCGAAGACGAGTATGTCTTCCCAGAAATTAAATTTAAACCAAAAAACTACACACCGTCTCTGCGACAGCAAGCCGAGGATGCTTTTTACCAGGATTGGAAAAAAGCGCAAAAGCAAAATCCGCATGCCTATCCGTTCTTTAACGCCTTGGTCAATTTCTTCCCGAAGGTCTCCGACCCGAGTGCGCCGATGAATCAATTGGAGTTCTTTTTGGACGATCATGTAGAAAATAATCCAGTGGGCGGAAGGACGAGCAATGGCCGCCGCGGGAATGGTCGTGGTCGTGGAGCTGCTGCAGCGACGTCGACCGCTACTATTCAGAGCCTTTTCCGGTTTTTTGATTTCGGCTTGACCATCAAGCACCCCTGGCAAACCTCGCAAAAACTATGGTCCCCGGCAAAGCCTCAGGAACTGTGGGGGATGGTGAAGAAGTATGTGGTAAAACTAAACGAGAAGAACCCCTCTCTCTTTATTCCCGTTCCCAACATTTCCGTTCCGGGGTATTTGCAACAAGAAGCAGACCACTTGAATAAAGTTAAAGCGGAGGGAAGAAGACATGATGATCAAAAAGTTGATCCCTACAACCCCCTCCAGCGTCTGGACAACGGAGTCGGTGGTGCGGTTGCATTGGTAAGGTTGAAAGCGGAGGAAGATCCACTGGCGAAGGCAATGACGAAGTGGTACCAGTACGAGAAACATCCGTATGACCACTATGAAGACGAGACACGACGAGAAAGTGATTGGGGAAGAACAAATGAACCAAAATCTTGGTCTTGGTACAAATTCGACTCTGAAAAAGAAAAGGTCCACCTGGTGAACCAAGCGACCAAGATATCAGAGTGCGCAGCTCGACGACCCGCCCTTGTTCCCACTGCTCATTTGAGTACTTATTCAAATGCATCAGCAGCAGCACAAGCAACGGCAGCAATTATGGCCCTTCCATATGACAACTCCGCTGCACACCGATCGTTCATCTTGCAGTATTGTTTAGCTAGTTTCGAACTTCGTCATGCGAACTGCAGCTTTTTAAGTTTCAGTTTCACGCACCAAGAGGTGGATTTGATGTATATTGGCATTTCACGACATTCCAAATCAAGGGAGACCGCGAGGGGGGCTCCTGAGTAGTTGTGCACTCGGATAAATTGTGTATGGCGGCCAGAAGACGGAGCTTTTACGACTGGATTCCCTGTGGAAGCTCGCTGCCTTGGTGATTAAGAAAGGAAATGAGGAGAAAAACCGGCTTTTGCAGCTAAAAGCAGAGTATCAAATGTAAAAGTGTCTGGGTCTGGAAGAATGCAAGTTTGTCATGCGTGTCTGGCATGACTCTGAAATCTGTCATGCAAATTACCAAAGAGCCCCACTTTTCTGTCATGCAGAAACGTAGTTTGTCATGCAGAATAGGCAACACCTAGAATCTCAGAAACTTGTCATGCTGAGCCAGCAATTGTCGCCTCCTCATGATACGCCACACAGCATCACAAGTTTCCAGACCCAGACATTTTTACATTTGATACAGAGGAGATGCAAGAAAGTGGTCTGACGCAAGAAGCAGAGCGAAGCCCCCGCGCCGGTGGGTACTTTTCTCTCACACTTTTCGGTCTTTCTGCCGGCGAAAAGGCGCTTTATCAGCATTTGTTGCGGAGAAGCCAGGAAGAAGAAAGCAGCGCGGTCGTGGTGGTCGGGAGTGGGAGGGACGAGTATCTGCAGAAAGTGAACGAGCAAATGGAAAAAGAATGGAGGGACAAAAATCGAGAAAAATACGACGAACAGGGGGTGATGAGAAAGGAACTGCGAGAACGCAGTAATAGTACGGGCGTAGAAGGAGGAGAGACTTCTTGGACCTCTACTTCGTGGTGGAAGAAGCATCAGCCAGAAAAAGATCACAGCTTCGAATTTCAGGCCGGGAAGCACGTCTTGGAGCGGCAGGTCGCGAACGAGTACCGTGCGGTGAAAATTAAAAAGTGGTACAAGATGATGGTCGCCATTCGGCCGTTCGAGCAATTAGAAGAAAAAGCAACAGCAAGACAACACGTCCCGCTACAGCAAGGGCTCGCAGCCGCGCGAGTCCGGAAGTTTTTGGAAAAGAAAGTTTCCGGAAAACGCATCTTCCTGCCCCTCGCGGGGTCCGGATCGTTGTATGTGAAAGCGGTAAAGCAGTTCCGCCGGTCGATTTGCCCATTTGCGCTTGAGATGAAGAAGGACGACGCGACTAGGCAGTGGGAAAAAACAGACGATGGCCAAAATTATGTGTTTGCGAAAACACCAACGACGCTGGAGGAGGCACAACACCAGCTGAATTCGTCTATTTTGTTGCATAACCTCGTTTACGCGAACGCTTGTCAGGTGGCGGTCACGACGTTTGGGAAGTGGGGTGAAAACAATGAAAAGCTCTACTACGACCAGAAGCTTAACGTCTACTACACCACTCTAACGGCCTCAACCGGCGAGACGGGTAAGACGCACCAGCTGCGGGCGCACGTCGTGGCGTTTTTCGCGAAGCATGGGTATCACGCCCACTTAGTCGGCGATGAGCTCTACGCGAAGGTGGCCACGGATCCGAAATACCGGCAGAGCTTTATCAAGAAGAAAAATCCCCTTTCCATATCGAAAAGGAAATTTGTGATGCTGATTTGTGACCACAAATCAGCTTTGTGTTGCGTACAAGGCAAACGGCACGCATGTGGCGCGATCATGATAGCCAGTCTGTCATGCGTTTTCGCCTATGTCAGACTTGTTTCTCATGCGCAACTGCTAGCCGGGTGCGTAGTACCCAAATGGGCTTAGAATGTGCCGACACGCTCTTGCTGCAATACAAAGCTCATTTGTGTACACAAACCCAGCAACACAACTTGTCTGTTGAGTACGGGGTGGGGCCTTTTTTCACTTTGATAAGCTTTCTCTTCCCCGGGCCAGAGGAAGCCGCCCTGTTGCAGTACCAGACATCTGCAAGTGGAATCAAGAGCAACATGGGCAGTTTACCTCCTTCTCTTCAAGAGTTAAGAGAACAAAGCAACCGAATCCGGAAGGCTATGAAGAACTTAGGGCAGTTATCGACCTGTGTAAAACCGTCCCCACCCCAGATTTGTCATGCAAATCTGCATGCCAAAAAAGTTTCTCATGCGGAAAAACCCATGAGAAGCATTTTCTATATCGTGTTTTGGAAAAATTTGTGATGCTATAATCAGCCTGATGCGCTACATCTGTGATGCTTCTGAACTACCTAAATCCAATCGAGGATTACACTACGAGGACAAACTTGTCATGCCAAACAACCAAAGCTCCTGTGTGATTTGTCTAGCAGATTTCCCATCTCGACTCTGGTGCGGGGATGTTTTTAATCAGGATAGCAGTTTGATGATGATGATGATGATGATGATGAAGATTTGGAAACCAAAAAAAAGCAAGAAAGAATCATCCAGGAAGCAAAACGGCTGTATCCTGGGCAAAAGTATCGTACTCGTAGTAATCGCAGTCATGCATTACAAGTTTCTTTCTCAAGTTAAATCTGCATTACAAATTTTATTTCTCATGCTGAGGAAATTTGTCATGTGATTTACACGTAGTGCGATGCTTTTGCATTTCATAGGCTGGATCTCATCCCGATTTTGCGTTCGTTTGATTTTGGGCTGGAATATAAAAGTTTAAACTCCTATCCCAAGAACGGGGGTCGTGAAGCAGGAGAAAAACAACACCGGTCCTCGTCCAGAGGGCCCCATGAAGATCCTCGTGCCGGTTTTTTGGGTTCCACAGCGGACCTTGCTCCAAGCCCTTGGGTAATTCAAGGGCCATGGAGTGGTCTACCGCACGCGGTGGACTACGAGGGAGTAGTTGCGGAGCAAGCCCGCAAGAGAGCGCTTTTCAACTACGAAAATGGCCAGGAATTCCGATTGATGCCTACAAAAACTGCGGTCGACTACCTGTCGGCCGACTTGGACGTCGTCGGGGGGGAAGTAGAGAAGGATCATCCCATGAACCTGAGCAATATTGCCGCCGACGACGCGAAATCTTTGCTGCTAGCGTACAAGAGGGACCAGATCGATTTTTACGTGTCTCACCACAGAGATAGTAGAATGGATAGAGATAGCACAGTTGCTGCAGAACAAGTGGTAGACGAAGAAACCAAAAAATCCCAAAACCGCATCAATGACCTCTTCTCCATGTTCCTGAAAAAAGAAACCCGGATCATGGGGCTGCACAGCTGGAAGGCGGAGGTCTGCGTGCGGGTGTTAGTTGCAAATAAAGGTGAGCTAGTTCTTGATTACCCTGGTCGGCGGGTGGACCACCGGAAAAATGAAAATCGCAAGGTCTTGTGCGAGCAAAAGATCAGCGAGCCGGGCTGGTGGGAGGTTTGGTTACGGCAGAAACGGCTGCAGAATAAGGAGACTTTTAAGGAAGTGGTGTAGCATTAATACAAGTTGTAGAAGGAGCGATTTGTAGAGTATAGTTGTTGTTCATCTTGATTGTTATCACTGTAGAAGAAGAAGTACCTAACTATTTCACGTGGAGGTTACTGGAGATTTGGTGTTGTGCGACGTCGTCGTCACGCATTTTTATGCAAGAATTTTTTGCGAAGACAAAGAACAACGCCAGGGCCAGTATGAAAAACCACTTGAAATTGATGTAAAAAACCGCATAGTTCTTGTCCCACCGGAAGAAGAAGAGGAAATTTGTTACAGTTGCACAGTAGAAGAATTTGGAAGAGTTAGAGTCATGAAGCGTTTTTAAAGAACTTAAACATCACACGTCCTCGTCGGAGTAAGTAATGACACTGAGAAGTTGTAGTTGTACCCCCCAGCATGCCTTATGAAATAAGCAACCCAGCTGAATAAATTTCGTAAAAACGTAGGAGCTGGTGGTGCCCCTACTACAAGATTGATGAACAACTTCCCATCCAGGCGATAATGAGACTAAGAAGTCGTTGTAAAAGGGAAGTAGAACTCCAAGGCGAAAACGCCGAACAGAGTACATTCATCTGGAGCTGGCGCCACTCCCGAAAACCAAACTACTTATGAATATCCACCCAACGTCCTCCCCGGATGCATAAAATGAAACGAAAAAATGCAACCTACTACTTAGTTAGGTTCCACACATGCTTCGAAAAATAAAACTAACCCCTCGTAACACCAAAGGAAAGCCAAACATGATGAACAGAGCTCCCAAGAAGTTGACGAACAGAGCACCCAAGTACAAGTTGAAAGGAGGGTGAAGTCGAGAGCAAGTGCTCTGAAGAAATCAAGCTAAGAATCGAATATTCGAAAACCCCTCCTGCTTGGAAAAGATAGTAAAGAACTCCGCGCTGTAGTTGATCCTGCATAGTATACTGCTTTCACGATATAAAAAAATCAATTACGAAGATATTGCACAGAAGATTACTTGTAACTGGGGAAGTAGGTTAAATACCTCCAGGCTCCTGCTGTGCACGACAGACTTAACAGGTGAACGAAGAAAAGCGTCATGTTTCTACTACAAGACTTGATGACCACTACTACAATTAGTTACTCGTCATGGCGCAATTCAACATCTCGTGAGAGGTATTAGAAGTAATTCCTCACGGGAGAGGACGAGTAGACCCCTTCACGTTTGCCACTACAATGGAAAGCATGTGCTTTTGCCGCTACAGCGTATAGAAATAAAATGAGTAAACGTACTTCGTCTTCTTGCCCCGCCCTCAGCTCCTCTTGGTGATGGGAAGGTTTGAGTCGCGCTCCTTTGAGAAGCTGAAAAAGCAATTGTGTTCACCAAAACAAGTAGTTGTAGTAGTAGAGGCAGAGACTTTATTTTGGACGATGTCGATGGACCCAAAGCAGATCCTTTTCACGTTTGGGCCGTTCAACAGCTCAAAAGGGCAACGCGATCCCACAATACTATATTCAAGTTCACGTTTATTTGGCTTGAGACCACAGTGCGCTGCTGCTCCTGTTTGACTACTCAGTACTAAAGAGTTCTGTTCATTAAACTTGGTTCTGGCTGAGCAACGAATTTGTACTTAATATCACGACCACGTGCGGTCAACGTGATTTTTGTGATATAGCATTTTTTTACTATTCTACGTCGTCGTGATCTACTCCATTTGATGTGGCTCTGTTTTCCTTATTCTATGTCACAGCGACTCCAAAATTCTACGACTTCAAGAACCTTTCCGAACATAAGCATAACATTGATTTCTCCATGTCTCCCTAAAAGGTGTGCTAAAGTACTGCAGCAGCAGATGTTTTCCTTGAGATACCAGCCACGGTATTACGAGTCAACTTTTCGAAGAAGAACAAGAAGTAGATGAAATTCACCTTTACCTCCTTAGCAAAACCTCGACCAGACTCCGACCTTCAACTTCATCCATCTTGTTTCATTAGTTGAGCGAGAAAAATGTCCGCCCGACAGGCGAAGAAGCTCCAGGCGCTGCAGGAGCAGCAAAGGAAGGAGGAGGAGGCAAAATTGAAAAAGGAACAACAAGCGAAGAACGGAAAAAACAAGTTGGACGCTGTTGACGAAACTGAAGAAAAAACTTCGGAAGAGGAAGAAGAAGACGAGGAGGACGAGCTTGCCGGGCCGGTGATTCAGCAACAACCCCGGAAAAATTTGTTCGCCGCGATGGTTTCGTCCTCAGACGAGGACGAGGAAGATTCTTCAGAAGACGAGGAAAGCGATAATGGCAGTGGGGAGGTAGAAGAAAATTATAACCCGTCTAGTACTTCTCCCGCCCCCAAGAAGTCCACGAGCAAGAACAGTCCGCCCGGGCGGGGAGGGGGTGCTGCAGGAGGTAATGGCAACAACAAGGGGGCAAATAGCAAGAAAGCTACTTCTTCGTCACCAGACGGCAAGAAGAATCCCGACAAGCGTGAAGACCACGATACTGACGAAGATAACGAATCGGATGACGACGATCTCAAAGCGTTAGAAGAGGAAGAGAAACGGCTTCTGGAAAATAACCTTCATCTAGACGGCGTATCAAACATCCACGGGAGTAGTTCATCCTCCCGTTGTGGAAACGCTATCAGAAAGCACTGCACCGGGTTGGAACAAATTCTGAAACTCAACAAGACCAATTTCTCGCCCGACGCCGAGCACCGGCGCATTTTCGGCACCGCGGCCCCGGTGAATGAGAGGAACAACATGCATATCACAAGAAAAAGTGTTAACGTTTTTAGCGGAATTTGTGATGCAGTAACGCATCAGAAAAGGTGCCCAAATTTGTATTGCGTAGCATGCATGGAAGGCAAAATTTGTAATGCATAGCTGCCATCTGTGAAAACCGTTACCGTTTACACTTTTTTGTTTGATAATGCAAGCCCAGCTCGAGCGGAACGGGGGTATTCGTCTGCCGCCGCACATTATCGTGAGAAAAAAGTGTTACAGTTACACACTCTGATGCAAGACAAGCAAGACAGACAACCTCTGTCATGCAGGAAATGCTTGCGTCGTTTCATTTGTGTTTTCCCTTATAGAAGTCTGCGCATTACAAATTTTCTTTGCCATGCAGAGCAACTTTGTCATGCTGAAATTCCAAGAAGTGTGTAGCTGTATACACTTTTTTCCTGTGATACGCATCCCGCGAGAAGCGGCGACCAGAATGCGTCAGATGATCAAATCCAATCAGTACCCGCCGCACTTCAAGAAGCTCTGGCTTTCCAACATCGATTTCCTCGAAGTCGGCCCAACCAAACCGGACCCCAGCATGAGTGGCAGTTGCGTGTTTTTCCAGACTACTACATCTTCACGGGCAGATGATATGCAACGCAAAAGCATAGTACTAGTACAAATTGCATTACACATTAGCCCAGCATTACAAATTGAATTTGTAATGCTGATTTACCTTGAGAAAGAGATTTGTAATGCATAAATGCAATTACTACGAGTACGATACTTTTGCACAGGATAGATGAATCCGCAGAACAAATCGGCACGCTCTACGGCCTTCAGCTGGACTTGAACAGCAAAAAAACGGAGTCTCTCGCGCTGGAATTCCAGGACATTGTTCGGATGTTTGATCCACACTTACTGCAGGAGTTCCTCACCAACGCAGCTCCGTTTTACATCGAGGGGCTGGTATTAATCGCCGAGTTATGAATTGCAAAAGTGTCTGGGTCTGGAAGGTTGGATCTTGTGATGCTAACTTTGGACTCTAAAAAAATCTGTATTGCGTGACCAGCAAGAGGAGTTTGGTTTGTGCTACGCGGGGAGGGCATTTGTCATGCGGAGTAGGCATCAGGAAGGGTTCTAAAAGTCTGTGATGGTAGGGCATGCATCACAAACAATCCTGGGTCATGCAAAATATGCATGACAAACCCGGCAACCTTCCAGACCCAGACACTTTTGCATTTGATACGAGTTGATGCGGAGCCGGCAGGAATACGAGGAAAGCTGGCTCTTCTGCAAACGGGCCTTGTACGTTTTGGAACTGCAGTTGCCACGGGGACTGGTGCCGGATTTTCTTGCCTACGATAATTCGTTTTCGTCTAGTGGTTCAACATCAACTACCACAGCTGTTTTGGAAACCACCATCCCCTCCCTCCACCCAACCGCCTACTATCAAATGCAAAAATGTCTGGGTCTGGAAGATTGCAACTTGTCATGCTAAATCTGAATCATGTAAAAATCTGTTTTGCATGATTGCCAAAAGCTGTCCGCTTTTGACCTAATCGCGAGGCAGTTTCTTATGCAGGATAGGCATGATAGAACTAACACAGAATCTGTCATGCTATGTCCTACATACCAGACCTCATGGGTCATGGAAAACCTGCATGACAAGTCTGGCATTCTTCCAGACCCAGACACTTTTGCAGTTGATACCTACCCGGTGATGGCAAGGGTTCTCTACCTGTACATGCAGTTATGAAAGTGCACAACTCCCCCTCCCCTTCATTTGTCATGCAAAATCCCAAATCCAGCTGCTGCCTTGTAGCACTGTTTGCATGAGAAATAGAAATTCTGGAAGCCCAAATAGCACTACAAGCCGTGGTGACTTGTCATGCACAGCATACACGTGTGCTGGTGTTTGTATTGCTGTTCATACTAGTATAAAAATGAGGGGGAGGGGGAAATGTGTACTCTCATAGCAGCTGTTAGCGAACCGAGGGTTGTTCGTAACCGCCGCGGAGGTGTGCAAGTGGTTGTGGAAACTGACCTACTTCGGGGGCGAGGGGAACTCCACGAAGGTTCAAGTTGTTGATCATGCTTCCGACGTCGAGACCGCAGCAAGTATTAAACAATCAGGCGAGCAGCAGCAGGAAGCAAGTGCAAGAAGCAGCACAAGATACATTTTGGACAAGGGCAGTAAGAGTCAGTCCCCCTGGGCGATCCTTCCGGCGGTGATGGTGGAGAAAATACCAGAAGACGCAGAAGACGCAGACAAAAAACTTGAAAAGCCCTCCATCTTCGAAAAACACTACGGCAGCGTGAAAAATCCTCTGCCAAATCTCCCGAACTGGTTCTACAAGGGGTTCGACCCCCTGCACGTCTTGCCACACTACCTCTACTACGTTTTACGGGCGAGAAAATACGAGTTGATCGACGAGATTTGCGGGGTGAAGATCATTTTCGACGAAAAGAAGAAGAATTACGAGTTTGTTTCCAATTTGGACTATTTCAACAATTTAGAGTACTTCGGAACCACTAGCAAATTTGACCCGGAGAGGGAATTTTCGGTGCCGCACTTGACAAATATGAGAGTGCAGAATTCCCCCGCCACCCTCTCATTTGTCATGCAAAATACCAAATCCAAGTGCTGCCTTGTGGTGCTGTTTGCATGACAGACTTCTCTGGAACCCCGAATAGTACTACAGTATGCACGCATGAACTTGTCATGCACAGGCTCCACATCTGCGGACGTTTGTAGTGCTGTTCATGCAATACAAATGAGGGGGAGGGGGACGAGTTGTGCACTGTCATAACAAATCTGCTTCCCACGACGTGTTACGTGCACGCCTTGTCTTTCTACAACCGGTGGAACGCGAGTAGTGGTGGCAGTTCGGTGAAGAAGTTGTTTGATTTTGTGGAGAAGGAACCGTTTATGATTTCGGAGGTGTTCGATATGCTGTGCAAAAGTATCGTACTCGTATTGCAATCATGCATTACAAATTTTTTTCTGGAGCTAAATCCGCATTACAAATTTCATTTCTCATGCTGAGGAAATTTGTAATGCAATTAAAATTATACGAGTACGATACTTTTGCATTGCATATTCGATTGGAAGCATCAGTTGGTAGATTGGGAAAAGCTGAAGGATTTAAATCACGACTACGATCAGAAGGTTGTGGAATTCGAGGAAGAGGTGGAAAAGCTGCGAAAAGAAGAACAGGAATTACAAAACGCGCAGAAACACAACGACAGAAATAAACAAGTGGACAAAGACGATGTTCTTGCAGTAGATTCTCCTTCCGATGAAGATGACTCCGTGGTCGCTGATTCCAGCGCGAACGAAGATATCGGTACTAGCGGCACCGCATCAGCATATTCGAAGTCAGCCGCGTTCAACCAAAAGGTGAAGCAACTGGAGAAGCAGTATTTCCTGCCGACAAACATGAAGGAACACAACTCTCTCCTCAAACTTCCGACGGAAAACAACGCCAAGGTGCTGCTCTACCCGATCATGAAGGCGCTTTTCCTGTATCCGATCTGCTTTAAGCAGATGCTGGAGAAATCCGAGGCGATTGACAACCTCGACACCGTACCGAAACACTCGATGCAATATTACAACGCAAATGTCAAGCCCGGGGAGCAGAAAGCATATGAATTGCAGAAGTATCGTACTAGTAGTATTGCATTACAAAAAATTAGCTCAGCATGTGAAATGGAATTTGTCATGCGGATGCAGCTAAAGAAAGAGATTTGTAATGCATAAATGCAATTACTACGAGGAGTGCGATACTTTTGCATAGGATAAAGCAAGGACTTGGACGATTCTGTTCAACATTTTGTACGAGTGGAACACAGGATCAACATGTAGTGCAGGAGACTATCAAATGTAAAAGTGTCTGGGTCTGGAAACTTGTGATGCTAGGTGGCGTATCATGCGGAAGCCATAAGTGCTGGCTCAGCATGACAAGTTTCTGAGCTTCTAGGTGTTGCCTATTCTGCATGACAAACTGCGTTTTTGCATGACAGGAAATTGGGGCTCTTGGGTAACCTGCATGACAGATTTAAGAGTCATGCCTGAGAAGCATGACAAATCGCGCATTCTTCCAGACCCAGACATTTTTACACTTGATAGAGACGGCGCAGCTGCAACTTCTACGGGAGCAGCAGGTGGTCAACAAGAACTACATCTTCAAGAACAAAGCGGTATAATTTGGGAGGAGCTGAAACTAGAATCGGGCACGGCGGAGAAATATGAACTGCAAAAGTATCGTACTCGTATAAATGCATTACAAGTTTCCTTAGCATGAAAAATAGAACTTGTAATGCTGATTTGCCTTCAGAAAAAAATTTGTGATGCAAGACTTGCATTTATACGAGTGCGATACTTTTGCACCGGATAAGAAATTTTTCGTTCTTTTCACGTCCGAGCACGTGGTGAACTGGATTCATTTCGTCTTGGAGAAAATGATCCGGAAAATCGAGTCTTCGCCGTTGTTTTTGAAAGAGTACAAGCAGGCGCGGAAGGAGTTTGTCGGGTACATGTTCACGAACAATGTAGATGTTATCGCGGAGAATTACTACTTGGACAAAACCGACCCGGAGGAACGGAAGGAGATCGACCGGTTGAAGTTCACCTACTTTGAAGACAAGTCGCTCGCAATTAAGGGCGGTTGGGTCCAATCCTGCTACAACGACTTGTCCTCCGCCGAATACAAGGAAAACGCACGGGACGCAATTCTCCCGGCGTTATTCCACCACAACCTCGCGACCGCGCAGAGTAGAGTCGGGCTGGGCGGACGGATGAGGCGAGGTGGCGGGGGTTTATTTCCCGGTGGTCTTCGGGGAAACAATAACGGACCGGCAGGGGCGCAGTTTTTCGTCGACGTGATGCGGCAATTAGCGGGGGCTGCGGATGAAGGCAATGGAGTACCTGCGGAGGCTGTGCTCGCAAGGCTGGCCGACATCGAGAACTTTTTGGGCGGTATATATAAAGTTTTTGTCGCGCTTAGATTTTTTGAAGCTGGTTGTATCTTTGGTCCTCTTGACCCTGGTGCAGTAGGAAATTTACTGCACTGTAGAACGCGAAAATGGATGATGAATGCGGGATATCCCTACTTTTTCCGCCATCCCGATGAAGGAAGCCACGGTTTGGAGTAAGTACCACGAACTAGTAGTGGTCAGTACTGAGGTCATGCTCATCTTTTCAAGAGGACGCGTCGCTCAACGACACAAGATCAGTCTACTTCATCCCCTGCCACCAAAAGAAGTGGCACGACCTGAGTGGCTATTCATTTTTTCGCAAGAATAGAACACAAAGCGCAATGTTCTTGTATGAAGCGCAATGTTCTCAACAAGCGAACATAACAATTTTTGCTTCTCTTTGGTCGTGAAAATTGTAAACACGAGGGAAGATGAAGCTGGACTCAATTATCGGAACTACAACTTTTCCTCCCCAACAGATGATGTCGGGCGCGTGCAAGCGTTGCGTGAACAACTTTTCTATGCGTTGCAAATATCTCTGGGTCTGGAGGGATGTACTTAATCTGTGATGCTGCATTTGCATACTACAAAAATCTGTATTGCATGGACAGCAAAACAAGAGGTCCAGTTTTTGCCGCGGCGAGAGGGCATTTCTCATGCGGTATATTATAAGCATCAGGAAGCCCTCGGAAAATCTGGGATGCTAGGGCATGCATCACAGACGTCAGTGTGCATTACAAACGTTGCGTCCTTCCAGACCCAAACATATTTGTATTTGATATTTTCGCGATGATGCGGCAGGGGGGTCCACCTCCACCCGGGGCCGCTAGTACTACCCCGCCCGCCGCCGGTGGCGAGGAACCACCACCACCTGGGCAGGAAGATCCAGGACGTCTTCTTGCAGGTTTTCGGGCCGGCGAGTTCCACCTTGGTCGCAGTTTTTCCGATGTCGGCTCCAGCGATGAAGACGGGTCACCTCGTCTACCGGGACCGGGTCGGTGGACGAGCGAAGCCGGCCAATTATATGCCGCCGGCAAACGAAGTATCCGTATCTACGATACTTCTAGTACAGCTTGCATTACGCGACCCGCCACTGTGAGAACAAGAATCCAATTTTGCAACACCCAAGAACATCTTCTCGCACTCGCCAAAGAAAGCAGATTTCTGTCATGCAGGAAGATTGCAATAACGATTTTTAACGAAGTTGTACGAGTATAATTGATACGGTTCTACTTTTGCATCTTGATGTTGTTCGACGTGTCGCACAAGGAGCAGGCGCTGATGAAGCAGCAGACGGATTGCAGCGAGAAGTAGATGACGTCGCACGAGGAGAGTCGGCAGAGGGAGCATCACCGGAGGAACAAGGCGCAGAGGGACCAGGTGGAGAGTACGCTGAAAATAACTACAGCTCTGACGAAGACGAAGAGTTGGCGGAAGTCATTCAACGTTCGCTGCGGGAGCAGTGATAGCGAGATGAACTACACTACACGAGGACACTTTGCGTTTTTTTGGATGGAGCGGAGCAGCAGTAAAACTAAAAGCAGAAGTGGATGAGACAAACACAAAAAGCAAAACGAATCACCGATCGCCGTGCAGAAGATCTTGCTCATCACGAACAATTTTGTACACGACGAAATAAAAGCAACCACGATCGGGGAAGCAGCGACCACCCCCCCCCCCCTTCGGAAAGCAGCAGTGGCAGTGGCAGCACCGATGAAAAGATAAAAACGACAAATAAGGACCTCCCATACCTTCGGCCAAAAAGGAACCACGAGCCTCCCGCCAAAGAAAGAACGCATTTTTTCGAGAAAAAGCAAAATTAACAACTACAACAGGTGCCGTGTCCATCTACAGCAGTCCCTCTTTGGTCTTTTATCAAACCGGAAAGTAACTCTGCAGCTCTGCATCTGATATAAATCAACATGAGAACGAGCTTTGTCATGCCACTCATCAGATGTTCATATGTGAACTTGGACTTCTTGCCTTGCGAGGCATGATTTACGATCAAAAACGTTGCGTAACACTTTACGACGGCGAGCTAGTGTAGTTATTTTCCACCTTCTCCATACTTTCCTCCAATCACTCTTCCCCTGGGCTGAAGTGGACACGACTGGCCAGGCCGAAGTGGTTACCTGGCGGAAACTGTACTACAGTTGCTGGCTCTTCGGGAAACTGCTGGGCAAACGGATTCTCCGATTCGTGGCTTTCGTCGGAAACAAAACGAAAACTCTTCCGTTCTACGCGAAGAGGATACGACCGGGGATTTCGTCGCTTTGGCGAAAAGTAGCCGGCGCTTTTGGGCCGCGTGGTGGAAATAACGTGAATGGTGGTGGAGGGCGGCAGCGGGAGAACAATGCGAATGGGGTTGAAATGACAGAACAACGACAACATGAACATCAGGAATAAAAAGAAAACTCTACGCGATGAAAGTTAGGTTACGACCGATTGTCTTCTGGTCGTCGCTCATCAAAGCAATACCAAGAACGTCAACACTCGCAACGACCTATCCCTATCGACGCACGCAAAGTAATTTTTCAAGCGGGAATGAAATGAAGAAGCACGACTACACCAAAATTTGAATGCAACGTGTGCCGTTGTCGTGAAGGAACAAAAAGGCACCAGGCTCAAACGATGTTCCAATTCTTGACGAGTACCGCGAGCTAGTTTTTCGTCTCGTCTTTACAGGGCCGGAGTAGAGTCGGTTATTTCCACCCTAAGAACAATCAGAGGTCATTACGCACCGCCATCCCTGCACGAGTATTTTCTTCATACCACGATTTCCGTTGAGGGTAGTTTCATCTCCACACGACTCCAACGTAAACTCTAACTTGTCGCAGTTCCCATGATTACTTGAGCATTCGTTTCCACCACGACACTCACATTTTCATTTTTTCTCTACTTCGCTAAGTAAAGTGTGAATTTTGATTGTGTGGAAAAAAAAAATACCTGTGCATGGAATTCCTCCCCCTGGACTCGCAAAGCAACGGTAAGTTCCTGACCCTAACGGAGAAAAATCAGATCACCTGCCACACCAACTGCCGCCAGGAATCCCAGGGCACGGCGTTTTTTCCTGTTTCATCTAGCACTTCGGGCCCAACAAGTCGCGGTTCTTTCACCATCAAATGCACAAACAAGCCGGGCCGCATGCGGTATTTCGTCGGGTTAGCCGACCATTTGTTCAACCCCGCAGCCTATCAAATGTAAAAATCTCTGGGTCTGGAAACTTGTGATGCAAGAAAGGGAATAGTGAACTCACTATAATGCGCTGCCAAGCATGACAAGTTTTTTCCATGGGTCTGAGTTGCGTATTTCGCATGAGAAACTGCGTTTTTGCATGACAGGGAGGAGGAGCTCTTTGCGGCCATGCAACACAGAGCTCAGCGTCATGCCAGACAAGCATGACAAATCTCGCAATCTCCCAGACCCAGACACTTTTACATTTGATACAGCCGGGTGTGCGGACATCGCGAAAAACTCCCTAGCGTCTTTAGAAAATCTGAAAGCCGGGCTGCATAAGAATACCGGTGGAACTTCTACGAAGAGTAATGTCTGTTTGCAGTCGTCGACACCGTCTTTTCACACCGGGAGCTTGGTGAAAGTCGAGTGGAGCTCTTGTTCTGGCGCCGGAAAGAATGATGAGAACAACAATCAGCTCGACGTACGAATCAGCGTAGACACCACGGGATTTTCGCAGAGTTGCAAGGTGGTTAAAAAGAAAGGCGCGGAATTGTTTGGCTTCGTGTCCCTTTACAATAGAGAAGCGGTTTTTGAGATCGTGGAAGAATGATGGTGTTTTTGATCCACAACTTCTACTTTAGAATACTGAACGGTTGTTGTAAGCAACAAGAAAGAAAGTACTTGTTCCCGATTGAGATTGACACACAACGCTCGACAGCATTTGAGATTTTGTTCGGCTCTCAGGATCGATGAAGAAGAACGTCCCCTGCTCTATATAGAAGTTCACGAGGATCTCTAGTAGAGAGAGGTGCGGCTTCTCTTCATCTTGGTCTGACGAAGAAGCACGATAAAGACTGAGCGCAAGAAGTAGGACCTCCTGCTGAGAGAGCACTGCGGAACAGAGAGCGGATCGTCGAGACCCAGTGCTCTGTGGACACGTGCTGTGGCGATCGTCATGAGAGCAGACCGAGGAGGACCAAACGTGGTAGATTTCACGCGAGTGTGTTGCTACCGACCCTGTAACCGCGACACCATCGCCAGCACCAGCCTTTGCGTCATTTCCCGAACTTGCGGGCATGAGCACCATAAGCATTATTGACGCTCGTCGAATTTTTAACATCTTCATTGCAACCCAACCATGGATTTCTGTCGTTGTTTTCTCCGCACTTCCAGCACCTCCAACTCGTGGTTTTGGCGGTTTTGCACCGGGCAGAATGACGACAGCTTTCTGCAGGAAGAGAGGCCAATCCCCTTGGAACACGCGTGGAATAAAACCAAGGAAGGACATGGAGCCGAAAACACCTTCGACCCGGACCACCCTTTGCGTCGCTACGGGTTTCTCTCGTACTCCGCCTTGCCTGTTGCGGTAACGCCGTCGAAGAAAGTCTTGTCTTCTTCATCATCATCTTCCACCACCTCGAGTAGGAGAAATAAGTTCGAAACCCACCTCCGTGGGCCGAAGTTGAAATTATGCAATACAAATTTTCCGTACACCTACACGTAAAAAAATGCATCACAAATTTCTCTAACTTCACGCCTGCCGCTTGTGATGCTGAATAGGATTGAGGGGAAGTTTTGTCATGCTTGCAGAAACATGCTTTACCTTACGTGTACGGCAAGTTTGCTGTGGATAAAAATCGGGAAAAGTGTATTTCATCGTTTCGGAGCGGGAGTTGGTTGCTGTTGAATTGGAGTTGTATGTGAACGGGCTGTATGACCTGCAGAAGTATCGTACTAATAGTATGAATTTCATTACAAATTTCTTCAGAAAGACAAATGGAATTCGAAACGCTGAATTACACAAATAAAACCCAGATTTTCCATGCAAGCCTGGCGTGTATACAACGAGTACGATACTTTTGCAGATTATCAACGGCGGTTTTCAAGCTATGTTGAAGGAGAAGCAGGAGCAGCACAAGATAGCGACAACCAACAGAAAATCCAGGAGTTACTTTTTTCCCCCTTCATGATCATCCGCAACTGCAGATTTGAGGAGCAAGAGGGTATGCACAACTTTGACACGTTGTTTACCAAATTACTAAGGGATCAGAACGGGAGTGCGAGCGGTGTGCGGCCCTCTTCCGGCGATTTGGACTACAAGATCTTCAAGTTGTCCTGGTTTGGATTGGATGTGAAATACTACTTCGCGGTTTGTACAAATGCTTTGGAAGGAGTAGATGCAAGGAGTACAACTCTCGCTGGTGGTGCGCAAACGCAATTAGTACCCACGTCGACAACCACCACCCACGACCAAGTAAATCCCCCCTCCGACCTGGAAGCTGCAACGCAGTTACAATCCGATATCGAGATGTTTTCATCAATATCCTGTGCAAAAGTATCGTACTCGTAGTAATCGCATTTATGCATGACAACTCTCTTTTTCAAGGTAAATCAGCATGAGAAATTGTATTTGTCATGCTGAGCAAACTTGTAATGCGATTACTACTAGTACGATGCTTTTGCATTTCATAATCAAAAAACAGCAACCGAACTATGTTTGCGGCGAGCGTGGCGTCGCAGTTTTCGTCGCTTGTGGGAGCAGCAACAGCAGTGGGTCCAGCTGCGGGGGCGTTAGCAAATGTTTCTAATTCATCATCGGCCTCTTCCTCCGCAGCCGCAACGCCGGCAACTGGTGCCCCGTCCTCTCCAAGCAAACTGCATAAAGCCTCAACAACCGCCCTGGACATCCCTCAAAACCTGTTCAAAACGTCTACCAGCCTGAAGTCCCAGAAAACCGCGGAGCAGTGCCGGCAAGAGTGGGTGGTCGCGATTTCCAAATGCGTGAAGAAAGTGACGCAGAGTCTGTATCCGAACGGACTGCAAGGTATCAAATGTAAAAATGTCTGGGTCTGGAAGATTCTGAGACTTGTCATGCATGTTGTGCATGGGCCATGATGTCTGTGATGCATGCCCTAGCATCACAGATTTTTTCAGGGCATCTTGATGCCTATTCCGCATGACAAATGCCCTATCCTTGTAGCAAGAATTATACTCCTTTTGCTACTCATGCAATACAGATTTTTTTGGAATCCAAATGCAGCGTCACAAGTTGCATTCTTCCAGACCCAGACATTTTTGCAATCCATACAAGGGGGGAGCTTTCTTAAGGCGGTAGCTAGGACTACAATGGGCGTTGGTAGTGCAGCACCAGCGCCGGTTGGAAGATCAAAAGACCCGTTCGAGGAACAACTCCCCGACCTGCTCCTCTTATCCGGCTTCCTAGTTTACCAGTACCCAAGCAGGCGTGATTTGGTCTCGACGCTGTACTGCGAATTGCACGCGCAGGAAACTACAACGGTGAATGAAAGTGGGGATAAAGATGAAACCGCAGGCACGAAGAGTACGACGGCGAGTAGTACCTCACCTTCTGGGAATAAACTGGACGAAGAGAAGAAAAGACTGAAGTCGAAGGCAAAACTCGTGCTGTATCAAAACGACCTCGATGTAGTGGTCAGCGCATCTTCACAAATGTTGAACAGCAATACGAGTAGTACTTCATCTTCTTCCGCTAAACTCCTGGAAATCCCGATTACCGAGGACACTCCTTTTTATGAAAAAATCGGCGTCAACTGCACAACCTTCTGCGTCGACAACACGCACCACTTCGCCGCCAGGTCGGAGCAGGAGAAAAAATTGTGGCTGCGGGTGATTGGAAATTTGAAAATCAAGGTGGCAAATAAAGCGCCAACTCCGGATGCGGAGGAGGTGAAGGCGTTTCGGGAATCGATTGTGGAATACATGGGAATGAACGGGATTTTGTTCAACAATAGTAACTCTTCAGCATCCTCTTTCCGCAATACAACTACTCTTCAATCCGACCCACTTTTAACCCGCGTGACCGACCGGCAACCAAGGGAATTCTTCGGTTTTAACCCCGCGGCGGATCGGAGGAGACTGCAGCAAGGCGGACCAGTTTCGACGGCGACGACAACATCAGGAACAGGAGCCTCTGGTGCCGATCATGAGGAAAGAACAAAACTGCCTTCCGTAGGGGGTATCGTGATGGGTCGTGCTGGACCGTCGTCGATACAAGAACCACATCCTCCCAGAACAGCTGCGTCGAAGACATCGATGTAGATATGGTCCTGCAAGTGTAGTTCGTTGCGCGATTACGTACACCGCTCTTCAGGACAGCGCTCGTGTATAGAGCTATCGGTTTCAGTTTCTGTTCGTCATTCTTTCTGCCTCGTGTGGGCGCCTGCTTTCGTGAAGATTGCTGCGCCAGCAATCGTGAATTCGTAAATTTGCACTCACGTGTGTTCGGTTCAGAGCCGTTTTCTTGATCCGTCGGTCTTGGTGGTGTCATATGTCGTTCGACGTTGTAAGAGTTCTGGCTTCATCCAGTATTACCAAGAAATAATATGGCTCTCGTGCGCTCGATGAAAAAAAATTCGACAAAAAAACATCAAAGAACGCTGATTTTCTCCTGTCGTCCCCGTTCGGTCTTGGCGTTTCTCGTGCTATGGATGTGTTTCGGTTAGTACTATCGTTCTTGTTAGGTCTTCGTCTTCGCGCAGCTGCTTGTACAGTTCGCGTTCGTCCGCCGCAAATAATCGCTCATCGTCTGTGTCCAAAGCCACACTCTTGAGGTTCGAGAAGATGAAGAAGGCTGCATGATCTACAGCAATTGCAATCTCAATGTTGTACTAGACCAGTGCACCATCAACCAGCCCCCTAGATTGTTAGTTTTACTAGCCGTCCTCGCAGTACCCCGAAGACGAGTCAACGATTTATTTCACAGTTTTGCATTTTTTCCCCGACACTTACACTTTCAACTTGTATGCAGTCTCCTGTTGTTCTCCGCCTCAACTACCGTTCTTGAGTGGGCGACATTAATTATTAAGCACCGGACCTCGTCATCAAGCCTTCTCGTGGCAAAAACGGAATAAACATGGTCCGCTCCTACTTCCACGCGGCCGCGCGACCCAGCGACAAGCGTCCCGCGTTCGCGCGCTGTTTCGCGGCCGTGCTTGGGCAACTCGTGCAAAAGCAGAATGTGGCTGTCGAGGCTACCCTTCTGGGAATCGCTTCCACCAGCGAAGGGAAAAAAGCTGGTGCGCAGAGCAGCAAGACGTCGAAAACAAGCCTCTACCATGTGGCCCAGCAACAGAAAGCGAAGCTGGCTGCAGGGGTCGTGAGCAAGAAGATGAACAATGGCAAAGCGAGCACCGAAATGAGTGTCGTTTCGGAAGCTGGTGGTCGCGCAGCCAAGAAGGAACAGGAAAGACAAGAAGAATCTTCCGCGGCGATGAAAACCGCCAGTGCCGCGGCCTCCAAAACTGCGCGCGGTCTGAGAGCGGGCGCCGGAACATCAAATGGAGCAGCAACTGCGGAGATGATGAAAACAACTGCTGGCACTACCAAAGAAGCGGAAAACAAGAACCTGGCAGCGAGCAAAGCCAAAGTCGTCAAAAAAGAAGGAGATGACAAGTTTTTTGACAAAGAGTGGCAAGAAGAGCAGCACGAACTCGACTTTGACGCACAGTGGAAAGAGGTATGAGAATGTATTTTTGTACAACTACAGAGTCGACCTCTCCCCCTCATTTGAAGAAGGGCATGCATATCATGCAGCAACAGAAGGAGAAACACCAGCACTAGCACTACTGGTGCAACAAGAGCTTGGGCAACATCATGACAAATGTACAGCAAGTTAGTGTTTTGTTCCTTGTTGTTCTCACCGTACGGCTCCTTCTGGTTCCGAATACTAGACCTGTCTTACAAAAATCAGTGCCGCAAGACTCGATTAAAACCACTGGCTGGATATGTATTTCATCGCATTATTTTTCAGCATGACAAATGAGGGGGACGCGGGGTTAGACAGAATTTCCACTCTGATAAGAGGCGTCGGACCGGCATGATGAGCACGTGAATCGTGTGCATGAGCAACTGCAGTGCGGTTGCTGCTGCATCGCTGCCATCATCATCTCCAGTGTCGTTTGCTGCTGCCTCTGCATCGGCGCCATTACTGTGGCGGTCGTGGGGGACGTTTTGCACTGATGGGCGTATTGAACTTTCCGGGCTTGTTGATCATGAGGGAAAAGCGAGCCAGAGACGCGCGACACACATGATCACACACAACTTCTGTTTATAGCTGCACTAGCGGCTTTATTTCTTTTTCACTAGGCCGCTAAGGTAATATCAGTCTTCACATTATGTTTCTAGAAAAACAATAATTCTTCATCTACCTGAGTTGTTAGAGCCACGACCTTCAGGTTGTCACTCAACAAGGGAAAGAACAAGATGTTGCTAAGAATATAGAAAAGTGACAAGTTGTTGCTAAGAATCCCTAGTGCTACTTTTGACAAAATCACTCACTATTCGTGGACGCCAATTTCTCATTTGAATTACACTGCAAAGACCCCGACATCATGCAGATCCACAAGCACAACGGCATAGTACACAGCCACAGACAGCCCTCGTGTTGGTCTCACAAGCTCTGACGTTGTTCATGGGTTGAATGCACATGATGAACTAGAAGTTGTTCGTCGGTTGCGGGTCGGTACAATAAACCTTCGGAGGTCGGGACAATCGTAGTACTAGTACCGGTTGTTTTTAATATTTTTTCACCGAACTTCGGTCCGCCTCCACCGTGCTCGTTTGTGTACGTAGATGAGTCGCAAGGCGAAAAACTACGTGGTCAAAAGTCGGTCGTCAATTTTGACACAGAAGTCCAGGAACCCGTGCGGCAGCCGGCAGCGGTAAGTACGGGGCAAAACAAAATCGGTTTTACTACAGGTTTAGTCGGTGAAACAATACATTCCCCAATAAGCAGATTGCGAGTCTCTGCATAAGAAGAGCCAGCAAGAATACCAGAAAAACAGAAAACAAAAGGTATGACTTTGTCGATCCTTGCCACAACATTTGACTCTGCACTCCTGCGAGACCAGACTGACAGGGTGTTGGCGTTGCTGCAAAAAGAGAAAAAGAAAAATAAAACGCAAAGCGAGGGGTACGTAGTAACGGTAAAAACAAACTTATTAACAGAGCGGTATCAAGGAGTAGCAACTAACAGTTGTATACGCACTATAGAGGAGGAGGAGCAGCTAGTACACTTTGATTCATTTATCTTTGACTTGCTCCACCGTGTAGAAGCTTTGTTGACCTCCTGCTCTCTTCACGCGGCCACTATTACCAAAAAATGCAAGACGCTGGTCCCGCCCTTGTAACCGCCTTTTTCGAGGCAAAAACAATCCTGACTGAGAAGGAAGGTGATGCGGATGGGGAACTGTGGGGCGGGATGCTGATGAACGTTTTTCGTGCACTTGACCAGTGCAAAGAGGCGGAGAAATTCGAAGACGCTCTGGCAGAAAATATCAAGGAAGAATTGGAGGGAAATGGGCAGGTACTGACCATCGAGAAGATGACGGAACTAAACTTGAACATCGTTCCCACGGCAAAGGCGTTCTGGCTCGCAGTGAGCGAGCAGAAGGAAGAGGGGAAAAAGGAAATGGAACAGTGGTGCCAAATCTTATCGGCGTGCACGGGGGCTGAAAACACCGAGGAGGGGGTGACAAGGTTTGCCGCATTTACGGAGGGAGGGTTAAATGTGGAGGATTTTCTGTAAAAATGAAGCTGCGTGTCGGTGTCTCAGTTTCTTCTTTGGAGTAGTAGTACAGCACGAGGAGTGTAGAATAAATCCCGGGCAGCGGTGGTGGCCCTCGCAGCTTTTACTTTATCTCACTAAAAAAATAACGCAGTACATCGAGAACGCCGAGAACGTTCCTTCTTTTTTCTAGCGTTGTATAATCCTCGTTTCAGTCGGTCCCTACAAAAATGCGGATCAGTTATTATTGCGCTTTTAGGCACGGCATGGGCATAATCTCTCACTTTCACATTGACATGTTTAAAAATTTTCAACCATGTCGGCAGGTGGAAAGGTTATTGCGACCGATCTGTTTGCGTAGTAATCTGGTAACCAAAGCGTGCGCAAGCGCTCGCAAGAGCGCTTTGCGCGCGGGCTTGCCCGCGCGCAAAGCGCTCTTTGCGAGATGCTCATCCATCGCAAACGCAGCGCGAAGGCTTTGCCGTTACCATATGGGAGGAACTCGGGGGTATGCAATCACTGGAAAAATCGGGCATTGCCAAGTGTATTTTGCCTTCAGAAAGCGGATCGGGCAGAATTGGAGGGAATTTTACCGAAAGCAGCCAAAACAGCAATTACCAAGCGGGGAGAGGGTAAAAAAGAGCAGTTTTGCAGCTCCGCCAGGTCTGAATCTGAAAAAAGATTGCGGCATTTTCGGCAAGGGCCGGTGGTGTGATGCGTTTTATAGCGGAAAATGCGTCACCTCCGGGCAGCTCCAGCCGCTTGAAAATTGAAAAAAAGCGCTGAAAAAATGCAATTTTTCGCAGCATACAAGCGGCCGACAAAATTTACCGATTTTCTGCAGTCCCCGGAAGCCGCTTGGTAATTGAAAATGGCATTTTTTTGTGAAAAAGCAGAAGCCGCTTGAAAATTGCCGCTCAAGGGCGGTTTTTCAAATTGTCACGCGGCCCATACCGTCGAGATTGGACGAAAAAAAGCAGCCATCAAGCCTGCGGAGGTGTGTCCACCCCCCACGGTTTTCGACCTCTCTGAGGGTCGCAAATTGAAACCCTCCCCCCGCTTAGAAATGCCCGATTTGGGTGGCCCAAAAGGGCTGCCGGAAATGAAGGAAATGGTCCAACTTTTTGAAGTTTCTGCATTTTACCTGGCCAGCGTGCCGCCGTGCATAACTTCATGCGCGACGGCACAGTGGCCTTCAGAAAAGGCTATGCTTTTCAAGAGGCATCGAAAGGATGCCCCACTGCGAAGTAGCAGACCGGATTTCGCATTCAATGCTTATCGCAGGAGCCTGCGGGCCGCCGCGGGCGACAGTAGTTGTCCGCGGCCCTTTAGGGCCGCGGGGAAGTGGTGGAGCCCGCGGCGGCCCGCAGGCTCCTGCGATAAGCATTGAATAGAAATCCGGAAGCCCCCGATGACCCGAACAGGTCAGGGCCAGGGGTCAGCTTGAACAAGGTTGGCGGGCCTTCGCGCTGGCTAGATGTTCGCGCACGCTTTTGGTTACCAATATCGCCCTCCGGGCGCGACCTTAATACACACTGAAAAATAGGCCCGACTGCTTTCTCATCATTTTCTTGCACGAGCGAACGTCGCCCTTGCCGCCTTGCGACCTTCTGTTCATTTTCATCTACCTCGATCTGCCACCGTTCTACCTCGCGTCCTCGTCGAGATGAAAACGAAAAAGCATACTATTGTTTAGCGTTAGCGGTTAGCCCGTCCTTCATGAGGCTAGCACAACCTCCATGGACGTTGAGGTTGAGAGTTATTCTTGGAGAGGAGAGTTGTGATGATTGCTCTGGAAATTGGAGAGAACTTGTTTGAGGTCCAGTTTAATATTCTTGCGTCATCCTGTTGGTGAGAGCGTTTGGAGCTTCGCAACGGTCGTGTAGTTGTAGTACTTACACAAAGAATTCTGTATTGAACCAAGGTGAATATTTATCAAGTGGTAGTGCGTTGTGGAGGAGAGCAGCGCATTAAAGCTTAGCTAATTTTTATGATTGTCGAGTAGAACTACAACTACTTCTAGAAGGAACAACGGAAAAAACCTTCCAATCAAGATGCGCGGCCACCACCACCATTTAACCGCGGACCAGGTGGACGGGTTTTGGAATCCGGAGGACACAACATATCCACAGAAAAAAAACCGTCCCCATTCATGATCTTGTTTTGCATGACAAACAAAGGACTTTATACGTGTTTTGCATGACAAATTGGATGGAGATGGTTTTTTTTTCAGTGGACACAACATTGATCAAGACGACAAAGGCTACAACATCCGGTGGAGCTGATATTGGTGCTAGTACATCAATAACGAAACCGTCTGCTGCTTCAACATCGTCCGCGGCAAGTGCAACCAGTGCGGCAGGCGGGGGTAGTCTTAGTCACGGCGCAGTCAAACATGGCAGACACAGCAGTTTTCTACTCACACTCCAACCGGGGGGAGTTGTACCTGGTGGGTCGAAAACCTGTGATGCAGCAGAGCTAGAACGATCACGGAACAGGGATGTGTCGAAAACAGCATTCTACGCCGAGGACCCACCGTATGAGCAATCGGGAGAACCACCATTGACGCAAGGTAAGGATGAAATTGAAGCAGGTTTTTGTCATTCAATTATATCTTCTACTGCAGAAAGTGAAAGTTTTGTATTGCACAAGGCGCATAAGTAGCTGCATCAGCATCTTGACTACGTCATCAAAACCATCAGGTTGCGCCAAAGTCCTGAAGGCTTCCAACCAGCTCGAACAGGCCGCGCTGCGGTTACACGACGCAGGGCCGAGCCGGTTCGGCCGGCGATACTGTCCGAGCGTGTTTAGTATGCATTGCAAAAGGAAAAGTATCGCACTAGTCGAAATCGCATGAGAAACGTCCTCAGCATGAGAAGTGGAATTTCTCATGCTGATTTACCTTGGGAATCAGATTTGTCTATGCAAGACTGCGATTACTACGAGTACGATACTTTTGCACAGCATATTTAGCTTCTGGGACACCGCAGTTTCGAACCTGGAGCAGGGAGGACGGAAAAGTACTTGTTTTTTAAAGCTGATTTCTCGGTTCAGGCTCATGCACGAAGATGTCTTCGTAGATCGGAGCATTTTTCGATCTCAAGTCGGTACACTCGTCGGATCTCGTTGGGCTACAAGATTGTTGAGGTGTCGATCATTTTTAGGGTTGGATAAAATTAAAATTTTGAATTTTCGTGGATTTGAACTAGCAACAAAAATGAAATTTTGAAATTTCGCAACCCAGAGGTGACTGACGCGTCCAGATGTGTGTTTTTTTCGTGCCGCAAAAACGGTGTCTACGGGGCGTGATTTGAAGAGAGCTTGGGGCACTTTTTGGCCGCGGTTTGGGCCACGCGCCCGTGGCTTTTTTCGAGCCGCAAAAACGGTGTCTACGGGCCGTGATTTAAAGAGAGCTTGGGGCACTTTTTGGCCGCGCTCTGGGCCACGCGCCCGTGGCTTTTTTCGAGCCGCAAAAACGGCGTCTACGGGTCGTGATCTGAAGAGAGCTTGGGGCACTTCTTGGCCGCGCTCTGGGCCACGCGCCCTTTACTTTTTTCGAGCCGCAAAAACGGTGTCTACGGGTCGTGATTTGAAGAGGGCTTGGGGCACTTTTTGGCCGCGCTCGGGGCCACGCGCCCGTGGCTTTTTTCGAGCCGCAAAAACGGTGTCTACGGGGCGTGATTTGAAGAGAGCTTGGGGCACTTTTTGGCCGCGCTCTGGGCCACGCGCCCGTGGCTTTTTTCGAGCCGCAAAAACGGTGTCTACGGGTCGTGATTTGAAGAGAGCTTGGGGCACTTTTTGGCCGCGCTCTGGGCCACGCGCCCGTGGCTTTTTTCGAGCCGCAAAAACGGTGTCTACGGGTCGTGATTTGAAGAGAGCTTGGGGCACTTTTTGGCCGCGCTCTGGGCCACGCGCCCGTGGCTTTTTTCGAGCCGCAAAAACGGTGTCTACGGGTCGTGATTTGAAGAGAGCTTGGGGCACTTTTTGGCCGCGCTCTGGGCCACGCGCCCGTGGCTTTTTTCGAGCCGCAAAAACGGTGTCTACGGGTCGTGATTTGAAGAGAGCTTGGGGCACTTTTTGGCCGCGCTCTGGGCCACGCGCCCGTGGCTTTTTTCGAGCCGCAAAAACGGGGTCTACGGGCCGTGATTTGAAGAGAGTTTGGGGCACTTTTTGGCCGCGCTCTGGGCCACGCGCCCGTGGCTTGTTTCGAGCCGCAAAAACGGTGTCTACAGGTCGCGACCTGAAGAGAGCTTGGGGCACTTTTTGGCCGCGCTCTGGGCCACGCGCCCGTGGCTTGTTTCGAGCCGCAAAAACGGCGTCTAGTACAGGTCGTGACCTGAAGAGAGCTTGGGGCACTTTTTGGCCGCGCTCTGGGCCACGCGGCCGTGGCTTTTTTCGAGCCGCAAAAAAGGTGTCTACAGGTCGTGATCTGAAGAGAGCTTGGTGCACTTTTTGGCCGCGCCCTGGGCCACGCGCCCTTTACTTTTTTCGAGCCGCAAAAAAGGTGTCTACAGGTCGTGATCTGAAGAGAGCTTGGTGCACTTTTTGGCCGCGCTCTGGGCCACGCGCCCGTGGCTTGTTTCGAGCCGCAAAAACGGTGTCTCCGGGGCGTGATTTGAAGAGAGCTTGGGGCACTTTTTGGCCGCGGTTTGGGCCACGCGCCCGTGGCTTTTTTCGAGCCGCGAAAACGGTGTCTACGGGCCGTGATTTGAAGAGAGTTTGGGGCACTTTTTGGCCGCGGTTTGGGCCACGCGGCCGTGGCTTTTTTCGAGCCGCAAAAACGGTGTCTACGGGCCGTGATTTGAAGAGAGTTTGGGGCACTTTTTGGCCGCGCTCTGGGCCACGCGCCCGTGGCTTTTTTCGAGCCGCAAAAACGGCGTCTACGGGTCGTGATTTGAAGAGACGCAACAGCCGCTGTCCGGCCACTTCCGGTACATTGCGGGAGACAAGTCGTCAGCCCCAAGCTACTTATCATTCATTGAGCACTGGCGTTTGATGAGTTTTCATCTGAATTTTGAGGCAGATAAAAATAAAATTTTAAGATTTCGTGGATTGCGACATCAAACACCTGAAAAAGTTTTGAAATTTTGCACGTTACACAGCCAGAGTCACCTGCTATCGCCAGACAATTTTATACTCATATAGCTAACAGGTACGACAATGATGTCTGGACAGTTTTTTCCGGGCAATAAAAATAAAATTTTAGTATTTCGCGGATTTACAAGAACAATAAAAATAAAATTTTGAAATTTCGCTGTTTGTCATCACTAGAAGTTGTGCTGTTGCTGATGAAGAGAAGCCTCTTTCCACCTCGTCATTCTATCTGTGTACTCCTTGTGAATGTTTTGTGAAATTCGTTGCCAATAAAAATAAAATTTTAAAATTTCGCGGATTCCACCAATTTGGGAGGAAAATACAATCTGGTCATCACATTGAAAAAACTTGTTCAGTTGGCGCCGTCGTGACATCCTCCGCCGTCACGAGCGAGTCCGGATTAGCTGCAGCTGCAATTATGGCGGTGACGGCCGCAAGTGGAGCAACGAAAAACGAGGACAATAGAAGTCGGCGAGACCACAGGCAGTGTAAAGTGTTGCCCAAGAATAGCTCCTCTTTGGGTGCTGGTGGTGTGTCAACAGAAGAAGATGAACGGATTCTTGCGGGAGGTCCACGTGGAGGTGATACAGATGGACAACAAGCACAACTACGAGATTTTTACTCTAGAACAACAAGCGACGAAAATATGGAAGAACATCAAATCGAGAACAACTACCTCCAGGAAAGCTGCGTCGACGGAACCATAATATCAGGCGGCGAAACAACTTCTACGCTACTAGAGGAAGAAGAAGAAGAAGCATCTTCCACTGCGCCATCTCTAACAAGAATGGCACCTCCTCGTCCGAGCTTGAAGCTGATAGCAGAACCGGTCAAGAAAATGCCCCCAGCGGCATCGGCGATAATAGCGACGACACCGGGTGGAGTAGAGGCGGTACAGGAACAAATAGATCCACCACTGACCCTGCCACTTCCGAAGATGATCGACGACGCGTACTTGTCCGGAATCGATTTAGACGGGAGTTTAAGTGATTTCGAGTTGGAAGACGACTGCGATACGGTCGTCCGTCAGAATTACGATCCGGAGGGGCACGAGTTGCAGTGGCAAGACCGAGCAGCGAATGCGAGTAGATCTGCAGTAGTACACGACGACACCTGCTCTCATCAACAGCACCTCTACAACTACCCAGGTCTTCAAAGACCGATTTCCTCTTCTTCCTCTGTCAGCCCCGCACCACCGCCGCAGAGCGCGAAGAGCTTCCTGTAGACCGCAACGAGGAGAATTTATTTTTATACACCTTTTGCTACATCTTCGACTGCAGTAAATATTGCTGGCGGATTTTGCGAGCACGGGTTCTTGAAGAACGAATTTTGCGAACAGAAACTGAACTTCGTTGGCCGGAAGCGCGAGGACAGCGTGACTATTATTGGAGTGTGATGAAAATATTTTCGAAGAAAACATACTTAAATAGAAATGAAACGGAACAAATTCTTTCGAGTTAGTTGAACAAGGTGAAGGCTCAAGAACTAGAGCCGAGGAAAATAGACCCGAAGTTGAACTTGAATCATTAGAATACATAGAACTAGGAGAACTCACTGGACGAATCTAATGTCTAACGCAAAAGAAACGCTTTTGCTAGTGGGGTGCTGATTACGTTTTTGGGAGCCCCCACATCTCTGCAATGACGAGAGGGCGCGTCAATCGATGCACGCATCTCGTCAGATGGTGTGTGTTTACACTAAGTGCTCGTACTAGTACACGACGTCCATGCTCGCATTGTATTCGCTTTCGCGCACCCGGAGGGTCCTACAACTTGCAGCGCTCGAAGAGGTGGAACTGCAGGGAAAATACTCCGAGTGGTCGCTTGAACATTTATTCGCTCGAGATTGATGCGCCATGCGATTAAGATTATGCATTGATTATTCCCGGCCCAGCGACACGCTTTTCTCAGCATCGCGTTCGTTCAAAATACCGAATTAAGTACGAATCCGAGCAGTCGCCGGACAAAAATCATGAACGACAGCAGGACAACACTAAGAGTTGTGCATAGTTTTAAGAAACAAAGGTCCACCAAGAACTACTTCACGAAAAATAAAGCATAAGCAACAGATAAATAAACCACGTCATGTCCCTCTCCCCCAGCACGACCGCCTCCTCAAAACAAGCCGGCGCGGCTTTGATGCGACGTGCGAGTAGTAGCTCCAGCACGACCTCCGCATCGAATGCAAACGCTGCTTCCTCCGTCCGGCTACTCCTTGTCCGTCACGGTGAGTCCGAGTTTAACGCAGCCATCCGGTCTCCCTCCTGGTGGCTCTCGCCGCGTTTTTACGCGAATGGGTTTGACCCGGGGATCCGCGACCCGCAGCTGACGCCGAAGGGATATGGCGTTCGCAACTGTTACATTCTCAACTGTTACATGGATTCGCGATGCAAGAATGGGAAACGTGAAAGGGGTGGCATTGCGCGTCTTGCATGACAGATTTGGTACAGATTATCAGCCTGCTTGGCCTTTCCAGAATTTGTCATGCAGAACAGCTTGATCGTGTAGATGATAATGGTAGTTTTGCATGACAAATCATGTAACAGTTGAGAATGTAACAGTTGGGAACGCCATAAGGGACGAAGGCAGAGTGTGACGAACCAGGAGAAACTGCAACAGGCGATACGGGATGAGTTGCGGAGGTCGCTGACGTTCGACGAGGGAGAGCAGGAAGATCATGCAGTTGGGGCTGCTGGGAACGCGAAACAACATAATTCTAGCGAGGAAATAAACAAAGCAGTGAAGCATGACAGGGCAGAAGAGGACGAAGAAGCAGCACAGCAGCTGCTCCCCGGTGCAGTGGAGGAAGTGGTGGACGCATCGGCGATAGCAAAAAATCCGAATGCAGCTGTACAACGAGGAAACAGTACCAGCAGCTCTACGGGCGCCGCGAGCAGTCGAGCGCCATCAACCTCGTCGATGCAGCTAGCAATCTTCACCTCTCCCTTCCAGCGCGCAATACAAACGTCACTGCTTATGCTCGGAAGAGCGGATTTAGACGCGAGTAAATCACCGAAAACGCGCAGTGGTGCAGCTTCCAGCAATACAATAAACGCCGGCAGTGCAGAGGCAGAACAGCATGACAAACAGCGGAAAAAAACTTCCTACATCGGCGGTTTTTTCCGCGCTCTGCTTCCCAGGACCTCGACGTATCCTGTGCAAAAAGGTCTCCACCCCAGAGTTGTCATGCAAATGCGCAATGATAGGAACATTTGTATTGCGCAGCTCCATGAGCGGCATAATTTTCAGTGGTGTTTTGGCATTTGTAATGCTGTAAACAGGATGAGAGAGCGGCTTTCTCATGCGGGGTTCCTTGCTAGCCAAAACTACACTGCAGATGGAAAGTTGTCACGCAGAACTCCCAAAACTTGGGGATTTGTGTTGCAGACTTCCCATCTTGACTATGGTACGGGGGCGTTTCTGGATAGGATACGACGAAAAGTAAGATCATGCCGATCGGGAAAGTGGACTCGAACACTAATTCGATAGTATCAACACATGCAAATATATCTGGGTCCGAAAGAATGCAAGTTTGTCATGCTGAGTCTGGACTATGCAAAAATCTGTGTTGCATGATTACCAAAAGTAGTTGCCCAATCAATCTTGACCAAGTTGGGAGGGAGTTTCTCATGCAGGATAAGCGTGATAGAGATCTCACAGAATCTGTCACGCTAGTAACTCCTGCATTCCAGACCTCAGGGGTCATGGCAAATCAGCATGACCAATCTCGCATTCTTCCAGACGCAGACATATTTGCAATGCATAGATAGCTGCGCATGACCATGACCACGAGAGAACACTGACAAACAGCACCATGACCGGCCAAAACACCATCGTAGCCCTAGCAGCTCTCCGCGAACGGTGTAAGCACATCAGCGATTTAGGGACACCGTTGGAGGAGTTAAAGCAGATCTATCCGGGCGTGAACTTTGACAGCAACGAGGGTTGTAGTACTTCTGCATCAACAAAAAATATCACGACGTCGAAAAACGATACCACAGTTGTCGACCAAAAATCGTCAAGAACAGCAACAGACAACTCCTGGTGGCTCCCGAAAAGCAAAGTTGGTCTAGTGGACGCTATATGCATTGCAAAAGGATCGTACAACTCGTAGTATTGCTATACAAATTAGGTCAGCGAATTTGTCATGCTGATTTGCTTGAAAAAGAAATTTGTCTTGCATGACTGCGATTAGTACGAGTACGATGCTTTTGCATAGGATACGCGAGTAAGTGGGAACCCAGCTTGCTACGAGGGACCATCGAAAAGAAGGAGGAGGTATATAATACTGTAGTTTCATTCCATGTTTTTGTCATGCGGTAAATGCAACTTTGGAAACAGGCTTTCGCTTTGTCATGCACGACAAGAACGACTGTAGTTGAAGACTGATTGCCGATAATCGTTGGAAATCATGGCAGTCGTAAATACAACTAGGTCCGCGCCCGCATAGACGAAGTGAAGCGGTTTTTCCTACAGCAACAAAACGCAAATTTGATCATCGTCTTATGCACTGCATACATGTCTGGGTCTGGAAGAATGCAGCTTGTGATGCTAAATAAGGACTATGCAAAAATTTGTGTTGCATGATGACCAAAAGCTGTCCACTTTTGACCAAGGTGGGAGTGAGTTTCTTATGCAGGATAGGGATGATACAGATCTCACAGAATCTTTCATGCTGAATCCTGCATTGCAGGCCTTGTGTGTCATGTTGAACCTGCATGAGAAGTCTTGTACTTACTCCTCCAGGAGACCCAGAAATATTTGCATCTGATACGTCTTCGGCCACTCCAACTACTTCCGGGCCTTCATGCCGAACAGCCGAAAGTTGGCGAACGCCGAGATTTATCCTGTGCAAAAGTATCGTACTCGTATAAATGCTAATGCAAGTCTTGCATTACAAACCTTGTTCTCAAGCCAGATTAGCATTACAAATTTTATTTCTCATACTGAGGAAATTTGTAATGCATTTATACGAGTGCGATACTTGTTTTGCAGTGCATAAGATTGCGAGCTGCACGCTCCACAAGGACGGGGAGGTGTCGGACGTGAAGTTTTTGTGATAATTAGTAGAGTTCCGGTTGTGTTTCACGTGAACACAGCAGATGAAGTAGGGACAGTACTACAAAATAATATCGCAGCTAGTTGTCGTGATTGCATTCGAATGAACTCGTCAGCGTTTTGTACCATAATTTTTTGAGGAGCATTGGCACGTTTGGTGCCGTTGCTCTGGCTTTTCTTGATACATGTATCTACGACCTACTGTGCTTGTACCATATTTTTGTCAACGCCCAAATTTTCCGCACGAAGACACTATGTACGATACAGCTTGTCACATGCTAAAAACGATGAAATAGAAACAAAGCCCTCACATAGCTTTACAACAGTAGAAACGAAAGCTTGTTTTTCTGAAGATCATCGGCATGAGGAATGAAGAAAACTACAAGGGTTGTTCGTGGAGCAATTTACTTTCAACGAGAACCACGAAAGGGCGGTAGTGGTTAATTCCAATCCGCTCTAGAGTTCTTCTCAGTAGCACGCAGTGCAGTGTTCGATACAATCCAAATCGTTTCGTTTAGCCGAAGAGTTTGGCGTCGTTTTGATGAGATTCCGTAAATCGGCGAAGTACCGCTACAAGTTCGTTCACAGCAGTTGATTGGTGTCTGTTGCTCACGACAGACTAGTGCTGTACATGTAAAAATCGTGTTTTGGAAGTTTTTCGTATCTATAGTCTTTTACGTTGGTCGTTCATGATCGTTGTGGTCCTCTCGTCGTAGCTGTCGTTCGGTTCTTTCACCGTGCGTCCATTCAGAAAGAAGCAGTGTGTTGTGTAGTTGGTGTTGAAGTCGCTGTACGTTGCTCGGCTCGTGCGTATCGTGGTTTGGTGTAGCGTGTATACTCGTCCGAGCATCTAAAAATTCTACACACAAAGGAAAGAATTGGCAAACTCACGTTCCTCTTCAGGTGTGAAAAAACTCAATCTCGCCCCACTTGCACCCATCAAACGCCCTCACCCTAACCCTTAACCCTAAACCGCATTGCACACTACACGATGAAGATGTGCTACCCAAAGTAAACTATGCTCAATTGTTTTTGATCATGCTTTTGCTTTTCTACGTGTCCCCCATCAGATGAAGCTGACCAAGAGGACAGAGTGTTTTGACTCCACCAAGTATTTTTGACCGTTCCCCTCCGCCAGACCCAGAGGACGTGTCCTGTCGAGAAGCAGGAGCAAGTGGGAGCTCTACTCCAAAAGCAGAAGCTCGCTTTGCAAGAAAATGGTAAAAACACCAGGTCAACAACCACGACCAGTCTATTCTGGTCATTTCTTCCTCCTGTTTCTCGGTGGTGACAGCAATAGAAGTTCCACGACATCCGCGTTACGAGTCGGCGTTGTGGATTACAAGTTGAGTAGGGACAACAAATCCACTTCAAAAAGCAAAACTGCCCGCCCGACGTCGTTTTCCAGGCTCTTCGTGCCGGGCGGAAGGAATAGAGGACGAAAAGTTGGTAGGACAGAACAAGAAGATCTATCACCGATAGAAGCAGGAGAAGGAGATAGCGATGACCTTGTGTCGACTCCTGTGGCAGCAGCATCTCGGACTTCCTTGCACAGCAGAGATGATGATTATGAAGGAGCAGTCCTCAAGAACTCGTACTACCTCGACAAGAGCAGCTATGTCGATGGCGGTAAACAAGAGCAAAACCAAAACTACGAGGAAAGTAATGGCCACGGCTACGACTACGACGTGGTATCCTCGCAGAACAAACGGCACCTCGAAGAGGAGCTTGATCTTTCTTCTTCAAAACTGGAATTAATAGGGAAAAACAAGATTGGTAACGAAGAGGGTAGTGCCAGTAGCTCGGAGCAGGACTCAGTAGAACCATGGAGAGATGGACGAGCCGGCGAGGACAACCTATACTACGCGAGCAGCTCGGAAGTAGACGAAAGTGTAAGTGACGAAAGAGAAGAGCAACGAGAGAGTTTTGTCGAAAACACTAGCCCTACTTCCGCCGAAGACGAGTCCTCCGACGATGATCATCATGATGACCAGCACCCGTCTGACGACATCTACCTGGGCAGTGCACTGGAGCAAGAACGACTACCGAAGCAAGCAAGCAGCTCAAATAATAGCCCCCCGCGGCTGACGTTGAAGCACAAGATGAACCGGAAACTGCACAATAGAACTCCAGGATCGGCTCGTCCCGCTGCGGGCACCGTTGAAAACCCTTCACCGGCACGACCTGAATTCCACCTTCGAAAAGAACAAGACGCCGAAAGAGAAAAGGACAACTTGTTCCTGGAACTCGATCATACAAGAGGAAGAGCCAAACTCTCCACCTTCACGCCCGATGTGACGTTCGAAACGCACTTGGACGCCTGGTGCCGGCTCGGAAAATCCGAAGACAACTTCCTAAAAACCTACGAGACCGACGACTACAAGGCGTATTTAGAGGCTATCCAGGTGGATAAGAGCACGCTCACCTACTGGAGCGGGATAAGCTGCGAAGCGAAGTGTCGGGATAATCCAAACTGCTACGCCTACGAAAAATCCGTAAATACGGGGCGGTGCTCACTTATGGGAGTGTCAGGATTGAAATTGACAAGGTTGAAAAAATAACTTGTAATGCATAAAATCGATACCAGTAGGAAGCCCAATTTCCAAGCTGTCCATGACAAATTTCGGCACCGTCTAAATCCAGTTTGTCAACATGCTCCTTGGGCACAGAAAAATACTTTTGTCATGCTCCTTTAGCAGCTCTATCCCAAACCCTAAATAGGCTCACAAAAATCTGCCTCACTTGCCATCCCGGCAAGACAGGCACTTCATGCCTTGCATTTTATGCATGACAAATCATTTCAACTTTGACGATTTCAAATCTGACACATCCATAGCACTGTTTCACGTGCCGGTCACCTGGACCGAATTACAGCAGAACGACCGTTACAAGACCAAGGACCCAAACACCAGCCGCAGGCGCTACACTGGGGTTTTCGCGTACACAGGTCAGAAGTACACCGCAACAATTCCGGAAAATGAACCCGAAGCTTATGCCAAGGGGTCTGTTTGCGGCGTGAAAGCGGAGAAGACCTATTCAACGCGATACCTGGATGCACTCGCTTACCAAGACCACTGGAATAGCATGTGCCGTGCCGGTCGGGTCGGGGATAACCTCGCAGTCGTGTCGCAAGACGGGGTACGCATTGCAGATATGTCTGGGTCTGGAAGCAGGTTGCAACTTGTCATGCGCATTTCAGACCGCACAACAATTTGTCTTGCACAAACAGCAAAAGTTGTATTTTTGGCCATGGTGATGTTGAAAGCGGATTTCCCAGGCAGAGTAGGGATCGTGAAGCTCTTGAAGAACCTGTGATGCTAGTTCTGCATGCCAGACACTCTCTCTGGGTCATGCAAAAGCAAAACCTGCATCACAAACATCTGCATTCTTCCAGACCTAGACAAATTTGCATTTGATACGGGGTAGCACCGAACGTGTTATCGATATATTCCGGCGTGACGAGTGTCGCTATGAATTGCAAAAGTATCGTACTCGTATAAATGCATCACAAATTATTTCCTCATCCTCAGCATGTGAGAGTATATGCATGATTGCAATACGAGTGCGATACTTTTACACAGGATAGTCGCTGACTGCAAACAAAAGTGCACCGACAATGACGCTTGCGTCGCGATTCAGTTGTTCTTGCACAACGCCAAGGATAACTGCAAACTACTGCAGTCGACAAACTTATCACAAGAAAAAACTGTTTCACCGGGATGACTTATTGCATCACAAGTTTGCTCTACACCACAGAGGAATTTCACCACGAGCTTCCTATGGGAAAGTTCGCCTACAATAATGCACTGTCTTGCATGTGTAGCAAGACAAACATAATAAATGCGATACATTTTCTGCATCACAAGTTCACAGTGAAACATTTTTTTCTTGCGATAAAACGAGAAAGAGGACATTACGTACACGCGAATTAACAAATCAAAATTGCGGGACAACCAGGAGGGCACGCTTTGTGCCGTGAAAATGTCCAAGTACCGGGAGATATCAAATGCAAAAATGTCTGGGTCTGGAAGATTGCGACTTGTCATGCTGTTTTTGGACTCTAAAAAAATTTGTATTGCATGACCAGGAAAAGGAGCCTAGTTTGTGCTACGCGGGTGGGCATTTAACATGCGGAGTAGGCAACAGGAAGCCCTCTACTTAAAAATCTGTGATGGTAGGTCGTGCATTACAGACATCCTGGGTCATGCCAAATATGCATGACAAACCCGGCAACAATCCAGACCCAGACATTTTTGCATTTGATAGGAGAAAAACAAGTGCAAGTGCGACAACGGAAGCAAGGATGAGGAGTGGTTTTGCACAAAAGAGATTCATATCCTGTGCAAAAGTATCGTACTTCTCGTAGTAATTGCAGTCCTGAATTACAAATTTTTTTCTGAAAGTGAATCCGCATGACAAATTCCATTTCTCATGCTGAGCTAATTTGTATTGCGGTACAAGTACGACGAGAGTACGATAGTACTTTTGCGATTCATAATTCAGATGTGCGCCAGCTGCAAGGACACAAACTACGAATTGAAGGATAATTACCCGGCCCCGCGACAGCGAGGCTGCGAACCGAAAGCGAACATTGTGACGCAGCCACCTGTAGAGCCCGTCACGACGGAACAACCCGTCGTGACCAAGGAACCCGGCGTCACGGCAGATCCCAGCGCGACGGAAGCTCCGGGTGGAGACAATGGAAACAATGCTGCAGCAGGCGCGGACGGCGCTGGGGCTGGTACAACGACGGGTGGTGAGCAAGCGGGGGGTAGTGGAACAGGTAGTACAAGTACTTCCGCAGGAACTACATCAAATCATACCCAGGATAACAACGCGACCTCCGCTGGCGGCGACGGCAGCATGCCGCAAGCGCATCTTGCGCCAATGGAGGGGGCCACGGTGGAATTTGTCAATGGCACCTTGCAACAAGTGGTTCCTGAAGAAGGTGAAAATGCGACGAAAGAGGAAGAAGCAGAGGACGAGGGAGACGAAGGCTCCTTTTTCACCTCCAAGGTGGCGGGAGCCATCCCTGTTTGGGCGTTGTTCGTTATCGGTGGAGCTTTGTTGCTCGGGTTGGCTGGGTTTGGAGTGTACTTTGCGTGGTGCGGTGGAGCTGGCCATGGTAGAAGTGTTGCGGCGGGCGGCCGCGCCAGTAGATTTTCAACAACATCCCGTGAATCTGCCCGTCCGTCCATCCCGGACATCAATATTGGTGGCTCAGCACGCGAGTCCGAGAGCATCAGGCCGAAGAAGAAGGACAAAAAGGAGGAGAAGAAGCACAGAAGTAGCCAGAAGAAGTATCAACATGAAAAATCCCCCCTCCCCATATCAAAATAAAAATTTGTGATTCTGATTTGTGGTCACAAATGATCATCTTTGTCTTGCCTATAGGGCAATAGAAGCCATGTGGCGCATTCCAAAGCCAATCTGTCATGCGCTTTCGGCTACTGCAAACCTGTCTGGCATGCGTTCTTGCTAGCCTTCTGCATACCCGAACCGGCTTAGGAAATGCTGCTAAGCACTTTGTTTCTGCAAGAGAAAGCTCATTTGTGTACGCAAATCCAGCATCACAGACTTCGTTTTGATGTGGGGTGGGGGGATTTTTCCTCACAATAAGAAGAATCACTCGTCTTCTGACGAGGACGAGAAGAAAAACAAAAAGTCAGGGTCCTCAAATAAAGCCGCGGGTACCAGCTTGAAGGACAAAACTACGAAGGACATGTCCCGCGCAGCACACGGCGCTTTGAAGGCCTTCAACGCAGACAAGGATCGTTCTGCAGGAACATCAAACCGGGCGAGCGCGAGAACGAGCAGTCACCGGGGCGATCATCATGACAAAAAGTTGAAGCGCAAGAAAAGTGAAGGGGAACATATCAAATGCAAAAATGTCTGGGTCTGGAAGATTGCCAGATTTGTCATGCTTGTCTGACATGACTCGAAACTCTGTCATGCGTATGTGCAAAAAGATCGCTTTGTCTGTCATGCAAAAACGCAGTTTGCCATGCTGAATACGCTACACATAGCAGCTCAAAAACTTGTCATGCTTGGCCATGTATGACAGTGCGCCCAGTATTCCCTGGTTTGCATCACAAGTTTCCAGACCCAGACATATTTGCATTTGATATAACACTCTGGGCAGGAACGCTCGGACCGCGGGAGTCGGGTCAGTAATTTTGGGGTTGGTAGGAATAGCAGGAGATCCGTGAGTGCGCCTAGTACGCGGGCAAGCAATATCAAATGCACAAATGTCTGGGTCTGGAAGATTTCTAGATTTGTCATGCATATTTTCCATGATCCATGTCGTCTGGAATGCAGGACCTAGCATGACAGATTCTGTCAGATCCCTATCATGCCTATCCTGCATGAGAAACTGCCTCTCGATTAGGTCAAAAGTGGGCAGCCTTTGGTAATCATGCAACACAGATTTTTACATGATTCAGATTTAGCATGACAAGTTAGCATGACAAGTTAGCATGACAAGTTTTTAATGATTCAGATTTAGCAAAAAAAAAAAAAAATTTAGCATGACAAGTTGCATTGTTCCAGACCCAGACATTTTTGCATTTGATAAGCAAGGTGACGAATGACAGTTTCGGACCCAGGGCGAGCAAGTTCAGCAACGATCGTCCTAGTGGATTCAATCTTTCACTGCTCAGCTCCGGGGAGCCCAAGAAGAAAGACAAGAAAAGGAAGTAAGAAAAGACTGTATGATTTTCTTCTGCTTGTGCTTGTGTTTGTGTACTAGCAGGATAGATTTAATATTTTCGCAAGGAAAAAATGTACCTACACATGGTAGTAGTAAGCGTAATCACGATATTAAAAGTTGTTCCCCATAGAAAGATAGTTGTAAACCTAATCCCGCTTGCGAATTGCAGTACCAGGATGAGCAATTCGTTGATTTGATATAATTTAGTACTTCCTACCTCGAATGAAAATGGGTCTAGTACTTCTCCGTCCCCAGAATCATCACCATGGTACAACTACGTCCTACTTGGAAGAAAACAAGCACCACCAGACGATCGTGATTCGTGCCGTAGCACATAATGATCTCTGTGCGTTTCTTGTTCTGGAAAAATTGTATTTGTTCGTCCCTGCTTGTGGTTTCCTCCTCGTGTAGTTTCCTTTGAAAGCTGAGTCGTCGTAGTAAGTACCACCTTCATTCAACTACTTGCACACCTTCGTCGTTCGTCCGGTGCAAGAAAAAATGCGATTGGAATGTGTTTGACATGCTGCGCTTGATGTTGTTACTCTTCTCGTCGACGTACAAAAGTGGTATAAAAGATCTTCGTCGTGTTTGTACAAAATGAAAATTTATCGTACAAGAACTGCTCGCGATGATAGATTGCCTCGTTTGTTTCGTCCTGGTTATTTCCGTCGTGCAAAGATAAAGAAACCTGACCCTGAACTCGTGCAGATGGTTTGCATGCTTGCGCTTAAGAAAATGAACGTATATGGTTAGCAATGTCGTAGTCGTCGTGTACGACGGACTTTAGTTTCTTTGTTTTGTTGCATAATCGTCCAGTGTCCGTTTTACTTTTACTGTGTTACCCTGCAGGAAGAGCCCCCCACAGCCTGTACATGCGTACTGGTACCTACCACTAATCTCATCCCAATGAAATAAAGAATTTAGTCGACAACCTTGAGAGCTATCACCCAACCTCATTTCAGACACAATGATGTCCTTCATAGGGTCTGGCTCCCTGCTCGTCCCTGCGAACAAAACGAAGGTCGTCGTCGTGAAAATAAGCTCCTTTTATTTGGTCATCCTGTATCATGCTTCGATTTTTGGGTCTTTATTCAACTATGATGTTGAAGATTTCCAAAACTTAGCTCGACAGCGGAATAATTTTGACGATGTACTATTTGATGCCGAGACGAGGACCTCAATAGGCACCTCTATTTCCACCTCCACGGCACGCACACATAGAAGAACATCGCTCGAAGAAAGAACAAGCACGAGTGCCTCCTCTCGAAGTAGTTTTTTCGCAGCGGCAATCAAACTGAAGGTAAATAAAGCCCATTCGCCGGATCATGATGGAACAGAAACTCAGGAGCTGGCCCACCCCCGGAAGAACAGGGAAGTAGAACAAGATGTCCTTCTTGCGCGGCAGCGCAAAAAGTATATCAAGCTGAGGAAAAGTAGAAAGAAGACAAATAAAAAGCAGAGCTTTATCGCGTCTCTTCGAACAAGCACAAGAAGTAGCAGGAGCAGCAGCAGCGGTTCGAATGCGAAAACAGAAAGCATTAACTTGTCTGATGATGATCAAGTCGCTGCTTCGGCTCGTCCCTCCCCGACGGCTACCGTGCTGCAACTTGGACGACGATCTAAAAACAGCAACTACCCTGCGAACGACTTCAACACCGCTACCAGACCGAAACTGTGTTTAGAGGAAAACTCTGCTGAGCGGGAGAACCCGTCGAAAGGGTTCCGGGAACACACCGACGATATGAATTGCAAAAGTGTCTGGGTCTGGAAACTTGTGATGCGAAAATGTGGATGATGGAAACAGTTCCAAATGCAACCTGGCAGGACAACTTTCCAGAACGCTTCTCCATAGGCAATCCGCATGAGAAACTGCGTGCTTGCATGTACAAAAGAGGCTGCGACTGTTGTAGGCTATGCAATACAGATTTCCTAGGTATGGAAAGCTAGCATTACAAGTTCCAACCTTCCAGACCCAGACACTTTTGCATTTGATAGACGAGAACCACACCAAGGGTAAGGGCTACTGCCAGGAGAACCAGGCCCGGTGCTTTGGCAGTCACTGTCCCAAGAACAACGTCAAAACCGCGTGGGGCTGGAAACAGCGGTGCTGTTTCGACCGCAATATCAAATGCAAAAATGTCTGGGTCTGGAAACTCGTGATGCTAAAACGTGGATGATGGAAAAACTTCCGAATGCAGCCCAGCATGACAACTTTCCAGAATGCTTTCTCATAGGAAGTCCGCATGAGAAACTGCGTTTTTGCATGGCAAAAGTGGCTGCGTCCTTTGTTGCTTATGCAATACAGTAATGTGGGGTTAGCATTACAAGTTCCAACCTTCCAGACCCAGACATATTTGCAATGCATACGCAAGTGCGACCGGAAATTAAGCCCTTCCAGTGACCCGGGGCTATTTGAGAAGGATGAGGGGATTATTCCGCTCGGCACTGAGCACCCGGAGAGCTTCGCTTATTGGGTCGCCAAATTTGACTCGGAAAGCTGCAACGACTCGGAGGAAGTCTGTGTGCAGCACCCGAATTGCCGAGGTTTTTGGTACCCGGCCACCCCTTCGGAGAAGGAGACGCAAGACAATTTGAACCAGTGGCAGATGCCGAGCACCTGGGGCGCGATCGGGTTGCAAGAGCCGACAAACGAAGCAAAAATCGAGGTCACGGAGTCAAATCCAGCCCTCGGCCTGGACATCTTTTTGCAAACGGAAAAGCGGGGCGCCTGTTGCGGCCTCAACGACTGCAATCCGCGGGAGCAGCACCGCTTGCAGGCTTGGCGGCAGTGCGGGAATAGCAAAGAGGTGTGTGAGGGCATGGGAGATGGGGGCTGCAAGCGGTGGTGGGTAAGTTTTGATCCGGATCTGTACATCGAGCCGGCACCTGGACCTGCCCTCCCAGAGGACAACACCAATGCCCCCATAGCAGGAGGAGCGACGACGAAGCAGCCGGGATTAAACACGGAAACTTCCCCCGCAACGGGCGATGAAAATAGTAGTAGCGCGGACAGCACGAACAGCGAGGAAACAGAAGCAGGAGCTGCTGCTGCTGCTGGAGGCAATTCTACTGTTGCCGGCAGTACATCTTCCACTGCTGTCGCGAATGGTCTTCTGGCTCCTCCTGCTGAGTCCTCGCAGCAGGTAGTTCAGGAGTCTTTTAAAATCCCCGGTACTATCGAATGCAAAAATGATTGGGTCTGGAAGGATGCGAACTTGTGATGCATACTTAGATCACACAAAAATCTGTCATGCTTGGACAGTCAGCAAAAGGAGCTCTTTGTCCTGTCGCCGGAAGAAGGTGTTTGTCATGCGGACTCGGCATTGGGAAACCGTCTCAAAACCTGTGATGCTAGGCCTTGCATGGCACATCTTCTGTGTCAAGCAAACACAGCATAACAAGCCTCAGCAATCTTCCAGACCCAGACATATTTGCATTTCATAGGTACCAACGAGACGCAATCGCTGGAGGAAGTCCAAGCCACGGCGGACGAATCCAAAGCGGAGGAGGAAAGCAGTGGTCTGTTTTCAAAAGTCGGCGGCATTTATGAAATGCAAAGCATCGTATTAGAAGTTGTAATCACATTACAAATTGGCTCAGCATGACAAATGGAATTTCTCATGCTGATTTACCTTGAGAAGGAGAGTTGTCATGCATAACAGCAATTACTACGAGTGCGATACTTTTGCAATTCATAGCATTCCGCTGTGGGCGATCCTGGTCGTTGTGGTCTTTGCGCTGGTCGGGCTCGCTGGGCTAGCCGTGTTTCTTGTCTGCTGTAAGAAGAAAAAACCTGCCATTCCGGATATTGTCATCCCGCCGCCGCGGCCTTCGACGGCTCCCTCAAGTTCTAGTAAAGATAAAAAAGAGAAAAAAGACAAAAAGGAAGATGCCGGTGATCTTCATGCAGTGGGTTCAGCGAGCAGCAAGACCGAGAAGAAGGAACAAGACCACCGGCATTTTCACGCCACTGGTACTACTCGTAAAACTACCTCTGCTCCTTCCCAGGAGACCACGCACAACGTCACCAACTTTGGAGGTGGCGGCAGGCAGAGTGCGCGGCAGAGCCAGAGAAACAGAACGCCGACCCTGGATGATAGCGATGATGATGATGGGAATAGGAAGGAAAAGAAGCACCATCACCATCACAAAGATGATGGGGATGACGATCATCATAGCGGCCACCACCATAGGGACCGAGACGATCGGGATAGAGATCATCGGGACAGAGATCGAGATAACAGGGACAAAAAAGAAAAAGACCACCACAGAGATCACGGCCACGACGACAGACACGACGACAGAAAGTCGCATCGGGGCGGACACAGCGATCGCCCGAGCAAGATGCCCAGCAGCGACACGTATCGAGTTGCAAATATAGTATTTAGCAAAAATTCAATCTGGGGCAGGACGAAGAGTCAATTACATGCAGATGTTTGTGCACTGCAGATTTTGCACAAGAACCCACGGTGTATGTTCTAGCATCGCAAGTTTTGATTATGTGGTGGCTACTTCATATACCCACCTTGCCAGACAGATGCTCGCGGCTCCTCCGTGCAGCACATATTGGCGCGACCTTCATGTTGCACCTCATGCACGACAGATTTTTGTTGGATGATGTGCAAGGCCAAGGCGCATCACAGATTTGCAGAACTCGTTTATTCTAGACCCAGATCATGTGGACAAGAACATATTTGCATTGCATAAGACGAAGAGCGGCGGCCCCAAGTCGGACGATAGGGATGGCAGAAAGGAAAAGAAGGAAACCCCCAGTTTACGCGTTGCAAAAGTGTTACAAATCGTACACGTAGAAATTTTGCATCGATCTGCTGTAATTTTTGCATGACAAGTTTAGGTCTCTGCTTCCAAAATCGAAATTTGCGATGCTGCGAGTCGGCTAAGGCTGCAGAGCTGTCATGATGCTTGGATGAACATCAACATACGGGTACGATAAAACGACTTTTGCCGAGGATAGTTTCGGCCGTCGATGGCTTGGTCGGCATTGCGACCTGGCGCCCCGGGGAGCCACGACAGGAAAGAGAAGAAGGATAAGAAGCACAAGGAGAGGTAAACATAAACATCGACTCTGATGTCTTTGTCTCAGTGGAAGCAAGTACTTGTGTATTGTCATGTTGAAATCTCGCAGAGTGTCCTATGTTGAGTATCTGCGTATTAAATTATATTGCAAGTAGGCAATGCCGCCGATAGTTCACTTACGTTTTTTTCTGTTGCAAAAGTAACATTCAACCCCAGCACCCGCCCGACGCCTACGACCTTCAACTTCCATGTATCTATTCTTTGTTGCCTAACGACCTGTAGAATTTATTGTTCGGACGAGTTTCGAAAAAGATTGTACCTTCATTTGCAATGTGATCACAGACCGAAGGGAAGAGAGAGTGGCTGCTTACTTCCGCGACCGAGGTGTGCAGGTACTGCCAAAGTGTTCCGACAAGAAAGAACAACAAGCTGGAGCATAATGTAGCTCCTGTTTGATATTTATTCGAAGAAGTGGCGTCTCCTGAAGGTCTCTCTTGGCCCCCCGCTCCTTTTTAGCGAGTCTCGGCGCATACAATCAGTCAGACGTAAACTCCCTCTATTGATGACATGCATTTTGAACAAGACAAGGAAGATCCACACTCCTTTCACTCGCAACAACAAACAACAAGAATTCCATCGAAGATCCAACGCAGTCTTCTGACGTACTAAAACTGCACTAACATAGGTTCACACACACATACACACACACACACGACCGCTCTAACCACTATTTTTGTAGCTTCAGCAGCTGTCTACGCAAGAAACAGACTAAGTGGATGCTGATGCTCGCCTTGGACTTATGATTTTTAGCTATTGAATTGTTTCTAGCACGACATGAAACTATCTTCTTCAGCGACAAACGGTTACGGTTCTTCCGGCAGATAGACATTGTCAACAACAATTTATTTTCGCGGCTAGAACCTAGTACTACTACTACACAGAGACAGTAAATAAAATTTTTACCAAATTAGTCCTCGACCAGCAGTCGTCGAGCAAGGTCGTTATAGTACCAGGCCGCGGGAGTAGTAGAATACTTGTTCGTCTTTTTGAAGAAGAACAACAACAGTCGCTCGACCTATATCACCTTGTCGTACTCCTCCTCCTCCTGAAGGCGTAAACCAAAACTCCTTCTTACTTCAAGATGGCCCCAGCGACCTCCTCCTCCGCAGCCGCACCCCCCGTCGCCATGGACGTCGACGGCGAGGGTGAAACCAAAACGCCTGAAGAAAAAGTGGTCGAGGAGGTATTCTACCCAAAATTTGAAATCGCGCAATTACGAGCGAGGTACCTCCGGGACCGGTCACCCGCAGTTCTGGCGGAATTGATGAAATACGTGAAGGAGGAGAGGATGCTGCCGTTCTACAAAAAGTTTTGTGAGGAGGCAAATGTAAAAATCGAGGACAAATTGGTCAAGGAAATGGAGAAAGAAGTGGAGGAGAAGGTACATATTAATTTAGCTGAATTGTGCTATTCTATCTGTGAAACAGCGCTGATGTTGTAGTCGCTCCGGCAATTATTTTTGCAGCACCATGGGTTGTCATGCACAAAAGGGTTCGACTTCGTCTTCGATCATAATGCCATAGGAGAAATAAGGATGGACGATGTCAGTAAAATGAAATCGCGAGGACTTTGTCATGCCAATAGAAGCTGCAGCACGGGCAGCGCGATCGGTCATGCGTTCTTGCAAGCATACAGGACAAGTTGATATTAAAATGAATTCTATAATCAGGTGAAAGCCTTCGACGAGAAGCTAAAAGACGCTGAAGAAAACCTTGGTGACGTGGAGGTAAAATCCGCAATACTCGACAAAGCGGACTATTTCAACAAAACTGGCGACCAGGAGAAGGCGTTCGAATTTTACGAGAAAGCCATGACAAAAACCGTGGGGGGTGGGTACCGGCTGGATAACATACTAACGAGGTTACGAATCGCATTGTTCAACGACGACCAAGAACAGATCAAGAAAATGCTAGCATTGGGACAGGAAGAAATGAAGAAGGGTATTGTTTTATCGCTTTTTTGACAACAGCTTTAACTTGCGTTGCATCTGCTACTTTTGTATCTGACGATGATGGAAAAATATAAATGACACGTCGACCTGCTACTTGTGATGCCGCAAAAACCACCTACCATGATCATGTGTACAAGTAAGTTAGTATCGTGTTGCTGTGCAGCCATAGACCACCTAGCTCCATCTTCAAAACTATCAATGATCAGGGGGCGACTGGGAGCGAAAAAACAAGCTGAAAGTGTATGAGGGCGTCTTCAAGGTTATGACCGGCGACTTCGAAGCTGCGGCAAATTTGTTTCTCGCCGGCGTTGCAACTTTCACCGCGACAGAGATATTGAGCTTCCAGGACTTCGTACTACTTTTTGTGCAAGACTTTGAACTCGTTTCTGTTTCTGTTTCAACCACTCTCTTGGTGTTTTGTCATGATGCAAAAATTAAAATAGATTCAATTTCGAAAGGTGTTTCTGTTAGGGTGCTATTTATTGGCTCATGCAATAGTAGTACAAGCAGTTGTAAAGAAACTAAAGTAAAAAGACCAAAATTGCAGGTTTTCTACACGGTCCTGTGCTCCCTTATCGGCCTCTATCCAAGAAAAAAACATTGTAGGTGTACCTTTTTTGGAGGAACAGCATTACAAATTTGTCTGGCATGACAGCAAAAACCTGTCATGCGCAGATTGTACGTGAAAACGCCCTTTAATGGACCCTGCGATGCATGCCAAGCATGACAGACGCAATCACCTTGCATGTTGAGCATTACAAATGTACACTAACAACGTTTTTTTTCTTGGATAGCCTCACCCGGGCGGATTTGAAAAAGAAGGTTATCGGGTATGACCCGCTCAGGTGTTACAATCTCAAACGTTGCAAGAGAAAATGGAAATCTGTGATGCGAGAGTGCATGATCTAGCCAGCTCTCATAGAAGGATTGCGCACGACAAGTTCCGGAGCCCCAAACAGGACTACATCCTGGCGAAATTTGTATTGCAAAAGGTGGAATGCTGTGCGAGTCTGTCATGCTCATCATGCAACACAAATTCCAGACTCTGTATGTAACGTTTGAGAATGTAACGCTTGAGCAAGTCACATCGGGAGCCCCGAGATTTTGTCCGTCGTACACGAAAGGAAGCACATGAAGGAGTTTCTAAACGCGTTTTACAACTGCGACTATTTCAACTGGTCACGGGAACTAGTGCACATCATCGACCACGTAAAGGACGACCGATATTTCTATGAGAGTGCACAACTCCCCCTCCCCCTCCTTTGTATGGCATGAACAGCAATACAAACACCACCACACGTGGAGCCTGTGCATGGCAAACGTATGTACCTCATGTAGTAGAAGTACTGCTTGGGCTTTCCTTCCGGAATCTGTCATGCAAACAGTGCCACAAGGCAGTACTGGATTTGCGGTTTTGCATGGCAAATGAGAGGGAGGAGGAGTTGCGCACTCTCATAATGTCCAGCCAAATTTGATGAAAATCAGCCGGCACTTGAGGTACAATAGCAGGATCTCCTCTAGGACTTGTGTTCCAATGCAATGCATGACACATAAGGGCTAGGGCCACGAGAAGTTATTTCAGTGCAGCAATTCGGCATAAGACGAGGTTTAGAAATTCTCGATAGAAGACGAAATCTGTCATGCAATATACTACTCAAGCTCAAGCAAAAAGAAAAACTACCTCGAAAGCATTCACAACTTCACACATTCTATCCAGGTTAAACGCGTACCGGCAGTTCATCACGTCCTACAAGTCCGTCACCATGAAATTGATGGCCGATACTTTGTATCAAATGCAAATATCGATCTGGGTCTGCTGGAAGAATGCCGGAGTTTGTGATGCAGATTTTGCATGTCCCATGATGCTTGTGATGCATGCCGTAGCATCACAGACTCTGCGACAACTTTCTGATTCTGATGGCCCAACCGCATGAGAACTGCCCTCTCCGCGTAGCAACACACTGGACCTCTTTTGCTGTTCATGCAATACAGATTGCATCCTCCCAGACCCAGATCGATATTTGCAGTGCATACTTTCGGCGTTTCCGAGCAGTTTATCGACAAAGAGATCTACACGTTCATCTCGCAGGGCCGGCTGAAGAACTGCAAAATCGACAAGATCGCCAACGTGATCGAGACAATAGACAACGTGAAGGACGAGAAAACGCTGTTGTACAAGGACATTTTGAAGGACGGAGACGTATCAAATGCAAAAATGTCTGGGTCTGGAAGAATGCAACTTGTAATGCGTATTTCAGAGCACAGAAAAGTCTCTCATGCATACGTAGCAAAAGCTCCCCACTTTCTGTCAGCAAAATAGGCGACTTGTCATGCGGATTCGGCATTGGGGAAGCTTCTCGCAACCTGTGATGCTAGAGCTTCCATGCCAGACCTTCTGTGTCATGCAAAAACAGCATGACTCTTTCACTTTCAGACCCAGACACTTTTACATTTGATAAGACGAGTTGCTGAACAAGATGCAGAAACTCGCCGCCGCGATCGACCGATAGTGAATTTGATGATGTCTTGCTCTTGCGCTTGAAATAAAGTCGAAGAAATTTTTAGTAGTGGTGGTGCTGGTGGTCCTTCTCCTCGCGCCGGTTGGGAAATCGCTGGCTGTACAAATTACAGCAGGAGGGCCACTCCTGCTCCTCTACTTCTACTTCAATTTCATCGCCATCATCTTCAGCGTACATCAAGGAGAAGTACACGGTTTTCTACACAAGAACTCTGTTTATTGGTCGAGAAACAATTGAACGTCGAGACGAGGTTCACACGACGACCCATCTGGACCGGAAATCTCTATCCCTCAGGGGAAACTCAGATTTTTTCAAAAAACAATCCAAAAAATCTCCGCTCTCGTCAGTAGAAGTCGCGAACGGCTTGCTGGCCGAGAAAGGGACTCCCCAGGAAGTGCTAGCCTGCAGCGCTGGAGGTAGTTCAGGTGGTCGTGTTTGTATCAACTCAGAAGTGGAACTACTACATGCGTGAATGTTCATTGGTAGGAAGATCCTGCTGTGTCGCTCCTTGTACTACTAATACTATACGAGTTCTTGTGCATTGAAAATAACAAAAAGCGGTCCTCGAGAAGATCTTTCAACAGTTGCATGCAAAATGTTGTGTAGTCCGGGAGGACGATCCGTGCAGATAGTACAAATTCGCAGTGAGGACGAGACAGACGCAGTTTCACAGAGATGTGATTTCTTCTGGATCTCAATATTACCTGCCACGCTCGACTTTTTCTGATCCTGATACACCGATTTGAAGTTTTTTTCCAGCTGCAAATTCAAATTTGTGTTTGATGTCCTGCTCCAAGCAAATAAGTCCGCAGATTACGTAGAGAAACTACAATACATGACCTTTTTAACCAGCGCCACTATAAGCGGAATACATATGAGATGAATAACAAAAAGTATGGATCAAAAGTGAAACAACAGTGGCGTGAGCCGAAAGCGAATAAAAGTCTTGATGTCATAGCCTGATGTTGTAATATCGGATGTTTCACCAATTTATTTGCGCAACCCGTCTCTAAACTTTGATTGTCAAGTAAACTTAAGAAACCTTCACTCAACCTCCACGCCAACGACCTTCAAACACGACAAGAACAATTTACGCAAATGTCGACCACCTACTATCCCGCCGGGACCTACCAGGGCCACCGGCCGGGTTACGTTTTTAAACTCGGCGACCAGGGGCAGGGCTACTACCAGGATCTCGGCACAGCGGCGGCCGTAGCGGCGTTTTTTGGGCAGCAGCAGAACGGCGGGGCGGGCAGCAATATTCCAACGGAAAGGCCAAAACCGGTGTACAACAAATTCGCGAACGATGGGAGTTACTACGCAAAAATAACGGCAATGCTGCAGAAGAAAGCCCGGATTGAGAAGGCAGAGAAAGAAAAGATGGCAGGTATAGTCGTATTTAACAATGGCGATTCTGACAGACAGCACTAGATACTGCTGCTTTTTCTAGTACTTGTCATGCGAAATTAACGCGCGCAGTGTAGTGTGATACGGCCTAGGACTTAGCTAGAAGTCGCGCAGAAGAACATACCCGTGGTATCCGAAACTCCTCAAAAAATCTGTGTTGCAATAAGTCCTGATAAACTTCTAAACAGCAAACGGCACCCTGGGTGGTGGCAGTGGTCAGCAGCCACCCGCCGACATGGAAGTAGACGATCCAGTAAAAGAAAGGGAGAGGCAACAATTTTTGGCGGATATGGCTGCAGCCGGGCAGAAGATGCAGGCGGGACACTGATAGAGTTGTCAACATCTTCACTACAGAAGTATTTGGCTCCACTCCGTGCTACTCTGAGCGTCCGATTCTCGCTGATCATCAGGTGATTGATTCATGCTGGCACAGAAGGTGGATCTTCATCTTCATGGGAACAAAGAGGCAACGTTGATTAGCGTCTAGCTACAAGTAGTTCAAAGAAGACGATGGAAAACAAAAAGACTTCGTACGAGGACTTCTAGCGGACTAACTTCTATGTCAACTCATTTATACTTGTTTTTTTTGTTCAACTTCTTTCTTGTCTCGGTGGCTTACTACCCTGCATCGGTAACTCCGAGGAAAATCGGTACGCGTGGGTGGGCCAGAGGTGTAGTGAATGCGAATCAACAAAGTATTGTGTGGATTCTGTCTAAAGGTAAAGATGGTCATCGTGAAGATCGTGAAGATGGCACAAGACCTAGAATAAAAATATAACAAAATGGCACTTCGTGCTCGAGCTACTAGTTGCCCACCGTGAACAAAGAAGATCCCGTTTACCTACAAATTCGGTCAAGAAATCTCGATCTCAGAAAGTCCAGAAAAAAAAAAGTTATTCGACCCCGCATCGTATTACAGTTGTGAAAAGCAAATCTACATCGTAAAATCCGGCTTCGGAAGTGCTGGCAAACGATTCTTCGGTTGGATCCATTGTAAGATGTTGAGAGGGCTGCTCGGAAGATGAGGGCGTCTCCGTAACTAACCAAACACCTGATCATCCTCGGAAAATTTCCGACCTCTGAGTGCGACTGGAGTTTCGGTTCTTTTTGCAACACAGAGATCATTTCATGCAATTCAACAACTGTGATTTTTATGCTTCCTCCATACACATCAGGCCCCTGATTATTCTATTCACGCAATAGTCAACATCAAGTCTTGAGACCATCTCTAGTACAAAGCTTGAACTTGTTATCCGCAACAGCAACCATCAAAAAGCAACAACTCACAAAGAAAGCCTGCTCAGCGCATAATAATCGCATTCTGATCTCGCACACTAATCGCCTTCTGATCTGGTTTTAGATCCGAGACTAGGTTTGATTCATTTTTTTGATAAGAATTTCTCGGTCCTGCTCCCGCCCTGTCCAAATAAAAATGAAGGTGCTCTTCACTCTTGGTGCCAATACCGCAGCGCTGGTACTATTGGCCTCCTTGTCCTTGTTTTCCGAGAACATTTTTGCGGTCAATGCCGTGAAGGTGGATGGCCGTCGTGGCCAAGAGAGTAATCATCTTGCGGCGACGGGACTTGCGATGCACCCTCGTCCGTTCGAGTTCGCCGGAGGACCCGCTGATGCGAGTCGTGTTCACGCAGAGTGCGTGGAAGGCTGCTTGGCATTCCTACAACATAGCAAGAAGAAGGCAGCCCGGGGAACAGCCAGTGCGAAAGCAGAAGCAGGGAAGGAACGGCTTTCGCGTCCGCAGTTGCAGTTGGAGGCCCAACAAGGATTGACCAGCCACAACTAGTGCCCCGGATGAAATAAACGTCCTCAATAGTGAACAGAAACACAGTGCAGTCGGGCATGATGTTTCTTCGAACCTGGCTGTCCTTCGATACTCCGAGCAGCTTGATTCGGCAGAGTATAGTAAAACGCTGTGGCCGGTGGAAAAACAGAAAATTGTACGATGGAGGGCTCCAAGACTGGACGAGCCGGCGTTTGTGAGTTACTAGCCTTAAAGAAGTTTAAACCCTTTTGGGTTTTTTTTTGAAATGTACTGTATGAACTCTACCAAGAACAGCAGGAGCGTACGGCAGAAAAGCCAAAAAGTAGCAAGACGAAGCATATTTGCTTTAACGCTCACTGCAAAATTTTTTGCTTCCGCCCCCATAATTTCTTCTCAAAGTGCTGAGATTGTGAGTGACTCTGTATGATTAAAGGGCATTATAGTATTCTACGTAGATGTCCATTCTTGAGGAACATCAACACGGAATACGAATAAAGACCACATCTACATGTAAACACAAGTACTCAAACACTCAACCCCAAGATCCTGGATTTGTTCCACTTGTGCTGGAGATCCTGGATTTGTTCCAGTACCCTCAAATACAACGGAACACCAGCTGGCTACGATCACAACAACTCTTGTTTGGAAACTTCTTCAAACAATCGCAAAAACCGATATTTTGAAGCAAAACGTAACGTAGCATCACACCAGATTGTCTTATGTACGGAGGACCAATCGCGGAGCCTCTCGCACCGAGCAGGCTCTGGTTTTGGTGCTTGTGTTTTCATCTGCTGAAGATATAACGGTGTAGTACTTTAAGGTGTTCAAGTTTATCGAATTCGGCTTTGCCCAGGAGCGCAGAAACGGTAGTTCTTGAGCGCGTTCTTTCATTGATCGCGCTGTCGGTTCCGTTAGCGGTTGTATGAAATGGAAATCATTGTATTAATACGGCATTAGAGAAATTTTGCGAAGCTTTGTTCGTCTTGTTCTTTTCTTTCTACCGACCACGGCTGTTCGAAAAATCGGCTAATGTTCCGGAGCTGCCAAACCGAACAAGAACGACCAGTGCTGATTTCGAGTACTTTGGGCTGGACAATGAAGCTGCACGAGGAACAAGGACACGGCCGAAAATTTTTGCGGTTAATACTTTGACCGGCTGGAGCTGCTGAAAAGAACGAGCACCCCGCACGAAGAGCGACGAAGATGATGTGGACCCCGCCTCTATCGTACGGAAAACAAGATGAAACTGTGTAAAGTGCCTGGATTTTTCGGAATCACAGCACGACAGTTGACGCTGCAGATGCACTCTGTATGTATGTTTACAAAAAAATAACCCTGTCTGCAAGGGCTTGCATGAGAAGAATTGATTATATGCAATGGACTGTGGCACTCACACAGCTTTTATTTCTTTTTTCGGGCACAGCTTCCACCCCCGCCACCAATGGACCACGACAGCATCAACCTGCAGCAGTACAACCACAAAGGGAAAGGGATTTCGATTTCCGGAGCTGGCGCGGAGCCAAGTATGAGCAGTTGCAACAGGGGCGAGCATAAGTATAGCAAGTCCACCAAGTCACCAAAAGGACAACGGCACGGGACCAGACGCACGGGGACCGGCGTGTTCTTGGGCAACATCTTAAATCTTCGCTTCTGCAGCTGGCCGTCCTGTTGCTCGTGGTCTCTAGCAGCGGTAGTGCGACAGCAGTACAAGAAGATAAAACGCGGCTGTTGCAGCCGCGGTCAGCTGCCGCCTCGTCGAAAGTCATGCATTCCTTCTTCTTCAAATTGCGGTAGAATTGTGGTAAGAATACTCTGTGGGCCGAAGTCTATCTGGAATGTTGCTCTCTTGGCGGTGTTCCTGTGGCTACTTACCGCTGTCTTGTTGTACGTGGCGGTCGTGGGTGCGGGTGGGTGGTTCTTTTCGCCAAGTGGAAAAAACTACACCGATGTTGAGGATATAGTGGTCCGGAATAGAATTCTACTTCTAGGTAACCTCAGCTGCACGCTGGTACTGCAACTGTGCCTTACATCCCTCGTCACGCGGTTCATAAGCGAGCTGGAAAAAAGCGGGTGTTTCGGAAATGGTAGAGGGAAAATAAATCGAACTGAAGAAGAAGAAGACCATCGGAAAACAAGGAACAAAAGGAAAAGAAGGAGAAGCCAAGAAACAATAAATCGCGCTGCCTACAACCGGGTTGTGACCCGGATTTTCCAGAAGCACTACTTCAAACGGCACAGAGCATTACTGTACAAAGGTACTGGGAGTTCTTCTTGTCATGCGGAAATACAAGTACAACCCCTTGATGCAGCGCCGGCACCAGTTTCTGGTACACACTCAACATCTTCCGAAACGGCAGCAGCGCCATCTAGTACAGCAGCTCCTGGGCGTCGCACCAGCACTACTTATCTTCCGTCGATGGATTTCCTGTCCGAAAACCTCGTCCGGGCAACCGTAGACGAGTTTTACGAAAGAGACCAGAAAAGGGTAGAATTTTTGGAACGCCACCTGTCCCCGGCGCTGACGGTTGTCAGTGTCGTGTTTCTGTTTCTCGCCGCTGTTTTCGGGGTTGCCAGTTGGTGGTTGTTGGGAACAACTTTCTTTGATGCAGGACGAGGAGATTCTGACCTCTTACAAGAAGTATCGTCGGAGGAGGTGAACGACGGGCAGCACGAGGCAATGGAAAGCAACGGGGAACTATCAAAGCAAAATGAAGCCTACAACAGAAGTGCCCAGTTTCTTCTTTTCCACCTACTTCCAGCCCAGCTCCTGCTTTTCCTGACCACAACACTTTTCCCCATACTAGCCTTCGTCACGTTTTTCATTTTGAAGAAGCTCTTGGTCGATACAATTCTAAAGCGCAGTATTTTCAAATATCCTGTGCAAAAGTATCGTACTCGTAGTAATCGCAGTCACGCATGACAAATCTCCATCTCAAGGCCAAACAGCATGACAGATCTCATTTGTCATGCTGAGCTAATTTGTAATGCAATTTACTGCTAGTACGATACTTTTGCAATGCATATCAAATCCCGGATGGCGAAAGTCGACGCGTTCCGGCTGGCAGAGGACATTGAGAGCCAATTCGTGGATGGAAATCCGTTGAGCGTAAACTTGAACGGACCAGCTGGAGGAGGACCTCCGCGAGCTGGGGAGCATATTCGTTGTGGAGAGCAGGGATTACAAAACGTATCCGCAACTTGTTCCGCCGGCACTGTGGAAAGCCTATTGCGGGACCTGTTGGTGTCCGAAGCGCTAATTTTCGGAACTCGAGCTACTAGTAGTTGCGCAAATAAGGGAAATTATTTGGGGATTCGTCGTGACAGCATCAACCCATTCTTTTCCTGCTACTTGCCGGGAATCGCGGCGGCTGCACTGGTGGTGGTGTTTATGACTAGTCTTTGTGCCGCCGCAGTGACCTTCTCGTGCTTTTCCTGTAGTACTTCTCGGGGAAACAGCATGACAATTCGCTCCGTGGGCCCTAGCAGTAGCAGCTCGGCGGTACTGCTTGCGTGGACGGTAGCATCTGGGTTTCTTCTCTGCCTTTTGTTCTGGCGCACGTACTCCGAGAGGGGCAGCTCCTGTAGGAAGATGAAAAACAGCACACAAGAACGACAGCTTCTACAGCAGGAAGATCAACAGAGCTGCAGGCACAGGAGAGGCAGAAGGAAAACAAAAACTGCGGGAATTATGAACAAAGATTGCTCATCCGCCAGTCGAGACCGACGAAGTCACAACAACCACGCGAGGAGAAGGAAAAAAGCTGTACCGAGGACCAGCACACCTGAAGTAGATTTGATCACCTCCGACCTGCCGCTCCTCCGGGATTTCAAGCAGACTTTTCACGACTCAACCCTGTTCTATGGTGAGCAAAAACGTCCCCACACCAGAGTCAAATTGGAAAATCCGCTAGACAAATCACCCGGCTCTGGCTGTTGTGCATGACATGTTTCCCTCTGCAGTGTAGTACTGGTTAGCAAGGGAATCTGCGTGAGAAAGCCATTCTCTCATCCTGTTTATAGCATTACAAATTCCAAAAAACGATTGGAAAAGCCTCTTATGGAGCTGCGCATTACTTCAAACGTCCCTGTCATTGCACATTTGCACGGCAACCCTGGGGTGGGGATGTTTTTACACAGAATATGTTCCGCGCGGTCGTTCTTTTCTTCGCGACGCCGATCATTTTCCTTATCGTTCTTCCGGTTTCGTTCTTCGCGAAAAGAATGGAAGTGTGGAGGGGCTATTGTTCTTATTTCTGGCGCGGAGATGATTTTTATGGACGCAGCGGGCCGCGCCGTGAGAAGTTGTTGTACCCCAGCGGGGATAAGAAGAATATTGGCAAAAACGTCTTGCTGAAGGCGAGCAAATATCAAGACGCATCGTCGGCGGAGAACGAAGAGCCCCAGGTGGAACCGGTTCTTGGCCAGAACAGGAACAAAATGAACCCAACAACAGGTGGCGAAGTAGATGAAGATGATGATTGTCACCCCTCTACTACCTCGTCGGAAGATTCGGTGACAGCGGCTGTGCGGAGGTTGAAAGACGTAGATGAAGATCGAAACAGATCATCAACTACGGAGGAAGATACTGCCATGTTGGCCATGCAGAACGTAGATACAGTGGTTTGGTTGTCACCTTTCGGAAGCTGCTGTAGCAGTTGCGGTAGTACAACAACTATCAGCACCTTCTGCCGCCGTGTGGCAAACTCGTTCCGCAACAATTTCCTCTACACCCTTTTCACGGACCGAACCACCTACGTGTTGATAAAAATTTTCAACACGAAGAAAAAATCTTCTGGAACAACTACCTGGGGCACCCTTGCGACCGCGCATGACAGGAATAGTTTCTGTGAAACAAAAAACGCATTCCAAATGAACGTCTTTTCGCAGTTACACAGACTTACCATGTGCTGTCTCGTTGTGCTTCTGATCGCATGGGGTTGGGGCTACTTTTTGGGGCTGCAGCAGCTGTTTCATTTTTCGACAACTTCATCTACCGACCATGCGGTCGTGCAGCAGGACGAAACAAGTCAATCCTCTTCTCCCCCTGGAAGATCTGATTTTTACAGTTCCCTTGCGATCCTTTTCGTGCTGGAGTGGGTCTTTCTCACACTTCTCTCCCCGGTTCTGGGTCTTGTGACCTCGCTGGTTCCGGTTTACGCGGTAAATGCGAGTTTGGTTTTCGACGGCGCATTTCTGTCGAACGAACGCCTGTTCCCATACCGATACCACGCCAACGACCAGAATGACACCGCATCATCAAACGGCGCCGCTGCCTTGTACGTGGTGGTGGCCCAAAACGCTTTACTCGCGTTGGTCTTCAATTTCATCCTCCGAGCGGCCCTACACCTGACACTGACGAAAATCCATATTGTGAGGAGATACCTGTCTGTTGGAGCTTACCACGTGATTTACCAAGTTTTACTTTTCCGGCCGAACAGATTCGAGACGTTTTGGAGACAGTGGGACCAAATTTTGGACAGATTGGTGGAGGAGGAGGAAGAGAGGTTGGTCGTTTTGGCACAAATAAACTACAGCGACTTCTACAACCCAGAGAATTCTTGTTCAGCATCTGATAGAATTTCTCCTGATGCGCCAGCGCCACAACTTCTGCTCACACAAAACTACAAATCCGTCCTTCTTCTCTGTCCCTACGGAATCCGGGCAATGTTGCAAGGCAGAAGGGAAAATTTATTTTCCTGTGCGACCGCATCTAGAACAAAGACAAACTACCTCACATTTTTCCCAGCTGTTCTGGTCGGAACTTGTTTAGGGTTCTTTTCGACCACTTGGATGCGCGAAGACCTGCAATTTGATGACACGATCTTGGACACTCCGGGCTGGCAACTACTCAACAGCACACTCTCGAATCTTCTTCTCACCACCTACTTCGTCATCGCGCCGGGATATTTTTTCCTCTCCCTCGTCGCAAGAGTAGCAGTTGGGGGTCAGAGCGACCTGCTCACATCAACTTCATCTTCATCTTGTGTTGCAGGAACGCCAGGAGCTCCACATCGTCGTCCTCTTTCCACCCTCTACGAACGCCTCTTCCTGATCCCGAGAAGCGATTGTGACTCGATTGACTTGGACTACGAACTTCACGAACAGAAGACGCTCAAACTGTTGGAAAACGCGCTGCTTGAAAAGTTGATGCCGGTTCAGTACCGAACCTGTCTGGTGCTAGGTTCGAGTTGCGTCGCGATTGGGTTTTGGGGGTTGGTTTTGGCGTTGTTGGTTTCGAGCTTCCTCTTTATTGTCCATCCCTCAGCAGGTGGAGCGTCGTCGGGTTGTGCGCTACTTGCTGCCGAAAACGAAGAGGATCAAGAGGAACAACATCTGCTCTCATCTGGAAAGATGATTTTCCAGCCTTTGTTCGCAGTACCAATTTTCCTTCTCTGCATCGGCAACATTCTCTGTGCGATTTTTTACCGAAAAAAGCGGCTTTTAACCAAGAACGCGGTCGAAACGAGAAGACACAACATGCGGGAAGGGAATATTAAACGCGTGTCTATGACGGTGTCGGAGGAAGATATTGGGAGGTTCGGATACCCCTTGATAGCTGAAGATAGCAGCAGCAGCAGTCGCACCGGACTGCTGTCTGATAAACCTCGTGCGGGTCGTGACTGCATCACAATGGAATCGAAATCGAAAACTGCGACATCCGTACTACTGGCTGTTGGCTGCACAGTAGGAGTCAAAAGCGGATCAATCCAGGGCGGAGGGGGTAGTAGTTCATCTGGAGAACAACGACGAGACTACAGTCCGGGGACGAGAGGCGGGAGACATACAGACCAATCCACAGAAAATACGACGCCGTCGTCTACTGAGATAAACAAATCAGAAAGAACTACTACATCAGGCAGTGAAGTAGATGCTTCTTCGGATAGGAGTCCAAGCAGTGACGCAACAAGCAGCAGCTCCGCGGGCCGTCGGACAAGCCGCGGACGCCCAACAGCACGAGGACTTTCACACAAGCGAAGGAGTAGCTCTAGTTCTCGTGTCGTGGTCACCAGCAATAAACATCGTACTATTACCAAGCACCCAAAGAACGAGAAGTTTCTCGCTTCGAGGTTTGTCACCGAGTTCTTGAACGTACGCGGGGGTACGACAAGAAGTGGAACGACCCGCGGTGGCACAAAGGATTATAGAGGAGCCACCGTTAATACAGCAAGCTACAACTTGTCTTCCACGCGTCGAAACGAACGGAGGCAGGGTTTTTCAGCAAGTACTACATCTCCCTCTTGTCGTCCCTCCTTCCACCTGAAAAAAAGCCCACTTCTTTCCCTTCAATTCAACCCGATTTCCCTGACGTTCGAAATCGCAGACACGAGTTCGCCGCATTTCATCCACATCGGCCAGAGGCTTGTGGGGTATTTAGATTACAACGAGGAGAGCGAGGAGTACCTGAAATTGCAACGGGCAAAGCACAAGGACTTCGACAAACGGCAGCCTTCCAAGAAAAACCCGCGCGGAAAGAAATTTTTTCAGTCCGCGGACCTGTTCTTGACCGATTTGAGCTTGGACAGGCGGGAAAGTAGTGCCGCTGTGGATCATGCCACGTCGAGGACTTCCAATGTTAACACCACCAGTTCATCTTCGACCGAGCAAAGATATACGGAGCACGCGTACAGGGAAGAAGATGGGTCTTGGTTAGTAGAGAAAAGGGCGAGGGAGTTTTTAGCCATGCGCCGGAGCTGTGAGTTGAAAACGAAAAGAGTTTCCACTGAAACCATTCAAACAACCACCACCACGCCGCCGAGAGTCGTGGGAACCACAATTGGTGCTGGGGCGGTTTTGTCGCTGCCTCCAGTGCATCAACAACATTCAGCTGCTGCGTTCTTGACCACGACAAGTAGCACAGAGCAGCAGCAGGCCGATGCAGCTGTGCTCCACCTTCCACAACAAGCCACCGTAGCAGCTCGGGGAAGCACCAGCAGCTCCGTGTTGGAGCTGAAAATTCCAAATTTGATGAACACGTCTGCTTGTGGACTCGAGAGCGCGAGTGTCTTGAGCTCCTGCAGGCGAAGCAGCGTACCGGATTTGGACAGTTGCTATGAAAATTTTAGAGCCTCGCTTTCTACTTCCGGAGGGGAACAAGTAGGTGGTGGTTGGAACAACAGGAATCGGGACAGGGAACAAGAAGTCCGGGAGGAAACAAGAGCTTCTATTCTATTGGAAAACTACGATAAACAGATCGTAGCCAGTCCGTCCGCCCTGCTTGGGATCGGCAGGATTGCGGCTGGCTGTTCTTTCTTCCCGCGGCGTCAACCTTCTAACGGAAGAATTTCCGTGGCGTCGGCGCATCGTGTTGCTCGTTCCGCAAGGACGCACGACGAAACTGCTCCCCGTCCTGTTCAGACGGAGGGGCAAGGAGGGTCCTTGCAACAGCCGCAGATGATTACAACGCAAGAGCATGCAAATGCAAACGCGGACCCAGACGCAGAGGACAGTGACGGTCGGCGGACAACGGTTTCGCAGGTGAGCGCGGAGCACGACGGGGACGAGGGGGACGACGCAGAAGATGACGATCCCAAGAACGGTGGTATAAGACACAGGAAACCCACCTCCCCTCGTCGTTCAGAAGACGAGACAACAGGAGCGACACAATATGAAGATCAGCCCCCGACACAACAACTTCGAAACGTAGTGAAGCGACTGCGGAGGGTGTACCAGTTCCTGTATGGAGAGAACAAGCTGATGCTGAACACAACTAGTACAACGAGCGACGCACAGTCACGAGACGGCGGATCATCATCTTCATCGAGGGATACAACTAGTAGACCACCACGGGGCGGCGGCGGCGGGGAGTTACGCACTTTATTCTTCCAGGACATCGGGATGAAACGGTGGAAAAACGAACGTATCCACAGTAAATTTCCTGTACACGTACAAATGCGGCTTCTGCATGACAAAGCTTGCCTTTGATTCTAGTTAGCATGACAAGTGGCATGCTCTAAGTTGGGGAAATTTGTGATGCATTTTGCACGTGTACTATGGGAAATTTCCGGTGGATAGAACGAAAACGAATAGCATTGGACTTTGAATACCGCAGGAGCTCCTTGTCCTTCATCTCTGGGCGAAATTATACTGGAAGAAAATTATGGAGGTCCTCGTCGAGCAGGGGACGAGGGCGAAAGATCCTTTTCCCTAGGCAGCGCCAGAGCAGAAGAAGCACGACGGACTGTAATTCATCGACGTATAATAGTCGCAATAGCCGAGGAATGCTCGGAAAAATAAACCGGTACCGTTCCTGGTCCTCCACCGATTCCATAACCTCGTCTGTCCAAGGAACTGCAGGAACAAAACGGGCGTCCAGTTGCTTATCCTTAGGCAGTGACCTCCCGAATTACGTTGTCCACAACTCGCGGAGATCCCGCTCGACTTCCGACGACGGCGGAGGAGGATACCACGGGCCACACAGCTACAACAGTACCTGTAAAAATAGATTTCTCTGCAGCTACGTGGAAACGCTCGAGGACGAACTGTTCGAGAAGGAAAAACAGCTTATGGGAGTGCACAACTCGCCTTCCTCCTCATTTGTCATGCAAAAACCCAAATCCATGTGCCTCACAACTGTGGCACTGTTTTTTACATGACAGATTCCGGAAACCCAAACAGTACTACTTACACTAGGCGCATGAATTTGTCATGCACAGGCTCCGCGTGTGCTGGTTTTTGTATTGCTGTTCATGCCATACAAATGAGGGGTAGGGGGAGTTGTGAACTCTCATACAGCTCCGGGAAAAAACAGAACTGCTGGAAGCGATGACCACTCGACTAGCGGCGGAGGAGGAAAGTAGGCAAAGGAGAATTTGTAACACGAGCAGGGAAACAAGAAATAGTAAATCTCACTTTCGCGAAGGAGCTACAACAGAAGGGCAGAACGATAATGAAGGGACCTTTTATCCTAAAATTTTGAAGCGGTCCCAGCCCTCCTTGACCAGCGATGCCAGCACGAGGTTCCCGTCGGTAACCACGATTGGCAGTGGGAGCTCTTCGCTGCTCCGGTTGCCCAGTATAATAGGTGGAGGGATGAACAAAGCTACAAGTACGGTGGCGCCAGTACTAGCATCTTCCTCAGCTTCAACGTCAACCAGGATGAACAAACCGTCGAAAAGCGTTAGTTTCGACGATGAAACCTTGAGGGAGCAAGCATGTAGAAATACAGCAAGTCCCCGCGGCACAACAGCAGATTGTGCAACAAGTGGAGGAGGTGGAGGGAGTGTGAAAAATAAGAAGCCTGCCCGCATCGTTGTGATACCGTGAGATTCATCTCGCGGCACTACAACAACATGACAGATTTGATGTTGAAATTTTGCGATGGGAACAAGATGATGGTCCCTTTTCTTTTCACTCTACGTTATGACTACAGATCCACGCTTTTGCAATTTTCTCTTGATTTATTTCTCAGGGTCGTACTGGTACTACGCCCGAGCAGTAGGACGCACAAACACAAGCTCTTTTTTGCTGTGAGTGACTCAGCACGGGCACATCGCTCTCGTGAAACGTTCCTACTTCTACTTGTACATCAAAAAATAGAAGAAAAGCATCGCTCCTGCTGATGTACAAGCAGAAAAGCTTGCTCTGTGTTTGTCGGCAACTCCTCCGACGACAGAGGTGTGTTCCGAGTGTTAGGTAAAACACCGGTGAGAAAGTATTGGCCGAAACCTGAGCGCTGTCCCATTTGCTTTTAGAAGTTGTCCGACCTCAAAAACGAAAGCGAAGAGCAGAGGCGGCCGCTCGCCCGGCACTGGAAGCGTCGCGCGATTGCCTGCCGCATTGCCGGGCAGGCATTGCCTGGGGCGCCGCTGCCGGTAAACGCGCCGGCACTGTGCCCGCGGCGCTGCAAGAGGCGCCGAAAGGGCGGGGGTTCTATGTGCCTGCGATGTTGGGCCCGATGCCCTGGCCGGGTGGTCGGTGTCTACAGCCCGCGCCACTACAGCGGAAAGGCTGAGCAGCACAGAGAGTCTTGGCGGCCTATTTTCGCCACCCGGTTCAGGTATGGGGCTTGCGTCGTGATCAACATAGGCCGCGCGATCGGCCCGGGTGGCAGTTGGGTGCGCTATTCGCCCGGTGGCTGGCCGGGGCAGGCGCTCGCGGCGAGGTGGGAGGCAAATTCAACTGCCCAGCAACTACGACGCGACGAGGAATTTGATGAAAACCTGCCGCGTGGTGGTTGTGGGACTGCATGCGGGGGGGTGGTGTTGGTGTCGGGGTTGCTCCTGGCCACGGCGTACGCGAGCGTCAGCGCCCACACGGTTCGGGCGGTCCAGGGTTATGACGATTGCGCCCCGGCGCCGAGTGCTTTGGTGCGTGGAGACGCAATCTCGGCGGGCGAGGTCCGGATGTTGGTCGGCGTGCAGTATCTCGAGGAGGCCTGTGCGCGCTGAACGCGATCGCACGAGGAGGCGAGGAAAATCCGGCCCGCCACGAAAACCGGAATCGCCTAACCGGTATTTTCGGCCGGCGGGACGCAGGACCGCGCGTCCGGGCCAGTCGCTCGGTGCGCGCGGAGGGTGTCTTCGCGTTCAGGCATAGGCGCCGCTTCGATTCGCTTTCGCGGATTTCTTCGGGCGGAGGGAGTTGCCTGTGCGTGGGCCCCGTGTGCCCTCTGTGCCGGACGCTGCTGGTGGGCCGCAGGCGCTTCCTTGGGCCGCCCGGGCTGGCGTGTCCGTCGTTCTTGCTTTTTATGTGCCGCTGCGCCGGCGGGCACCAGCTTCCTGCGTTCGCCGCGTATGCCTGCCGGCCTTCCTGTAGGCCGGGAAGGCTTGCCCCCCCGGGTGGCTCCTGGCGGCACGGTAGGGGCGGCCGGCTGGCGCCCCTTCGTTCTGCCCGCCGCGCCGGGGCGGGCCCGGCAGCTGGCTCGCGGGGCCCAGCCCGGCAGCGCGGCGAGGGCAGCAGGGCAATGCGGCAAAAAGGTCCTGACGCTGCTCCGGGCCCGGCAGATCAGGCAGCCCCGGCCGGCCCGACCGACCCGACCGAGGGGATGGGCGCGCCCGTCCTTGTGCGCCCATACCTACCGCGCACGAGCGTGCGCGCGCGCGTGGCGCCACGCGGCGCCTGCGTCGGCCCCGCTATCTTCTTGGCTGACTTCTTTGCCAGCGCCCCAGCTGGCTCGCCGGCCCCGGTTTTTTAGCCTGCCAGCCGTTTCCTTGCCTGCCTCTTGTTATGTCCTTAGCCCGCCAGGCCGCGACGCAGCGTATGGGCGGGGGCGGAGAGGCTTGCTCGCAGCCGTGCCCCGGCTGGAAATTCGCCCGCCAGCGCGCCCCGGGTGGCGTGGGTCGCCGTGGCCAATGCGCCGGGCGCGGGGCGAGCGCGCGCCCGCTGCTCGTTTGTTTTTTTTTTGTGTCTCGTGCGAGGCGCTTATCCGAAGAACGTGTGGCGCTCTGGTTGTTTCCGATCAAGGTTCGCAGCGACTTGTCCTCGTAGTGCGTGACGAAAAGGTAGCCCGGCTCCTCTGGACCCTCTCCGCCCGGGCCGCCGGGTGGGCAAGGTCGGTGTTTCGTTGTCTCCCGTATGATGTTCTGTTCCCCGAACAAAACTGGTGGCCCTGCAAAGTTCTCACCAGTTTGTGTCTGTGGAAGGATGTGCTGAGGCGCAGCAGGAGCCATAGGCCAAACCACGCCAAAAATACATTCCGGGAGATATTAAGGAGGGCAGTTGTATTGTAGCGTTGCGTCGCAATCATTCCATCTCGAAAGTATTTCCGCCTTGTAGATTTGCGTGATGTGTAGCGCGTACTACCAGCTACTACGCGAGCAATGATCCCAATACGAGCGAGTTATATGATCATATACTTAATTACACAACGAGTATGGGATGAACGATTTGTCTTTCATTCTGTTTTAGCTGCACCAGACAGACCCAACGATTACATCATGCGCTAGGGCCTCTTGTTACCCCGATCATGCTTCTTGCTCCCGTCGACGTCGCGGCAAATATGGGCTAAGTTCTACTTGCAGCACCAAATAAATCCAGCAGCAGTGATCAACCCAGGATCAACAACATGGGCAACGCCGGCAGCACAGCCGGCCAGGAGGCGGCCCTGCTGCAGTTTGCAGAGGCGGTGGGGACGCTGAAAACCGCAGCCGCGAAAGTGGTACAGCAGCAGGCCCGGACGAATTCACCGGACAGCGCGTGTCTGGATCTTTCTCTCGCATCACCCGGTAGTTCCTCGCAGCTGAGGCAAGCGGTGGAGGTTTTGGTTGGAAACCATTTGGACCACCTCCCAGTGGGGCAAAATCATCCATCCTCGTCATCGTCTACTTCTTCTACTTCACCCTCAGGGAATAAACCAACCGGCACGTCGGCCACGTCGTCCTCAACATCCTCCAAAACGATCCCCCGCGCCGCCATCGCACTGGAAGACCTCGTCGAGATGCTTCCGGCAACCAACGATGAGTGGCTGTTCACGCGGGTGAAAGGTGCGGAAGGTTTTGCACTGCCGCTGGACGGGATAAAGAAGGGCAAGAACTCGCCGAAAGCAGAAGACGACACAACTACTAGTGGCCGCGCGGAGATCAAAAACTATGGGAACGAGAAGAACGCCCCTACGACAACACTGATCCAGCTGTTATTGCAGAAGCTGATTGACGTTCTGGAAGAAGAAGCGTTTGACTCGCCAGTGGATGACATTCTAGCAGGAGTGGAAGACGATACTAGCCCAAAGGATGATGACACGAGCAGGCTAATCCAGCTGCAAAATTCGCACCTGAAAAAGCTGCACGCGATTAGGATGTTGACGCGATTACTGCCGATTTTCCTGGGAACAACGACAGAAGTCGCTGGAATATTATCTTCTGAAGATGGGACGAACAATTATGACCAAGGGGCAACATCTTCGTCGTCGTTGTTGTTCCCGGGTGCTGGTGGTGCAGAAGACGAGGCCAATTTTCTCGCAGACCAGTCCACGGCCCTGCAGTTTTCGTTCAACTTGCTGGAAGCCATCCAACTTATGCTCTTTGAGAAGAACAGCAGTGGCACATCAACCAGCAAGACAAACTCCAAATCCCGCACCGACCCGGCGCACGTCGACCCGCGGCTGTTGTGGCGGTGCGGGGTCGGGGTCGCATTGGAGTATGAGATGATGATGCGACAGTCACCTGCTTCTGGAAGTTCTTCGGGCGGATTCAACAACTCAGCTGGTAGTGGTGCAGGAACTACAGCTACTGCTATTGGCGGGTCAGAAAATAGATCAACATCGCAGTACAACCAGACGAGCACCAGAACCACAGACCCCTTCTACTCAGAACTACAAGTCCGCGAAAAGGAGCAAGAGCTGCGGAATGAGCTCCTTCTCCTTCTCCTCGTGGCCCTAAGCGGCGCCTTGTTTAAAACCGCGGGGGAGTTAGCCGGGCGACAGGAGGAAATAGTATCGGAAGATGAATTGAGCTTGAGCAACGAAAACACAACTCCAGCGCAAATTGCAAATGCAATGCTCTCCGGGACGAGCAGTACATCAAGAGCTAGGCAGAGAAGCATGAGTAGAGATGAAGGTGAGATCATGGGTGCGAACGATTTGAGCACCTTGAGTGCCGTGGTGGATGAGAAGTTGTGGCTTCAGGTTTTCGTCACTGGCTACTTTGCGCATATCAAATGCAAAAGTGTCTGGGTCTGGAAGATTGCGAGATTTGTCATGCTTGTCAGGGATGACCAAAAAGCTTGTGATGCGTGTCCAAGACCAGACCCCTTTGCCTGTCATGCAAAAACGCAGTTTGTCATGCGAAAAACGCAACACACAGAAGCGCAGAGATTTCTCATGCGTGGCTGTGCATTACAGAGCATTCACTATTCCCAGCACAGCATTACAAGTTTCCAGACCCAGACATATTTGCATTTGATAGCGCACACCGCGAATCTATTCTTCTCACTGATGAGCACGGTATTTTTTAAACTTGTTGAACAACAACTTCTGATGAGTTGTTTCCAAGTTTGCATTTGGATTCGCTTTCAACATGATGGATAAGTTTTTGCATAATATCTGATTTTTGTAGTCTGTTATGCAGTATGCCTAGGATTGCATCCTCCAAATTGAAATTTCCTATCAGGTCTTCTCCCCACCCCGCTTACCAATCTCCACCAGTCGATTCTCCTTTCTCGGCGGGCTATTCTTCGGCAATAGTACTAAGTCCGCAACCACGTCGGAGCGTATGGAATTCCAGGAGCAAAATACAGTGGAATTGAGCATCATGCTGCTCTCCATTCTCCTCGATTTCGAAGCCGGTGCTGGTGCGACAACGTCATTATGCATTGCAAATATGTCTGGGTCTGGAACAAGGATCCAAACTTGTCATGCTGTCTTTGGATTCTAAAAAAGTCTGTATTGCATGACAAACAAGAGGGGCCCAGATTGTGCTACGCGGAGAGGGCGTTTGTCATGCGGAGTGGGCATCACAAAGCCTTCCAAAAATCTGTGATGCTAAGTCATGCACTACAGGCACGATGGGTCATGCAGAATATGCATGACAAACCCGGCAATCTACTTCCAGACCCAGACCTAGTATTTGCATTTGATAGTCATTCCCTTTCAACAACCAGTCCCCCACGTATAACCAACGCCGGTACCAGAAGCGGAATTTGGTCCAAGCGAGGGATGAGGCCGCGTTTGAAAGAGAACAAGAACTTTTGCAGTACCGACAGCAAGAACATGCGGATGTTGAACTGCAGCAACACAAACTGTCGAAGAACATCAGCGACCAGAATCTCTCTGACGGCGGAGGCACGGTGTCTTCCGCGGATCAGCACGTTTCCGTTTCCAGCTCGGATCATGATCCCATGTCTTCCTCCGGCGGGGGTATAGGCATAGCCGGCGGTGGTCCTGGAGAAGCTCCGGCAATAGGTCACCCTCCAGCCCCCGCAACAAGCAACCGCTCCAGTCGGAGGTCGAGCAAAAGTAGAACCCAGGACGTCAACTCGACGAGTTCACAGCTAGACCACGGTGATGGCACAGAGCAAGTAGAATCCAATGCGTTCCGGTGTTTACTACAAAGCATCGAGAAAGACTCCGAGCTGGATCTGATCCTAGACTATCAACTGCAAATATGTCTGGGTCTGGAAGAATGTATGTTTGTCATGCGTGTCTTGCATGACTCTTAAATCTGTCATGTATGTTACCCAAGAGCCCCATTTTTCTGTCATGCAGAAACGCAGTTTGTCATGCAGAATAGGCAACGCCTAGAAGCTCAAAGACTTGTCATGCTGGGCCAGCTCTTGTGGCCTCCTCATGATACGCCACCCAGCATCACAAATTTCCAGACCCAGACACTTTTGCACAGGATATAGATGGGTTCCTAAGGCAGATGAACGTGGCGGACGTGATTATTTACGGCTATAACGCGAACACTTACTCGACTGCGACGTCCAAAGCGCTCCAAAACCGGGAAGAGAGGAAGGATTTGACGGACACAAACTTGATTCTCATCCTTCTCTGGCAGTGCTTACACCACAACCCGTTGTTGTTACAAAGGCTCGGAACGGCCAACGCCGGAATCCACACCCCCGGGCAGCCGAGTCGGGGGTTGGTGTTTTCGTTGTTTCTGTTGAAGCAACTGGCGAGAATGCACGCCCAGAATTTGGACGCGATGCAGGTCGTGCACAATACTAGCAGCAGTTCTAGTACTTCGGAACAACAGCAGAGTAGAGCAGGTGGCGCAGCAGCTGGTGTAGTTCCTTCCCAACAAACAATGACCTCCAGAACAGCAGAGCTCCACCTTTGCTCGTTTTTGCTTTTGCTTCTATTATGCGTTGCAAAAGTATCGTACTCGTATAAATGCATGACAAATTTCCTCAGCATGAGAGGGAGAATTTGTAATGGGGATTTACCTTCATAAAATGATTTGTAATGCATGATTCCCATACGACTACGAGTACGATACTTTTGCACAGGATATCTATCGGGCGAACGGAACATCGCAGTTTCTCTCAACATATCAAATGTAAAAATGTCTGGGTCTGGAAGAATGCAACTTGTCATGCTAAATCTGAAGCATGCAAAAATCTGTGTTGCATGATTACCAAAAGTCGTCCAGTTTTGACCAAGTCGGGAGGGAGTTTCTCATGCAGGATAGGCATGAGAGAGATTGCGCAGAATCTGTCATGCTAGGTCCTGCATTCCAGGCTTCATGGGTCATGGAAAAGCTGCATGACAAACCGCGTATTCTTCTAGACCCAGACATTTTTGCATTTGATCAAACACGAGTATCAACACGAACGGAAATAAGTGGTGGGCGGTGGAGGTGTTAAACTCTTTTTCGAAAAACCTACACAGCACAGGTAGTGGCGTCGCCAAAGCGGCCGCGCGGACAGCAACCGCCGGGCCTCGCAGTACCGAAATGGAGCAGGCGATTCAGCAAATCAGCAAACACTTACTTGCAGAGTCCAAGCCCGCCACTTTCGCGGATTTTTTCGTGTTGGTCCTGCTGAAATTGATAAGCGACTCGTTGCTGAAGGATGAGCCGTTGGTGGATTTGCTACTGACAATCCTCTGCAACATCTCGCCTATGCAGTGCAAAACAAGTATCGTACTAGTATAAATCGCATGACAAATTTCCTCAGCAAGCGAAATAAAATTTGTGATGCGGATTTAACCTTGAAACAAAAATTTGTAATGCATGACTGCGATTACTACTAGTACGATATTTTTGCAATGCATATCGCCTTACCTGAAACAACTGGCGGTCACAACGTGTTTGAAGCTCACCTCCTTTTTCGAACGAATCTGCAAAAAGAATTATCTCTTGAAAAACAGCACGAATTACCGGAATTTGTTTCTCCTCATCGAGTTTTTCACCAACATTATCCAGTACCAAGCGGAAGGGAATCAGGTTTTGCTCTACTCTCTCGTGCGGGTCAAGAGTGTGTTTGAGAAATTGGAAGAAATGGAGTTAGATGAGGAGATTGCAGAGCGGGAGGTTGAAAGGATGAGAAATGACAGAGATCAAGGCCAAATTGCAGGGTCTCAACTATCCGACTCAACTACCACCAGCAAGCAGTCTTCCAAGGGAAAAAATACAACAACAGCAGCGGCAGCAGCAGCAACAGGAACAGCTACCTCCGGAAAAGATAAAGACCCCAATGAACTACAAGTCAACAAGCAAAGATCCCACAGCTCTGACACGACAACGTCGACCAGCAGGTACGAACAACAATTGCTGAACAAAAAACTTTGGTTCCATTCCTGGCACGACCAGAAACTGCCACAAGTTCTCAGCACGGTGAAGCACCTGATTTACAAGCTAGAGCCGGAGATTATTGAGCAGTTCTACAACACTGCTCGCGAGGTATGCACTGCAAAAGTATCGTACCAGTTCTAGTATGAATTGCATTACAAATTAGCCCAGCATTTTTAACTAAATTTGTAATGCTGATTTACCTTGAGAAAGCGATTTGTACTAATGCATAAACGCAATGACTACGAGTACGATGCTTTTGCACAGGATACGAGGGCCCCGCTGGCAACTACGCATCCGGAGACACCGCGCCGCCGGATATGGACACGATTATTGAGTACATGCGGACCAACACGACCACCGTCGGTTTACTCCCCCAGCCCCACGCGATTGTGGTGAGGACGTACATACCAAATTTGTACACGACGATCTGGTTCACGCATTTCCTGTACGGCGCGGCATTTGCGAAGATCACGACGGCGTTGGCGCCGTTGTCCTCGAGCGCGTCCGGGGGAGTGTCTGCGGCGGGGAACGCGGGGGAAAGTTTGAGTCTCGCCGGGCTGTACGACTGTAAGAAGATTAAGCTGGTAAACGTGGTGATGGCGTGATGAAACAGTGCGCGGCGACTTGGATACAGATACTTACGACGGGGAGGCACGTTGTGGTGTAGTGTTTTCTGGTTTGACCACGAGGACGGGAAGTCACGTTGTGGCGTTGTCCTGGAAAGATGTTGACCGTAGTTGGAGAGAGTCGACGAAGATACGGCACTACGTGGGTGCCGAAGGCTGTCGTGTGATTCTTGCTCTATTGTAGATTGTTCTTGTAAATAATGCTTGTCAACGCAGATGACGGTTTGCTGAGTTCTTGTCCTCATTTTTATTCGCTAAATTCATAGGTTGTGCACCAAAACGGATATTAGACGTTGAGTTGTGTGGTTAAGCGTTACAAATAAGTGGTAGAAGCAAAAAAAGAGCTCGAGTGGAAGGCAAACTACAGCCTGAAGTTGTTTAAGTGGACGCTCCGTCTCCGTGCAATATCAAAATCAAATGTTTGATTTGAGCGAGTGCTAGAGCAGAAGTCTCAACACCTCCGAATGAATCTGGTGCAAGTACTAGTACAACGAATGATCGAAAGCTGCAGCCTAACACCAGCGCTGCTTGTTGTGCGCAAAGTGTGACAAAGCGAAAAGTAGTGGCAAGGCTGATGTTCATACCCGTGTTCAAGAACAGAGAAAGAGATGAGCTTGAGGAGGAGGAGGACGAGAGAGAGAGATCTACAAAAAACAGACTCACTTAAGCCGTACGCCAGACATCGCCAACGGGTGAGGCCGCGACCTCGCGCTGGCCGCTTGCTTGCGTTGTAAAGTCTCGCGACCTCTGCGGCTACAGGCACGGCCGCAAAAGTTACAGGCCGGCCCCGGGCGGTTTTTTGGGCCCCGCCTCCGGGTGTTGGCGATCAGCATAGGCGCCCGGAGGATCGTGGTCGATTTCTTCTACGGTTATGCCCAGTGCTCCGCCGCGATACGCCTGGTTTTTCTTCTTCGATCGGCGCCGCCCGCGGTTCGCCTGGCTGAGAGGACCGAGCAGCGGCAGAAGGCCCCCGGGCCACCCGCTACAAGCGCAGCGCCCAAGTGGAGGGGCGCCAGGGGTGCAGGGGCGTCGCGTCGCGCCCGCCCTGGGCCTCCTTGCCCCCCCCGGCCCGCCGGCGTTTGGGCCCAGGTTGTGAGCCCCGCCCGGGGGGGGGGGTGGGGCGCCGGGTCGGGTCGTGCCGGTTTCTGGGTGAGCGTTGCCGCCCCCTTGGGGCGGTGGTGGATCGGCTGCAGGAGCTCGATCCCCAGCAGGCAGGGAGGCAGCCCCCGAGAGGAAGAAGTCTCGCCTATCGTGCAGGGAGGCAGAAGGCTCGCCTATCGTGCAGCCCGGCCGGCGCGGCCGTCGGTCTGCGTCTAGGATAGGAAGGTCCCGCGTGTTCTCCCCCAGCGGAACAGAAGCCGCCGCCGCTGCGCGGCCGGGCCCTGTTCGTTGTCTGTGTTTTTTTCTTTGGAGCCTGGCGCCCTGGTGCCGCCCTTTGTTTGTGGGGCGGGGGGCGCCCACCTGGTGCCGGAGGGGGGGTGGCGCCTTGGGGCCGGCTCTGTGCCCTTGCCTCGCTCCGCTAGCCCGGCCGGGCGCTGTGTCTCTTCCGGCCGTGTGCTCTCTTGCCCCCCCGGACCGGGGTGGTGTTGCCCTTGAATAATTCGGGTTGGCGCCCCCCCGCCCAAACGCCGGGCCCGCCCCCCCGTCCTATCAGCGCCCCGGCCCGGGGCCGGGTGGGTGGCTGGGTGGTGTGTCGTTGCCAGATTCAGGCGCGCAGAGAGACATCCGCGCCGCCTGGCCACCCCTTGGGTGGCACGCGCGCCCGCGGACGGATCTTGGTGGGGCCGGGCCTAAGCGCAAATTAGTGTATGAAGATTGGATACAATTTGGCCACGCGTTTGAAGGAGCCTTGAAACAAGCAAAGTAAGGAAAAATATTCAGGCAACATCATGCAAGCAAGGCGACGCAGAGCGCTTCCATCCATCGCAGAGGCAATAAGTGCTAGCAGATGCCTACTCGTTCCGACAGTTCCAGGACCAGGCCTCTCTTATTCTCTGTGAATGTTGTTCCCCCCGCCACCGTTCAGATAACAGGCCATCCAAGGAGGTAGGCCCCTCCTCCCAAAATGAATATGATCCCGTCTTTGCTACCCGTAGAAGTTACAGACGCCAGACGTAGATCTTCTTCTTCTTCGTTGCGTGAAAATAAGATAGACAAGAGCTATGCTGTCACCAAGAAACGCAATCTATTGCGCACTGCCCTACCAGACGAAGTCTTGCCGTATTCCTCAAAGGTAGGAGGTCAACTAGAAGAACAATTATTCAGTCCTGCTCGCCCTGATGCGACGTTTTTGAAGAATGAGAAAAATTTTAGAAAGCCAACCGTAGGTAGCTCCTTTGATGGCTTGTTGGAACCTAAAAAGAGTAACGATGTTGACGAGAAAGTTGTAAAGCTGGACACAAATAAACGTCGTGGTGTTGAGAACAACAAGCACGATGCTGAAGATTATGTCGAGTTGCAGCTATTGCCAAAAAGAAGTACTGGTAGAAGCACAGCAGTAGAATTTGACGCAGCCTGTGCTTCTGCAGATGAAAATCAATTTCAATTTCGTCCAAACCAACCTAATTGTAGAACCTTTGGAGAAGTACAACTAGCAGTAGGACGAGTTGTAGATTATGCAAAGAACGACCCTAAAAATCAAGGACGTAGAACAGCAACTGGCCGCTGCACGAGTAGAGCCGAAAACTCCTACTTGAAATTTACCACCGCCTCGGTTCCCTTCGGGAGCACCCCTGGACTTGTCGTGGACGACAGTCTAAAGCGGTTGAAAAATGAGCAGAAACTGAGTAAAGACCTCAACACGCGCCTTGTTCAGGAGAAGGAAGCACGGGAATATGACAGTGCACAAAGACCCCCCGCCCTCGTCCTCACTTGCATGTTGGCAAGAACAGCAACACAAGCAACGGCAGCTATGTGGCTTCCGCATGACAAACACGCGCACGGATCATTGTAGTACTATTTGGAAATATCATTCCGAAATTTGGCGTGCAGGCACTGCCTCAGGGCAGGATGTGGGCTTGGTGTTTTGCATTAAAAATGAGGGAGAGGGTGGAGCTGTGCACTCTCATACGGAAAACAAGATGAACAGAACGAGGGGCAGAACGACGAAACACGTCGTCAATCCAGCAAGCAAGAAGGGGCTCGGTACTTTTTTGGATGTAGAGCTGTTTGTCATGCGCAGTTTACTTACAGAATGGAAGTTTGTCATGCATTAATGCCACGACGAACAAGAGATTTCTGAAATTATCAGATGACGAGCAGCTAGAGGAGCTTCGGGAAGCTTTTAACCTCTTCGACGCCGACCGATCTGGGGTCATTGACGCGAGGGAATTGAAGGCAGCAATACGAGCGCTTGGTATATAATCGCAGAGGTGCATTGTAGTGTTTTTCTTTTTGTTTATGTTTTACTCCGAAAGCGGGGGTTCCAGGGTCCGGGTTGCCGAACCCGTGCAGAACTTGCGGAGAACTCGGCTGCGCGTGTTTCTTGTCTAGAATATTAGAGCCTGCCGGCGGTCTTTGAAATATGATGACGATCCCGATGATGCAGCACTCCGCGAAAGTGAGGCGGGCATTCGCGTTGAGACTTCCCGTTACGCCTGAGACTCCTAGGCGGCGCGCCATTTTGCGGCGGGGGGCATCTGTGTTTCCGCTCCGCGCGCCCTTCCTCATCGGTAGTTTCCCGCGCCAAGTCTTGAAGGCAGGCTGCCGGGGCCGTCCGCTTGCGCCTTTGGTTTCCTCGGCATTTTGTTGGCCACATGCGCGCGATCTGCGCACTTTTGCAAAGAAGTTGCTGCAGTACCATCGTGTAACGTACGTTACACGATGGCGCTCTGCTTGTTTGCCTTATCGCTTGCCGGCCAGCCTAACCAGGGTAGAGAGCCCTGCTTTTAGCCTGTCCATGGCAGCATCGTGAGTAAAGTTAGCCACGGCGGAAGTGCGTTGCTTTGGTTGTTTTCGCAGCTTCGGGCGCAGTGTGCTACGCCTGGGAGTGAAGGCCGGACGGTGTGGCTAACGACTCCACAGGCGTGCCAGAGGCCCACCAGAGTAGGGTAGCTTCCAGCTGCGCGGCTCGGTTTGGACGGTTGTAGATGGGGCGCCGCGGTTGCAGCCTGGGGCCCTGTTACCCAAGAAAACCGGCCACGGCTCTCATGCGCCAGAATTTGAGCCAGAACTTGATCCAGAACTTGCTCCAGAACTTGTTCCAGAACTTGTCTCAGAACTTGTCTCAGAACTTGTCGCAGAACTTGTTCCAGAACTTGCCTCAGAACTTGCCAGGAGCTTGATTTTGTGCCCTTTTTTGGCCCACCTTTTTGTCCCGTACCACGACGGCACGGCCGTTTTTTCCCCTTCTTTTTTCCGGCCCCCGAAAACCGTCTCGGCAAGTTCCTGAACAAGTTCTGAGACAAGTTCTGGGACACACGAGCTCGGCGACAAGTTCTGGACCAAGTTCTGCGCCAAGTTCTGAGGCTCGCAAGTTCCGGGAAGAGTTGGGGCTCTGGAGCAAGTCCCGCAGCAAGTTCCCGAACAAGCCCCGGGGCAATTCGCGCCGTAACACGTTCCCGCGCTAGCGCCCCCCCCCAGCAAGCCCTTTGGGAAGTATATTCGGAGCAAGCGAGCCCCACCACGGGGCCCGCGGGCGAGCGTGGTTCGGGCCCTGTTGCTGGGAGGAGTGCTATGTCGGATCGAGCGCGCCGGCTTTTGCCGCTGCATGCCAGCGGCGTGCTCTTGGGGGCGGCGCGCTGCGGGGGCGCGGCCAGGCAGACAGCCCCGCAGCGAGCCTTGTCGGCCGGCCACATCTTCGGCGCCCCGGGGTTTTTTTGAATGGATTGTGGGTACAGGGATGCGGTGTTCCGCGCTTTGGCAGTGGAGCCGGTCTGGGTGTTCGGCGCAGTCTTTTCCCCCCTCGGCAGGCGAGCGGCGTAGGTGGGCCGGGCCCTGGCGCCGAGTGGCCCCCCGGAGTGTTTTCTTTGTTGTCATTGCCTCGCGGGCCGCTGAAGCGCGTTGCTTTATTCCCCGTTTGCCCAGCAAGCGAAGCCGCGTGCCACCGTGTAACGCGCGTTACACGCTGGCGCTGGCCTTTCGCCTGAGAAGGCTGGCTAAGCAGGCAGGACGCTCGAAACTCGCTCACTGGCCGCGCGGGGCCCTACTGCTTTGACCCTCCCGGAAACGGGCCGAACAAGTTCCGCGCAAGATCTGCGCGAATTCGGGGCACCATACATCTAGACCCATGCTTTATTATGTTTTCGCAAAATTTGTGATGCATGCTTCTCTAGAGCCTACGATACTTATTGCGGAGTTATTTGTGATGCGATATCAAGATGACTATCCTGCTCTGTATTGCAAAAGAACATTTACAACAAACCCCTCAGGTTTCGTCGTGAAGAAAGAGCAAGTCCGGCAGATGCTCCGAGACGTTGGCCGCGACGTTAGTACGCATTGCAAATATGTCTGGGGGTGGAAGATTGCGGCTTGTGATGCTGGCTTTGGATTTAAAACAAAGCCTGTATTGCATGACCAGCAACAGGGATCCAGTTTGTGTTTGTGCTACCCGGACGAGAAGGTATTTCTCATGCGGGATAAGCATCAAGAGGCCCACCTCGCCTCGTAAAAATATTTGATGCTAGAGCATGCATCAGAGACATCAAGGGTCATCATGCAAAATGTGCATGACAAGCGTTTCACATTTCGTCCACACCCAGGCATATTTGCATTTGATAGTTGGTTCCCAGATAACATTCGAGGACTTCGCGAAGATCATGGCGGGGAAGATGGGCGACAGGAATAGTCGAGAGGAAATTAACAAAATTTTCAAGCTCTTCGACGAGGACGCCAGCGGCAAAATCTCGTTCCGAAATCTAAAACGAATCTATCAGAGTGCAGAACTCCCCCTGCCCCTCATTTGTATTGCATGAAAAGCATTACAAGCCCCAGCACAGGTGGACCCTGTGCATGACAAGTTCAGGAGCCGAGTGTAGTACTGTTTGGATTGTTTTCGGAATTTGTCATGCACGCGGTGCCACAAGGTAGCAACAGGATTTGGGTTTTTGCATGACAAATGAGGGGGAGAAGTAGTTGTGCACTGTCATAGAATCGCGCAGGAGATAGGCGAGAGTTTGAACGACGATGAGTTACAGGAGATGATTATCAAGCAAAAAAGTGTTAACGTTGATGGTTTTCACAAATGGCAGCTACGCATTACAAATTTTGCCTTCATTGCATGCTACGCAATACAAATTTGGACACCCTTTCTGATGCGTTACTGCATCACAAATTCCGTTAACGTTAACGCTTTTTCTTGTGATACTGATAGACGAGGCCGACCGGGACGGGGACGGGCTGATCAATCCGGACGAGTTTTACCGTATTTTTATATTTGGAGTGATGTGAATCTGTGATGCGAGACTGGGTTGCTTGGTTTGATTTGTGATGCGAAAATGGAAATGAAAGCAAAAACACGACCACAGGTGTAATGCGCAAGCGTGGTGACAATCCACTCGACGACTTTGATACGGATGACGATTAGAGAGGTTGTAGCTGCTCCCTACCCTGTGCAAAAGTATCGTATTCGTATTGCAATCATGCATTACAAATCTGCTTCTTAAGGTCAGTCCGCATTACAAATTTTGTTTCTCATGCTGATGAACTTTGTAATGCATCATTTATACGAGTACGATACTTTTGCAATGCATACTACCTGCGGTAGTTTATTGTCGTGCTGGGATGAGCTGCTGCTGCACAACAAAGATTTGTGTAAATCTCAGAACCACGACGACCCGCATGAGGAAGTGAATTCATCCTCCTGCACGCCGAATTTGTGAAAGTTGTCCATAATTCAATTTCATCTGTTTTTTTACTTGAAAGAAATCTTGTTGGAAATGGAACCGGAGTCCTACTGCTATTAGACTCAGAATTCATTATTTCGCCGGGTCATACTTACAATCTATGTACGCCAAGTACGCTATGAATAGAACCACGGACGAGTAAGAAAAACAAATTTATCAAAGCAAACAACACGACAGAAATAAAAAACATCACACCATACCACGAGAACAAAGTCGCAGTGTGGATCTTGTGGATGCTATTGAATTTTGCCTATTCATCGCTTTATTTTTTTCCTCCGGCGCACAGCAAGGACCTGTGGGGGAAAAAGCACGAAATAAACCAATGTAGATTTTAGTTGTAGCTTCGCAATTGAAAAAAAAAAGACGCAAAGACGTCTAGGACTACAAAAATTACATAGCCTTTGCTTCCTTCTCAAGAAGCTTGTTGCAGTGAAATGCTGCCAGAATTGAAGGATAGCGGCATGCATTCTCATACATTCATGATGTTCTGGTCTTTGTTTGCCACCCCCGCCACCGCTAGTTGTAGATCTCCATTTTTAAGTGTTTCTTGCCCAGGATTTTGTTTTTTTCCACACTGAAGTCCATTACTGTGCCTGTTTGGAAGAAGATCTTCACAGCGGTGGTTTTTGCTTTTGCTAAGGCAACAAAGTGTGAATGAAAATTGAGAATCTTTCTTCGCCAGCCTCAACCCTGAGTATTTTCAGTATCAGCAACAGAAATCCAGCAGCACATAACAGTAGAAAAACAAAAATTGCACACGAAATAAAGTACGATGCCGCCCTCAACACGAAAGCCTTCTACAGCTTCTGGTGCTTCCAAATCTAGGAGCAACAAGAAGAGCCCAGCGCCGGCGAGCAAGAGTATGAAGAAGGTTGTAAGAGGCGCTACACCGCCGGTTTTAAAACACGCTTCGTCCACCTCGAAGTCAGCGATGAAGAAAACAAGCACCGCAGCAGCATCGAAAGCGAAGTCAGGATCTTCACGAAGCCGGGGGAAAAATCCAATAGATACCAGCAAATCAACGTCCCGAGGCAGATCAAGAGCGGTGTCTACTTCGAAAAACCGATCCGGAAATAAGACGTCTCGGCTTGTTTCTCCATCCGCGGCAACTACTACAAGGGTAGCTCTCTCCCCAAACACGAAGCAAAGATTGACGAACAGCAAGAACCGCAAGACGATTTTGAAGTTTTACCTCTTCGGGTTCAGTTTCATCGCAACTGCTGGTTTTCTGTTCAGTTACGTGTTGCCGCCCTTGTCCTCGGTGAAAGCCTGTGATGAACTGGTGAACAAAATCGGGTTTCAAAATTTCTGGTTCCACCCGGAAAAAGAATTAGTGGCGTTCAACTGCTTGTCAAAGTACAAAGAGGAGCACGAATTCTACTTGTACATCGGGTTTTGTTTCCTGTATTTGTCCATGCAGTCCTTCGTGATCCCCGGGACGCTGCTGTTGTCGATCTTGTCCGGCGCTTTATTCCCGTTTTTCGTCGCGGAATTCCTCGTGGCCGTCTGCTATGAAATGCAAAAGGATCGTACTAGGATAAATCGCATGACAAACTTCCTCAGCACGACGAGAAATGAAATTTCCAATGCGGATTCCACTTGAGAAAGAAATTTGTAATGCATGAATGCGATTCGTACGAGTACGATACTTCTGCACAGGATATCTGCGCCACGACGGGCGCAACCATCTCCTTCCTGATCAGCAAGGTGATCTATCGTAAGGAAAAATCCTCCCTCCCTATACCGAAATGGAAATCTGTGATGCGGGATTTGTGTACACAAATCGGCTTTGTCTTGCAGTAGAGGACTGCAGGCAGTACGCACCTAGCAAGGCAGGCATACTCCGCAGGCCCTACAGCATTACAAATTGCCTACAGGACGCGGCGAAGTTTTTGGGTTTGCCTTCTTGCAATACGGCGCCGATTTGCGGTCTCAAATCAGCATCACAAATTTTTCAGAAGTAACCCGGTTTGGTATGGGGAGGGAGGATGTTCCCTCACAATATGATCGGCCAGGCGTTTTTAGACTACTTCAAACTAGATTTGGATTTAATCACGGAGAAACTGCATTCGCTCATGGGGGAAGAAGGAGGAGGAGACGCTTCTAGCACTGGCGGTCACAGCAAGAATGCCGGGAGCAAATCCTCGGGCAAGGGTGGCAAAAAGAACCTCAGCCAGGAGCATAAATCCCTCGTCATCCCACTGACCTTACTCCGCGTCACGCCCTTTCCGAACCTACTACTCAACATCGGCGCCCCGCACGTCGGGATTCACGCGTTTGAGTTTTATTTTAGCACCCTGCTCGGGTTGGTGCCGCTAAACACGGTGCACATTCTGTCCGGAAGAGCTTTAGCGGAGTTCGGAAAAGTGGAAAAAGGACCGGTGTTGAGCATCATGGGCGTTGGGACGGTTTTGCTGGTAGCGGTTTTGTTGTGGAAAAGGAGGAAGGTGAAAAGTGAATGAGTAGTGTCCGTCTATTTACTTATTAGTGCGCTGACTTTGATGTCCACTTGACAATTTCCATTCATCTGGTCCTCGTAAAAGTGTAGTCCGCACCGGAAGTGGTACGACCTTTCTCGTCCGCTTGGAATGTAGGTCTGATATTACTCCACCGCCGTCGAAGAACCGGTGTTGTTGTCAATCAGATTCAGAAATGCTCTTGGAGGTGACCAATGGACTAGTTCGAAATTCTAAGTGCCTGCCTCCTCCTCGAAGATCACTGCTCTTCATGATGACGAAAATTGATGACAAGGGCCAGATCGGAATTAAAAGGTGCTTTAGTACAAGAATGTGCACGACAACAAGAGCAAATTTGATATAGACAGCGAAATAAACTCGTTGCTCTTGCTGCTGCAGATCACCAAGATCAGTGTAAAAAATTCTCTGCCCTGGTACACAATTGTTGTGAAGATGATCCACTTTCAACATTTTTTGTTTAATGCACGCAAGGCAATGCCCATTTAGCATAGCAGATGGTTCCAAAATGGCCACTGTATTTGCTCTTCACGGTCGATGTTTTCCCTGGATTCATTCGCTACTTCGCGCACTGGCATTTGCTTCATTGTGTTAGTATACCAAAGCGGAAACGACAGGCCGAGGCACCAGCGGAACATGGGACAAGCACAGGACTTAGATCTAAAAAGAAGAGATATTGATCGGCACTAGAACTACAGCAGGCGTTCGTTCTCTTCGTAATATTCTCATCCACCGGCACCGATACAACATTTTCATTACTGTCCAACTTTCAAGAACCAATAGTCACAGAAAAACTCTAAAATGCCCTCCGTCTCCTGGAAAACGAAAAACCGGCTCCGTCGGCACGGCGTGGTGAAAAACAACTACGCCTTTTCAGATGAAGAGGAAGTCGAAGTTGTTACCACGACGACAAAAACTTCTACCCAAGGACGACGAGGAGGAGGACGAGGAGACCCTAGAAGTCGCAGAGAGGGAGAGCAGGTGGGTCAAAAGCAGGTCGGGTCTTACTATGGCAAAAGTGCTAGAAACGCAACTTCGTCGCACAACAAGAAGGCCCACCAGAACAGCGACGGCATAACTTCTGGCTCCGAGCAGAGCTGCGATAGTTCGGAACAGGATGAGGATAGTATTAACTCCAGCGAGGAACACGAACTAGATGAAGCTGATGAATCTCCACTGCAAGATGACACATCCGCTTCCATCAACACGAAGATGCAAACCAAAGTGTGCATGTTTGAATTTAAGCAAAACGACCCGAAGATGGACACAGGCATGAAAATCTGCCGGCTGGGCTTAGCCACCGCCCGGTCGGTTTCTGGTAACGGCGGTGGAGGAGGATCATCTTCTTCGGCGACCAGCTCCTCTTACCAGGGAATTGTCCTGTCCTCCGAAATATCAAATGCAAAAATCCCTCGACGTCTGGAAGGTTGGAGCTTGTGATGCTAACTTTGGACTCTACAAAAATCTGTATTGCATGATCAGCAACAGGAGTCTAGTTTGTGCTACGCGGGGCGGGCATTTGTCATGCGGAATAGGCATCAGGAGGTTTTCTAAAAATCTGTGATGCTAGGTCATGCATTACAGACATCCTGGGTCATGCAGAATATGCATGACAAACCCGGAAACATTCCAGACCCAGACACTTTTGCATTTGATACGAAACCTCCGTCTGCATCTCCCCCAAAGACCGGGACATTATCGAAAAGTCCGGGATTGCGGGCATTAATTGCAGCTGGATATGAATTGCAAAAGCTTCGTACTAGTGTGAATTGCATTACAAATTTCCTCAGCATGAAAAATCGAATTTGTAATGCTGTTTGACCTTAGAAAAAAGATTTGTTATGCATAACTGCAATTACTACGAGTGCGATTCTTTTGCAATGCATACTGAAACCGGTTAACCGAAATCCCGTTTCAGAAGTTGGGAAAACAAAAAAACCACAGAACCTTACCCTATTTACTAGCCGCCAACGACACCAACTACGGGAAACCCTACAAACTCTCCACCGCCGAGGCGATTGCGGCCTGTCTGTGGGTGACGGGGTTCAAGAAAGATGCGGAGTTGATTCTTTCAAAATTTAAGTTCGGCGACCATTTTATCGATTTGAACCGGGAATTTCTGGAGCTCTACAGTTGCGGAGGTAATGGGGATCGAAGCTGCGACAGCTCGGTCGTGCGAAAGTTGGAGAGAACGGTGATCGAGAACCGGGAGCGACAGAGGGCGGAACTGCGGCAAGGGGCCGTTGGGTATGAGGACATTTACGGGGAGTTGGGGCTGAGTGACAGTGAAGATGATTGTTCTGATTGTAGCGAGGAGGAAGAGGAGGAGGATTCTGACTGCGATATTAAAAGTTGTGAAGATTCTGACTGCAGCGACGAAGAAGATCCGGAAGTCCAGTACCAGAAGCACCTGCGGAGCTTGCGCCGTGGACAACAACAACTACAGGGGTCCTCCTGTTCGGATGAAGAGGACCACGTGGAGGAAGACGCTTCACAGGAAAGAGTACGACGACGAGACAAGGACGATTCTGATTCCAACGCAGACGAAGAGGACATTCTAACTGGCGACAGTGAAGAAGATCAAGAAGAAGAAGATGAACCTGGTTGTGGCGGCAAAAACAAGTCGTCGACATCATTCACCCCCGCTGCAGTTCCAAAACTGAAAACGCTTTTCCAGGAGGATTTGGATCAAGATGTCAACACGAATTACAGTAAAAGTTGTGCCCCTACTTCCAGTGCTCGAGTGCGGTTTGACCGGAAGGATGTTGACGGAAAGAACATCAAGAAAGGAGCTCCCAGAGAACAACAGCAGCAGCTTCTTGCCGAAGCAGCAGGTGCTCCTGGCAACCGGCAGATAAGAGATATGTCTTCTGCAGAGGACAGCAGAAGTGGAACGAGCAGTAGTTCATCCGACTCCTCATTTCATCTAGCGACGCCGAGCAACGGCACTAGCGAGGAAGAAGATAATATCGAGGCATTGGAGCAAATCGACCCGTTTCAAGAGTTAGCGAGTCCTCGAGCAGCAGCTTCTCAACATTCTTTAACCACAAGAACTCCGGAACAGGTTGTAAAGAGCCATAGAAGCTGCAGTGGCCGCCAAGAGCGCGAACTACCTGTCACCACGGATCTGCGACGAGGAAGGAAAGGTGAGGGCGACGAGCTCGAGCACGACGAGGGCGAAGGTGCTGCAAATAAAGCAGCGAAAAACAAGAAGTCACCCAAGAATGCGCAAGGACAAGAACCCCGCCCGCCGGTTCAACATCTCAGGGAAACGCTCTTGCCTCGACTAGACTGAAGTACGTGATGAAGATTCTTCGCCATGATGTCGGGAAGAGTATTCGGAGAGCACCACCACACTATAAATATTGATTTTTGGTGAAATATTAAGCGACAAGAACTACTACTACCGGGAGAGCAAATTGTAGCTCGACCAAAGGATGAAACTACTCTCAACATAACTTGGTACCACGGAGCAATGTTCTTGAACCATTTACTGAAAATTCTGCGACTGAAGAAGAGCTGCTGGGCCGGCTTGGGGCTCGAGGTCGAGCAGCAGTGTATGAAACCCATTCGGTCAACGGGGATGGCATGCATGTTGAGAGTTCACCGGATGGTAGTTCCCGTTGCAAATAGACTCGTTCACTGCAGTAAGCAAGAAGAGCTTCTTACACGAGTCGGCATGGAGGTCCGGACTGAGAAATAAAGATTTAGAATGGCAAGAGAACCGCGTAGTTCTTGCAGCTGCTTTTCATGTAGTGAAATGTGTGCGTCTTCCGCTTCTTTCCATCGTCGGATCGTGCATCTTAACTCCCTTCATACGTCGGTATTTCTCGTCGTGCACTATCGCGGTAAGAAGTAGCTCGGTTATTTCCGCCTCGTTGTGCACATGGTTTCTCGGCAACAACTCGTTCTTCGTCCATCGAACAGGCAGAAGCTGCATCTCCATCGTTCAAAAGCTCGGTGTCGTGGCTTTGCTCCGCTCACTTTACGAAAACCAGTGGTCCCGTCGGTTGCTGAACTTGTAGCTGCTGCTCGTACAACTGCGTACTTGATTCCTTACGAGAAATTTATTTTTCGTCCGTTGGTACCCAATCGTACGGTTTGATTTTCGTTTTCAAGAACTCTTGCTCGTTGACAGTACCGTTGCATGATCTTCCATGCGGCTGCTGACCGACACAGCAGCTGGCCGACAAGCTACAAAATTTACTCCCGCTTCGTATCATGTCGTCCACTCATCCTATATCAATGCAGGAGCTGGCATGGTGCAACGATATTGACACGACATATCCTTGCGCTGTACCAGTATCAGTTAAGTGTAATACTTCCCAATAAAAATAGCTCCCCACTCTTCATCTGCTCTTCAACACCTCGAGCTACTTCTGCTTCATTAAAAAATCAAAAGTCGACCCACGGAAACGAAAAGTAGACAGCACAGTTTTCAGAGTAGTTTTTGACTTCAGTTTTTTGAGCGTGAGCATTCTCGTGATTCACAAAAACAACATTCCCAGAGAAGATGGAGGCTGCTGCAGGCGGAAGGGCGAGCGTGAAGAGAAACTCGCGAAACACGTCTCCACATGGGGCGGGAGGCGGACGGAAGAGCCAGGCAATTTACGATGCCGGAAGCAAAAAAGGCTGCTGCGGCTCCTTATGCGTTGCAAAGAAATGATTTTTATCTCATCCGGGTGAACTGCAAGAAGGTGTATGAAATAAAGTGCACACTTCTAGTCTTGCTGATAGATTGTGATTGCGTACTTCTACTACAGGAGAATGAAAATCTACACTCACCGGGTCATAACTTTGACCAAGAAAATGAAAAGCAAAACATGCCTTCCCGTGAAGTGGAGCCGGCGATTACATCTGGGCATTCCGATTACTGTTATTCTGCTTAAGGACTCTTAAATAGTAATAGACCCTGCATATTAGCTGCACCACTCAAATGAAATCTGCATCTGAATCTATCCTCTCCAGTCGCTCGAGATGAAATCATTTCTCCCTCTGCCTCCATACCCATGTTGTGGTTGCAACTGCGGGCTGTGGAGTTTCCTGCAGCTCTCAATCGCATTGTTCCTCACCAAAGACGTGTACCAGATGATCGAGGCGATGGCCTACTGCCGATCGAATCCGGAGCTGTGCGTGAATTTCGAGACCCTAGAGTTTGCCGCCGCTATCGTGTGTCTCCTGGCCCTGGTGTGCAGCATCGCCATGTTTTTCTTAAATTCCTTCTGCGGCGACTCCAAATGCGGTTTTCTCTTCATTTTCTTCTGCATGATGCTCATTATGCTGTTCGACGCCATTTTTTATCGAATGCAAAAAAGTCTGGGTCTGGAAGGATGCAAGGTTTGTCGTGCAGGTTTTCCATGACCCATGAGGTCTAGCATGTAGGACATAGCATGACAGATTCTGTGAGAGTTCCATTATGCCTATCCTGCATGAGAAACTGCCTCTCGATTAGGTCAAAAGTCGACAGTTTTTGGTATGCATGCAACACAGATTTTTACATCATTCGGATTTAGCATGACAAGTTGCTTTGTTCCAGACCCAGACACTTTTGCATTTGATATTTTCCTCGGATCCAAGCGGTGGCACGGCCCAAGCTTATCCTGTGCAAATATGTCTGCGTCTGGGTCTGGAAGTTTGTGGTGCTAAAGTGTGCATGATGAAAAAACTTTCTCATGCAGGAAAGCATGACAAGTTTGAACAACCCTTTATCATACGAATCCCGCATGAGAAACTGCGTTTTTGTATGACGTGAGAGGCTGCCGCTGCCACTTTTGTTGGTCTCGCAATACAGATTTCACAGGAATGCAAGACCAGCATTACAAGTTCCAACTTTCCAGACCCAGACATGTTTGCATTTGATAAAGCTACGGTGGCGACAACGATAGCATAAAGTACCTGAACGACATACGACTCTGGACGGGGGTGCCATATCCTTTGCAAAAGTATCGTACTCCTAGTAGTAATTGCTATCAGGCATGACAAATATCTCTTCTTTAGGTGAATCAGCATGACAAATTCAATTTTTCGCTATGGAAAAATTTGTGATGCAATAGCAATTTATACGAGTACGATACTTTTGCAGTTCATATGCCAGGCGGGTTGTTGATAAGCTTTTTGGGTCTGTACTACGGGGGCGCCACGCAGGACCCCCCAGCAGTAATGAAACACTGCCCGTGGGACGAGAGAGTTTGAGGTGCTGGGAGTTGATGTTGGCACGAGCCCAAATAAGCAGCATTCCAAGCGAAACACCTACCATTTTTTCACCTGCAACAAGTGCAACGGCTTGGATTCCCATCGTGATTTGGTTAGTAGGTGGATCCCTTCGGAACGCAGAAAATAGAAGAAAGGGATAGCATAAGAGGCGTCTTTGGTGTGTGTGTGTTGTGTAAAGTGTGGAGGAAGTTGGTTTCCTTGCTTGAATTGCGAAACGCGAAAAGCGAAAAAAATACAAAGCCGATCCATAACAGAACTCACACAGTAAGCAAAGAAAAGGGGGAGGCGGCTCCAGAAATGCGAAACACGAAAAACGAAAAGAGCCCCAAGACAATGAATATAGTAGGCAGAGAAAAAGCGGAAGCGGCCCACGAAAAGCGAAGCGCGAAGAAAACGACCGGGGAAATAATCAGCAGAAGAGGTAGAGAGAAGCGAAGGCCGACCCCGAAATGCGAAACGCGAAAAGCGAGCCCAGCCGTTTGGCTTTGTTCTGCCTTTTTTTTCATCACAACGAACCCCCCTCCTTGCTTTGAATGGTATGCACACAGCCCCGCGCGTTTTTTTTCAATAGCGACGCGAGCGATCTTGGCGAAGCTCCGCACTTCATACGTTGCGCAGCTATTTTGCAAAGGAAAGCAAAAGGGAAGGCGTCCAATTCGTGGAGGCCCGGGCCCCGAGGGCGTTTTTGCTTGCTCGGTCTCAATATTGTCGCGAGGGATGTTGCCCGCCCGTGCGCCCGCAACAGATCGACGCGGCCCCCGCCCGCGAGGGGCTGCGCCGTCATCAGCAGAGCCAGTCTAGCAACATAACGCAAGCTAACAACTAACAAGCGCCGGGCCGGCGCGATCTTCGACAGGATACACCGAAAGGGCGCGCACGCTACAAACATGCCGCGCGCACTACAAGCGCGCGCATACGGGGGGTCTGGGGCGCCCGGGGGCCGGTGCAGCGCATTTCTCCAGGGTGGCGCCGCGCGCCCATGTGGGGGGCGGGCCCCACATCCGGCCGGGGCAGATCGGCGGCTGGATGGCAGCGAGCCCCACTCGGCAAACCCAGGCTGGCCAGTGCGGACCGCCGGCGCGACCGCGAGCGCTTTCAGGGGCCGCATTTTGCTCCGCGGGCGGATTCTCGCTGAGAGAAGGGCTAGGCCTGTTGCCATGGGCAAAACCTTTGCAACGCCATCGCTTTCCAGCTCGATGGCGCTCAGGGATTTGCGTTGCATTTTTCTACCGATGAGGGGCCTGCGCTTTTTTCTTCGAACCACGAGAGGGCTTTCGCTTCAGTAATCCGCCTGCGCTTTTGGATGGTTGGGCTTGCTGCGGTGAACAGGGTCGCCTCCTTCTCGTCATTAATTTTTTGCGCGCAATGAATCGCGTGGGTTTGTTTGCATTTGCTTCCATTGGTGGAGAAAAGTGCGCGCGCTTTCATTCTCGAGCCACGAGCGAGCTGCCAGCCTGATTTACTTCGCCGGCGCTCTTAGGTGGAATCTGTTGCGATGGCCCTGGTCTCCTCGCGAAACCCTCGCAACTTTGTGCTGCCGCCCGCGCCTCGAACACGGTGGGGGCGGGGCTTGGCGCCGGCGGCCCTCAGGGGCGGGCGCCCATCGCTGCGCCCTGCTACATTGGTGCGCCCGCCGGGAAGTTTCTCGCGATATTCATTTCGCCACACACACACACAAACAGAAGCGCCCCCACGCGAATGCCCAGCGTTTTCGTTTCGGGCCTACGCAACAGGGCGCCAGCCCCGCCCTAGGCTGCGGCTGGTGCGACCGACCAAGGGCCCGCCGCGCCATTTGGCGCGGCATGGGCCAAGCGCTGCGACTGGGATCCATGCCTCCGCTTTCCGCGCGCCCCCCGCCCCGGCCTCTCGCCCGGCCAAAACAAAGACAGGCGGGCGGGACGGTGGTCCACGTCGATCTGTTGTGCTTGGGCGCACGGGCGAGCCGCGTGCCTAGCGACAACGCCAAGACCAAGAGCCAACCCCCCCGGGTCCCCGGCCTCCTAGAACTGGACGCGCCCCCATGCGCATACAAACTATAAGTAGCCCCGCAGGATATTAAGTGTGGGGATCGTGGATATCGCTAGTGCGGAAGGGAAGGAGAGACAACGTCGGAGGCGGCGCCGAGCGTCGCCAATGTCTCTACTTAGTAAGAGGCGAAGGGCCTGCCTTCTTTCCTCACCGCTTTTCGCGGGCGCTTCGTGTTGCTTTCTCTCTTCTTACTCTACTCATTATCAGGGAGCCCACCCCGGTCGCTTTGTTGTTTTTCGCGCTTCGCATTTCGGAGGCGCTTCCGCTGTCTCTCTTCCTGCCCTACTGAGTAGCCACGGCCCCCCTTTTGGCTTTTCGCGTTTCGCATTTCGGAGGCGCTTCCGCTCTCTCTCTTCCTACTCTATTAATTGCCCACGGCCCCCCTTTGGTTTTTCGCTTTTCGCGTTTCGCATTTCGGAGGCGCTTCCGTTGTCTCTCTCTTCTTACTCTCCGAGTTCTCTATTGCCTTACTTTGGTTTTTCGATCGCTTTTCGCGTTTCGCATTTCGGAAGCGCTTCCGCTCTCTCTATAGTTAACTGGACAGATCTGCGATCTCTTTTAGGAAATTAGGTGAATCACGGTGGTGCTCTGCTTATTTGGGCCCCTCCCTTGATGTTGTGAGTTTTTATATATCAGAACAGATAGAGATACCTTTTTTTATTTACACCGGAGCTCTTGATGTTGGAGACAGGACTGCTCGCAAAAAGATGAATTTGTGCGCCAGTACTTCTTCATCTTCTATCCATGCTCTAGTATGAATATGATCAGAGACATTTTTAAAGAACAACGGCTTGCCTCACCAGCAGTGCCTGGCGTTTGAACCTACCGCTTTACAGGTAACTGCTTGGTAGATGTAGCTGCTGTTGAACTATAGAAACAGAGACCAAATATTAACGCAAATGACACGACGACCGTGGCACTTCGTATTTTAGAACCTAATCTGACGGGGGATCACGCGTCGTGAAGTAGACGAGATTTATATATTATGTTTTGACCCTGCGAACTGAGAGAATCTGAATCAGAATCCCACTTTCAGTGTCGTGTTTCATGACGTTATGCGCTAGAATAGAGCTCTCCCCGAGCACCAAGCGAAGCAGTTTTTGTTTTTCCATGATCGTATGAAAACTTCACCAAAAGGCGAATCAATAAAGGAAGAGGGAGACCTCTCTATCTTCAAGAAAATCCGTCAGGAAAAAATCGAGCCTCTTCTTGATTCATCAGAGCAAAGAGGATTCGTGGTTGCAAGCGAAAATGTCTTTTCGAGATGTCCGGTCGGACAAGAAAATTCAAATTTCTTTTCAAAAATAAAGTCGGTCGAGCACTAACATCGTTATTTCCGCCCCTTGCTTGGTGCAAAGTTTCTAAGTACTTCGATTTGTAATTGTAAACCGTTCGCCTGAAGAATTTTGTTAGTTTTATTTCTCAATAAGGTCGTGCCGCGGCATTCGTTAAGGTTGAAGCTGTTGCAGGTCGGTGACTCACCTCCTATAATCCTAGTTTCGTCTATCCTTTACTGGCCCTGCTCGTGAAATTGGTTCCGTTGGCCCTCTTTCGTTGTCGTATCTCGTTTCGGTCTATAATTTGCTTGTTCCCGCAGCAAAACTGGCATCGCGCATGGAATAAATGTCGGTCACTCCTTGTTGATCTCCTGGCTCCGTTATTTTCGTGAAATTTTCGCCGTTCGTGAAGTTGTGTTTGCCAATGTTTTTCTCGTCGTTTCCGTCAGTTTCAACACCAAGGTCGTTCGTTTCGTGGTCTGGAAAGACTTATCTACAGTAGATGAGTCTTGAACGTAAATCAGTATCCACACCTCTTCCAGCGCCAAAAGCAAACTCCGATTACACGACCACCCCCCGAAGTTCTTCATCGCACCCATTTCCACAAACCCTTTTTTTTCCAAAATAGGAGTCAAGCGATATTTATAGCAAAAGCAATTCGCTTGGTGTAAGTAAGTACAAGGACGACCCGTGGTGGAAAGGAAATGCATATGCAGTTAATACTGCAGCACCACAACATTGTTTCAGCCTCTGAGAATTACCCCGTTGAAGAAAAGTAATTACAAGGAGAATCCACCTCGGAGAAGCACCGTCAACGACACGAAAAAAACCAACAAAAATGGCCTGCAATTGCAACTGCGGCTGGGTCCACTTTGCGATGTTCTGGTCGGCGTGTTTCATGCTACAGCGCTTTATCCTAATGGCGATGGACACCAGCGACCAGGCGAAGTCTATGCGCGGCGAGGTGCTCACAGTGAGGATCATCGCCATGCTCTGCATGGCCGTGGTGGTCGTGCTGCAGATGCTCACGGTGTTCTGTAACAAAAACGGGAAGTGGGGCCTCTACACGTGCATCGCCTGCCTCTATCAGAAAGAAAAATCCCCCCTCGTCCCCGTATCGATGACGCAAAAATTTGTGATGCTATATTCGAGTACACAAACCGATTTTTCATGCTAGGAGGGCAAGAGCCGAAGCTGTGGCCTCCTTTGCAGGCATATATTGTCATGCTGTTTCCCACTTCTAGCTGCCTCCTGTCATGCTGAAGACGCAATTGTTTACTCCCACGCCAACCAGCACTACAGTGTCTACATCTTTTCCCTTCTAGCATGATAAAGCTGATTTGTGGCCACAAATCTGCATCACAGATTTCCGCTTTGATGATATGGGGAGGGGGGATTTTTCTTCTTGATAGCCTCGCCGGAGTGTTCATACTGGATGGTTTGATTGCTCGGACAGTTGACAGCGGTTTGGGCGTATCGCAAGAAAAAACCGTTTCAATGTGAACTTGTGATGCATAGAATGGAAGACAGAACTATTTGTCTTGCCACACCTGCAAGACCTCGACTCTTTAGCGGTGTTTTCCCTTTGGAAGCGCGCATGGCAAATTTTCTGTGTCATGTGTAACACACTTGTGATGCAGATCTTGCAAGATCATCACAGTGAAACAGTTTTTTCGTGGGATAAGGCGATTACGTTGTCGGACCGCACCAGGACTTGACAAATGTGAAGACCTACTTCTTCGTTCTCACGTACTGGCCCGGAAACCTGCTGGTGACCTTGTTATGTACTGCAAATTTCGCTTGGGTCTGGATCTGGAAATACAAGTATATGCTCTACTTCGTCACTCACAAAAAAAATATAATTTGTGATGCGTGAGTTGGTACAACTACAAGTACAAAGGCTGGTTATGTTGGGGCACCTTTAGTAGACATCACGTTCACGAGGATTTCTCATCCCAAATAAGCATGGCAAAGCCCATGATCCCGCAAAACCTGTGAAGATGCTGGGCTATGGCTTCTAAGTAAAACCCGCATGACAAACTTCTGCACGACTGTTCAAGCCTGCTGACCCAGAGATGTTCTTTGCAGTGGATACGTGTTAGCCCTGTACTACGACGGTGGCGATTTGAAACCGCGAACGAACGCCGACTGGCCTTGGGAAGGGGTTTAGATGAAGGACAAGGATTTTCAAATGTCTATATGATTTTTTTCGGCGACACTCACACTACCCACCAGTGAAATGTAGAACTATCGAAAAGAAAGAAGATGTTTGCTATTGCTCCCCGCAAAATGAAGATCGCACATGTACAATACCACAACGAACTATGTATAGCGTGATCAACGCGACGCGCTACTATACCGTCACAAGTTCTGAGCTCGTTGCGCGACGAATTTGAAATTTCAAACGTACAGCGAGCGCAAATACAGATACCACCCCAACATCCGCACAGAGACAGAATTTTATGTACGGAATATAAAAGACAGAATTTTAACACCAACGCGCCAAACTCGGAATACCAATCCACTTCTTCTCTTGCCAGCAGTACAAGTGTGGCGATACGACCACTTCCGCCCTCTTCTTTTTGTTGTGACGCTTCCAGTCGTCCAGCGCCCGTCTGGGTTTCGGTTTTACTTGTAAGTGCATCTTCAAAATCGGTTTTACTTGTAAGTAAGTGCTCATCCTACGTACCTCGCGCTGCAAGAAATAATCGTGCGACCTATTTTCACAACAGCACACGACTAAGTAGAACCGCAAGCGATTGCTGTCTTCGCACGTAGTTGTGCCTGCATTGCCGGCACCACGACCACAGGTTGATGCAAAAATATTTTTCACCAATCGTCCCGCGTGTTTTTCCTTTTCGTTCGTGATGTTGCAAAAGCCTGACAGTTGCGGTGATGTTGCACAAACCTGGTATAAACTCTGAATCTTTTGTCCTTTTCGTCGTGCTACTTTATCAGTAGAACCAACAGGAAATTTGCAAATCTAATCGGTTTTCGTTCACAAAAACCTCGTGTTTCGTTCACAAGAAAAAGAGCCTCGTGACTCACTTGTTTTTATCGGACCAGTTTCAGGAGTAAGCATACGCACCGCGAAATCACTTACTATTTTATACAGAGAAAATAATTGCAATTTGAATTTTCGCCCCAATATAGCGTAAGACACCTCCTCATCGTCCCTCTTCGTGTAAGTAGTAGTTTAACGCCTACTGATCTTCATTACATTACACGACTTTAGAAATAGAAAGGAAAAAACTCATGGCTTCATTCGAAATACGCCAGCGCTGCAAAGGACCAGGCGCTGAGAAAAAAAAACGGCGCACGTGAGCTGTACTACACAGTTCTTCGGATTTTCTTTCCTAATTGTATGTAGATTCATATTCATTTTCGACCATTCTCGTGGACCGTGAGACGAAGCGAGTTTGGGACGAAAAATAATTCTTGTTCCCACTCTTTCAAAAGCAAGCGTCCCGGCTACACGGCCTATAGAAAATGCCTCGGGACAGAAGCAAAGGCGCCACCTCCTCTGGGCGCGACAAAAGTGGAGACCGGAGCGGCGGGGACCGCGACCGGAGTGGTGGGGACCGCGACCGGAGTGGCGGGGACCGGAGTGGCGGAGACCGGAGCGGCGGAGAGCGGAGTCCGCGCACCGTTCCACCACTTAAAATAGTTGGCACTCTGAGCAAATCAGAAACTAAAGTCGCATATCAAATGCAAATATGTCTGGACCTCGAAGACCCCGAGGCCTGTCATGCAGATTTTGCATGATCCATGTCGTCTGCAATGCAGGACCTAGCATGACAGATTCTGTGAGATGATCGCTATCGTGCGTATCTTGCAGGACAAACTTCCTCGCAACTTGGTCAAAAGTGGACAGCTTTTGACACTCATGCAACACAGATTTTTGCACGATCCAGAATTAGCATCACAGGTTGCAATCTTCCAGACCCAGACATATTTGCAATGCATATCGCGATGAACCGAGCTGGCGGTCGCGGCGGAGGCGCGGGTTCTTCCAGTGATGACCTTTTGAGCGGAGCCGGCGATAGCGATTTTGAGTCGGGTGGCGCTCTAGGCCTCGCCGCGGGAGGAGGTGGCGGGGGCGACAAAAACAAGAGCGGACGGAAAAAGCAAAGCAACGGCTGCGGCTGCTGCACGTACTGTTGTCGGTGCCCAATGTTCATGGTGTTAGAGCTCTCACTGGCGATTTTTCTCATGCGCGACGTCTATCTGAGCATCAAGGCGATGGTGGACTGCCCCACAGTGGACCAGAGCGTCAGAGATGCCATGAGCAGTGCTGGAGGGAACAATTTCAACCCGGTGCAATCCTCTTATCAAGCCCCGATGCAATCCTACATGGCCTCCTCTGCCAGCCAGCAGCCCGCTTATGCACTGCAAAAGTATCGTATTCGTATAAATGCATCACAGGTTTCATCAGCATGAGAAGTGAAATTTGTAATGCGGATTTACCTTAAGAAAAAGATTTGTAAATGCATCACTGTAAAAATTACTACGAGTGCAATACTTTTGCAGTTGATACCGCTGGCACCGCTCAAACTTCGAGTTCGGGTGGAGGTGGAGGTGCATTCCCTTTATGACAATGAAAAATGCCCCTGCCGTTCCCGTTGCCGCCCCAGAACTAGTACTTGGCAGCATTTGTATTGCAAACCTACTTCCCAGTGGAAATATATCTTGTTGCAAGAAGCATCAGCATCACAAATTTTCAATGACGAATAAGGTAAAATTTGTCTTGCAAAAGAGCCCAGCAACATCCTGGCAGAAGATGCCGTGCGCAGTGTAGTAGATTCAGCAGCATCAAAAAGACTTCTCATGATCCTATCATGCAAAGATAAAAAGTTCTAGTTCTTCATTTGAAGAAAACCTTGTGCATCAGAAGCCTTTGGTGCAACAATTTCTGGGGTCGCTCGTGGGCGGGGCGATTTTAATTGTGATACCCGGCTTCAGCATTTGTTCAGGAGCACTTGTCGTCCTCGACAGACGGCGCCACGACCTCAATGGACGATGAAGACCACAACATGAAGAAACACATAGAAGGCAGCAAAGAAGGCAGCACCAGTGCGACGTTCCTACAAGAGGAGGAAAATGAGCGCTCCTACCGCCGTTCCACAGCGGCAGGAGTAACCCAGCTACCGGGGCAGGCGAATGATCAAAGCAGGAGGGAACGAGATGCCACTAATTATGCCGAAGTAGTAGAGCAACAAGTAGATGATGGTCATGGTCCGGAAGATTTGGCAAGCTCGCCGCATGAACAACCTTCAGATGTTGAATCACAAGTCGGTGGAGTTACTGTTTCATCTTCGACTTCATCGGCGTTCCTCTCCACTACGATGTCGACTTCGAAAAGTAGGGTTTCTGCCAAGAAGAAGATTACAACCTCCACGAGACACGCGGAAAGCAAATTCATCTCTCCGGGCAATATCATGAGCATGATGGGGATGATGGACGCTAACGGCTGCACCCCGTTTTTCGGCACCCTCGAGCTCGTCATGGCCTGCTTCTGCGTGATACGCTTTGCAAATATATCGATCTAGGTCTGGAAGTTTGTGATGCTGGGGATGTAAGGATAGTATTGAGATTGACGAGCGACGCATGACAAGTTTCATGATTTGAGAGACTTCTACTACGGCTTCTTGCGTATTAGGTACACAGCGTGACAAGTAGTCGTTTTTTTGCATGATAGAGAAATAGCGGCCCTGTAGCGCACCCTGCATGACAGATTTTTTCCTTCTCCTACCGAAGCATTACAGACCTAGATCGATCAGTTTCAAATCGATACATGATTCCCCTGATCCTGTCCGTAATCGTGCTCATCGTCAACGCGCTCTGCCAAGACAGCAATACGCATTGCAAAGGTTGTATCGCAATCATGCATTACTCGAGGTTGAGGTAAACCCGCATTACAAATCCCATTTCTCGTGCTGAGAAAATCATTTGTAATGCAGTTACTGCTACGTAGACGTAGTAGTAGTACGAATACGATACAGCTTTTCCAATGCATACAACAATTCGGTTGCCAATTTGTCTTTTTCTCGATGTTGGCCATTATGGTGTTGGACGGCACCTTTCTCGGGCCGAAAGTGTGGCCGGGCCCTAGCTACGGCCAGTTCGGAACCCAGCTAACGGATGTGCGGACGTGGACCGGGGTGCCCGGGGCGATGATCGTGAGCTTCTTCGGCATGTACTGGGACCAGAAGGGGAAGGGAAAAAATCTGCAAGTGCCTCCCGCGCTGCCGAAAGAGTACCCGTGGGACGTTTGAAGTAGATCTGAAGGTCAACATACGTAAATGGAACGCTGCACGACCGCAGTGTTTATGAAACGCTGCACCGCAGGATGAAGAGGTTGGCAGGCGTGGTTCAGTTTTCACACATTTTATTTGACATCACAATTATTTCAGCAGTCATACTATACACAAGCATGAGTGTCGTGTTGTCGAACCACGACGCCTGACCGGCATTTATTCAAGTACAGAGTTGGAGATTTTTTTTATTCTTTTCGCAACATTTACAATTTTTTTTTTTTACAATTAGAAAGAAGAAAAACACAAGTAAGATCATCAACAACGGGGCCCAGAAGTACCTCGTGTAGAAGCGCAGAGCGTTGCAAAACGAGGTACAACAGTAGGGTCTGACACAGAGACAGCAAGAGTTTTCAAGTTTTGTTCCTTTTCATTTTTATCCCTAAATCAATGGTTTACTTTCATAATTACAGCTTTAGCAAGTAGTACAGTAGAAAAACCCCGATTGTAACATGTTTGTGCCATCCCCGGCACTAAATTAAAACGCTCACCGGCACCAGCACGACAAAGATCCTCGAGCATTCGGATTTCATCGCAGTTTTCCCCCCTGCGAGTAGTTCCGAGCGCCATAAAATCGAACAGCGAAAACACAAGGTTTGAACTTGAAGCTTTTTTCGCAATAAAAATTCCGAAAAGAAGTATCTACGAGTTTGCTGCGTTGCTGCACCAATTTATGCCATTGCAGGACCAAAACTTTGGTCGTGTAGGTGTCGTTTACGTGTTTCTCTTGTCCTTCCCGGCTCCTTGTACGTGGTCAAATTGAGAACCGGACTATCACGACGCACACCGGTTAGCTTATTTATTCTGCAGCGTAAAATCATGTCCAAGACAAAGACTTCTGAGTCTCACTTCTAGTCGTCGATAACCCCGCCCGCTCCAGCTTCGTTATTTCTTGTTCCTCGTTCAATTAGCTACGCCTGGGCTTTTCAGTCTTTTGAGGCTCTCGTCATCGTACTTACTTCTAGTTCTGCCACAGGACAAATCTTCGCGTGCGAACATGTTGTGTTTTTGCCAGTCGTGATGGCACAGCTCGTCAGTAGAAGTAGTGCAGCAACAGGTCGCTATTTTAGTCGTGCATAGAAAATGTTGTCGTGTTTCGTTCAGGATCTTCATCTTTTTATCAAGATTTCGTATTCGTTCAGGAGGTTGTATTGAAAGGTCATCGTGCATAAAATGAATTTACGTCGTCGCCAGTCTAAACGTGAAGATTGTGAAGTTGCTGAACCAGCAAACTCCTGGCCCGCGTTGGTCGAGGATATGGAAAACATGGAAACACAGCATACCAAAAATTCTCATATAAACTATAAACTACACCCAGGTCTTGAAATACCACGCCTACATGCAGCAACAGCACCCAGTTTAAAATGATATTTTTCCGAGTTTCCACATCAAATTTTTATTTAGACGTGCAAGCTTTAGACGTGATTCTTCATACGAACAGAAGATTGTACTTGAAGCCCCTTGGTGGGCAGAAGGAAGACCTTGTAGTGGGTTGCTCGTAGTAGAAGTGGACTCAGAAGACCACATAGTGCCACCTCTAATACCTTGCTTTCTTTGTTTCCATGTGACGAACAAGAGGTACAACTAGACCGGAAAAATATTAAATCATTCTCATGAACAAGATGCCCCGTGGGGCAGGACCACCTGCTTTGAAAATGACGAAACATCCGAGAAATAACCCGGTCGCTGCGTCGGTCATTTTCGCAACTACGCTGTGTAACTTCTTGTACAGTTGTGACAACGCAGGAGTTCGGAAGACTGTGTCGATGCAAATCGGACCACGGGATCATAAGCGGAGCAAGGCGGGGCTTCAGGAGCAGCAGCACCCTGTGCGAAAAAATAGAAAAAGCAGCTTTCTGCGAAGTAGAAGTACTTCTACCAAAGAAGCGCCAGCAGAACGAGTTCTTGTTGATTCGGAAAATAGATCTGGTGAGAGCCTCGTAAGGAAGCAAAGCTTGCTCACCCGGGCAGGAAGGGGAACCAAGATGAGTGAAAATTGCAGCAGCAGCCCACGACGTACTTCTACTAAAGGGGACCAGGAGCACGGAGGGCAACGTCAAACGCAGAGTACAACTACAAGTACAAGCGGCCTGCGAAATAATAAAATGGCCAAACCTAGTTCCTTCCTAGCGGGGGCCGCGGCTTCTCAGTCATCAAGGTCGAAGATGCAGGATGAAGATGCAGGACATGAATTTCAAGATAGACAACAAGCGCAAAGCCAAAACCAGCAACATCTTCACCCTTTCTGGTCTAAACAGAACTTGCAGTCTTTTTCCGCCACGGACCTGGACAAAGTCGAGCAAAAGTTGCGCCTTCTGCGCAAAAAAACAGATGTTATCGTCGCCGATTGTTGGCAAAATCCGAACGCGTTTCCGGAGGAAGCGAGAGGTTTCATCGGACATCTCGGGAGGTGTGAGGAGTTTTATTCTGCAGGAGGTGATGGTGAACAAATATCAACCAGTGGCAATTTGGGTCCTAGCAGCAGTAGTCCTTGTCAGCCTCTGGGACGGTTGAATGTGAATAGCAATTTGCTTGCACGACGAGGACCAGTAGATGATCATGGGACAAACAAGACAGACGAAGTCGAGGGCCATGCTGGGACGCCAAACGCAACATCGGTATCAACAGCTGACGAAAGCGGAGCTGTTGAAAGTACAACAGGAAGAGCGTTTTTGACTTTATCTGTATCGACTACATCAAACACGACCACGACCACCTTCAGCTCGGCGTGGGTCTTCGTGGATATTGACCAAACTGCTCCCGTTTATGGCGACTACAGCAAGTCTGGTGTGTTACTAGAAGAAGACGCAGCATCGATCCAAGGCCACGACGCGGCTCTGTTAAAAAGCCAGGACATTGGCTTCGAGCAGTGTGTTTCTACCATGATAGGGAAATTATTCGTGGAAGAATTGGCGCCGAGAGACCTTGAAACGGGAGAAATTGTTGGGACAAGAAAGGAAATAAACCAAGCCGACGCCGAGCAAGAAGGAAAATTCCTCGGCATGTCCGACTCGCAAGAACGAAAATTCTTCGGCATTTCCGACTCGCTGCGCGACCGCAATGTTGGGTCTCAAATGCACAACTACATCCAATACGCCAATTTCGCCTTGGAAAGCACTGGGAGACAGACCCAGTGGCCGCACGTGCACGCAGGAGTCGTGGAGGTAAAAACAAATGCGCAGCATGGACTGCAAAACGACGCTTCATCTGCAACTGCAACCTTAACCGACGACCAGGCTACTTCCACTGCCGAAACGGCACGACCAGCACCTTCTTGGGAAAACAACAACCTCTACCACGAGAAGAACCATGTGGATGCGAGAAACTCGCCCTGGTACGTGAAAACGGTGTATCAACTGTAAAAATGTCTGGGTCTGGAAGAATCCAACTTGTCATGCTGATTTTGGATTCAAAAAAAATCTGTATTGCATGAGCAGCAAAGAGAGTTCAAGTTTTGGTACACGGAAAGAGCATTTGTCATGAGGTATAGGCATCAGGAAGCCCTCACAAAATCTGTGTTGCTAGGGCATGCATCACAGACATCAGGAGTCATGCAAAATGTGCATGACAAACCTGGCAATATTCCAGACCCAGACATTTTTACATTTGATACGGTGACCCGCGTGCCGAAAAACGTGGTCATCGCGATCGACCGCTCTGCTATCAAATGCACATATGTCTGGGTCGGAAATTTCTAAACTTGTGATGCTGTGTCTGGATTCAAAAAATTTTTGTATTGCATGACCAGCCAGAGGACTCAAGTTTGTTCTACACGGAGAGGGCATTTCTCATGCGGAATAGGCATTAGGAAGCCCTCTAAAAATCTGTGATGCTAGGGCATGCATTACAGACATCATGGGTCATGCAAAATATGCGTGACAAACCTGGCAATCTTCCAGACCCAGACATATTTGCAATCCATATCTGCTTCCATGAACGCGGTCACCGTGACGGGCGGGCGGCACCAGACCAAGCGGCCGGACCGGTGGCAGCCGGCGATGCGGGGGGTAAAAGCGGTTCTTGATTCGCTCTCGGACAACGACAGATTTAACGTCTTCACGTTCAACCACGAGTTGTCCATCAGCTCCTACGAGTTGGTGAAAGCGACAAAAAGTAACAAAGAACGGGTGAACAAATGGCTGGACCAGTTACACCCTACTGGCGCCACCATGACGGGGTCCGCCGTGGCCGCAGCTCTCGCGATCGGCTCTACTGGGACGCTGCCCGCGCGGGCCCGGCAGATCATCGACAAGAACTTGCAGCCGCAGCAGCCCGTGCCAAGCAAAGAGTGCTTCGAAATGAGCGACTTCTGCTCCACCCAGATTCTGCTCATCACCGACGCAACGGAGAAGGGAACGTATAGTGAAGAAGCAGTACAAGAGATGAAAACTTGGTTCCCGCCAAGCCAGGGAACGACCTTGAACAGCTATTTAATCGCCCCGGAGCATGTATGAGAGTGCACAACCCCCCCTCTCCCTCATTTGTATAGCATGAACGGCAATACAAGCGTCAGCAAGAATGCCGGTTTTGCATGACAAATTTGCCCAGGAGTGTAGTACTGTTTGGGCTTCATCCGGAGTTTGTCATGCGAGCAATGCCAAGAGGGACAGCCTGGGTTTGGTATTTCGCATGACAAATGAGGGGAAGGGGGAGTTGTGCAGTGTCATAGCATGGGGACCATTTCACCGCTTTTGATTTTTTCGAAAAGCTCTCCAACGCGCACAACGGAGAAGCGGTCCACCTCTACTCGGACAAAGAGGGCCACATTGAAGAAACCATCAGCCGGTATTGGCGCCAGTTCGCCGAGCAGAGTGATGAAGCGGAGAAGGATAGAGTGGTGTGGACCCGACACTACGATTTGTTAACCAAACAAGAAAGGCTCACCGCCTGCATGCTCGTGATGCAGGGACTGGTGGGCGAGGGAGAGGGCGGAGAGCTGCAACGACAGCCAACGGCTGCAGGTGCGGCAGGATCGGGCGTTGGGCCGCACGAGCAAGTTTTTTCATCCAGCAAACACACCCCCGGCGGCGACAACCGACTGGGAGTCCTCTGTGTGGATGCTTCGACAGTGTTAAAGCGCTCCTTTTTCGAGCAAATTCGGTGTCAGCCGTATTTTCACACGGAGTTACAGTCGCGGAGACCTATTCCGGACTACTGCCCCGCGAGGGAAGAAAGACAAAGCCGGTGCGACAAGTCGGCCTGGGAAAGCATGCAACCGAATGCAAAAATCAACAAGTGGCTGAGTAACGAAGTTTTAGAACTCGTTGGGACCGACACCGCCAGTTTTATCGGCGAAGCGATTGAGCGGAACGGGAAGGGGATCCCGGACTTATCAAGTGAAAATATGTCTGAGTCTGGAAGGTTGCAACTTGTCAACATGCTATGTCTCGAGCACAAAAAACTGTGTATTGCATGAAGGCCAAAAGTTGCCCAATGCCAATTCTTGCTATAAGCAAAAGGCGGATTTCTCATGCGGAATAGCCATGAGGAAGGTCTCGCAAAATCTGTGATGCTTTTGTGTGCATTCCAGATTATGTGCGTAGTCCACGAGATGCATCACAAATTTCGAAATCTTCCAAACCCAGACATGTTTGCAATGCATAGGACTACCAGTTGCACAATTTACCAGGGTCGTTACCGACGGTGGAGGAGGAGGAATTGATAAGAAAACGGCAGGAGGAATTGGACCGGGAGCTGGCGGAGAAAATTAGGAGTGGACAACATCTTCAAACGACGTTTGAACAAAACGCGGAAAATCAAAATCTCGGCTTTGACCAAATCCAGTGGAACGATTTATCCGTGTTAGAAATCGGGTGCGCGAAACCTACGACGACTACTACCACGACAACAACCACAACCACAACTACCACGACAACAGTTGTTCTTACCACGACCACGACGACAAGCACCACTACTTCAACGGTGACTACTAGCACAGTCGTTTCAACCACCACTAGTACAATAACGTCTACCACCACATCAACCACTACCCAGAACACGACGGTAAACGCCACGGCCCTGAATCTTGGCGCCCCGCCTAGTACACCCGGCGACAATGATATGAACTGCAAAAGTATCCGTATCGTACTCGTATAAATGCATGACAAATTTTCTCAGCATGAGAAATAAAATTTGTAATGCGGATTTACCTTAAGAAAGAGCTTTGTTATGCATGATTGCAATTTCTACGAGTACGATACTTTTGCACAGGATCAACGACCCTTTCAACCTACTAGGCCTGCCCTTCTGGGTTGCGATTCTGGCGATCTCCCTGTGCTGCGTTGTGACGACACTGTGTGTCGTGTTGATCATTTGCTGCTGCTGCGGGTCGAATGAGGCACGGTATGTGTTGCTCGGGGCGGAAGATTCATCTGCACAGGACAACAACGATACACGTCGTGAACAAAATCAAAACGTGATCGGTTTTGCGAAGCCCCGGCAGTTATGAAATGCAAACATGTCAGGGTCTGGAAGATTGGAAGACTTCCTTGTCATGCAGGCTTTCCATAATCCATGTCGTCTGGAATGCAGGACCTAGCATGACAGATTCTGCGAGATCCGTGTCATGCCCATCCTGCATGAGAAATTTCCTCTCCACTTGGTCCAACGTTTTCAGCTTTTGGCATTCACGCAACACAGATTTTTGCACCACGATCCAGAATTAGCATTTCAAGTTGCAACCTTCCAGACCCAGACATATTTGCGATGCATAGCAGTTGAGTCAAGTAGTCACTTCGCAGGAAGTAGAAGACCAGCTGGCTTTGATCAAGGATGCTCTGGAGAATAGACAGGATCGTGCTGGCAACAATGGAACGACACAGGATGATCCCGATGTACTACTTCCTGACGTAGCAACAGCTCTTCCACCGGCCGATGCTGATAATGATCCAAGTAATGCACTAGAAAATCAAGAAAGGGCGCCGTCCACGTTTCTCAACTATCAACTGTAAAAATGTCTGGGTCTGGAAGAATGCATGTTTGTCATGCTTGTCTGGCATGACTCTTAAATCTGTCATGCACATTGCCCAAGAGACGTTTTTTTCTGTCATGCGGAGACGCAGTTTGTCATGCAGAATAGGCAACACCTACAAGCTCAGAAATTTGTCATGCTGAGCCAGCACTTGTGGCCTCCTTATGCTACGCCACTCAGCATCACAAGTTTCCAGACCCAGACATTTTTACATTTGATATCAACGTCGGGACCGCAAGAACTTCGTCGCCAGGGGGCGAATACCCTGTGCAAAAGTATCGTACTCGTATTGCAAGCATGCATTACAAATTCTTTTGTTGAGGTCAAAACGCATTACAAATTTTGTTTCTCATGCTGAGGAAATTTGTAATGCATTTATACGAGTGCGATACTTTTGCAGTTCATAGCGAAGTGCTGACCACACCTCCAGCAGGCGCAGTGATACCCCCGCCAGGCAATTCCGGGTCGACCGACGAGGGCGTCAACATGCGCGACTACGATGTCCAGCTGACCTCCGAAGAGATAGCCGCAGACACCGAGGGCAGTCCGCAGGGAGCAGTGGTTCATCATGGAGATAATTCAGAAGCGACGCATTTCTTTGTTCCGGTGCCAGCGGAAATGTTGCTAGGAGAAGCTGGTGCAGCTGCGCAGCAGGGGGAACAGCAAGAGCTGCAAGGTGAAGCTTCTACTTCAAGGCCCGCGACAGCAAGCCAAGTTCTGTTCACTGGATTCGGTCTCTCGCAGACAGGACAGGCTGCGGCAACGGGTGGGGTTTTTGGAGGTGACAACTCCGAGAACACTCCTGAAGATCATGAAAATGAAATCGCGGGCAACAACAGAAGCGCCGGCCAAGAGGACCTACACGACGAAAACGACCCGAATAACCTGCCACGGGGACGAACAGGCGGGCCGATCGTGGCTGCCGCTCGGAGTAGAAAGAGCAAGAAAAACAGACCCTCCAAAACCTTCGCGGACGTGGACGAGCAACGAAGAAATAATGCTTCCGACCGCTCCCGGTCGAGCAAAAGGTCCTCTAGTAGGAAATTATCCAGTAGGAGATCCAGTAGAAGGCCAAGTAGGAAATCCACCCCGACCCTTCCAAGTAGGATGTCCGGACGGGAATCGAACCTGGCGAATCGGCCATCCACAGTGATTGGGTCGTTTTTCCCTCCGGGAGAAGGGGTTCCGCCCCCGGAGAGGGGGCGAGGTGGAGCAGGGAAGAAGAAAAAGCTTTCCAAACAAGGCTCGGTTGCAGCGATGGTACTGCGGAAATCTTCTAGAAGTCTGAGTCAAAGGCAAAGTCGTGTGTCTTCCTCGTTGCAAGTGAAGCCGCCTGTTGCAGGAGCCGAAGATGCGCCTGTTCACCCTCGTCAGCAGAGTCGACCGCAAGAAGAACCTCCGCGAAAAAGTTCTGGCACGAAAAATATTCGCAGCAGTAGTCGGGCAAGCAGTCGCTCCAGCAGTCGGGCAAGCAGTCGACCAAGCCAACAGCGATTGCGGAAGAAGAAGTCGAAATTGTGAAGAAGATAGAAGTTTTGATTGACTACAGTTGCGTCGCGGATAAGACGAAGGCTAATGCTGCCAAGGCTGAAGCGTAACATTATCATCTGCTGTAGAACTTTTCCATGCTTGTGTGTCTCACTCGCAAGCGTAACAGATATTACACCCATTCCATCTTTATTCAAGCCTTGTAGTTTTGCAGCATTCCAAGTGCGTGCGCGCTTGTGCAAGCGCCTCATGCGATAATGAATTTTTCGGTTTCAACGGTTTTCAAAAGTACCAAGAGCAATAATCCTATAGAAGATATTTTTGGTTCATCGTATTTGTGCAACCTGCAAATAAAAAACTCGTTTCATCTAGCAGTTCTATCCACCTCCAACATGATCGACTTTGTTCTACTCCCCATTATACGAGCAGTTCGGGCTGTTCTAGGATGCCCACGTCTACTCTTGATATGTTCTCCGGTGACATGACCCCCAAATTTTTCCCTGAACAGCCAGATTTTCTCCCTTTGATTTGCAAAACAGCCCAGAAGGCAGCGAGTACCAAAGTGTCGCTGCTTGTCGTCCTAGCTGCTTCGTAACTGAGCGAGGTTTTGTTCCTTGTTTTGTCCGTCTTCTGAAGAACGTGTCGTCTATTTCGTTGGTGATTTTTCAATACCAACAGAGATTAAATCGGTCCAGAAAGTACGTAGCTTTTTCATGGGAACAAGGGCGCGAGGACCTTTCTCTCTCTCCTTGCTGCGCCGCCGTCGTTGCATTTATCCTTTACCAGGAAGAAGTGCCGTGTCGGTATTTCAATTCGTTCGTACACGCAACATTGTGCATGTCGTTCTGCCCCCCTTGATTTGCCAATGTCGGTTGTTTGCAGTCTTTGTCGTTGGTTCTCGTCTGCTACTTGGCATTGTCCTCGTCGTTGCTTTCGTACAAAGTATCGTGCAAGAAAAGTTTTCGTCATTCTTGTTCTTCTCGTTCAAACGTTCGACGGAAAATTTTCGTTTTGTGTGAAATACATTTCGCTATTTCCCTTGTTTTCCATGCAATTCCAGTGACCTTTATTCCCCTGACATAGTTCGAAGTATTACCCAAAGCTTTGAACTCAAGGTCACGCCATTACTTGGAATTATTTTCGTACACACTTAGAAAGAGGTGAACAAACTGTAGTACATCATGAACAAGACGCCAAAAAATCTGTTTCTAGAAGGGGACCCCCACGTTAACCACCGCACGAATAACGATAAACCCGATGAGAAATAAGGCACTTAATATACTCTACGATTTTTAGAAAGTCAGAAGAAGATTTTCCCAATAAACCCCCGCGGAGAAACATGAGCAGGCGACATCTTTCGCTTTCTTCAATCGCACTGTTTGTGCTTTATTACCCGGCGCACGTTATTCAGTCCGCCGGCGCCTTCGAGTTTCTCCGCGTGTTAAACACAGAAAAGAACCAAGCGAAAGGTGGATCACTATCTGGTACAGCGAGGAAGGAGAAGCTTCTGGCGTCGAAGGTAATAGTACAGTCGCAAAAACAGCAAGCAGGGAAACAAGGAACCAATCCAGGAGCGACAGAGGTCGCTGTGGATTCCTTAAAGGAAGGAGAACAAGTTTTGTCCAGCAGCACAAATGCAGCTGCGGATAACCAGGGAGTTGTATTGCAAGAACCCAACAACGACGAGGATGTTGAATCCGCCCTCCTGCAGGCGGGAGAACTATCTCAAGAACCTTACGGAATTAGTACAACAACTTCTAGCAGGATTTCTCTTGCCAGAGGTGCAGCAACGAGACAAGCCGGAGCGGTTTTGCAGCCACAGCCCGCGCTGCTTACGAGTAACAAGAATCGCATCAGTCTCTCGAAAAATTACACGATGTACGTGGAGGAAGACGAAAAGCTGCTTGATAATGCAGAACTGACGAGTCGAGCCAGCGAAGCATTCGTCGACGAGTTGAGAACGTCGGTCATTCAGGAACAAGACAAACAACGGCTTTACAATTCGGAGGTAGAACAACGAGGGAGCAAACGACGATATCATGACTCGTCTGCGAGGACATCTGGATCTACTCGACGGGAGTTCAAATCAACCAACGATTTACTGTACCACGATCCAGCCATGGCGATTTATGACGCAATTCTGCCACCAGCTTCAAGCTCAACCGGAAATGGGGCCCCTACTTCGTCCGAAGACGAACGCCGCGATCATTCCAGGGAAATCGGAGAGGAGGATATCATCGACACAACGACCGAAGTTGGAGAGGACGAAGAGGACCTAGAAGCCCCAGCAGCTACCCCGACTTCCGCTTTTCTCTTTCTGCAAGAACTTTCGCAAATGAGTACAACGACTACACGTGTAAAACACCAAAAGCTGTCCACGTCCACCCAAACTAAAGGCCAAGGCACCGCCGATACCTTGTGTTTCGTCTCCCTGATCCTCTGTTTGATCGGCGGCGCCGGGCTGGTGATTCTCACTTTCGTTTGCTGTCTCTCCGCCCCCGACCCCAGTCAGGAACTTTTGGAAAAACGGCTCGCGGAGGTGAATACGAATTTAGACAACGCGGTCAACGCGGAGAGAAAAAGAAAGCAAGACATTCTAAACGCGGCGACAGTTGACGTAACCGAAGAGGGACAACTAGACCGGCTGGAAATGGAGCAGAAGATGGAGGAAATTAAGATGAAATTGATGGAAAAGGAAAAACTCGCAGTCCTAGCGGGGCATAAAGACGATTTCTCTATCCAGGACGACGAGGAATTCTTAACGTTACCACCCGAGGAGCTATCAAGTGCAAATATGTCTGGGTGGTCTGGAAGAATGCGCGACTTGCCATGCAGCTTTTCCATGACCCATGAGGTCTGGAATGTAGGACCTAGCATGACAGATTCTGCGTGATGATCTCTATCACGCCTCCCGTGCATGAGAAACTCCGTCTCGACTTGGGCTAAACTGGACGACTTTTGGTAATCATGCAACACAGATTTTTGCATGATTCAGATTTAGCATGACAAGTTGCATTCTTCCAGACCCAGACATATTTGCAACGCATAGGAGCAGGAGAAACTCAATACCGCGATCAAATTTGCGAAACTGGGGATCAAGGAAGATGTCGACGGGATCTACTCCAATACTTCGGGTAAGAGCTCTCTTGCGGGGGCTTCCGCCTCGGAACCCGACGATGATAAGTCACACATCACCGGCACGACAACCGAGGAAGATATGACACCAGTAGGTAGTGAGAAGTCGGGAACAACATCAAAGGAGAGTTCTTTCAACTCCGAAATCTCCGAAGCGGATTACGAACAGTTCGAAATTAATATGCCTTGCAAATATCCCTGGATGTCTGGAAAAATGCAAGCTTGTGATGCGCATTTCACAACACAAAAAAACCTCTCATGCATAGACAGCAAAAGTTGCCCACTTTCTGTCACCAAAATGGGGCATTAGTCATGGGGATTCGGCATTGCGGAAGCTTTTCGAAATCTGTGATGCTAGAGCTTCCATTCTAGACCTTCTGTGTCATGCAAAAGCAGCATGACTCTTCCAGACGGAGACATATTTGCATTTGATAATCAAGAAGGTGCAGCAGCTGAAAAAAGCGAGTACCAGATCTGGCCTCGGTCTCGGTCTCATTTCCGATACCGATGGTAACATAACCCCCGCGGAGTTGAGCTCGTTATCCGACGGCGACAAAACCCCGCACGGATCGATCAATATGCAAAGAAAAAAGTGTTACAGTTACGCATTGTGTTGCAAGAGGAGCAAGACAGACGATTTCTGTCATGCGCAAAATGCTTGCGAGACTCGTTTCGTGTGTGTTTTGCGACGTTAGGATCTCTGCATTACAAGTTTATTTCTCCGTCATGCGAGGCAAGTTTGTGATGCTGAATTCGCTACAAATGTGTAACTGTAACTCTTTTTTCCTTGGATAATCAAGAAGCACCACCTACTCTCCGCTGCCGCGAAAAGGAAGATCCGGGCTATGGGAAGATTAGAAGTCGGGTATCAAAAGGAAACATGACCCCTCCCCATATCGAAAACGAAATTTGTGATGCTGATTTGAGTACACAAATCGACTTGCATTGCTAGAAGGCCAAGCGACGCAGTTTTGGCCTGAATTGCAGGCATATATTGTCATGCTGTTTCCCACTTGTCTAGTTGCCTCCTGTCATGCTGAAGATGTAAGGCGTTCTCACGCACCCCAGCACTACAGTGTCTACATCTTTTGCCCTCTAGCATGACCAAGCTGATTTGTGGCCCCAAATCTGCATCACAGATTTCCGTTTTGACATGGGGAGGGGGGATTTTTCCTTTCGATATCGGGAAATCACGCGCGAAGGAGAGAAGGCAATTGCAGTTGCAGGCCCGTGGGATGGCCGTTTTCTCCAGTGACGACGATGACCATGAGACGCACTTGCACCACCACGATCATGACCACGACGAAGACGCGGTGAACATCATGCACATGTCGGTGACGGCGGGAAGCCGGAAAGTTTCCGAAGCGTTGGCCCAGGCGAATTTGAGTATGAGTTCAAACAAAAGCAAAGAGTCCTCCAACGACGCAACTGCGGGAATTGTAACTGCGAGCGGTGGCACAGGCACTAGAGCCACAGCAAAATCGATGGCAAAGTCTTCGTTCCGAAGCAATGCGTCGAAGAAAAGTAGTGCCGCGGGAACATCAAATAAGGACGAAATGCACAAAACCAAGAGCAGCGCGTCTTTAGGTAATAGTAGCAACAAGAGCGCCGCGCGAGACGAAATTCCGCCTGGTGCTGGTTTTGTTGCCTCCGACCAAGAAGTAGAAAGCGACCTGTCCGACCGAGAGGCGAAGGAAGATTTAGCCGATTGGATGGCGAAGGATTTCCGGGTGGGAAAAGCCTACGCGAAGAGACTCGCGGAGCAAATCTACACAAAAAAAGCGATCAACAACTCGTTTCAACAAAATTCCTCGAAGGCGCATCAGCCGGTGCCCGGAGTGGTTGGTGGAGACGTCGGTGTCGAGGGTACTACGAGTCTGGGTGTTGCGGTTTCCCAGTCCTTCGTGGTTCCACCTGCGCTGCCTAGCTCCACGTCGCCCACAAGGCAGTCCGCTGCGCAGAACATTGGAATGTCAGTGAACGCACTAGCAAATCACCGCGCAACACAACAGCAAGAGCATGAAAATGCCGAGCACATTGTGATGCCGAAATTGAAAAAAGACACCGAGCACATGAAGGAGCACGGGCTAGATCCGAAGAACTTAACCGTTGGGGAACTCAGGGAGAAAGTCGCCGAGAAACGAATGAAGGAATTGAATGTACAAACGCGGGAAGACGAGAAAAACAAGCCGGGGTTCTTCAAATCCTTTTTCGGGAAGACTCTGGATGTGTTTTCCTCAAAGAGGAAAAACAAGCTCGATCCAGAGGGAACAACAGCAAATAAACTCGCCGGGATGAAAAAAGAGAGGAAAAAGAAGAAAAAACAGTTTGGAGTCGAACCAGGGAACGCCGATTACACCATCATTTCCATTCCCGAGCAACGGTACGCGGAATCGATTTTGACCGTGACTGGAAAAATCCCGAAGCTGTACGCGAAGAGGCTGGCGAAACAAGTCGCAGATCCGAACAATGGGAATGAGCAGCTGATCAGTAAGCCGAATTACGTCGTGAAAAACAACAAGAAGGAGATGAAAACTACTAGTAGTAGTGCCGTGGGTAAAAATAATAAAGATTATCGTCCTTCGCAAATCACGACAACGACAGTCATCAGTAAGAAAACGGGAAAGGAGCTTACCAAACTGGTTGACCTCAAAGCGAACAAGAAGGCGTACAACTCGATGAAGAAAATTGGGTTTGATTTGGAGAAGGATGGGGACTCTTTAACCATCGGGGTTCTGCGCAACTGGATTAACGCGGCCGAAGCGGAGCAAGACGTAAACCACAGTATCGACAATCAGCACGGCACCAGTCCGCTTTCGAGGAATAATCACTCGTTTTTGGGGCATTTGTTACGCTCTTCCGCTGCGGCGAAAACCGACGGTTTGGCAAACGTGGAAATCCATATTCACGCGAATTTGTCGAACGCGTCGACCCTGAAACCGGGCGCGAGTGTGTTGGACAGTTTTAAAAATATGAACACGACGATGAAGCAACAAAGTCCATCTTCTTCGAAGAACATGTTGAAAGGAGCTGCTTTGCCTTTGAAGGGTCAGAAAACGGCGGAAAATCTGGGCGCAGGAGCACTAGTTTCTGCTCCCGCGGCTCAGGGAGATGCTCTTAACGTAACTTCTTACCCGGGAACAATCATCGACCAATCCCCGTTAGCCGACGCCGTGGCCTCCTCTCTGTTCCGCCGCGCGGGGGCAAAATCTGCTGGCGACAAAGACCCAAATTCAAACAATTACCGCCCCGCCGGGGCAAGTGAGTTGGAGAAAACCTATGGAGTCTACCAGATGGAAGTCGCTTTAACAACCGCGGGGTTTACGAAAGCATCGGCGAAGAAACTGACGGTATGAAATGCAATTATGTCTGGGTCTGGAGAAGTGGAATCTGTATTGCGTGTCTTGCACTCCTGTAAAATCTGTATTGCATGACCACCAAAGGCGCGAACTCTTTGTCATGCGAGAACGCAGTTTCTCATGCGCAATACACATGGACATGAGGAAGCGTCCTGAAAATTTGTCATGCTTGGCAGCATCCAGGAGTATGCTCAGTCATCGCCACTTAGCATCGTAAGTTTCCAGACCCAGACATATTTGCAATGCATAGACGGAGAAGTTGATCGACTCAAGTATTCCCCCAGATACAAATCTGCTCGCAACAGCGGACACGGAAAGCAATAAGATCGAGCGGGTTTCCACGGCGAAGAAGTCGGAGTTTGAGCAGCTGTTATCGTCCGCGTTTGGGATGATCACCGGGACAGCTTCAGCTGCGGAAGATGAACCAGATAAAGAAAAGCCAGTCGTTGACGAAACGGTCCAACAAGAAATTCGGAAATCCTCGTTAGCTAGATTGCAGTTCCAAAAATCCGCGATCACGATACAGGACGTGCGGGACAAGCTTTTCACGGAAATAAAACTGAAAAACCAGGAAGACACGCTGCTAGCGAACATCCCCGTGGATTACGAAACGGCAGAGATTTCCTTAGTCTCCGCTGGGTTCGAGCGGTCAATCGCACGGAGGTTAGCGGTGCAGGTGGCGGACCCAACGGTTTACGCGGAGGAATTGTTGTTCACACACGAGAAAAAGGAAGTACAAGTAGTAGGAGAGCAGCAAAACGTACCAGTTGTTCCAGATGTTGAAGGTGTAGTAGTATCACCACCGCCACCGCCAAAACTCGAACAACCATCTTCCTCGTCCCCCGCAGCCGATCTCCTTGCCGCGCACATTACCGATGGGAAGAGGATTCTCCAGAAGATGGGGCTCGGCTTGGAAAACGAAACCGTCGGCAGGTTGCGGAAGTACTTGAACCAGTTGATAGAAGAGAAGAAAGTGGAGAAAGCGGCGGAAGACGTTTTGCGAATGCAGCAAGAGAAAAACGCCGTGGCCATGGGAATTCTGCCGGCGACAGCGGTGTCACAGCAACAGCTGCAGCACCCACCGCCTGAAGTGACTGGGACTACTACACCCGCAGGAACGGCTGAGACGCAACCGCTCATCGGAGTGGGAACATCAACTACTGCCGCCACGACCCCGGGAACAGCAGCAGCTGCCACGGCATCAGCAACTACTTTTGGTAGCCCGCACCAGCCCATCACTGGTAAGGAAGCGTACCGGGCGCTTGTAGCAACCGGATTCAGCAAAAAAGGCGCTACCATGCTCGCGAAAACCTTGTTACGGAAAGCCGGGCTGGATTTACAACCCGATGAGTTCGAACTCGCTTTGCGGGATGGGCTGAAGCAGAAGGCGAAGGAAATGAAAGAACTACGGAAGTTGAACACGAAACAGATGGGGCTTGGGTTCTCGTCTGGGGGAAGTAGTAGTACGACAAATATGAGCTTGGGGGCGACGAATAGTTCTTCCTTCAAGAATGCAATGCTGGGACGAACATCAGACGGGGGCCCTGACACTGCAGGAGCTACTCTCGCTGGTACAGGAGCGCCTGCTACCGAAGGAGCAGATGTCCCCACGACCACCGAAACAGCAGCAGCAACCCCACAACAAGCCGCCGGCGAGGGATCAGCACAACAGCGATTTTCGGAAGCGTCCATTCATAGCATTTCTAGCACGGAATCGGTGGAACGGCAAACAAGGCAGACGCAGAGCAAGTTTGGGGTCCATATCAAATGTAAAACTGTCTGGGTCTGGAAACTTGTGATGCTGGGTGGCGTCTCATGATGAGGCCACAAGTGCAGGCTCAGCATGACAAGTTTGTGACGAGCTTCTAGGTGTTGCCTATTCTGCATGGCAAACTGCGTTTCTGCATCACACAAAAATGGGGCTCTTGGGTAACGTGCATGACAGATTTAAGAGTCATGCCAGACAAGCATGACAAACATGCATTCTTCCAGACCCAGACACTTTTGCCTTTGATAGTCCAAAGGAAGACGCCGGATAGTGCATCTTTGTCCCGCAAGAAGCTGCAGCTATCCGGAATCTCGGAGCAGGGAAGTACTGCACCAGCGCATGCTATGGATGTGTCAGGATCGAAATCGACGAAATCGAAATGATTTGTGATGCATATATAAAATGCAGGGCACGGAAGGCCTGTATTGGGGAGCAGGCAAATGAGACCGATTGCAAGCCTGTTTAGGGGTATGCAATGTGCTGCCAGAGTAGCACGACAGGAGGAGTCTTCTTTGCCCAAACAGCATGACAGACTGGATTTGGGTGCTCCCGAAATTCGTCATGCGCCACCCCGCAGCAGCACAGTCTGTTTATGTCATGCGCCACTTGGAAACTGAGGCTCCAACTGACATCGATTTTGTGCATCGCAAATTTTTCGATTTTGCCGATTTCGATTCTGACACTTCCATACATGCTCCTTTTGCGCCCGAGGGTGAAGCTTTAGAGCAGGAGGGTAACGGAGGTCCACTTTTGCTAGAACAGTCGGGCGAGCAAATTATAACTGCAGATGCGGAAGGCGAGCAGGTGGTGAATAACGCACTATCTCAACAAGATCCTTCTCTCGTTTCCTTCGGAGACCCAAATGAAGCTGGGGCTGGTGCAAGAACTGCAAACACGAATCAAATGAACGCCTCCAAAATCATCATTTCTGCGACCACTGGCACCGCCGTGCAGCAAACCAACCCGGACGAGGAAGTTTACACCGAGGAGGACTTTCAGCGGGACCTCGCGCTGTTAAAAGCGTTTCAGGGGTACGGAAACGCGCAAACATCAGAGGCAATCAGCTTGGACGCGATTGTTCGGAGGAAGCAAACGGAGCAGAAGGTGGAGATTAACTTGTACAAGTTGCGAAAGCAGAAATTGTTTCAAATTGATTCCACGAGTTCTGGGATGAAGAAGAACAAAAAGTCCTCCTACACGTTCGCGCAAGCCCGGGCGGAGAAGAAATTGATCGAGACCTTAGGGCTTACCCCGGAATTCGCGGCCTGGGTGGTCAAGGAAGTGGCACTTTATACAAACTTGGAGAAAGAAACGACCACGACGGCGAAGGAAAATGTTGCAGACGCAGCAAGTACTACAACTCCTGCTGTAGGTGGCGCTGCACCTGATGCTGATTCTGGCTCGTCCCCTCCAGGTACAGCAGCAGCCGCAGAAGTTCTTTCAACAAGGCAAGGGTCAAAAGAACAACAACCTAAAGGTGGTTCTTCACACGGAAAAAGCGCACGTCACCACGCCGCCTTTATGGTGTCCCACGAACAGACAGGGTCAGGCAATGTTGCAGCCACAACAAGTACAACTTCTGCAATAGGAGCGGCTGCAACTGGAGGTGCTGCTGATGGCACTAGCAATACAAATCCTAGTACCGCTACTTCAGACGACGATGACGATGACATCGGCTATTCCGATAGCGAGGAAGACGATAAACAGGAAAACAAATTCGTCGAGTTCGACATCCACATTCTCAATGAACACGCTTCCTGCACGCACAAGGACCACGAGAAACTGGAGGATATTTACGACCATTGTGTTCCCCTCGGACACGAAATTCACACGTGGGACGAATTTCAAAGTCTCTTAGAAACGGCGATCGCGAAGGAAGAAGCGATATGAACTGCAAAAATGTCTGCGTCTGGAAAGTTGTAATGCTTGGCTGGGAACAGTGAATTCTCTGTAATGCACAGCCTTGCATGAGAAAGGTCTGCGCTGCTTTGTGTTGCGCTTTCTGCATGACAAGCTGCGTTTTTGCATGACAGGCAAGATGAGGCCCCTTTCCTGCTTATGCATCACAGATTTAAGAGTAATGCCAGACAAGCATGACAAACGTGCCTTCTTCCAGACCCAGACATATTTGCATTCTATAAGCGAGAAAGGCCGTGGAAGCGGAAGCGGTCGCGACTTTTACGAGCTCGATGTATGGAAGATCGTTTGAAACCATTGCGAAAAACCAGGAGAGGCAAAAGATTCGGAAAGAACGGGAAACGAGGAAAAATAAACCGGACTGCTGCTACAGTTGCTTGTTTTGTCTGTGTTGCTTTCGGAGGAACAGGAAAGAGGAAACTATTGGTCCTAAAACGCTGGGAAGGAGGTCGAAGAAGAAGGTCGAGTAGAAAAACGAGTCGACAAGCAATAATTATTCGTCTTCTCCGGTGAAGACAAAATCTCGTGGTTGTCAGAAGATTTGGGAACAACCATCGTGATCTACTATTTTCGTTCATGACACTTCATTTTATCATTTTTTGTATTCATGGTAACCAAGCAGGTAACACACTCTAAACTTTGATTTTGATAATTTTACGCTTGTTCATCAGGTGCAATTATTTATTCTTTGAAACAAGAGCTATCAGCTCAGCCAATTCGACATATGAGTATTCAATAAATCAACTATGTTCATCGCGTTTAACTTTTTACAAGCATAGCAACCATTTTGATTTAAATTCCATTACATGTCTTTGTTTTCAATTTTTAATTTTAACATTCAGTCGCATGACAGTCACAGTACCAGTAACTTTTGTTCTTATTTTAACATTCAGCATAAACTCGTATCTATTTGAATCTTTCAACCACGCAACACTCTCCCGGTGTATAGCAGCTCTTTAGCAAGGCCCCAAACAAAATTTAAATTTAGCGATCAACATTTTATCCCCCAACGACAGGCAGCTGTGTTTATCACGTCAGCAAGCTCAGGCAAAGGCACCCTTTAAGAACTTGCGAAGCTAGAAAGTTAGTGCAAAAATCATTTTGGAGAGGCGGCATAATTCATCCGATGACGTGCTTGATGTCGTGGTACAGCAAGACATGCATGCAGCTAACTGTCACACGTAGAAAATCCCCTTCTTTCAGGAAATCAGTACCTTTCACATCGTCCTTAGCCCCCCTAAGGATGAAATGCAGAAAATGAAAATCATTATAGGCACAACTTCGCCGCACCGCCAGTGCCCCCGTTTTCAGACAGAAGTAAAACGGTGGAGGTTTAGAAACCTCTTTCGTGCATCATCAACGAACAGGGTTGAGTAGGGTTCTGTGTACTTCTTGTGAGGAACGCGCAGCTGACGCAGAAACAAGAACTTCTTGTTGTGGGAAGTGGTCCTACCTCCACGCCTTAACTTGTATGGCTTCATCTCATTCCATTCGTCGACATGATCGTCTTTTCGTCCTCTCGTACTTCCGCGTTTGAAGTAAAAGCACTCCTTCGTGCATCATAGTGGTTCACCCAAAAACAAAATCGTCCAACAACGAAACTAGTACGCTCGTCCGTCGCGTGGTCAGCACCTTTTTCGTCCGGACAACCGTCGTACGCAGATCGTCAACACGACACTGCTCACGACACCAGAAATTACTCAAAGTAGTACGCGGATCGTCACACTAAAATGAAATTGATGGTGCCACCATGATGCCTTTGGTCACCAATGTCAGGACCATTTCGAACATGATATGAACAACCTGGTATAGTTAAATGCAATACCCGCACGTTGCCCTTTTGGAATCGGTGGAGAACAGAATTCGTTATTTCTAGATTGTAATTTCATCGTCCCCGCGCCGGCCGGCCGCCACCTGGGAAAAGATAAAGATGCGGTTGAGAAATCCAAGAACTTTCTGGTTCTTACCGGCAATCATCTCGTTAACTTCACCAGGCTGTACCTGTACGATGAAGCTGCTCACGACCACAACCTTCTTTTCCCTCGTTGCAGCAGGAGCTTCCGGTAGCACGACGGCGGATCCGGACCAGCAGCAGCAATTTCCGGATGATGATGAGACGCTTATTCTGGGAACACAAACCACCATTACAACTTCCAGTACGTTTCTGCGGCGTGGGTTGATGAAAGTAGAGGAAGCATCTTCGGAGACAGAGGTTGGAGGGGACCCAGAACCTTCTACTGGGACGAGAAAGTACAGCCGGAGTACAAAAAAGCCCTTGTTCAAGCCAATTGACCCCAGCAATGTGCTGCAGTATCACGAGCGGTTGGAACAACAACAAAAACAACAAGACAAGCTGGAACTGCGCGGAGCAGGAGCAGGTGCCACTTCGTCCGCAAAAAGCCTGTTGCAAAACAAAAGGACAAAGGTGAAAGACGAGAATACGTCTGCATCTCGAACAGATGAGAGCGGGACAAGAAATCAGGACCAGCTGGTGCAAATAGAGAGGAAAACGAAAGTGACCAGTTTGTTGCATAGTGGTAAGAACCCGTTGAGCAAGCTTCTTTCGAACAAGAAGAAGAAAGTGGACGAAACGACTAGCGTCCTGTTGGAACTACAGAGACCTCCTGTGACGCAACAGCAACTACAGGGTAGAACAAGAAGCGCCATAGTCGTACCGAAAAACCAGCGGAACGGCGCTAGGAACACGGTAGTTACTACCACGAGCCGAGCTGGTGGAGAACCAGCACGACTTTCTCACCTGCAAAAACAACGAAGATCCGCCATTTCAACAAGAACGTCCACTATGAACTGCAAAAGTATCGTACTAGTATGAATTGCATTACAAATTTGCTCAGCATGAGAAATAAAATTTGTAATGCAGATTTGCCTTAAGAAAAGGATTTGTAATGCACGCCTTGCATTTATACGAATACGATACTTTTGCACAGCATATCCACGCAAGAACTACAACATCGCAAAAAAATATCAAACCACGCGGAACATCAACAAGGATCATCCGCCCCGCCAACCACGGTGAAAGAGGCTCTTGAATCCGTAGAATTTTTCCTCGCCCCGTTAAGGGACAAGCTCGAGCAGGAAATTTTCAAAAGCTGCACAAAACCCTACATCGAAGAAATAAAACGGGTCTACCAGCACGCAGTGACGCCCATTGAATCCCTCGCGATTAAGAAGACGGAGGAAAATCCAATAGATCCAGACGCGAGGTTGGAATTGGAACAGAATTTAGAAGAATTGGAAACACGGAGAATCTCCTACCTATCCCCACTTTACGATGTGGAGAGCTGTGCGCAAAACCTCCAGACTGATCCGAACTGCCACCAGAAGAAGAAATGCAATGCAAAAGCATCGTAGTAGTATAAATTGCATTACAAATTGGCCCAGCATTACAAATTGAATTTGTAATGCTGATTTGCCTTGAGAAAGAGATTTGTAATGCATAAATGCAATTAGTACGAGTACGATACTTTTGCACAGGATAGAAAAAAATTTCCGACGAATTTCTCAAATCTTCCACGGCGGACGTGTCTGTGGATTTGTTATCCGGAAACACGGTGATATGGAAGCGTCAGGTTTGAAATCGACAAAGTTGAAATGATTTGTCATGCATAAAATGGATACCAGTTGGAAGCCCAATTTACAAGCGGCGGATGACGAATTTTCCGAGCACCGGAATCCAGTTCCAGTTTGTCATGCTGTTTGGGCACAGACGACTGCTTTTGTCATGCTCCTTTAGCAGCTCTACTTCAAACCCTAAACAGGCTGACACGCGGCCTCGCTTGCCATCCCCGCAAGACAGGCTCTTCATGCCTTGCATTTTATGCATGACAAACCATTTCAACTTTGGCGATTTCAAACCTGACGCTTCCATAGGTGAGTACCCAGAACCCGGGCTCCTGGCCGGAAAACACGATCATCGATTTTGGAAGAGCGGGGAGGATATGCATTGCAAAAATGTCTGGGTCTGGAAGAATGTAGGACTTGTCATGCTTGTCTGGCATGACTCTTAGATCTGTGTTGCGTAAGCAGGAACGGGGCCTACCCTAGTGCCTGTCATGCAAAAACGCAGTTTGCCACTCGGAAAATGAAACACATGGCAGTGCAAAAACTTGTCATGCTTGGCTGCATATTGTAGTGCGCCCACCATTCAGAGATTTGCGTCACAAGTTTCCAGACCCAGACATATTTGCATTTGATAGAGGACGACGGATGATAATCTGGAACTGAAACGGCCGGGAATCAAATCCGTGCAGCAAGTGTTCTACGATCTTGGAACTACAGAAGCAGCAGCCGGCTTGAAAAACCTACCGAACTTTTTCGATCCTGAGAACATAGACGACGAAAGTTTGAAGGTTATCACAAGCTCCACCACAGTCTCAATCGAGACGCCACTGGAAGAAGACTACGGAAAATACACGACGTACGAAGATTTTTACGACGAGTGTGTGAAGTCCAAAGTCGCGGAAACTTTTGTCAGTTTGGGAAATACAAAAGATGCGGAAAAATCGGAGCTGTTTTTGGAAAACTTGAAGCAAAACCTCGGATTTCTTACCTTCGGTATGGAAAAGGACGGGTCTGTGGTCCAGTGGCCGAATGTTGGGCAGGTGACAGACGGAGTGAATACAGTAGGTGCTGCCCAGCCGGATGCGAGTGCGGTAGAGAAAATCACGCCGGAACAAGCTGTGCAAAACCTGATATCCTGTGCAAAAGTATCTATACCTGTAGCAATCGCAATCATGCATTACAAACTTCCACCCCAAGGGAAAAAAGCATGACAAATTTCATTTGTCATGCTGAACGAATTTGTGATGCGATTTCTACTAGTACGATGCTTTTGCAATGCATACCTGATTGTCGGCGGCGATTTAACCTCGGATGACTCCCGGGATTCCAGTTGGTACCTGAACACGGTCGTGCGGGGGCAGAAGCGAAACGTGGTCATATCAACTGCAAAAGTGTCTGGGTCGGGAAGGATGCGAAATTGTGATGCGTGTTGCGGATCATACAAAAATCTGTGTTGCATGACTTGCAAAAGGTCCCCACTTTTCGTCATGCCCGGAGGGTATTTCTCATGCAGAATGGGCATCATCAAGGCGCTGCAGAACCTGTGATGCTAGGCCCTGCGTTCCAGATTTGGCGGATGCTAGGCACTGCGTGACAAGTGTCGGAATCTTCCAGACCCAGACACTTTTGCATTTGATAGGTCATCGCCGTGGACATCTCGATGTCCATGTGGAATTCGGAAACGGTCACGAAAACGGGCGCAGACGGCAAGGAGTACCAAGAGTACATTCCCAACACGCAGCGATGGGAGAACGCGCGATCCGCGGTGGACAAAGCGCTCGATGGGTTAGACGGGGCCAAGTATGACAGTGCACAACTCACCCTCGTTCTCATTTCTCTTGCAAAACACCAAATCCACGCTTTCCCTCCTGTCACGATTATGCATGACAAGTTCTGGTAGCCCAAGAAATAGCTGCATCCAGTTGTACAAACTTGTCATGCAAACCGGCACTCTTGTTGATGCTTGTATTGCCGTTCATGCTATACAAATGAGGGGGAGGAGGAGTTGTGCACTGTCATACCAAGGGGGATCGGTTCAACGTGATGGTTTGGTCGACGGATGTGTTTTTCTCCTCTTTCGAATTAGTTCGGGCGATATCAACTGCAAACATGCCTGGGTCTGGACTGCTTGAACCTGTATTGCGTGTTTCGGATGCCATGAAAATCTGTATTGCATAAGCACCAAAAGCTCCACTTTTTCCTTTTCGTCATGCAAAATCGCAGTTTGTACTCGTAATGCGTGCTGCGTATGAGGAAGCGACTGAAAATAAACTTGTCATGCTTCACTGCACTTAAAGGCACACTCAATCGTGACCATTCAGCATTACAAGTTTCCAGACCCGGACATATTTGCATTGGATAGGCGACCAAGGAAAATATTTTGAAAGCGAAGATCTGGCTGAAGGAGCAGGCGGGCGCGGCGATGCTGGAGGGATCGGGAACACACTACCCTTTGTAAAAACGTCCCCACCCCATAGTCAAGTTGGTAAATCTGCAACACAAATCTCCAAGCTTTGGGAGTTTTGCATGACAAGTTTCCATCTGTAGCGTCGTTCTGTTTAGCAAGGGAAGCCGCATGAGAAAGCCAGCTTCTCATCCCGTTTGCAGCATTACAAAGTTCAAAAGACGACCCCTGGATGTGCCTCTAATACAGATCCGCATCACAAGTGTTGCTCTCATTGCCGATTTGCATGACAACTCTGGGGTCGTGGGGACGTTTTTTCTTGGGATACGCACCCGGAGTGGGCGCTGGCGAGCGCGCTGGCGTTGGGGACAAAAGGGATTGTCCCGAAGCCGCTGCTATCAAATGCAAAAATGTCTGGGTCTGGTTCTGGAAGATTGCAGGAGTTTGTCATGCATGTTTTGGATCACGCAACTGGTCTCTAATGCACGCAAAAGCTTTACAGGTTTTGCGCAGGCCTCCTGATGTCTCTCCCGCATGAGAAATTCCCTGTTTGCGTAGCAAGAAATGGAAAGCTTTTGGTGCTTATGCAATGCAAGTTTTTGCCTATTCCAGAATTCGCATGACAAGTTCCAACTCTTCCATACCCAGACATTTTTGCATTTGATACCTGCGGGACGTGTATTTCAATCCAGAGCACAGCACGGTCGTGAAAGATGGTATTAATGGGACAGCCGTCGACCAACTGTGGGGGAGTATGATCACGGAGTTGGATCAGCAGGGAGACTGGGCCGCGATTCCGATCAGCTGGGTGAACAGCTCGCCGCGGAAGGTCCCGTGGGGCGAGAGCAAAACCACGGTTGAGGAAAGGTTAAATAGGATCTCGGAAGAGTTTTTGAAAAAAGAATCCCGGGAGCGCTTCGCCGGGAATGCAGATCTGGAAAACGCCGAGTGCGTTTTGTGGTCCGACTTCTGCTATGGATTGCAAAAGTATCGTACTCGTAAATGCAATACAAATTTCCTCAGCATGAGAAATAAGATCTGTCATGCAGATTTACATTGAGAAAAAAATTTGTAATGCAGGACTGCAATTACTACGAGTGCGATACTTTTGCAGAGCATATCTGCGAAACGACAGTGTTGTTCATCACCGACGCGGATAACTACAAGAGCCAAATGTGCCTCGAAAACAAGGACGAACAGGGTAACTGCCCAAGCGGCAAAGTTACGGTCTCGCCGGAGAGTTTTCGCGGGGAGGACGGGAGTTCGGCTGGGCAGATGTTGCAGGATTTCGGGAAGTTGTTTAAAAAGGACTGGGGCGTGCTGCTTCAAGCTTTTGTGATGATTGACGAAGACACTTACGACATGGCGCAGGACGGGTCTGGCGCTTACCCGAAAGCCTGGGAGCCGACGCTGGACATGGCAAAACAGCACGGGACGGGGGAGATTACGCCCTTATTCCTGGGTCAGCCGCAGCAGATCACGCGGGAAATTAGTCGGTATTGGAACAGCAAGTCGTTGCAGGACGACTACAGTTCCTGGAACCAGGTGATCTGGCACATATGGATTGCAAAAATGTCTGGGTCTGAAAGATTCTATACGTTTGTCATGCATGTCTGACATGACTCGAGAATCTGTGATGCATGGGCACGAAAGGCTCTCCTATCTATCATGTAAAAACGTTGTTTCTCATGCGGAATACGCAACACATAGCAGCTCACAAATTTGTCATGCCTGGCTGCGTATTGCAGTCCGGCTATTATCCACTTTTAGCATGACAAGTTTCCAGACCCAGACACTTTTGCACTTGATAGCACAAGTTCAGCGACAAAAAGTTTCTCTGGGATGGGGACTATAACAAGACAGGAGTTGGTCTGGACGGTGATAGTACATCTTCAACACCAACATCAACAACAAATGACTTCCGCGGCATCGACCGGTTAGTTGCCTGCATGGCGTTGATGCCATCTCACGCGAATCTCGGAGCCGAGGGGGACGAGGCGAGTGGGCATTTAGAATACTTGAAATCCTTCGAAGTCACCGACTCGACTTATTTCTCGTTTTTGAAAAGCCGGATTGGGGTTCTCTGTATCGACGCCAACGTTGTATTAGGCGCGTTTCACAGTTTCCGGTCCTTTGTGGATCTGCGCTGTAACACGAAATTGACGGGAATCCTGGGAGAGGAAATTCAGAAGAAAAACAACGCAAATCGGGTCGGGGAAGAGAGTTGTCCATTACTGAAACACCGGGAGGAACGGTGCGCGGCGTTGGAACCCGGGAATGGACTGTATCATCATTACTTCATGCAGAAGTACACCCAAGCTGGAGATGACGTTTCCAACCCGACGGGCGCTCCGTGGATCGCGAATGCGTTGGAAAAGGAGGACCGATATCGCGCGGAGAAATCCCCCCTCACCATATTGACAAGCTACGTTTTCGAAAGTTTGTGTTGCTGATTTGTGACCGCAAATCGTCTCTGTGTTGCATGAAGGCAACTCCACAGACTCCGCCGCATTCTACAGGTGGTTTGTCATGTTGTTGCTCCTACAGCGTAGACGTCTGCCATGCTAAGCGCCTAGGCCAAAGCCTGTCTACTCAGGCTTGCTATGGGCCTGCAGTCCTCGCCAGCAAGACAAATCTGATCCGTGTACGCAAATCCAGCATCAGAAGCTTCGTTTTGATATGGGGAGGGGGGCTTTTCATTCTGATAGTCGACCGGTCTTGTTCCCGCAGTACGACTTAACGAACGGTCTGGATTCTGACTTCTGGAATAACGATAACGGCAACGGTCCCGATCTAACCGCGATCGGCGGCGATGAGGATCTCTTCGGCGGGCCCTGTCCAGTCATTCCTGTCAACAAATTCGCGGCCCCGGAAGCGACTGCAGCCCCATATGCAATTCAAATATGTCTGGGTCCTCTGGAAGAATGCAACTTGTGATGCTGCGTTTGGCTTCCTAAAAAATCTGTATTGCGTGAGCAGCAAAGGGAGTGTAATTTTTGCTACGCGGAGAGGGCCGCGTTTCTCATGCTGTAGAGGCGTTACAAAGTCCTTAAAAAATCTGTGATACTAGAAGGGCATGCATCACAGGCATCATGGCTCACGCAATACGTGCATGACAAGTCTCAGAACCTTCCAGACCCAGACATATTTGCAATGGATACGGGAGATGACACCGAAAAGGAAAGCACCCCCGTGACGGAAAAGCCGGAGGGGGAGGCCGATAACGCAGAGGAGGAAGCTGGAGAAGAACAATTCCCCTTCTGGATGCTTGCGCTGGCGGTTTTGCTTCTCTTGTTAGTCGCGGCAACTGTAGCGTATTGCCTCATGAAGTCTCCCGAGCCGGAAGCCGCAACGGCGGAAGATATGGAATGCAAATATGTCTGGGTCTGGAAGATTGCCAGGTTTGTCATGCATATTCTGCATGACCCATGAAGCCTGTAATGCATGACTTAGCATCACAGCTCTTTTGAGGGCTTTCTGATGCCTATTCTGCATGAGAAATGCCTTCTCCGCGTAGCACAAACTGGAGTCCTCTTGCTGGTCATGCAATACAAATTTTTTCAGAATCCAGAAACAGCATCACAAGTTTAGAACCTTCCAGACCCAGACATTTTTGCATTTGATAGAAGAAGTGGCACAGCAAATTGCCATCGAGGAGCCGCAGGGGCGAGAGCAAGTTAGTCGCAAAGCAGGCGTCGATTCCGGCCACACGATGCTAGGAATAGCGCTAGTCCAACCCATACACAAAACACCCGGAGCGCCAGTAGAGCACGCGGACGTGGTCGCAGGACGACAAGCAGTGGCGAAGAAGACGAAGAAGAAAGAAAAGAAGAAAAAACCCTCAGTAGTTGAGGAGACAATCACCACCACTGGCGAAGTTGAAGAACCAGATCTGGGCGAGGCAGAAGATGCGACGGTGGATCAGGTTGCCGGGCTGAGAAAGGCGAAGGCGAAAGGGATGAAAACAAAACCGAAGGCGAAACCCAAGCCGAAGGCAACTACGAAAAAGCAAGCGCAGAAGCGAATTTTGGAGGAGAATCCTGAGGTTGAAAGGATCGCGAGAATATCCTGTGCAAAAGTATCGTACTCGTAGTAATTGCGATCATGCATTACAAATCTTTTTCTTAAGGTACACCCGCATTACAAATTTTGTTTCTCATGCTGAAAAAATTTGGGTTGGAAGCGGAATCACGTTTTCAAGTTGGAATCACGTTTGTGGAATCACGTTTAGAGCGGAATCAAGTTGATGGAATCAGCCTAGCTAGGGCTTAGGGTCTAGGGTTTGGGGTTTCTGGTCGTCGGCCAGGGCAGCCGCCGCCGGCCGGCCGGCGGCGGCTGCCCTGGCCGGCGACTCTCCCTTCTCGTTCTTCGAGGGTGGCGGCCCCGCACCCTTCCCGCCTTCGTGGTTGTTCTGTCGCTTCCCTGGGGTCCTCCTGGCTCCCGCTGGCCAGCTCCTTGCCCGGCGGGGCGCGTCATTGATCTCGGCGGACCGCTGGGCCCGCCCGGCGTTCGTTTAAGTATGTTGTGGGCATTTCGGCGTCTAAGTTGTTTCACTCAACTCGATTCGACAAACGCGACTCCGTCGCAAACGTGATTCCGTTAACGTGACTCCATGAGTAAATGTGATTCCAAAAATGTCAAAACGTGATACCGCCGCCTTCCAAAAATTTGTCATGCATTTATACGAGTATGATACTTTTGCAATGCATAGAGAATGATTGTCGACCACTTCTGCCCGCACTTGGATATGAAATACGCCAGGAAACTTGCGGCTGCAGTGCTTGACCCTCCGGAGGAGGAGGATGTGAAGAAAAAACAAGAAAAGAAAAAAGCGAAAAAAGGCGCAGCAGCAGCAGCAGGAGCCGCCAACAAGAAGCCCCCGCCGGCTCACATCCTCCCGGTGCCCAAGGACGAGAAAGATAAAAAAGCGCTCATGGAGGGGAAGGAAAATGGGTGGCCGGATTACCATATCAACTGCAAATATGTAGTCTGGATCTGGAAAGAACTTGTGATGCTTGGCTGGGAATACTGAATGCTCTGTAATGCACAGCCTTGTATGATGAGAGAGGTCTGCGCTGCTTAGTGTAGCGTTTTCCGCATGACAAACTACGTTTTTGCATGACAGGCAAGCGGCAGTCTTCCTGCACATGCATCACAGATTTAAGAGTCATGCTAGACAAGCATGACAAACGTGCATTCTCCCAGACCCAGACACATTTGCGTTCCATATACCACAAAAAGGAGTTCAACGTCCCGAGGCTCCGGGAGCTACTCGGCTTGAGCCCGCAGCAAATCGAGGCTTTTCAGCAATTTCACGCCATGAAAATGCAGGAACACCACCGGGAAGTCGCCGGGGCTCCTGAGGTGGATTTGAAAGCGCGTCGCAATCAGCCGGCCGAAACAATGGACCTAAATTTGGCGGCGGGTGTGATTGACAAAGTAGAACACGGCTTGGAGAAGAAAAGAGCCAAGGCGAAGGCCAAGGCGCTAGCGAAGGACAAGAAGAAACTGAAAGCGGAAAAGGCAAAAAAGAAAAAAGACCACGACGGATCAGACGTGGAAGAAGCTTTCGTGACCATCGGCGCTGCCGCGGCGAAAAAGTCGGCAAAAAGGAAAGAGGAGAAAAAGAAGCAGCAAAAGGCGATCAAAGCGGCGAAACTCGGGAAAAAGCACAAAAAAGCGGAGATGACGAAGGAAATGTTCAAGTTGCGGCAAGTCAGGAAGCAGAAGAAAGAGAACCAGAAATTAGTGGAGGTCCGGGTTTTAACCCAAGTGCAGCAGGAGAAGCCCGAGAAGAACGAAACTTACAAGATGCTGGTGGAGGAGGGGTTTTCCAAAAAAGCGGCTTTGTCTCTCTCCAAACGACTCTCCGATACGGACAATGCGGACCTGGATAAAAAATTGAAACTGAAACTCGACCCGGTCGACATGAAGGCGCTGGATAACATGGGGGGTTTCGAAACCGTCGCGCAATTTCAGGGGTATTTAGCCGCGAAAAAGAAGGCGAAGGAGAAAAAGTTGGAGAAGAAAAAAGAGGATAAGCGCCTGGAGGAGAAATTGCGCGCGCAGGGGAAAGATGAGTTCACGATCAAAAAGATCAAACAAGAGGTGAAAAAGAAGGAAAAGGAGAAGGAATTGAAAAAGGATATGAAAGTGCAAAACTCGTCCCCCTCGGTCTCATTTCTCATGCAGAATACCAAATCCACGCTTTCACTCCTGTCGCTATCATGCATGACAAGTGATTCTTTTGGTAGCCCACGTAGCACTACCAGCCTGTGGAGTTTTGTCATGCAAAAACTGCATTCCTGCTGACGCTTGTATTGCTTCCCATGCAATACAAATGAGGGTGAGGGGGAGTTGTGCAGTTTCATAAAGGAGCAAGTCGCAGCCGAGAAAGTGGATGAGGAAAAATACATTGCGGTTTTGGAAAAATTATGCACTGCAAAAATCGTGCTGGGTCTGGAAGGTTGGAGCTTGTGATGCTGTCTTCGGATTCTAAAGAAATCTGTATTGCATGACCAGCAAGAGGAGTCTAGTTTGTGCTACGCGGAGAGGGCATTTCTCATGCGGAATAGGCATCAGGAAGCCTGCTAAAAATCTGTGATGCTAGGTCATGCATTACAACAGACATCATGGGTCATGCAAAATATGCATGACAAACCTGGCAAAGTTCCAGACCCAGACATATTTGCATTTGATAAAAATCCGGGTTCAAGCACTCCGAGGCGAAAAAGCTCGCGAAACAATTGAAAGAACCAACACCAGCCGCGGATAAAATTGGCCACGAACATGAGGAGAAAATCGACATTTCTGAGCAAGTCGAAAAAGCTTTACGCGGTTCCGGGAAAGCGGATCAAGACTTGATCAAGAAAGTGAAGGAGAAGGTAAAGAAAAAGGAGAAGGAAAAGGAGAAAGAACTGCTAAAAGAGGTCGTGGAAGAGTTCCATGATGATCAAAAATGCGATATCATAAGTAAAAACGTCCCCACCCCATAGTCAAGTTGGGAACTTAGCAACACAAACCCAGAAGCTTTGGGAGCAGCGCATGACTAATTCCAGTCCGTAGTGTAGTACAGTTTAGCAAGTGCAGCCGCATCACAAATCCATCTGCTCATCCCGTTTACAGCATTACAAATTCCAAAACGCGATTGGAAATTCCGTGTCTCAACATGGAGATGCGCATTACAAATCGTCCTGTAATCGTGAATCTGCATGACAACTATGGGTCGGGGACGTTTTTACACTGGATATGCGAAAAGATGTTCCTCGAAGCCGGTTTCAGCAAGCACGACGCGCACAAGGCGGCGAAACAGTATCGCGAGAAAAAAATGTACACAGTTACACATTGTCTTGCAGGCCAAGCAAGACAGACAAGCTCTGTCATGCCCGATGTGCATAAGAGCCTCGTTTCATAGGTGTTTTCCCTTAGGATTTCTGCATTACAGGTTTTCTCTCTCATGCAGGGACATTTGTGTTGCTGAATTGCCTACAAATGTGTAACTGTAACACTTTTTTCTCAGGATAAACAGATGAAAGAAGCCAGTAGCCACATCCCCGGGGTAGAGGGGAAAGACCACGTATGAATTGCAAAAGTACCGTACTCGTATAAAAAATGCATTACAAATCGTCTCAGCATGAGAAATGAAATTTGTGATGCTGTTCTACCTTTAGGAAGAAGATTTGCTATGTATGGTAGCAATTAGTACGAGTATCGGATACTTTTGCAGAGCATACCACGGCGCCAAACTCGATCTGTCCGACCAGTTTGAGGAGGTTTTGAAGGCAACGAAAGATCTGGATGCCGGCTTTGTTGCGAAAGTGAAAAAAGAAATCAAGAAACACGTGGAAGAGAAGGAGCAGAAATTGCGGAAAGAAATTGTCGCTGACTTCAAAAACGAAGAGAAATGTGAAACGCTTCTCGTCGAAGCAGGTTTTTCAAAACACGACGCGTATAAGCAGGCAAAACACGTGAAGGAAGAAGTTTCTAGCCATTTGAACACAGCTTCTGGGGCGGCTGCGGGGGCATCAAAGGCGTTTGAAAAACCCGATTTGTCCGAAAAAATCTTAACCACCGACTATGACCTGCTCAAACGTTACAATCTCAAACGTTACAATAGAGTCTGAGATTTGTCTTGCATGATTAACATGACAGACTCGGACAGCGTTCCAATTTTTGCAATACAATTTTCGCCAGATTGTAGTGCGGATTGGGACTCCAGAACTTGTCATGCGCAATCCTGTGGGAGTAGGGTAGATCATGCACTTCTTGCAACACAAATTCCAGATTCCATTGTAGCGTTTGAGATTGTAACACCTGAGCGGGTTATACCGACCAAGACGTGGGGCACATGACCACCTGGCAGAAGAAAATCAAAAAGGAAGACGCGGTGGACGGAAAGTCGATGAAAATGTTGGAAAATTTGATGAAACTAGACGTGGAGATATGCATTCCAAATATGTCTGCGTCTGGAAAATTGGGACTTGTGATGCTAGCTTTGGACTCTAAAAAAATTTGTATTGCATGACCAGCAACAGGAGTCCAGTTTGTGCTACGCGGGGATGGCATTTGTCATGCGGAATAGAAGGCATTGGGAAGCCCTGTAAAAATCTGTGATGCTAGGGCATGCATTACAGACATCCTTGGTCATGCCGAATATGCATGACAAACGTGGCGATCTTCCAGACCCAGACATATTTGCAGTTGATAGGAGACTGTCGACGACGATATTACCCCGGACCTCGGCAAGGCGGAGAAGGCCTCTGTTGACAAGGGCTTTTCCCTCCAGCAGGTGCGGAACTTTGTGGAAAAGCAAGTGAAGGAGAAGGAAAAGGAAGAGAAGAAGCTCACCACCTTAGCCTGCGACATGGGCATATGGCGCTCTCAAACGTTACATTCTCAACTGTTACACGAATTTGTGATGCAAAAACGCCACCAGTGTCTACATTATCAAGCTGCTTCGCATGACAAGTTCTTGACCCGCTAGATAGCATTAGATAGAATCTGCGCCAAACCTGTAATGCAAAACACGCAAGTTCCCTCCTTTCACTTTTGCCATTCTCGCATCACAGATTCATGTAACAGTTGAGAATGTAACAGTTGAGAGCGCCATAGGGCATGGCGGAATCGGCTTTGCTCACTGCGGGCTTCACGAAGCAGGCGGCGCGGTATGACAGTGCACAACCCCCCCTCCTCCTCATTTGTCATGCAAAATACCCATTCCACCCCTTGCCTCTTGGCACCGCTTGCATGACAAGTTCTGGTAGCCCAAATAGCATTGCACTCCAGTGTAAACTTGTCATGCAAAACGGGCACTCTTGCTGATGCTTGTATTGCCGTTCATGCTGTGCAAATGAGGGGGAGGGGGAGTTGTGCACTGTCATACGCGGTCTATTGCGAAAAAAGTCGGGGACGGAGATACTGAAGCGAATGCGCAATTGTTCACGGAGCACGAAGTATCCGCAGATGACAAGGAAATTTTGGAAAAGCTCGGGCTCTCCGCGGAGACAGAAACGGCTTCTGTCGGTCAAGTCCGCGCGTTTATCGCGCAAAAGGTGGAGAGGAAGGAAAAGAAACAGAAGGACCGGGACACTTTCATCGCCAGTGCGAATACAGGAAATGCACTATCCTATGTGAAAACACCCCCACCACATGGTTGCGTTGCAAATCTGCATGCTGAAAGCGTTTTTTATGCGGAGCCCGCCCATGACGAGAAGCATTTTCTAGTCGTGTTTCGGAATTTGTGATGCTCCAATCGCCACGGTGTGCTAGATCCGTGATGCTGCTCAACTAGCTAAACACGAGCACACTACGAGGCAGACCTGTCATGCGCAACGACCAAAGCTGGTTGATTTGTCGAGCAGATTTCCCATCTACTTGACTCTGGGGTGGGGATGTTTTTACACTGGATATGCCCCTTTGACGGAAATTTTAACGAAAGACGAAGAAATTCTAGACGCCGCTGAAGCGGAAACGGCGTTGGTGATGTCCGGCTTCTCGCCCGCCGTTGCAAAAAAGATGGCCCACATCACGGCCAAACAGGACGAGGCGATTAAAAATCAGAAGGAGGACATCGCGGAGCTAGTATGCATTGCAAAAGTAACGTACTAGCATAAATTGCATTACAAATTTTGGCAAGAAGAAAAGTGGAATTTGTAATGCTGTTTTACCTTAGGAGAGAGATTTGTCATGCATATTTGCAATTAGTACGAGTGCGATACTTTTGCACAGCATAGCTAGCGGGCAAGGACGACGTTTTTCTCGCCGGCGGCGAGGCGGTGGACGTGAAACTGATGTGTAACGAGATCCAGGAAACGTTTATAAACATGGATGACGAAGATAAAGAGCTGGATGACGACGACCGAGAAGAGTTCGGTCTCGCTACCGAGAAGGACTTCCGGCTAATGGAAGCATTCGGCCTAGATGACGAAGCGGACAAAGCAGAAACGGCTGTGGCCATGCTCGGATTTGTGAAGAAAGCGGTCGCGGCGAAAAAGCACAAAGTTGATTTGGACCTGTCCGAAGCGACGGTGGATCAGAAAACCTCTTTAGGGCAGCAGGAGATCAGCACAGGACTGCAGGTATGCGTTGCAAATATGTCTGGGTCTGGAAACATGTAAACTTGTGATGCTAAATCTGGAACGTGGAAAAATTTGTGTTGCAGGATTACCAAAAGTTGTCCACGTTTGACAACAATAGGAAGTAGCAGTTTCTCATGCAGGAGTTGCATGAGAGAGATGCCGCAGAATCTGTCATGCTAGGTCCTGTATGACAAAGCTCGTGGGTCATGGAAAACCCGCATAACAGATCTTGCTATCTTCCAGCCCCAGACATGTTTGCACTTCATAGCAGGACAAGGGGATAACCAAACCGATCGCGGATGAGCTTGCGAAGATCATGGATGAGGCGACGGCCGCGCACAAAGAGCAAGCGGGTGGGCCTGGGGGTGATGACGACGACGATGATTTATTTGCCGCCCCGGCTAGTATGCCTGACATGAGCGAAAAATTGGACGAAATCCTGGAGAAAAATAAGGGAAAATTGCAAGCAAAAGAAGAAGAGGAACTGATGGACATTAAAGCGAACTTCGACTTTGCCGTTATCTCCGACCCGGACGATCCGGAATTTGGCCTCGAAATGCTGGTCGCGATCGAGGATTTTATCAACGACTTGAAAAAAGAACTCCACGCGAAACAAGCCAAGGAACGGGCTTCGGAAATTCAGAAAAATCAGAAGGCGATCGAAAAGGATTTTGAAGAGGAAGAGGAGAAAATCATGAAGGCAGTCGAAGCCGATATGGAAAATAAACGAGGGTCTGTCCTCCAAGGTGGAGGATTCCAGCAGAAGAAACCGAAACCGAAGCCGGGCTTTTTCGCCATGCTCTGTCCGTGCATTTGCGGGGGCGGTGGGGCAGCAGATGAGGACGAAGACGACTCCGCGGAGGGTTTGTTAGCCGGAACCAGTGGCGGGGTCGCAATCTCCATGTCCGAGAGCTCCTCTGACGATGACGACGATGATGATGAAACGACGACCGAGGCCGAAACCACAGGGGCGGAAGCTACCACTGGCGCCGAGGAGAGTGACGAATCATCGTCGAGCGAGGGGTCGACCGAAGGGGAGGAGACGGAGGTAGAGCAGCACCCGGGTGGATAACGGCTCGAAACTGCTTATCAAGTAGTTTTTCCCGCAATAGCTTCTTATCGCAGAAAGAGAAAGCACAAGTAGTCGTAGAGATGAAGTCCGAAAAGCGGCTGTCTGTGCATCTTCTAGGCATTTCTCTATGTATGTACTTACAATTTTATTTCACGTAAACCATCTATGCGGTGGTATTTTTTTGGCCATGTTCTTACTTTTTTACTAGTAACACACAATCTCAATCTATCATGTTTCTGTTTTTACCGAGCCTTTGCTGGGCTCTCGTTTTCTTTTCATTTTTAAACACTATGCTTTTCTTGAGTCTTTTTTTTTTACTATAACATTTTAACACACTTTACAGGCACACGCCAAAATCTAAATCTAAATCAAAATCAGTACGACCCTTTGGTGGAAAAACATCCGCACAACATCGACAATGGGCCCGTGCGTTTGTTGATGCTCCCCTGCATGGTAAATAGCCCTCCCCCGCGCGAAGGTCTGTCTTTTTTCTTAATTTTCAAAATTTACATTTGTCAAACAACATAACACGAAAGTTCAGAAGCACGGACCCACAAGTCACGCATTCAGTTTTTTAGCATTTCAACGTATCCTGTTAAGCAAACAACTTCAAACATCTTTGTTTTTTTTATGTAATTTTAGCAAACAAAAAAGCACACTCAAAATTCACATTTCTTTTAATCACATTCACAGTATGACTACCCTACCAAAGAAAACAAACTAGACATTACGTTCGTACCCCGGGCGAAAAAGATAAAATCAGAAATAAGTGCGTACCCCGCTCTTTGGCCTTGATTTTTATTTTATTGCGGAAAAATAAAAAAAAAACCTTACTAGACTTTGACGACACTTCTTGTCGTTGCCTGTGAAGTGCGCATAAGCTGCAAGAACATCGATGTTCAGCATATCTTCATGGAGGCTCTCAGTTGCTAAGTACTTGCAACCTTTCTCGTGAATCGTAGGTCAGTCCAATCGTCTTCTGTGTCGCGGCCGTCGTATTGATCTCGAGCTCGTTTTTGTCCATCGAAGAAGTACTAAAAGAAGCAGCAGGAAGAGGAACAGAAAGCGCACAAGAACTCTCTCGATCGTTATGGCTTCGTCTATCACTATCAGATCGTTTACCATCTTCGGAACCGATGCCGCTTTACTACAAGAACCCCTTCGCAGCCTCGCTCGTGTTGATCGCATGAAGCATCATACTTACCACTTTCACCTTTGTTTTCGCCGAGAAGCGAAGGAAGAATCTCGTGGCCAAGTCGGTGATCTAATGTATCTGTATGGTTCTCAAAAATATTAAAACAACGCCCAAGCTGAAGTATAGCACCGTGGCCCTGGTGATCCCTGCGAAAAGCGTTTTCGTTTTGAGTTTGTCTATTTCAGGATAGCAAAAGGTTGTACAAACGAAGATAGCAAAAGTTGTTCAAACGAAAAAGTAAAAGAGATCATGCTCGCCTCTACGCGGCATAATCTCGTCCTGGACGCAGCAGAGGAGCTGTGGACCAACTTGACAACTTTCTCCACCTCCTCCTCGTCCTCTTCTTGTTCGCGGCACCGCGTGACAGCATCAAACTTCAGCAGCCTTTTCGTCCCAGGACAGGAGAACACTGTCCTCCCACAACTCCTCGTCAAGGAGTCCGGGTTTTCTGGTCGCATGCCAGATTTCTACGAGAATCGCTTGCCCGATACCCCGTCCTCTATGCCCGGGAACATCAAGCGCGGTTCCACGAACAAATATGGATTGCAAATATGTCTGGGTCTCGAAGAGTGCAACTTGTATTGCGTGTCCGAGATTCCAGAATAAAGATCTGTATTGCAGAAAAGCAACAAAACTGCCGCAGTTATTTCGTCATGAAAAAGCGCAGTTTGATGTAATGCGCACTGAAGATGAGAGAGCGTCTGAAATAGAATTTGTCATGCTACAATGCTCTTACAGGCGCAGTCACTCATGGCTATTCAGCATTACAGGCTTCCAGCCTCAGACATATTTGCATTCGATAACAAAGGGACCCACACCGTTTCCGAACAGGAAGAGCAGATTCACGAGGTCGGGAAACTCACCTATCCTGTGCAAAAGTATCGTACTCGTATTGCAATCATGCATTACAAATCTTTTGCCTGAGGTCAATCCGCATTAGAAATTTTCTTTCTCATGCTAAGGAAATTTGTATATGCATTTATACGAGTACGATACTTTAACTTTTGCAGTTCATATCACCGTCTACGGTGCCATTGGATTCGGCGCGTTTTCCCTCGGTGGCATCATCGCCGCCACGGAGATGGATCGCAAAGTGCTGACGAAAACGTCAGTATCGAATGGCAATAAAGTTGATGTAAGTTGTACGGTACTCGTAGTTAATACCAATAGTGCATGACAAATAGCTTTTCTTAGGAACAACTTTAGCATGAGAAACTCCACTTGTCAGGCACTGCTTGAGCCAATTTGTGTTGCAAAATGACTACCAGTACTACACTACTTTTGCGAGGCATAACCCGATTTTGTCGACGATTACGTGATGCAGTCCAGTGACGAGGAGATCGATGAGTATGGGGACGTTTCAAATGCAAATATCGATCTGGGTCTGGAACCTTGTGATGCTAAAACGTGGCTGATGGAGAAGAGGAGACTGCACTTGACTTCCGAATGGTGCACCGCCGCATGAAGACAAGTTTCCAGAACGCTTCCTCATAGATAGTTCGCATGAGAATGAGGAACTGCGTCTTCGCATGTTGTCAAAAGAGGCTACGACTTTCGTAGTTGGAGGTCACCAGTAATATAGTGCAATACAGATTCAGATTTAATATTCCCAGGAGTGTTGTATACCTCCCATTTTATACACGTTCCAACTTTCCAGACCCGGATGACATAGTTGCACTCGATAGGACGTGGTGAAAAAACCGAAATCCATGAAAAAGCGTTTCAACCTGAAGGACAAGGTTGACAACTTATTCGGCGACCAGTCGGAACTGGAGCCGGACTCTGACGCCACCGACGTGTCCGATATCTCCGACATGGAAAAAGGCTTCCGCCGCACCAAGCGCGAAATCGAAGCCAGTGGGCAGATTCTGGAGGGCGGGCAGAGTCGGAACAAAAAGACGGACATGCAGAAGGCGCTGCAGCAGACCAAGGAAGCGGAGTTGGGGGTCAAGGATGACGTATCCTGTGCAAAAGTATCGTGCTCGTACTCGTAGTAATTGCAGTCATGCATTACAAATTTCTTTCCGAACGTAAATCCGCATGACAAATTTTATCTCTCATGCTGGGGAAATTTGTAATGCATTTATACGAGAAGTGCGATACTTTTGCAGTTCATACGACGTGAAACTAGCGGGGGAAATTCAGGATGATGAGGGTGTTAATGCTGCTCTTGGCGGTGGACTGCAGGGAGTGAATGCCGGAGAAGGAGTATCCAAGAAAAAAACTGTGTTAGTGTAACTTTCTTTGGCTGACAGCATCACAAATATGCTCTACATGACAGAGAAAACCTGTCATGCGTGGCTTGTAAGGGGAAATACACATGAAAAAAGGACTTCATGGCTGTGTGGCATGACAGATGTAACTCTGTTGCATGTTTTGCATTACAGATTTACACTTAATACACAGTTTTTTTCTTGCATAAGGAGGGGATAGCGACGATCAACAGGACGCGATGATGGAGAAGCGCCGGCGGGAAGTGCTGCAGGCATATGCATTGCAAATATGTTTCTGGGTCTGGATTTGTCATGCAAAAGAAAGTTGCAGGGGAAAGAGATAAAGATCTGTGATGCAGCAGGGCTAGGACACACTTTTTTCTGTCGTGCTGTAACAAGAGCCCGCAATTATACGGCCCGAAAAATTTGTGATGCGTGGATATTGTCGCACAGAGCCTCGCTCTGTCATGCAATACTCTGCAACACAAATTCGGTGCGTCCTCTTTTCAGCCCCGGATCTTCGATATTTGCATTTGATAAGGGGCAGCAGGAAGCGAATGCGGTGGGGAACGTGGCCATGATGGGCAAGGGAGGACAACAGGGAGGTGGTGCAGCGGATAGTCCGGGCGAGAAGGCGAAGGGCGACAGTCCGAAAGCAAAAAAGAAACCGGGGAAGAAAAAGAAGTGAATAAAATATGTTGAGTGCATCAATGTCAAGAGATATTTTCAAACAACGTGCTCCATAGATGGCCACTCACTCTTGCTGCACCGGGGCCGCTCCTTCTTGCATGGAGGCTCCTGCTCTGAGTACAACTTACTAGTAGGAAGACGTACAAGAAGAACGTCACAATGGTGAGAAAAGTGGATGCTTTTTCAGAAGTAGTCTTGCGCACGAATGAATTTTTAGCTGCAGAAGATCTTCTTGCACGAAGGCTTTAATACTAGAAGAAGTTCTTGGATGAAGATCCGCCCATCGATGAAGATAATTTCATGAGAGAAGTATCTCTTGAAATAATAAAGTCGGTGTCGTGGCAAAAATTATGGAATCGAATCAGATCAATCGGTGTCGGTTAACCACCGCTTAGCCTTTTGCTGAATAAAGCCTTCGCTGGTTTGATCGGTAGATCCGGATTGCGCTTGATCTGTTGATGACCACTAAGGGCGGAGGACAGATGGAGGTCGTTTTGGTGGAAGACAGAGACACTATATAAACGAGTATAGATAAATATTTTTTTCGCGCGCAGCTAAAAGGTCGGGCAGCGTTCGCATACGAGTGATGCCGCGGGATACACGACCCAGAAGTCGTGCAGGCAATTAAGTAGTAACCTAGTAGAGGAAGTAAACACACAGCACATAGACAGTTCCTGGCTGCTCGCCTGGTGGTAGTTTAGCATTCCTTTCAGCAAACTGTCAAAGAAGCTTGCGCTCGACTCGATTTTTTCGATCAACCAAAGCCAGGGGAAAAAAAGAACCCGATCGCTTTCTACTTCGACCTGTAAAATAAATTACAGAGAAGAACAAGTCGCGCACTAACTACAGAAAAGTCGCCCTGTAAGTAGTACTTTGACCTGTAGTTTTTTTTACAGAAACGTAAGTTACCTTTTACAGCACAGGCTTGGTCACCATGATGACGTTGCCGCGCTTAATCTCGTTCGCTGCTGGTGCTGTGCTTTATCACGGCGGTATGCAGAACCTTCTCCAAGCGCAGCTGCTGCTGGTCGGTGCCCTGTCCCTAAATCCTAAAACGACCGGTGCCAATTCCGCCACGACCCCAGTGGGAGATGAACAACCGAGCGAGGCGAAAGAGGAGCAGGCGAAGGAGCAGGCCGGGCTGCCGAGCGAGGCGGAAGACGAAGAGAAGGCGAAGGAGCAGGCCCGGCTGCAGGGCGCTGCGGAGGAACAGGCCCGGCTGCAGGGCGTTGCGGAGGAGAAGGCGAAGGAGAAGGAACGGCTGCAGGGCGTTGCGTAGGAGCAGGCGAAGGACGAGCAGGCCCGGCTGCAGGGCGTTGTGGAGGAACAGGCCCGGCTGCAGGGCGTTGCGGAGGAACAGGCCCGGCTGCAGGGCGTTGCGGAGGAGAAGGACCGGCAGCTGCGGGAGAAGCAGGCCCAGCTGCAGAGGGAGCAGGAGCTGCAGAGAAAGGAGCAGCAGCTTGCGCAGGAGCAGCAGCGGCTGCGGCAGGAGGAGGATTTTTTGCGGAGGGGGGGCGCCCGGCAGGGGCAGCCGTACGGCAATTACAATCCTGCTGGTGGCGCACTTCCACTTATCAGATTGTTCTCAAATCGATTACCTTCTCAACTGTTACATGAGTAGCTGTCATGCAAAATGACCATGAGGAGCTGCTGCTGCAACCACATCACGGCCAAGCGGCTGCGCATGACAAAAAATTTTCGAAGCTGCGCTAAACAGCATCTGAAAAAGAAAAACCTGTGCAAAATTTGTAAAAAATGCAAGAACTTCTACTGCAAGATCGTCCCTCTCGGCGCTTTCGCTTTTCTACTTGCATTTCAAATACAACAATTTCATCGTAAAGACAGTTGAGAATGTAACGGCTGAGAGCCGCATATTACCACTTGCGGGTTTCGGGGCGGGGGTTCTTGCTGGAGAACTTGCTGCAGGTGGATTTCGCCCAGGACTCATTCCTGGACCCGTTGGCCCAGGATTCATGCCTGGACCCGTTGGCGGACCCGGAGCCCTGGCCATGGATGGTCTTCAGCGGGAGCAAGAAGGCCGTTTTCTGGAGATGGAGGGTGCTATGCTGGGGAACCCAGTATGGATTGCACCAAATATTATGTCTGGGTCTGGAAGGATGCAAGGTTATTTGTCATGCACATTTTGCATGAGCAGCAGTCCTGATCGATCTGTGTGATGCATGCCCTAGCATCACAGATTTTGTGAGCAGGCCTTTCTGGAGATGCCTTTACCGCATGAGATGAAACTACCGCATAAGAAATAATGCTTTCTCGCAATGGCAAAATAAATTTACTGGACGGCTTTTGCTGTTCATGCAACACAGATTTTTGTAGAATCCAGTTGCAGACGCAGCATCACAAGTTCGCATCCTTCCAGACCCAGCACACTACATGTTTGCATTTGATACCCAGGCATGGTCGCGGCCGGTGAGATGATGGAGCAACAAGGTCGGGCGGAGGAACGTCTCGCATTCGCTGATATGCTGTGCAAAAGTATCGTACTCGTATAAATGCAGGTCTTGCATTACAAATTTCTTTGTCAAGGCAAATCAGCATCACAAATTTTATTTCTCATGCTGTGAAAATAATGCATTTATACGAGTACGATACTTTTGCAAAGGATAGCTGAACAAGCCCTGAACCCATATCAAATGCAAATATGTCTGGATGTCTGGAAGATTCCGAGATTTGTCATGCAGTTTTTCCAAACTCCCCCACGTCTGGAATACGGGGCCTAGCATCTTCTTCACAGGTTCTGCAGCCCCTTGGCCGCGATCCCTATAATTCTGCATGAGAACAAATGCCCTCTCAGCATGGCCAGAATATGGCACTAGTTGCACGTCATGCGTCACAGATCTTCATCTTTGTGAGATCCGCAACACGGATCACAAGTTCGGATCATGCTTCCAGACCCAGACTACATATTTGCAATTGATAGTGCATTTCCGTGGCGGTAAAGGAGGAGTTTCTTGGCCGCGTGGAAGTGGAACAGCAAGGCAACGAACAACAAGAAGGATATCCTGTTCGAAAGTATCGTAGTCATAGTAATAATTGCAGTCATGCGTATATAAATCTTTTTCTTAAGGTAAATCCGCACTACAAACTTTATTTCTCATGCTGAGTATATCCATTTATACGAGTGCGATTCTTTTGCAGTTCATAAAACCAACAACGAACAACAAACAGAATTGTTATTGTACTGAAGAAGATCATAGTACATCACAAGAACTTCTCCAACGCCTTTAACATTCTTTTTTACTGCACACGACAGCACACCAGCACACTCATGATGATGGAAGCTGCGCCATTCTACAAAGATGGGGCGGCTTTATTTTTCAGAGGCAAAAAGGCACAGGTAGCAACTCACGGCGCGCTCTTTTGCCACTTTGGAAAAAAAATTTCACTTCTCGAAATTCTCGTAGACCACCGCACACGACACAGCACTCTCATGATAGCACTCGCGAAATGTTGGAGATGACCTGCCACGTTCATATACTGGCTGGGTCGTCCTCGTATCTTTTTCTTTTTCGCATAAATCCTGCCAAGAAAACACCAAACAAGCCAGGCGAAATTTGTCTTCTTCCCCATTTCGGCCCGAGCGACGCAGGGGGCGCGGGTATTTATTAAAAAGGGCCGGCCCCCCTTCGCGTATAAGCCTCGGGCCGTGACTCTCCGGCGGCGCGAAAATCTCGGGAAAAAAAAAAGAAAGGCGCCGCCGATGTACATGGCAGGCAAGCAAGCTAGCGAAGGCGCGGCGGAGTATGTGACCGCCGTAGCCCCGAAACGTTGACTCACCAAGAAAGCCCGACGAAATTTCTCTTCTATCTTCTCCACTCCGGCCCGAGCGGCGCCAGGGGCGCGGGTATTATTTAAAAACGAAGCGCCGGCCCCCTCACGCGTGTAACTCTTGGGCCGTGACTCTCCGGCGGCTCGAAAATTAATCCCGGGAAAAAAAAAAGGAAAAGCGCCGCCGACGTAGTTAGCACGCACGCAGGCAAGCAAGCGAAGGCGCGGCGGAGTGTGTGACCGCCGCAGCCCCGAAGCAAACTTTAACTTACTAACACTCACCGAGGAAGCCCGACGAAATTTGTCTTCTTCTCCATTTCAGCCCGAGCGACGCTGGGGGTGCGGGTATTATTCAAAAACAAAGGGCCGACCCCCACGCGTGTAATTCTTGGGCCGCATCTTCACTGCGGCGACAGGCTCGACAGTCGTCACTCGTATTCAAGTCCGAGCGCAGTAGAGGACGGAGAACTTGCTACAAGGTGAGCGACCTCTTTATGCAGAACTGAGAGGAAGTAAAGTCGCACCCGCACGCCACTCGCGTCCGCTTCCTATAGTTGTGACAGCGCATATAAAAATGGAGGAATGGCTCCTGAGGTCCAAAAGCCGCTTTTTTTGCAGCTGTTTGCCGTGTAGCATTCAATGACTTGATCGTGACGAACCTCGTGGTCAGCACCAGCGGGGATTCATCTGTAGTTATGGCTGAGGTCCAAAAACCGCTTTTTTTGCAGTTGTCCACCGCCGTGTAAGATTTACATGAGTTTAGAAGGTTCATCTTCACATCGTGAAGAAGAAGAAGAACCTCAGCGGGGATAAAAATTCATCTGATGGTGAGAATTATATCAGATTTTTTTTCTACTTCTGCGCCGATTTTTTTTACGTGCCACGACCTGTGCTAATAATAGTGTTCGGCTTGTTTCAGCAACACATACATCAACGAAGAAGTTCTTGAGTCCAATCGAAGGATCGCGAGATCATGTGAGAAGAAGTTCTCCTGTTGAAATAAAAACGGTGCGGCAAAAATTATGACAAAAATGGAATCGACTCAAGAAATCTCAATCGGTGTTGTAGAAGTTCCTTGCACCAGCCCAGAATGATCTGAAGAACTGTTGCCATTCTACTAGTACCTCGAAGTAGAAGTACCAACAAGAATGAACGTCCATCTTTCACGAGAAGAGCAGTTTGGATCGTAGATGAAATTGAAAGGACAACGACGTCAAGATCCTGAGTCAACATCTCGGTCACCTTGTGCTGTCTGCTACTTCAAAATAAGTAAAGAATATTAAACCGAGAGCGAAGTTGTACTATAATCTCTATCCTCAAGGTCGTACTATGTTGATCCAGTAGAACAATGTCCTTCTTTCTTTTCATCCATCAAAGCCAGGAGTAGAAAACACCCGATCATCACCTTCTACTTCGACCTGTAATTTTTACAGAAAATAACAAGTCACACACAACTACTTCTACACGAGAAAAGTCACCCCATACAACTTCGACCTGTAATTGCAGAAAAGTCAGAGTCACGAGGACCTTTTACAGTAATTACAGCACCCCAAAGTAAGAAGTAGAAAAGCTACCATAGTACCAGAGCCAGGCTGTCGAGAGTCTTTCGACGCTGCGCTTTGTTCTAAATCTAAATATCTTCCCTGTACTACTTTTGTGAAATAAGAGGCTGTTGAGACGAGTATACTTTCTATAGTTCATCCCTCTACACATCAAAGATCCAGTAAATTATAGTTGTCGCTGTCCTGAACAAGCAAAATAAACTATTCTTCACAATCATGACGCTGCCGCGCGGAAAATTTTCGTTCGCTGCAGCTGCTGGTGCAGCTGTCGTGCTTAATTACAGCGGTATGCAGCAGCTGCTGCCGGTTGGTGCCCTGTCCCTAAATCCTAAAACGACCGGTGCCGATTCCGCCCCAGTGGGAGATGTTGAAATACCGTACCGTATTTCCATAACGGACCACCGCACCGGATCGACCTGGACCTACCGTCCTAAGTTTCTATATGAAACGGACCCTCCTAAAATTGCCTCCGTTGGCGACCTGGAAAAGTGGTTGCGCACCACTGCCCACTCTACTGCAGGAGCTGCGCTAAATGATCCGCCGCTAGGTCCTGGCCAGTATGCGGCTTTCATTGGTACGACTGAACCTGTGCCGCAATCGCAAATTCCGGCAAATAGGAAGTACGTCGAAGAAGGAAACTCGTATATTCCGTCGTGGGAGACATCCTTACGCTTGTATGTCCGGGAAGGGAACACGAACAACCCGGACCTAAAAAAGGAGGAGGAGGAGTTGTACCTTCGGCAGGAGTATCAAATGCAAAGATCGATCTGGGTCTGGAACCATGCAACTTGTCATGCTACATTTGGATTTTTCCAAAAAAAATTGTATTGTATGAGCAGCAAGAAGGGGAGTTGTGTACTAATTTTTGCTACGCGGAAGATCAAAGGGCATTTCCATTTTTCATGCGGAACAGGCATATTGAAGAACAAGAAGCCCTCAAAATAAAATCTGTGAAGATGCTAGCGCATGCATCACAGATCGATCAGGGCAGCTCCTGATGCACAAAACGTGCGTGCCAGGTGTCAGAACTCCTTCCGGACCCAAATCGATATTTGCATTGGATAAGGAGGAGGCCCGGCTGCGCAGCGAGGCGACGGAAAAGGAACGGCAGCGCGAGGCGGAGGAGAAGGCGGAGGAGCAGGCCCGACTGCAGCGCGAGGCGGAGGAAAAGGCGAAGGAGCAAGCCCGACTGCAGCGCGAGGCAGAGGAGAAGGAACGGCAGCTGCAGGAGAAGCATGCCCAGCTGCAAAAGGAGGCGGAGGCCCAGCGGGAGATGCAGGCCCAGCTGCAGAGGGAGGCGGAGGCCCAGCGGCTGCGGGAGCAGGCCCGGTTGCAGGAGGAGCAGGCCCGGCAGCTGCGGGAAAAGCAGGCCCAGCTGCAGAGGGAGGCGGAGGCCCAGCGGCTGCGGGAGCAGGCCCGGTTGCAGGAGGAGCAGGCCCGGCAGCTGCGGGAAAAGCAGGCCCAGCTGCAGAGGGAGGCGGAGGCCCAGCGGCTGCGGGAGCAGCAGGCCCAGCTGCAGAGGGAGCAGCAGCTGCGGAGAGAGCAGGAGCAGCTTGCGCGGGATCGGCAGCGGCTGCAGCAGGAGGAGGATTTTTTGCGGAGGGGGGGCGGCCGGCCGCCGTACAACAACTACAATCCTGCTGGTAGCGCTATTATGGGATTGTTCTCAAATCGATTACCTTCTCAACCGTTACATGAGTAGTTGTCATGCAAAATGAAGACCATAAGCTGCAACCACATCACGGCCAAGCGACTGCGCATGAGAAAAAATTTTCGAAGCTGCGCTAAAGAGCATCTAAAATATGTTTGTAAAATTTGTAAAAGATGCAAGAACTACTGCAAGATCTTCGTCCCTCTCGCTTTCGCTTTTCTACTTGCATTTCAAATACAACAATGCCATCGTAAAAACAGTTGAGAACGTAACGGCTGAGAGCCGCATACCACTTGCGGGTTTCGGGGCGGGGGTTATTGCTGGAGAACTTGCTGGAGGTGGATTTCGCCTATGCATTGCAAATATGTCTGGGTCTGGTAGAGTACAACTTGTCATGCTAAATCTGAACCATACAAAAATCTGTGTTGCATGATTATGTATGATTACCAATAAAGCTGTTCACTTTTGAGAAGGCCGAGAGGCAGTTTCTCATGCGGAAAAGGCATGGTAAAGCTAAAGATCTCACAGAATCTGTGATGCTAGGGTATGCATCACAGACCTCACGCGTCATGCAAAACGTGCATGACAAACGTTGCACTTTTCCAGACCCAGATCGATATTTTCATTTGATCTCGCCCCTATGGACCTTACCCAAGCGGATTCGCTCCTGGACTCGGTGCCGGACCTGCAGGCCTGATCGCGAAGGGTGCTTGCGACGAGATGGCGGGTGAATGTCTGGAGATGGAGGGTCGTATGCTGGGGGATCCAGGCATGATCGCGGCCGGTAAGATGCTGGAGCGAGAAGGTCAGTTCGAGGAAGGTCTCGGACTCGCTGAAGCTGCATATCAAATGCAAATATGTCTGGATGTCTGGAAGATTCCGAGATTTGTCATGCAGTTTTATTTCCAAATCCAAGCTCCCCCACGTCTGGAATGCGGGGCCTAGCATCTTCACAGGTTCATCTGCAACCCCTTGGCGAAGATGTAGATGCCACCTCTTCTGCATGAGTAATGCCCTCTCAGCATGTTGGCCAGAAGATGGCACTTTTTGCACGTCATGCATCACAGATCTTTGTGAGATCCGCAACACGCATCACAAGTTCGGATCCTTCCAGACCCACAGTACATGTTTGCAATTGATAGTGCATTTGGTTTTCCGTGGTGGTAAAGAAGGAGTTTCTGGGCCGCGTGGAAGTGGAACAACAAAGGGCATGGTATTTGTCGCTCGTGCCGCCAAGAAGGGTGGCACATCAACCGCAGCGGCGCGGGATTTTTATTAAGTTTAAGTATATTCTTCGTAAGCATAGAGCAGTAGAAAATTTTGGAAACGGAGACAAGACCCAAGGAACAATGTGCGAAAGAGAGCAAAAAAGCGCAATGAACTAGAAAAGAGCACCCACAACATCAACAACTGGATCTTCTTCACTTGCAAAAATTATAGCATTATCATCTTTTGAGAACAGAAGCAGAACAGATGTACAGTATTAAACGAGACCTCGCTACAAGCTCTCATGATCTCTGAGGAAGCGTTTCCTTCGTCCTTCGGGACGAAGGAAGCTGTGCACCACTTCTTGCTAAGCAACTTTAGCTATCAAATGCAAAAATGTCTGGGTCTGGAAGAAAAAGAATGTAAACTTTTCATGCAGATTTTCCATGTCCCATGAGGTCTGGAATGCGGGACCTAGTAAGCCAAACTCTGTGAGGTCTCTACCATGCCTGTCGTGCATGAGAAACTCCCTCCCAACTTGGTCAAAAGTGGACGGCTTTTGGCACTCATGCAACACAGATTTTTGCATGCTTCGGATTTAGCATCACAAGTTATTGTCTTCCAGACCCAGACATATTTGCAATGCATATTGGCAAGAGCTTCCTTGCTGGACGGAAATCCAGGTTGTAGCAAGCAACTCCCGAAGCAGGTGGTCGTAGCAAGCACCAGCTTATCCTGTGCAAAAGTATCGTACTCGTAGTAATTGCAGTCATGCATTGCAAATCTTCTTCTTAAGGTAAATCCGCATTACAAATTTCATTTCTCATGCTAAGGAAATTTGTAATGCATTTATACGAGTGCGATACTTTTGCAATTCATACAGCTGCACCACCTCTTCGTAGCTAGAGCCTGGACGTCGAATATCCAAACTAGGTACAGCTACACCTACGCTGGACGAGGAGGGTGATTTTACCACCTCTACTTCGCGAACAAAATTTTTGCACCACTACAAGGACGAGGAACGGCCTGGTTTTATTTCTTTTTGGAAGTAAGTAGTAGAGATCATTGATCATTTTTGATGAAACAAATCTACTTCAGCGTGGTTCCATTGAAACCAAGCTCTTTACTCTCTGAGGAAGCATTTTTATTTCCTTTGTCCTGTAGCTGGACGAAAATTGTAGCTGTGGCTGAGGTCCAAGAAACCGCTTTTTTTGAAGCTGTCCCCACCGTGTAAGATTCCGTGTAAGATTATCAAAGCTCGCTGTCCGCCGTGTATGATTGAAAAACTTAGAAGGCAGCAGCCCATCATCTTGAAGTAGACCCTCAGCGGTGGAGAGCTTTCTGATGAAACATTTCTGTGCCGATGTTCTTCGCGCCACAAGCGCGACCTGTGTTCCACTTCAACAGGATCTTCTTCTCACAAGGAGCTCAAAAAGACCTTGTAGTACTAGTGCCAGCACCACCGGCACTTAGTCCGTATCAAACCAGAATGAGAAGTACTAGATCTTTCGCTTTTAAAGCTGCACTGCTCGTCTTTTACTCGTATTCTTGACGATCATTCATTTACTGCGCTCTAGTACAACCCGTGTTCAAACATAAGTACAAGCGGCCAACGTTCATCTCCCAGTTGTATGTTGTTTGCTCCAACATGAGTCGTTGAGCTACATGATCTTCCGGTGGATCTTCGAGTTTTCTTTTGGCTCTGTGGCCTGTGTTCAGCTATTGTTCAGGGCAGTTTTTGGTTTTTCTGGTGCAAATGTTGATGTTCCAAGGCAAGAAGTTCATTTTCTTCGTTGTCGTGACAGAAAGAAAACAAACACAAGAAACTCGTCGTGATCTCTCATAAAAGAACTATTTTTGCTAGCAATATTAGCGGAGTTCTCAGTCCTCGCGCTGGCCGAGGTAGTAGAAGTATGAAAGTACTTTGTTCATCTCGCCAAGAAGTACATCAACACTGAATGATCTTGAGGAACTACAACTAGCCAATTTTTCCTCGAAACAAGATGGCGGTCTCCTCCTGCTGTCTCGCAGCCGCATGGGGCACCAGCTGAGGAGTGCTGCACGACGGCTAGGGCTGCGGCTATTCCTATCCTGAGCGAAAACGTCCCCAACCCAAAGTGAAGATGGAGACATCGCAACAGAAATCGAGAAGTTTTGGCAGTCAAGCATGACAAGTTCCTGTCTGTATTGTAGTGGAGTTTAGCAAGTACAGCCGCAACACAAATCCATCTCCTCATCCTGTTTACAGAATTACAAAGTTCAAAACACAGTCGGAAATAATGCCTCTCATGGGGATGCGCATTACAACTCTTCTTGTAACTGCAAATCTGCATGACAACTATGGGGTGGGAATGTTTTTACTCAGGATAATTCCCACCTGTGCAGCTTTATGGGCCCCGCCTTTCTCCATGGTCTTCAACGAGGACCCAGTCGTGCATGCTCAAGACGAAGTCGATTTATTTTTACGCGGGAGAAGACATTTGGCCGCTGCGTGGTAAGAAGCAGGCGCGGCTTCGGAGGTCGTTTTGAGACGTTTATTTTCAGGGCGTTGTTTGAGTTTGTGCAGGACGTCGAGCAGACTCAGACATTCATCTGTTTCCTCGCAAGGTCCTCGCTCTTGCTCCTCGCGGCAAGACACAGGATGGCCGTCTGGTTCATATCGACTGCAAATATATGTCTATGTCAGGAGGGTCTGGAGTGAGTGTTGCAAGATTTGTCATGCTAGTCTGGCACGACTCTGTGCTCTGTATTGCGTAGGGCCATCGGAACAGTGTATCTCGCCTGTCATGCAAAAACGCATCTTCGCATGCAAAATGCGCAGGAGCAACGAAGCACGCGAAAACTTTTCATGCTTGGCTGCGCATTACAGTTAACTTATTGCAGCTCACTGACTTGCATCACAAGTTTCCAGACATCCAGGCATATTTGCATTTGATGGCTTCAGACGCCGTACCAGGCCGTCCGGGATCAGCTCCGCTACAAGTTTCGGGCTATCTATGGATGTGTCAGAGTTGAAATCGACAAAGTTGAAATAATTTGTGATGCATAAAATCTATACCAGTTGGACCCACAGTTTCCAATCGGCGCATGACAAATTTTCCTGGCCTCTGAAGCAAGTCTGTCATGCTGTTTAGGGCAAGATGGCTGCTCCCTGTCATGCTAGTCAGCAGCCCAATTCTTGACCCCTACCAGCACTAGAATCTGCCTCCCTTGCGCCTTCAGCAATAGAGTCAGTCTTTGTGTCGCATTTTATGCATGGCAAATCATTTCAACTTTGTCGATTTCAACTCTGACACCTCCATACTATCTGCCTGATCTTTTCCATTTTACATCAGGAGTGGAGCTGGCTGAGCGGGGTGAATAAAGACGATCATGACGCTCCTGACACTAGTCCATCAAGATCAAGAACACGGCGGCGCTCCTGCATGGGGGTCGGTCTAGTCTTTGCTACAGAGGTGGAAGAGGAGGAGCAAAATCACGACAGCGGTTTGATGCAAAAACATCAACCCGCAGCTGGTGCGAGGATCATAAGAAATAGAAATTCAAACATCGGTACTAGTAGTAGGAACGGCCTGGCTTTATTTCTCTTTGGTGGTAGTAGAGATCATTGATCATTTTTGATGAAATCTACTTGCTCAGCATTCCGTTGAAGATGAAGCCAAGCTCTGTCTCTCTCTCTCTCTGAGGAAGCGTTGTTTCCTTTGTCCTGTAGTGGTCTGACGAAATAAATTGTAGCTGTGGCTGAGGTCCAGAAAACCGCTCTTTTTGAAGCTGTCCCTACCGTGTAAGATTTTTCCGTGTAAGATTTAAAGCTCGCTGTCCGCCGTGTATGATTGAAAAACTTAGAAGGCAGCAGCTCATCATCTTGAAGAAGAACCTCAGCGGTGGAGAGTCTGATGTATTTCTGTGCCGCTTTGGATTTTTTTCGTGCCACGAGCACCACCTGTGTTCAACTTGTTCAACAGGATCTAGATCTTCTGTAGTTCCGTCAACCAGAATGAGACGTAGGTCTTTCGCGGCTTTATTTCAAGCTGCGCTGCTTTTTATTTTTTACTCGTTGTATCTTCCTTTGCCTCGTTGTATCTTCCTTGCAACAAGGCTCATTGCCTCGGCTCGGTCGCTGACCAGACCCGCCCTACACTTATGCTCAGTGCTGCGGTGTGTGCGTTTTTGGTCCCCCCTGAACGACGTGTGTGAGAGTGTGGCCCACACCCAAGTCCGAAAAAACCTAGCCTTATAACAGCCGCGCCCTTATGGTATAGATCAACTGTTCGTCATAGAGGATCGGCGTTCAGCTGCTCTCGGGCTGGAGGAGGGAGTAGCACGCAGCAGTCCGCTAAAGGGCACACTGCCAACATCATCATCATCTTCCCACAAATAGATTACTGCACTCTGTCTGTTGTTCATGATCTTCAAACATAAGTACAAGTTCATGTTGCATTTGTTCGTCTCCCAGTTGTTGTTTGCTCCAACGTGAATCTTCGATGAACATGATCTACTTCCGATGGATCTTCGAGTTTTCTTTTGGCTCTGTGGCCTGCACAGCTATTGAGGGCAGTTTTTGGTTTTTCTGGTGCAAATGTTGATGTTCCAAGGCAAGAAGTGCATTTTCTATTTCTTCGTTGTCGTGACAGAAAGAGAACAAACTCGTCATGTTGATCTCTCATATTATCTCAAGAACTATTTTTTCTAGCAATAACGGAGGCCTCAGACTGTTGCGGCTGGTACAGCATGTACATGTAGTCCTCGCGCTGGCCGCGGTAGTCTAAGTTATAATGAAGTACTTTCTCCCAGGACCATAAGGTGGAAGTGGATCAACACTCAATCATGATCTTGAGGAAATAGCCAATTTTTCCTCGAAACAAGATGGCGGTCTCCTCCTGCTGTCTCGCAGCCGCATGGGGCACCAGCTGAGGAGTGCTGCACATCGGCTATGGCTGCGGCCATTCCCACTTGTGCAGCTTTATGGGCCCCGCCGTCCTCCCTGGTCTTCAAAGAGGACCCAGTGCCTGCTCAAGACGAAGTCGACTTATTTTTACTCGGGGGACGAAGTTTGGCCGCTGCGTGGTAAGAAGCAGGCGCAGCCACTTCGGAGGTCGTGGTGAGAACAAGTTTTTCAGGCCGGCGTTTGAGTTTGTGCAGGACGTCGAGCAGAGATTCATCTGTTTCCTCGCGAGGTCCTTGCTCTTGATCCTCGCGGCAAGACACAGGATGCCCGTCTGGTTCAAGACGCCGTACCAGGCTGTCCGGGACCAGCTCCGCTACAAGTTTCGGTATCCTGAGTAAAAACGTACCCACCCCAGAGTTGTCATGCAGATTTGCCATGACAGGAACATTTGTGATGCGCAACCCCATGGCAGGCATTTTCAATCGCGTTTGGGAACTTGTAATGCTGTAAACAGGATCAGAAGGTCGATTTGTGATGCTGCTTTCCTTTCTAACTTGCACTACCTTACGGACTGAAACTTGTCATGCGTGACTCACAAAACTCCTAGGTTTGTGTTGCAAAATCCCCATCCTGACTCTGGTGTGGGTACGTTTTTACTCAGGATAGTCGGGCTGTCTGCCTGATCTTTTCCATTTTACATCAGGAGTGGAGCTGGCTGAGCGGGGTGAATAAAAGCAGAATAGTTCTTGCCGAAGAGGAAGAGGAGCAAAACGACAGCGGTCGTTTGCAGCAACCCGCAGCTGGTCCTGGTGCGAGGATAAGAAATTCAAACATCGGTACTAGTAGTTCTGTATCAAATGCAAATATGTCTGGGTCTGGAAACTTGTGATGCTGGGTGGCGTCTCATGATGAGGCCACAAATGCTGGCTCAGCATGACAAGTTTCTGAGCTCCTAGGTGTTGCCTATTCTGCATGACAAACTACGCTTCTGCATCACAGAAAAGCGGAGCTCTTGGGTAACGTGCATGACAGACTTAAGAGGCATGCCAGACAAGCATGACAAACATGCATTCTTCCAGACCCAGACATTTTTACAGTTGATATTCTGTGCGGCGAAAGTACAAACACACAGGACCCGGGGGCGGCCATGGTACAGAAAATATTGACGAGGAGGAAATATCTATCCCACGAAAAAACTGTGTCACTGTGATGACTTTGCAAGATCTGCATCACAAGTTTGCTACACATGACACGGAAAATTTGTCATGTGCGCATTTCCCATAGGGAAAAACACGGTTGAAACCCCAATGCTCTATGCAGGTGTAGCAAGACAAAGAGTTCTGTGTTCCATTTTCTGCATCACAAGTTCACAGTGAAACAGTTTTTTCTTGCGATACTATCAAATCTCCATGCTGCGACCCGGGCCACTCGCGAACACAGTACTGCCAGGAAGCGGGGGAATATCCAAGAAAAAAAACTGTGTTAAAAATGGAGGTGTCGTGGGGTTACAGCATTAGATGAAATTTGTTTGACATGACAAAGAAATCCTGTCATGCACAGCTGCTAGTAAGTGAAAACACGTATGAAAAGAGGGCATTAACATTATAGGTGGCCAGCATGACAAGTGTGACTGTATGGCGTGCCTCGCATTACAGACTTACACTCAATACACAGCTTTTTTCTTGCATAGCGAAGAGAAAGAGGCTTAAACGCGATCCCGGGGCCGTCGCAGACGAGCAGACCGCCTTTTTAGAGGGTGAATTTTTATGAACTGCAAAAGAAGTATCGTACTAGTAGTAATTGCAATACAAATTAGCTCAGCATGACAAATGGAATTTGTCATGCTGTTTTGCCTTGGGATAGAGATTTGTAATGCATGACTGCGATTACTACGAGTGCGATACTTTTGCACAGGATAATTTTCGTCCGAAGCGGAATTTTCCTTGGAACCGACCCCGTATCGTATTCAAAAACGCCCCCAAGCCATATCTGTATTGCAAATCTGCATGCTGAAAATGTTTTTCATGCGGAGCCCCATGAGAAGCATTTTCCATTCGTGTTTTGCGGAATTTCTCATGCTCCAAGCAGCATGCTGCACTAGATCCGTGATGCTGTTGAGCTAGCTCAAACAACACTACACTACGAGTCCAAACTTGTCATGCAAGACAGCCAAAACTTGTGGATTTGTCTAGCCGATTCGCCATCTTGACTATCGGGTGGAGACGTTTTTCCATAGGATACTCCGGCGGAGGACTTTTACCGACACTCTAGGTATCAAATTTAAAAATGTCTGGATCTGGAAAATTGGAACTTGTAATGCGTGTCATGCACTCCTGGAAAATCTGTGTTGCATGAGCAGCAAAACAGAGGCTTTCTTTGTCATGCGAAAACGCAATTTGTGATGCGTGCTAGGCATCAGCAGACCTCTCAAAAACTTGTCATGCTTGGCTGCCATTGGAAGCGCTTTAATCATGCGCAATTCAGCATCACAAGTTTCCAGACCCAGACATTTTTACATTTGATACTAGGGGAGGATCAACTACATCTGGTGGAGAGAACTACAGGGATGAAAGGGTGAATAGCGTAAGTAGGTACCAAACTTCCGCACCCGTTGCGGGCGGTGGGGACGCTGATGCTGATGCTCCAGCTGCCGGGGGACAAGAACATCCTTATCCTCAGCACCAAAATTTTCATGAAATTGAAATAGACGAACACATCAACCGAGCTGGTCGTAGTTCCTCTGCTGACAGAGGTGGAACAAGAACCTCTACTTCTACAGCCTCCGAGGGGGCGAGGACAGCACAGCAACTACGACCGAGAAGTAGCAGCTCCGATTTTTCCTCCACGTCCAGCGGCCAGGGCAGAAGTACAACTTCTACTGCCTCGTCCTCCACCCCAAGGACGTCTTTGGACGAGCATCAAATAGAAGCGGAGGGCGGGAGCAGCAGCAGCAGAGCTGGCGGGGCAGAGGACGGTGAAGACTACAGGAGCACCTTGTCGTTGTATACAGAAAGAGATGTTGGGCTGCAGGATGAAGAAGAAGATGTCCCAAGCTCCGACGACGAGGAGGACGAGGACTTGCTGCCCTCCGGGACTGAGGTTGTAGATAGGAACCTTCTTGGTCGTCGTGACAGCATAGACGACGATGCTGAAACAGCAGGTACTGGGTCTTCATCTTCATCTTCAGAATCAACAACGCAGAAGTACGGCCGGAACGATAATGATACTCGATCTCCTCGAAGAAGCAAAGCGGCAACGAAAAATAAAACACAACGCGTGGCCGCCCGAGGACCTGAATACAGTCAGCACTCGTGGACGGCGGGGGGCGAAATAAACGAGGAGCGGAATTTATTTCAGTCTATGTCTAGTACCACCTTCGCGGAGCTGCAGAAAATGAAAAATGATAAGCGGAGAAAAAATAGGAAACGCGAGCTGCAAGATGAACGGAGTAGTATTGCGGAGCTTGACCAAGATATCCCACGAAAAAACTCTTCCACTGTAAAGATTTTGCAAGATCTGCATCACAAGTTTGTTACACATGACAGTGAAAATTTGTCATGCGCGCTTCCCAAGGGAAAACACGCTGGAAAACCCCATGCCTTGCAGGTGTAGCAAGACAAATCGTTCTGTGTTCCATTTTCTGCATCACAGGTTCACAGTGAAGCAGTTTTTTCTTGCGATACGAGAGCAGGAAATAAATGAAGCGGACACCAGTACGGAAAGCGAGTCGTCCTCGTCGTCCACGTCCACCTCCTCAGGAGGTGCGCTCCTGCAGAAACAAGAGCTCGCCCTCGCGGAACATGAACAGCAGGAAAGAACATCAGCGAGGACACAAGAACTCGGGGGGAAAAGATACTTCGGCGTTTTCTCTTGGCGACCCTTCGCGAAGCCTCAGGATACGGACAGGAACGACTTGCTGACCAAGCTGTACCACCACGCGTTGCAGCCGCTCTTCAGTGCGAGCGATTCCGTGGGG